GAAGCCCGGAAGCCTCGAAGCCCGGAAGCCTCGAAGCCCGGAAGCCTCGAAGCCCGGAAACCTCGAAGCCCGGAAGCCTCGAAGCCCGGAAGCCTCGCAGAGAAGCGGCAAAACCGGGCCCGCGCGGCCAGGTGCCAAAACCGAAGCCGTGCGGCCTACAACGAACTAATCCGCGCGCCCGAAGGCAAGGTGGGCCCAGACAACGAAAGGCGACCCGGCCATCCCGGCCCGTGCCGGCTCGAGCTAGCCGGGCGGGCGCGAGGCCAAACTAACCCGGGGCCCACCCAGCTAGCCCGGCGTGGCTCATGCGACGGCCAGCCAGCCGGCAGGCGCGAGGCCATAGCCAAGCGGGCCGATGTCGCGGGGCGCTGCAAGTCCGCCACCCAGCGAGCTCCACTCTTCGCGCCCGCGGGCCGCTGCGCTTTCTTCAACAGAAGAGAGGCAGCAGTGGCGAGCTGCGGGCGGGTTTCCTTGTCATCCTTCGCACTTTTTTTTTTTTGGATCGTATCCCAATAAGATTCGCGTGGGTTGTCCTGTCATCTTTGCGCTTCTATTTATTTTTTCATCCTCTATCTAGCGGATACTTTTACTTGTTTTACATGTCAACCACGTACAGGCGGAGCTTCTGGAGGCTAGTGTGTAACTGTAACACTTTTTTCCTGTGATAGGTGCCGTGGAAGAGGTAGTACTCGTTGATGGTGCTGTCGATCGTGTCCTCGTTCGTCATGCGCTGCCAGTGGTCGTGGAACGTCCGGCCGGAGCTGCGGAGCCGCCCGAGCGTCTTCACCATGTCCGGCTTCCCCGTGTCATTGTACAGCTTCTTCTTCGCCCCCGCGGTTGTCCCTGCTGCACCTGCGCCAGCGCCGGCACCGTCCGGCGGGCTCTCGAATCTGCGCGCGATCTTGTTCTTGGCGCGCAGGTAGTTCACCCAGATCTTGTGGTTTTGCACGTGCGCGACCGAGACCACCTCTAACCCGCGGGGCACCACGCCGCGGCGGTCCCGGGTGCGCTTCCGAATGGCCGTCAGGTCGAACAGGTCCTGCACGATGGACACCAGCTCGTTCCGCGGTTTCCGGAAGGCCGCGACAAACTCCTGGCCGTTGCTGTCGAACTGCAGCTTTTTCAGCACGTATCAACTGCAAAAATGTCTGGGTCTGGAAGATTCTGAGATGTTTTGCATGACCCAGGATGTCTGTAATGCGCGACCGCGCATCACAGATTTTGCGAGGGCTTCCTGATGCCTACTCCGCATGCCAAACGCCCTCCCCGCGTCGCACAAACTAGACTCCTCTTGCTGGTCATGCAATACAGATTTTTCTAGAGTCCAAAGTTTGCATCACAAGTTCCAATCTTCCAGACCCAGACATTTTTGCATTTGATAGCACGTAGTTCATGTCGAAGTGGTTGGGGATCTCGAACGCGGTGCGGTACAGACCCACCGCCCTCTTCGCCTCCGGGGTGTGCTCCAGCCCGCTGTTCTTCACCTCGTCGTTGAAGTACAGATTGCGCAGCGCCTCCTCCAACTTTTGCTTGTTGACCTTGCCGCCGGACTGCAGCGTGTCCGTGGCGCTGTGCAACAGCCGGATGGCGTACTTCTGCGGGAACAGCAGCAGCTCCGTCTTCGCGTTGTCGTACTCCACGAACTTCGTCAGATGGTACTTCTCCGCATCCGAGATCGCCTTCTGCAGCAAGTCCCGGTCGAACTTCTCGATGGCTTTCTGCAGATTCCTCGTCACGAACTTCTCCAGAGCTTGCTCCATCTTTCGCAGCGAGTCCTTCCGCCCCGTCTGCTCGTCGACGTTTTGCTGCAGCACCGCCTCGTCGAAGCCGTACGACTTCGCGCACTCGAGGGCTTTGTACACCTTGTTCTCCTCGAAAAAATCGCAGGCGTCGGCCAGGTAGCGGCTGAAGACCCGCCACCCCTTTTGCAGCAGCTTCTCGTCCTCGTCCGTCACAGACGGGATGTTGGCTTTCAAGGGAGAGGACTGGCCCTCGCGCGCGGCGAGAATGGCGTCCTGCATGATCTTCAGCGACACGGCCAGCAGCCGCATGTCGGAGTGCTGCAAAGACCACTGCAGCTGCTTTCGCGCCTCAAACACCTTCTCCCGGAGCTCGATCAGCGTCAACAGCTTCTGCGCCTGCTCGTATTCGGGGAGCTGCGTCCGCTCGTACTGATCGGCGGTCATCACTGCCTGCTTCAGTTCCGACTCGTTCTCGTTCTGGATGGCTTTCTGCAGTTTGATTTTCACCAACAGGTCTCGTGCCTCTCCGTCCTCGCGGAGGCCGGAAATTTTGCTGTACGAAAGCATCTCGATGCCGCGCTCCAGCTCTTTCACGTCTTGCTGCTCGATCGCGCTGCGTAAGTGCTGCTGCAGGGTGGTCACGAGTGTCGAAATCGCTTCAGACACCTTTGGGTGCATGTCGGACGGCCCGACGTTGGGTGGGGTCAAGCCCGCCAGCCAGCACCCCTCCACCGCGTCCGTCAGACTGTAGATGTCGCCCGCCTGCAGCGCGAGCGTGCACGCGAGCACGTGGTTGTTCGGGAAAAAGGGGGAGAAGGCACACAGCTGGCACTTCACCCAACCGCGGTCGCCGCTCACCCAGACGCGCTCGCCGAGCTGCGGGTCCGCCTGGATCAACGCGCCGCAACAGCTGCAGTAGATGATTCCGCCCTGGTTGTTCTGCAAAATCGACGCGACGGGAGACAGAGCCAGCCACTCGCCGGAGGGGGACAGCTGCAGTTGCGGCGCGATGCCCGCCGCCCTCGCGCACATCACCGGCGTCTGGCCGTCGGCGTTTTGCTTCTTCAACAGGCGCCCCACGTTGCTCGCCGCCTTGTTTTCGCTGCCGCGCCCGGACACCTCCGACACCCGGCGCTTGTTTGGGGAGCCCTCGTCGTCCTCGGCAAGCTGCAACAACCTCGTCAAAACCGTGTCCAGGCAATTCGCGGCCGCCACGTGGCTCGCGGAATTCAGGAACGCGTCATGCAGGAAGGCGTTCGCCCCGACCTGCAACAGCCGCAGAGCCACGGATTCGCTCTTGCACTTCAGAGCAAAGAGCAGCGGCGTGTCGCGCGGCGCCCGCGACGCGAGCGCGTTGAAGTCCGTTCCCTTCTTTGCGAGGTACTCAATCACCTGGGAACCACGGTCGACGTCGCTGATGCTGCTCGCGAAGCAAGTCGCGCGCACCACGGCGTGCATCAACGTGGTGCCAGCGTTGCTGCGGTCTACCGGGTTCAGGTTCGCGCCGGCGGAGCACAAGAGTTGCACTAGGGCGAGGTGCAAGTTCACAGCGGCGTACCACAGAACCGTCTCTCCGTTGCTGTTGCAGGTCTCCAGCACGGCCAGCGCGTTTCGCTGCTGCGGAAGCAGGGCACTATAGTTGATATACTGTGGAATTGGCACCATCACCGCGTATCCGCTAAGCTGCCGCGGTTGTGAAGACCCGGAGGAGCCCCCGCTGGTGCGCGGCTGCGGCTGGCCCAGCCCGGATGTAGTGCCCGTGCGGTTATAACCTGGGATCGCCACATCTTGAAAGTCACCCGTCTGGTCCACCTGATACGACTTCCCAAATGCCGTCTCGTAGATTGGCTGCACGATCCGTTGCACTTTTACCAAGTCTCGCGCTTCCACCGCCTGCCACAGTTTCCGCGCCTCCGCGGTCCGCTCGTCGGCGGGTTGCAAGCAGCACTTCATTTTGCTGAAGGAATTGGCTGTGTACAACCAAAAAGATGTCGCATGATTGTAATTCACTCAATGTGTTGCAGTGGTAGACAGGAAAGAGCTCGAACTGCTTCTACGACATAGACGTCCCTCGCTAGCCTCGATGCGCACCCTTCTGTTGTTCTGGCCACTGATCCCAACTACAGCCACGTACGAGATATCGCACGTAAACGAAAAATTAGCTTCGCTTTGTATGCCAATATCGGCGCAGCATCATCTGGAGGCCGAACACATCGAGTCCTCCCGCGCATGTCGCGACGAAAAGCAGTGCGGCTTGCGCAGCTTCACTGCGGAGCTCGTCTTCTTGTACCCTCGCGTCCTCGATTTTTTCTCGACTTATTCATTGATTCATTGTGTGCGAAACGGAAACACAAAAATGCCCGAAACCGCGCAGGTTTTCTATTGTCGTCTCATCTTGTCTTCTACATTTTGATTTTGAAACTCGCAAAATCCGCCTTCTTCCCTGAGCCGCCGTATTCCTGTGGCGCGTGCACGTCCTCCTCCGGCGGCGCCGCACCTGCTTTAGAACCTTTTTTTGTCGACTTCTCGTCCTTTTTATCTTTGCCCTTTTTGCGCTTCTTCTTGCCTTTCTTCTTGCCGCCCTGGCCGTCGTCCTCTTCCCACTCGTCGTCCCACTCTTCCCCGTCCCAGTCCTCGTCGCCATAGTAGTCGTCGTCGCCCCACTCCCCATTTTTTCCGGAACTACAGCACGACAGGAAGAAGTCCTTGATTCGTTCGAAGAGTCCTTTGTCCTTCTGCGCTTCCGGGGGGGCCTTCACGTCACCGGCCATATTCATGTGGAACTTTCCGAAGTCAATATCGTCACTTTTACCTGCTCCGCCGCCTGCGCCGCCGCGTGCGCCGATGCCAGCGGCCGCTGCAATGGCGGCGTTCGGAGGCTGATGCCCAACAGCGGCCGCGCCAACCGCGGGAGTCTTGTTCTGCCCGAAAACGCCACCCTGGCCGAATTTTGCAGCGCCGAACACGGCGGGCCCGCCGCCGGCATTATTTTTCATGATGCTCGGCATGTTCGCGTGCCCGCCTGCCAGGAGCGTCTCGTGCTTCTCGCCCTGCTCCACATCTTCCCCCATGCAGGGCCCAAACAGGCGATCAACAAAACTTTTCGGCTCTCCGTTCGCCTTCTTCTCGGGATGCAGGAAGTGAAGCGCGTACGCCCCAAGGAGCACGAGCACGATGGGCACTAGGATCGCAATCGAGACGATAGCGGTCGAGCTGACGAGCGCCGACTCTTCCGGCGGCGCCGGCGTCCCGACGGTCGTGGTGGTGGTATGCGTGCCAAATACTTCAAACTCGGCTACCCCCAGCGTCCGTATCATGTTGTCGTCGGACGCTTTGACCCCAAGCGCCTCGAGGATCACGAACTGGCCCTCGCGCAGCTCGCAGTCGATCACCACCGTGCCGCGCATGTCCCCTCGATCGTCCAGATCGCCGGTCAGCGTGAAGCGGTCTAAGCCGGCGCCGTTCCCGAGCACGGGGTCTTTTTCATAGCGGAAAATCTCGCAGACCTCGTCTTTGCTCGGGTCCACCGTGGGGCAAATCGCTCCCGCAGAGTGCCCCGCACAGTAGTCCGTCTCCAGCGTATCGTAGTCGCATGTGGTACTCCGGACGCGCTTGTTGTGACTCACCCGGATCCGGAGCCCAGCGTCCAGAGAGATGTCGCTCTCCGGAAGCTCGTATTTGTTCCACTCCGTGTCCTTCCACTGAATCTGATTGGCGTAGTTGCCAACGCCAAACGGCATCAGGAACCACAAGTGCCGGAGCCCCCCACGGTTCATGTTCACGGTGAGTTTCACTTCGGTAACCGCCATCGGACGGGGGAACTCAATCTGCATCCAGGGGCAAACCTGCCCAAGGTGATCGCCGTTCGAAGCAGTCGCGCTATCGCCTGAGATTGAGTACTGAGTTGTACAGGGCCGTTCTAACATTAAGAAGCACTACTCCGAATTCGAAGTTTTCGCGTGATTGAAGCAACGAGCACACGCTCGCACTAATGGCGCTCGTCGCAATCCCACAAAGATCGAATGATACTCGTCGTTCGTGAGTGGTCTGCAACAGTGGATCGCAAGAAAACTTTCTGCTAATTGAGTACACAGACACTGTGGAGCAGAGACAAAATTAAACGCAAATCTTACCCGTCCGTGCCTCCGTGAGTACGTCCCGATCAATCGCTTTGGAAGCTTCGTGCTCCTCTCCGGCCTCACTGGACGCTGTCACTCGCTCTGGGCTTTGCGGCGTGATATTTTTCACCCCGCCGGCGTTCAAGACTTCTCCTGCACCGGGGTCCCCGTCGCCCTGGTCCGCATAGCCTATTTCCTCTCGCTGAAGGAGAGCTGCGGTTCTACTTTTCTGTTGCCCAATTGATGCGCTTCCACCTAAAGAACTACCAACTGTGTCTTCTGCCCCCGTAACACGACCGGAGGCTGACGCTGCGACTGAGCTGTGCTGCTCCCGTGCGCCCCCGTGGCCCAGCTCGGTTTTTTGGCGCCGGCGCACGGCGCGGACAACCTCGTTCTTCCAGAGCCAGGCGCTCCGCCGCCTCGCCTGCTTTTCCCGGTCTCGTTCTGTATGTGCGACGTTGTTTATTTCCGAAAACATTATCGACTGGCGGTCAGAATGCTCGCCAGGTGCGTCAAGGTGGGACACAACTTCGCCCGCCGATCCGAGATAAGCCTGATCGTGCTGGCGCTGGTCGAGCTCGCTCTGGTACCCGTGCGCGTGTCGCAACAACAAAAACCCCTGCACCGCCACAAACAAGCATACGCTCTTGCTGCGGAAATGCAGAACGCGCCTAGTCGCGCTTCCGAAAACCCGACAGGAAGGGTAATTCATCATGCGTATACAGCAACAGTCCCAGAGGAAGACCAAGCTCTGACAATTAAAATTCTACCATCCAGAGTGGCTTATACAAAACAGACCAGACAACTACATTGCAAACTCCGCTAAAAGTGTTTCGGCAACAGGGCTGCTTTTCAACTCTCACCATCGATCGACGCTGTACAGTGCCTCACGGAAGGGCACGGATACAGCTCTTTTTCAGAGATGACTTTCTCACCATGTATAAGTACCCTTGTTACCACTGGATGTTCTTGAGAGCGAGACAAAGAAACGACGAATCGCAGGTGATACGCGAGAATCAATAAGCCTTGCGACGCTCATCTACTCTCGGCAGCTCGGCAGTAAGTACGGACACGAAGGAGAACAGGTCCCCACCTCTGTTCTTTTGCGCTACCTTCATGTACGGGCACGCTTCAGCTCTCTCAAAAATTACGATCGATCTCACATCTGTAACAGCACCACAAGAATTCTTTATCCTATCACATTTTCAAAACTGTGCGGTGTACGATTGCGGAAAATTGTTCCCCATGGGCGGCTTGTTGGCGACGGAATTCCCCGCCTGGCCCGGCTGCCCAAACATTTGCTGCCCAGGCGGCGGTGGCCCACCAGGAGCTGCTACACTTCCGTAGGGCAATGCACCTGTGCCAGTTCCCATACCAGGTTGTTGCCCGTAGAAAATGTCATTGCCGACAGCTGGATTTGCGCCGTAATTGTTCGTATATCCCGGGGGTCCATACCCCTGCTGGCCGTAGTTGAGCGGCGCGGTTTCGTCTGTAGTCGCCTGCGGCTTGGGACGGCAGGCATTCACGCAGACATGCACCAGAAGCGTTCCGAAAAAGAATACGCAGAATGTCACCAGGTAAATTATCAGCTCAATCTCCCTATGAAATTGAAACTGCTATCCCCCTCCACATGAAAAGGCATCGCATCGTGATTTGCGATTCTTGGACACGACAATTGTGTTTTTTGCGTACGTGAGGTGGTACTGAACTGGTGCTGTGTATGACACACGTGGGCAATAAGCGCTGTGGTCTACATGCATATGTACCGAATAGCTCCTGCGGGGGGGATAGTTCTGCTTATTTTCATACTGCCACGTCTCCATTTTGTAGTTAGACCCTGCTTTGTTAAGCCGCGTACTTGGAGGCACAAGGTCGTACTATCGCGTAGAAGGTTCTCCTGTGCGAAAAGGCCGAGTAAACTATGATCGGAAAGGACTTCAGTTGTGCAGTAAATCACGTGTTCACCATCAAACCATCACTGCTACATTCATCACATCTGCTGTGAATCGATCCAGCAGTTGTATCTGTGTCTTTCTAGTCGCTGCTCTGTCTAAGTAACTATATGATCTTTCCATTACGCGTATTCATTGTCCGATCTGCGCTTCGCGGCCAACGCGCATCCTGGTACTGCGAACTGAAGATCCATCAAAAGAGAGCTGTAGTGACTCGAGGCAGAGATTGCTTCTGATTCATCATGGAACGCAGTGGAGACAGGTACTGGCTGTGGATGGCTTCCTTGGAAGTAAGAAAATGGTACCCAGGCAGAACCAGGGAGCTGGTCGCGATTACGTGCGGCTCACGCTGGCATGAACCAATTGTGTTCCAGCGCGTCGACGAACCGAATAGGCACAAAAACTGCGCAAAACGTCAAAGAGGATCTAAGCAAAGAAACGTTGCAGAGCAGTTTCACACGCGATGCATCCGCTCGCTTCTGCAATCAATGTGTCCGAGATTGCAGTTCCACTTTCTCATTCAAAACAATAAAATCTTTGCAATTTCCATGCGTGAAGATCTTCTATTTTTGCTTCAATTCATGCTCCTGCTGACAAGGAACTAAGAAACAGAGGTACTTCGTTAGATGTGTACTGACGGTTCCTTTCGTTTTCCTTATGTGTTCAAGAGAATTATAGGCGCGCTCGGCTGCGATAGTCCTTTCACCCAAGCCATCTTTTCACTTCTCGGCGAGCTGCGTTGGTGCGAGACTTCGCTGAGGACGTGCTTGTATTGCGCGATAAACTACGCTCCAGGAGCCGCTTCGCACCGCGGGCAAAGCTTTTGAGGAGATGTGGAGGCTTCGGGGCGGTCGAGATCTTTGATTTGCTTTTTGCTCCGTCCGCACCGGCGAGGGGAGACCGCGACTTGAGCAACTTTGGTGGCGTAGTTTTGCGAGTAGTTTCATGGTCCCTTCTTGTCCTTACCGAAGAAGTGTCGGCCTGAAATAAACTACCGCTTTTCTTGCTTGTGTCAACTCCTTCGATATTTCTGCTACTGCGCTCGATGGTATTTCTCCTCGCCGGTCCGGCGACTCCAGTAGACATCAACGCGTCCTTTGCGTTTCCGCCCCGTCTGTGAGCTTCGTGCTGCTCCTTTCCGGATTTTTTGCTTTTTTTGTCCACGACGTTTCGCAAATCCACAAAACTGCAAACCAACTGCTCCTTGTTGCCTGTGCTGATAGAAGAGCAACTTTGATCCAGTTTCGTAGAAACAGTAGTACTGGGAACTGCATCGCGATCGAACGATTTGGCATCCTCTCTGTTAGCGTGCTGCTCCGTTCGCCCTTGTGCTTCGGCTTTCGCCATCTGCGTTCGGGAGGTTAAGTAAATAAAGTATTTCTCTTATAAACAAAAGATCAAGCACTCACCTTATTCGCCAAATTTCGTTATTTTGCATCCAACCGAGGAGCCAATGCCAAAATACATCTACTTATTTGAAACGGAAGCGCGCAACTTCATTACCGTGCGGACAAAAAATCAGTGAAAAACAACACGGAACGCCGTCTAACAAAAGCTGTACCTTTGCCTGTAACCGTAGCTTGGCGCCCAAGGAGGACGACGTTGTGGAGACCGAGTTGTCGCGTTGTCGCCGCAGATACTTTTTCCGGGACCCCGCGGAAGCGTTTTCACCGTCCGAAATTGCAGCAGTTTCAGCAATCTTACCAGCGACTTGACGCCCGTGCGGGGAAGTTGCAGATTTCTGCAAATTCAAGCCCTTGAACATGTCGTACGACTCGAGAATCCGGTCGTTCTCCTGCCTGAGGTAGTCCTTCAGCGGTACCAGCAATTCTCGCTGGTGTAACTCGCGGAACTGGGCCGTCGTCCAGATTATTTCGTCTGGTGGGGGGTCGTGAAGAGTCGATGCTGCTGTGCTACTGACATTTTTCTCGCACCCCTCACGGAATAGATCGGCTCCAAGCGCCAGAGCAGTGCTGCCGTCGACAATTCTGGTGGCCACGCGGACAGTCTCGTGTCGTCCTTTCCGGCTATTTTTCGAGCTATCAACTTTCCCCTCCGTTCGCTGATTCACCTTGTCGAACCGCTTCAGAGCGCGCAGCAGCTTGTACGCCTTATAGACTAGCGTGGCAAAAAAGACCAGACATAGAAACAGAAAGCTGCAGGTGAGAATCTTCTGCATCACCGCAAGCGGAGAGTGGTGCCAATGGTGGAAGAGAGGTTGATGATCGTTGGGAGGCAATTGGCCGTGCGGTTGGTCTCGTGGAGGCATAAAAATATTCCGCTGCTGCTGCTGCTGCTGAAGGTTGCCGTTGCCAGAATCAAGGGCGTTATTGTGGAGCGAAACGCGGTCTCGCAGCGGCTCTAGCTCACGGGGATCACCAATCACACGATCGGGGTGCACTTGATGATGCTGTGCAGCGGGGGGACCATGCGGAGCAACGTAGTTCGCACCGGTATGGGCGGTTTGTTGGCCAGGCACATTTTGTGCCCATCCCGCGTGCAAGAAAACCGGTTGCGGCGGCGCGTAATCCCGAGCATATTCTCGTCGGGCTCCACTGTGAAAGATTAAATTGTTCGCCGGAGGAGCTCCAGACAGTCCATCGCTCACGACCGCGGTCGTTCGCAAGAGAGATCCAAAAAAACCGCCGGCCGTGAGAGCGGCGCAAAGCCCATACCCGAGCATCGCCATGTTCAAAAACTTGAGGTTATTTGTATCTTGCCCGTGCACGTAGAAGAAGGGAGCAGCATCGCGCGTGCCTTGTTTCCCTGTCGTCGCGTCGACGTCGTCCACCTTTTTACCGCTGATTTGTAGTAAACTTTCTTTTTCGGAGTCAGAACTTCCCGACACAGCCGTTCTCTTGTTGCCCGCAGCTTGAAGATCTCCCGCTCCGTGGTCCCGTCCTGCTCTACTTCCTTGCTTCCTCTTCTTCAACGCAAAAACATATCGCGCCACACACTTGACTACCTTCTTCATCTTTATGAAAACGAAGCGTCCGCAGCGGTAGACAGCGCAGAAAACTCGTGTCAAGAACGAAGACAGTGCGACAACGTGCTTCGGTATACTGATTTCTGGTGCAGTTGTGTCCCGGGGGTTCCCACTTTTTGTTTCAAACCTAGAAATCTTTTCTTCGTCCAGAATGGGCCAGGTACGCCACGTGATCGCGAGGTTGCACTCTTGCTTGATCGTCAAGTTCACGTAATCGCTTAGTGGCTGGTGGTCGTAGGGCAGCACAAACTTGTCGCCCGTATTGGGGTCAGTGTAGTGGAGGTCCAGATCGTTCAAGAGCGCGGTGGGTTTCCCGCCCCCGCGCAACTTTGGAACCGTCTGCAACCTCTTGTGAGCCCGTTCCAGGTCAGACATCGATGCATTGGACAAAAGACTCGCCACACTGCTGCTTCGCGACCTGATCATTTGCCGTGGTTTGAAAGCAGCCCCCGCCGCTCGTGCGGTCTTCATCACGACCCGGTCGTGTGGTCGAGATCTAGAAGTGTTTCTATTTCCTTGTGCATTTCCTCGAAGCTGCTGCTCCAACGACGTCCTCGCGCTGGATGTTCTCTTTGACCGCTGCGCGCGTCCGTGTCGTCTCGAGGAACCACGGTTTCCGCGAACCGAACTCTTGGCCGAACTCTTGGAAGTGGACCGCGACGACGCCCTGGACGACGACGTGCTGCTGGTCGTGCCCAAGGACGAGTTGGAACCGCGTGAGTAGTGAAGCGGAACAACCCGTCTGTCCAACCGTCTCTTCTGAGGAACACCACTTTCATCCCCGGCAGCTGGTGGATCCGTTGCCTTTGCATTCATCTGCCTCGAACAAGATCCTGCTCCTCTTACTGGTGCACCGGGTTCGATCCTATTCTCCTCGTATGTCGTCGCACCAGAAGGTGATGGGGACATTTGCTTCCCGCCACCGTGACCACACGGAACTTGCACGAACCCCTTTCCAAAGATAGGCTTTGCCGCCCGGGTGGATAAATTCTCGTCGCCTTTCGCTATCGCTTTCCCCGCATGTATTGGATTTGGAGCGGCATTTTTCGGATTCGATGCGTGGGCCTGCCCCCGTGGTGACGGCCCACCCTTGACGTTCTGATGAGTGTTGATCTCTTCTTGGGGGTGACTCTTCTTGCGTCGAAGAGGCGTGCTTGTACTCGCAGCAGCAGCTGGCGGAGGCGTTTTCTGCAGACCTGTGCTGGAACCAGGCCGGTGTAGCTGCTCACAGTGCGGATCCCGTTTGTTCCTTTCTGTGCGACTTCTCCCGCGCACCAGCAACCGTGACTTGGTGCCACTTTTTTCCTTCATTTTCAAAGCTAGTACGCAAAGGAAGTGCAATACCCAAAACTACACACAGTACTGCCTCAAATTTAAAGCTGAGGCTAAACAGCGCGGTCGCGGACGAGGAGCGAAACGAATCAAAAAGGGCGACGGATTATCAAAGTTGCAAGTCTGGAAGAACAAGAAGCAAAACGTAAGCAAATAAAAGATCAAATAAGAGTTGTAAAGAACAGCGGCCACCCCTGCACGCACCACAACCCGCGGCCTTCCCGGGTTGTACAATTGAAGCTCATAACCGCCAAAAAAGAGAAACCGCGACCAATGGCTGCGTCTATGTCTCGTCCTTCTTGCGTATTCTCTTGTCGTTTGTAGCCTGCGCGTCAGCCAGGAAGTGTTCTGAGCGGTACGTCATAACTATGTCTCCAACAAAAATGCCGCCGGGGATGCGACTCTGTTCTATGTTCTTCTCGAACCGAAACCGGGTCGGCGGCGCAGCTATTTCGTCTGCTGCTGATGACAAAAAGGAGGCATCTCCTTCTTGTGACGGGTCTGTGACATCACTCGAAGGAGCAGAAGCCCCTGCAGTTTCTTGCTCTCGGCCCCCGTCGTGGCTCCGGACTTTACTGTCTCTTGCTGCAGCTTCTGGCTCGACAAATTCACCAGTCTGCTCCAGTGCGAGCCACTTTTGCCGTTCCTCGCCGTAAATAGTGAGTGCCACCATGCGCTGGTGATTCCAAACCTGCCCGGCTGTGACCAGCTCCGAGATAGGAGCGCGGTGCGGCCGGCGCCAAGTGGAATATGTAATCAAACCGGTGAGATTCGGCGCGAAGCGGCGCGAGTGCACCAGGAAGACGCCACAGAATTTCAATACGTTATAGACGTCCACGCCGAGCAGGTTGTCCTGCAGCTGCAACTGCGGCAAGTGGAGCTTCTTCTGCTTCCAAAACTTCACGCTCAGCTCGTCCGTGACGGAAATGAACTTGTGGATCTCCGGGTGCAACTCGATTCTTCGCTGATCCTTCGCGGTGCACGTCTCCAATCTTCGAATTCCTTGCTCGTTCAGCAGCACCCCAGCTGCCGGCTCGATGTGCGACTCGGTGTGAATGTAGGCAACGGCTAAAGGCGGCTGGCCAGACACCAGGTCGAAAGTGGTGGGGTCGTCCGCATTTTCGTCGCGCCCTTGCTTTTTTTGAGGTTCCGCAGTGTGGTCAAAGTTCATCTCGCTTGTTCTTTCGTCGGCGTGATTACTTTTCGCTGCTGCAATGGGATCGTCATCGAAAATCAAGTCGTGCAGCTCCTCTATTTTGGTAGCACTATCGGGACGAAGATCGAGTCTGTCCTTTGACACGGATCGTTCGCAAGGAAAGAGCTCGTGCAAGTCACGGATAAGGTTCTGCATCAACTCCAAGTTCACGTAAGTTGTACTCGCGTAGAAGCTGAGAAAGGTCCAGGAACTCCCACACTTGGTCTTGTCCCTTGCACTCGAACTGCTCGTGCGAAGATCTTTGACTCCATGGCTCCGCTGGGGGGACATCGCCCTGAAATTACGCACCACGACATCGACCCAGTCCGGTAAGCCAGAAACTCTATCTGTCGAAAAGCGTTTGCTTAACGCATCCTCGAGGCGCAATTCATCGAGTTCTTCTGTCTTCTTGCCGTCCATGTCTAGCTGCTGGCGCAGCACGCGCGTGAACTCGTGGTCTTTGCTGAAGGAGATCCGGTCTGCGGCCGGAAACGCGCGCTGCGCCATGAGCCGCAACTTCCACCGCATCTGCAACCGCGCCGTTGGGCGGCCGTGGCGCCGGCTGTAACTTTCCGTGGTTCCGCCGCTAGGGGATGATGCTCTAGAAGTACCTTCTGCTCGGACAAGGCCTTCGAGCCAAACTGGCAAGGTTTTCGCTGTCGCCCGACTGTAGATCGAGTCGGCGGGAGCGAACTTCCGGGCCTGCATGTGCGGAATATGAAAGTCGTCGAAGAGCTGGAACAGCAGGCTGCTCTGCCCCGGATCGAAATCGCTTCGCCACGCAGCCTCCGGATTGAAGCGCGCGACCGAGGACACGAGACTGCTTCTAGTGCTGCTAGAGAACGCTGCATGGCCGGATGTTGTCGGCCCTGCGAAGGCTCCTGTTCCCGCTGCTCGGTTGCATTTCTCGACGAATCTAGGTAGCATGCGCTCGTGCAGCATGAGCATCCGCGAGTCCACGTGGTCACTGGTCGCAAGTTTCGGCGCCATGCGGCAGCCAGCCCCCAGGCCCGCGATCTGCTCCAGCGCCTGCGAGCGGTCGGAAAGCATGTCGATCAAACCATCCAGGTTGGTGGACGCGATTAACCGATGAAACGCGACCTGCTCCTGCACGTCGTTCAGGTTCTCCCACGAGCGGCTGGCCATGTTCAGAGTGGGCATGCAGTGCATCAGTTCCGAATGCACCATCGGCACCTGAAAGGTGCTCAGGCAGAGTCCCAGGGTCAGGTCGTTGAAGTTCACAAAGGGGCAGATCGAGTCGTCGGCCAACGGCTTGGAGATCAGGTCGTAGGCGGCGCGGCTCATCACCATGCCGGCGCCGCCGCACGGGTAGTCGTAGCCGATGACTTGGGCGTCGGACAAAATGTAGGAAAACAGCACCGGGTCGGTCGGATCCTTGGTGCGCAGCATGCGGCTCATCTGGTCCCAGTCAAACCAGGTGTCGTCGTCCAGCAACATGACCCACTCGATCTCCCGCGGCAAATGCGGGTGCTGCGTGATGAACTCGAGTTGCTGCCGCTGCACCTTCATGTACTCCTTCCGCACCTTCCACACGTCCTTGTTCTTCGACTTCCGGACCTGCGAAGCCTGCTTGCGGAAGTGCACCTTCCACTGCCGCTCTCGCGGCAGGTTGTCCAGGTACTCTTCGACGACGTAGCGCACGTGCGGCATTTTCTTCAGAACCAGGTCCTCCATCGCCACCTATCCAGGAAAAAACACCAATCCCCATCCATTTTTTGCATGACAAACGACCGTGCAAATTATGCATGTTTTATTTGCATCACAAATTAGATGGGGATGGGTGTTTTTTCCTGGATACCACCGCCCGCCACTCCATCGTGCGGCTGGCCATCACAGCGAAGAGCATCTCGTTGCGGTTCAAATCGCGCACGCTGCGCATCCATCTCCGCACTTTGCGCTCGAGCTGCAAGCGTAGGGGCGCATGCGGCTCCTCTGCAGCTTCATCGTCGGCTACAGGAGGCACAACGCGGCTCTCTGGATGGTGCTGTTGTCTTTCGCTTCTTGCCGCTGATGGCGTCTTCCGCCGAACATTCCTTGTCGCCGCGACCCACTGCCGAAACTTTGACACGGAAGCTCCCACGCTTTTTTTTCTCTTCGCGAGTTGCTTCGTCCATGTTTGGACCCGCTTCTGGGCCAGAAACCGGTCGTACTCGTCGAGCGTCAGGAAACGCTGGTGCCTAATTCGGTTCGCGGACGACGCAAAACTCAAGCGTTCGCAACTCAAGAGCACGAAGATAGAGTTGACGAGCCAAAGCATCGTGGAAGCAGTCATGACCATAAAAGTTCCCTAGTTACGCAGGTCGCCAACAAAAACAACAAAAACCAAAACATGCAACGTGCGAGGCAACATCTCGCTAAACAGATGGGTTGCTACTGCTAGTTTTACTGCTGAGAATTATTCTTCTGTGTTCTTACGCACGGATTTCGCTCTTGGATTTTTTAGACGAGATAGGCAGGTCACTCTAACCTACCTGTGCCACTGACTGTGATTCTTACATCCCAAAAAAGAAAAAAGCACAAACGAAGATCATAGAAGTAAGAGCCAATTTGCACTCGAGGATCTTCATCATGATCTACTTCAAAGTCAAAATACGATTCGCATGCTAGAAGATGATCCGAGATCTATTCGACGACTCAAGGACGAGGCTGTTCGTGAAGATCAGCACAAATTCAGTACAGAAACAAAGAAAAACCAGATCTGCAGCTACGGCACGAGAAAAAGTGAACCTCAACCTTGCATGTAGTTCGTCATTGCCGAACAGGCTCCGGCAATGATAACCCAAAAAACTCTTTGTTTAAAGTTTAGTGCGGTTTTTGGTTGTACGAATCCCAAGTACTTTCTTCAATCACGTCGCTTCCCTTTGCTAGCTGCTAACAGCTGAAGTCGGAAAGACTCGTTCGTTCAAGAACCTCACAGTGTCGGAAAACATGCCTTTTCAAAGATCACTCCTCGCCCCCGCCCCCGCAGATAGTCGGCCCCAGGCTCGGCATGAATCTCGCGGACCCTGATTGTCCGATATTGCTGCTCCACAGCTGCTCGCCGCTTTCCTTCTCATTCAAAGAAGTGTTAAGCTTGCTGTTGTTTGGCCCGCCTGCAGCACTCGCGAAGGGGCTCCCGAGTTCTGTTCTCATGGGGTAGTAGGGATTCGATGCGGCTTTGTTCACTTCCGGACTCGCCTTCCACGAAAAGGGAGAGCGCAGCGCGGAAGCTGTGGATCGTTTGGTTTTAGTCTATTCTGCTTATTCATCTGTAGAGATTTTCACATTAAGTCTTTAAGACTTAATGTGAAAATCCTGCTATTGTGCATTTCATTCACGCCGCTATAGAGGAGGACTGTGCAGCAATCATCCTAAGTAAGTACCTTCCCGCTTCGCTGGTGCCGTTGCTCCTGAAAAGAACGAAGACGCATCAAAAATTTTCGACGCGGACATTTCCAGATCCGCCTTACCCCCCGCCACCGGGGCTTCCCCACTGGCCTGCCCTCCACCCCCGCTTTTGGTCACCAAAACCAGGCGGCTGACGTACTCCATCTGCTGCTGCAAACTTTTTTGGCACCGCAAGATCTTTTCGTCGAATTCCAAGTTCATGTCCCGGAACCGCTGCTCGAGCTTTTCGAAATTGGACTCCTGCTTGCTCTGCTGCAACACGAGCAAGTCGTTGATTTTGCTCATCTCCGTCCCGAAGGCGTTCTGCCGCTCGTTGAGCAGGCGGTCGCCCTTGAGAAAGGAGTCCTCGATCTTGGGGATCACCTGCAGCACGGTGTCCATGTCGGAGTTCAGCTGGTCGACTTTCGACTCCAGGAAGCAGTCCTGTTCCGCGAGCCGCTTCAGCTTGTCGAACGTCTGCGTCGAGAAGTCCTGAAGCTCCTCGTTGAACTTCTCCTGCCGCTCTTCCACCCGGACGAGTTTCGGGTTGTCCTTGACCTGCGCGAGCTCCTCGGTCACCATGGCCGAAATGTTCTCCAGCTCCTCCAGCAAGGTGTCCGACAGCGTGTTGAAGGCTTGTTTCAACGCCTTCAGCTGCTGCGTCAGGTACTCGAAGGTGCGGCGCGAGCTGTCCTCGAACTCGATATTGGTCTCCGCCTCGGCCTGGAGCTCCTCCTGCAGCTTCTTCACGTGGTTCGTCACCTGCCGGAGCATATTGGCATACGGAACCGGGGGCTTCGACTTCAAGAGCGAAGACAGCGTCTGGTGCCCCACGCTCGACGCCATCTTCGATCCTTCGCAAGTAGAAGGTGCGGCCCGAGGCCGGTTCTCTTAGATTTGTATTTGTTTCGTCCCTCCTGAACGAACTTTGTAAACAAACTCAACACTGTAGTCGCCACCCAGACCAACACTGATCCGTCTCGGGGGAGCCACACCGACGAGGATCGATCCGATCCCGGTGGGCTATGCTGTTGTAGGTATCATCAAAAATCTTCATCTTCTATTCGACGTATGTTTTACTTTCAGTAAAAAACCTCGTGAAAAACAAAGCGCGTAGTTTTTGCGCCCTTGCTTACTCACAACTCTGTGACTTTCGTAAAAAAGAAAAAAATCGCAACGTGCTAGTCCCACTCTCTCAATACATCTAGCTGCACCAGCAAAAATTCCTCACGACGCAATGCTGCACTGGAGGGCCAGCTGATATTTTCGTCCTTGCGCTGTTGTGCTTTATCTCCATCTATGCCTCGTCTTCGCTTGCGCTGCAGTTGTTTTACGTTCCCCACTGCATTGAAAGCAAGCGGTCGCGTAAGGATAACATTTCTTCCCGTGGGGAGACATTCCGAGATTTCTATGCGTCAGCTCCTTGCAAGTTCCTTCTTGGACACGACGCTAGCGCTGTAAAAAGAAACTGCGTGTTGACCAAATAAGAGAGCTAAATGAGTAAAGTCATCCTCTTTTTTTCCTCTTCAGAGAGCAACCTTACACGCGGTATTCCATGCCAGCACATGCTTCTCCGTTCCGTACCCAGGTTGGGGCCACATAAACCCTCCGCGGTAGTAATGATCGAGAGCAGCGTCCGGCGGCCAAGGAATACGCACGACCTTGTTTTCGTCGTAGCTGAAAGTTACGATGCGCTCAACGATTCGCGGACGCGGCTTCAGCACGGTCCTCGTAAAGGGCGCAAGACAGCACTCTATCGTTTTGTTTCCACACATGTAGTAAGATAAACCGCAGCTGTTCCAGTTGCCACTGCTTATGTGTTCTTCCCCCGCGATTCTTCCAACTGTGGCTCCTCCTTCAAGAGCATCTTCGTCATCGCCCTCACCGGAGTCAAAGATGCCAGGCCGCGTCGCTCGTGCTTGCTTATTTCCTGTACTGTCAACGCCCAGCGACGGAGACACCCGTCCGTAGAAGAGGTCTACCTTCATTAAGTCCACGTTGTTCCGTAGCTCGTCATAAATTCCGACGTCCAAGGTCTCCACGGTGCGGCCATTATCCAAGAAAAAAACTGTGTTAGTGTAGGTCTTTTGGGAAAACAGCATCACAAGTTCGTCTGCCATGACAGGAAAAACTTGTCATGCGCAGATAGGACGGGAAAACACGTAGGAAGCGAGCCTATCATGCATGTAGAGCATGACAAGCGTAACTGTTTTGCATTTTCTGCATCACAGACTTACCCTTACACAGTTTTTTTCTTGCATACCCATAGCGGTCGAAGTAATAGGACTCCTCCACCACCTGCGGCAAGAGGTCCAGCATAGATCCCGAGCTCTCCTGCCACGCGGCGTCCATTGGGACGATTTTCTGGTCGACACTCGGGTCCGCCGCCCGCTCCATGGTCACGAGCTGCGCCGCGAGATCCTTCTCTCTGTCAGTGACATTCAAGTCTGCGGTCGTTGGCGTTGCGGACGTGGTCAAAGAGGTGCCAGGAGGCAGAAGACCGCTGCCACTGCTACTGCCGTGCAGTACGGCTTCAGTTTGTAATTCTTTCGCCTGTGCTGGTTCTAGTCCGGCGCGACCACCGAAAGCACTCATCCAAGATTGCACCGACAAGGCGTAAAGCCGGTACAAGCCGAATCTGGCAGATATCCGCTCGCTGTTGAACAGAAAGCGGTCGTTCGCCGAGGTTTCCGTGCTCCTAGTCAGCATCCACTTCCGGTCTACCACAAAATCGATGTCCCAGTCCTTGATCGTGCAGTGGCGGACGAGGTTGAGCAGGCCCCCGTTGACCAGTGCGTGCGGCGCGTCCACTTCCCGCAGAACCGTCGAGGCTACCGCGAATCCGATGTTGGCAGACTCCTCTTTCCGCTGCTTGGCCATGTCGAGGTCCTCCAGCCGCACGCCCGACTGGAAAAAACTCTTGGTCAGACACGACTTGAGAAACAGGTACTCGACCGGGTTCTGCCCCTCTTCCGACACGGACGCCGAGGGAAATGTCTCAAAGTAGGGGTCGCGGCGCTGCAACGCGACCGTCACGGTCTGCGGAGTTTGCCGCACCTCGAAGAGCCGCTTCCCCGGCTTGATCCACTGAATGACTGCGCCGCGCGGGTCGTCAGACCGTCGCTCCTCGGCCCATTCGACGGTTGTGCGGACGGCTTCGAGCAGCGTCGCCGTGAAGGGCCCAAATCGGTCACTGTGCAGCAGTGCGAGCGCTGCGTCTATCAAGCGGTATCTCTTGTTTGTCACATATGCGCTTTTGTGCGGTGACCGCTCTTGTGGAGCAGAAGGGCTCGCAGATGATGGTCCTACGGCTAGGGTGCTTGAGTAGTTGAACGCGTGAAAGACTTCAGAAACTGACATCTCCCAGGAGGTGGCGGCGGCACCCGCTTGCGCTTCCTCCGACAGAGCCTGGCCTTCCGGCGCGGACGAGTGCACCGGCACGCTCCGCAGCCCACGATGGTACATGTTTCGTTGGTGCTCGGCATTGGTCTCGGTTTTGGTGCGCAGCAGCGGTGACAGAGGCATATTTTGGCGAACGTCGCTCGCGCTTTGTGCTGGCAAATCCGCGGAGCCCCCCCGCCCTCCGGCGTACAAGTCGTCCAAGGCAGCACGCCAAAAGCTTCGCAAGGCAGCTTCGCTTCTTTCTAACTGCGTCCCGAAGACGCGACGCACGTCTGCGAATATCAACCGCATCTGCCGCACGTAAGTTGGCGCGAGGTGGACAAAGTAGGAGTCAAATTGCAACTGGGCTGGCAACATCTCTGCCGTCCTCGCGGATCTTGCCTTACCTGAGTAGCTTGCGTTATCCTCCTGAAGAAACGCAGTCTCCTCTTCGTCCTCCATATCCACTGCTTCTCGACGCAGTTCCACCTCCGCCGGAAATTGGTATCCCAGAAACAGCACTCGCTCCAGCACATCTGCGGCGACGATGCGGCCCAGCATCCACGACACTCCCGAATACGGCTCGATATTCGCTGCAGTGAACCGCTCGGGCGGTTCGTGCTCCTCCGGAACCGCCGACGCGACAACATTGTGAAGGTACAGAACAAGAACCCGAGGCATTAGCAACAACGCACAGCGAATCCCGCTCAGCAGCAGCGTCCCGAACCGGCACCCCACGGAACGACTGGGGAACGAATAGGACCTGTATTGTCGTGCACGCATTTTGTCCATAGGGCTAGAATAAGTACGTGAATCCAACGTCGTTATCGCTAAGACATCGCGCACGGTCTACAGGGGGGTGATTCCAAAAAATCAAAGCGGATCCTCACACGCTGAAAATCCGAAGTGAATACCTTTCTCTTGCGCATTGCGGTTGAGGAGCGCAAGTAAGTACATATCCACCACGAACAGCTTTTTGCTATTAGCTCAAATTACAGTGCACGGGGCGGGTGCTCCTTCTGTTCACGTTTACGCAAATACGCACGTAGCTGCAGTCGCGACTTTATGTCTTTTCGGTCCGATGCGTGGCCGCCTGCGCCAGGCAGCCAGGAGCCGTCGTAGTGGTGCACCGCAAAAATTTGGGATCGCAAATCGCCGCCACCGGGCCGCAGATGCGCGGCCAGAGAAGCGGCCAGCCTGTTCTGTGCGACTGCGGTGAGACAGGCAGCTGCACTTCGACTTCGATCACTTTTCTTATACAAAGCCAAGCCTCCCGCTTCAATATTTGCTTGCGCAACGCTTGTCTCTTCATCCTCATCGCACATGCGGTAGTACAGATCAAGGACCGAATCGTCGTCATTCCGCTCCACATCCTCCCTCGGTGGATAATTCTCCATTTCCTCAAAGGGCCTTTTCCGGCGCAGCACGGTTGCGGAGAAACTAGACAAAGCAGCGATTTTTCTCCTGGAGACCTCTGTTCTTTTGTCCAAAGGACCAACAGCGCCAGATCCGCCTCTGCTTGTAGCGGCACTAAATGTTGTTGTACGAGAAGCGGTAGCGACCGCAAGGCTCTCCTCTCGTCTCGCGACCGTGAAATTGTGGTTCCTTTCAGCGCCGTCCGGATTTCGCTGCGCCTGTTGATTCCTTTTCTGTATTAAAACATCCTGTTTCCGTGCGGTGTAGAAAAACTTCATAAATCCATGCGGCTGATCCTTCTGCATCCAGGTGTGACGGTCAAGCGCGGACACGGCCAGGCACTCCCGCTCCTCCGCAGCCCACGCGCCGTGGCAGAAGGCGCCGTAACACCGGTGATAGGAAAACAGATAGGTGCTGAAGTCCACGTGCTTCCATAAGAGATCCAGCTTCGACGGTCCGAGGTCTGCACCTTCGAGAGCCCCCTTCTCCTCTGTGGTCGCAGACTTGGAAGCCGCTACTTTTACCTGCTGTTGGTCGCGTTGCGCTAGTCCTGCTTTGTGATATAAAGCATTTGCCACTTTCCACATTTGTTTTGTGAGCCCGTACTTCCGTGCACAGTACTCAGGATGCGCTGTTGTAGCGCTACTGCCTCGACGACCGCCCTTGCCAACAGGAATTCTAGGCTGCACCAGAGCAAGCTGTGCGGCGAGTGCGTGCTCCTTTCGCTGAACCATGACAGCCACGTGCTCCTGTGTACGGTTCGAAGCAGACACTCCACCAGTCCTGGCTTGCTGCTTCACCCGCAGGATGGCGTTCCGGAGCATTTGCCACTCAATTTCCAAGGGGTTGAAAAACTGCGTCGGCAGGAAAAAGACGCGGTTCCATCCCTGGATTCCAAAAACGCTTCGCTCGTACGCGTGCCGAAACATGCGCACCACGAACTGGTAATGCCGCGACCGGTAGTGGAGCTTTCCAGGTCCAGATTTCGAGACGTCAGTTGCACTGGAGATAACTGTAATAGAAACCTCTGGCGCCGCAACATCGTGCGATGTAATTGCAGCAGAAGTTGTCGTCGTCCCTGCTCGACGTCCTGTTCTACTGGTTGCGCGGTTGGAACTGAGAGACGAGTCCTCAAAGCCGCCCTTTCCAGATGCGATTTCGGCGATCGCTACTTCGTGAAGTTCGAACATCAAAGACGCGTCCCTTTCCACTGGCACCGCGACAAAAGACGGTCCGGAAGCACGAGTAGCTTGCGTCCGCTCCTCCATCCACCTGCCGCGGACCGACAGTTTCCGCTCCCGCGCCACCGCCAGCACGGGCTCCGGGCGCAGCAGCTCTTTCGTGATGGTGGCGTCCATGTACCACAAGATCTCGACCCAGAACGGGTGCCGCGGGTGCGAGTAGATCGCCGCGGTGCTCGGATCCAACACGATCGCGGGGGCTGTTGTTCCTTTGCTGGCATAGCTAGGCGCTCCATGATGTAGCAGCTCCACCGGATCAGAGCGCGGTCGCCCCTGCTCCTGGTGTGCGACCACAACGGACGCTGTTTTCTGCTGTTCGCGATCACTTTTACGGGAAGTCGTTGTTCCACCACCTCCTGCGACCAGCGTTTCGAACAAAGGCGTGGGGTCCTGGAGAATCTCGATATCCAGGTCGAGAAACATGCCACCGTAGCGGTACAGCACAAGAAACTTGGAGACGTCGCGGTACTTCACGGTCTCGGAGATTTTGTCGTCCTTGAACCACCGACTGACCAGCTCGTGTGGGTGAACTCCCGGAAACCGCTTCGTGAAATTGGTCGCCGGGCTTTGGTCCAAGTAGTATCGCTGGAAGAGCTCCACATCAGTTAACGTCGACGACGCTTTCGCCGTCCTTCCTCCCTCACCCGACGTCGACCCGAACACTCCTGACGGAGAAGAAGAAAGTTCTGCAAAAAATTTGGTATAGGGCTGCGGCTGCGGTTTTGGAACCGCGTCTTCCCAGAAATCCGGGTCGCGCGACCACCGAACCAGTTCGTTTATCCCGGCGTCGTCCCAAAGGAATACCTCGTAATTCTGGAACTTGTCCACAATCGTTCCGTAATACGGCAGGAGATAGCCCGGGATGGTCGTTTCTGGATCTGCCGTACCCAGGAGAGAGCAGAGAACAACGCTGTGGTCCTTTGTTCCGTCTTGATGTCTCTGCAGGGCTTCCACATCAGCCGCGGCGACTCTGGCGAGGACCTCCTTTTTGGGCTTTTCAAGCAGACGGTCGATATCCGCATCAGTCACCGAACCGGCCTTCAGGTCCTTCCGGTCGCCCAGACCGTTACTCCAGATCAGGTGCACACGCTTCGTGTACGCCGTTGCGGAACCGACACTTTGACGGCTCCCAAAGTCACACCGGCCTCTCAGCAACGCGCTGGTGCTGTTGTATGCTTCCTGTGCAGCTCGTGCTTTGCTCTTTCTCGTATGCGACATCAATACCAAGAGCCAGATGATCTCCGAAAATAAACAAGACCTCCTCTTTCGCGGTCGCACCATCTTCAAGCATCATAATAGATGAGCTAGAGCAGACGATCACGACAGGACGCGATGCACAAACCTTCTACGAGACGAGGCCACCATCTCTAGACATCATTTGACGTGAGCGAGCCGTGCGCAATTTTTACAGTAGTCTTTTCGTCTACAGAGGGGCTCGCATGTTCGACGATACAACACACATACCGAAATTCTGAATCTCCTCGGACGAACGAAGAAGCGAACGCTTGCCGTTGCTGCACACCGCCATCTAACAATCCAAAGCGGTAACGGAGCGCGTTCTTTGCATACTGTTTCATTTTTCATGGAGAATGTGGTTTTTGCTAGTTCCCAAGTCTCTTGAAGATTGCATTGCGGTTTTTACCAAGATCAGCGAAGGTTTTTCGACTATCTAAAAGTAGTAGGCGGCTTATGTTGGGTACGGAAGCAATGTTGGGTACTCAAACGGGGTTGCCATAAATCTGTCTTACGGAAAAGCGGTTTCAAACACCGTAGAAGAATACTAATTCATCATACTAGACGGGGGAGAAACTAAATGGCTACTTACTCTTGCAATGCCGGGGCTACCGAACGTTGCAACCGAGCAGCACTCCTCTGCTCGGCAGTTCTATACTCTAATTTAGTTTCTATGGGCCACGAGAACGTGCCAAATTGTCGTTTTATTTTTGTCGCTTCAAAATGGTGTAATGCTCTTCCAAAAATCACCAAAACTTGCTGGGCAGGCATTTCATCTTTGGGGTCCTGACAAGCTAAAAGTCATACACGATGCTGCCCGTGCAGCTCTCTGCTACACAACTTCCGCTGTAGGCAACTCTGAACCTACCCCGATAAGGCCCCGGCCACGTCGCGAGAACGCAGTCAATCATACAAGTCGAGTATTCCACCGCGCGTCTAAACTAGTGTGCTCAACCCGAGGGGCCACGTCGGCCCCATCTCGGCCAGCTTGGTAAACGGGCACGAATGCTGGCTAATCGGCCTGGTGTACCTTCATTTGCATTCGCTTGATTCGCGGCAGCATCACTTGTGACCGCGACAGCTGGACCGGCACCCGGCGGACCGTTCGATGCTGACCGTGCAGCATCTTCTGCTCTTGCAGGATCCTGTTCACCACCACCACCACTACCACCCCCTGCGACCTCAGCCGGCGGCTCTGCGCTACGGTTCTCTGACTGTTCGCCGTGATCGCTCTGCTCTCCTCCTTCGGAAGCCGGACGAACTTCGATGCCTGTCTGACGTCCAGTTTGTTCCACCGACGTTTCTGCTGCACTATCCGCTGCCTGCTCAGGACGGCTACTACTTCTGGCGCCCCTTGCTAAGAATGTTTTTCCGCGTCGAACAAAAGCAGAGGCTGCTTGCGACGCTATCCGGTTCGCATAGTACTTGGACGGCCGCGAAGCGCTCGCACCGCTTTGAGCGCCAAAATTGTCACCACGCTGTGTAGTCTCGCGTGCCGAGGAAGGCGGTGCTGCTGGTTGACTCGCTCCTTCTGCCCCCGCAGGAGAGTCCTCTGTCGCTACGGGTTGTGCAGTGGGTTCAGTCCTTCGGGAACTACCCCAAGTCCAGGGCTTGTACCACCGGGATCCTGACGACGCCACTGCTGCCGCGTCCTGTTGTGCTGGGGCGTTTGCTCCAGGTGGCGTCACTACGGCGTCCGACGGCCCTCCTGTATGTGGAACTACCTCACCCGCAGAGCCTTGCCCCGACGGGGCGACAGGTGCAGCCGCCGCACCAAGACCAGGTTCTCCAGCTCGCGCTTCCTCGTCCCTTGATGGCATAGCCCCTGACGATGGTGGGGTCACAGGTGCCGCGGTAGCTTCGGGTGAAGCAACTCGCACTAATCCACCAGGTTCATCATTGTTATGGCCTGCAGGGCCGGAAAGTGCCCACTTGCGCGGCCGAACCAACTTCATCGGATTAAAATAACTGCCAACGTCTTTTACAAGCCCCCAACCAGCTCCCGCTCCCTGCCCGAGCAACCACTTCAGAACTAACTTTTTCGCTTCTTGCGCTTCTGGGGTTCCTGCCTGCGCGGTAAGCCACGCGCCACAATTAAAGATTTGCAGTCGCTGTTCTCTGTTGAAAGAAGAACGCGTCGCGTCAGTCGTTCGGTCGTACTCTGCCGAAAACTGGTCGAAAGTTTGCGACCCGAACAGGCCTCCAATTATTGCAAACCGAAACGCCTCAGCAATTTGTTCGCGTGTCTGAATCCCCAGCTGCTGCAACACTTCCCGATAATGTTCTGGAAGAACCGCTTCGCCGTGCGGAGACGGAAGAGCAAGTTCTACGCCTCCAGCCCGTGGCCCGACGGCGCTGGCTAAACTTGCGACACTGCTGCTACTTGACGATGCACCAGATTCATCCCCCTGCCGTAAGTGCGGAGTAGCGGTTGGAACTGTTCTTGCAGGAGCACCCTCCTCGTCTAGAGCAACGATCGTGGGCCCTGGCCGCTGGGCCGATGCCATAGGAGCTGCCTGGCCACGAAGACCGGCCGCAAACGCCGACACGCTCTCGGCAGCGCCGGCACGAAGGCGAACGCCCAACCTGTAAGCCTGGTCCTCGGTGTCTGACCTCTGTCCGCCTGTCGAATTGTTGGCAACAGCAGCACTTGTCGCTGCTTGCTCTGCAGTGGCCTCAGGCGGACGCAAAATGGTAATTCTAGGCTCGTCGTGGTCGTGCTGTTGGCGATTCCGTAAGCCATCGAAGAACGCACCACCGGCTGCCGTCACGAGCCCGCGCACCTGTGCTCCCGCTTCGCGCGCATTGTCTTCGACGGTGCGATCGAATGAACTACTTGACGTACCCGGGGCAGCGCGTTCGACGGTTCCTGGACTCGCAGAGGAACTTCTATCACTCGGAGCTATACTTGGTCCCTCGGTGCCGTTAACAAGTCCGGGTAATGCGGCAGACGCGGCTGCTGCTACCGGTCCTCCTCCAGCTGACCCGCCATCCCTGCCGCCCTGCAGCACGCCATCTCGGAAACCGTTCAGGGCGCTCACTGCCACCTGTGCGGCGGCCTTGCCAACGGCACGCGAACCGGCCACGACCGGATTTCTTTGTCCTTCAATGTATCTTATCACGGACGACGACTGGTCTCCGACTTCTTGTCCGGGACGATCTTCACTTGGTGCACCAAGGGTGGACGCTTCTGCGCCTGTCGCGGGTACTTGCGGTTCTTGAGCAGCGCTTGTGGCCGCCTGCGGATTCGTGCCGGCGCGTGTCGTAAAGCCAAGGCCCTCCACGAGACCTTCCCCAGCTGTTATCGCAGTTGAGCGAAGAAGTTGTCCAGCCGCTGTCGCGACCGGCGCGACCGCTTGTGTGGCGTATGGTATTTGTGCCGCAATAGATTCTGCCGTCGTCCGCTGTTCTGGGCTTGCGGCGACAGGCACCGCAGCGGGATCCGGCGGCGCGATTGCACCCCCAGCGACTGGGGCATGCGCCGCGACCGTGGCCGTAGCTGCGATCCCTTCCGGGTCCTCCGTCCGTGTTGCAGGTGCTGCAGCTCCACTGTTCCCGGTCGGAAAAAGACCCTCGATAGCGCTCCGGCCCGCAGCTATCGCGGTGGCTCGTATTAATGCACCGCCCTCCCGCGCAACTGGCTCGATCGCTCCTACCACAACTGGACTTTGTGCTCTGATCCACTCCTGCGTCGTTTGCGGAGAGGTCGCGGGGGGAGGTGTTGCGCCATTTTGCACAGACGCTACTGGTCCTGGCGGTGCACCCGCGAGTCCCGCGCCCGCTTGTGTCGCCACGGTACCCCCTGTTTCCGGAGGTGCTACTTGCGGTGGTGCCGGTACTGTGGCTGCAGGATCCGCGGTCGAGAAAAGCCCTCTGGCAACGCTAGTTCCCGCGGCTATTGCGCTGGCTCGTATTAATGCACCGCCCTCCCGCGCAACTGGCTCGATCGCTCCTACCACAACTGGACTTTGTGCTCTGATCCACTCCTGCGTCGTCTGCGCAGGGGTCGCGGGGGCAGGTGTTGCGCCATTTTGCACAGACGCTACTGGTCCTGGCGGTGCACCCGCGAGTCCCGCGCCCGCTTGTGTCGCCACGGTACCCCCTGTTTCCGGAGGTGCTACTTGCGGTGGTGCCGGTACTGTGGCTGCAGGATCCGCGGTCGAGAAAAGCCCTCTGGCAACGCTAGTTCCCGCGGCTATTGCGCTGGCTCGTATTAATGCACCGCCCTCCCGCGCAACTGGCTCGATCGCTCCTACCACAACTGGACTTTGTGCTCTGATCCACTCCTGCGTCGTCTGCGCAGGGGTCGCGGGGGCAGGTGTTGCGCCATTTTGCACAGACGCTACTGGTCCTGGCGGTGCACCCGCGAGTCCCGCGCCCGCTTGTGTCGCCACGGTACCCCCTGTTTCCGGAGGTGCTACTTGCGGTGATGCCGGTACTGTGGCTGCAGGATCCGCGGTCGAGAAAAGCCCTCTGGCAACGCTAGTTCCCGCGGCTATTGCGCTGGCTCGTAGTAGTGCGCCGCTCGCCTCGGCTATCAAACAAAAAAAGTTCGTCACGATCACTGATGCGCATTTTTGCAATTGTCATGCGTAAAAATGCATCACAGCCAAACTTTATTAGGGATTTCCCTAGTGTTTCTGCAATACAAGGAAAATTTGTGATGCTAAGAAAATTTGTAATGCAAACCCTGCAAATTAGTGACTATGATAAACTTTTTTCTCTCCATATCGGCGACCGGCTGGACGGCTTCTACTACTTCTGGAATCCGTGCTCTGATCGAGTCCTGCATCGTCTGCGACGAAGCTGCGTTGCCGGTCGGCGTTGCTGCGTTGCCGATATTCGGAGTTGCTACGGCGTTGGCGGTGCCAGTAATTGCGGGGGCCGCGGCTCCGGTGTTGACGGCAGACGACAAGCCCGCTCCCTGCAGCGCGCCCTGCCGTGCGGCGCTCAAGACGGCCACTGCCCCTTCGCCCACCGCCGCCGCGATGGCCTCGGTCCCTGCTGCCAGGTGCGGGATTTGGTTATCGACCGCTTGTGCCATGCGCTGCCCCAATCCTTCCGGCGCCGCAACAGCGGCCGCACCTGGGTTCGTGGCTCCAACTGCGCCCCCCCCGGCCGCTGGATTTGTCCCTGCGGTTGCGATAGCGCCTGGAGGTGGTGCCGTACGTCCAGCCTGCCAGCCCCGCTGGAGCCCCGTTGCGAAACTACCGACCGCGGTAGCTGCCGCACTTCCAACCACCTGTCCTGCTGTCGTAAGTAGCTGCCCGCTCTGGCCGCTCTGGCTTTGCCCGTTCCCGTGTTGGCCAGAACCGTCGAAAAGGGCGTTGGCTACGTTGGAAACCGCCTGCGTCAACTCCGTCCCGAGTCCAACTCCACTAGTCACCGCTCCGGGCGGTGCAGCCGCGCCTTGTCCTGCGCCAGCTGCACTGCCTGGATTCGTTACAACGGCTATCACAGTGAAAAATGCCCCCCACCCCTGAAATTGCAAGAATTTGTGATGCGAAGTTTCCAAATGAAAGCTTTTTGTCATGCATGAAAGGAGTACGAATCTTTCTGATGCAGATTCTAGTCGTGTTTCGCATCGCTTGCATGACAAGCACCGCTCTTGCTGGGATCTTTTGCAATACAAATTTTTGCTATTCACGATCGGAAATCTGTGATGCTGATACACGCAAGAGGGCGAATGTTTCATTTGGAAAGATTTGCAATACAAATGCTTGCAAGTTCGGGGGTGGGGGCATTTTTCATTGTAATAACGGCAGCCCCATTTCCGGCAGCCGCGGGCGCTACCGCTTTCCCCGCCGGTGGGGGCGCAGCAGTGTTTGATCCAACGGGAGCTGCGGCCGCACTTGCCGCCGCCTTCTTGTTATCAAAAGTAAAAATGTCTGGGTCTGGAAACTTGTGATGCTGGGTGGCGTCTCATCATGAGGCTACAGATGCTGGCTCAGCATGACAAGTTTCTGAGCTCCTAGGTGTTGGCTATTCTGCATGACAAACTGCGCTTCTGCATCACAGAAAAATGGGGCTCTTGGGGAACGTGCATCACAGATTTAAGAATCATGCCAGACAAGCATGACAAACACGAATTCTTCCAGACCCAGACATTTTTGCATTTGATACTTGTGGTGGAGGTGCAACTCCTTCCGCGCCGCAACCCAGCGCCAGTCGGCGCCAACAAGGTCCTGACCGGATTCCCGCACCAGCTCCCGAAGGTGGTCGTCGGTGCGCAGCGGGATCTTATACCTTTTGCCGTTCAAGCTACGAAAGTACACGCACTGGCGATGGGGCTCGGCCGCGAGCCCGCAGCTCGCCTTCCGGCCGCGGATGCGGGTGCGGTGGGTGGCGATGTACTGAAAATGAGCCGGGATGTCGTTATTGTCGTCCGCCGCCTGGAACTGCACATAGGGAATGGCTTTCTCTTCCAACGAACACGGCTGACCGCCGCGTTTGTTCGGGTTTTGCTTCGCCCGCGCCCCCTCGCAGGAGTCCGCGAACAGGGGACGAAAGATCTTGTGCCACGCTAGGTCGTCGTGCGACAGCGCGATCACGTCCGTCTCCCGCAATACGGTGTTCGCGTCTCCCAACACCTCGAACCACGTGTTGCCCTCAGCGTCGGCGCCGTTCAGCGGGAATCCCTCGAGTTCAAAAAACACGGCTTTTTCGTGCGCGATCACCGCCGACCGAAACAAGAGCAACTTCGCCCAGTGAAGCCACTGTTGCAACGGGGGCATCGAAGCCACGTCGCCGCCAGCATCCTGCGAATGCCTGCGTACCTCGTCCGGGCTGAAATTCTGCTCCACGACTTGCAATGGCGGCTGGTCGTTCTCGCGCTGGTACACGACCTAAATTTGAAAATTAAAAATGAACATACTTTCAGCAAAAAAAACGAAGCATGTGTGCGGCAGCAGGAGATGATTGCTACAAAGTACAAACTGTGACAGGTACTCGGTCAAAATACACCGACTCAATTATACCCTCGAAATGCATCATCATACATGCACAGTCGTAAACAAGAATTAAGAACAGCATCATCAACAGAAACAAAACTTGTTCTGTTTATCTTTTTCAACAGAAACCAAAGCTTTTCCGCACCTGCACTCTGGCCTTGTGTTTGGCGTTGTCCCACGTGATGGCATTCATGCTGTCCAGCATCGAGGAAACGGTGCTTTCCTCCCGAAACTGTGGCTCCGAGCCGACATTCGCGGTATCGCTCGTCACGTCCACCTGCGCCCAGCGGAAGCGGAATCCGCCGATGGCCCATCCCTGGTCCGGCGTACTTGGTACCAGCAGTGCGCCCTGGTTTGCCTGCTGCGGTCCATCGTCCTCGTCTCCGCGTGCCAGTGCCACTTTAATAATGCGGCGCTGCGTGCCCGCGCCCGCACCGGAGTCGTCTTCGCGCTGCGCGGAGCTCACCGACGTGGCGTCGCGAGGCAACGCCGCCAGCAGTTTCGAAAGTTTCACGTTGTCGTCTTCGCACAGCCGCTCCAGCTGCTCGCTTTCGTCGCACAAACTGAGGGCCAGCAGGGGGACGGTGGCAGTGCGCGTCTCCCCGTTGGGTCCGTCTGGGTCGACGTTTCCCTGTGGTGTAGAACCTTGCTGTTCGCGCTCAAACTTTTCCGAAATCAACTGCAGCATGCGCAGAAAATGCTCCGCGATGCATGCCTTTTCACCGACTTCGGAAACGGGAATCTTGGCGCGCTCCAGCACGGCATCCACGTAGTTCTCCAAATCGCCCGGCTGTTGCTCCGCCGCATCGACGAATAAATTCAGAAACGTCTTCAGGTTCTTCACATGCTGTCGGAGACCGGCTTCGAGTCGCTGCTTTAGCTCCTTCAGCGACGTTTTCCGAGCGTCCGCCACCCGGATGACAGACTCCCGCCCTTCGGCGCCCAACCGATCCAGTGGGCCGATTGGCATGTTCACCAGCCGCATCCAAAGCAGCTTCTGGTTGGGCGTCAACCGATCGTTGTTCCCCACTTTGCAATGTTCCGGGTAGTGCTCGTGCGGGTGCTGGGCGAGGTGTTGGAACGCGGTGGACATCTCTGTCGCTTCTCTGTGCATCATCGCCGTCTGCTTTCCCTGCACCGACCTGTTTGGCGCCAAAAAGTGTACGCTCTGCACACCTGCTTCTGGTTGGTCGGGGGCGGCAGGATCCACGTCAGCCGCCGCCTGCTGCTGCAGAGCCCCGCCGTTGTTGACTGCAGCGGATGCAGATATGGCCAGAAGCAGGTCCTTGAAAGAAAACTCGGGCGCTATTTGGAGCAGCTGCATCTTCTGCTCACTTCCGCCACTACCCTGGAAGTGCTTGACCAGGTAGAAGATACCCACCGCGAGCGCACCCACAATAGATAGGGTCGCCAACACGACCGCCGCCCACGTCCAAAAGCCCCAAGACGCCGTGCAACTGACCCGCTTTTGCGCATCGTGGTCGTTGTTCTGCGCCATCTCCTCTTGTTCCGCATTTTCTGCTTCTGTCACGGCTGCCTTCCCCTGCGTCTGCATTATCTGGTCCTGCATCATGGACCCGTAAAACCCACTACCGAAACCTGCGCCGGAAGAGCCGTCGTGATGGGGAATGAATATGCTCGTTTCGCTGCGCTCAGAATTCACGTCGTCATCGCGTCCTTCGATCGGCGTCACTGACGCCACGGAATTCCGGCGACTGCTCCGCTGCGAGAATGGGGGCGGTCCATTCTTCAAATTTCCGCCGTACGAGCTCACCGTCTCGCGAGCAGAGGAACGGTTCCGCGGCAGCAGGCGATCCTCAGCGTTTTTCGCATCTTCGCGGCTGGCAGCGCGCGCTCTTGTTGCGCTTCCTTGGCTTGCAAAATCCACATCCCTTACCTCCCAGGATGCGACTTTCTCCATCCCGGAATCCGACTCGCAGCAGGTCGTGCTCTCCCGGCCCATGGCTATCGGACTGCTCGACCTCCGACTCGGAACATCGACGCCATCATCGTCTCCGCTCCTGGTCTTATTGTTCGCGTGTTGCAGCTGCTGTTGGCCTTTTTTACCAAACATGTACATTTTCTACGGTGGAATTTCGGTGTGTGGCTAGAAGCATGCAACTTTCTAGTGCGCACACGTTGCCAAAATTCTTGGATTTGCAGCCGTAACGATGTAAACTTGCCGCAGAATCATCTTACAGTTAGTCCCAGGTTTTAAGGACCTTGCCTTGTTTTCCGCTTTCTGAAGTTTGTAAAAGATAAGTTGATTTCTTCACTAGGTGGATGTACTCGACGTTAGCGTCACAGTCCTCCGCCAGAAAACACCGTCAATGGCTGACAGTTCGCATGAAATATGGGAATACAGCTAAGAACTAGTAGTTCTTCTTGCAGCATTAAACTATAGCTAGCAACAGACACTTATCTTACACAAAACGTCGCCGCTACATAGAGATCTTTACGAAAGCAAGATCAACATAGATCTTCTCGCATGGAAACGGGGGATAGCAAGTGCTTTACTTAGCGCGACAAGGAAAAGCGAATCACGTATACGTAACTAATCTGATACTCGTGATAAAGACAACTTCGGGCTAATATCGCTAGGCTAACGTGTCAGCACTCCATTCATATCATGAGGTCTTTTCTACCTACGTCTAAAGGCGCCCTGGAGAACTTGTCCAGAAAAATCATACTTTTTACACAAGCTGGTGTTTCATTTTTCCTATCCATCATTGTGCGACGGACGAATACGATCGTCAATTTTGCGTTGATCATCGTTATTCTGCTTTTCCCATGAAACAAGTAGATCTTCAAATGCTAATAGTCTGGTCGGATGATTCTTCTCTGGTGAACGGTCGCATTTACATTTCGTGCGCTAGCTTCCAATCTGCCACGATGCAGAAACTTACATCCTCCTTGGCAAGATCCTAGATCCGGCAACGTTTTTCGTCCCTCTTTAGAGCGATCAAACACGAATGAGACCTGAGTGAATGGAACTCGATCTGGTGAGAATGTTGCATTTATTTTTTCAACCGAGAATTGAATTTCAGATTTCCTTTTGTGCAAACCAAAACTACTTACTTTGAATTTCAGAACCCTTTATGACAGCGCGTTCTCGTTTTTGATCTTCTGCGATCCACGACCTTCATCTCCACAAAAACTTTACAGCAGAAGTGCTGCAATGCATGCAAACTGATAGTGGTCAAATTCAAATATCGGAGCGAAGCAACAGGGCGCGGGCGAGGAAACAAACGCCTCGCTCGCAATTGCTGTCATCGTTTGGCGGCTGCTCTTCTAACTGTCAAGAATCAACATGGGCGTGTCTTTGAAGTTCGGCGTCGCAAGAAAGCTTCCTCATTTGGGCCGGCGGAACATCATCATCTCATTTGGGCCGGCGGATCTCACTTGTAGGTGAACTTTAACATCCTGTGTAGTTTGAAAGAAAAGATGAACCCCCGCGCGTTCTAGAGACTGGCCTTGCTACACGCCGGTCCCCGTCGTGTTCCCCTTGTCTCCTATCTTTCGTTCATTACGTCCCGACGTTTCGTCAACTTCTTCCCGTTGCGGTTCTGCTCGCGCGTTGCAGCACTGTCGTGGACGATTGCATTCTGCTAGCAGCAGCGAAGCGAGAAAACCGTGGACGGAGGTGGACCCAGGTGGATGGAAGCCGAGGAGCTAGGACGAGACGCAAGAACCCACACGTGGCAAGACCGTCTACTACCGCATGTCCACGAATAGCGTAACAGAAGATAACAACCAGTGACCCAGTGCAGACCGTCATAGTACGAGCAACCTAGGCAAGGACGCTCGGGGTCTAAAGCTGGTGATTTATCTTTCATCTTCTTCTGTTATCACTCTCCAACAAGAAAACCTGTTAGCACACACCAGCAAGCCCCTCCAACACGCGTGCAGGCCGCATTGTAAGATTGCGACAACCAGCAGCGCGACAAGAGAGCAGTGACCCAGAACAGTCCGACATAGTCCGAGCGACCGCGACAGGGGAGCTCGGGGCCTGTTGCTGGTGATTTTCCCCCAGAGTCGCGATTCTCTGCTGCAACGAACTGACGCGTCCACCCACACCAACAACATCTTCAAACGAACACCAGCAACGATCCCCAGCGAGGCCGACCGCGATAGTGCGCACTCCCTGCGCCACCCGCTTCTCGCCACGAAGCCCGCCCAGCAGCAAACAACCATCTCCAGCCGCAAACATTTACCGTCCTTCTAGGCCCCGGGAAACGGTAAAAGGCAGTAGTGGCGCGGGACGCAGAACAGGGCGCAGGACGCACTAGCAAATAGCAAAGTCCCCACTTCGCATTGCTGTGAACACGAAAGCCCGGCGAGCGGTTCTTAACCCTTGCCCCCGGAACGAGACGAGGTACCGGTTTAGCTGACGGCCGGAAACAAGCATCTCGCCCAGTCTGAAGACGAACAGTCGCGACGTTGGTCTCCAGACACGAGCGGGTTTCGGGCTTTTCGAGTTCGCAGCGGCCCCTTTTTTCGACTCCAGACGAGCACTCCGCCGTGTCTGAAGACGAACGCCTCAAGGAAACGGTAAAAGGCCAGAACAGCTACGACGCGACGCGCCGAACGGAACAACTACGACGCGACGTGCCGAACAGCACCGCACGACCACCAAACGCACCAGCGAGACCGCCAAAGCCGGTCGCCATAGTCCGGGCGCCCCTGGCAAGGACGCCGGCGGAACATCATCATTTTGGGCCGGCGGAACATCATCATTTGGGCCGGCGGAACATCATCATTTTCTACTTCTACAGTTCTTGTTCCTGGTATGAGAGCAAATAGGTGCAACACCATCGCGATTGGCATTTTTTTGCTACTTGTGCAAGAACTGCAGCGCAATGGGTCTCCGGCGTGTTTCTCAATTTTGAAAAAAGAAAAAGAACCGAGGGGCGAAAACGTGCGCGCGAGCCTCCCCCCCCCGCATATGCAGATATGCATATTAGAAAAGTCTGTGCTTACATGTACATGTATATATATCTATATGATATAGACATACACATAGCACGCGAATCCACCGCCACCCACCGCCACCCACCACAACGCCTCCCCCCCCGCTGCTATGCTATCGCGCTTCCCTACTCCCCGCCGCTTATATGTGATTTGCTGGGCATATTGCGGCCCTTCTTTTTTTTTATTTTTTAAAGAAGTAATATAGTAGCATCTGTGTGCGTGGGTCTGTATTTGGGTAGATCCAGAAACCAGCGCAACCCCCCGCAACGCTTCTCCCCCCGTTGCTATAGTGCTTCCTCACTCCCTCGAGCTTATATAGCGTCAAGGTTTTCTTTTTTTTAAAAAAAGAAAAGTGATAAAGTAGCGCAAGCATGTACGGGTAGGAGGCTATCTGGGTAGACCCAGAAACCAGCGCAACCTCCCGCAACCCTCCGCGGCCCTTCCATCTCCCCCCGTTGGTATGGTGTTGCCTTACTCTCCCCCCCCGGTCCGGGGCGATCTAAATGCAGTCAGCTCAGCCATTATATACATAGGCACATAGACACCTGGACAAACACCCTCGGCACCGTGCTAAGCCGCTTGCCTTATCGTGCAACGCCCCCCCGACGCAGTTCGGACGCTCTCGGCGGCCCCCCCCTTCCTCATTTGGGCCGTCGGAACATCATCATTTTCTACTACAGTTCTTGTTCCTGCACTACAACCTCCAGTCCGCTGCTCTTTGCCATGTTTAGTATTAGTAGCGAGCCACGCTAGAATTGTCTCCGCCCACGGACCTACCCCCGGACTGTCGTCCGGACAAAAAACCTCTGCGTGCGGAAAGAACCTGCGACAGGCTTCCGCAGTCGTTTCGCCTATGCAGGCAGCGGCCTGCACCGAGCCCGTCTGCAAATCTGTCCCCTGCTCGCACCATCGCGAACACGCCTGCGCAGCGGAGGGGGACGCAAATGTCCACAAACACGTGGGCCGGGTGCTCTTCGGCACGACGGTGTGTGTCGGCCCTGTATATAAGCAACCGCTTTCCACCAGTTCCGACGGAGGACTTTCGACCGCACCCGTAGCGTACGTAGCGAGAGACACGACGGCGAAGCCTCGCGAAGTCAATCCCTGCGCTAAATCGGGCCTTTGCTCTGAACTGCAGGGCAAAAGGACTCGGTTGACATTTTTTGGAAAATGCGCGGAGCCCTCACCATCGACAGGCTCCTTCTGTCCTCGGATCGGCAGCGTTTTCCCGAGCGCCTTAGCATTTGCGGTTGGGGGAATGAAGCAGTCGGCACTGTGCGTTTCCACCCACTGCTTGACTTTTTGCAGCTGCTTCTCAACTTTTTCTTGCCGCTGCGCGGGTGTGGCAGGAGCAGAATTGGTACTACCAGCTTCGTTTCCTGCAGCAGAAGAAAAAATCGTCTCAACAGCTACTTGCAGCGCTTCCGCTGTCGCCTCACCCACACAGGCTATCCTTGCCGCCTCAACATGTTTAGCAGTGGCGGTTTCATCTCCGCTCGCACGGCCCGTCGTTCCACCTAGGAGAGAAGCGAGAAACAGCCCTGGGTCTGCGGTTAGCGCACGACAAAATTGCCTCGCAGCCTCGGGCGAGGTGAGGCACACCCAAGAAAAGCATCTTTCTCCGTCGGCTTCCTCGAGCAACTTCCGCTCGATTGGCAGCGGACGGAAACACACGGCCGGCGCTTCCAGGAACCGCACTGCGATTTTCTGTCCAAGTTCTGCATCACGTCGGTGTATCCCCTCAAGTACCGCATCTTGCAGCTTGGCGTTGCTGCCCGTCTCCCGTGTGAGAATTATCACCACCTCATTTTCATCTTCACATCTGTCTCCCGTAACCGGACTCATTCCTGGATGAAAATTGTTTTACGTATGCTCCAAAACCAAATCAGCATCAGTTTCCTGCGCATATAATTCATTGTACAAAGAAAAACACGCTTTTTTACACGCTCGAAACTGAAGCACGACAAAGACGAGTAGTTGTAATGTACTCCAGGCCGCTTGTTCTCCTTCTCTCCTACATCACTTCTGGATCATGCGCTACGAGAACCACACGAGTTCACCAGGAAAGAACATGCACCTCGTCCGAATGGATTGCTTCTCCTTTTTAGAAAGCGCTGCGCATCTGCGACTTCGACGAAAGTGTCAATAGGATGTGCTTTCTTTTTTCCAAAGACTTGTTGTAGCGTGCTGTGTCTCATCAAAACCTTGTCTGCTGTGTGGTCCCACAAAACGCGCGTGCACACTGCGTTTACGCAACACAGCTAGGCGCGCACTTCGAGGCTCCACCATTACTGCTCAACTACAAATGCGGTGGACATCAGTGCAGGAGTAAAAAGTACGTAGTGCGTACTTGTATTTCTCTTCACCGTCCAGATCTAGTCATGTACTTTCCACTCAATTAAGCCCGGTGGTGCAGGCACGACGGTAGTCGTACAGTCCTCTCCGGAGTGCGACGGAGGTGAGCATACCACGCAACTACCCGTCGTTCCTCCACGCACCGTTTGACAACATTTTCTTACAGCTGTTCTTTTAATGTTCGATGCTTTTTCGATATTTCTTCTCCTCCGCCTGGGATATCATATGTTATACTTTCTTAGGGGATTCTGCGTGGTGCCGCATCATTGTTTTTCGTTTTCCCTGGTTCCTCGTTACATTAGGCGACCATCACAACGCAGCGCAGTATGTCCGCTCGATTCGACAACTGATAATCACTTCGTCGCTTCGTCGTGGGGGATCTTCTCAACATCCTTGAGTTCCTTGTTGCAACAACACTTATCAGCATCTATCCAGTTAGGTTCTTGTTCTACAAGGCACAAACAGAACTCATAGATGTTGAAGCTTCGCAGCGTCATCTGGAACCATCCATTTTCACCATCTCCCGTCGGGATGAAATCTGCCGCCCGTGTTACGAGATCCTAGTTGTCTTCTAGTTCCCGCCGTTGTAGTTTCCCCCGGGCTGGGCCAGAACAAGCGGAAACTCCTCCTCGTCTTCGCAATTTTCAATGTAGCTGTTTTGTTCGTTCACCAGGGAACTCCACCGAAAGCTGTTCACGTCGTCATTCCACTCCGGGAACGCCTGCGCGCCGCAAGCGGTCCCCGCGGCGGCCGCCGATCCGGTGGCGACGAACTTTGTCTTGTGCGCTTGCCCGATGAGAATCCGCTCCTTGTTGTAGTGCCGGCCCCAGATGGGCGGCTGCCAGCAGCACCACACGTAGGGCGCGAAGAAAAAGGGAAACAGCCAGACGAGCACCGCGACGAGGTTGCAACCTTCGTAGTTGGTAAACACGCACGGTGCACAGAACCACACACAGCAACAGCTGGGCTCGTCGCGCTTGTCGCACGCGCACACACCGATCGGGTTGCGGTCGTCGCGACAACGCGGGGCCTTTTCAGGTTCGGCCACTGGGTCAGGCATTCTCTTTCCCAACAAGCATTCAATCTCTTTCCAACTTCTGCAATTGGTCAATTTTTATGTCCTATGTGCAATAATTTTTTCCGATCAAGAACAGTTCTTGATCTGGCTCAAATTAATGTTAAAATTGTCTTACTTTTTATCTTCTAATATTGCGTTTTACGACTTCAAGTGAAAAACCGAATCATCAAAAACTAGCGTAGCGTTATCAAATTGAAATTCGGCTGCAAGAGAAGGAAATAAAACACTTGGATGCGAATTGAGATTGTGTGGCTTCACCAATTTCAGAATCAGGTCACGGGCACGTCTGCAATAGAAAACGTAACCGATCTACGGGGAACGAACCGACATGGCCAATACTTTTTTGAACCTTGGAGAATCGATCTCAACAGGCCTCGAAGATCGCTTTCTATTTCCAGATCTCGATTTGGATCTCCGCCTGACTTTGGGATCATTTCGTAAATTTGCTCTGCCTTTCTTCCGGTACCGAAGATTGTCCACGAACTAGTACAACTTTTCTGGTCGTTACAATTGCAAGATTTCGACCGCCGACAAAGAAACACTACAATCAAAAAGTGGCGAAAACACACCTTCGAATTAGTTCGCTTCGCTCGATTTTTCTTTTAGAAACAGCTTGCTCGCGGTGTTGGTGCGAAAAACATTTTGTTTGGTCCTGAAAGCAAAAACTTGAAACAAAAAGATGAAAACACACACAACTAGAAGATTATATCCGTAAAATGTGTCGCACAAACAACAATCAAGGGGTACTTACTTGTGTTTTTGCGCTAAGTTCCTTTACGGCTCGCCTTGAGCAGTTCAGTCTACGGCTTCTTCTAAAATTTTGGCTGGCACGGCGCCAGCGTCCTCCTCGAGCTCTTCCAACATCGCAGAATCTTGCTGCGAGATCATCTTTTCGGCGGCGGAAGCCAGCGGGTCCACCGTGCTGCTCTCCGGATAGTTGCTCACGGGATCCCCCGATGATATTATACCAGCTGACAGTCGTGCGGAGTCGGAGGCTCTACTTACGGAACCGGAGGCGGCGGCAGCCGAGTCTCTGACGGAGAGCGCAGCTGCAGGATTCTTCTCCTCATTCGAATCCACAGCTTCAGCTGCTTTAGCGTCCGGGTCGCTCTCGAACTCTTCCATGCTGGCCGTGGTGTAGTACCGGTGGAGGTTTTGCTCGTCGCGATCTGCAGTCAAAACTGCGTCTTGCGGCTCGCCCGGCATGAAGTCTGGCCTCTCCTCCAAGGAGGAGTCGGAATTCTGGCCCAGCTGGTAAAGCGTACTCGGCACTCGCGCTTCTGCCTGTCCAGTTTCGAGATCACTAGTTCCTTGTTTCATCCTCGTCACCTGTCCGTCCGTCGGCGCGCCGATGATCGACGCGCTCTCGTTGGTCGAGGACAGCACATTGTCTTTGGATGGCGACAGAATGTCGCCAGAAGGACCTCCGCCGAGGCTGGAGTCTAGCTCCACATGGTCCTCTGACTCGGAGTCGAGCTGCCCGTCGTACAGTGCCGTCTCGACCGGCCGCGGGCGGGGATACGACATCTCCGCTTCTTCCCCTGAAGTAGTGCTGTAAATCTGTTCGGTTCCCTGGTCCGACACGGAAAAGTTCAGCACGTCGGGCGCGGCGAATCCGACGGACGTCGTGCGCCGTCTTGCTTCCTTCCTCTTCGCGAGCGCCATCTTGGCCGCGTGGGAAACCCGCTCCGCAGGCTGGTAGCCGTAGGTCTGAATCTCGCTGACCATCTCCTGAATGTTCACCATTGCGTCGGAAGATGAACCTGTTGCGCCCGCAAGTGACTTCCGGTTCTCCGCCTTGACGTTTTTCGTCGGAATCCACTGAGTCGCGTTTTCGAAGAACCCGCCGGCGGCCGCACCACTGGCCATCTTCGAACCGCGTCTACTACTGCTCCGCAGCATCTCCTGGTGATCGTGACTCTTCTTCTCCGCCCCGCGCCTCTCGCTCCTCCGCTGCGCCGTCAACGCCAGCACCTTCTCCGCGCGCTCCAGCTTCTTGCCCAGCGTCTGCTCCAGCTGCTGGCGGCTCTCCTCCTTCTCCTTCTCCGTGCCGATCAGACAGGGGTGCGCGATCGTCGGGCGCACGGTGGTGTGCTCGAACCGGGTCAAGTCCAGAAACCGCTTGCGGTACGCGTCGATTTCGGCTCTCCGCTTGCTTTGCGCGTTCCGCAGCTCCTCGGTGATCTTTACCGCCGCCTGCTCCTCGCGCGCCTTCTGCACGTGCGCGTGCTTCCGCTTGATCACCAGCGCCAAAATCTGGCGGCAGTAGAACGCAAGCGTCTTGAAGTCGATCTCCTTTTTGTTCTCGTACCGCTCGAACTGCCGCGTCAGCTCGGTTTCCAGCACGGATTGGGTGACCAGCACATTGTGCTTCTTCAGCACGCTCTCCTTCCGCGTGCTGTTCGAGGTGTTCACGTTGTTCTCGCTGGTCGTCAGGCACTTCGCGATCGTGAGGCGAACCACTTCCTCTAAGTTCAACTTCCCGGAGTCCAGCGCCTGGATGGTCCGCGCGATCCGCGACGGGCTGCGCGCGTCGTGGCGGAGGTGCTTTCCCTGCTTGCGGTCCAGGTCGCGGAACGACGTTTGCCGCGTGGCAGCTAGAGGGCCGCGATTCTGGCCCGTGAAATTGTCTATCGGCTTCAAGTCCACTACTACGTCCCGCGGATCGCCGAACTCGTCCGCAATCACGAACCGTGCGTGCTGCGCCAGGGTGGTGATCTTCTCCTGTTGCTTCGCCGCGAGGGAGGAAAGCGCAGCTTCGTCGCCGGTTATTTGCAGTAGAGATGAGGTCGTTGTTGCAGCTGATGATGTTGAAGAGAGATTTGTTCCAGCTTTCGGCGGCTGCTTGAACCCCCTCGAACAGGACAGCAATTTCGCGATTTTCGCATTGCTGTCCCTGAACTGCTCGTCGAGACTGCTGGTAAAAACAGAACTTCTTGTTATTGGGAGAAACAAGCCCTCCGGAAACAGCTGCTTTTCCATCACCTCCACAAGGTCCGCAGTGGCTTCGCGCAACGCCACCTCCACTTGCTCATCGTGGAAGAGCAGGGCCTTGTTTTTCGCAAGAAACTTCCCGTCCACGGCGTTGTAGCTGTTGGACGGCGACATGCTGCGGACCCGGGTGCGGGGGTTGAACAATTTTCGCCGCGGGGAAATCAGCTCCGAATTCTGCAAGAACTCGGATTCCGTTAGCCAGGCCCGCTGCTTGTCCGCCACGTTCGCCAGGTCTGCCGCAGGCTTGCCGCCCTCCAACGCCAAAGCGCGCATCAGCTCCGCCTCCGCGGTCAGACGCCGGTGCTTGTCGAGCAGCGACTCGCTGGGGTCCACCAACACCGTGGACTTTTTCCCGGTCTTCGTCTCCGTGGCAGTCAGATTCACAATCTCCACCTGCTTCACCAGTCTCGGCTGCGACTTCGGGGGACTGTGGTGCTGCGACGCCAGCCAGCGGGACGCGAGCTTGGTTTGCTTCTGGTCCTGCATTCTTCTCGTCTGCTTCGACCCTGGATTGGAAAACGATCTCCGCATGCCCCCCTTGAGGCCGGGTTCTTTCTCATTTTTGCTCGACGCGAGATCAACTTCCTCGCCCGCAAAGTGCATTTGCTCCCCCGCAGACAGCATGTCGCGGTCGTGGTCGGGCATCATCTCCCCGGCGGATTGCATCAGCGCGTCAGACTCCGCACCACCCTCCAAGATATCGTTCATTACTCCCGCGGATGATAAAGATGCTGCAGGAGCAATCCGAACTCCTTTCCCGGCCGCTTTTGCGTCGGTTCCCGGCCTTGTGACACGCAGGCTGCTCGTGATGGAGTGGTTGGACTGGCTGCCGGAATTGGCCTTCATGCGCTGAAGCGGGTGTGTCGTAATAGCGCGGCGCTTCGCGGTGTGTGCGATGACCTCCTTGCTGCTGGTGAGCTCCAAGTCCTTAAATCCGGCCGACTTCGCCGCGGCCTCCCGGGTCTGCTTCACGGACACGTCATAGGCGTCCGCAAGGAAGGGGATCTTTTCCCGCGCTACCAGGTACCGCTGTTCGAAGTCCCTCACCAGTTCTTTCAACTCCTGGGCACTCAACGCAGTCACCGGCGATGATGTCGTGGCTTCCTTCTTCTTGACCACCATGCCATTTTTGCTGTCTTTGGAAAACGCCTTGTTGTACACCCGGGTCTCCGCGAAAGCCACCAACTCCGCAACCTCGTGGCTCTTCGCCGTCTCGTCGGCATCCTCCCTGTCCAGGACGGTTTCCAAAATTTTCCGGTCCGGCTGTACCCGCTCGAGCACGTCCAGCTTGTGCCAGTGCGGCTGCCACGGCTGCTTTTGCTTCACCTTCTTGCCACGGCCTGCGGGTGAAAATCTCGCTGGGATGTCGTCTACCTCCGCAAGAGTTTTACTATTAACCCGGGCTGCTGCGCCAGAGGCGGTCGTGTCATCAACGCCAACATCTATTACTTTCGCTTGTTCTTCGCGCTCCCGTCGCGTCGCCTCGGCTTTCAACAGATCCACCTGCTCCTTCAAAAACGTGACCTGGTTGGCGACAGTGTCGAGGTTCTGCAGTTTGCGATGCAGTTCCATCCCGGTCCCGTTGGTCGTCTGCGCGACCCGCTCCCGCGCCAGCCGCAAGAGCCGGTCCCACAAAACGTCCCTCGCGATGACCAGCTGCACGCGGCGGACCTGTTTGATCAAGTGCTGATCGTGCAGGTTCTGAATGTGGGCGTAGTCGACCCTCTTTCGTGCCCCGGTTTGCGGATCAAAGGTCGCCAGCTCGGCTTCGAAACACGCGGCCGGGCCGAGCGCGTAGTGCTCTTTTTTTTCTTTCTGCTTCAGAATCGACCGCGGCAGCGAGCTCACGGACATGGCGCCGCCCTCGGTCGTGCACTTTTCGATGAGCTGGTCCGTGCGCAGGTGGAGCCGCTCGAAGGTGGAAGACTGTTCCCGGACCTTTTTCATGGCGGGCCCGCAGTGCTTGTCGTACTGCCGGTTGACCTTGTTCCGCACGTGGGCGCCAGCGCGCCGCATGTCCATTTGCAGATCGTAATCCTCTTCCTTCTTCCGCCGATCGATCGCCTTCTTCCGGACGGTCGCGTTCTGGTACAGCACGTCAAACACCGTGGAATCCTTGTTGTATTTTCGCTTGGGAGCCACGGTGCTCGCGTTGGTCTCGATGTCGAGAGCGACCCGCTCCCGCGCTGCGCGGAGGGAGGTCGCCTCCTCTGCGGCCTTCGCTGCTTTTCGCTGCTCCTGGGTCTCGAGTCGTTGCATCGCATCCTCGTACAGCGACTCAAACCGATCGTCCAGCTGATCCGCGGACACGCGCGCCTTCAGCTCCTCTTCCTTTTTCCAGAAAACCCCCAGCTCCTTTTCCAAATGCTGCTTCTCCCGCTCCTCACGCTCGCGCGACCGCTCGCGGAGGCTGCGCTCGCGCTCGCCGAGCACGGTCTGCAGCCAGATCTGCAGCTCCTTGGGGCTGCGCTGGAAGGGAGAGCTGGGCCCCGCCTCCCCGTGTCGGCCGTGGAAGTGCTCCTCGTTGCGATCGTGCAACTTTTGCTGTGCGGCCTTGATCCGCTCATCGGCCTCCGCGATTTGCTTTGCCTGCCGCTCCGCAAGCTTCCGCTTCCGATAGTTCACCTCGTGGTCCAGCCGGTCATGGAAGCCCACGGCCGACAGACTCCGGCTCGCGCGCGGCCTCTCCACCGGCGGGGCGTGTGGGCGCACCATGTGGTGGTAGTACTGCACCGCCTTTTTCCGGTCAAGCGCCCGCTGCTTCTGCTCGTCTAGCAGCGGCTTCTGGAACTCCAGTTTCCGGTACTCGAGTTCCTCCTGCCGGTGGTGCAACGCGCCATCGTAGAGGCGTTTCGTGATCTCGGCCACCTCCTCCTTGTTCCGCCGCGACAACTGGCTGACCAGCTTCTTGCTGTCCTCCAGGCCGGGGAGGCCCGTGCTGGAGCTTTGCTGCTCGGGCGAGAGCAGCCGCTTTCTGTTCTTGTGCTGCAGCAGCAAGCGGAGCCTACCGTGCTCCCGCTCCGTCTGGGTTTCCAGCTCCTGCTGCTCCCGCTTGCTCCGCTTATCTTCCTCATATGCCTGGTGCTTTTCGTACAGATGCTGGCTGTAGGCCTCGGCGCGCTGCTTCCGGTTCCTCGCGCGCGCGTTCCGAATCGCGCCAAGCTGCCCCGGGCGAACCCCGGGAGAGTACTGCAAAAAGTTCTCCCGCAGTGCCGCTGGCTCGAGACTCTGGCTTCTCTTCTTGTCGCCACTGTTCATCACGAGCACGCTTGTCCCTACCATCGTCGGCACATCGCTCGACGCGCTGCTGCTACGCGCGGAATAGACTGATGGTGTTTCAGGCTGGGCTTGGGCGCCCGCCGCGCGCGTACCCAGTTTTGACGCCGCCTGTTGGGAGGTTTGACCCGTCGCAGTGAGCGAACTGCTGCTCAGCGGAGGGGTCTTTGACTGCGTGACTTTCGGCGGCGGCCTGCCGCCAGTCGGCCCGCGCTTATCCTTGTTTCCCGTCGCCAAGTACAGCGACCGCAAGGTGGAATGCTCGGAAGGATTGGATGTCACTTCCGTTCTCGTCGTATCCTGTGGGGTGCTGCTTTGCTCATTCGCGTCCGAAGATCCTGCACGGGCGCTCCCGGCGTCAGGCGCCTGTCCAGCTGCAGCTGCTGCAGATGTTCCTGCGGACGCGGTCACACTCGTATCCACAGCACTTGCGCTTGCGGTGGCCTCGCTTCCTGCCAGATGATTGGCGTCGACCGGCTCAGGAGGCCCCAGCTCGTCGGACTCCGATGCTAGCTCGGCAATGTTTTCGATATCCATGGGCAGGATCGACCCCTCCGCCCGCACGGCTCTGCTCTCGGTGGACGAGGTTGGGGCCGCCGGTGGATTTAGAAAAGCAGCGTCGTCCACCGTTTCCGCCCGGTCCGGATTTGCCTTTTCCTTCGCTTCCTTGGTACTCGCCACGCTGTTGCGCGCACCCTCGTCGTGGCTGGATAAATTCGCCTCGCTCGTGCTATCGTTCAAGTTCATACTACTCCCGTGGTCGCTGCTTTCGTTCAGGTCCATGAACACGAAGGGTAGCATCACCTTCGCATTTTTCGTGGTCTGCACGAACGGCTTACTTGTGAGACTCAGTTTTTTCAGATCCCGTCTTCGTCTTTTCAAGGCCGCTAGATCCAGCCCGGGAACCGCCGGGACGGACGAACTTGGTATGGTGCTGGGCGGTTTCCTGTTGGATCCGGAAGGCTGCGACGCACTCGGTGCAACGGGCGGGCTACAGCTGCAGTTGGTTCGTTGACGATCATTTTTGACGACCACGGTTCTTTGTGGTTCGAACGTAGTAGTATCGACTGCCCGCAGCTCTTGCAGCTCGTTGCGCTGCAGATCGCATTCGGCACTCGCAACAATAGTTTTGCAGCTCGCGTCTGGTGACTGATTCTGGTCAACAGCATCTCTATCCAACAGCAAATCGTCCAATGTGATCGGTAGCACTTTGGCCCGCAGCATCTGCGAAGTTGATCTCGATCGCGTTGCGTGGCTCCTCTTCTGCGCGGAAGCTGTGAAGGAACTATCCGGCGAAGTACTTCGGCGCGCCTCTGTGGTTTGGCCGACGGTCGGACCAACAGGCGCGGTTCGTGCAGATATGCGCTCCTGGGCTTCCTTCGCAACGGCTTTGGCGCGCGCCAGCGTCTCCGCTAGACGTGCGGCGATAAAATCCTCCATGGCCCGATATTCAGTGCGGCCGGGTGCTGAATTTCACAACTGGTATATTTCTTGGGAATTTTGACCTCTTACAAACAACGAACAACTTGTGGTTATTTTCTAAATCTGGACACAATCTAGACATAGGCACTGCGGGATACGCAGTGACGGGATAAACGAGAGGAAAAGTTTCGGGGCATCCTTAATACTGTTTATGTCGGATAGAGAGGATAAGGATGGCGTTCTTCGTACACACATATTTTGGAAACTTACCGTCGACCTTGCATGCGTGTGTATGAACAGTATGCACGAAATGGACGAAAAAAAATCAAGAAGGACTACAATGCCTGAACGACTGCTAGACTGCGTGCAACGAACCGGCGATGACGATGAAAACAAGCGCCATTTTTTTAGGACGGACCGAGAAGCTTTGGGGAACGCACCGACAATATGCGACGACGAGAAAACTTTTTCTCATATTCTTTTTTTGAACGTCAGAGTAGGCAGAGGTGCACGAATCGATCCAGGTGTATGACCGATTGACGGCCGCGCCTCTCACCGCAATGTAGAAATTATCAATGCAAGCGCATACAAGAAACGAAAACACTAGAGCGGGCGAACAAGACATAAGGCCAACTTTTCTGACGACGCCTCGCTTGCATCATGAGCACACGTTTCTTCCTACAAGACGCAGCAAGACGGCGTATTCTCTTCTTTGCAGCAGAAGCAGCAAAAAATTTCGCGGACACGACAAACGACCACGAACCGCCGAAATTGCGCTTCGTCGAGGCTTGCGAGCTCTGGAATCAGGTGTTTATCTTTGGCAAGCTCTGCAGCTAAGGTTCTGAACCATAAATCAGGTCGGCACGACGTTTTGCATTTTCCAAGTACATTCGCAAATAACGACGACCTGTTCGTCCCCTCCCCGATCCACGCCGTGCGCACGCTACGCCGATTTGGAGTTTCCGACTGCATTGGGGGCGAGATGACCGCGGACGTCGACCCGTTAATAAGATAAAGTGATGAACGCGGGGAAGCAGGACTGTTTGCGTTAGAGTTTGATTCTGTTGTTTGAAGAGTGCTGCAAGCAGCAGACACAGTCGAGACGCTCGCACTCCACTCCGTTCTGCTACCTGCAAGTGAAACTCGAGTACTGGGTGTGGAGGGTGTAGCTGTACGGCTTTCCTCTGCAAGTCGTTCTCCGCGGTCGTCTTCCATAAATTGCTGCTCTCCAGTATCCACGTCCATGTCCTCAGCCGCTGCCACACTGCTTGAAAAGACCGAGGAGCCACCAGCTCCAGACATATCATCCGTAGCACGAAGGCCGTCAGCGTGGCTGCTACCTTGCCAAGACCGAGCTTCTGCGTCTTGCTCTTGCATCACAGCACGAGCACCCCTATGATCTTCATGATTTTCGCAACAATACAAGTCCGCGGGTTCACGCGCGTGGTATCCACGTCTTTGCCGCTGCAAGAACCGAAGAGCACGGTAGAAGTACATGGGGTAGCAACAATCCACGGCAAAATTAACGAAAACCAGAACGTGGGGCGTGATGTGCGCGACACAACGCGTCAACCAGGGGTTGGGAAACTCCTCTGAGCTTTCCTCCTCCGGTTCTTTGACCACCGTGCCCTGGTGTATCCTGCTAAGTTCATCCAACAAGCCAGTGGAGGTGCAAAGCAAATCCAGAAGGGCCTGAATGGAGATAACCACTGCGTGTTTTGCGACTTGCTTGAACGCCAGCTCGCATGTATCTCGCGAAAAGTCCGCTATCCGGTTTGCGGAAATCACATCAAGTTGCCGCTGCCGCTCGAAGTCAGTCGTCATCGTATGCTGTAGTGGTGGAGGACGACCACCGTCGCCGTCCCGCCCCCTTACCAACGTCCGGGCGCTGGACAGAATCGAAGGCGCTGCAGAATCGACGGGAGATCCGCTTGGGAGGATCGAAGTTACCGGTGTGTGTTGGCTACTACATTGCAAGGAACTAAAGCTAGCACTCTGGTGCGGCAAGAAAATCCTGGGACGGCCGAGCTGATGCGCCGGAGGGGCGCTCCCGCCGGGCGCCTGCGTCCAGAAGCCGTTGCGCCGCGCATTCGAAGATCCGGCATTGAGCTGCACTGCATCCGCGAGCGTGCGCGCAGACGCGGCCAGAAGGCTCAGACAAAGTCGCAATGAAGACATTTGTTTATCACTTAAGGTGGACCGCGAAAAGAAAAAGTAAGGACGCTTACACACATGGCACCATCGGCCCGTGTCATTCTTCGAAATCGAACGTAACTTGTAATACACAGGATGGTTGTGCAAATTGAAATTCAGTATTCACGATCCCGTGATCCTCTAAATAAACATTTCCCTGCAACCCGGAACATGATCAGCTGAGCTGAAATAGAAAACTTTTCCTATTCCCAATGGTTGTAGACCCACTGTTTCGCGACTGTGTGAGTGTGCTAGTGCTTGTAGCGTGCAACACAAAAAAGCGTCGATTCATACATTAGTGTTACATCAGTTTGCCGGTTCGGCAAAAAAGGCCTTTTAATCCCTCGCGTCAATTTTCCCAGTTTTTGCAGCGATGTCGGCGATGACAAAAAGCAGCCTCCAGGCCAAATTTTGCAAGCTGTAATCTTTGCTCAAACCCACCACCTTCCGCCGAAGTTTTCTCTTGTCCGCGATCGAAAACTTGTTAAGATACAAGTCGACCTTCTCAAGGGCTTCCGGAACCGATGAGGCGAGCAAGGGATATTCTTTCCCGTCCAATGGAGATGAAGACGATGAAGCAGATGGCGCTTCTCTACTTGGCTCCGCTACCTCCGTCGTCCCTTGCTGCATTTCCTCTTCCTCTTCCTCGTTCCACCCCTCCAGAACGTCCATGGGTCCCGTTTCTCGGAACACGACCGCGGGAATGCCGACCGCGAAGTGGTTCAGCAGTCGCTGCCCGGTCTTGTAGCGCGTGCAGAAGAACTGCTTCGACAGAAAGGTGTTGTTGCTCGCCTGCCGGGACTCCCCGGCGTCGCAGTTCTGGTTGGTGCGCATGGCCGTGAAGTCGAACGTTTGGAAGGTCTTGTACACGATTTTGGTCTGCTGCGGGCTCAGAATGTGGCCGCCGGTGAACACAAACTGCCCGTTGGGATCGATGTGCTGGAAGGTCGCGTTCGTGTGGGCGGTCAGGAACTTCTGGATCTCGTCGAACAGCCCCTTGTCGTAATGGGTGCTGTGCACCCCGAACGTTTGCTTCGGGTTGTCTTCCCCGGGCTCCGCGTTGCGCAAATCATGGAAGTTGCTGTGGTGGAGTGGGAGCCAGTAGAACCCAGCGAAGCCCTTCTCCCTTACGTGTACTTCTACGGAGGACGGTGATGATGAACCGAAGTTGATCGGGATAATTGCTGGCGGTGCTTGCGAGACCACTTTCTGGGGCTCCGCGGCTGGAGCGGGCAGGTACCGGCTGCCGGGTGCCCCCGCGCGGTCGAGGTGTTTTATCGGCCAGACCTCTTTCAGGCCTTCTTCCTGTTGTGCCGGATGCGACGTAGACGTCGCTCCACAGTGCTGCTTGTTCGCGGAAAAGAGCCTTGTCGCGGACAGAATCTCGCCAAACCACCGTTGGTCCAAGTACCTGCGCACGGTCTCGCTTTTCACCACCAAGTCCCGCAGCGCTGCCCAAATCTTCTCCAAGAGCTCGCAGAATTGGTACGCGCCGTCCGTTTCTTGAATCGTGACGGCGTGTAGCAAGGCGGCGGAGAACGCCTCCACGGCAAAGTTTATTTCTTCTTGGTCTAAAAGCGCGTCGCCCACTTCCTGGTCCGCCCGCTCTTCCGACGACGCGGCGGACACGAATACCCGGTCGGAGTGGAGAGTTCGCTCGATGGTCTCGTCCTCACCGAGCGCACTTTTTTTCCCGTCTCCCGACAGGGTCGGATGCGCGAGCATGTCTCTGCTCGCGAGCGACGTCTGTAGCAGCACCGCCGAAAACCCCATTCGCTCGAGCATCACCCAGTCCTGCAGCAACAAATCGATCGGATCCAAGATGTGAATCGTCTCCCGTAGGCTGAGGTGCTCGAACAAGCATTTGCAGGGGATCTTCACGTGCACCACCACATTCGGGTCCTGAAACAAAACCGGCATTTCCGGCATGGGCGGCATTCTCGCGGTCTTCTTTTCCTCCTCGGACAGTGCGAGGTACCAGTTGACCTGCAGCACTCCGTCCTTGTACTCTTTCACATCCTTGTCGTTCTGCTCGTGCGCCTGCTTCAGGTGGTCACAGTACTGGGTGCATTCAAAGTTCCACGCTCTTGCCTTGACCCTACCAAACTTGCGCAGGCCCCGGGCGACCTGGCGACCCCGGACGGTAAAGGAACCGTACCCGGCGCCGGCTTTTGATCCTGCCACGAAAACCACATCCAGCTTGGGTAACACGGTGCAAAGGTAGCTCTGATTGTGCTCGAGTTCTTTGCCGCGCAGCAACAGCCCCTTCAGATTGTCCTGCACTTCCTGCAGGTGCCTCAGCCGTACAGCGAAGCTCCCTGGATCTTTCGCCGCCAATGGTGAACCGCCGTGGTTGTGCACAGGTTCATCCGGGGGGTCTGAAAAGGTCTCGTGCACTGCGGCAACGGCCCGCAAAATTTTTTGTTTCCACAAATGCTGAGAACTCTCTTCACTAGTACCTTCATGTGCAGCGGTCGTCTGACGAGTAGACACACCAGGTCGGACCTTCGCAAACGGATAAGTCCCTTCGCGGTTCCAGCGCGCTTGAAACATGGACCATTCGAGAAACCGGTGGGGCAGAAAATTTTCTTCATTTTTCCTGCAGGTCTCATGGTCCGTGTTGGAGCGAATGCCTGGAAAGTCCTTCCCACTCATGAAAATTTGGTTCTGCTTGAGTGCGCGCAGCAGCTGTTCTTTGCGGTCGTACCGGCCCGGAAACTGAAACACCTGCTGCTCCTCGAACCAGCTGGCCAGGAACCGCAAAATAGGCCATCGTGTCGTCAGCAAATCGTAGAAAAAACGGCGGTCGTACCCGGACCGGTCCGTGGCGAACGCGTCCCAGGACTTAAGCAAGTCGAACGCGAGGAACACCCACGCCTGCCGATCTTTCAGGTCGACCTCCTTGTAGGCGCCAACGAAGGCCGCGGCCGCTTGCGCGAAGGGGCAGTTCCGCGGGTCGTTGAGTAGAGACTCCGCGTCCACGGAGATCTTTGCGCGGTAGGTGGGATTCCCTTGTCTCGAACGAACCAGCACCTTCTCCAAGTCAAGTAAAGGCGGGAGCTGTGCGCGACTGCTAGTGGCGGTACTGTCTGCTGTCGGAGATGTTGTTGATGACTCCGAACTGAACGCCCTTCCTTGAAAGTCCTTTGCCTGCGCTACCTCCGTGGGCGGCCGTCGCTGCGTGACTTCTGCGGTAGTTGTACTACTATCGGTCGTTAACACATCTCCCTGGTTACTCTTTCCCCACTGTTTCACGGCCTCCTCGAATTTCAGGACGCGGTCCGGATTCACCAGCGGGATGTGATGCTCTTTTTCCACGCCGACATAAACGCCTTTCGTGTAGTTGGTGAAGAACTCCAACAAGTTGGAATTTTTCGCCACGTCGGAGTCCGTATCCAGCAAGTCGCACTGGTTCGGCAAGTGCGGCAGCATGTTCGCTGTGACCACTTCGGAGATGTCATTGAACAGCACAAAGACTGGCCATCCGGACTGCATCACGAGCGACGAGTACGCGTGCAAGTTGCTACCCGCCTTCCGCGCGGTCTTTTCGCTCGCCGACCGGGTCTCTCCCGCTGCACTCGTGCCCTGCATGTAATCTTGAATCGTGTGCGAGCCTGGGTAAGTTGCAGAGGGTGGCGAGGATCCTTCGGCGGCTTCTCCCGGAGAAGTACCAGCTTGAGTGTTGGACATTAGACTGCCCTGCTCTAGTACTTCCTCGTCTCCACCGCCCTGCAGTTGCTGCCAGTGTTCCTTTCCCCGGTTCCACTCGAAGGCAGCCTGCTCCTTCGTCGAAAACTTTTGCGAAGTTGTGTCTGGTGACGCCGCCACCTCTGTTGCAGCGTCAGCATTTCGTCCAGCGGAAATACCAGTTGCGTTGAAAACGTCCCCGGAGTAGACGCTGGCGCGGTACTTTTGCTCCTCTGAATGTTCACTGTCATAGTCGTGGATCGCCTTGCCCATTTCGACCTTGCTGTCCCCAAACTCCTGCCGGACCTCACTGTCGGCGTCGCCGTAAAAGATCAACCCTTCCAGGTAGAGCAGGACGTTTTTCAGTTTGTTGAAAAAGTCGTCCGGCGTTTCCGCGCACAAGGTGTCGAGGAGGAAGAAGGACACCGTGCCCAGGTAGCAGTCGTCGCGAACACCCGTGTACGGAAAGTTTCCCTGCGGGTGTTCCAGGGACTGTTCTGTCAGAATTATATGCGGAGTGGTTTGATGTTCTGACACTTTCTGGCCTGCTCAGCTGACTCGACGTAACAAGCTAGCAGCAAACACACACACGCTGGCTGCACCGGATGTTTTATAGTTAGAGTGCTACGCAGGAAGAGGAACAAATACAAAACAACAAGCGAATATCATTAGAGACCAAAACTATACCAACCTAGTATCGTGATCAAGTTCCATTTTGCCGGATCGCGGACTAGTTTTTCGCACTGCCACTTCCGGTCGGGCACGAGCAAAAACCTCCTTAGGACCCGCCAGTCTATGCCATTACTGACGTCGTCGCAGCCCTCCGCACCCAATTCGTAGTCCGAGAACTGCGAGAGCTCGTACTGTCCCCAATGGAAGCTCATTCGGTGGTCTGGCGCGGCGCCCGCGTTGATTTCGTACGCGGTCTTACCAAACTGAAGCCACTGGTTGTAAGGGTTCTGCAGCTTTTCCAGATCCTCCCTTCGCGGCCACTGGTCGGCCTGTACGATGGTGTCTGCCGTGGTTCCGTCGCTTTGCACGACCTCGGTCTTGAACACTTCGAGTGTGATCGGGTCCGCGTGGCTGTTTCCGCAGTAGCGCCACAGCTCTAAAGCGAAGTTCTCGTTTCTGGACAACAACGGGCGCTCCCTCATTTGCAAAGCGTTCATGCCGTGCGCACGCGGCGAAGACGAGCGGGCCGAGCTCCGGGGAGCAGCGGCGAGCGCCCCCGGGTTTGTCGTGTCCACTGGCCGTGAAGACCGGTCGCATCTCGTGTCGTATTACAATGAAAAATGCCCCCACCCCCGAACTTGGGAGCATTTCTATGGCAAACCTTTCCAACAGAGACATTCCCTGTCTTGCATATCTCAGCATCACAAATTTTCCATGCTGAATAGGTCAAATTTATTGTGTTGCGAAGTAGCCCAACAGCAGCCGGATCTGTTATGCACAAGGCACCTTGCGCACCCAGATTCTGCATCAGAAACGCTCGCAATCCTTTTATGCAAGACAAAAAGCTTTCATTTGGAAACTTTGTATGACAAACTTCTGCAAATTCCGGGGTGGGGGCATTTTTCACTGTAATATGTCGATCCACAGGTTTTCCAGATCCTCCAGTGATTTCTCCAGCAAGTACGCCCGCTGCCGGCAGGTCCCATGAAAGTTCACGCGGCATTCCAAGGCTTGAGCGGTTCGCGCGTCCAGCAGTGAAGCGAACAGCAGAGCGAAGCAATGGAGCAGACACCAAGTGGTATCGTAGCGAAATAAAGGTGCCGCGCGGACAGGCATTATTCTGATTTAGATCTTCCGTCCCCCGCGAATTCCTACCTGACCTGATCGGTTATGGATCCATTGCAGTCTCACGAAAGAAGATGAAGCGCTTCAGTAAAGTGTAGTTCGTCAGCAGTTCGCGGAAAAGCGGTCGTGTTGAGATTCAATTGCTAACTTAGAAAAATCGTGCGAAGCTTCAACGACTAAATCGTACGTAAAACGTGCTACGGAATAGCAATAGCCGCACCGCTAATCTGCGGCAAACCTTAAGGAGGCTCACTAAAGACTAAATGCAAATGATCACAAAACCGTGCGTAAGAACAGCAAAAAAAACCAAATCGTGCACACGAGTTGAGATCAAGAATCGGGCGTCTCACGCCGCGTACAGCTGCACTTAGTAGTGCGCACTACTTTCGGACCCAAGAGCAGTGGCTGCGGTTGGTTCATGTGCAAGATTGTCCAACAAGACGTACGACCTGTTTTCTTGCTCGAAAGATCAAGATCTTCCGTTCTTAAATGATAAAGACTGATCTTGTTTACCAACAGAGAGATGCGCGGCAGTAGCAAAACCAAAAAACATTCGACAAAAACACCACACCGGATCTTGTCAGCAAGAACACGTCAACAATGAAAAGTCCATCCAAGAGAAATTGTGCACAGAGTCTCCTAGTCTTGATCACCACTGTCCAAAAATTACACGCAGAAACACCAGCGCAGTGGAAACGAAAACAAGATCACAAGTTAATGAAGATGAAGTTCACTGAAACAGAAGCTCTCTATACGTACACTTTTTCTGGTCCGCAACCCGACGACGCCTTGGATGTAACTAGCAAACATTGTCGTCGTCCCTACGTGCACGGCCAACGGTAGTTGTGAAACCGCCGCATTGACACGCATGGCAACGTCGTCTAGGTCGGGCGAACGATCGTCGCAATTTGATTGGAGCGAATAACTTTTGAAAAGGAGCACGGTAAAGCAGTCTTAAATTTTTCGACCACGACCAGGAAAGATGAATGAGAATCGCAGCAGCAAAATTGGACTATGCAAAATGCGTGCGAGAAGAACTCAGAAAGTTGGACCGCTCTCACGGTCACACACCGGTAGCACAAAGAATGGACCTATTCATTACCACCAACCTGCGGAAAAGTGGGGCTTGTATTTGTAGACCAACCGGCGGAAATCGCGAAATGCCAGATCGTGTGCCTGGTCGTGCGTTGCGAGTTGGAGTTCCAGCAGATCCAATGCGCTCGTGTCGTGCAGCAGCGCATCCATGATGGCGGCCTTTAAGAATTCCGGCGACACCCTTAATTTGTAAAACTCTTTCGTGTGCGCGGACGGCACCTGTGCAGATTGGGAATTTACTCGCAGGATATTAAACACAGCAAGCTGCTTTTTTTTTCATATGTGGGAGACCGAGAAGCAAGCTCACTTTACAAAAGCATTTGGCTGAAAAAGCTAAGCTGTACTTTGGGCAGGCCCCAGGGGTAGAGACGGTAATCCACGGGTTGCTTCCCATCATCGCTGAGGACCGTGTTGTACATTCGATCCGCCCCCGCCTCGGGGATCCGCCCGAACAGCGACCAGAAGGAAAACGCGCGCGCGATGCTGTCTTCCGTGTTCCTGATTTTTGCGTTCCAAAACACCTGCCGGCGGCGGTCGTCCTCCAGCGGCGCGGCGAGGAGGTCTAGGCTGGAGCTGCCCTTCGAGGACGAGAGCATCTTCGTGAGCTTGGCCAGGTGCGGGTACGCTTCCTCCTGCCCCGACGCTGAGGTCTCCTCGTCCGTGGCAAAATCGTCTTCTCCTTCTTCATCGCTGGATGAGGATTGCGCACTTTCACCGTCCCCGCGCGCTTTCGTGGTGCACAGCCCAAAAAGCCAGGTGTGCAGCGTTTGCGACAGGTTTACGGCACCCGTAGTCCTCTCCGAAGCAGCAGCAATACCAGTATTGTCGTGCGCTGGCGCGAGTGGCATCGACGTGCCTCGGTCCGCGGAAACGGGGTGCTGTTCTGGAGAAACACTACCGCTGACCGCTACCGCGTCGCGGCTCCCTGCTTCCAGATCTGCAGCCGTCGCAATGGTGGACGCGGACTGCTTACTTGTGGCACGCGAGGACTCCATCTTTCTTCGCGCCTCCTGCCGGTCGTGGTGTTTTTTCCGGCGGAAACTTTTTTCGTCGGTGTAATACGCACTCGCTGCCAGTCCGCGCGGCCAGTGCAGCTGCCGACCGTAGCAGGTGCCGCCGGTGATGTGGTAGACGAAAACTTCGTGCCCGCCGTGCCAGCTTTGCGGGACGATCGGTGGTTTACCTGATAGTACGGTTTGCGAGGCAAAATTTTCCTGTGCTCAGACGTGCGATTGCAAGGATTCGACTTCGACAAGAGCACAACGTTGCTTAAAAGCATTTTCAAACTTAACGCAAAAGTAGTAGTTCTTTTATACAATGCAACGACTGTTCATGCGCCAGGTCCATGTGCTCGCGCACGAGAAACAGCTCCCGACTGGAAAAAACCACTGCGCCCTTTTTGGCAAATCCGTCTAGCAGGTGGGCAATGCGCGTCGTGAGCGTTTTGGGGAAGCACATATTGGATATCCAGATCACGTCCGCAGCAGCGATGGCGGCGACGGAATCCTTGATCGCATCGCCCTCCTGCAGGAGCACCTGCTGCTCGAGTAGCTGCGCTTCGGAGCTTGGTTCTGGCTCAGCGTGAACGACCGGCGGAACAAGCAGACCGGCGCCGGGGGAAGCGGACAGCTTGCGAGAGGAGCGACGACGCTTGTTAGAGGAAGTGGCGGCGGGGTCGCGCGTCATCCGGTGCAGTGCGAGCTCGGCGATGGCGTGCCGCTGGTGCGAGAGCTCGATCCCGATCGCACGCGAAATGCGAAGGCCGCAGCTCGGGTCCCGGGCCAGAATGCTCGCAGCGATTGGCCCTTTGCCGATGCCGCTGCCGAGGTCCAGGAAAACGCAGTCGCGCGCGCGCGCAGGCGGCAACAGCGCGGCGCTGCACGTCAGCATGCTTTTCACCCCCTCCGATAGTATTTCCCCGTAGGTCATCTGCCCTCCTTCCGCTTCGCCCGAGGTGAACCCGGTCGGGACCTGGCGTGCGAAGAACGCATCGAGTTCCGGAACGGAGGACGGAATGCAGCAGGACATTTTTCTCACTAGATGCGATTACTTCTCCACTATGCAAAGACACTACCACGTCGAGTTTCAGCTATGTTCGAGAAGATTAGACTGCGTGCAAATCGTGACAAGCAGGATGACAATACGCTCCGAACAGCACGCTCTCTCGTCCCGCCGATGAGCGAAAATTACCCTCGCGATCTGTTTAACGAGTACCAGAGCGAAACGAACGCACCGGGGTGCTACCACGGCGAGTGAGTCACTGATAAGGCGGCCACGACCCTCGTCGATGCGCGCACGGCGTAGCGCCAACTTTCATCGGCGCACGCAGTAGGCCAAGGCCCGCACGTAGTAGGCCCGGGATCGAAAAGGGAATACTACCCGGGGGCCGCGGTCTTGCCGCGCCGCCCCAGTGCGCGCCGCCAAAAAAGCTAGGCGCGCCGGGGAAGACAGAAGCGGGGCGATGCTTCGCCGGGGAAGCTCGGATCGGCCCGCGGCAAAGGCGCAAAAAGATCGGCAACGCCCCCCGCGGCACTACTTTTCCACGGACCGGGGCGGGTGGCCGCCGCGGCCCACGCGAACTTACGCGGCTGCCGCAGAGGGTTTCCCGGAAATGGGCCGACTGCCGCTCGGGCGGCGCCGATCGGCTTCCGCGAGTAGGAATAGGAGGCGCAAAAAGCGAAGCGTCGCGCCGGGGCACACTATTCCCTGGCGGGCGCCCGCGGCTGGCCACCGCCGCCCAAGCAGCCCACAGGGGCGATTTTATCCGCAATTGCGCCCGTCCTTTCTCGGGCGGCGCCGACCGGTTCCGACCGCTACTCGGGAGGCGCAGAAGCAGGCTCACAGCGCTCGCGAGTGCCTCTCTGCGCCCATCTAATCCGGTCGGTGAACGCGGCGGGCTCCCGCGCGTTTTCAGGAGTTTCGACAGAGCAGCTCGCTCCCGCGGGGGCGCATGCACCGGGCCGCACCGGCGTAAACAAAGGAGCTAGGGCACACCCTCGCATCCGCCGGCGCCTCCGCTCCCCAGGGGCTTGGCAGCAGGGGGGAAGGGGGGCCCTTTCGGAGAGGGTAGGCAGGGGGCAGGCAGGGGGTACGCAGGGGGTAGGCAGGGGGTAAGCAGGGAATAGGCAGGGGGAAGAGGGTATGGGGAGGGTAGAAAGAGGGTATACCTGAGGTGGGACGATGTTGGTGATCGGGGGGGAGGGGAGGTAGGGATAAAGAGGGCAGAATGGTGAGCGTGGAAAATGAGCTGAGAAGTTGCATCCTATCGGTTTCCGCGTTTTTCTTCATTTGGACGCCTGTAATTGGTGAAAATGCAAAGAATAATGCACGTGCTTTGGTTGTATCGCAACAGTATATGTGGATCATCCATATAGGGCAAAAATTTTAAAATTTTCCAAAAATTAAAAAATTTACAAAATTCAGAAAGTTCCCTGATATTCTTCAAGAATCCATGAAAAAACACAGAATAGGAAAGGAAACAAATACGCAAGCTACTTCTCTGGTGTGTTTTTTCTTTGTAACATATTCCGCACATCCAGAACCTCCAGGAAGATTCAAAAATTATAAAAATGCAACTTCAGAAAAATATTGCAAAATTTCTGGAATTCCAGGCTTTTAGGCTGTGCGATTCAAAGCAGCTAAGTGCAATCTCGTAGTATTGCGAGTTTTTATCACATAAATATAGCAAAAAGAAGTGATCCTGGAATTTTTAAAAATTTTCCAAAAAAACAATTTTGAGACTTTGTGCTTGTCTACTTAATTAAAACGAGTACAGTCATCCAGATGTATAGTGTATTGCATATTTATTGGCTGGCAGTACTTTAACGCTCTAACTCCGCGCAAATTCTTCAATTTTTTGCGTTTTGAAAAATTTTCAATTTTTTTGAAATTTTTGAAAGCCGAAAAAAATTTAATGCGTGGATGGCGTTTTGGTATGTGAGGGAGCGCATACGCATGAAATGACTCTCATAGTGATATCGTGGGCCATTCTAATACGGAGAAATCCGCTAAAACAACACTCCGGAATTTTCCAGGTGTTCCATGCCCCCCTAACCCCTTCCTACCCCCTTCCTACCCCCCTTCCTGGAATTTTCCAGGTGTTCCATGTCCCCCATAGCTCCTTCCTACCCCCTTCCTACCCCCCTCCTACCCCCTCCCTACTTCCTCCCTACCCCCTGCCTACCCCCCTCCCTACACCCTCCCTGCCCCTTCCCTACCCCCCTCCCTATCCCTAGCCCCTCCCTGGCCCCTCCCTAGCCCCTCTCTAGCCCCTCCCTAGCACCTCCCTAGTCTCCTCTCGTCTCCCTGCCTTCTCCCGACCCCTTCCCTGCCCTTCCCCCGCCCTAGTTAGCGTGCGGGGCATTCGTGTTTTCTAGCTGCCGCGCGATATATTTGCGGAGGCCCGGCGGCCAAGCCGTAGCTCGCAAGGGCGGGTCGGCTTTGGTGGAACTCCCGCGCGGCGGGCTTCCGCTTCGGCGAGCCGGGTGGCGCCCGCGGGCGGCCATCGGCGGGACGGCGCTTGTGCAAGTTTGCGGGGATGAAGCTGCGTGCGGAAGCGCGGGCTCATATGATGAACGAAATTGCGCGACCGCCGAGAAGCCCGGAGGGGATACGATCTGGCACATCAGTTGCGTACGCCATAGCTGGTCTTCTAAGCTCTAAGATATATGGCGCAATCGTACCTTGCTCGAGCATCGCTGTCTCGCCCGCGTTTATCTTCATCAGAAAAAACAAGCGACTGGAAAAGTGCTTTATTGTTCTGCGAGATAAATGTCGCATCGTGGCGTTTCAAGCCTTGAAGTGGTAAGCCTTCAGTACTGATGCACAAAGCGCGACCTTATGCACGGAAAAGAAAGTAATCGAGCGATGAGAGCGAGAGCATATGTATGACCGAGAGCGCTGGCACCGAGAAGAGGACAGTTCGAGAGCCCAGGAGAGTGAGAGAACTGCGTCGTGACTGTCTTGCATCGTCGGTTGTGATTTTGCTTTGCTTCGACGTATCGAGAGAAGCAACAAGTATCGAAAAAGCGTCCTGGTATTTCTTGTTACACTCCCGGTCTGCTCATATGTATGCATGAGTACCCCTAGCACAGGACTTTCACTTTTTTGCCCCCCCCGGAATCCAAACGTTTGCACGACCCTTGTCGAGTTGAATTCAATATCCTCCCTTAGCGCAAGCTCGATTTTCGCAAACCTTCCACCCCTCTATCCAAAACGGCATTTGAAGTAAGTAAAATTATTCTGCGACAATCCTGGCGACTGGCGCGGCTTCGTTTGTTGCGTATAGAAATAGACCCTACAACCGTGTTGACCAGAAGAGGCTAGCTCATTCTGAATCTTCTTCACCCAATAAAATCTGACAGCAATATTTTTTGTGTGTGTGTGGCGAGAGGCTAAAGATGGACGGCAGGCGGTGAATGACGGTGATCCATCGCCGCGAGGAGAGCGGGGGAAATACGCTGCATGAAAACCCTTCCGGCATATGCCCAAAACAAAATTTTCTCGCAGAGATGTGTTATGTTATGAACGATTGCGCACTTGTGCACGCGAGCTTGCAGCCACAAATCACGGCAAACAAGCTCGCAGCAGCTCGCGTCGGACAGCCAATGCCTGGTCGTTAATCTTTTCGTGGCGTGATGCAATATTAGAAAGAACCACTAGAAGGAATAGACGGCCTCTTCGTGACGTTGGCGATAAAAACAGGTACCTGCTCGTGCCACGTTGCAGCACGCCCACGAAAACTCTCTTGGATATGTATGAGTTGGGGGGTTTTTTGCACCGTATACGGAGCTCCTCGTCCTCTGCGCCTCCCCCTGCGAGAAGATCGCAACATTATGCTGCGGGAACTCCTCATGGTGTTTCCAATCCCGTAACGGCCAAAATAGGAGAACGCGGAGGCTCGGAGTGTGTCAGCGCATTCGACGGAACCGCGACCTCATCAACACTTCATGAAACAGCAAATCGACATTTTCCATCGCCGACTGGAGTGATATCCTCAAACTCTTTTTCGACCAGCGCTGCGAGTTGTCAAGGCGAACGAGGAGCAGAGCGCCCCGCGGGCTCACTTGCGACATGCGATGCACGAACTCTCCGCTCGCTTCGGCGCAAGAACGCGAATTGCAACCCGAGCGGTGGGAGAGCAAACAACCCGCGACCTTCTTCCCAGGTTTCAGGTCCGTCCTTGCGTTCAGAAGGACCTCGGAAAGGGGAGGACGCCGTGGCGGCTTTGCAGTCTTCGGTCGATGATACGAGAAGCGCGAACAAACTCTCGCAGAAGCAAAGCGATTACATCTCCTCGGCGCTGCGTAGGAAACCATCAAATACGCGACAACTTACGCGAGACGACACCGGACGTTTCAGAAGTAAAACATCGCTAATGCAACCCGAAGCGCAGTGCACTTTCCACGCTACGCAGGCAGGGGCAGAAGCGGCGATGAAGCCTGAACAAAAGAGACTAAGGGACGAAGGGTCAATAGTCAGCGGATCCAAATGCAAAAAGAGACCTGTCCAAACTGGTGGAAAAACGCCAACGCCTGCTGCCGCTGCGCACCTGGACGGTGACGCAGAGCCAGGACCTAATCGAAGATGTAAAGACGAAGCGCGACGTGACCGCTTGCGTGTCTCCGCACCGTGGCCAAACTGTAGCCACCGGTGGCGCGACGGCGGAACCAGACCGTCGTCAATACAGCCTGGCAGAGGATTCGAAGCTGCGAGAAACAACCAGACAGTGCATCTTCCGCAAGAAAGTTCCACTCACCTGCTTCGACCGCGCAAGCGCAGAAGAAAGCCCTTTTTCTCTTCGTATCTTGCTGCCGCGGCGGGGCTCCTCGCGGGGGGCAGCAGTTTCTTTACCACGTTCGCGGAGCAGCCAGGGCGGAAAAAGCAGAATCCGGAGCAGCAGGCGACGGTCGACGAAGTATCGTTCGACACAGAAACCAACCAATTGAACCTGAAGGTTAGCCTCGGAAGTAAGAACGCCGACGGTGCAACCTCTTCTGCCGACGAGGAAGAAGGTGGTAAAGCGGCGGCGAAAACCATAATACGCGAGGGCTACTACTACGACCGAGAGAGTGCGAGGAGACGAACCCTGCTGAGCAGCGAAAATGGCGGTGCACCCGGCAAAGACGCAAGCGACCGCGACGGCGTTTACAACGCAATAAAGCGGTACCTCTTTGAGCCTTTTTTCGAAAAGCGCATGCGGCGACAGCTGGTATCCTACGGAACGGGAGGCGGTGCCACCACACTGCCCACCACGAATAACTGGGGCGAAGCAACCTACGCGTTCGTAAACTACGACGGCACCGCGTCGACCAGCATCGTCGCCACAAGTGCCACCGGTACGACCAATCTGTTTGCCGGTGTGCTGATCACGGGGATCAAACTCGAAATCAAGAACGCGGGAGACGACTGGGCACTGACGTCCACCAATATGAAGATCCGTTTCGTGAGTCATGCGGTAACTGCCACCGTCGGCATGACCGTCCCCACGGCATGCAAAGACGGGGCTGCGACTGTTTTGGAGTGCGCCATACTACCCACGGTATGGTGCGCGGGCGGTGGCCTCGGGGGATTTGTTCGCACGTCCACGACGGTAATAGACAAGCTAGACGGAACAACGGGCACCGCAACAACCCTCACCTCAGCAGGGCACGGGTACTGATGATTTCTCCAGGAACAAGATGCGGTTTGCATCTAGATGCTGTTTGCATTTTTTCAGTTTCGTGTTTTCGTTTCGGGTTTTGATGAAATGTCTATCCATGCAGTGTTCTGAGTCAACTTCTTCTCCTTCACAGGCTCACGTTCAAGCAGGGCGGTGTGTTCCAGCTGTGTTGGTCCGTGGACGGGACCTGGGACAATGCACAGCTGTGGCGCGGGTTCTTGCTTGTGAACGGCTATTTCCATACCGGTTTCTGCACGGGGCAGCCCAGTGCTACGTGCATGCTGGACGTGCAGCACAAGTTTCATTGCTTTCTGCTGAAGAACCGCTACAACAATGCGGCCAACAAGTACATCACCTTCGGCACCGCCAACAAGTACCCGTCGAACTGTATCATTGGTGGCGCCACTAGCGTCGTGGCCAACACGCAACTGGCTTACACGGGCAAGACGCAAGACCTCGGCGGCCTGTTTGCAAAGCAGGATGCCACGACAAACCAACAGGGTTTCGAGGGTGACTATACCAATCCGCCAGGGACATCCGTGTTCTATCCGGCCAGTTGGACGGCGGAATACACCTACGCGACCGCCGGCACGTCGCTAGAACAGGCCGCGGCGGCGTCCCCCTGTGGAGGTACGCCGAGCACGAAACTGTGTAAGTACGGTATGGATTGCGCGGCCGGCGAGTATGCGGTGAAGCTGAAGGACGCCACAACGGTCAATTTCGGGCTACCCGCGACAAAAAACAACCTCGCGGGCCCCACATTTGTGCCGTTCACGGTCGGGCTTTGCTGGTGCAGTTTCGGCTCCGGATGCACAAAACCCAGCGTGATAGGGAACTTCGCGAGGTATATGTTGATGATAGAGAGGAGTCCGAGTTCTGTAACATCATGTTGAAACATAGTTTGTTGACGAGGAAGTGTAGTATCATGTGGTCCAAGAATGAGCAGCTCGGTTGTGCTTCGAAAATGACGTCCGGAACACCGGGAATGAATTACTTCTTCGATTGTGAAGATTGGTGTCCCGATTTAATTTCTTTATCAATTCTCTTTCTCAGGTATAAGCAGCAGATCGGGATCGTGAACTTTTATTTGAGCAAGATCTGTCGCAGCAACGACGCGTCCTGCGACCCAGACTACAGTGGCGTCGCCCCGAGCACGTACTTCAAGGTGCGCGTCCAGTGTCCCAAGCACGCGTGCATCCAGAATACGGACAACCGCGTGAAAATCGTGATGCAGCTGCAGACCGTGGACATCGAGACCGACAAGTCGGTTTGGGACGCCAACAACCGGTGTCGCGCGACCGGGCCCGCGCACGGAGTGACCGTGTACCCGACGCCCGGCGGCAAGCCGATTCTGACCAACCCCAGCGACATCACGGCGATGAACGGGGGCGCGGGCAGCGAGGTGAAGGACTTCCCGCCGCTGGCCGGCGGCACGACCACGTACAAGCAGGGGTTCATGTTCAACTACGACTCGGCCTTCTACGAGCGGGTGCAGAAGCACGACCAGATCATGTTCGACATCTGCTACTGCGACTCCGCGTGCACCAGCACCAACGCCGCGGACGCGGACAACTGGTTCAAGGTGGGGCAGCTCCGGTTCGCGGCCTTCCGGTTCGTGTCCGTGGCGTACGCCGCCGCCTCCACGCCGTCCGCGTGGGCGGTCCAGTACATTGAGGAGGGCGGTATCCTCGGGTTCCGGCGCGAGCCCGACGACTACGACGTGATGGGCCTGACCGAGACGGGCATTTTGAAGATCGTCCCGGACCAGGACCTGACCATGGACGACGACAAGTGTCGGACCACGGTGTACGATACCAAGCTGATTCAGTCGGGGCTGAACTCCGAGGCCAACGCCGTCTCCGCCTACCGGGGTACGCGGACCACCGGCGGGGTGTCGGCGGACAAAAACAAGATGATCTTCAACACCGGGTCTTTGACCAACTCGATCACGATCAAGCAGGCGGGTATCGTGGCGGTCTGCTACTGCCAGTGGGCGGCCACCACGGGGTGCAGCGACAACGGGCTGTACTGGGTGCTGGCGGGGCGCACCACCATCAAGGGTCCTTCTGGCGGCGAGCGGTGGGAGTTCTCCACCTACGTGGACTTCAGTCTCACCTACACCGGGTTCGGGCTCGCGCACGAAAACAAGCTGCGTATCATCCACCCCGACGGTTCCTGCACGGACAACGGGGGCAACCCGGACCGCGGCAGCTACGCCTACACGTACTTGTCTCTGGGCTGCCCCAGCAGCTGTACCCAGGTCGGCGACGTGAATTCGGCCGTCAACGGGGACCTGAAGACGCAGGTTTTGTCTTCGGACACGGAGTGCGACCCGCACTTCGAGAACTGCAAGCCGCCGAACGAGATCGAGAAGATCACGGTGATCTCGGACACGGAGACGCAGATCAAGTTTTTCGAGGTGCCCGGGGGCCTGTCGGGGAACCCGCTCGTGGAGGGGGACCAGATCGTCCTCGGCGACAACATCTCTTGCGACCCCACCAGTTACCAGTGCACCCCGGAGAAGCTGGCGTTGCTCAAGGGCAGCTACAACTACGCGGACTACACGGGGAACGACGACCGGGCCACGGACGAGTACATCGTCGCGCACACGGTCAAGCCGGATCCGAACAACGATCCAAAGTTCTGGCGCATCCCGGTCGGGTTTCCGAGGCAGTGCTATCCGAACGCGTGCTCGTCCCCGACCGTGGGCCGCCCCATCTTCAACACGCAGAACGGCGTGAACTACGGCAAATGGCGCCGGGTGAACAAGGCCACAACAAAACTGGAAATCAAGGGCGAGCGCGAAATTCAGAACATGAAGGTATCTAAACTGAATGTTTTTTTTTCACATTTAGATGACTTCACGCTGCTTTTTGATATGTCGTGTCTACTAGCGTGGCGCGTTGCCAGACTCGTTTGCGTCCATTATTTACTTGTTTAGACGAGAGTCAGACTCTTTTTGTCTCCTCAGGTGTGCTGGCACTACGGGTCCAACGTGGGTAAGTACGTGACCGAGGTCGGCAAGCTGACGCTGAAGGCGTCCGACCCGATGTCGGTGGCCGCCGTGCAGATGACCACGAAGCTGTACAACGTGAAGGCGCCCGTGCTGATTTCCTTCAAGACGGCGGGGTCGATGACGGGCAAGAGCTACCAGGCGGCGCAGGGCCCGATGGAGATCAAGTTTCTGTTCAAGGACAACACCAAGTTTGAGGTGTACCAGACGGATTTCGACGCGACCCCCATCGTGGACACCACCACGGAGGACGACCGCGCCGAGGCGACGCAGGCCGTGTGCGGCAAGCTGTTCATCGAGTTGTGGGGCGACGACGTGGACAAGGGCTTTCCGCTCCCGCGGGGGTGCTACTACAAGCGGTACCCGCTGGACCCCAGCGACCCCAACGGGCGGTCCACTCGGGAGCTGTACATCGCCTTCGACGCGAAGAACGGGCTGCAGCCGGAAACGGACTACATGGTGGTCATGAACGGCGAGTTCAAGTGCGACCTCACGCAGAACTTTGGCAACTGCGGGGAGCTGCACGCGGCGCAGAAGGGCGGCGAGTACCTAGAGATCTTCACCAGCGACGACGTCAGCGTGAATCCCTACCGCGCGATCGAGCGCGGGATTGCGGCGCTCAACCGGCAGCCGGTCAAGCGCGACACGGCGACGGACGAGACCACGCCACGTTTCGCGGAGCCGATCGGGTGCGAGTTGCTCGGGGGCAACAACTTTTTGCGCGAGCTCGCCCAGGCGGACAAGTTGCTCTTCCAATTCGCCGCACAGTCCACCTACCCCATCAAGGAGGGCTATATCGTCCGCCTGTACTTGCAGCCAATCACCGTGTGGAAAACCGGCGATAGCTGTATTCTTGATCAAATTTTTGCTGATCAGTTTTCGTCAAAGTGCTAGATAGATTTTCTCTTCAGTGGTATTTGCAGTTTATCGAACAAGATGTTGACTACACATGATTTTTTCGTTCCGTAAAGGTTTCTACTAAGAACCGACCCACACAACTTCTCCAGGTTCCGTCCGCTGTGCCAACGCACCGGCTTCGTCCACCGTGTGTAAATACGGGTCCACGACGGACAAGTGCATCGGGGAGCCCGTGGTGGCGCAGTTCACCGGGCAGAATGACGTGAACTTGGTGAAGCAACCCGCGAGCTCCAACAACATCATCAAGATTCGTCTTCCCGGGGGCACCCTGTCGGGGAGCAACCTGGACCCGGGCGGTGCCATGACCTCGATGCCGAAGTCCGCGCAGTTCCCCGGGCAGATCACGCAGACGTTTGAAATTTCCGGGGTCACCATCCCCAACAAGGGCTTCTTTCCGACCCGCGCGGGGTGCCAAGTCACGGACGTCGGCGACAACAAGCCGAATTACATCCGGACCAGCGGCAACTACTTCTGGAAGCAGCCGGACGTCGGACAGAACATCGCGAAGATCGTGAACGTGTACGGGGACGGGAACCAGAAGCCATTCAAGGGCGACACGGACAACGTGCTGTACGTGAAGATCGTGCTGGGCATCACCTCCTTTGCCGCGAACCTGGCAGCCACGGGCGAAATCGCCTCCGCGTACCTGACCGTGAAGTTCCCCAAGGGGTACACCTGCAAGGTGCCCAACCAGATGGGGATCGACGAGACCGGGCAAATGAACTACCTGGCCACGGACAAGTACAACCCCTGGGCCGCGGAGACGTCCCTGAACCTGATCAACCACACGCTGCCGCAGGGCCGCGGGACCCCGACGACGCGCGTGGTGCTGCCGACCTACACGGCGCCGGCGCCAACGAACTCCCACGGGTGGGAGAACGCCCCGGGTGACGTGACGACGTGCTACTTCAAAATGAACCAGTACGGAATACTGTACCGGGGCAGCGCGATCATGGTCAAATTTCTGGTCGACAATCCCTCGGTTGCCATGCAGAAAAACGACACCGAGAACGACTGGATGCTCACCATCTCGGGAAAAGGTGCTTTTACTGTGACTTATTTGTCAATCGCGACCAGAATTGTTTCTTGGAAGTTTTGTTTATGCTTAAAACTGTCAAAGCTTGCTCGACCGAGTCGTTCTTCTAAAGAAATAAAGGACGAAAGAAATTGCAATGAGACGAATTGTTAACATTGACCACGAATAAAACAGGTGAGTACCAGACGTTGTTGCACACGACGCCGATGCGATTCAAAGCTCTGGAGTCGAACTACACGGCGAACGTGGCGGTGTTAGGGTTTCTGACCGAGGCGGTGATCAGTCCGTCGGCCCTCGTCGGGGCGACGAACACGGGACGGGGAATCGTGCACCACGAGCTGCTGGTCTTCTTCAAGACCGAGCAATCAGCTGGGTACATGTCGTACGTCGCCATCGAGGCCCCCAAGGACCAGAGCCCGTTACCCGCGTTGACCAGTCTCCGGCACGGCTTCTCGTTCCCGAACCCCTGCGTGGCCGAGGCGCTGCCGCATAACTACTACGCGCGGCTGGCGCAGTCGCAGAACCACGTGGCGACCGAATTTATCGCCGGCGGCGTGCGGGAGTGCGTGTACGAACCCACGCCCTTCAACCGGGCGCTGGTCGGGGCGAACGGGATCATGCAGGCGAACACCAAGTACGGCTTCAAGATCACCGCCACGGCGCCCTTCGCGTACGCGTCGACGCAGGAGTGGCGGCTGTACACGCTGGACTACGTCAAGCAGCGCATTGATGGAACCAAGGAAAATGTACCCTTCTCCATGGGCATGAACAACGTATCCTACGGTTTGTTCGAAGACGACCTGTCCAATATGCCGGAGGGGAAAACCGGTCCGCGGGTCACCATCAACACGGCGAACGGGGTGTACAAACCTGGGAGCACGGATATCGACGTGTTCTTCATGAAGTTCTACTCTAGTTTGACCAACGTCAAGGTGCGCATCTCGGGGCCCGCGGGCTTCCAGTGGCGTCCGTCGGTCAAGTTCGGCTACAAGCAGGCCGCCGCCGTTCAAGCGGAGTTCGCGCCACGGTAGATTTTTCGTGTGGTTTTTTTTTTGTTCCTTTTGTTGGCGATTTTTGTGCGCGCTACTCTGTGCAGGCTAGATGATGATGATGATGGTGACAGATAATGAAGGAGCGCGAGGATGAGTCGACAAGTTTGTACCTATTTCCCACACAATTCACAGGCTGAACGGCCAGCTTCCTAACGCTGACTGGCCGGGTGGCGGATTGCCGACCGTTCTTCCAGGCGCGGAGCACGTACTTCAATTTGACACACCGGGCACGTGGACCTACAGCACCGCGGGTACTGAGTTCTACAGTTTTACGTGCAACGTGCTGGTGCCCATGTACGGCCCAACGATGTCGCCAGCCTACTACTACGTGGAAATCGGGTACGATGGCGCCACCCTCGCGGAGCGACCATTCGGCGGCGTGGTGCCTTTCGTTGGCGTATCATCTCTCGTGAACGCCGTGGTCGACTACTCGACCAACGTCGCCGGGAAGGAATCCGTATTGACCTTCGAAATCCAGACGGTCACACCAGTGCCACAAGGCGGTGGCTTGGAGATTGTCGGACCGGTGGGCTTCGTCGTCATGCACGAAACCATCATGCCCGCGGTCAAGACGCAGGGGACCGATTACCAGAGCTTGCCGAGCGACATCGTGGTCTCCACAAGCACTACCCAAGTGGCGGGGTCCAGTGGAACGGTACGAAGGTTGTACTGTGTGCGTTTTGAAATAAATCGACCAGTTTGTTGTATTTTGTGTGCAGCATTTATTATGATCAAAGGGAAATCGAAATAAAATGCAAAGGCATTGGCCCATTTTTGCGACTCAATCTTCAGGTTACGAAGCCAGTCTTGCTGCTTACCGCAGGGGCAAGTGGACTCCCCGGTGCACGGTATGCATTCTCGCTGCTGTTCATCAACCCCGTGAATCCCGTGGTGCAGGAAGTCTCTCCGTCAAGTTCTTGTGGGTAAAAGTCTTCGTTTTACTATTTCATCAAAATGCCGATTAAGTAGTTCTGCTTGCATGTTGGCATGCTTTCTTTTCGGAAGAGACTGCAACAGTATTCGTCAGGTGTTCGACGTCCAGTACTTTGTTATCTATTGAAAACCAATTTCGCTTCAGGTACACACAATGTTGGGATTTTGCGACGTACTCGCAGATGGTAGCCCCGCGCACGACGGCGCAGCAGCTCGACACCCCAATCGCTGCAACGGGTTTCTCGGTGAACACGAAGCTGACCGAGGCCGCCCTGGTAGAGACGACGACGGCGCAGCGGGTTGCCACGGAGCGGAACGACCGGCCGCTGAAGCGCAACAACTTGATTTTCGTTTTCAAGATGGCCAACGACGCGAGCGAGAGTCGGTGCACGAACATCGAGCCGGGGTACACCCGCTGCATGGAGCTGAAGCTCCGTGGGCCCGCTGGGTTTATCTTCAACGGGGACTGTCTACCCACGGTCGTGGTGGACGAGGACAAGGTGTTCGGCGACGGGAACAAGTGGCCCCCCACCTACGCCGTGTGGCCCTACAAGGTCAAGGTCACGAAGTGCGTCGGCGGCCCGGGACCGCAGGCCACGCTGCAGATCGAGGGGCCAGACGCGCGACGGTTCCTGGAGGAAAAGGCGGAAAAGCAACGCCGTGGGTTGAACACCCACAACAAGCACAGCCCGTTTTTAGTCGGTATAATTTTTGAGGAAATTCAATATACACGCTTTCTGAGTTCTTGGTTTGGCAAACAAAAGATCACAGTTACTGTAACCGTGACTGCTAGTGCTATTGCAGAAGTAGAATCGAAATTCAAATAGAAGATGATGTCAAGTAGTTTTTGTGTGCAAACGTTCTCTCGAAATACCTACAACAATCACTCCAGCCAACGACGTGTACGCGTTTAGGATAGGGATTCTGGCGAATCCGCCGGTGACCCCGAACCCGAACACGTGGACGATTGACGTGAGCGACGAGTCCTCCATGGCGTTCGTCGGGTTCACGCTGTGGACCTTCACGCAGCTGGAGGTGAAGCCGGTGTCGACCGCCCGACGGCAGGCCGCGACGGACAGCATCCCGGTGTCAAACCCGGTGCGGTTCATATGGGATTCTCAAATGTTACATTCTCAACTGTTACATGGATTTGTAATGCAAGAATGGCAAAAATCCAAGGCGGAAAGTTGCGCCTTTTGCATTACAAGTTTGGCGCAGATTATAATGCTATCTAGTGCGGCGAAAACTTGTCATGCGAGGCAGCTTGATCGTGTTGATAACTAATTGCAATTTTGCATGACAAATCGTGTAACAGTTGAGAATGTAACGTTTGAGAGCGCCATAGTTCACCTTCCGCCCGTGGAACACGGTCCCGATCAACGGGATTCTATCCTATGTAAAAACATCCCCACCCCAGAGTTGTCATGCAAATGCGCAAGGACAGGGACATTTGTCATGCGCATCTCCATGAGAGGCATATCCAGTCGTGTTCTGGCATTTGTAATGCTGTAAACAGGATGAGGAAGTGGCTTTCTCGTGCGGCTTTACTTGCTAGCCAGCCCTACACTGCAGATGGAAGCCTGTCATGCAGAACTCCCAAAACCTGGAGATTTGTGTTGCAGATTGACTCTGGTGTGGGGACGTTTTTCCTCAGGATAGATTCTGCGCGTGACCGCAGCGGCGCAGTCGCTGCAGCAGCAGAACTTCCGGTTCGTCGCCGCCAACTTCGAGTGCACGGCCCACGTGGAGGAGCTGGACTGGATCGACGAGAAGGGGCGCACGAATTTCGGCCGGCGCTGGAGCCAGGACGAGACCAGCTGCCGCGTGTCCCAGACGGACGACAAGATCACGAACCTGAAATTGATCGGCTCCTCCATGGAGACGGGGCGGGACTACCGGGTGTACATATCAACTGCAAAAATGTCTGGGTCTGGAAACTTGTGATGCTGGGTGGCGTATCATGAGCAGGCCACAAGTGCTGGCGCAGCATGACAAGTTTCTGAGCTTCTAGGTGTTGCCTATTCTGCATGACAAACTGCGTTTCTGCATGGCAGAAAAGTGGCGCTCTTGGGTAACGTGCATGACAGATTTGAGAATCATGCCAGACAAGCATGACAAGCATGCACTCTTCCAGACCTAGACATTTTTGCATTTGATAGTACATCGAGGTGAACAACCCGCTGCAGGAGCGCACGAACCACAAGTACGTGTGGAAGCTGGAGTCGTTCGTGGACGAGACCGCCGCGGCCGCCGGGGCGCTGGATGAGTCGGACGTGACGAGTTTCATGGTGAACCCGGTCACGATCGAGATCCGGAGCGGGTCGCCCCCCCTCGTCGTGCCCATGGTGGTCAACCGCGACGAATCTGGCGTGCAGGTCCGCAACGGCATGATGGAGGTGCGGGACTTAACTTTCACGTTCGCCTTCCCGAACCGGGTGGACCCGGGTGACATCGTGGTCATCGAGGCCCCCACGGGCTTCAAGCTGGAGTCCAAGTTCGCCGAGCCGGCGCGGAAACAGTGCTCCGCCTTTAAGTGGCTGCCAACGCTGGAAACCATCGCTGCGCAGCAGCTGGACCCCCAGAAGAACTTTGGAGACATGGCTGCCCTGCCGAACGGTCACCGAACCGGACCGCGCTGCACCAGGAATTTGATGATGTTTGAAATTCAGACGGCCGCAATGGGGGGCATCGCGGTACAATAATTGCTTATACTGATGTTTTTTTTAATTCAACAATGAATGCGAATTTCGAAAACTGTGCACTGCCGTCCAGCATGCTAGATGTTTCACACCATTCGCCTTGCTCCCACAAGTTCTTTGAAATTTTATTTATTCGAATCATCAAAAAAACGTACAGCACGAGAAGGACACGCAATTCCAACTGAGCATTGATACGAGAAATCCCTCGCAGACGCCGTTCTTGTTTGAAAACTTTTTCCGCATCTGGCACTGGCGAGGCATTGACAAGTCCATTATCCATCCTCCATGTGCCCTTCCGGGAGCCACGTGGAACTGCTTTCTGGATGCGCTACTAGGTGCGACGTTTTTTATTTTTTTTAGTCCTCTTTTGATGTTGTTGAGGCTTGTCTGATAGCGGTGGAAAAGAAATCAAATGGCGATAGTACACTTGAATGATCAAATGGCGTCGCTCTGGTGGTTCGCGATGCGGTGAAGGCACGACATTCATTCAAAATTTATCATCAGGCACCGACACCTCGGCGGGCGTGTACGAGTGGAGCACCATATTGTCGCAGCAACCCACTGCCCAGATTCTCTCCAGTGAGGTGATTCGTTCGTGGGAAATCCTGCCTCAGCTCTCCAGCGTCAGTATATCGCTCACCGGCTCGAAGCAGGCCGCCCGCGCGTTCAGTGAGATCACAGTCGAGTTTACGCCGGTTTCTGACGCGTCCGAGGTGCGGCTGGTCGCCAACAATCCGCCAGGGTTTGATTTCAAATCGGCGGCCTTGCCGCTGAGTTTGAACCCGGAGGGCGCGATCGTGGACCCGCTGAACCCCCCGGTCGGGGCCTCGATCAACATCCAGGCACCGATCGTGGCTAACCAACGCATCCGCTTGGTGATCTCCATGGTGGAGCTCGGGCTCCGCGGCGGGCAAACCGACTTTGACATCACCACGTTCGGCGGAGCGGGCACCACCAAAGCGATGGACGAGGCGCTGAACTTCGTGGGCGGGTTCCGCCTCCCCGGTTTCGTCATGCGCCCGCGGTACCCGCGGATCTACAGCGAGTACGAGCGCATACCGGAGAACTACCCGATCAAGAGCGGGTTTTTTCCGCAGATGGGGTCCCTGTGCTACGCGGATTTCCACCTGATGTTTTCCGAGAACGTCCTCCCCGGACACATACTCACGATCGAGCCGTCCTACACGGGCGACCCGTCGTACATGATGGAAAGGCGGAATTTCAAGATTACCAAGTACAACGAGAACAACCCCCCATGGTTCCGGTCCGACTTGGCGAGCGACGTGGTGCCCGCCACGGTGATCGGCCTGGCGAGCCGCACGCTGCAGGCGGTGATTTGCCCGGAGGGGTGCGTGCAAAACGGGATGCAGGGGTTCACGTACTACAGTTTCACGGTGTCTTTGATCGCGCCGTACCAAATGGGGGAATCCTGGACGTTCAAGACCTTCGACGGCGGCGCGCTGCCCACCAATACCAACGACGGAGAGCAGGGGCAGCTGCAGCCGAACATCGTGGAGGCCTACGGGTTGCGGGCGTCCGCGGTGCGGCGGTCGCCGAAGGCGAAAATCGAGTGCGACCTGTTCATTGACCCCAAAACCACCAGTCCGGTGGAGATGCAGCTGATCGCTCCGCCGGGACTGAACTTCACGGCGGGCGACTGCCTCAGTCCGAACAACATGGCGGCGGACATCGTGTCTTGCCAGCCGCTGCAGGCACAGCTGGGGCGTGCGAAGGCAAGACTGCAAGTCATCCAGGGCGGACTCACCGGTCCAATCATCGTAAAGCTCATCATGGAAACCCCGCCGCAGATGCTATTCACGGACTGGTACGTGGAGGGCACGTCGCAAACACAAGAGGTGATCGGCTGGGGCGTGGACCCCGTGGGCTTCGAGCTGCGCGACATGGGGCCGGTCAGAATCCGATATACGGGTGTGATGGACCAAGAATCAGAAATGACCTTCACCTTCACCACCGTCGAGACGCTCACAAATGGCGGCGTCATTGTGGTATATGTTTTTCTTTGTCCTCTTGCAAGCGCGAGTCGTTACCGAATCAAAAACAAAATCGTGTCGAATGTGAATACTAATCAAGTATACAACTACGGGGAGCTGTGAGTGTGATGCTGATCATCGATGTCGCATGAGCCCTTTCAATATTAACCACGAAAAATAACAGGTTGAGCACCCACAAGGGTTCGAGATCAAGTGTGACCCGACGAATTTGCGCAAGATTTCGTTGCCCAGCTCAGGCGGCGACATTGAGTGCACGAAGCCGACCAACCCGGCCGCCATTCCGCAGTTCAATTTGACCCTCACAGAGACGCTAGTGTTCGGCGAATACACGTTCGGTGTGCGTGCGCTCGTCCCCTCGAGCACACCGCAGAACTCGAAGTTCGCGATCATGCTCTTTCATCGGGACGACAACAAGTTCGCCCGGGACGCGGTCTTCAGCATCGCGCCGCTGACCCTGCAGCCGGGTCTGGATCTCCGGGGACGCGCGCTCGACTGGACGCGCGCGGAAGCAGGGAAGCTCTCCGGCATAACGCTGTCGTTTGAAGTGCGCGAGTCCCCCAAGAGCGACGGTAACGTGATCAAAAACCGCATCGGGGAGATCTTGATCAACTTCCCGATGGGTTTTGTGCACAACATCGACGCGTTGTCACACGTGGAAGTGTCCCGACAGGAGCTAGATTCCGCAACCACGGTGACACCCGGGATGTTCCTCAAGACCCCAAACTGGCTGGACTACACCGAGAAGGACAGGATAAGAATTTCGTTGAACTCGCCCCCGGGTATTTTGGAAAACGGAATCTACCAGTTCACGTTCCTGGTCACCATGCCCATGCAGGTGCCACGGGACAACGTGTGGACCATTTCGTTGTGCGAGGCCAACGGCGGGTGCATTTCGGCGAGCGACAAGACCGTGCTGGTCATGTTCCCGGTGCCCGGGTTCGCTTTGGGGCAAAGCCAGGGGTCGGACTCGGGCCGAAGTCAGACGGCAGCCGCGTTCCCGTCGAGGATACCGGGCGTTTCCAGCCTTGTCGTCGTCTTGCTCGCATCACTGTGGTCGGCGCGGCGGTAGAAGAAGTAGGGAAGTTTTTTGAAATGTAGAAAAGTTGTGACCACTAGTTCTTCTTCCAAGCGACTCTCGCAGAATACTTCAGTAGTTTATGACTTCAACAGAAATTCTCATATTTTCTTCAAAAAGCAAACACAACACCACCCAGGGGTGCTTGATTATTTCTTAAACTAAGCCACAGAATTGACCGCTGATTACTTTTCAATCACCGTCCAACGGTCGTCGCCGCGCTGCAGGTTCACCGTTACCCGATGCGTGGAGTTGTCTCTTTCTTTGAGTATATACAAGTTCTTCCAAGCTCTGAGGCCCTTGTATCAAAACCATCAGCAGGAGTGTCATTGACTGGCTGCCCTGAGCCGCGCAATAGACCTATTCGAGGACCTGCCCCCCCTCGCAAAACAAAATTGAAAACTTCTCTCAGCCTCAAAGCAGCCACAATTTTGTGTTACTAAGACCAAAGAGCTTCGTTTTCGTGATTGCATTATTTTCGCTTTTCTATACTGCTGCGAGATTTAGAATCCTTCTCATTGCCGTTGTACGCCACCCTTTTGTCTATGTTGCCCCCACCTACACTACAGGCAAGGCAGGTCCAAAGCTGGCCATGCCTTTTCTTGTCCCTTAACGAACTTTGAATTCGCTTGCATTCTATACTACACTTGTTATTGAGCTAGAAGATCTTTTCTGGATCTGCCACTTTGCTTCAACATTTTCTTCTAAAAACGCTACTAAATACATCAGCTCATGCCTCGGCGGAGCCGCGCAAAAATATTTCGAATCGAGCATATTGATATTGTATGCTTACTTACTTACCAGCATACCGTGGTTCATCAACGTGATGACTGATTCTATACCGTTCAACGTTCTAAATTGATTCTCTTGTCTTTGCCCACTATGGAAGTGAGCCGTTACCGTCTCGTCTTTTCTTCGGGCGACGCGGTACTACTTACTCGGAGATAGAGCTAACTTTGCTACAGATCAGCGCTGCGCTTGGCAGCCGGTGAGTTTCTAGATGCGAATACCGAGACCGACGTCCGACCGCTAATGCAATATAGTGAACGATAGCAATCATTCAAGGTTCTCCAAAAATTTCCTTTTCACTGCACTAGATTAAGTAATCCGGTCGCTTCCCAGAAGCCAGAAGCTCTTGCGAACCTTCCGTCCTGTGCGTCCAGTCAATATTATCCAAATAAAAGAAAAGGCAAAACGGAACGAGAGAGGAGAGCGAGCGAGCAGGGGTTTGTTTCTTCATCTTTGACGGGAGCGAGTAGCTGAGCTGGAGATGACACTTGAGCGAGAGCGAAGTTTCTTTGCGAAGCGCCAAATTGTTGCTTACTAGGTTCTTTTCGAGTGGAGCAGAAGCTTGATTCAAAAATTGTGAAAATGAAAAACCATCTAGACATTAAACCCCCAACCCATTTTTGATGTCCTAAAAGCGTCTACCCTGCCCATTATTTCGTTGAATTCGAAAAATCGTTCGCATGCAAGCCAAAGAAATCTTTCACATAACTCCAAACATCGCTTTTTGTGCTTTCCTAATTTCAACGTCGCAAGACACTAAACTTTCTCGAATCGTCTTTTAGGGAGAAGCTGAAAAATCCCGCGGAAGAGCGGGTCAGAATCTTCCCAAAATGTCCGTTGCGCGCCCCGAGGTGGGCTGCTCTCCGAGCAGCTCATCCTCTGCGCATCGGAAAGCTTTCGGCCGCAGAAGACCTGGCGAGGACCGGTTTCGGACCACACGAAAGCGCAGAGCCCGCACGTTCACGCCGGAGGTAGAGGACGAAGATGCAGGAGGATGGGTGGAGGAAGCCAGTCCTCCTGACTACCTGGTGTCTTCCGATGCAGAGTGCACCACCGGCGCAGTGTCCAACCATCCGTCGCGGACGAATTACGAAATTGCAACCTCGACCAGAGTGACCAGGTCAACGGGTGTATTTTCGAGCAGTGATGATTACGCAAGCAGTTTGACACCGTCAGCGTTACCCTCAACGTCACTGTCCCGACGAAGAGGACTTATTTTTCATCAACACCATAATTACAGCCGGAATTCGCACTCTCTGACCCGTCGGCGTAGGAAACGACAACGCGTAAACTCTAGCGCGAGTCGTTCCGCGCGCCGGTTGGACTTCTCCCGACGTCACGCTGCGGAAGGGGTAATATCGAGCAGTACTATTTTTTCACTCAACTCCTCCACTTCAGCCGGCACGCCCACAGATCCCAGTTCTTTCACTCGGAGTCGAAATCCTAACCAGGCGAAGGTGAAGACAAAAATAACCTGGTGTAGCCGCTGCTCCTCGAGGAAGCGCACACCTTTTCGCAGGTCGCGCCGGTGGAGGATTCATGTAGAAGATGACTCGCCGGTCCGCACGGATCCGTCCGATCGCAGCTTGCTGGAGCCCGCTGGGGAAAAGTTTTGTTACAGATCAGAAGAGCGCCTTGCCTCTGATCGTTGCGCTGACCGCCCAGTGGATGACTGTTTTTGCAGTTGCCCCGAGGAACATTGTAATTCTGCGCCTGAAGATCATGCTGGACCTCGACACCACTGGAAGACGCAGGGAAGACAGAGCGGACAAGAAAGGAGAAGTCGACGCCGAGGTGGAAAAGATGGTCGAAGAAATCTTTCTATGAATAATTGGGGGCAAAAGGAAAATACAAAAGACAGTGCAGCCAGTGACAGAAGTGTGCAGGATGATCCCATAGAATTTCTGTTCGCGCCTCGTCCGGTAACGATTGTCGACGACCACTGTATTCTTCAGGAAACATCATCCCGGCACACTGCACACACGATGCACCGCAAAGAAACGCTCAATACGCAGGAAATATTAAAGAGGCGAAGGCAAGAGCATGCTGCAGTGTCGGTCGGATGTCAAGCGGCAGACCAGCAGAGGAGAAACCGAGAAAAAAGCCGACGGTCACTCCCCGCCTGGTTGAAAAAAGGAACAGAGACAGTGGCTGTAGCAAAAAGTTTTTCGTCAAAAACAACGGGAACAATGAGCCGACCTCTACATTCATTGACACAACGACTTTCCGGCTTTCTCTTGGCCGCGCTTTGCTGGCTTCCTCTCGTGCTTCAGACCAGTTTTAATACTAGTCACAGTTTTTTTGTGGCTGCTGAGGAGGAGCACGCGGCAGCAGCGGCAACGAGACTCCTTCATAACGCAGTACCAACGGGGCTTTCGGGCACTGCAGTATCGAGTAGTTCTTTGGTACCTGCATCGCCGCGGCAGTTGCAAGAAGGTGGTGTCAACGAGGAAGCGCCCTCTATCGATATTAAACTCAACCGGGAGGAGTCTCCGAAGTACAGCCTGGACTCTTTGAAAGAGGTCGGGTCCTCCGCGGCGCGCCGTTTCCTTTACATTCTAAACGGCCAGCTGGAGCGCACGACGGGGCAGAGTCCCGTTTCCGCCGGACCGGAACGAGGCTACGTAGCGAACGGGTGGTTTACTGGGAAGACGTCGAACGAAGTTGCGCAGTTGCTCCCTACCGTGTACCCCACCACCACAACCGTGCCGCTGAAGGTGAAGCAGGGGCTCTCCTACGGGCAGGTTCGTCTCCGCTCGCAGGGCGCTACGAACGAAGACGGCTTCGCGATCACGGGCAATTTTACGGTGAAGCTGATCCCGGAGAGCGGCGACTGCAGTAAAACGGTGACCTCCCTGATGGGTGCGCCGTTCAACGGGCTGCCGAACCAGCACGATACGGCCGCGGGGATCGCCCGCGGAACGGTGGTCTACACGAAGGTCATCTTCCCCATCGCCGGCAAGTTCCAGCTATGCTACACGCGCGACGAGCAGAGTTACGAGATTCTGGAGCCCGTTATCGAGGTGGAGGGCAGCGACAAAAACGACAACAAATGGTTCTGTTCGCTCGCCCTCATGCACGCCGGGCGTCTCGCGTGTCAAAATCTGCCCTACGCCGACGGGTGCCAGTGCCAGGGACGGCTTTCCGGCTACCAGCAGTCGGCGAGCAGCGGTTTGGTGCGCCTAGGGAACGACACGGCGTCCGGTGCCGACGGGTCGCAGTTCAAACTCGCGCTGCAGAACTGGGAGGGCGCGGGCAGCACGGTGTACTACTGCGGGGACGGGGATAGCAACCACGGGCTTCAGGAACCGTTCGACGTGAGACTCGCGGACGTGTTGGATACCAGCACGAAGTACGTGACCTACAACTTCCGGAAGCTGAAAACCACGAACAACAACCCCTACATTTTCCGGATGTGCTACTGTCTGGGCTTTGACTGGGACGCGTCGGACGCCAATCCGGCCTGCGAGCAGAATCAACAGCAGGCGTTCGCGACGGAAGTCGGGTCGCTCGTCATTATCCAGACCCGGATCTTCCACAACAACGCCGAAGTCGGCGCTTTTCCGACGTTGAAGTGGCAGCTGGTGCTCGACTGCGGGTGCAAGAAGGGCGACAGCTGCGATCAAGGCGGCGGTTGCTCGCAATCCGCGGACAAAGCGTACTATGAACATTCAAATTTTATTTTCACCAGCATGCATGATGAGTTTCATGTGCATGATCACATCAGACATTATTTTCTATAGAGACTGCATCGGTGCAAGTCCAAATGCATTTCTATCCAGGTACAAGATCGTAAAGCAATCTACGCTGAACAACAAGCCGTATTTTGACGACACCAACGGCTGCCGGTTCGCGGAGCAAATCAAAGAAGAGGTGCAAACGGACGTGAACCGGGAGGAGGGTGGTCAATTCGCGCCGGCCAACTGTTACGGGGCGGCCGACTGCAGACAACAGGCCGACTCGCCGACGGAGATCAAAACGCCGACGTGGTCCGATGTACAAATTTCCGCCAGTTACCACAACGAGATCATGCTCACGCGTTTCTATGACGTGTGCTACTGCGATAGCGAGTGCAACGTCGCCTCGAACTGGTTTAAGGTAAGAGTTCGTACTACATTGCTTTGCTTCCGCTTCAGTCCACTGGATTTGCGACATGACGCCGCGAGGATATCCGTTCGCTTTCTTTACATGTTTACCTCTTTTAACTCTGTAGTTGAGTAGACCTACCTACCTTCTTGCAGTCTTTCACCCCCTTGCATCTTTTGCTCGATGATCTCGTAGAGTAAACCTTTCACAAAGCGCTGCTTCGCACCACACTTATTTCAGGCCGGCGTGATGCAGATGCGACCGCTGCAGGCGTCGATTTATGCGCCCGGGGAGCTTTCGCTGGTGACGCCGCCTGTTATCAACACGGATTTTTCGGTGGTCATCCGTACGCCAAAAGATATCAGCATCGTCACCGCGGAAACGGGGCTCGGCGACACAAAGGTGGCCAGTTTCTCTTCCATGACCAGCGGCGAAGCGACGCGGGAGATGAAAATATTAGAGGACCCACTCGCGCTAACCACCTCGCAGCACTGTTTGCGCTATGCGCAGTCTACGCTGGTGTCCGGACACGCGCAGGTGAACCCCAACAGCAACATCGACTACGCGCAACCCGCCGGCGGCATTGACAGCATGGGCGCGATCATCGCCAACCCGACCGGTCTCGGGTTCAAGTACGGGTTCGCAAACGGCGTGCCCACGATCAAGATTTCCGAGCCCGGGTTCTTTGCGATCTGCTACTGTGACCAGGAATGCAACGCAGAGAACAACTGGCTCGTGGTCCACCGTCAGATCATTTCGGGGCCGACGCCGAACCAGAAGTGGACCCGGGTCACGGGGGTGACGTTCAACCTGCGGCTGACCGGGCACCTGTTCCAGACCAGCAACCGCATCATCGCGCTGGAGGCCACCAACGAACTCGCCGACTGCGGTACCGCCACCCCGACCTCCCGGTTCTTCGGGCCGAAGGTGCTGGGGCCGCAGCTCTCGTCCAACCTCGCCGTTAGGGGCGTGTCCCCGGCGGGCCCCTCCAACGCGATGGGCGTCGTGCGCGACCCGAGCGGCCGCGGGACCGAGGTGCAGTTTTCCGCCCAGCACGGGCTGAAGGACGGGGACCAGATCTACGTGGAGGTGCAGTGGAACAACGCGCTGATGCTGGGGGCGGGCTACTCCCAAATCCAGATCGAGGAAATCCGCGCGATGTTCACGAACCTGCACCGCGTCGGCGTGCTCTGCGACTACGTGCAGTACACCATCCCGGGCACCGTCACCATCGTGCCGGCCTGCCACAAGATCTTGATCCCGGTTAAGTTCTCCGCGTCCGACTTCCCCTACTCGACGCCACTCACGGTGACGAAAACCAACGAAATGGTCACGGCCATGTTCTGGACCAGGAGCTCAGAAGAGGAATTCATCCTCATGAAGGTAAGGAAAAAGTGCTGGCTACTTACTTTAGTTTGATACAGTTCATTGTTGAAATTTGTGCGCTGTAGCTGATGAAACTGAGCCTAGCCATGATTTTTGCGTAAGTAAATACGCTCTTCTGGTGGAAAATTACACTTACCTCGTGCACTCTCACGCCACAGGTTTCCTCGCCGTCCCCGGACAGCCGCGGGTACGTGATTTGCTGGGCGCAGCAGGACAACGCGTACAACCAGGTGGGAACCAACCTTCCGACGCAGGCGCTGTACAAGGCGCCGGTGGGTTTTCTGATCGTGAAGGACCCGATCAAGATGTCGAACTCCTGGCTGAGTCTGACCTCGATCGAGAACAGCGACTACACGGTGGGGAGCGTCACGGAGCGGATTTCGCCAATCATCGTCACGTTCGAAACGGGGAGCTCCGCGCGGTACACGGCGGCGACCGGGGAAATGGGGCTGAAGCTCTCTTTCGAAAACAAAGAACAGCTGAACGCGGTCACCGGACGGCAGGAGTGGCACCCGGTGGTGATTCCGTACGACCAGAGCAACCCGCAGCGGAAAGCGGCCGACGCGAGCGGCAACGCGAGTCCGGCGCAGCTGGCGCGCACGTCCACGAAGACGCTGAAGGACTTGCTACCGGACGCCAACCAGAAGATGTGCGGCGACATTTTCGTCGAGCTGTGGGGCGAGAACGAAAACGGGTTCCCGCAGCCGCGCAAGTGCTTCGCGTTCTACGACGACGTGTCGCATCAACTCGGCACCATCGATCCCAACCCGGTCGTGGAACTCTACGTGTTCTTTCACGCGAAGAACGGGCTTGCGCCCAACACGCAGTACCAGCTGGTCATGTACGCGACCTTCAACGAGCTTCTCACCAAAGACCAGCCGGCGCAGGGGGCCGTCAAGGTGTACACGCTGGACGAAGTATTGTGAGGAAAAATCCCCCCTCCCCATATCGAAAGCGAAATTTGTGTTGCTGTATTTGAGTACACAAATCGCATTTGTCTTGCTGGAGAGGACTGCAAACCCATATCAAGCCTGAGTAGAGAGGCTTTGACTTTGGCGCTTAGCATGAGAAGCGTCCGTGATGTTGGCTCAACAGCATGACAAACCGCCTCCATAATGGGACGGAAGCTGCTGCCTTTGTCTTCTTGCAACACAAACGTGATTTGTGACCTCAAATCAGCAACACCCGACGGCTGGCCTACGGATATTAGGTGGATCACAGGCTCAAATCAGCAACACAAATTCTCCAAACCTCACCTCTTCAATATGGGGAGGGGGGATTTTTCCTTGCGATACGAAGACTTCGGCAATCGGTTCGAAATTATCGAGTCCGGGGACGCGAAGCCCGAGCCGCAGGACGTGGTGCCGCCCGCCAATGCCGCCGATCGGTGGTCAACCACGATGCCGGCACTGAAGTACACCGGTGCCGGGCCGTTGGGGTTCCGCTTGCTCGACACGGACGGAACCTCGGACGGTTACATGGCGTTGACACGGTAAAAAATTTGTATATGATTGTGCATTGAATTCCGAGTCTGGGTTGATGTTTTTGACTTGACGGAGGTGATGGAGGTGGGGACTTTTTAAGTAGCGAACTAGAAATAATGCATATAGAGAAGTTCTTTCCTGTCGTAGTCGTCTTAAGTCTGTTGCTTTGAAAAACTTCGTGACCGTGTGGCGCTTGTTGTACACGACAAGGTACTGCATCAAGACCGATGCGACCCCGGCCACCCCCTCTGCCACCTATTCCTGCAAGCCGTGCCAGCGAGAAGAGGACTGCGGAAACGGAAGTGTCGAAACGCAGGCCAGTGACGGGACGATTGTTCCGGCGGTGGACCCGAACGAGGATAGAAACTGGTGCCGGTCGCCCATTCAGATGGATTGCTTCGAGGATCAGCAGACTCTCTCGGAGTATCCGCTTTTCAAGTTCGAGCTGTTGCCGGAAGACGACGCGAGACCTCTCTCGGGCGGGCACATCATTAAGGTAAAGAATTAAGCTTGCTAACCATCGTAATTTTATTAGCTAAGAAGGTAGCGCTAGCGAATACTTATTTTTTTGAGGATTTTTGCGCACATGAGAAAAATCTCAGTGACCCCTTGAAACTGGCTCACATATCAGATCTTCCTCCACCCACTGACGCAATGGGACATCGGCGGCAACAACTGTGACATGTTCTACGATGACGGGGGCGGTTCTTTGAAGGAGATTGGTGGGTGCGACAAGGGTTCCGTAACGTTCCGGACCGGGACCATGACGGACAACCCGGAACAGCAGGTGAACTACATCAAACTCACGGTCCCCATCGGCATGACCATCACGAGCTCGAACAGCCCGATTTTCCACCTCGGTGGTGCGCTGCCCGTGCCCAAGTACGGATACTTCCCCACGCATTTCTCGGCGGAGTTTACCCGCGAGAAGGACAAAGGCGGGCGGTACCTGTCGCAGCGGGACCTGGAGGGCATTTCGGTGACGAACAACCCAAAGAACTTTGTTCGCCCGTGGTCCCCGGTCGCGCGCATCCTGTCCAAGATTGGCCCGACGAACGGGAATCAGTCCCCGTTCTCCACCCAGACGAACCTGCTCTACATGCAGCTCACCTTCGGGTCGATGCTGTTTGCGGACAAGAACGAGCGCATTGCTGTCCGTATCGTCGCGCCGAAACTCGGGGGGACCGGCGAGGGCGCCTACAAGTGCCAGCTGTCGCTCGGCGGGCTGCCGGTGCCGGAGGACATCGAATATTTGGAGTCGAAGGGGATCCCCAACGGGCGCGGAACCATCGGGTCCATGCCTTTCGGCCCCGACGGGGTGACCGTGGTCGGCACGGATGTGACCAACGAGGCGACCTACGGCGCTGCGAACACAAACCCGTACTGCGAGGTGAAGTTCAAGGAGCATCTGATGATCAACGCGGGGTCCTCGGTTTTCGTGCCCTTTGCGATGATCAATCCGGAGCCACTGAAGGTGAGAAAGATACTAGCTTCGAGTTTTTTTTGTGCGTTTTTTTTTTCTGCCGTGGCTTCTTGGTACTGACTTCCTTGTTAGTACCTACAAGCAAGAAGTTCTTGCTGCGCAGCTGAGACTCAAGATAGAAGCCGTTTTCTTGGTAGTTGTACTGACTTCCTTGTCAGTACTGGTAAGTCTGTTGAGCTGCGAAGTTGACAATAGAAACCATTCTGCTGCATCAAATCGAATACAGATCGCAAACGTGAAGAACTACTGGAGCCTGCAGATCTACTACACCGGTTTGCCCGGAGGCATCCAGGTGAATTTGAACGACGGGTTTGCGATTCCGAAAAAGTTCACTCCTCGTCGCTACTCCGGGATCAAGGACGCGCCGATTACACAAGGCGTCCAGTACGGCCGCATTCTGGATGACGCAGATTTTTCCGCGAACACGGCGGTGCTCGGAAAGCTGCAGATGAACGTGATCCAGCCAGACTACTTCGCGAATAGCTACCTGATGAACGAGATTTCGATCTTCTTCAAGACGAAGCAGGAGGTTGGGACGCAGACGCAGCCGTTCTCGCAGATTTGGGTGGACGCGCCGGCGAACTTCGACTATTCGCAGTACTGTCTGGTTTCGGATCTGCCTCCGATCTACTACGTGCCCGAACCCGCGGAGCCGACAAACAAATTGCCGCGCGCCTCGCCTGACGCGACGATCCAGTGCCTCGGAAGCACCGTACCAGGATCAGGAACCTCGGCGGGAACGTACAATCGAGCAAGGCTTTCCATCGACGGCAGGCTGCTGGTGGGGACGATTTACGGTAAAAAGCGCGGACGTGTTTGTTTTGTTTTAATCTTGCATCAGTATTTTTGCCGGGAATTCGATTTGCATACTCGATGAGGACAAGGTATGATTCACGAAGAAAAACATAAACACTATGATTTGCGCCATGTCGATCATCTTTGAGCTTCTCTCCAACGCGCACAGGTTTCGAACTCCGCATCAAAAATGCGCCCATGTGGGAGATGACGCAGCGTAATAGTTGGGGTATCTCCACGTATGAAAACTCGGGCACGGAGAAGATCGATGCCACTCAGTTCTCTCCTCGGCTGAACCAGGAAGATCCGGGTCGGCCGGACCCGAACCCCAACGACCCGACGCAGGACCCGTGGCTGTATGATATGGGCCAGGACAACCTGTCCTGGGCGACCTACACCGAGGATCTTCCCTCCGAGATTAGCGCAGTGGACAGCCTGATTTACAGTACTCACTTTGTGGTGAAGATGGGGGATATGCGGCCGAACGCGCTGGGGTTGCCCACTGACATCACTATTTTTCCTATCATGGTTGCCACGGCCACACAGCCCGTGCATGTGCGGATCGTCGCCCCGCACGGATACAAGTGGAACTTCAAGCCCGCCGAGTTCATCTACGAGTCCATCTTCAGCGGCGTCCCTACCGAGCAAGCGGTGGCCGGTGCGACCTCGGACTTCCCGCTTTCGCTCGTGCCGCCAATGCCGATTGTAAAGCCTCTGAACGAGCTGAGGATCGACTCCGTCCGAGCAGGTGCCGCTATGTTTTTGTTATTGTTTCTACTTAATCTTAAGCTTGAGCTAGTACTGCATTAAAGTCTAGTGCGTGCACTACGGCTGATGGGAAAGGAACTACAGCAAATCGGTAGAATTTTTCAGCAAACTTCTTTGAAAGGTTTTGTCCCTGGCGAGCGGTACGGAATTCGTACGAAGATCACGGTGCCTAATTTTACGTCGGTGGATTCCCTAAATCGCTTCACCATCGAGTTCGGTTACGACGAACTGACCGCGGACCGACGGTACGCGGCGGGAAGCTACCCGGCCCCGATCGTGCGCAAGCTGTTGAACGCAAACGTGGATTACGACACGTCTTTGAAGGCATCCGCGAACCGGATCCATTTTTCCCTGCAGACCATCACCGACATCGAGCGCGGTGGCGGACTAGTGATCACGGGTCCGAGTGGGTTTCTGTTCGCGGCGGCGTGCTTACCGGTTGCGGTGGACCCGCCGCCGGGGGTACGCGACCCCCCGAACACAGATTTGCCGTTCGACACGACCTGCACGTCCTTTAACGACGGAACCACTCAGATCCCGACAATCACTTTGACGGCAGGACCGCAGGGTATCTACAAAAAGGCTGGATTGAAGTTCAGGTCATTGTTGCAAAGGGGATGATCGAGGACGCTCTCATGCATAGTGAAGGAGGTCGTCCACTGACAGCCTTAAATAGAAGACACTCGTTGTCACTGCACGTACTGCCGCGTTGCACAGGCACTATGAAAAACACAAACTTACACAGGTATTCCCGCCCGCCAATATGCGTTCAGTTTGGACTGCACAAACCCGGGCGTTGTCGTGAAGGACAAGGATGCCGGCATTTGGACGATCGCCTCCTACGCTCTGGCATCCGTGAAAACTACGGAGTCGATTCTGGATTTCCAGACCACCGTCCCGTCGTTCGGAATCAACAACGCCATGCCGAAGGCGGATTTGGTATCCAAGCCGTGGAAGCAGTGCGGGGAGGACTACTCACTTTGTATTTATTTTTCCTGCTGTTATCATGTTGATGTTGCCCAGAAAAGGCGGGCTCGCGTGCTTCGCGTCACTTAACGGGTCTGCTTAAGCTTAAGTGCTTCGCTTAGGTGCTTCGCTTAGGTGCTTCGCTTAGGTGCTTCGCTTAAGTGCTTCGCTTAAGTGCTTCGCTTAAGTGCTTCGCTTAAGTGCTTCGCTTAAGTGCTTCGCTTAAGTAGTACTGCGGTGCGGTTTCGGTGCCCGCCTTAAGTAGTGCGTCGCCCCTCGAGTTGTGCCGCGATTCTGTAGTAGTACGTCGCTCCTTAAGTAGTGCGTTGTGCCCCTTAAGTAGTGCGTCGTCCCTTAAGTAGTGCGTCCTCAAGTAGTGACTCGCTTAGCTAGGTAGTGCGTCGCTCAAGTGGTGGCTAGCTCAAGTAGCGTTTCGCCTGATTGGTGCCTAGGTTAAGTAGTGCTTCGCCTAAGTAGTGCTTCGTCTAAGTAGTGCCTCGCTTCAGTAGTCTCCGCTTAAGTAGTGCCTACCTTGAGCAGTCGCGCTCTACTCAAGTAATGCTTCGCTTTTAGTAGTGCGTCGCTTGTTATTAAGTTGTGCCTCGCTTAGTGAGTGCCTCGTTTAGGTAGTACCTCGCTGAGGTGGCGCCTCGCCTAAATAGTGCATTGCATAGGGATAATTTCCTCGCTTAAGTAGTGCCTTGCCTAGGTATTGCCTCGTTTCGGTAGTGCCTCGCATAAGTAGTGCGGCACTTAGTAAATGAGTACCGCCGGCGCACGTCGGTAGCTGGCGCCTCACTGAGGTGGTGCCTTGCTGAAGTGCTCTCCCCAAGCCGAAACGGCCCTTATTCCTACTCGCAATCATCCACCTACCCAGGTCAATATCCCGAGGAGTGGCAGTACCAGGCCCCGCGTGGGCTCAGGAATGATCGCCCGAAGTCCGCGACGCACCTGATCATCAAATTCATGATGACCTGTAACACGGACGACGGTGAGGACGCGGTGGGCGACCCGACCTGCCGGCAAATGACCATTTGTGGGACGCCGGAAGCAGCGGGCGAAGAGTCCTGCTCCTATCTCCCTCCGAATTCGCCGACCGATCTGGAGATGAAGGTGAACGCGCCCGAGGGCTACCTGTTCGACCTAAACTGCGAGGTGGTGACGGACTCGCGGCAGGTGCTGTGGGCGGACAACACCGGGCCGAGTATGCCGGAGCGCTTCAGTAACTGCTGTGGCGAGCAGGACGTGAAAAACTGGCCCACGTCGACGAACACGGGAAACCCGGTCGTGGTGCGATCGTGCAAGGGCAACGAGAACAAGGCCCGGATCGTCATGAACCGGGGACTTAAAGGGAAGTCCGTCTACCTGTTTCGTATCGCGATCCAGAGCACGCCCGCGGAGAACCCTTCGGACAACCGGTGGAGCCTGGAATTCAACGGCGAGACGAGCGAACGGTACGAGGGCTACAACATCTGGTCCTTCACCGACTACGCCGTCGTGCCGCGGGACAGCTCGATTGCCAACCGCGTCGGTTTGGTCCGCGAGAACGAGGTCACGATTTCGCTACGCCCGCGAAACCTCGTCGCGGTCCGGGGCTACTTTCGCATCGTCGCGCCCACCGGGTTCGAGATCCAGACCAACTGCCAGGTCCGTGTGTACGTGACGGACAAGGAGCGGGACGCGTTCTGCGACTTCGAGAACAGCCGCACCACGGCGCAGCTGTTCGAGCAGTTCGGCGGCACGATCCGGTGGTGCCCCCGGCCGGACACCGGGAACCAAATCGCGCGCTGGGCGGATTTTGAGCCGTTGAACGCGGCGGGGACGATCACGCCCTCGGTGGAGTGCAAGGGCGACGAGAAGCCGTCGAACAACGTCCGGATTCGCTTGATGTTTGACAAGGTCATGCTGCAGAACGTGCAGTACAACATCGCGTTGATGCTGAAAAACCCCCTCACTCCGCAGCAGGAGGCGCAGGACTGGAGCGTCAAGTCCTACCGGCCCACCAGCGAACCGGGCGACGAGGTGCAGCGGGAGATGGACAGCACGGTGATGACCGGGTTCCCGGTCAACTTCCAGGTGACCGAGTTCGGGCTGACGATCCCGTCGGACCGGAACGCGGACTACGAAGTGGTGTTCGTCTTCCAGATGTCGTTCCAGCAGGACGTGGTGGCGGGGGAAAAAGTGGTTATTCTCGCGCCCGCCGGGTATCTCATGGCCCGGACCGGGACCAACTCCTGCACCGACTACGTGCACTTGGAGGGCTTCCTGGCGCGAACCACCCCGCAGTGCGGCGGCAACATGATGACCTGGACGCTGGTGGACGACCGCGCACCGGCCGACGATTTGATCAAGTTTTCGCTGAAGACCACCAATCCGGGAATGACGCCGTCGCCGAACTACTTCAGCATCCGCGTGATGGAGACCGAGAGCGAGCGCATGATCGCGTCAAAAGTGTTCGAAGGCTACCCGGTCATCCCGGCGTTGCTGAACATGCAGGTGGCGAACATCGTCCCGCTTCCCAATACACCCTCGGAAACCAACAACCAGCACAGTTGCCGCGGGCACCTGGACAACGCGTACGCGCTGATTATTTTGAACCAACCGTGTCGGTCCACGGACAGTTTGGCCACACTGCAGATCACGTTCACGACGAGATCGCCCGCAAACTTGATTCGGATCGAAGGGTAAGGGTGCGCATGGAACTTGTTCCATTTGATAAATTTATTCCAGCACAGAGTAAATCTACATGTGCGTTGGTCTCTTCTGATTAACTGGCCTTCAACGTGATTTTTTTGTGATCCTCTTGCAGTTCTAGACCACGGTCATGTTGTGCTCAATTTATTTTCCTCTGAAACTTCTCCAGGTGGGTGTTCAGCGGGATCCCGCAGGTTTCCAGTGCGCAGATTCAGGGCATTCCGCGGTACGAGCAGATCGTAATTCCGAACAACCGGTTGCAGGTGGAATCTTACCGGAGCCCCCCCTGCGGAGACCAGAGTCCGTGCCCGCCGAGCAACCGCGTGAAGTTTACCGACGTGGACGCCACACTGTACCCCTCTGTACAGTTTTCCGGCGCCGAGATTTTGCTGATCCCGTTGAAGACCCCCACGACGCTGGAGTCCGGACTGCCGGGCACACCGATTGACGGGATTCAGGCGGGAGTCACGCGCGTGATCTCCATTCCCCGGATCACGTTGCCGCCCCAGCCGGGCATTTTGCTGTGGGACATCGCGACCTTTCAGGTGCCCGACTCGGCGACCACGGCACTGCCGAGCTACGTGGACGACGGCGACACCGCAGACTTTAAGAAAAAAGATGAGGTCAAGCAGTACCACGCACCGCGCACGGAAGCCGGCTACGAGGTGTTGCCCTACATCGAGTTGACCCGCGCGTCTACCCTGATCCCGGATCTGTTCGGGCAGCTGAATTCCAGGGTGATGCTCCAGATCATTCTGAAGGCGGATGTCTACAAGGACGAGGTTTTGTTCATCACGCGCCCAACTGGGTACCGATTTGTCCCTGACAGCTTCATGCCCGCATCTCCGAACTTGCAGTACACGGCCGCGGAGCTCGCGCAGGGCCTCACCTATGTGCACGGTGTGGACACGCTGTATTCCCAACCGGGGGACATCACCCTCCCGCCGACCAGATACTACTTTCAACTGGTCCGGTTCGTGCCCGCCAACAGCGCGTTGCTCGTGGAGTTCAACGTGGACGTGCCCACGCGGCCGTACTCCGACACGCACTGGTTTGTGGAAGTGTACCTGATCCGGGAACTGGTCGACGAGGACGGGAACGCGAAGGTGGCGACCGCGGTTTCCTTATCAAGTGTAAAAATGTCTGGGTCTGGAAGAATGCAAGACTTGTGATGCAGGTTTTCCATGACCCATGAGGTCTGGAATGCGAGACCAGCATGACAGATTCTTTGAGCTCTCTATCATGCCTTTCCTGCATGAGAAACTCCCTCTCAACTTGGTCAAAAGCGGACAGCTTTTGGCACTTACGCAACACAGATTTTTGCATCATTTAGATTTAGCATGACAAGTTCCATTCTTCCAGACCCAGACACTTTTACATTTGATACTCCTACCCGTGGAACGACTTGATGCCGGGAGAGGTGCGCGCGGCGGGCAAGGACCCGGAGCGGTGGCAGCGGCGCATGACCAACGACGGCAGCTTCTCGGGTTTCTTCTTGGTCGGCGACATGGGCCAGATCACACTGAACCCCTCGGGCCGCACTCCGGGCGGCCAGATCGATCTGGAGATCAAATTCTCCATCGCGAACAAGGTGGAGGCGCCCAACCAGCTGGACAAGCTGCGTTTGGAGGTCCTCGCGCCGCCCGAGTACCGGTTTTCCGCGGCCTGCTTGGTGTCCCAGGGCGAGGTCACGCGGTTCACGAACTGCAACGGGAGCAACAACAAAGCGGAGTTGGACACCAGCTCCAACAGCATTCAGGGCATCAACATCCCCGTCGTTTTGCAGGTGTCCAACCCGCCGATCCACAGCGAAAACACAGAGGTGAACAGGTGGCTGCTACAGCTATTCCGCGGCCAGGAAACGCAGCCGTCCAACACGGGAGTCGCGGCGGGCTACAAGATTCAGTCCATGTCCGCGACCTACATCGGAAACAACCGAGTAGGCGGGTCGGGATCCAGTTTCTTCAAGTTCAAGCCCAACGAAATGATGCCGGAGGGGGGCTCGCTGCAGATCGTCCCACCGACACTCGGTATGGTTCTTTATGACACTTTGTTTTGGTTCGGTGTTCTGTTCATTCTTGTCATGCTTAAGTGCAGGCCGATACAAGAGTTGCTCGGGTCTGGTTGCAGATGAAGGCAACAAGCATTGAAAGTATCTATCCATCATTCAGTGCTGTCACCTGAAGCAGAGACAAGTGCATCAATACTTATTTCATCATTCAGGCGGCTACGATCTCCGCTGCAACGGCGTTCACAAGGGTTCTCTCCTGGAGCTGCCTCGGTGCAAGGCTTCTGGCGTGGACCAGGATTTGCTTTTGGAGCTCCAAACGTCCACTCTTCAGGCGAACGTGGAGTACGTGTTTGGTATCGGGGTGGTAAACCCCTCCACCCCAAACACGGGGACCGGGTTTTCCAACACGTGGGGCTTGAAACTCGTGACGCGCGACGGCCGAACCGTGGATGCGAATATGAGCATTCCCGGCGTGGAGTTGGTCTCCATCGACCTGGCATTCGAGCTGTTCGCCTGGAACGAAGTGAAGCCGCAGGAGATGTCTGTGCTGCTGATGGAGTTGGTCGCGAGAAACAAAATTCCCCAGGGGGAGATCGAGTGGTTCTCGATCGAATCCCCGGAGGGGGTCATGTTCAACGACCCGAACGGGGTCAGCGTGCAGGGCCTGCCGCTGGTGAGCACCAAACCCTTCCGGATCGCGGGGAACCAGCTCATGGTGCAGATGCAGCCCGAGAGTGAGATCAAGGAGGGCATCATCGCGGTGCAGTTTGAGGTGAAAAACCCCTCGAGGGTGCCCACCGACAACAAGTGGGTGATCCGCGGCATGAAGGGCAACAAAGAAAAGTTCTTGGACGTCGTACCTGGCTACCTCTTCGGGCAAACCAGTCCCAAAATTGTCACGGCCGCGCAACGGGGCAGCGCAGCGGGCAGCGCTACCGGGAAGTACTCCCGGAATCTGGCTGCGCAGGGAGCCATGGCCGTCGCGGGCGTGGCGGGAGCGGCCATGTTTGCCGGGCTACCGTAAGAGGTCGTGCGGATGTGATACAGTAAAATTTTTCACACTTCTTTTGTAACAATATCAGGCCAATTGATATAATCGCAGATCCCCCCCAGGAGATCTCGTCTTCTTTTTAGGAAATTGTAGAGCAGTATGCAAGAAGTAGTTCACTAACTCCTAATTCGGAACAAAGTTCTTCTTTTTCGCGCCACTGGATGGCGAACGAAATATCATCTGAGACTTACTTAGCAATAGTACCAAAACACTGTTGTATTTGTAGCACCTTTATTCCCCTTGTAACAACCACCAGAACCGTTGGAAGGGCAGGAGCGTCTCAGACTGAGTGCAGCTCTTGCATCTACGCTGGCAACAAACACGAGACTCATTGGAAGTTACGCGGTTCGTTGTGGTGCCCGCCCTGGATGTTACTAGTTCTTTTGATTTTGATATCAGCAATGCAGCCACGATAGATTTCTCGGGCTAGAACAGATGAACTGTTGCTACAATATGAACCTCAACGCAGTAGTCGTTGACCTTTTGCTTTTCTTGCAATCGGCACATCTTGATGAGTTTGCTTTTTTGTCAACGCACTGAAATTAACTTTAACAAATGTATTTGTGGACTATACTAGAGTTTCGGAGCAAGAAATCAAAATTGACGATGAAAAACACCCTAGGAGAGCTGCTGGTTTTTGCTGCTCGGCTGCGGGGGCAAGGGCTGGCGCGCTCATCACGCGTGAACTTAAAAATGGATCGAACACTACTACAAGGAACCTTACTTTCCTACTTTTCGCTTAACGGTTTCATTCACCACGACGGTGTTGGTTACCGCATCTTGCTTGCCTACTTTTCGTTCAGAGTAAGCACCGGATTCGATTTGCTTATGATGTCTGAAGTTACGCTTGGACTCTCCGCCGGCACGGTGGTTCTAGTGGTGTTCGCTTGTTCGTCCAAGAACATTGATAGGGATTGCAAACCCTTTTTCTTGTTTTTCGTCGTCCTGTGTGGTTCGTTTTCTGTTGTGGTATGATTTGAAAACTACTTTCACCTTCACTAGCGACCGTGCTACTTACGGCAGCGCCATGACATAATGAGGGCCACTATGACCGCCCGTAGACCGGGGCGGTCCAGGATCGCAGTGCGGCTCCGCTGGGTCTTGGTGCTTCCCGTAGTTGTACCTCTCGCCCTCGGGAAGAAGAACCTGTTGCTCAAGAAAAACACACAGAGGGTCGACGAAAAAGATTTGCCGCAGGATTTCTTCACTTTCGAAACCCCAGCGCCACCAGCCCCACCAAGCGGACCTTTCCCGTACGTTTTCTGGGCCACCACACCGGCGCCACCCGCCGACCCCCCACCGCCAAAATGGGAGAACTGCTACGGCTGCGACTGCCTCGTCGTGCATGCGGCGAGCATGATCGCTGGCGGGACGATCGACAATTCCTTCACGTGCATCGGCGGTGCTCCCACACACTCCGTCCCCGCCCTCTCGTGGGAAGGCATGCCGGCGAACAGCGGACTGGGGCACCCGATTCTGAAAAAGGGTCGCGAAGCTTGCCCCAAGGCACTATCCGTCGCAATCGTGGTGGAGGACATGGATTATCCGAACGGGGTTGGGGAGCAAACCAACAAAATCTTCAACCATTTCTGGGCGGTCAATATACCGGGGGATTGGAGTAGCTTCGACGATAGCAACTTCGCGAGTGTGTACCGTAACCAGAAGCTGGTCTTCATCGGCAAAAACTCCGCCGGCAAGCGCGACTTCGCTTTGATTTGTCCGAAAAAAGGCACGCACCGCTACCGTTTTACGGTGTGGGCGCTGCGCGATTATTTGTCCAGCGGGGATTCGCCCATGGATCCGGAGGTGTCGTACGCCAAGGTTCTGCCGCGATTAGACGAGCTGGAGCTCGCGAAGGTGGTGCTGTATGCAAATGTGAAGGCGGATCCGACAGCGCTGGCGGGAAAGTGAGCATGGATTGTACAACATCATTCACATTGTAACGTTGATGCACAGCAGGTTTCTACTCTTTTCCGATGTTTGTAGTTTTGACTGTTTTGCTACACTTGAAATGTTTTCTGATGATCAATCTTTTCTGAGTAAGTGCTATGCGCCCTACTGCCCTCTCAGGTTGTGGAGTGGTGATTTCTTTGTTCATGGAAGGAAAAAAGTCAAAAGAAGATCTCGCGGAAAGATGAAAGACATCAAAGATGCCGTAGGATCATCGCAACAATGAACTTCCAGAGTCTTTCATTCGATCCGAAGCGAAAGATCCGCGATCAAAAAAAAAATTCCTGCAGGTCGCGATCTCTGAAGACAAAGCGCTCGTCTGTGAAATTGAAAAGAGAGATCGTGATCACTATGTTCAAGTTGTTAACCAGGAACCAGCTTAATTATGTTTGCGATCCTTTTCAGACAGGAGCTGTATCTTCTTGAAGCCGTACATCCAAAGGGAATCCGTTTGTCAACAAACTGCATTTATTGATGAAGTTCAGCAACTACTTGAATTCGTCTTTGGCTTTGCAGAAGCAAGTTTATTAGTAGATCCGAAATTACCAAAGCAAAAATGACCGTCGCTGCTGCTACCTCCATTGCGGCAAAGACGAAAATCGTCTACAACTGCACGACCAGCCACAAAAACTACAACTTTTCGGACGCAGAGACCGCACGGCCCTACAGCAGCGAGGACTACAACGAAGAATACAGTTCGGGCGACGAGGATGATGTGTTTGCAGCGAAGATGGACACCTGCAGCCCGGATCAAGCTTCCTCAGGGGCCTTGAAGAAGTCGATCCGGAGCGAGGGCACGGCCGAGCGTGTGGCCTGCCAGAAGTTCGCGAACAAGATAAACTTGCAGCCCGTGTCCATGACGCACGCGACCAAGAATTCCATCGAGAACTCGGAGAAGAAAGCCTCCGCGCCCCGGGCGATCGGGATCAGTCGCGACAGCCGCGCCACGGTCCAGCAGTGTCTAGACGACCGCACGCTGCGGGTGCTGCACAAATTTCTGCAAAACGGTCTGCTCGAAAGCATCCACGGGTGCATTTCCACCGGGAAAGAAGCAAACGTGTACGCTAGTACGACCAAGCGGGATTTGGTGGCGCACTACGGGTCCGATGCGGCGTCCGTGGTGGGGGGCGAGGAGGGGGTCCCAAGAAAGTCGGCTGACAATACCAACCAAGGGGGCCTAGCACAAGAGGACGTGGTCGAAGCAGAACATGCGATCGAGCGGGATCATTCCGACTCAGATCACGACGACGACATGGAGCCCGAAGAGGAGAATTGCAATGCCGCCCTGAAATCAAGTGCGCGGGGAGTGCCGAAAACCAACCACAATAAGGGCTTCAGCAACAAAAAGAAAGCGTTCTTGATGGAGAACGCAGAGCAGCCTATCGGACCGCAAGAGGAGCAGCTCAACAATCCAGGGAATAAAAAGAACAAGAATAATCGCTACCGGACGAACCCTCTAAAAGCGCAGCGATTAGCGAAGGCCGCCGCAGCCGCTGACCAAGCAAATTCGGCCGAGAACACAGCAAACACGCAGCTCCAGCAGCCACACGCCCTGCCGCAGGTAAAAAACGCAGAAGTGACGCAGCACCTCGCAGTGAAGGTTTTCAAAACCTCAGTGCTGGTCTTCAAGGATCGCGCACGCTATACTGAGGGGGATTACCGGTTCAGGTATTCCTGCACTAAAGGGAACCCCAGGAAGGTGGTCGCGCAATGGTGCGAGAAAGAGTTCCGGAACCTGATGCGCATCCGCCAGAAGGCGAAGCTCATCAAATGCCCGTTTCCCATCGAGCACCGCGGCAACGTTCTAGTCATGACACTTGTCGGGGACACTCAAGAAGGCGTCGCTGCGCCAAGGTTGAAGGACGTGAATCCAGAGAACATTCCCTGCACCACCGACGTTCTTAAGCCCGACGATGATGAAATAACCAACAAGTGGAACGCGGTTTACCTTCACTGCGTGCGCATGATCCGGGACCTTTTCCAAAGTTGCAAATTGGTGCATGGCGATCTGTCTGAGTACAACATGCTCTACTACGACCAGAACGTGTACATGATCGACGTCTCTCAGTCCGTGGAGATGGACCACCCGCAGGCACTAGACTTCTTGAAGCGCGACTGCCAAAACGTCAACGCCTTCTTCGAGAAGCAGGGGGTGGAGGTACTGCCGTTGCGGTGGCTCTATCAGTGGGTGGTGGACGAGAGGGAGGATGATCTGGAGGAAATTTTCACTTTCGAAAAGGAAGCGGCCGATTACGCCCAGGAGGACGAATTCAGGAACACCTGGGTGCCGTCGAATTTGCACCAAATTTCGGAAGTCGGCGCCTTGGAAAAGGATATGGCAAAGCTGCAGCGTGGCGAGTCGGTAGTGCTGGATAGAGTTTTTTTGAAATGAAGTGCATACCCATGCTTAGCCGGGAGTTCTCGATGGCAGACTGGTGTTTGTGTTTCACTTTCGCATCAAGAGCATGGCAATAAATCATTTTTTTCAAGAAAAAACGTACAGGTGCTGGTGAACAACCTTCTAGCGGATCGCAGAAACAGCCTGCTTTCCTCTGTTTCCGAGGAGGAATCGGACGCGGACGAGGAAGGCAGCGACGATGAGGAAAATCCGAACAGAAACAAGGAGGAGTCCAGCGTCCAGAAGATCGTGAAGCAGCAGCGTGCAGAGCGACGGGAGAAGCATTTGGAGAAGTGGAGAAAATACCGCGAAAAGAAGCGGGAAAAGAAAACAAGCTGCGGCAAGTCGGAGGTCAGTTCCACTTGCGTTACGAGCGAGCACTTGGAGGACGACGTTGAGGAGGGGCTGAAATCGGTTCTAGAAGATCATGCTGCGACTAGAGAAGAAGTTGTCGCAAGTCCTGATCTGGCAGAAAAAACCGTCGAGCGACTACTCCCTCCCGAAATTACAGACGAGAAGGACAGTAGTAGCAGTGAAGACGAAGCAGACGAATCGGCTGTAGCTGCTTCTCCAATCATCGACGCCACGCCAGCAGAGGACCTACCGGTCGAAGGAGCCGATGCTGACGACAAGAAAAAAAGACCGCCGAAAGAAAAGAAGCTCCCTGAAGGCGTACGGGATCCCAACGTGAGCAAGGCGGAGTGGAAGGCGCAGGTCAAGAAGGAAAAGGAGGAGAAGCGTGCGGAAAAGATTCCGAAAAAACTGAAGAAGAAGCACGGAAAAAAGTGATCGTCTTATTTGTCTTGAATACGACTGAGAATTTGATGAAAGCGACAGCGAACGACTCTGAAATTTCGAAAAGCTCTCCTGCAACCATGGATAAACGCTACTACGCAGAAGCAAAATGCTTTACGTGGGAAGTTCTTCGTCACAAGATGCGCTTTGCGAAGGCTGGAGCTGGATGTTCATGCTTGTCGTCGAATTTCGTTGAACATCTACTATTTTATTGAGAATAGCATTCCCCACTTTGATAGAGAATCCTTTGAAAACAAGTTTTCCAACATCCCACTTGTTAGTTACGTAGAGTTGTTATCCTCGTCGTAATTTCCGATCGTAACCACGTCGTATCGTTGAAGCCGAATCGTCTATCTGTCGTCATCAATGTAAAAAAAAGCATGCTTTCCCTCCAGACTTTTCCTTCGCAAAATCGTCTCGCTTATTCGAAAGAATTGCCACAGCCGTTATTTTTTCTGGGGTGCGAATCAAAAAGCCAGACTGGGTGAGAGAGCGCAGAACGTATTGCTGATAGAGTGATTGAAGACGGAAAAGCCACCTTTTCACAACTTTGAAACAAGTTAACACTGACAACAATGGCGGAAGAACAGATTCTTGAAGTAGCTGCTGCTGTGGGCGAGGAATCCCCGGCTCCGGTCGAAGAAGTGCCGACTGCAGTGGAGGAGACGCCGGCTGCAGCGGAGGTGGAAGCTGCACCTGCAGAGGAAGCTGCAGTGAAGACAGATGCGGCACAGGAGGTAGCTGCTGTGGAAGAGGCACCGGCGGTTGAAGAGGCAGAGGCTGTGGCGGAAGTCGAGCAGGTTGCTGAAGAGCCAGCTGTTGCTGAAACAGAAGAAGCTGCCGCAGAGGAGGCTCCCGCCGCTGAGGAGGTCGCTGCACCAGAGGAGGTGCCAGCGGAGGCAGCAGTCGAAGAGGAAGCGGCGGCCGCCGCCGAGGCAGCAGAAGAGGCAGAAACGCATGTCGTTGAAGGCGAGCCTGCTGCGGTTCCCGAGGCGGGGGAAGTCGTGGAAGCCGTTGCGGAGGCGGTTGCCGAGGAGCCGGTAGAGCACGCGGCTGACCCGGTCGTCGAAAGCGTCGTGGTTCCGCAGGAGGACGCGTTGCTCCACACGATTGCCGAGGAAGAAACGAAGGACATCTTCGATGAGGTCGACGTCCTCCGTACCGACTTAACGGAGATCCCGGTGGAAACCGAGCTGGACGAAGCGGAGTCCAAATATCCAGGAAAAAACACCCATCCACATCCAATTTGTCATGCAAAACAAACATAAAATTCTGTGTTTGTCATGCAAAAAATCGATGTGGATGGGTTTTTTTTCTGTGGATACCAAAGTGCACCGCCACGTCGCCATCGAAGAGGAGCACCAGGTCGCGGCGCACGGGAGCACCAGCACGTCTTTGGAAACGCAGAAGGTGGACCAGGCGTCTACTCTAGCGAAGACCCCGACGAAGAAGAAAGCCTCCACCACGCATGGCTCCACCTCGATGTCCGGGTCCTTGTCCCCGTCGAAGCACCGTATCGCAAGGAAAAATTTCCCCTCCCCATATTGAAGCGGTAGGTTTTCGAAAAATTGTGTTGCTGATTTGAGGTCACAAATCACGTTTGTGTTGCAAGAAGACAAGGGCAGCAGCTTCCGTCCCATTATGGAGGCGGTTTGTCATGCTGTTGAGCCAACACCACGGACGCTTTTCATGCTAAGCGCCTAAGTCAAAGCCTCTCTACTCAGGCTTGGTATGGGTCTGCAGTCCTCTCCAGCAAGACAAATGCGATTTGTGTACTCAAATACAGCAACACAAACTTCGCTTTCGATATGGGGAGGGGGGATTTTTCCTCTCAATACACCGCGCGGCGTCCTTGCTTTCGCACAACACGAAGAGCCTGCCGCCGCTGCGGAAACTACTGCACGAGTGGAGCTACCTCGAGCACCCGGAGCCGGAGGCGCGCGTCTCCAAGCCCCCGATCGAGAAGCCCACTAACGGACCTGCGATCGAAAGCATGATGTCGTTCATGACGCTGGTGCAGGACATGTGCAAGCCGCTCGAAGACTACGATTTGGACAATTTGCAGCTGCTGGACGAACCGTCCACCCTGCTCGGCGAGCCGTCGACCACGACGCTGGAGGGCGCGGCGACCAGTCTGTCCATGGAACATCACAGCATCGACGAAGTAACTCCTGCTGCTGCCACCAACCTGCACGAGTCCTCGATCATCACGCTCGGGGACAATCAGGAATCCTCGATTGACGCCGCCAGCATGATTCTGCAGCGCGATTTGTCGCGTGTGTCCGCGCCGTCTGGTGCGGTAAACCCGTATCTGTTGTTGGACAACGACCCGAACGCGCGCATGCTGCCGAGACCCGAAGGCGTGGAGGTGGTTGACGAGAGCAAGAAGATCGACCCGAAGCTGGTCGAGCAGGGGCTGGTTTCGGAGGATTACACGGCCGAGTGGGCGAAGATGACCGCGAAAGTGTACAGCGAAAAGTCTCAGTCCTGGATGGACGACAACTGTCTGATGACCGCCGCGGCGTGGAAGGTGCAGTCCACGGAGCAGCAGCGCGCGTACTTGGAAGGCATGGCGGACTGTCTGTCCGCGATTTCCAAGGGTCGGGTGAAGATCTTTGAGAATCCAACGCACGTCGAATTAGCGCAGCAGATGCGGCCGGCCGGAAACGCAATGGACCATCTGGCGCAGGCGATCCTGATGATGCAGCGCCTATACCTGCGAGGGTAGGGATTTTTTTTCCTGGTTCGGATGCTGACCTCCTGTCTTTAGAACAGTGCTGTTCAATGAGCAGAAAAATTAATTTCGCGAAACAATTACTTTGAAGATATCGGCTGTCGAAAACAGCATCGACATCGAGCGCCGGGGACATTAGTGGGCCAGGTCATTTCTTTGCCACGTCTTGTGTATGGCCATGGTATCTCGGGAAATCAGGTTATATTTGCATCTCGTGGTGGGCCACCTTGTTTAGGCCCAAACCCAATATCGAGCACAGCAACAAGCGCCGAGGATGCCAAGCAGACAGGTTTGCGCGGCAAATGTGACTGTCTTTCCCCAATGTCGAGCGTGGCGCCTGGCGCTGTGAATGCTAATCAGATAGTTTTGCGCAGCAGCTTAGGAACTTTGTTTCCCAATGAATGTCGAGCATAGCGTCTGCGCCGTGAATGCTAATCACACAGTTTTGCCCGGTTTTTCGCGCGCTAACTTTGATCTGAATTAGGTCCAATGTCGAGTGTACCGCAGGGCTTCGTACATGCTAATCAGACAGTTTTGCGCGGCAGCTCAGGAATTTTTTTGCCCAATATCGAGCACAGCGGCGGGCGCCGTCAATGCTAGTCAGACAACTTTGTGCGGTCTTTTCCGCGGGGGCCTTGAACTAAAGTAGTTCCATTGTCGACCATTACACCGTCGGGCCGCGGGGATGCTCATCAGACAGATGAATGTCCCATGCCCCGTGGATGTAATTTATGACTGCGTCAGACGCCTCATACGCCTACGAATTGTCCAGGTATGCCGTGGACGGTGTGGATTACCAATTCCGGCTCCGCAGCAAGTACATCCCGGATCCCTTCGCGGCAAAGCAACCCACCAAGACGTACGGACGGGAGAAACGAGACTTCCGTTCGGAAAGGATCAAAGCGGAAATTGCGAAAAAGGAGGAACGCATGCAGCAGCACCTCTCTGCGAAGAAGAAACAAGCTAGTTCCAAGCAGGGCGCTCCGGACATGACTGATTCGGCCGCTACCACGACGAGAAAATTGCCAGCGCTCCAGTCACCGAAGAAGCCGAAGGAGAAGCGGAACGCGTTTCTGGCGGAGATGGAGCGCCGCTCGTTCGTCCCAGTGCACGTGACCCCACAGGACTTGAAGAAGCGCAGAAGGCAGGCGTTTCTGGAGGACAGCCACTTGTCCGAGGAGGCTCGGTACGACATGAGCACTAACCACAACAGCGTGCAGCGGAAGGAACTTTCCTTCGAGCCATTGTACGTGGCCGTGCGATCCGGAGAATCCGTCGAGCAGGTGCGGGAGCTGGTGGCGCTGCAAAACCCGCTGCAGGCGCGGGCCAGTCAGGAGGAGGAAGAAGAGGAGAACAACCGACAGAGTGGTGGCAAGTCGCGCAGGGGGGCAAAGAAAAAACTCAAGGATCTGTTCTCCGGTTTCGCCAGTTTGGAAGACTACAAGACACCGGAGATGCAGGTACTTCCAAGAGAGTAATTGATGGATTTCTACATACCTTTTTTTCGACGGCACAAATTGATTGAAAAACTCATCACCCTTCCCCCTATCCGTATCCTCAAACTACCACAGGAATACCAGAGTTATCCGACCCAAATGGTCCGCTACGCAGAGTGGGTGTTTCAGGAATTCGGTTCTCCCGATCGTGCTCTCCGCGCTCTGGATATGAACGGAAACGGAATCTTGTCGCTGCCCGAGTTCTTGATCGCCATGAAGAAGCGGATGCCGCTGCCCTTCGAAGTGGACCTGAAACTGATCTTCAACCAGTTGGACATCCAGCGGAAGGGACTGATCAGTATTGATTTGTCGTTTTTGTTGTAGGCGTGAGTGAGTCTGAGTCCTCGCATGCGAGACAACTTTGCTGTTTCACTTTCGCGCATCTGAAATTTCAAAAACTCACAGTGCCGTCGGATGTTTTGGTCCTGACCCGCATCATGGAGCTGCGGGAGAAGATCGAGCACGATGTGAAGACGGGGCAAGTCGAAAAGATGCTCTTGCAAGAGCGGGAAGACTTCGTGTCCCCGTTCCGCGCGAAAGTGCACCGGGCGAGGAACGCCATTCAGCTGCAGCACTCGCAGTTCATGTCCAATCCGGCGACGCAGAAGTGAGAGGTGCGAAAATGGTAAGTGCTTGGGTTTGTATGTATTTCGTAACACTAATTTTCGCTTCAAAGCACTAATTTTCGCTTCGAGTATGTACCGGTGCGATTTCAAACAAAACATTACTATATTCAGTTTTCAGCAAATTCAACCGGGCGGAGATGAATCGTTTGATGAGAAGTAATACGCGTTCGTATACTAGCTCCAGAAAAAAGTTGACGTATCAGACAAACTAAGTAAACCAAAATTTTAGTAGTAGCAGGATCGATTCAGCAGAACTTGACAAACTCTACCTTAACTTTTCAGATTCAGAAACTGTATTTATCGTTGGCACAAATCAGCAAACGCAAGAAGCAAATCTTTCAGAAAATCTTTTCAACCAAACGCATGTACAATAATTTTGTTTTTAGTTTTTACTTTACGCAATTTTGCGGGCGCGATCTCGAGAGGAATTCTAAGAAACTTCAACTCTCTCAGATGAACTTGTGTACAAAATTTTAACCGGGAATAGAGAAATGAAAAACATGTTTGCGATCACCACACTAAGAAGTCGATGGATGAGCAACTGCTGTTCCAAAGCGTAAGCGTCAGAAAAGGGGATCGCTTCACTTTCACTTCAATACTCATCCGCAACAGCGACGTCACGAATGGAGTTGAGCTTTACTTGTCGGCAAGAGACATGGATCCGGTTCGAAATGCTAAAGAATTATTTCCGAGATGAAAAATAAAAGCTGCCCTCCGATTCCTGAGACACTAGACTTTCTCATCCAGAGTTAGAAGAACTCTTGCGCGCGACACAAGAGCGCGGAAAACATGTCGTATGCTTACGTTCCTCACGGGAAGCAAGGGTTCGTGAACGGGTGGGAGCGCGGCGATCCTGTTCTCGTTCGCACCGACAACGTAGCGGATTTGCAATGGGGCACACCAACAGCACCGTGGCTGGAAACCGAGGAGGAGTGGTTCGCATACAACGAGAGGGGGGAGATCCCGGCCGAGACCGCGACACGACTCGCCGAGTTTCACGCTTGGAAGGCCGAGTACGACGAGTACAACCGGGCGGTGAAAGAAAATGATACCGCAGTCCTCGAGAAGTTCAAGATGGCGGAGTACGAACGCCAGGAGGCGGAGATCGCACGGATCCGCGAAGAGGCGATCAAGGAGCGGGAAGAGCAAGACCGAGCGAAGCGCGAGGAGCGGCGACGCTTGCAGGAGGAACGCGAGCGCGAACTCGAGCGCGAGAAGGAGGAACGGAAACTCGTGCGGGCCGCAAACATGTTCGACGCCTTCGGAGCGGAGGGAGCGAAGGAAGAGCCCCGTGCCGGGCGGGATCGCGAGGAGCGGAGGAGCCCGCGCCGCAGCGGGGGTCGGCGCGGACGCCGCCACGATTCTCCCGACACGGACGACGCCTCGATGGACGAACGGGAGAACCCGATGCGGATCAGGTACTTCAGAAGAGTGGACAATCTGTACAAGGGGGAAAAAATGCACGAGGAAAAGTACAAGCTGCTCTACGAACGGATCAAGAAAGGTTACAGTGCGAAAAAGTACCGGGGTAGAGAAGTGGAATTCATCCACCCGCGCAAGGAGAGCAAGAAGCCCCTTCCCGGCGAGGATGCCAGACCGTTTCGGAAGGAGTTCAGTTCCATCGACCGGCTCGAGCACGTCAAGACGGCGGTCCAGCTGTTTCACACGAGCAGGTACAAGAAACGATTTTTGGAAGACTACCTTCAGAAAGACGCCGTGGCCGAGTTTCCGAAACCGAACATGGAGTTTTTTCTTCCCTACAATCAGGACGTGCTCAAAAAGGACGTCTACTTCGACTGCGCGTCCACTCTCGCCGCTTTCGAAGACGCATTGCACACGAAAACCTGCGGCATGAGCCTTGGCGGCGGGCACACGCAGGCCGCACCGCACGGCGGCGACCAGTACTGCGTCGTCAATGACATCGCCATTTCCCTCCAAGTTCTTCGCGCGAAAGGGATGCTGAAGAAAGGCGCTCTAGTGATGGATTTCACATCGCATCGCCCGAACGGGCTGAACAACTTTTTTCCCCCCCTCTACAAAACCACGGTGCGGGGCGGCGTCCTCGGTGTTTACGAGCCGGAATTCGCCGTCGACAAGGAGAACGATGTGCTCCGCTTTATCCAGCCGCACAACCGGTTTGGTCTCGAGGACGGCGACGTGTTGGACCATTTGTACCACCACAAACTGAACAAGGCAAAAGTGGGGCGGATCAACCGGCCGGTCCCTGACTACGAGTGCGCCCCGGAGTTCTGGAGTGCGGTCGTGGAGGAGGATCCGGAATTTTCCCCCTTTTTCGAACGGATTCCCCACCCGTACGTGAAAACAGTTTCTCTACACGCGCCCTCCGACGCGTTCGAGCACCGCAGGAGAAGCTTCATGGACAATGAACTTTCCATGAACGCCAAGGACGAGGAGTACCTGGAAATGGTGAAGCAAACACTGCAAGACGTCGAAGAATACTACGGCGCGAAGGAGTACCTGTCTGACACCTTCGATCTCGTCGTTTACGTCGCCGGCGCAGATCCGCACAAGTCCTCCGTCCCCTCCATCAGCAGCTTAGACGTGAGTAAAGAAGCGTTGCGGCAGCGAGACCGGTGGGTGTTCAAGTTCTGCGAGGAAGCGTTTCTCCCAACGGCGGCGGTTTTGGCGGGCGGATACAGCGCGAATGTGAAGGACGTGGTGGACATCCACTACAATACGTTCAAAGAGATGTTTAATACGTTCTACGACAAGAAGGTTCCCGTCCCGATCGTGTTACCTCGAGACGACAACTTCCGACTCGACCCCAGCAGTGCCGCGGAGGACACCAGCAACGACGCGGTGATCCCCAGTCTGAAGGAGTTGGAAGGAAATGAAAAAAGAGCTTCGTCGTTCGAAGCCTTTCTCGCAGCAGAGGAGGGCACATCGAAGTCTTCCGGGGATGAACAGAGTAAGGGCGACGCGGACCTGAGGCTCGACGTCGGCGAAGTAGCGGGCGCTGCCGGGGGAAACCAAACTGCTTGGGACGGCGGAAACTACTGGGACGTTGACGACACTGGGGGTCCAGGGCAAGCAGCGGAGCCGGAATCCTTTTTGGACCTTTACGCGTCAGAACTGGCAAGCAGCGGCGAAGATCACAAGGGGGGAACGCCAGGTGCTGGCGAGGGGTGGGACACACCATTGTAGAAAAACATTTTTTCATTAGCGACAATAAGTCTGATGATCTTTGCGTAATTACTGGAATGGTTCTGGAAGACATCTTGAAACAGATGCGTGCTCGTTTGATAGATAAATCCGAGATGAGCTTCGGATAAAGAACGACCGCGACAGAACAAGGACAACGAGCCAAGAGCAACTCGCTCCCCGATCTGAAGTTGTCTCTGTGCAGACTCTATATGTCTGCATGTATGTGCTTATCTAGAGAAAGAATTATGAACTTCGGATATTTGATGAAGAATGGAGTTACTGCTTTGCTGTTCCGCCACCAGAGGGCCGCACGGTATTAATGCACAGACACCACAACTGCTGGGTGTTGATGCAACCGCAACGACTCGTGTGCGAGTGTGAGTAGCTTTCGACGGTCTCTAACCGGTGCTTGTCTTTACTGGTAATAAGTGATAACGTGGCCGAAACGCGTTGTCAACCACAGTCCTTTCCGTTGATTGCAGATATTTGCCGGAGTGGCACTAAAACCAAAAAAAAAAAACAAGAATGGGCTCTCCCTTGTGGTCTGTTTTGTTCACTGCTTCGCACCGTGTGCGCATAATTTTGGTAACAACTCTTGCCGTGTTTACGCAATTTGCGCAGCAGCTTGTGTCATCGCAACTGCAACCGTCGGAAGAAACCCTTTCTGACACTTCCACGCGCTGGACCTCCCGTCCGTGGTCGCATTTCCGGGAAACCCTTGTCGACGACTTAATCCAGTTCTCCAAAATTTACAAGGACCGGCCGCTGGAGCACAACAGATGCGGTGTGCAGTTCAACCACGCCTTTGGCTTGTGGCGGGAAGTGAAGCGTCTAGCGGACAGAAACGCAATCGATACCGTTCTGGAGAGCGGATTTAACCAGGGCCAGTCGACGTATTTGCTGCGACACGCGCTCGGTGTCCACGAAAATGGCACGGATGCGCTGTTGTGGAGACACGAGCAGCAGGAAAGTCGAGCGGGAAGTAATCAAGAAAAAGTAATCATCTCCATGGATCCTCTATCTGAGCCTATTTGCCAAGGAGATAGACGCCGAATTTTCATCAATTCCGCGGCACATACGTATCTTTTAGGCCCCTTTTTCACCGACATCACGGACCTTGATTTTGCCCAAGGAAATCTAGCGGAATCGCCACAAGAACTGCAGAGATTGCTCAGCGAGCGGATTACAAATTTGCGGATGAATGAGGGGATACGCGATCAAAAACGCGAAGGGGAATCACAGGAATCTACGGAAAAGGCTTCTGGTCATTTATTTCAGAGTGCCTGCGAAAGTCGATGCAAAAGCCAGTGCAAAAGTCACGAAGTCCAGGGTCACGACCGCAGCAACGGCAGCCGCTCGCTTGCCTCCTCATTTAATATTTCGCGCATGATTTATAACCCGGATCTTACAGAGTTGCGTATCGTCGAGCTAGATCTCCTGGATGCGGAAGAGTCGCACCCCCAGCCGCTCCTCGAAGAGAAGGCAGGGTCTTACCAACCGGCTGCTGACTCAAAAATTGATCCGTTCTGGCTGCGAACCTTCTACGACGCGGTCAAACCGGAGCGAGCGTTGGTCTTTCTTGACGATCACGTAGCGCCGCTCGTGCGACTCGCCAGCCTGCGCGCGCGCGGCTTCAAGCGCTTCATTCTTGACGACAACTATCCGCCCGGGCTAGGCTGGAGCCGAGGGGAACGTTTGCTTACGCCGAAACAAATTCTTGCGAGCGCCGGCCGGGGGTCGGGGGAGAGGGAGTCTGTGCGACCCGTTGCGTCAGTAGAAGAAAAAGGAGCGGCTGCAAGTGCATCTGCAGCCGCGACCAAGATGAAGAAAACTGCGGAGCTAGAGTGGTTTGAAAACAATGTGGTTGAGTACACGGTGATTCCTCCGGTTCTTAGTTTCCCTGCGCTTTTCGGCACAGAGGAGACCACGGAAGGTATTCTACAGTGGAACTTCCACAAACGCTTCAGCAGCGCGGAGGGCGTTGGGAGCTGCTTTCGCAGGATGGGCGGGGAAAAAGTGGACCCAGCGGCACTACTCAACGCGGAACATGACGATGACATGCACATTGTTGATAGAATCATGATACGCACGCTGAATTTTAACCTCTTGGACGTTCAGACCGATCCTGAAAAGTATCTCCACTATTTTGGCTACTGCTGGATGTCTTACATCGAGCTCAAGTGACAGAATGGACGAGTCGTGGTTCCCATGATGTGCTGTGCGTTCATACTAGTGTCATCTTTGTTCTTTCAGCGACTCGGCACGGCAGCTGCAAGACCAACACATACAAACGTGCTTTGCCCGTTCTGACTTTACCCAGAAAGAAGAAGCGCAGCACGTGTTGATGCGATGAATGACCTTCAGTGATGTAGTTTTGGACACATAGTAGAATCAGAGTCCCTGCTATTTCGTCTAGCGTACCATGGATTATTGTGTTTACCGTACAGCTGCTTTCTGTTGGCGTTGCTTCCCTGTGTTTGCTTTGTTATTCTGCCACCTTCCACTCTGCTCATCCACTCTCCTCGAAGACGCGGATTGTTGCGGCTGTCTGTGGTCGCACCTTGGCAGGCACCACGAGTGGTGTCCAAGTCCGCGCCATCGAGCACCTGCGGTCCAGCGAGTACTAAGCGAGGAGGGGAGCGGTGGCGCGAGGAGTAGCTCAGCTTCTACTTCTGCTGGAGGTCAACATGCACATCCTCTTTCCAGCGCAGCATCGTCTGCCGGTAGCGACGAGCAGCGATTGTGTTGTCGCATCTGCTTTCAGGAGGAGGACCCGGAAGATTTCCTAGGGTTGCCTTTCACAAAAAGCCGCCGAAAGATACCCAACTTTCTCGGTGTTGACGTATGCAACTGCAGGGGCACACAGAGTGCGGTACACTTGCGGTGTGTCCGGGAATGGCAACAGGCAAAATTGCAGCAGAGCCGGGTTTGTGTGTGGGACGTAAATTATTGCCCAACTTGCAAGGAAATGTACCGGGACAGCCGGCTAATGGTGTATCTGAAAGCTACTCGGCACCACGCAGACGAGGCTGTACCCGTCACCAGTTTATTTTCCGCACTGTTTTCTGTCGTTTGTTCGGCTTGTTGCCGCCGAGGACAGAAGAGACCGCTCGGACCTGCACTCTTCCGGGATTCAGACCACAACGACATTCATTTTGACGTGGGAGACAGTATGAAGCACAGTCCGCTCGCGCGGCTCGCGCGCCAGCAGCAGGAGGACGCGGAGCCGGGACTGCGCCGTCTTTTTCGTCGGTTGGTGTTGGACGACGTCCACGCGGCGGAGGACGATTTCGAGGATGACGTGAACGAAATCAACGAGTTTTTTCGGGTCCCGCGCAACCCTTTTTTCCCGGCCAATCTACGACCCCGGGCCCTGGCGGAGCGGCGCGTTGATGCTAATGCGCGCCGCAACGGACGGAATCTTCGGGGTCTGCAACTTCCTCTTCATCCGGAGCAAGGTGGCGTTGCTCCTGTACAACAACGGCATTGTGCGCTGTTGTGTGCCGGATTTGGGGTCACGTTGACGATCGCGGCTCTGTGTAGCAAGGTAGCCGAGGCGGGGACGCTCGAGATGCAATGACGCTGAGGGGTCCACCCAGCTGGTCCACGCTCCTGCTCTAATGCATGGGTTTGTGGGCCTTCTGTTGCTTGTACTTTGCTGCGTGCGCCTACGGACGTACCAACAACGAAGATCTGTTTGTGAAGTAGAGCTTGATCATCTTTTGATAGTTCATGTACAATGCACTGCCACACGAACGCAGAATGAAGATTGAAATGGCCCGGTCCCTCTAGATTGTACTAGATTGTAGGCGAACGATGATGGTCTGAGAAACACAAACACAAAAGTACGGAACACAAAGCGTGATTGAAGCCAGTAGTTCTCCATGCTATTTGCGGATGATACTTGGCATCCGTCGTATTCCGAAATGATAGATCAGCTTCAGCTCCAAGAAATAGGACCAGAAACAAGAAGAATGGCTCTGTTCAGAAAAAGTGCCGATGCTCTTTCATCTCCACGTGCTTTGCAAAGATCCGCGGAGAGTATCTATCTGCTGGTGCTGCCCTTGCTTACGCTCTGAACGCTTGAATGAATTATTGGCACTTTTACTTTACCCAGGCGAGCGGACGTAGGTGAAGCAGTAATGATGCCTATGTGCGCGCCGTGGCTGTTAGCCAGGAGGACTTAGTATCACAATTCATAGTGATGGCATGTTGTACACTTGAATAGTACATACACATGTTCTGTCGCAAGCGGCGGCTACAAGTTTCGACCACAATCGAAGAAGCGTAAATTCTCTTAGTGATGAAAATTTGTCTATCTGTTTTTGAGCCAAGTTGGTCTTCTACTTCTAGCCATACGACTTATATTTATAGCCAAACGAGCGCTTCTGTACCCTCAGCTCCTGAACGTGTTTTTTTTGTAGCTCTAACCCGAAGGAACCTTATCCTAGGGTCCGGCTGACATGTCCAAGGTGAATCTGTCAGATCCTAGTCAGGTTGTTGCGCAGCACTTCTTCTACTAACTAAGACACAAAGAGAATCCTGACCAGACTGGCCTATCGGCTTGGATGTGCCGCACATGGATGAACGAGAACCTGAGCTCCCATATTGGCACGTTGCGTAAGTAACGCTGTTGGCCATCTTGAGTTTGTATATTGCCTGACCGCGCGATTGCTCAAGTATAACACGCTTGTTTGTACAACTCCTTACTATAGCTTAGGTTCTATCTTCGGACCGACGAAGCAAGAACGCTGCTACACTACACTAGAAAAATAAAGCTTACTATCTTTCCCGACCGTAATAGCGAGACCAAAAGAAAGTGAGTATAACACAAACTAGTACAAGATGACAGCACCTTCTGGGGAACACTCGCAGCAGCAGCAGCAGCAGCCTCCACCCAACAACATGCCCGCGATTGAGGATCCAGGAGAGCCACCGTCAATCCATGAAAGCCAGCCACGGAGCAGCTCGATCCACGATGGCACGGCACGGAGCTCGACCTACGAACATCCAGAGGCAGTGGAGGATGTGGAAGACGTGCGAACGCGCTTCAAGTATCAACATTTTTCCTGCTGCTTGGACCACCGATGTTTTTCACGCACGATGTATCTTGCCGTTTTACTTCTAGATTTAGTCGTAGATGAGGTGTGCGTGTTTCTAGTACCAGTGTAGAAGCCATACATTCCAGCAAAGTTTTTCATCCAACAGAACTCTCCCGCCGCTGCACCCGCACGAAGTGGAACTTCGTGTGCCTGTCACGGAGCTATCGAGGCCAATTGCCCCCGAAAAATTTCGTTCCAAGATTGAGTCAGTTGGTGGTTTTGTTTTCGGCTTGCTAATTTTTCCGCGCGGGACCAAATCCGGGCGACAGGACAACACGAAGGACACGCGCTGGATCTCGGCGTTTGTCGAGGCACGGCCATCCGAGGACTACCCGCCAAATTGGTACTTACTAGGTTTTTTCGCAAAGATCTCGTCCAACAAAAGTCGGACCATTATTCAAGTAATGCCCCCAAAAACCATGCATGCATCCCCCCCCCCCCCATTACTCAGTGCAGGGAAAAGGTGGCCCGCGCCGCTGTTCCTCCCACGGTATGGTGGTGATTTGGTTACTTCTTTCTGTATTCGTCGCGGCCCTTCGCAAAGCGGTTCCGCGGCGGGACGCCCCTCACAAATAGTATACCTGATCGCCAAAACCCCAGAGCAATGGCCCTCATCGCAGCGAGAAAAAACAAAGAAAAAAACTCGCGCGCGTCGTGACCTTCTTGAAAAAGAAGGCCGCGCCTTCCGCAGCCACCCAAAATTTTTGGCTTGCCGCGGCGCTGCGCGCCGCTCGTTTGTTTTGTTTTTCCCCACCCAACACGTAGGGGCGTGCAGAATTTTCGTGAGAGTGAGAGGAAAAAAGCGACAGCGGGGTGTGCTCGCCGTCTCACTTCAGCCCGAATCTGTCTTGTTGTTCAGTTTGCAATTTGTCACGCACTTGTTATTGAAATGGCTATTAGTCCTTCAACTTTCCACCAGAGTGCTGAAGTACCCATCTCAATAGCCGCTGCGTGACACGTTGCTTGCAAACTGAAGCTGGACAACAACGCAAATTGTTGGAGTGCCCACTTCAACAATTTGCACAACGCAAATTGCTGAAGTGGCTACTTCAACAATTTGCTGCACAACGCGAATTGTTGAAGTGACCACTTCAACAATTGGCAGTGCACATTGCTGAGATGGCCACTGCAACAATTTGTGTTGTGCAAATTGTTGGGGTCACCATTTCAACAATTTGCACAACGCAAATTGTTGATCATGCAGCTTCCAACAAAACTGTCATGCAGTTTTCACGTCTGAGCGAAAACTGTATGACGAATTTCCATGGTAAAACGCATCAAATTGCATGACGAGTTTCCATATTGGCGAACTTGTCATGCAAAATTCATCAAATTGCTGAGCCTGAATTTGGAATGGCTACGTCCCTCATCGAAGGAAAGTTGAAATGGCCACTTCGATTTTCCCTCATCGAAGGAAAGTCGAAGCGGCTATCTCAGCGCTCCTTTCTGCAGGAAAGTGGGAGGAGCCGCTTCAGCAGCCTTCGTACCTCTTTCGTCCTTCATTTCTGCATGACAAATTTCCAAACTTGGAAATTTGTCATGCATAAATGAAGGACCACAGAATGCCAAAGTTGTTGAAGTGGCGCTGGATCTCGGCGTTTGTCGAGGCACGGCCATCCGAGGACTACCCGCCAAATTGGTACTAGGTTTTTTCGCAAACAAGAAAAATTTTTGTGGTATTTACGAGATTGTTTCCTTGTGTTTTTATTCCGAGATTATTTTCTGCTTTAGCTAAGCCTTTACATCACTGCAGGTACTTTCAAGACGTGCAGTTTCTGGTCTCGCTGATCAATCACGGTAACATTTCCAATTCTATCGTGAAGCACGACAAGCACACTTTTTCACCAACCGAGTCTTCCGATGGGAAAGCCATCGACCGCGGCTGGCATGATTTTGTGTCCTGCGACGAAGCAACTTTGCGGAATGGGGGCTTCGTGGACCCACGCGACGATACCGTCTGCTTCCGTGCGTCGGTCTACCTGGCCGGTGGGCCGATGAAGGTCAATACGCCGGCGTCGTCGGGTGTCGGACCAAACGCGGCCGTGAATCCCTTCACACCCAACACCAAAGCGCGCACACGGTACACCGAGCTGCAGAAATGGCACTGTGGGGACCCGATACAGCCGACCTTCATTAACTCGCTGTGCCAAATCTGGTTCCACCTCGGTGCGTTCAGAAATCTGATCTACCAAACCGACGTGCCCATGCTCAAAGACTGCGCCAGGGGTCTCTACAAACAAATGCAGGCCGCGGAAATGGGTATTTCAACTTGATTTTTGCTCTAATAAGTATTTTTCTGTGGAACAATTTTTGTTTACATTTTGTTACGTACCTTGTTTTTCTGTTTTCCTTCGAGGTTTGCTGCTTCTGATTTCTGATTTTGTCCGAAAATCAGTATCGCAGCACGGTCTCTTCGGTTCTTCCTCTTCCACCTCCCGGTCAAGTACTTTTCTATTGCTAAAGAGTGGCTGACGTCCGTGTTGTTGGTTGTGCGTCTGTTGCTTTCTGTTCTTGCGCGACCTTTTGTAGACGAAAATTGAGATGGTCCTCTGAAGATATGACGAACAAAAAGCAACATGTTTTTATTTGCCATCCTGCGGAACGAAAACACAACACAGTCGAAGGGGTGCCCGGGAGGAGGAAAATTTTTGACATAAGATACCCGGGAAAGCGGTTTATGAAAATAACAAATGTGTTGAACAACAAAAAATCTGACCCCGATAACCCCGCTGCAGCCGACATGTACAAGGACGGGCCAGAGGAATTTGTCGATTACGCAGTCGGCAGCAGCTTGATCCTCGTTCTGCGCGAGGTGTTCGCGCGCCTGCAGCACCGCCAGGGGCCTGCGAGTGCGGCCCGGGTGGCCAGCGTCGTCAGTTTCCAGAAGTCGGACCTGGAGGGCACTGTGCACGTAAGTTGATTTTTTTGCTGTACTACGTCGAATTTGTCTTTGTGCTCCTGTCCATTCGAAAAAGGAAAAGCACAACGAACGTCAACATGCAAGTTATTTCCCATGATTCGTATACTAGTACGCTAAAACCAACTTCTACTCCTCATCAACAAATATTTAACAGACCATGTTCGACTACCTCCTGAAGGAATTAGAGTGTGGTAAGGACACGCACTACTCCTCCAGCAAACGCGCAAGCCCGCTACAGCTCTACCACGGACTTCAGCGATTTCTGTTCGAGGTGGAGTGGAGTGAAACACCACTCTGCGGCCCGGACAAGAAGAAAAACAGCTGGAAGCACACGGTATCTTCATCAACCTCCTGTGAAGATTTGTTTCATGTGCATGCAGAGAATTTGCTTTTTTTCCTACAACGTTATCCCCGACAGAGAAAAACTGCCTTTGCGAGGAGCTCGGCGAGAACAAAATGACGAAATAAAAATAACACACAGAGCCCCATCTTTCCGTTGTTGACACGCGGTTTCCGAAATCTCGAGCACTGTTTGGACCACTACTTCTCCGCTAAGGTACTACGAACTGCTGCTTTCAGTTGCGTTGATTTCCTCTTGTTGTCTTCGAGGATGTAGTAGATTGTGGCACGACATTTGTCCTCGACCTTGCATATCACGTCTTGTGATCGACGTCGGCCTAGGAAATACATCAACTGACCTTCTTTTCCAGGTGCTGGACGACGGAGACGGCAGCCGGGTGCAGGCCAAGCGTACGATTAAGCGCCTTCCGCCGGTGCTGACCTGGAGTTTAAAGCGGGGCGGCGTCGGCGAGCGATTCGATTTTCCGCGTGTGATGAACATGGCGAAATTATCCTGAGTAAAAACGTACCCACACCATAGTCAAGATGGGGAATCGGCTAGACAAATCCACAAGTTTTGGCTGTTTTGCATGACAAATTTGGATGCGTAGTGTAGTGCTCTTTGAGCTAGCTCAGCAGCATCACAGATCTAGCATACCATGCTGATTGGAGCATGACAAATTGCAAAACACGACTAGAAAATGCTTCTCATGGGGTTCCGCATGAGAAACATTTTCAGCATGCAGATTTGCATTACAACTCTGGCGTGGGTACGTTTTTACTCAGGATAGAAATATCTGGACGCGTCGTACAAGGAGGGCCGCGAAGAATCAGAATTCGATATCAAAATGAAAAATCCCCCCTCCCCATATCAAAACGGAAATTTGTGATGCTGATTTGCGACCACAAATTGGCTTTGTATTGCAGAGAGGTACTGCGGCCAGATCCCCAGGCCAGGCAGGGGCGTATGGGTCTAGTAGTTCAGCATGGCAAACGGCCCCCTTTTTGGCCCAGCAGCATGACAAATCGCTTCCATAATGGGGCGGAAGCTTCTGCCCTTGTCTTCTTGCAAGACAGATGGGATTTGTGACCTCAAATCCGCAACACAGATTTTTGGAAACATACCTTTTCAATATGGGGAGGGGGGATTTTTCCTCTCAATATTCGAATACGCTCTTTACGCCGTTCTGGTAGAGTACGAGCTCCCGCAAAGCGTCCGCCACTACGCATACATTCGGCCCGAAATGGAGGGCGATCAGGGGCAATGGTACAAATAGGAGCTTTTTATTTATGCCGGAAGATCCGACAGCTTGTAGGTCGAGCTGCGGGCCGTTTTCTTGTTTTGTATGCATCTTCTCGCACCTTAATGCCGGCACCTGGTGCTTGTACAATTGTCATTTTCTGCAGAAGAAGTTCAGTTTCTTCCAAATCGCTTCTCAGGTACCGCTTCGCAGATGGTCCCACGGATTGCGTTCACGCGGTGCCAAGCGCGACTGTTTTCGACGCGAGTAGTGGCGGGCAAGAATGGCTCTGCGTCAACTACCTGTATTAAGATTTTTTTTTGCGCATTTAGCACATACCGCAATCCGATCATGTCTTTTAGATGCGATGAGGAATTGCTTCATGGTTGCTCAGAGCTCTTATATTTGGTCCCACGAATGATGAGTTTATTTTCCAGTGATGAACCAATCCATGCAGGTATGGTCCGGGTGCAGTGTTGACGCGGCCGAAGGCGACCCGAGCAAAGATGTTGTTCTACATTCGTACTAAGAGCTGTGAAGAGATGCTGACGGTACCCAAAGTGCCCCGCGACGAGAAGATCAAAGTGCATCAACTTCCTGCTATCACAGACGGGCCGAAAAAGGACGACAAATCCAAGGCGCTCGTGGTACATTTGGAGTTTTTGTGCAAGACCTTTTTATAATCCCGTATCAATCTATTTCTGGGGTGTCTGCAATTGCATTTAAAATCTTTTGATGGTACTTCTTTAACGACTCGCATTAATGTGAAGATCACAGCATGATCATGATCATATCGAAATCGAATGGGAACAACAGGATGCTGAGGAGCGCGCCCGCTCCTTAATTGAGGAAGACGAAGAGGATATCAAAAGGAAACATCCCCCCTCCCCATATCGAAAAGGTATGCTTTCGAAAATTTGCGTTGCTGATTTGAGGTCACAAATCACATTTGTTTTGCAAGAAGGCAAGGGCAGAAGCTTCCGCCCCATTATGGAGGCGATTTGTCATGCTGTTGGGCCTAAAGGGGAGCCGCTTGCCATGCTGAACAACTAGACGCGTACGCCCCTGCCTAGCCTGGGGGCCTGACTGCAATGCTTTCCTGCAATACAAAGCTGATTTGTGTACTCAAATCCAGCATGAGAAGTTTCGTTTTGGTATGGGGAGGGGGGATTTTTCCTTTTAATAGAGGACGCGAAGCGGCTGGAACGCAAGAAGGCACAGCGGGCCAAGAAGAAAAAGAAGAAAAATGGCAAAGAGGAACCAGACCAGGAGGAGGAGAGCCAGGCGGTGAGCGCCGCGAAGCCTACTGCTGTGGCGGCGCCCGTCCAGCAGAGTGCCACGATACAGCAGGCCTCCCCCATGACCACAACGAGTTCTTCGAAGCAGGAGAGCAAGAAGCAGCAAACCCCGGCTAACGCTTCTGCGCAGCCGAAACCCTCTCCGAGTCCGTCCGCGCACCAGAAAAACGCGGCCGCGCCGTCGGTGAACAGCAAGAGCACGACACACTCGCCTAGCCCGTCGACGGACGCGTCGCAGAAGTCGCCGAACGACGACGCCAAACCGGATTCGGAGTCGGATAGCGATTTCGGTAGCTTCGTTCCCGGCAATAATCGGTTTCTGGTGTCCGCCCGGGAAACCGCGTCCAAGAAAAACAAGACTAAGCAAGGCACTAATATTGCAGGGTCCACCGCGGCCAGTGCAACGCATGCGCCCAATACGGCGACGAATGGACCAAGTTCCAGCAAAGGCAACATTGGCGCTGCTGCGACGACGAGCACTTCGTACAAGAAGCCCGGACAAATCGCCAAGGAGGACGAGGATTTTGTGACTCCAGCGCGCGGCGCCGCGGCAAGTTCGAAGGACAGCAAGGGCGAGGGGAAGAACAAAGCGACAGCGACCGCCGGCGATAGGAACAAGAGCATCAAGGATCCGGCTTCGTCGTCCACTTCCGGGACGAGCAATAGCAAGCAAGGCGGCAAAGACCACAAAGGCAGTGCGACAAGCGGCACTTCTACTGGCAGCGAGCAGCAAGGAATGCCGAACATCAAAGGGAGCTCTGCCGCAGCGAATGCCGCCGGGGCTCTCGAGCAACAGACAAAGGACAAGCAGCCCAGCTCGTCCTCTTCCAGTATTAAAGCCGGAAGCAACAACAGCACGCAGCAGCAAGGTAATAATAGTGCTGCGTCCTCCTCCTCCACCGCGAACAAGGAACCGAAAGAGAAGAAGGAGGGTAAGAAGAAGGGAGCGAACACTGTGATGAACCTGTTTTCGAAGAAGGGCAAAGTGAAGCAGTCTGCTTCTGCCGCCAAAGACGCTTCGCAGTCGGTCAACGCCGTTATCGCGGCGCCGCAGTCCGTGCACTTCGTGGCGGCCATCGGGGTGCAGGCGTCGGCTGGTGCGACGACGCAGGGGGAGATGAACAAAGGCTCGGGCGGCATCTCGGGTAGTAGTTCTACTGCTGGACATACAGCGTCTTCTACTTCGACCCCCGCTGCCGCCCCGCCGACCGGCTTCACTACGGTGGTCGGAAATAGTAGTAACCAGACGAGCAAGACGACATCGCTGCAGAGTGCCGGCGCGGCGGGGCTGAACTCGCTGGATAGTAAGGAAAGCAATACTAGCGGCGCCAGCAGGTCGAAGGGGCTGGATCACGGCACTTCTGGGAATAAGCAAGCGGTGGAGCAAAACCATGGCGCCTCCTCCTCAACCTCCACTGCCGCGGACCTTTCCTCGCTCCCACCTACTGGGCTGTTGAGCACCGCCACCAATCATCAGCCGGGAACTTCTTCTACTAAGGGGCACCCGAGCGGGTCGGCCGAACTGGAACCGCAGTTGTACCAAGCCGGCGCGCAAAACGAAAAAGAGGCGAACAAGGTGGAAAACAAGGACACCAGCAGTAAAGAGTCCGTGACCGGGGAGCAGCAGGAGGATTTTATCCCTGCTGCGGGACCGAAGAGACGCACGCGTGGCGGAAAACGTCGGGCTGGGGCGAGCCGGGGAACCACCGGGAGTGGGTTCACGGTGGTGGCGACGTCGAAGAGCGGGTCGCGCAAGGGCAGCACCTTCGGGACCGAACCGAAAAACGACAAGCCCGCGGTGCCACAGAGCGTGGAGCTTGTGGCAAAAATCTCCGCGGTCGCAAAGACCTCCACGACGAACCATCAGCCGCAAAACAGCATCAACAAGTCTTCTACGTCGACAAGCAATAACACGAAGCACCGCGGTAGCATGCATTCGATCACCTCAAAAGAGGCTGACGACGCAAACAAGGTGGTCGTGTCGCAGTCCGTCAACGCCCTGGCCATGAAGTCCTCCACCTCGTCCGTGGCAAGCGCGGGCTCCAAGCAGAGCAGTCGCGTTTGCTGGGCCGAGGTCAGCATCGCAGACAGCACAACCACCGTTAACGGGCAACCAAATCAACAGCAGCAACAGCAGATGTTGCAAGCGAACCAGCAAAGCGCCGCTACGGCGTCCACTTCCGACACAGCAGCTGTTGACGACCGCAGTGGTGGCGTGGAGCAAGTCGCTGTACCTTCACAGGCGATCTCGGAACCACCGATGCAGCCACCGTACCCACCACCGCCGGAATACCAGTCCTACCCACCGCCCCCGCCCGGACACAGTGCCAGTTCGGGCGGTGCGCCGCAGCCCCCACCACAGCAACCCCTTCCCCAACCGGCGACCTCCTCCACTTCCCACCTCCCCGGCGACAGCGTGTGGGCCGACCCCGTGGCCGCTGCCTACGATTACACGCAGAGTTCTTCCAGTACCAGTCAGGCGAACATGTACTCGCTGCCCCAGATGGCTCCCCCCCCGCAGCCGCAGAGTTGTGCCGCCGCGTCTACTTCTTCGTGTGCGAACACCTACGGAGGTGGGGGCGCGTCTACTTCCTCCTACAACCAGGCCTCGTGGCACCAGGTGCAGCACCCTGAACACCCCCCGCCCCCGCTGCCCAGCCTCTCGACCCCGACTTCTGGTGCGGTAAACAACAGCAACAGCAGCTCCATTACGGCAATGCTCGGGACCACTTCTACCGAGAATCAGCACAACTATAACGCGACTGGACAGCAAGCTTCGGCTTCGAGCTCGAGTTGTTGCGCCGGCGCGGGAGGTGGCCACCAAGGCGGACACCAAGCGCAACCCTCCCCGGCGTCCACACCCAAAGGCTCCGCCACGAAAAAGTCCAATCAGAGCAGCATCCAGAGCACGTCCTGTAGCAGTTTCGCTTTGTCACCGGGCAAGCAGAAGTGGGTGCACTTCCTGGACCAGCAGAGTTGTGTGGGCGCGACGAGTTCCTCCTCCACCTTTTCCTCCTCCTCGACCGGAGGACAAAACCAGCAATCCACCAGTTCCTCGCAGCAGCGACAGAACAATCAGAACATGATTTCGGAGGAGCGGCTGCAAATCACTCACGCGCAAGTCGAGGCGGTGAACGGGGATACCCGGCTGTACCACTGTCATTTGTACGGGCGAACCCACTACGATGCGAACGGACAGCCTTTGTGCGGCACCTCGACGTGCGGGGGGATCGCGGTAAAGCCCCTGATTTTGCCCAATGGGGCGCTGGTTTCCCTCTCTTGCTTCTGCGACTACGTGCGGGGGAAGCTGCAGGGGCAGATGCAACACCACCTGAATCAGTCCGGGGAGTTCGTGCTGCACTGTCCGGTCACGGGCGCGGAAATTTCCCCGGAGGATATCGGCAGCTTGGAACAGAAGAGCCCGATCATGTACCGATGTTACAGCAGTCTGCAGATCCGGTGCGCGCTTGCCCACCCCGACCCCTGCAACTGCCAGTGGCGTGGGTCCTTGATCGAATACTTCGACCACGTGCGCACCTGTCATCCTGAACTTTTCCAGCGAAACGCGTTGCAGCATGACGGGACGTCGTCGGGTACGCAACAAGGTAACGTAGCGTCCTCTTATCGCGGACAGCACAATTCTAGTTCGTCCTCCAGCAGTTATGCTGGGGCGGCAAACGCCAGCGGCTCGACGGCATGGAACACGGGTGGTGCAGCTTCCTCCAGCACGTGCGTGGTGAACACGGCGAACGGGCCGGTGGTTGTACCCCCGCCGATCGGCAACATGTACAGCACGAGTCAGCAGATGCAGTGCGGGACGTCGGTGTCCTCCTACAGCCAACATATGGGAGGTGCAAATGCCCTAACTAGTGCAGCGAACAACCAGGCTACTTCCAGTAACGCGAGCACGGCAAGCAACGCCATGGCGCCGCCACTGCCGAGCCCGCTGCCCGCTCGCGGCGAGCTGAACGGATGGGGCGCGCTCGAGGCGAACATGCCGATCGCGGTTGCCGGGACGGTGTCGAGCGCCGCTAACGAAGACACGGAAGAACCGCTGACCAAAGGGGGATCCTCCTCGTCCTCCTCCCGTCCGGGGGACCTCGTCAACGGCACCCTCGAGGCGGGGACGGCTTACCACCAGCACGCCTTCCAACCCACACAGCACATTTGGGGGGACCGCCAGGCCCGCGGCGACATGGAGGCCTTGCACGACTGGGAGGACCCGGACACGCAGACACACGTGTCCGTCGGGGATCGCATGAAGGTGCAGGCCGTCGATGACAGCGGGGAATGGGTACAAAATGACATTGGATTCGTTTTCAATGAATAAGGTCTTACGAACGAGTACTCAGGGTATGTAAGTATGATCCTTATGAATGTAATATGAGCATCTTCTTACAAGTCTCAGCTGCATTATTCATGTGGCAGCAAAACCAAAAAGTGTTGAAGCGTCTAGATGTAGCAAAAAAATCTAAAAAATTTTTACAGGCTTACGCCGGGCGAGCAGATCACTCGGCGAACCCCACGTGGATTCCCCGCAGCATCTTGCAGCACATTGTGTATACCACGAGAAACACATACAATCCAGAATCGTGCACGCCGTCGATGCTCCCAATCACTGCAGGTACGACAACATAATTTGGATGTACTTGAAGCATCGCGGATTTTCATTTTGGTTCCTCTTTCCACCACGTACAGGTTGTTGTACGCATGCATTGCCAAAGAAGCGGAAGATCAAATAGATGAATGAAATGTGGAAGTGGATTTTTACTCTTCGTCGTGCGGACATGCCTTCGATTTTTCTCAGGTGACAAGCTTTTCGCTTATTATCACGACGCGAGTGGCTGGACTTTCGGCGAGAAGCTGAATCCGAACTCAGAGGCGCCGGGTCCCGAGGGATGGTATCCCACGAGCCTCTTGACAGCCTGTGCCGACTGAGGTTTTCCTACCGGTTCGCCAAAAGGAGATCAGCACGAAACAGCAACAATGTGCTGAGATGTTGGTACGAACTGGGAAACGAAGCCGGGTTAATATTTTCGACCTCGCACCGAAGGTGGGTGCGCTCAGCACGACACATCACATGGAAAGACAACGCATAAAATAAAAATGCTTCGGAAAATCCTTACACCGTACTATCGCTTTCTTCTATCGTAAGTCAGTAAACTATGATTTGTCGTTCCCATCGGCGAGTTTCACGAAGAATATCGAAGATACTACCCTTGATCTCTTCTTCTAAAGCGACATCTGCTCTCTGCACTGGCGATGTATTGTTGCCGTGTGGGCGGCAGAAAGAAAATATCTGTTTTGTGTATTTTCTTCTATATTTGAATTTTATCGAGTTCACGTTAGAATCAATGGCTTTGCCGAGTCATGAATCTGTCCTGTCGGATTCATGTACCCGCGAGTCTGTTTTTCGAAGCAGTTGTGCAAGGCATAGGTTCATCCTGATCTGGGACAACCTGTTTCCGTTATGACACGGTCGACAAAAATAGTACAACTCCGCTATGTATTCACGGGCAACGCACTCTGTCTCTGATAGTTGCCGTATCAAATCTGGAAGCGAAATCGCCGGAAGATTGAGATCGTAATAGCAGAAAATATTACAAATCAAGCTCCTAGTACCATAATTTGCACGCTTCGTGGTGAAAAGGCAATAGTATCTATTTCACTCGGCAACGGCAGTAGAGGTAGGAGAAGCAACAAGCGTTCTATCTTTTCTTTTCTTCGTGGCTTCCACTCTGATGGGTGGTGTACGTCACGCGGTTAGTGTCTACTGGGATTTGTTGGCGTCGACATATTGCGAGTATAGTGCACGACCTGCAGTTGGATTATGTGCTGGTCTCACTACGTCGTTGGTTAAGTCTTGTCTTCTTTCTTGCGTCTTTGGGATTTCTACCACGAGTTTTTTGTTGAATATATCAATTACAATTTGTAGCTTGCTCCGGTATTTATCGGAACAAAAGAGAGTCTTCTTTTCCCTAGGATAGTGTCGGACCGATAATTCGATGGGCTATTCTAGATCATGCTGATTTCTTTGACAGTCTTGTTTTGTTGCCGCGGAATCAAGGAGCAGTCCGCCCTGGGCCTCATCTGACATTGGAGTTTCTCAAGTAGACAATGTATTGACACAGTGAACGAGGTGGAAGCATGTGCAAGTGTAGCCACGACGGTGTATACTGATACTGTACGCGATACGCCCTGGAGTAGACCAAGCGGCCCTCCTTTCGTTTGTTTGTCTTTTGTAGTGACCGGTATGTGTTGCTTCGAGTTTTTATTTGTGTTCTGAACGCAAATAAAAACACAAATTCGAAGCTGCTGGAGGTTACGAACGGGGTGAGTGATAAATTTCTAGTTTTGTTGCTGTTGTCAGAAGGAAGATTGCGCTCGGCCTCCTTCCCACACCCCGAGCGCTCAAGCTGGTACTTACTACTCAGATGCACGCGGGAAGTGAAGCGAGCGAGAGTTGTTTCGAAGAATCGCGAGGTTCAATCATTCGAGTAACTAGCCACAGAAATATGTTTTATCCAATCGGAGGATCATCATAGTTTTCACCGATGGCCGAACTCAAAATGACCTAGAAGTCCAGTAAAAAATTTGTTTCAGTACACCCTGCGGTGGTCGGTCGCGGTGTGTCGCTGCTATCACGACAGAGCCCGGAGCTGCCTCTCATGGAACAACCAGTGCCATCGCAGAGGCCTTTTCTGGAGGGCATGCCGCGTAGCTTCGAACACTCCGAGTTTCGAAATCGAGCTTTTCTCGTTGCGGAAGCAGTCTCTTCTTGTGCAAGTACATTTGGACACAAATTCCTCAAGGTTTTTGACAGCGGCGTGGACTGGGCACCGTATGTCGCCGTGCTTTGCCTGGCTGGGAGATCGGCCCGGTCCCAGCTGTACGCGTTCAAAGTCGGTACTATCGTCGCTGCACTGGTTGTTGGTTACGGCTTTTTGCGGCATCGGCAGCGTATCAGGAGAAGAGATCAAGCGAGACTTGCGGAGGAAAATGAAATCGCGTGGTCTACTTATGCGCCCACCGCCGAGATAGAAGAGGCTCGTGCAGATGACAGCGAGACGACGGATAAGATCAAGCTGAGTTGGAGAAATATGAGAAAAGGAAGCTGCCAGTATCTCGCGATTCCCGTGGGTGTGTTCCCGAAAGTGATGGACGTCGGGCAATTCATTCTGTTTTTGCTGCTTTATCTCGTGACTGCATGGGCGCTTGATGCCAGCAGCACGACGGACGACGAGGGTTCCTCCACCTCCGGGCGAGCTTCCGTATCAAGAAGCTCGGCATTTTTGTCGCACCCAGTCGGCGCGATTCTCGCAATATGCTTTGCGCCGATCACAAACATAGGCATGACACTGCCCATGCTTGTGAGCCTTTCCTTCGGAGACCGACCGTTCATCGTGGACTACATGCTCGAGGAGATGCCGGAGTTTGTTTTCGAGCAGCTGAACACAAAGTACTGGTTTCGCAAACTCCTGCGCGAGCAAACCGTCCTCTGGGTGCACGTCATGAACGTGTGTACCTGCATGAGTCTGGTACAGCCGGTTTTGGTCGCGTGGTATGCGGCAGATGATGGTGGAACTGCTTTCGGGGACGGAGGGGGGAATGATCTCAGCCCCAAAAACGCAGCATGGCTCAAATGGATCGAGGACCCGGACAACTGGGTGTTCAACTATATTTTCGGCTGGGGTCAACTCCTGCCTGTATTCTACGGCATGCGCAAGTCTGGGGAGCCGCAACGGGAGGAGGAGCGGAAGCGAAAGCGGGTGCGTGAAGTGATGCAAGATCCGGACCTGCACATTTCGCGACAAACATACCCACTGTATGACGAGCTTGTACGGAACCAAACGACGGGCGGAACGACCAGGGTTCACAGTTGTCAAATCTATCTGGATGAAAAGGTAGAAGATCAGCTTCAGATGAAGCAGCTCAGTGGACGACGAGCCAGGGGCCGTACGGGCGCGACTGGTGGAGGTATGATTTTTACCGGGCCTGACAATGCTTGCGAGCACTCTACGGCTACTTCTTCCACCCTGGAAAATACCGCGGCCCGTCTCATAGCAGCGGCCTTTGGTTCCGAGCTGGACAAACTTGCTGGCTTGATCGACACGAGAGACCCCGAAGACTGCCTCAACTACTTGAAAGTCAATCTCCGTTGCGCCTCCTACTTCGGCCTGGTCCTCGGGGCCTTCGAGTGCGACGGGCGCCTGGCGGTGGCCAATTTTGGCGCGCCGCCGCCCTGCGAAGCAATGCGGGCCCTGATGCTTTGCTTCCCAGTGTACTCGGATTCGCAGGAAGAAGTCCGCGTTTTCAACGACCATGTTGCGTGGGAAGCGCATGGTTGGGCAATGGCATTGCCCGAAAGTGTGCAAGAAGCTGCATCGCTGCATTTATTACCAGTAGCCGAGGGACGTCGAGATGACAGGGCGCCCGCCCTGTATACTCGTCTTCAAAATTATCATGATCCGTTTCGTCCGCGACTTCCCAGCGACGATCTCTTCGCGCTAGGCGAGATGAAGGAGAAGAAAAAGAATTTACTTTTGAACTACCGGCCTTTCATCTACATTTTCATGTTCGCCGCGGATCCGGTGCGCGGCAAGGGGAAGGGGTACGGACGGAGTCTGCTGCAGCACGTGATTTCGTTATCAAGGGAAAAGCAAATGCCGTTGGTTCTGGAAACGACCACTGCGGAGAACATCCGACATTACCACAAATACGGGTTCGAGGTACGAGACAAGGTGGACGGGAAGGATAATTGGGTTCTGATGGTGCGGGAGCCGCAGTTCTAGGGCGGGGTGCTGGCATTTCGCGCGAAAGTCCGAAGTACTTCTGGGAAGCAAGGTTTCGACGAGCTTGGTTTCGTGTCTTTACTTAAAAAAATGAACGTACTTCTCTACGAAAAATAACAGTATGGGAAAAATTGTATGATAGCCACGAACACGCTCGTGAAGGCGAATGAGGAAAAGCATTCGGCTCTGGAACGATTTCACCACCATGCCATGAGTTGTTCACCTTGCGGCACCCTCCGTGTGGTACGAGAACGACTTTACTGTGCTCATTGGCTTCGGTATCCGCCGAGAGAAATCCGAGAGCTTGAGCAGCGATGTTGCGAGAGTCGTGAACCCAAATAAAGCGAGATTGATACAACTTCTCCAAGCAACTTGTCGAGCTCGCGAAAGTACTTTTACATATGGATCTCATCGCTGCTGATTCGGAACGTGCTGTGATTCCAGCCTCGTTCATTATGCTCGTCGTTGCCGCGTAGAAAATAGCTCTGATGGCTAATTAGCTCTGGTTCCAGTTATTTTTGCACAGATTACATTCACACCCTGGAGCTGCATTTTATTTTTACCGTGGATTGTCCGTTTGTCAAATCCGGTGAGTACTAACTAGTGTGTCGCGACAGTTCCTGAGAATTTTTTTACTACAACCCGCGTACCGAAAATAGACGCGTCATGCCTGGCTACCTAGCGAGAGAGCACACGACCTTCAGCGCCCCATTGCCAAACGAAGTTGCCGCGCAAGCTTGCGCAGCCAGTTTCGGAACTCAAAATGGATCCTTTTCGTGAATTTGGCGATCATCATCCCGGTAGATCCTCGCAGACCTCGTCGACCGGGTTTCTGAGCAGAATTTTTGGGGACGACCACATTCTCGTTCACGTGTCCACCTTCTTCGCTGACGCCTTCCAAGCGAACAAGTTCACGAAGCGCCTGTACAAATCGCTCTGGCCGGTGTTTCTCGCCGTCTTTGTGGTGACGCTGGTGTTCATCCTCACCTACTGGTATAACGCGCTCAGGTGTTACAATCTCAAGCGTTACAATAGAGTCTCGAGTTTGTCTTGCATGACGAGCGTGAGAGAGTCGCAAATTGTTTCACTTTCTGCAATACAAATTTCGCCAGATTCTAGTGCGGCTTGGGACTCCAGAACGTGTCATGCGCAGAAGTCCTATGGGAGTAGGCTAGATCATGCACTTCCTGCATCACAGATTTCCATATTCTATTGTAACGTTTGAGATTGTAACACTTGAGCGGGTCATAACTGGTTTGTGTCGTTTCTAGATTGGTGTTTCTTTCGCCGGCGGGGCATCTTTCCGAACAAGCACAGCGACCGAATCCTGCACGTCGAGGAGTACAGAGACGCCGACTTCGGGGAGCAGCACAAGATTTCCAGACTGGTCCGGGACAAAAAAACGGGGAAGATATCCGTGAAAGAGGAAAAGCCCACGCCTTCTTTAGTACCGGACTCTGGTAAAAGTACGTCAACATCTCCGGCCAAGGCGATCGAGGAAAAGAAGGACAAATGACGGAGGAGGTCGTGGAGTACGAGCTGCTAAACCCGGAGTTCCGGGCTTCTACGCAGGGCAGTGTGTTGGCTGGACACGGAAGGCCGGACGGGGAAGAAGAAGGAGGAGATGCTGTGGCTGCCGGTGTGGTCGGTGCCGGCAGAAGAAGGTCTGCCGCAGACAACACACTGGACGAAGAAAGCCGTGCTGCTGCGGGCACGAGCGCGCAAGCTGAGGCCGACGGAAACACAATTATAGAGGTTAGCCAAGATCATCCATCTGCCGCTGATGATCATACCCATGAAGATGTCGCCAAATCCGAAGTACCCGCGCGAATGATCGTGCGACCTACGTCGAGCGCATCGGTGCATTCTGAAACACGCCGGCCGGACGAGCCTGACAGCAGAAGTGTTGTTACGGTTGAAGAGCAGAGAAGGCTGGAGAAGGAGCGGAAAGCGCTGCGCGCGGAACGCAAGAAATTGGAGCACGAGCGCCGACTCTTCGAAGAGTCGCGAAAACGCATGCAGGCCGACCGGTTGGACGCGGAGCTTTACCGACGGCAGGTCGACGATGACGAAATGCGGAGTCGGACGAAGATAGTCGAAGTTGTGGACAGCAAACTACGGGATGACGACAAGCAACTGCGGGAGGCGGCCGTCGTCGCCAGACTAGGTCTCGGAGCGCTCAGCAACCAGGAGTTCGCTGATCGCAGCGAACGAGAAGTCAGGAGGAAGGTACAGGTAGTTTTGATCTGTTCTGTTGTGTACTGGAGATGGTACTTCTCGGCCTCTACTTGGATAAGCAAGAGGATAAATCAAGAATCATGCTTCCAAAACGAAGGTTAAGGAGCTGACGGACCTGGGCACCAACGTGAAAGACAAGTTGTCAAAGTGTTGGGCGGAGCTGCGCATTGTTGAGCACGACGTGAAGCTGGAAGAGGAGAAAAACGCCATATCAGGGCTGATTGCTAAGGAGCTCCGTGACTTCAAGGAGGACTGGCGAAAAAAGGCGCGCGAGGAGGAGCAAGCGAGTCTGCGCGCACAAACGCTGGAACAAGCGCGACTCGAGTCCGCATTCCCAGTTTTTGTCGTTGGCGACGGTGACCCGGTCAAGCTGCAACGGGACAACGACGGCTTTCTCGACGAAGACGAGCGCTTCCTTGCTGCAAGTATGTTTTTTTTATGCCAACAGCCTTTCATTGCTTCACCTTTTGCTTGCGACCCTTTCATTCAACATCATTCTGTGCGCAGTTGCCCGCACTAGAACGCAATGTACTTATGGATGCATGGAGGTTTTAGGATCAACATCTTCCGTAGGTCTGCCCGTCGTGGAGGAGATGAAGCGTGTGGCGCCAGCGTCTGGCCGCAGCAGAGCCGATCTTCTCAGTAAGCCTGATCTGAGCCTGAGTCCGGTCTACCAACGCGCTAACTCAGCCATGAAGAAACAGCCGGATTGGGAGGTGGACGCAGACGAAGATGATGAAATTGCGTGGATGTACGAAAAAAACGTCGGCCGGCTGGCGAGGCTAGACCGTTTGCTGTGATAGGATGAATGCGCATTCGCGAATCTCCAATCTGTTGACACGGACAACTTGAATCGAGCAAGCGACGCACCTAGTGAACACAGAAAAATTATGAAAAAAGCCAACTTAAGAAAAGGTCGTTGGAGTCTCGCGGAGCGGTCGGCAGTATTTGTGCGTGTGTGGAGCATGCAGTGTCTACCGTGTTCGACTTCGAAGTGTAGTGCATCTTTTCACTGTTCGTAGACTTTGCCTACTTACAGCTCCTTCATCTTTCCGTTGAGTCGTATCTGTTTGTTTTTTGTGTTTGAAAAAATGAACGCCGGCTGCGCCTCTTCGTAACGTGGTCGCTTATTGCATTACTTTCGGGAAGTTGTGGATATTGTCAGACAGAGTCCTCGCAGATGTTGCCTCGGCGGCTGCTGGTAAACACGACGAGAACTACTGCGACGTTGCGGATTGCCCGTAGTGCAGGATCAGCGTTTTCGTCGTCCTCGTCCAACACCAGTATACGACCAAGGACTTTATCATCACTGCCCTCATCAACTACCGCCCGTGCATTCGCAACGTTGCCGTATCGCCTCAAATGGCGGTGGTGGAACAACGAAACAACGCGGAGAAACGTATCTTTTTCGGATTTCATCAAGCAGATTCTCACAACCCCACCCACGAAGTCCTGCTTCCGACACAAGTACCTCCGGGAGTACGTGAAGGATTTTTTGTGGCAGCTGAAGTGGTACCATCTGGTTCTGTTCTCCCTTTCCAGCACCATTCTTCTCGGCGTCCATGCCGCGTTTCTGGCGTTGGGCTTGGCGTTCATCAAAAAGGACTACTCGGAAGAGGTGCGCGCGGAGCGGTTACGGGACTGGGTTGTGGATATGCGCGCGGTGGCCGAGGACCGGGAAATGGGGGAAATTCAAACGAAACTGCAGAAGCTGATGCTCGAGAAGCTGAGGGCATGGGAGCAGATGAAGAGCTTCAACCTGGAGAAGTTTCGGCGAGCGGCAGCTTTGCTCTTTCCCGTGGAAGCCGAATTGATGGCGCGGGTATGTAACAGGCAGCGATCATGGCAGGATGTGGCTCTTTATTTTTTCCAAGCTAGCGTTGATCTTTAACTTTAATTTTACCTTAATTTTCATTCTGGAATCCGTTTAGTACGTCATCTTGCAAAAAACTTAGGTCGCCCGCGAGCTGGACAGCCTGGATTCGTCACACGACATGATCCTCAAAGGGAATTGCAACTTTCGTTCCGAGTTTTTGCAGGCCGAACTTCTTTCCACGCTGCGGCACCGATTCGGAAAGCGAAAAACCAAGCTCGGCGACCACAAGGACATTGGTGTGCAAATTCGACCCACGCAAGATTTTTCCGAACCCGCCTACAACGAGCCGGCACAGCTCCACGCCTGCGACGCGCTGGACACCAGCGGCTTTGTCCTGCTGAAGAACTGTATACCACGTGAGACGATGGACGAGGCAAAGCAAGGCCTTTTCGACACGCCAAACATCCGCCCCGACACGCCGCAGGGGCTCGGGTGGTGCATCAAGGAAAAGGATTGGAACGTGCACCACGGGCGACCCTACGAGGGTAGGTTGCACATGAACATCCGGGGTTCGAGTCTGGAGCAGCACGTGGCTGATTTTCACCGCTTTTTCGTCCCGGTTGTGCAGAGGTATTTGACGCACAATGACGTGGTCAGAAAATTGCAAAAGGAACAAGAGAGAAGGAGAGCGGCACCACGACCAGTGGGACCACAACAAGACTCGGTATTAACTCCCGTCGAGAAACTGGAGCGAGAAATCGAGGCGGAACAGGCTGCGGCGTTATTGGACACTGCAATCACCGACCAAAACAGCAGCGAGGACCCGGATGCCGATGACGAGTTGCTCAGCGCGCAGCTCACAAGCCCGCGATTGTACGTGGCTGAGGTGTTACTGGTGCTGAACGACGTGATTTGCCCACCCCAGTTGTGGCACACGGACAGTCACAGTCACAGCGTGACGGTGCTGGTCCCGCTGGACGACATCCCGGAAAACGCCGGACTGCTCGAAATGCTCCCCGGAACACACAAGCTGACAAGAAGCGACTTGCCGTTGACAATGCCAGCTGATGCTGAGGAAAACCGGCTCTCCTTCGTGTCGCGGTTTCTACGGGCCTTTCGGCTGTGCTGCGCCGTACGCGGGGCCGTTACCGCCAGCGACGTCGAAACTGCGGTTCAAGACCTGGTGGAGGAGCACGGAAGAAAGAGGAAAAGCGGCACAGCCGAGGCTTCACTACAAACCGACACTGCAACTGCACAGCGGAATAAAATTGTCCCAAGCAGAAAAACCAAAGACGAGGAATTCGATGCGCAGTTTCAGGAGCTCGAGCGGCAAAAGCAGAAAAAGTCGTGGAAGGCCGGCGACGTGCTGATTTATGACAGTCGAATTGTGAAACGGGGCGGCAATAGCACCAACATCACGCGGACCGCGCCCACGCTGCTGATTCGCTACGAGCGGTGGGACTCGCGCAGGATCGGCCAGTGGTATTTGCACGGACACAGGGTACGCGGACAAACGTGGAAAAGATTTTGCGGGTGGTACCTGGAAAATGTCTTCCATGTGTACGGGGCCGTGTGAAGATACATCCATTTTTGTGTGGACCAGCATCGAAAAAATATCAACTCCGGAAGATCTCCTCCTGCTGTGCGCGCAGCCATAAACGAAATCTATGAGTCACCACTGCGCAATTTTCCTGTTGATAAATTTGAGCTGGTGTTCCTCTCATTGTATAATAAAAAGGCTGTGGCTTGCGTCGAAACACACGCAGAAAATCTAAAATATAACAGAAAATCGAAATCAGGATCCTAGATCATTGGTGTGAGACGTACGTGATCCCGGTTATTCGTCTATTCGCGAACAGAGAAGAAAGTACACCAGACTCCAGATTCATAAAAATGTTCTGCTATAATTTTTTCTCTGATTCGTTCATTTCGACCTCTCTTTCTAAACTCTATTAATTTTCCCGAACTCGTCGACTCATTCGCGCATGAATTTTTCCCTCATTTCACGCTGTTCAACAGGTCCCGTTTGTTTTTTCAATTTCGAGAAAGTGTTACTTCCCCAGAGCCAGTTTCTTCATTCTGGATACCGTTTAGGGTACGATAAAGCGTAGCGACAACATCGTACTAGCGACAATTGTACTAGTGTCAAAAACGAGCAAAACCAGAATCATGGGTCCCCGTGGAGCACCTTCTGACCGCCCGGACGGGCAGTTCGGACAGCAAAAGCTGAAGAAATACAACTGCGACGACTGCGGGAAGTTGTTCCTTGAAACGGAACTGTTTGAAGATGGCGACACCGACTACTGGTACTGCAACGGGTGCTGGGAAAAGTTTGACGGCAAGACGCAGCTTGCGTTCACGTCGAAAACGGAAATGGACCAAGCGGAAAAACCCCCGAAGGCCAAGTGGCAAAAGAAGGACCACCACGACGACGAGACCGTGCAACCGCCCAGTTCGGCACCAGGCGAACATCTTCAAGGGGCGAGAGCCTCCAGTACCGCTTGGAAATCTCGCACGACAACCACGACAAAAGCATTTCTCACGGACCAGAAATTCACCGATTTGCAGCCGAAACTGAACAGTTTGTCGCTGAAGGCGATTGACAAAATGGGCTTCAGTTTCATGACCCAGGTGCAGGCGGAGTCGCTGCCGCCGATCATGGAGCACAAGGACGTGTTCGCGAAGGCGAAGACCGGGACGGGGAAAACCATCGGGTTTCTGCTTCCGACGATCGAAAAGATCTGGCAGGCGCGCGCAAACGCAAATAGCGCGGCCGCGAAAAAGGATCAAGGTCGCATTTCCGCGCTCGTTTTGTCTCCGACTCGCGAGTATCAAATGTAAAAATGTCTGGGTCTGGAAGAATGTAAGATTTGTGATGCAGGTTTTCCATGACCCATGAGGTCTGAAATGCGAGACCCAGCATGACAGATTCTTTGAGGTCTCTATCATGCCTTTCCTGCATGAGAAACTCCCTCTCAACTTGGTCAAAAGGGGACAGCTTTTGGCACTCATGCAACACAGATTTTTGCATGATTCGGATTTAGCATGACAAGTTGTAATCTTCCAGACCCAGACATTTTTGCAATCCATAGCGAGCTGGCGATGCAGATCTCGGAGGAGGCGAATGCCTTGACGCAGTTCTGGTCGGACTTCGCGTCCGTTCTGATGTTCGGCGGCCGGGACATCAAGAAGGACAAGCAGCAGCTGGAAAAGACTGCCGGGCGGGACAATAAAACGTACCGCACGATCGATCTTCTCGTCGCGACGCCCGGGCGGCTCTACGACCACTTGCAGCAGAACACCGCGATGATCTACGAGCGCCTGATGCAGGGGCAGCACTCGGCGTTCACGCTGATCCTGGACGAAGCGGACCAGCTGCTGGAGATGGGTTTCCGCGACGCGATCGTGAAAATTGTCGATTACCTGCCGAAAAACCGTCAGTCCCTTTTGTTTTCCGCAACCTTATCGAACCAGATCAAGGAGGTGTTGCAGTTGGTGTTGAAAAAGGACTACACCTTTGTCGACACGTGCAAGAACGAATCCGCGCCCGCGGCGATCCACCAGCGGTTCTTTACCTGCGGGGCCTGGGACATTCTGGAGGTGTGCTTCTCCATGCTGTTTCGCATTTGGTTCTCCAAGGGGAAAGAGCCGACTGCGAAGGTGATCTGCTTTCTACCAACCGCCCGGCAGACCCAGTTCTTCGCCGAGGTCGCGAATTCGCTGTTTTCCGAGTTCAAGAGGAACAGTCCGAAAGGAATTTACGTCCCGCAGACGTACGAGATCCACAGCCGCAAGTCGCAGGCGCAGCGGACCAAGACTTCGGATGCGTTTCGCGAAGCCGACACCGGAATTCTGTTTTCTTCCGACGTGTCTGCCCGTGGGTTGGATTACCCGAATGTGACGCACGTCCTGCAGATCGGCGCGCCCGCATCGCTTGAGCAGTACACCCACCGCATGGGCCGGACCGCTCGCGCCGGCGAAATGGGCGAGAGCGTATTGCTCCTGTGTGATTTTGAGAAGGACGTGCTGGGCCGCGACTTCGTAAAGCGGTTCGCGGAGCAAGATCGTGTGCACCTCCCGACGGTGCGGAAGTTTGGGAGGGAAGGCGAAAATTCTACTTCGTGGAATATGGGCACAACTACGACGTCCTCCTACGGACAGATTAGTCAACCCACCTGGAAGGCACTGTTCCAAGCAAGCTCGGATCCCGATGTTTTCGACAAATCGAATGTTCTTTCTGTGGCGGACATCATGGCGAAAAACCAAGTGTTCCAACTGCTGCTCGGTGGCGACACGACGACTGACGCAGAGGGCAAGACCAAGGACCAGTGCTACGCCGCTTGGCTCGGGTACTACAACGGTCTCTGCCCGAAGCGCATATCGTGGAGCAAGGAGAAACTGGTCGAGCAGGCGAATCTGTACGCGGAGCGGGTTTTGTACTGCGACGAACAGCCCACGTTGATGAAAAAAACCGTCGGAATGATGGGCCTCAAAGGCGTCCCGGGTCTGCGCATTGAAGGTGGCGGCGGTGGTGGCGGTCAGAAAGGAGGTGGGAAAAAGAATGGCGGAAAGCAAGAAAAATCATCAAAAAATCAGAAGGGGAGCAGCTCCGGTCCGCAGCAAAGTTCGTCCACTTCTTTCCCGGAGTCCGAAAACAAGCGGCGTAACGGCAAGGGCGGTGGCAAGAAAGGAGGGAAAGGAGGAAAGGGGAAAGGCAAAAATGCAAGTTCTTGAAGCGAATGCGAACTGGAGGATGAGAATAAGTAAAGGGAATCGTGAAAACAAGTTCTTTGTTACGCGTAATTGTCTACTACATGATGTAGATTCAATTCTTCGAGGATCAGGCTTTGCTTTGGCAGAACCGATTTTCGGATTTACGCTGCATGACTTTCCAAGAAAAGTAAAAAATCACCAAAATCATTCCCAATTCGATTGGGTATTGGACGGCTTCGTGGCGCACGTGTATCTTCACGTGTTTACTTTACCCCCACTGTTCTTATTCGCTCTGTCACTTCGTGGTGCAAGATGACACCGGCTCAGCGATCTCATCTCACTCATGTCGGCCAGGATTCTGTGGACGAAAAAGGCCAAAGCCGTAGTTTTATCTCTAGTTGTGTGTATCAAAACGTTTTCTGGCATTTCGTGCTACTGGTTGTCCTTGTCTTGGTTCGAGTCAATCTCCAATATGCTGCTTCCTGAGTTCAAGGCCTTCGGTTTTGGAAGTAGCCTCTTTTTCGTCTTGCACCCGTTTGGGTCGGTCAGCGCTAGCTTCTTGTGTGGTCCTTCAGCAGGTAAAGAAGACCTAACAGGCGAGGACCTTCGTGAAGCCGTCCGCAGGAAGGCTTTTTCGCTGGTGCGGGAAAGAACGAGACCCGCCTGCGATCGAAGCATATGCACGACTGTGGCCGATTATGACCCATTTCCGCTGCTTTCGCAAGGGAGCCGAGGACATTTGCAACTTTTCGAAGACAGCAGAAAAAATGCTTTTTCGAAAACAGTGGTGAGAACGACGACCGGAAAGTTCCGCGGGTGGCGCGAGGCGCGGGCGCAGAATCATCAGCCACTAGCACTGTGGGAGCAGGAAATTTTGTACGACAGTATGCCAATCGCGTATTCCGACAGCGAGCTGGCGCGGCGCATTCGCGAAAAAAAGCCGGCCACTTTACAGGAGTTGGTCGAAACTATCGACGAGCACGGCCGCACGGACTTCGTTCCCTACTCCGAACCGTTTGCGAGTCTCGTGGTACCGAAACCGCAGTTGCTAGCGAGGCTGCTGCTGCGGACGGACAGTGACTGGTCGAGCAGCCACCGCGTGAAGTTGCTCGAGGAGCTGATTCAGACCCCGTTTCTGTTCCACGTTCTTGCACTGTTCGATCCGTACCGGAAAAAAGGGGACTCAACTACGCTCGTGCCGCAGAAGGGGATTCAAATTCCTCTCGACAGAACTGCGTTGCTGCTAAACTCCGATGTTGACAAAATCACCGCGATTCTCAGTCTCTTCTTGGCGCAGAACCAGGTTTGCACCTTGTTGAACTGCAAGGGCTTCGGGCGACAACAGTTCCCGGTTCAAAGACTCGTCTCGAAATCGCACGAGCTCCCCGCTTCCGCGGCCTTCGCGAGGGCGCTGGAATTGACAGAGCAGCTGTTCGCCCGGTGGCTTCCCCGCTCGTCGGCGAAATTTCGGGTGGAGTTCGGGATTTCTCTTGCGATGTACATGCACGGCGAAAACTTTTCTAAGTTCCACTACCGGGAGGAAAAGAAGCTGAGAAAAGCATTGTTCTCGCAGCCGCGCGTCGGGACGATGGAGGACCAAAATGCCCTCGGACGGTACAGCAAAGATCTCACATATCCAAGAAAAAAACTGTGTAAGTGTAACTTTTTTGCAGGAACAGCATCACAGATTTGACCTGTCATGCGTAGCTACTACGCGAAAACACGTGATTAAAATAGCCTCTGATGCATATCCGGCATGACAAGTGTAACTGTATTGCAACATCTGCAAGACAAAGTTACACTTACAGAGTTTTTTTCTTGCATATCACAGACACGCTTAACAAGCGGACCCGCGTCGACGAGGAGTGGCTCCGTGCAGCGCAAACCCTTAGAGGAGTCGCCGGGTTCTGTCTTCAGCAGGTGCGCGACCAGAACACGTTTGATGAGCTTTTGGGGGTTTCTTCAATACTGGATGCGCAGGAGGAGAAAATAGCGGAAGTCGTGACGGAGTATGTTTTTTCAAAAACATCATCTTCACACAAAGACGCCGCTGGTGGCTTCGTGCTGCTTGACGGCAAACTGGTAGCCACGGCACCGTGGCGCGTGGTTGAGAACTTAGACTACGACTTCGGGAAGAGTGAGAAGAAGGCTGCAACCTACTTCCGCGGTCTGGAGCGGCGGTTGCGGGACGTGATCATTTTCCTCGTCGTGCCAGACTCCGCAAATAATGGCGATAGCAACGACGCTGAAAGAAGAAATCGGAAAATTTGGGGCGAGCACTTCCTGTCCACAAAACAGCTTGCGGTTTTCCTTCCAAGTTTACTTCATGAGTTTCAGCGCAAAATAGTTTTTCGTGCCAATCTTCCGACGTTTCTCCCTGTGCCGGTTGATGGGCCAAATAATGATCGACGGCAGCAAGAAGCAGGCGCCCGCATTTCGGAAGGGAAAGATGCCGGCATACATGTGCATCAAGAACGGGACTTCGAAGCGCGGTTGTGGACGTGGCTGATTTTTTTCCAGACGGACAAGCTTCTTGCAGCGGCACACCTGAGACTGGGAGGCGCAGGCGACACCACTGAGCTTGCCTTTCGAGGCAGAGATCGCAATACTTTTGTGGGTGGTTTCGAGGAGGTCATGAAGGAGCAAATTGATCCTGCGAGTTCTGCGGGGCATGAAACCGTAGCGCCTCTGCTCCAGCGCGTTCTCCAAAACAAGCTGGCGATTCGAGAGCTTTTGGTCTTTCGCGCGCACCTCGCGATTGCGGCAGTAAGAACGTTTTCGTACGCACAGGTCGAAAAATCATTCGCTGAGAGCGCGACCATGCTACCGCACGCCGCGCCGGGAAATGAGAAGATGGTGTTTTCCTGGCAAAACCTTTTCTTTGCAGATTTGCGATTGGAAGTTGATACGATTTTGCAGCTGTTCCAGGAGAAGAAGCAGGTAAAGAGCCTCTACGACGAATTGGTGCGTCCCCTGGCGAAAGATCCGGTTTGGCCAAACTTGGTGCAGGTGCTTGCTGTGGAGCGGGAAGGCTTGACAGACGGTGAGGAAGATCCAATGGAAGTCGAAAACGAATTGAGCGCGCTTCAGCGGATGGCGTTGTTTCTAGCACTTTATTAGGTTGTTCGTGGTCTTGGGAATACCGAATTTTGCATTTTTCATTTAGGTTGTTCGTTCTTATTGGGGTTTTCTCATACCTGTGTGTTCGAGACATACAGCGTCATTTAATGTTGGTCTCGATGCAGCTTTCTGCCTATGATCAGTCGATGACTTGATGTAAGAATACAAATAGAAATACGTCTGTGTAAGTATATGGAACTGAGGGTATCTAAATCAGTGCGCTGTTTGCTTGAAAGATAAAGATGTAGAATCGAAGATGAAAAATCGTGTGCAATTCATTCTTCTTTACCCGCCATCTTGAAAATGTATCTGTTTCAACGCAAAAGCAAAACGTAAATGAAGGGTCTAGAAGATGAACAAAAGAAACAACTGGAAAAGTGTCTGAATTGTTCTGCGTACTAGTGCAAGTTTTCTCTCTCCAAAAGCGGTATTCTTTCTTCCCTTAACCTGTCTGTTCGTAGAAGCTTCCGTTGGCTCTAGCTTTTGCGATAAAGAAAGCGGTGCACTAGGAGCGAATGGAGAAGAATACGCGTTGCAGTGGTTGCATTTACGTAGCGAGAAGATGATGTTGAAGAACGAGGTGCAGCTTGAGATTTACTACTGTAAAAAGCACGAAGCAACAACCCCTGGAAAGCTGTGAGAAATGAATATTGGATAGCTAGTACTGCTGCAACGTCAATATCGTGGTTTGCTAGAGGACGATGATTGCACGTCATACATAGCTCGAGGAAATCGATATTCGATTGTGCAAGCTTGAGGAATTGATAGTGGTCGTTGTGAGATGAAAGTCATTCATTGGATGAGTGTTTCGTACTCGTAGCGCGTTGTGTAGGTACTAACTGCAGACCTTACATGTTTCGACTCATTTTGGTCCTTCCCACTACTAGCATAGGATTTACCGTGCCTGGCGCAGCTGCCGCAATCGCGGCGGCCGGTTGCGCATCGATGTTTGGGTTTTTTTGACAGTTCTTTGAGCAGCAGTTTTCGTTTGCTGACAAAGGACAAGCACTTTGTTTCTAGTCTGGGGACGCCCGCCTCCCTGTGACCTGCGTGCACGATGTCGGAGGATCGCCGGATTTCGGTGGTGATCAGATACCGTGACTACCGCGGAATTGAACAGGACGCGACCACATGGCGGATTGACGAGGATAGTGTCTGCGACAACGCCGGCGGTCACGGCCAGTGGACCTTTGACAAGGTGTACGCGCCGAAGTCGAACACTCGAGAAATTTTCGACAATCATGTGAAGGAAATCGTACCAAAAAATTTTGTCAAATTTAAGTTTTCTCAACAACACATCAACTACACAGAAGTCCCAGTAGTCTGTTCCGTACTCCATGATTTCCACACACGAGCAGCTGTTGAGTTGTTTCAATGTGTTGATCATGTTGATGTCGCACAGACAGTAATGGAATGGTTCTTTCTAGAGTGTAGGTTCTCGTGAGCCGTGTTGATCTTCAATCGGCTGAATACAATCCATCCTTTAGGTGCACAACTGTCTGGAGGGGTTCAATGGGACGGTATTTGCCTACGGCCAGACGGCCAGTGGGAAGACGTTTACCATGCACGGCGACCAGCGAAGGCACGGGATCATCCCGTACGCCGTGTTGGAGATGTTTCAGCAGATGAGCTATCAAATGTAAAAATGTCTGGGTCTGGAAGAATGCAAGTTTGTCATGCTTGTCTGGCATGACTCATAAATCTGTAATGCATGAGCAGGAAAATGGCCTCTTGCCTGTCATGCAAAAACGCAGTTTGTCATGCGGAAAACGAGGCACAGTAGTAGTTGAAAAATTTGTCATGCTTCGCTGCGTATTGCAGTCCGCCCACCAGTCACATTTTAGCATCACAAGTTTCAAGACCCAGACATTTTTGCATTTGATATGAGCGAGCGGGAGCAGGACCAGGAGAATGACGCCATGAGTAACTCGCTCGAGGAGCAGAGTTCCGAAACCGAGTACCTGCTAACCGTCAGCTATTTGGAAATTTACAATGAGAACGTCATTGATCTGCTGGCTCCTGCGTCCACTTCGGCCCCGCCGCAGATCAAGCTTCAGGACCGGACAGATGGGACGCTGAACATCCAGGGTCTAACTGAGGTCCAGATAGGGGAAAGGGGCTGCGAGGAGGTATTTGACTGTCTGGTCCGCGGGGAAAAGAAACGGCACATTGGTGAAACGCGCATGAACGAGCGCTCGTCTCGGTCGCACACCATTTTTCGTCTGCATCTCGAGTCCAGAGGCGGGGTAAACAAGAAAAAGGTGCTCACGTCCGTGTTGCACCTGGTCGATTTGGCAGGAAGTGAAGGTTTGAAACGCACCCAGGCCACAGGTACGCTGTGTTTATTGTTTCTTGTGGCTCTCGCACTCGCTTGCCATTGGAATCCGAATGTTTTTGTGAACTGCATCAGGCTTATGCAGCTGCCTCCAGTGCGATCATTTCAACACCAGTACTTTGAAATCCATGACTCACTTTTACAACATTTGCCAGGGGAGCGTCGCGTGGAGGGAGCGAATATCAATAAGAGTTTGCTTTCGCTGACAAAAGTGATCAATCAGCTCTCGGAGAAAAACAACTTTGTCGGCTTTCGCGAGTCGCAACTGACCAGGATTTTGCAGACCAGCCTGGGCGGGAACGCGCAGACAGTCATTATTGCAGCCGTATCGGGTGCACCGTCCAACTACCCCGAAACTAAATCGACCTTGGAATTCGCGGCGCGGGCCAAGCAGATCAAGAACAAGGTCAAGGTGAACGTTTTCCAGGACCATGAAATGGATGTTAAGCGCCTCCTCGCCGAAATATCCCAGCTGAAACAAAAACTGGCCGACGTGACGAGCGGGGAAAAAGTGGCTATTCTGTCGTCAGAGAACAACGAGCTGAAAACGCAGAGAGAACAAATTTTGCGGGAAAAGATGTCTTTGGAAGAACAAATTTCCAACCTCCAGGGCACGATGCCGAAGATCCTGCAAGCGCTCCCTGGAGAGAAATTGACGCACACGCCCCGCAAAGCGAAGGAGCCGAACCGGAGGCACACCTTTTTTGTCGGTGGAAAAAACGATCTTCCAGTGTTTTCATCACCAGTATAAAGAATTTCAGCATTTTTGAATTTCATCCACTACTGCCTTCTGAAGGCGTTGCATGCAATACCCAATGCGTGTGTCACTGTCCTCTGACTGTGCCGCGGGCTGCTTTCGCGTATTTGCAGAAGATATCTAGTTCCGTGTCTCATCCTGACATTCATTGTGTCTCCAAACATAACTCAAATTCCACCATTGCAGATTTCCAGCTTTACCTCGCGCGGTGTCAACAAAGGTGGCGTGAAGAAGCAGAAGGCCGTCGCTTTCAACGGACAGTCACTGGCGGAGGTGGACGAAAGTGGAGAGAACGAGGACATGGATGAAGATTCCGCCATGCCCACTGCACGAAGCGCGAGCGCTACTAACGCCACGCAGACGGAGCAACTAATGAAACTCCTAAGGGAGAAGAAAGAGCTGGAAGGCCGTATTCGGGCTTTGGAGGAGGAATTGCAGCAAGCGCGCACGGACTTGCAGCTGGTGCGGGACATGTCCGCACAAGCACAACAGGCCAACCCGAGTCCCCTGTTCACCCGTGAGGAGAGGGATTCGCTTCTTTCTCAACTGCAACACCTGCAGGAAAACGAGCGCGGGAAGGAGAAGAAAATTCGCGAACTCGAAAGCCGGTTGCAGTGGTTTGACAGTGTGAACCGCCGGATTGAGCAGGACTGTAAAGACCTCGAGGAGAAGAACAACGAACAGAAAATCCGAATACACGATCTCGAGGGCGAGGTGAAGTGCCTGGCCAACCAGCTCGCGGAGCGGGAGCAGGAGCTGCAACTTCGAAGTCGCGAGGAATCGTCGTTGCGCGATCATCTGGGCAAGATGGGCCGAGATCTGAATGGTATTGCCTGATGAGTTTTGTCTGACAGCGTTTCCGTTTCCGTGACTCCGTTTATTTTATTTTTTTGTCTGTCAGAAGTGTTTGTTTTAGTGTTTCACTTTCATTCTTGTTGTCGCACAGCGTTTCGTTGATGTGGTCGAAAAGCGGCGCAGTAAAAGAGAGGAGTTTGAATCGCATTTGCAGGTCTTTATTTTCTCGGAATAAAAAAATTTTCCGCAGTTGCAAAGCAATCGAACGCTACCGAGCGCATGCGGGCTCGTTCTGTAGAGGAGGAGCTGGAAAAGGAAAAGGCTCGAAAGAGGCAACGCACCGATTCGGATGAGCCGCGCCCAGGTCCGCGAAAGCACTTGAAGCTGACTTCTCCGGCGAGTCCCAGGTTTGGCAACAGAGTGCAACTTGTGAACCAGGAAAATAACCACAAAGCTGGGTCGGCGTCAAGCTCCAGCCGCAAATCTCTGGTGGGCGAACCCGTGGTGCAGCACCCAAACGGGGTGAAGACTGCTTTTGGAGGACTGCTGCAGATCGGCGGCTCGAGTTCCTCCACAGCAAATAAAGTTTTCAACACACCGAAGAGGACCAGTGGGGAGCTCGCAGCCGAGCTGCAGAGTCGTGAAGAGTTCGAGAACCAGGTGCTTGCCCAACAGGAACAGGTTCTCAACCAGGAAAACGCGAAGCGGGAGGCCGAATTCGCCACGCGCTTAGCGCAGGCGGAGAAACAAATGGAACACGACTGGAGCGTGAAAGTCGCGCGACTCGAAATACGCATTGCCGAGCTGGAGGCCAGCGAGCAGGAGCTGCTGGCGGCCGACACAGACCGGGCCCAGAAGCTGGAGAACGAAATAAACGATGCCTGTGCGCAAAAAGCGGTCTTGCTCGAGGAGAAGCAGGACCTGGAGCAGAAGCTGCGACATTCGGAGAAACAGGTCCACCAGAAACTTGTGACAGAGGACCTGTCTCAGAAGGAACGGGAAAAGCAGCTCGCGCAGCAGGTGGAAGCACTCCAGGACGAGCGGAACGAGCTCGTAGAGGAAGTTTCGCAGAAGAACACGGAGCTGAACAAAAAGACGAGCGAAATCACGCACATGGAACAAGAAATCGAAGCCGTGAAAAACGAAAAGAGTGCCGAACTAGAGGAAATGATGAAGAATGTGGAGACCGTGTCGGCCGAGTACGATGCTGAGATCAAAGAGCAGGCGGAAAAGATTGTCCAATTGACGGCAGAACTCGATTCTTTGCGCCAGCAGTTGGCCGCTAGCGGAGAGAATAACGAAGCGAAAACTAATTCCGTTCGCGAGGAGAATGAGAAGCGACAGCGAGAGCTGACCGCCGTGCGGGAGGAGAAAGCGGCGTTGCAGGCCCAGCTGAGTTGCTACCAGAGCCAAATAGCGGACGGGCGCGCGGCGCAGGCCCGAGCGGAGGAACTGGAGCGCGAGATCGGGGTCGCGCGCGCGGCCGCCGCCGAGACGCAGCAGCTGCGCGACCGATTTGAAGAGAAGGAGCGGCAACTAACGTTTGAAGTCCGCGAGAAAAGGGACGAATTGGCGAAACTGGAAATTGCGAAAACTCAGCTGGAAAGACGCAGTCAGGCGTTGGGACAAACCAATAAGGAAGAGATCACGAGATTGCAGCAGCAGCTCTTAGACCTGCAGGAGCAGAAGACGGAGAGTGACGCCATGGAGAGCCAGGTTCGGATGGTCGAGCAGTTGCAGCAGCAGGTTGCGAAAAACACGGCGGAGCTCGCCAAAGCGTACGAGAAGATCGACGAGAACACCACGGAAGTGGCGAGACTAACGGAGGAGCTGAATAACACGAAAGTTGAGCTGGAGAACAGGGCCAAGGAGAACATGGAGGTCGTAGGCGAGGCGGAGAAGCTCCTGGAGGAAACCGACAAGAAAGACAATGAGCTCGCGGACTTCCGTATGCAGAAACAGAAATGGGAACGAGACGCCGAGGAAAAGAAGAAGCTGTTCGACGAGCGGGAACACTTAGAGCTGCAGTTGACGGACCTGGAGACCCAGCTTTCGCAGCTGAAGAAAACTCGCGACGACGCACTCACCGAGGTGCAACGGCGCAACCAGGAAATCTGCTCGCTGCAGAGTACCCTCACCGCAGAAAGCGCAAAGCTGGAAGAGTTGCAAACAGAGTTCAGTGCGGTGAAGATCGAGAAGAAGCAGGCGGAAAAACTCAATCAGGAGCTGCAGCAGACTTTTCAGCAAGACAGCAATTCGCTGCGCTTGGAAAAGGAGGAAGCGGTAGCGAAGTACGAAACGGCACAGAAACAACTGCAACAATCCGAGCAGGCGGTGCTCGCTGTAACAGCAGAAAGGGACAAGCTCACCGCGCAAATTCACCAGGGCAAGGCGCAGCTGCTGGCGCTCGAAAACGAGGCGGAGACGTTGCACAAGCAGGTCGAACAGGCGCAGGCCGAGACAACGAATTACCAAAAGCGGCTGCAAGAAGCACAGCAACTGAAAACTGGCTTCGTAGAGGTGGAGGGCGCGCTATCGCAGGCCCGGGTGAACAACCAGGACGCGCGATTTGAACTGAACACGGTGCTGCGCGAGCGCGACCAATTTTCCAAGGCGGTGAGAGAGCTCGAGGAGCAGCTGAAAGAAGAGCGAGAACGGAATAGCGAACTTGAGGAAAGATGCGGTGATGTAGACCAAATCCACCGGGATGCCACAGAGCTGGGCGGACTGATGACACAGGTACGCACAAAATTTTTTCTACCTTCCAAGCGAATGCCAATGCAACTCAAGTAAAAAACAAAATGAGCATGGTGCTTCCGAAAGTAGATGCTCGGTTTCCAGTAAGTATTTCAGCAAGTTGTAGGCGCACAGCGTAGACTAACTTTGCAACGAACACGAGCTCAAGAACATTTCTAATAATTTCATGAAACGAAAAAAAAAAACGAAGGTAACCGCGGAGCGCGAGAATCTAAAGAAGCAGTTACAGCAAGCGGCGGATGCCCGCGACGCCGCCAAAAAGCGCGTGGAAGAGCTAGAGCGCGAGATGGACCGGGTCAAGCGCCAGCACGTCGAAGACTGGCTGGGATCTGCGACCACGATTACAAGAGAGGAGGATTCCACCCTGGCCTCGTCCACGCACCAGATGCTCCAGACCCAAAAGAAGCAGGTCGAGGAGCTTCGTTCGTTGCTGCTGAAGAGCGAAGAAAAGCAGGAGAAACTGGAGGAAACCGCCCGGGAGGCTAACACGGAACTGAAACGGAAGGAAATGGAGCTGGTGCAGGTCCAGGAAAAGCTGGACGAGCAGCTGGCGCTCGTGCAGCAGCTGAGCTCCGAAAACGCGCTCACCGGGTCGAAGCAGGACCTGCTGCAGGAAAGAAGATTACGGGAACGGCAGCAGGTCGAAGTGGAGCGGCTCCGGAAGGAGAATAACACGCTCAAGTCGTCGTTCCGCGAGGCTTCCCGCGAGGTGAAGGACTACGGTGTGAAAAGCAACCAGATGAATTTCTGGAAAGAGGAAAGTGAAAAGAAGGACCAGATCATCAACGAGCTAAAGCGGGAGCTGGAAATGGTGCGCGTTTCTCAGGCTGGGGAGAAAGCGCAACGTCAGTCCGTTTTGAAAGGCCACTCCGACATGCGGTCCTTCGTCCAGGCCAGCGGCACCAGGCGGGACTCCATCAACAAGGAGTCGTGTGCGCAACAATAACGGGAAGTATAATAGTACTGCCCGATTTTTCCCCTGCGATGGCTGTAGTTTGCAGCCTCAGCTTTCATGGGACAATTCGGTTAGAGTAAGTAAAGTTGTCTCGTCTCAGTCAATTATCTGTTTTTTACTTGTCGAGGATCGATCCAAACTCAAACCAAACTAACAACTCAACAGATGGCATCTGTCTTGAAACTCAAACTCAAACCAAACTCAAGTATGAAGAAAAACTAACTCAGATTTGCTCGTAGCTTCCACTAGGGAACTACCTGGAAACGCGTGAAGGAGATATTTATCTTTGTCAGCGGAACAAGAAAAACTGCTTGCACCAAAAGTAAAAGAACCAGGCAGAAGAAGAAAAATGAAATACAACAATATGTCAAAGTAGAGCTTCTGCACGAGACGACGTGTTGCTTCGAAGAGTTGAAGGTGTTGCTGTTTTGTAAAAAAGGTCATAGGTAAACCAATATCGCTCGACTAAGGGGGCTACACCTAGATTGATAGATCATGACTTGCACGCCATTTGGTCGAAATTCTTTGACGCTAACTGAACGCGAAGGTGATCGAAGAATGTCTTTTCTGCCACGGCATCAAGGAACAGACAAGAACTGACAAGTCTGCTACAGTAAGACATTCAGGAGAATTGGTACCGCATTCCTATCTCTCGAATGTGACGTTTTTGATACATCGAGTTTTGCTTTCGTTTTTTGGGCAGATACACTTAAGAGAGTAGCAAAAAGTGAACAAATTTCCAAAGATGCCGACAAAACGAACGAAGTGCGAGCTGTATCACTCGTCTAACGCAGCGGCGGCGATCCGCCGTTCCGGTGGTCTGAAGGGGACAAAAAATGACGCGAATCCCAGCTGCGCGGAGATTAATATGACCAAGGTGTGGGCGTGCGCCGAAAGTAAGACGGAGATTTGCTGCAAGAAACGAAGCGGCGAGCGATTTAAGATTGAGGCCAGTGACCTGAAGAAAATCAGCAACATCTGGGATCCGTACCGGCCGCGGAATCAAGCTGCGTACCGCAACGCCAGTAAAACCAGCAACCACGTGTTTTACAACATCTTTCTGGTTCCCAAGAAGAAAAAGCTTTCGCGCCGGCAGAATGAAAACCTGGTCCGTGCCGACGGGAGCAACAACGATCCTGTGCGCTTTTATTGGAATCGGGGAGATATGTACTTCCTGGAGTTTGACGAGGATGATGACGATAGCAGTTCTTCCGACTCATCTTCCCCTTCAACTAAACCAGAGGAACGGCGTCACGTCCACGTGGCAATCTGCACCAGCTTCCTGGACATTAAATCTGCAGGCGACGGGGACGACGACGATGATGATGACTCATCTTCAACCAGCGATAATGACGATGACACCGACTCGTCATCCGACAGTACCGATGTGAACATGAACAGCAACCAAGGTGGCGACGATTCTTCGTCGTCTTGTGACCAGAGCGACTCCGATTCGTCGTCCAGCGGTGCTGCCGACGACGGCGCTGATTCGTCGAGCAGCGACAGCAGCAGCATGAGCGACTGCATCAGTTTCGGAAAGTATTTTCTTTACAACCCGCGGAAATGCGGAAAAAAATCAACCGGCAATACGCCTGTACCCTTCCTGTTGGACGGATCTGCACGTGCTGGAGGTTTCGACTTGGACACACTGATGAAGCAGGAAGCTCCGGATAGTCTTTTTTGTTGCGTTGGGACCGGGGCCGCCGGTCACACAGGCTCGATTCTTGGGGGTGGTCTCTCTCCGAGTAAGATCCTACCGCCACTTGAAGAACTTGCGGCGCTGCTGCCAGCGCAGGGAGTTGTGGATATGACCAATGTCGACCTTGACGACTTTGAGCAGATTCGGGCACTCGATCCGCGACTCGACGCACTTTTGGGGTCCGTTGGCACTTCCGCCGGGGCGATCAAGTTTGACGATGCGGCGACGCAACTGCAGAAGAAGGCGCAGTTCGCGAAGGTCCTGCAACTCGTTTTCGCCCATGCGGATTCCGGTCAAGAAATCACCCTGAGTGATGTTCTCACCTGGCACCGAACGATCATGGGGAGAGAACACGGTTTCGCTGGAAGGCTGCGCGGTCCGGGGGTAGGTGTGCACTGCGGTAAAACTAGATTTCCGCCCGGTGGCGCGCGAGTGGAGAAGGGAATGGATGTGCTTTTGCGGTCAATTAACGAGCTTCTGGACGATCTTACAAATGAGCCAATGCTCGATCCCCGTGCTCAGCAAGACCGCGTCATGCGAGTGTGTGCCTTCAGCGTTGTTCACTTGACGACATTGCATCCGTTTCGCGATGGCAACGGCCGACTTAGCCGTCTCCTGGTCCTGCACTTATTGCGCCGCACCGGGTTGGCTGCCGCCCTGCCGGCCTTGGTTGAAGTGGGGGAGAAGCGGGGTAGATTCGTCGCAGCGCTTGAAACGAGCAGATGCGAAAACGGCAATGTCGTGGAGCTCTCGGAATTCATCGAGGAGTGTTGCTACTCGTCGCTACTTTCGACCTTGCGATACCGATACACGCAGCGGGACAACGAGGCGCCAGCGGTTTGTGTGTAGGGAATGCGAAGATAAAAAGCGGACGCGCGAGCTTCGTGTTTGATAAATAGGAGGATCCTCGGTTTCTGGCCTTTATTTCATTTTCGATTCCACCAGATTCTGACTAACTGATCACTTGCGGCACATCGATCTGCAAGACCGATTTTATGGACATCTAAAAAAGACGAGCGACAGGGTTTTTTCGTAAAAAGCACTGAATAACTCCAATAGAACGCATCAGCTCTACTAATACATAGAAATTGGAGTAGCGGCTAGTGTGTTCGTCGTGCGAGAATGAGAACTACCTTTCTGGCGAGTTTGCTTGTGCTACTGACACGAAACAACTTCACTCAGGAAACAAAAGGATCGAAACTAGAAAGAGGAAATTCAGCAAAGGATCCGAGGAAAGTTCGAAATGCCTGCTTTTCAAAAAAATGTTTCGGCGCTCGTCCGTCGTATCGTCGGTATTCATATGACGAGAAGCATCAGCCAACTTGAACTAACGATTTCCAGGGCCAGCAGCGTGTTAGCACTTTTGAGAACACCGAATTCTTTTCTGATCGTATTTGAAAAGCGAAACCCCTTCTTGATTTACTTCTCCTGAAGACCACACAGAAATCTCCAACACACCAGCAGCCGTACAGCCTTTCTGCCCTGTCTGTCAGTTTGATAGCATATCGGCCTGACATTACCCAAAAATGACACGCGGTAACCAGCGAGAAAAGGATCGCGCGCGCGCCGCAGCGCGTGCCGAGAAAAACGCAGGAGGCGGACAAAAACTGACCCAGGATGATAAGGCCAAACAGGCCGATATCCTGAGTAAAAACGTACCCACACCAGAGTTGTAATGCAGATTTGCAAAGACAGCCACACTTGTAACGCGCATCCCCATGAGAGCCATTTCCAATCGTGTTTTGGAATTTGTGATGCTGTGAACAGGATGAGCAGACGAATCTGTGATGCGGGCTGCACTTGCTAACCTGCACTACACTGCATAGTGCAACTTGTCATGCGTGACTCACAAAACTCCTAGGTTTGTGTTGCAAAATCCCCATCCTGACTCTGGTGTGGGTACGTTTTTACTCAGGATAGCCGAGGCGATGCGGGAAAAGCAGCGTTTGGCGGACGAGAAAAAGAAAGCAGAAGCTGCTTATCAAATGTAAGAGTGTCTGGGTCTGGAAGAATGCAACTTGTAATGCGTATTTCAGAACACAGAAAAGTCTCTCATGCATACGTAGCAAAAGCTCCCACTTTTTGTCAGCAAATTAGGGGACTTGTCATGCGGATTCGGCATTGCGGAAGGTTCTCGAAACCTGTGATGCTAGAGCTTCCATGCCAGACCTTCTGTGTCATGCAAAAACAGCATGACTCTTCCAGACCCAGACATTTTTACAATCTATACTGCTGCCGCACAAGCAAATGGCGGGGCAGCAAAGGCGACGATATCCGCAAACGCCTATATGGGAGGGGGCAAGAAGAAATAGCGAGCGGCGACTTGTGTTACTGAAAGACTCAGAACTAGGATAGTTTGTGTTTGATGAAGAACTTTTCTTAGCACAAGTAGAGCCTTAGCACAAGTAGAGCCCGAGGAAATCGATTGCTGTGTTGATTTTTCGAACAATGTAAAATCCTTTGTGGATTTTCCATGAAAGTCGAACCTAGATGTTTTACACCCAAAGCGACAAAGGCACGCTCTAGCTACCCCGACTTTTTGGCTCGTTGCATGGCTCAGGCACAAAACCACCTATGCAGTTTGCTTTCAGGCGGATTGTATTTTTGGTGCGTACTTTGAGCTGACGTGATTATCCCACATCCATTCTGGGACTACAAAAACCGCTAAATTCGTGTATGCGAACATTCACTGTGCGTAGGCTCGGAATTCGTGGTAAGATATCAATAATATGGCCTCGTATGTACGGCTCAAGAATAAAGCCATTGAATTTGAAAGTGAAGTTCGTTGTTCCCTATCTATCTCGTAGGTCGCCGGTAAGATCTTCGAGACGGGCGCGCAGCTCGTTTTGTTTCCTTATCGAAGTCGTTTACTTCGTTGTATTTCGATTCATCGTACTTCCTTCGTAGACTGGCCTGTACATGTCCTGGCCGGGCAATCAATGACCGAGCAAGATTCGTGATTTAGGTTGAGAGAAGTAATCGGAGATGAATCTTTACAGCGACTTTTTGTCTGGTGCGTCGTCGAGAACACGAAGAGTCCTGTCAAAAGGTTGGACTCATGCTTAGGTTCGAAGTCGATGTTTCGTCGTAAGCGTGATCAATCTCGATCGCTCGTATACTGACACACGATTTCATTTTCACGCAATCACTTTCGAAAACTAAAGCAGACAGTGGTGAAGTTGCTTTTGCGCCCTTCTCATCTTGACCACGACAGTTTTTTCTGACAGTTAATTTTCGAAGAAAAGTGCACCGATTCCAGGACCAAAGATGAGCCGGGGTTTTCTTGCTTTGACTGGAATTTTGTTTTCCGGAAACCTGCTGTCATGTGTTCGCGCGATGACATCCGGAGCGAACCATGATTCCAGCTTGTTGCATAACTCTGGGGTCCGTTCCTGGCAGCCGGGAATGAACGAATTGCAAAATGCGGATGCGGCAGCGGACGAGGAAAATGTCAAACCGGATCTGTCGGGCGTCGATGTATACTTTGTTTTCGAATTAGTTGATGTGCGGGGAAAAACCCTGACACTGAAACTGATGCCAAATTCTGCGATTGTAAATGAGTGCAAATCTAATTGCCTTGCTCGGGGACAGATACAAAAGGTTCTTTTGGATCTTCTTCAAATTAAAAGTATGTTGAAATTTTAACACTTCTAGGCGTCTGCTGCGTCGGGAGACTCGGAATCAGATTCGCCTGCGGAGCAAGAAGTTTCCTCCGCGAATGTCGTCGCTGATTCTCCCGAGGAAGAGGAAAGCAAAACCTCGTTCCAAGAAGCAGAGCGAGGGTTTGTGTGGAAGCGCGTGACCGCCGAGCCATTGAACGCCAAGTATTTGCTTTGTAATTTTTTTGATGCGATTTTGATTTCTCATGAACAGGATCAGATGTGTTTCAGCCACAAATCGAATATATGTACGAAGCATGCCGATAAAAACGCCGCTCTTTCAGATACGGCATCACCTATGGTGGGTGGAAACACGTTTTTTTCGGTGTGCTCGCTTTTGCGCTCCTGGTTTTGATCGAGAGCGCCTGGCGACGGTCCGTTCAGCAGCTCAAACTCGAGGCCATGCAGCGGGAAGTGGACGATCTCAAGGCGAAGGTGAGTCGAAAAGGCGAAGACAGCCCGCGCATGGAAGATGTGCGCTTCCGCCTGCATCCCGAGGGCAGCGGCGTCTACACCCCGGATTTGCTGCAGACCAGCGACATCAGCGCCTCCGCGAGCGAGTGCATCTGACTGTCTTGTTGTCACCGAATCGACAGGAAAATTTTCGCGTTCGAAAAGCAGCGCACCCTTGTACCAACTGCTAGTACGAATCAGAGTCTTAGCCTTTTGTACCAAAATCAATGATCTTTTGTATCTAGTATTCCACCTAGGACCTAGAGGATTAATTCTGCGTAGACTGAATCAATTGTTACTTCGTGAATATTGTATGTACCTCGTAGGAGAATTTGCCTCGCTATAGACCTCGATTTGTAAAATTTGATGAAAACATGCACAAGCGCGTATCGGCAACGGCAGGTATAGCAAGGTGCAGACAGAGTGATGTGTATGATGATGCGAGACGTAACTAACGCTTCCTCAAGCAAACAGGATGTGACACTACTACCACCCCTAATTCAAAGCGACAAAAGAACATTGTACTAAGTATGCGAGCCTTTCGTTGTTTTCAAGCTACTTTAGAAATTGATGATTCGTCGTCACTTTACTTTGCCAGGCGGAAACCCATGCAAAAGGGCCGATGCCATATGCTCTAGCTCTTTCAGCGTCGCTTTCCAAGGAGGTTTGACTCTGCAGCTATGTCATTATCGCTTCTCGTCACTTCTCCTTCTGCGTCTGCTTGTAATCACGCTTGCACGTTTGAGTCGAGCGATGTAACACTTTCCGGGACCGGACAAGAAGGAGAAACATGAGGGAGGAGCGAAAATCGTTTCGTTCGTGTCGCATTGCGCCTCGAGAGAGCCCGAATACTTTTCGTTTGCAATGGAGAAAAATTGGATTTCTGCTTTCCCCAGGAGCTTGTTTTTTGGAGAGTGAAGACATATAATTGCTGTTGAATGATTGCAAGAAAAAAGCTATGTTTGTTGCCAGCACCGGCTCGAAAGCGCTGAGACGACGCCGCCGCCGGAGTTGTCATCAAACGAGAAGTCCTTCCGCTCCACCCGGCCTCGACCCCGGATTTCTGTAAGTCGTAAACAGGACGAGAGACAACGCGTGTCACCTCCGGTCATCTCGATCGCCGTCTTACCGCTCCACCTAAGGCGAGAACTACGAAAACATGGAGACGCAATCGCGGAACTCGTTTCAGACGGCGCTGACCGTCGAACCGGAGAAGGTCGCGTTCCGGGACATCGAGGTGGGTGTTTCGTACCGGCAACAGATCGTGATCCGCAATGTGACGGCGCACGCGCGGCGGATCCGGTTCGTGGCCCCCGGCGTGAAATCCGGGCAGGCGAGGAATGACAGTAAGTTTCGGCTCATTTACGACAACAAGCTGGCGATCTCACCGGGACTCGCGATCACGGTGGAAGTCGAATTCTGCTCCATCGTGGAGCCGGGCGACTATGTCGACCGCTTGCTGGTGGTCAGCGACGACTTCCGGTTCGAAGTGCCACTGCAGGCGACCATGCCTTGCGCGATACTGGATTTCACACGATTTCTCAACTTTGGTAACGTGATCGTGCAGAAAAAGTTCGCAGAGGAACTCACGATCTACAACACCGGGTCCCGACCCGGCGGCTTCGAGTTTCCGGATGCCATTCGCAGCGAAAACTTCGCGCTCGAGTACCAGCCCTCGTCCGGCGAGGTCCCGGCTCGCGGCAGCACCACGGTGAATCTGGAACTCACCTGCTACGACACGCCACACACGGTGCACGAGCTTCTGGATGTGAACCTGAAGAATCAAAGTTCGCTCGTCGCCAACAAGAAGTCGCTGGACATTCACGGGACGATCCTGCGGCAGAACCTGCACGCCATCTACGACGCGCAGGAGATCAAGGAGTTGGGGTTCGGCCACGCGTACTTCGGCACGACGGTGGTGAAGACGATACAGTTACTCAACGACGGCCCCGAGCCGCTCAGCTTCATCGCGTACGTGCAGAACCAAAGGAACGAAGACGGGAACGCCACCAACCTTGAGCCGATCTCGGATAGCCAGACGATCAAAAACTCGTACGTGATTTCGCCCTCCAACGGCACGGTGCCCGAGTTCGGCAGTCTTCCCGTGACCATCACGTTCCAGCCACCTCCCTATGAGGAAACGAAGGGGTTCGTCTGTACGCGCCGCCCGCAGGACAAATTGTTCGACTTCGGGGTGCAATTTTTCATCGAATCCGAGGAGTTACGCGAGGACCAAACCGTGGAGCTCCAGCTCCGCAGTAAGGCCTTGGTCCCGGCGCTGAAGGCCACACCGGAAGCGCTGCAGTTCGGGTTGTGCGACACGAACGACAGGAGAGACGTCGTCGTGAAATTAGAGAACACACACGACGTGCTGCCCGTGGACTTCGACATCCCCATCGTGCCGAACTACCGCTGCACGCCGAGCAAGGGACAGCTTCTGCCCCGGCAAGTGATCAACATCACCGTCAGCTTTCTGCCGAAGCAGCTCGGTGTGTTTCAACAGCAACTGGAAGTCAAATACTGCAAAAATCTGTACTTCTTGAATGTGGTGTTATTTTCGAACATATGTTTCGATCATGTTGATGCGTGTGGGTCTACTGTTTGTTTCACGGTAGAAAGACAAAGATGAGTGAGTATTCCTCAAGTGTGCGCTCGCATGAAAAATCACCAATTCAGGTACACCGTGGTGCTTTACCTGATCGGCGAATCCGTAAAGATGGGGTACAAGCAGAAGCAGGTCAAAGGGCTGGAAAAGGTTGCCGCGGACTTTGAACCGCAGTACCACTACGTGAATGTGGAGGAATTGTTCACGACCGCACCGCCGTTCAAAAGACAAATGTCGACGCTCACCGCTATCATGAAGGCGGACGTGCAGTCGCTGGAGGCGACCCACGCCTTGGAGAACCTGATGGCTGACCAGCCGGAGCCGACGATGCACACGCTGGCGCCGAGCGCCATGCAGGAGTTCGTGAAGAACAAACAGATTTACAACCAGTACCTGAAGGACGCGAGGAAAAAGCGCAAGGTCGAGGAGTACTGGGAGAAGCAGGGCGGGCGGCCGACCAAGGACTTTGACATCTTCTTCGAAGACGACGCGGACATCGGGATAAAAGCCGGGAGCGGCTTGAAGTCCCCGAAGTACTCCGTGCACGACGTGAAGTCAGAAAAGCTGTGGCTCGCGCGACCGTTGGACGATGACCCGGATGTGGTTCGGGGGGTCACCGGGTTGCGGTACACGCACGACGAGAACAAGCCAATACGGAAGAAATTCAAGACGGCGCCCACGACGCAGGCGGAGGTGCGGGACTGCACGGCGCAGTTGCTTGACGCGCAGCTCAGTCTGATCTCCTGCGGCCCGAAGAAGATCGATTTCGGCAAGGTGTTCGTGAAGAGTTCCATCTCTAAGTCTTTTTCCATCTTCAACGACCTGCCGCACAGCGTGCTGCTCGCCCTGCAACTCGATGGAATTGACGTGTTGTCGAAAACGACGCCTTTGTCGCAGGTGGTTCCCTCCGCGCACGCGTGCGGGTTCGACATTGTGATGAGCTCCCCGACGCCGAAGATCCTGGATAAGACCATCACCTACACGATCAACGGCTTCCACCAGCAGAAACTGCAGCTCTGCGGCGAGGTCACGCCGGTGACCCTCCTATTACCGACTGCGGAACTGGTGTTCAACTTCGGCGACGATTTGGACCGCACGCTGACGGAAACGATCGTCTTGGAGAACCCGGGGAACGCCATGGCGAGGTTTCACTGGCAGGTGCAGCCCGGCTCGGCCTTTACCGTGTCGCCGGAGAAGGGAACGGTGAAGCCGTACGCAAATATCGCCGTCAGCATTTCCTACACACCTTTTCCGAACAGCACGAACGCAGAGACCTCCTTGACCCTCAAAATCGAGGACGGTCTTGACCAGGCCATTACTTGCAGCGGCAGCTGCCAGGAGGGGTTTGCGGTCTTTTCGCAGAAAAAAGTGGACTTTGGCGTTCTCTCCGTGGGCAGCACCGCCGAGAAGACGGCAACGCTGAAGAACGAGGGCGGTACGAACGCGGTCTTTTTCGTGGAATCACAGCTCGAGGGCGTGACGATCCAACCGCAGCGCGGATCCGTGCCGATCGGGTCGACCGCGGAGATCACAATAAGTGTAACCCTCGAGCAGCCCCAGGTCCTGGACTCCGTGGTCAACGTGTTGATTCGCGGAGGGAAGACGATCCGCCTGCCAATATCGGCGCAGGCGGTGGTGCCCAACATCGAACTGGAAGAGGCCGAGTTTGAGTTCGGCAGCCTCACGCTCGGCGCGGTGCACACGTTGCCCATGACCTTGCGAAACTCGAGCGCGGTGGAGGGGACTTTGTACATCAACTTGCAGGACTACCCGGAGTTCACACTCACCGCGGTCGACGATTCCGATCCCGCGATGGCTGTGTACTTCGAGCGACTCACCTACGACCAGTATTTGACCATGGTCGGTGGCGGCGAGAAGAAGGACAGCAAGGGCGGAAAGGGAAAGGGAGGAAAATGTACAGTTTCGTTTTTGCGCAGGTTGTCGTTGTTGAAGTTGATTCAGATTGCGGGCGGGGTCATGCTCGTTCATTTTCCTCTGCTATGATTTTCTACAAAAAAACCGCTGAAAATTGTAGCTTCATGAAACACACTTTTCCAGCTGACGTTTTTGGCATGTCCGGTGGTGGCAGTAATGCTTTGAAGGCGCAGTTGGTCGAGGAGGACGACGATGACGACGAGGACAGCCAAATCTTCAAATTGGTTGTGCCCGCAAACGGCACCCTCGCCTTGCAGCTCACCTACCAGCCCACCGACTTGGGCCAGCACTTTTTCGACCTGCCCATTGTCGCCGCCGGCAACGCAAAGGCCCCTGGGTGCCAGCGCGTGGTGCACGGCAAGGCCCTCCGCCCGCGCATGCTTTTCTCCACGACGACCTTCGATTTTAAGACGAAAGTCGTTCCGACCGGCATGCAAGGCCAGGCGTCCGTGCTGGAGCTGCACGTGCACAACGCGGACGACTTCCCGCTGTTGTGGCGCATCGACACGGCCGGCATGTCCGACGTGTTTGTGATCGACCCGGTGTCGGGTCTCTTACCCCCGGAAGAGGACCAGGTGATCAAGTGTTCCTTCCTGCCGATCAAGCCGGTCCCGTACCAGGCGCAGCTCCCCGTCTACATCTCTCCCCCGCGGCAGGAGGGCAGTCGCGCGGACGTGACGCAGCCGCTCCCGATTGAAGACGACGCGTTGCCTTACCTGGAACTCCGCCTCCGCGGGCAGGGCTCGGTTCCGAAACTCACGTTCGACCAGCGGATGATTCAACTCCCCACCGTCCCGTTAGGTGTCACCGCTAAAGCGACCTTTAACATCCTGAACGACGGTTACGAGTCCATGGACGCGGAATACCGGCTACCCGCCGAATACGCGAAAATCCCGCTGCAGGTTCGATTCCCGGAGGGGCAGCAGTTGACCTTGAGCCGAACGAAACTACCGGTGGAGGTGGAGTTCTGCAGCACGAAGTCGCTCTCCTTCACGGCGAAGTTAGAGTTCGTGGACGCGGACAACCGGAGTTACGTGATCCCGATCTCCGGCACGGCGGACAACTGCGTTCTGTCCACGTCGCAGTACCTCATGGAGAACACCGCAGACTACGCACTGGAGGGGGAGCAAATTGTCACGTTGAAAACGTCCTCGCCCTGCACGCCGACGCACGATTCCAAGGCGTACCAGGAGGGGGCGGACAGTCTAGTCAGATGGCTGAACGGGGTAGCGTTTAAAGTGCCCATCGAGAACTTCCCACAGGATCTGATCCTGCAGCAGGGCAAGCCGGTCTTCGAGATGATCGAATTCTTTTCGGGGAAGAACGCTTTGACTACAGCTTTGAAGGAGAGGCCACAGGGCCACGCACCGGAGAAAGCCGACACGGGGAAGGCCGTGCCGAAGGATCTGGTGAAAATTAATAGCACCATCGCGGTGTACGAAAAGGCGCTGAACTTCTGTAAACAACACGGCTGTTTGCTCTCCATGGTGCGCCCCGAAACGCTACTGTCGCAGGACTTGTTTGTCAGGTACTTCTGTGGTATGATGAAGTCAGTTTTGAAAACGGTTTCCTGCTAGAAGAAATTAATTTTTGCTGTGTTCACTGAGGAGCGTGGCGAAACCACTGACTTGGACAAACTAGACCGCTGGCTGAAATGGAAATCTCATTTATCAACACTTTCACTTTCGCAGGTACGTGCAATTGACGGCATCTAAGTCGAGCGGTGGGCCGGTTAGCAAGCGACAGCTGGAGAAGAACTACGTCGGACAGTCGCTCGAGTCGTGGACAAACTTCGTGCTGCAAGTGGTAAAGGTGTTTCTGCTGAACCGCGTCACGCCCAAGAGTTTCCGCAAAGATTTACCGGGTATGATGCCGGAAGACGACGACGATGATCCGGGCGCAACGAAAAAGATTCCGATCGAATTACAAACGTGTTTGGACGTTCGCGGGATGGCGGATTCTAACGTATGTCTTTTGTTATCTTCCGCGCATGATTTGAATTTTCAGAACATGATCACTACATCAGCTTTTTCTTCACGACCCGCTTTGCTGCGAGCTTGTAGTTGTTCCTCCGCTCCTTCTTCAATCTTCAGTCGATGTCGCTGAGCTTCGTATACCTACGTCCATACAAATCGCAGGTTTACGGCGTGTCGGAGTCAATCCTGCTTCGCTGGCTGAATTACCACTTTTGGAAGATAAACAACGTCGAGAGGAGGTTTCCGGCCCGCGTCGTCAACAACTTTGACACGGATTTGCAAGACATGTGCGTCTTCGGCATGGTCTTGTGGTCACACGCACCACACATTGGCGATTCCCTGCGTGCGATGAAGTATATTTACATACTCACACGACGCAGTGTTTTTTTTTTCGCGCATTTGGGCTTTGCAGATGTGAGAAGCACGCGTTTGTGAACGGAAACGGCTTGCGATTTCAAAGGAAGTCCTTGTCTTGAAAAAATATGGGAGCCAGACCGGTCATGGTGGAATTCGTAGCTTTTTTTTTTGCGAAAAAGCGCATTGCTAGGTAGGAAGCGCAACGAGCACTAGGTCGGGAAAGAGAAAACGTGTTGTGGATTGAAAGACAGCCTTCCATCTCGGAAAATTAGCGGACCCAGACCGGTCATGGTGAAAATTTGGAAGCTGCTTTTTTTTTGCAAAAAAGTGCGTCGCCGTACGGGACGACGAAGACTAGATTTTCGCTCACGCGTGAGTCTACGCACAATACGCATTAAAAGCTACAGATCTAGTTCATATTTTTCGCAATTCTTCAGGTACCCCTGCACCACTGCCTTGCAATTGCAGACGAATGCGAACTGCGTCTTGCAGGGCCTACGGGAGTTGCAACTGCAGTACCCTCTGACAACGCAGGACATTATGCAGGACCCTAATCCACGGGATTTTCTGCTCCTCTCCCTCTTTCTGTTCCAAAACCTGCCACACTACGTGCCGAAGTCTACCATTCTGTACCAGACCCTGCTGGGTACGAACCAGACCAAAAACATCGAGCTGACCAACCCGAGCAAGCGGGTGGTGACTTACACGGGCACCCTTCGCGGGTCGGGCGATTTCGTGGCGCTGCAGAAGGAACCGCTGCGCATCGAGCCGAAACAAAGTTGCAACTTCCCCGTGCAGTTCGTGAGCAAGTTTACGCGCAGCAGTGAGGCGCAGCTGACCTTCACCAGTCGGCGCGAGGGCAACCAGCACGCGGCGGCGATCACGTTCAAGCTGCAGAGCAAGTGTACCGGGAAGAAGCCGCGGAAGGTGATCCACCAAACGGCGGTGGTCTACGAGGTCGGTCTATCAACTGTAAAAATGTCTGGGTCTGGAAGATTCTGACGCTTGTCGTGCACGTTTTGCATGAGCCATGATGTCTGTGATGCATACCCTAGCAATACAGATTTTTTGAGGGCTTCTTGATGCGTATTCCGCATGACAAATGCCTTCTCAGCATAGCAAAAATTGCATTCCCTTTGGTAGTCATGCAATACAGATTTTTTGGGAATCCAAGGGCAGCATCACAAGTTCGCATCCTTCCAGACCCAGACATTTTTACATTTGATACGGTCAGGAGGACATCGAGATCGAGAACCCCTACGGCGAGGACGCGGACTTCAAAATCAGTGCGCAACCCTTCCAGATGGTCACGGAGTTTGCGCACGCGTCCGCGCCGCCGGGGTCGGCGGTGACGACCGCTTTTGTATCAAAAGAAAAAATCCCCCCTCCCCATATCGAAACGAAGTTTCTGATGCTGGATTTCCATACACAAATCAGATTTGTATTGCAGTAGAGGAGTGCAGGCATATGTCAAGCCTCAGTTGAGAGGCTTTGACGTAGGCGCCTAGCATGACAAACGTGTATGCTCTAAGCCAAACAGCATGACAAACCTCCTGCAAAATGCGAAAGGCTTTCTGGACTTGCCTTCTTGCAAGACAGACAGGATTTGAGGTCACAAATGCGCATCACAAATTTTCAGACGGATACGTTTTCGATATGGGGTGGGGGGATTTTTCCTTTTGATATTTTGGGGAGGGCAACGAGCTGATGAACAAGGCAGCGTTATCCTATTTAAAAACGTCCCCACCCCATAGTTGTAATGCAAATCTACATGCTGAAAATGTTTCTCATGCGGAGCCCCATGAGAAGCAACTTCTAGTCGTGTTTTGCAATTTGTCATGCTCCAATCAGCATGGTGTGCTAGGTCTGTGATGCTGCTGAGCTAGCTCAAACAGCACTACACTACGAGTCCAAATTTGTGATGCAAAACAGCCAAAACTTGTGGATTTGTCTAGCCGATTCCCCATCTTGACTATGGTGTGGGGACATTTTTACTCAGGATAAGCGTCGAGCCTGCAGCACCCGATCGACCCGTTCCACCTGTCGCAAAACCACGTGAAGATAAAAGGCAACGGGTCCGCGAAGATTTCCGTCTCCTTCCTGCCCTTCGAAGTGGGGCACTTTGTCACCCAATTGCAGTTCTACGACAGCAAGGCAGGCGAGTTCTACATCGAGTTGCAGGGGAGTTCCTCCACGCCGGCACCGTTGGAACAGTTCAAGGTCGCCATGAAGGTCGAGGAAGTGGGTTTGAAAGACATTGTGATCCCCTTCCGCAATCCGCAGATGGACAAGGCGCGCCAGTGGCTGGAGGCGAAACTAGTCCGAGAGGGGAAAACGCAGGCGGCGGTTTTGCAGGTGCTAAAACCCTTGCCCGACAAAGCGGTGTACGACATACAACTGTCCTCACCCTACTACAAATTTGCGTCGAAAGACCTTACCACCTACGCAAAGCCAGCCAACGAAGCGGAAATGGCGGCATCAGGGAAATTGCAGCTCGAGTTCCGCCCGAAGGAGCCGGGTGTGTACCCGTGTAGTATCACTCTGCACAGCAATCTGGACACAAGGATATACCAGATTGAAGGTGAGAAATAAGGGTTTAGTATGTGAGGTTGCTGCGTTTAGGATTTAGGTTTATTTCATCGCTCTTGTGCCTGTGCGAAGTAGATGTTGTGCATTTTCTTTCACTCGCCGTTCGCGGACACGACGGACGCACCGAAGCAATTCCAGTACCAGAAAAAAACAAAAGCGAACTTTTCACAGGTACCGGGACAGCGCCAAACACGAAGTGCGCAATGACCTTCCACAGCCACGCACGCCAGGAGGTGATACAAGAAATACCAATCGTAAATCCAACACCAAACGACTGGCCGCTGAAGGCGATCTTCACCTATCCGCCAAGTATAGCAGTGCTTTTCTTCTGCTAGTTTTTTTGAAAAGAAGTGTGCCAAAGAAATGTATGTCACTCACCCAGATGCAGATTGACTTAGAAATAGAATCTCACGTACAAGATTTGCTAGCTAACTAGTGCTAAATCCATCACCTACTGAAGCCTAACTCAACGCCAATCGTACTGAAAATCAGCGGAGACCGGCGAACGATTCTTCTCCGGCCCCAATGCGATTACCGCGTCCAAGCGGGGCGCGAGCGGCACTGCAACCACGACGTACTATGAGTTGAAGTTCAAACCGTCGTGGGTGTGCGAGCAGGTGTGCCATCTGGCTTTGGTCAATGAGGGGGCAAACGAAACGTACGAATACGAGCTCACCGGTACGGCGGACGAGCCTCTGGCAGAGGACCACGTGATCATCATGTGTCAAGCGAGGGAGCGCACGGACCACGAATTCATGGTTCGTAACCACAGCAACAGGGAAACGACCTTCGAAGTCGAGTCCGACATCCTGCATATCAGCGGACCCAGTCACGTTCGAGCAGTATAGCTATACTGCTGGTTTTGAATATGTTTCTTCTATGCGAAAGACTTAAGCGAAGGAGGTTGATAACGCTCTGTGTGGTGGAAGAGTGAACTGCTTTTTGTGGTTGACATGCGTCAACGTTCAAAGTTACAAAACTTTTACAAACAAAAATATGTACAGGCTCCCGGCGAAACGGTGGGCTACAACTTGAGTTTTCTGCCGCTCCAGGCCGGCAACGTGACCGGGTGCATCATGTTTCGTGACAGCAACAGTGGGCAGTTCAGCTGGTTTACGGTGGAGGTACAAACTTCGCCGTCGAAGGCACAGCAGTCCCTCTCCCTGAGCTGTGTCGTGCGACAGGCGATCGCAGTGGACATTCAGCTGGTGAACCCGTTAGACGATGTCATTGTCTTTGACGTCACTTTGGTCGGCGACGGGCTGTTGGGCGAGCCGGAGTTTGTCCTCGCCCCGAAGGAGACCGCCACCTACGAGCTGGTCTTCTCGCCCTTCCTGCCGGCGAAGAAAAAGGGGCAAGCCATTTTTGTGTCCGAGCGAGTGGGGGAGTTCTGGTACGACCTGGAACTAATCGCGGAGCAGGCGCCCCCGATGCAGCTCCCCATGTTTGAGTGCGAACTCGGACAGCACGCGAGTACGGAGGTGATCATCGAGAACCCGACAGGGCAAGAGGTCACGCTGCGGGCGAAGAGTACGAACAAGATCAATTTCAAAGTGATGCAGAGCGCGGTGTTTCTGCAACCCTTTGGACAGACCCCCGTGGAGATCCGGTACTTTCCGTCCAGCATTGAGATTGTCGAGGAGGCAACTATCACGCTTGAAAACCCGGCGGTCGGCAGCTGGGTGTACGTCATGCAGGGCAAGGGGCACGCGCCAAGGGACGCGAAGGAGGTGATCAGCGTGTCGCAGGTGCAGAGACCCGCAACCACAACCATAACCTTCAAAAATCCCTTTTTGGAGGCGGTCCAGGCCCTGGTGGTGCTCGAGACGCAAGCGCCGAAAAACGTGTTCAGCTTGCTGAATAAGAAGGCACGACTACCCGTCGCACCGCTCGGAAGCTGTCAGATACCGGTAGATTTTTTCTTTTGTGGAGGTGCTTTCCGAAACACTCAATACGCAAAAATGAAAAAGAGCACAAACACCCAAATTTTACTGCGGCTGGCGCTGTGCGCGGAAGGAGATACAAAAACTGAACTGCTAGGAGCTGTCAGAGGCAACAGGCGCCTCATCGACATAGCGGGTTTGCAACGCCCAAAACACCGAAAAAATGCGCTAAAAACCGAAATAGCGTGGGGCTTGTGCAGAGAAAAGTTGTACCTACGAGACTGCTTGGCTTTTCTGAAAACGAGCACCCCAGCGGGGTAGCGGATCTACAGGCACCGTCCAAAACGCAGAAAAAATGCGCCAAGAACCGAAATAGCGTCGGGCCTGTGCAGAGAAAAGTCGTACCCACGCGACTGCTTGGCTTTGCTGAAAACGAGCAATCCATCGGGGTAGCGGATCTACAGGCGCCGTCCAAAACGCAGAAAAAATGCGCCAAAAACCGAAATAGCGTGGGGTCTGTGCAAAGAAAAGTTGCACATACGCGACTGTTTGGCTTTGCTGAAAACGAGCACCCCATCGGGGTAGCGGATCTACAGGCGCCGTCCAAAACACAGAAAAAACGCGCCAAAAACCGAAATAGCGTCGGGCCTGTGCAGAAAACAGTTGTACCCACGCGATTGTTTGGCTTTCCTGAAAACGAGCAACCCATCGGGGTAGCGGATCTACAGGCGCCGTCCAAAACACAGAAAAAATGCGCCAAAAACCGAAATAGCGTCGGGCCTGTGCAGAGAACAGCTGTACCCACGCGACTGTTTGGCTTTGCTGAAAACGAGCACCCGATCGGGGGAGCGGATCTCCCGGCGCCGTCCAAAACACAAAAAAAAATGCGCCAAAAACCGAAATAGCGTCGGGCCTGTGCAGAGAACAGTTGTACCCACGCGACTGTTTGGCTTTGCTGAAAACGAGCACCCGATCGGGGTAGCGGATCTACAGGCGCCGTCCAAAACGCAGAATGAGTGCGCCAAAAACCGAAATAGCGTCGTGCTTGTGCAGAGAAAAGTTGCACCCGCGCGACTGCTTGGCGTTGCTGAAAACGAGCAACCCATCGGGGTAGCGGATCTACAGGCGCCGTCCAAAACACAGGAAAAATGCGCCAAAAACCGAAAGAGCGTCGGGCCTGTGCCGAGAAAAGTCGTGCCCACGCGACTGTTTGGCTTTGCTGAAAACGAGCAACCAATCGGGGTAGCGGATCTACAGGCGCCGTCCAAAACACCGAAAAAATGCGCCAAAAACCGAAATAGCGTGGGGCCTCCCTGTGCAGAGAAAAGTTGTACCTACGCGATTGCTTGGCTTTGAGGAAAACGAGCACCCCATCGGGGTAGCGGATCTACAGGCGCCGTGCAAAGCACAGAAAAAATGCGCCAAAAACCGAAATAGCGTCGGGCCTGTGCAGAGAAAAGTCGCACCCACGCGACTGTTTGGCTTTACTGAAAACGAGCAACCCATCGGGGTAGCGGATCTACAGGCGCGGTCCAAAACGCAGAAAAAATGCGCCAAAAACCGAAATAGCGTCGGGCCTGTGCAGAAAAAAGTTGTACCCACGCGACTGCTTGGCTTTGCTGAAAACGAGCAACCCATCGGGGTAGCGGATCTACAGGCGCGGTCCAAAACACAGAAAAGATGCGCCAAAAACCGAAATAGCGTCGGGCCTGTGCAGAGAAAAGTTGTACCTACGCAACTGCTTGGCTTTGCGGAAAACGAGCACCCCGTCGGGGTAGCGGATCTACAGGCGCCGTCCAAAGCACAGAAAAAATGCGCCAAAAACCGAAATAGGGTCGGGCCTGTGCAGAGAAAAGTCGCACCACGCGACTGTTTGGCTTTGCTGAAAACGAGAACATCGTCAGGATAGCGGATCTACAGGCGCCGTCCCAAACAGGCGAAAAATGCGCCACGAACCGAAATACTTCTCGACTGCTTGAGCTTCCTAGAAAGAAGCACCAGCACGTCCGGGTAGCGGGTCACCAAAAGGTTCTCATAGTGCGGAAAAAAGGCGGTAAAAACCGCACCAGCGTGCGGCCAGCGTAGAACATTTTAGCCGAGACGTTTTTTTTTGAAGCGAAGAGACGGAAATTTAGAATCTGTATAAAAAATTACAGGTCCAATTTAATCCGAGCAATATGGACGAGCAGACTGCGAAGGTAATAGTAAGCGTTCTTCCAGGAGGTGCAGGGGGAAAAATGTCTAGTCTTTCAGCGAGCAGTGCAACGGGTTCACTCGACGCTGGGAACATGATGAGCTGGACCTACCTGATTAGAGGTACTTGCAAATCAATTCCGCTCTGTCTTGATAATCGTCTTGCAGCTTCTTGCGCGCCAGGGCTGCAACATGTTTTATGTTTTTCTTTCCTTGCGGTTTGTGGTGCACGAAAAAACGGGCTCTTTCCACTTCCAGCTTCAATCGAATGAAAGAACGCCTCACATCACTTTTCTCTTTCAGGTATTGCCGAGGCCCCGGTGAGCAGCACAGTCCACAACTTCAAATGCCAGGCGCGAGAGACAGTGGACCAGATCTACGGCTTCAATCTCATTGGTCTGGAGCTTGGCCCCGACGACAACCCCTTGGACCTGCTGCGTTGCGAACTCGAAGTCGGGTCCCAGCAAATCGAACCTCTGGTAAACAGGTGTTTCCAGATTGAAATCGCGGAGCCCGCGGACGAGAATGCGGAAGGGGAAAACGGGAAGCCAAGGTCAAGTCAAACCGACCGGTCGGCCGCTAGTCTGACCAAGTCCGCCACCAGTAGCTACGGCGCGCCGAACGCCGACAAGGATTCACAGGGCGCGTTAGTGAACATGCGGGTGCTCTTCGCCCCACTGAGGCCCTTTAACACCTCCGCGTTCCTTCTGTTTTCAAAACTCAAGGGCGGCGGCAGGTGGCGGTTCAACCTAAACCTGACCTCTTTAGAACCCGCAGTAGACGACATCATCGAAATCGAGTCACCATTGAATAAGCCCGCGAGCGTGGCGTTCAAACTCTGTATTGCTTCCACTGCTTTTGCTTTCGGTTTCGATTGGATCTCGATTCTGATTATGTCTTGCGAGTTCCTGTGACTTTGTCGAGTATTGTTGAAATAACAACGACTGAAACAGGTAATCACACTGCCTCCTATGCGGAATTCGACGCCTTCTTCGATAGTGACGCGGCCGCCGAGTTCACTGTGAGTCCAACGCAGGGGGTCTTAGAACCCGCCGGGAATCCGCAGGGCACGACGTTTGTTGTGAGCTACCGGCCCACGGAGTACGGCAAGCAGGTGCAGGGACGGTTGATCATTCAAACCGAGGACGTTATGTGGAGCTACATGGTGAAGGGATTGCATCCCAAGTACATCGCTCCGGTGGTGGATAAACCGCGGGTTTCGACTCGGCTGTCGCGCGACCTGGCGTCGCAGCTGGGACACAGGAACGAGAAGAAGAAGAACTTCATCAAAACGAACATTAGCGCCACCAAAAGCCTCGCCCAGGCCGGCATGAAGTGATGAAGTTTTTCGTTTTCAAATATTCAGAATGAATCTTTCAAGGCAAGAACTCCCTCGCTATTTATTATAGCCTTCCTCAAATGCAGTTGTACCATTTACAGATGCGTCTTCAGCTACGTGTTCGCTTTGACAAGCGAGTGCGAGATGAAACACTTTAGAAACATCGCGAATTGAGTAAACACTAGAACTCGAATGGAAACCACTTACAAACTTGTTCTTCTTACGCTAAAAAAACTAAATGGAATAATTTACCGAAACAGAAATTGACACTTATCTTCGTTTAGTGCTATCTGCGCACGAATGACTGGTAGATGAGAGACAACTAACTGTTTCTCCTGCTGGGTCTAAACGTCTCACGTTCTGCTTTATTTCAAATACTAACTGCTAGTATCCTGGTTATTAGAAGTTTGTTAATACAGCGCGAGTAGAGGCGGGTCGTGCGGGTGTGCTTCCTTGCGACCCGGGAAGTCGATTACTCTAGCGTTTTGCTGGAACCTTGTGAATGAACTCTCTGAATGTATGCACACTGCGGTATTAATCTGAGAATAAAGCATGAGCAGAAAAAGAGAAACTCTCTCGTTTAGCACGCGATCGAATGTATTGGCGAGCACCTCACAGAGCCTCAATTGTGTGCTCGTGAGCATGTAGGTTCTTTTCCTTTTTTTATCTTTTGGCTGTGGAGGGAGAGCAGAGACAGAGAGATAACAAATTGAAAGCAAGAGTGGTGCTGCGCCGGGCCATATCATGCGGCACAGCACAGACTCGTCGGGGTGACAAGAGATCGAGAGTGTTTTCAGAAACTATACGTGCAGACGCAGAAGCAGTCCGAAACAAAGGAGCTCGAATTCTCATGTGGTGTGACACAATGCATGCATCATGGACCATCTCCAACAGTATACTTCCGGCAGCAGTGGTTCCGGCGGTGACACCCAGGCGAGACAGCCCGTGGTTACGGAGTTCGGGTATTCACTGGCCGCAAGCGTGGACGATACGCGTTTCGTTGAGGACTTTGTCGAGTATCACTTCACCTTCCAACACCGGTCCACCAGCGAGTATGGCATTTGGCGCCGGTACTCGGTGCTCAAGGAGGCCCACGACGAGATTTGCCGGCTGTTGCTTCCCTACAACGATTACCTGCAGCAAGAGTACAGCGTGTTTCAAAACCGCGCGACGCGGGCGGTGCACGGCGAAGAGGGCATTCCGACGACCGGGTTGCAGGTGCGGAGCTCCACCAGTTCGCCCGGGGCGGACCACTTTGCGGGACCCGGGGGGCTGTTGAGCAGCTTGCTTGCGCCAACGACGGCTTCTGGGGTAGTTTCGCCCAATTTTCAGGAAGGTGGGAGCTCCTCGAGTACCAGGCCGCCTCCGCCGAGGGGGTCCGCGTCTACTTCCGCCGCCGCGGTGAATCAAAATGGCCCAGCAGACGGACGGTTTCTGTTCAAAATGCTGCGAGGAGGAGCCGGACTCGAAGCATCCGCTGCAGCTGCTCCCGTGACTTTGGAACCTTGTGTCGCAAAAACCACCGGAGTGCTGAGCCTTGTCCCCCGAGATGCGGCGGGAGGAGGCGTGTCTAGTAATACTTCGACGAACTCACAGAATCGCAAGAGCACAGCAGTGGACTCTCACACGCCCCCGGCGGTGCCCTCGTTTCCAGAGAAGCATTCGAAAGTGGTCGCCGCGATTTTTGGGGAAGAGGATGAGGTTGCGGAGCGACGGAGGATTGACCTGGATGTGTATTTGCGGCAGATGCTGCACTTGCTCGAACCCATGCTCTGGCGTTTACTGTTCTTCGACAAATATTTCGCCTCTGCCGTCGTGGCGCCCTCGCAGAATGCCGCAACGGAAGATGGTGAGGCGTCATTGATGCTCGACGGCCGACGAAGCAGTACCTCAAATCCACTCCAGCAACGAGTGCTACGCAATGGTACCCGGCCGCGAGGCGGGGAAAACACCGCCGGTAGCGCTGCGCCCGCCGCACGAGAGGTCCGAAGTAGTCGGGTGATTCCCATGATGCTCGATGAAGAGGAAACACTGCTCACCAGTGGGGAGCACACATCGCTGAACACGCGTCTGAGCCGGTACTTCGTCGTGCCCGAATCTGAAATGGTTGAAACCGTGAAAATGCACTACGAGCAGCAGGAGCGCGACGAGGCAGAACGGATACGTGAGGTCTTCTGTGCGGTTCTGCTGGGCCTGCAGAAACCGGAGCCGCCGACGACAGTGAAGAAAGCGAAGAATCGGGCCGCGGGGGCCATCAGCATCGAGGTGCGCCTGGCACGCAGTCCACCGGCCGACGGCGTGCTGGTCCGCGTCGCCGCGGCCAGTAGCGATCTGGGGAGTCTCTCTCGGGAAACGGTGCTGGTGTGCCGCAACACGGCTTTGGATTCCTGCGACATTCCAGTACAGGCCGCGATGCCGGAGCCAGGGGACTATTTGATCACAGTTTCGGCCTTCAACCTCGCGGGTGAATCTGCAACGGTGTCTATCCTGAGTAAAAACGTACCCACACCAGAGTCAAGATGGGGATTTTGCAACACAAACCTAGGAGTTTTGGGAGTCACGCATGACAAGTTTCAGTCCGTAAGGTAGTGCAAGTTAGCAAGGAAAGCCGCATCACAAATCGATTTGCTGATCCTGTTTACAGCATTACAAGTTCCCAAACGCAATTGAAAAGGCCTGTCATGGGGTTGCGCATCACAAATGTTCCTGTCATGGCAAATCTGCATGACAACTCTGGGGTGGGTACGTTTTTACTCAGGATAGTGTCGATTGGCTTGCGGTTCGGAGGCGGGGCCGATTCCTCTCGCGATCAGCAGCTGCAGCCTGGTGTGTTTGGCACGATGATGCAACGGTTGTTTGCATTCGGTGGAACAAGCACAGCAACTGCGACGGCAGCAGCTGCAACACCTGCAGGCCCGCTCAATAACCTCTCGACTGGACGACTAGGGACGAGTCTTCACGTAGTACAAGGCACAACCAACAACTTTCCGCCAACGCCAAACCGAGGCACGACACACTTTTTGCAGCAGGAACTTCGAGAACCTGTCGGTCTTCTCCCCGTGCAGTCCTCGGGCTCGATGGGAGAGCGTTCTACGGTCATCATCGACGAAGAGCACAGCACGATTCCCGACGAAATGGACCCGATACCAACCGCGTCAGGTGCTGGTGCGCCGGTCCGACCGCCGGTGGCTTCGCAGCCAGTCAACCACTTGTTTCCTGAGGAAGTCCCAATGCAAGAACTCCCTAGTCGTGAACAAAGTTTCACCTCCTTGTCTCTCGCCGGTTCCGTGCGCATTCCGCGGCCAAAGGCGTCCCCGGTAGCCTCGCCGCCCGCCCCGAGACTGGCTGGCGATCCATCCTATGAGTCGCTAGCATCCGTCGGAAGGACGGTCTCAGCTGGAGAGGCTGCAACAGCTTCTGATCAACTACCTTTTCCGCAGCATACTCTGATAGGAGTCGCGCAGGAACGCCTGCAGGAACAAGAGGACGAGGAGCAACAGCCCGTGGTCCATTCGCTCGATGAGCACATCATCTGGTCGGCATCGTCGTTAAACACACAACATCACTCGACCACCAACACGGGCCCGCCCATCCGATCTCCGAATTCGTCCGTGGATTCGGGGCGCGGCCCGACGCCGCACTTGCCGCTCGCGGTGAACCGCTCGCAGGGAAACTTTTCCATGGGGCAGTTCGAATTTCCGGAGATGCTGTTGCCGCGGAACTCGCGGCGAATCCGCATAATGAGCTCGCGACCACTACCCGCGGACGACGGGCACGGCGGAACTTTAGTGCAGGGGGGAATTAACCCCTCCACTTTTCTCGGGTCCACCACCTCCCAGTCGGCGCTGTTTGCTAACCCGATTCCGAACGTGTCACGCGCAGATGAGGAAGACGAGGATGAAGGGGAAAACGTCGCGGGCCTGGACGAAAGAGAACTCTGCTGTGCGTGCCTGGAGCGACGACGGACGCACGCGTTCATTCCGTGCGGCCACAAAGTGGTCTGCGCCCGCTGCGGGCGCGAGCTGCTGACCAACCAGCCGCGCGCGACCTGGTCGTGCCCCGTGTGTCGCGAGCCGGCGATCGCCTGCATTCGAATTTTCGACAGCTGAGGAGTGTGGTTCTTTCCATCCAGCTTTACTTCGCATCTACATGTTTATTCAAGTTCAACATGATAACGCCATGATTGGATGCAGTCAGCATCAAACTTTCTTGCTAGTACCCTTCCCGGGGCCGTTGGCGGGTAGCTTTTATATTTTTTCTCGAGACTTACGAGATAGTCATAAGATTATGAGAGGTCAAAGTTCGCTGCTACGTGAGTATGTAACCGTTGGGAGAGATCGCTCGATGAGTCGAAGGGCAGCAGTTGCAGCTGGCGAGTTCTTGTGGGAATGAACCACCGAGGAAGACTTGGAATGTTCGCACTTAGCCGAAAGATCGTAATTATCGTGTGAAAGTAGTAGTTATAGTTTTGCTCATTCGCATTCGAAAAAAATCTATCATCAACAAAACTTTTTTCGATAGCGGACAAGAGGTTTCGTGCTGGGAGCTTCGTTGAAGTTGTCAGCCAGAGAGAAAAATGCAGTTCACACCGCAGCAGCTCGTCGGCGGGAGCCGGTTTTCGAACCGGACCCGCCTCGGAAACTGGTCAGAGGATACGGACTTGGACCAGCTCAAATTGAAGGATTACCTCATGAAGAAGGAGGAGGGCGACCTCTTGGTCAACGCAAAGCAAAAGAAGTAAAATGCTGCTTGTTGGTTCTCATGCATCGGGTATGTTGGACTTGGATGCGTGTTGCTGTTGCAAGTGCAATCGATGCAAATTGTAAATGCCGACGGTGGTCGTGCTGTTTGGTAATTGCGCTTGAAAAAATCACGGAGCCGAAACTCAATATCGGCGTCTATGGCAAAAATCACGAAACTACCCCTGCAGGTTAGAAGCGGCACTCGGGCCCGTGACTTTGACGCCAGCACCTGAGGACAAGATTATCAAATTTGGCTCCACCGTAATGCTCGTCAACCACAAGTCAGAAGGTGCTTCCACTTTCTCGAAAATAAGTGAGTCGCTTCGATGCGTCTACATCCACTTCAGGTGGGGAATCTAAATGGATGCGATGCATGGCAAGAAATAGACCTGTATGTGTATCAACGAGAATATCTCATAAACAAAACAGCTTTCCTCTCGGTGAACCCATTTGAGACTGTGCCAAAGGAGGAAGTTTGCCGGCCTGTCACCACATCAATGAACGCTGCGCCATGCAACCGAAACACTTTTATCATCACCCGCGCAAGACAAAACGACGGCTTCGGTGACTCGGATGTGTTGCACTACGGGCAAGATTTCTGCCTCCGATTAGAATCCTTCGGCGCGATCACCGTCCCACAGTACTTCTCCTATTTGCACAATTAATGAATACGCATACCTCGTCATGGGTTATTATTTCGTGAAGTAGTATCTTTTCCTTTACCTTTTCTCGTGCAACTCTGCTGCCGCGTGTTTGCGATTGAACCGAGGTGCACAAAAATGATGCTCTCGGTATGAAAAATTGCACAGCTTTCTCCAGTCAGAGGCGATCACGCCACTCGCGGCCTCCAAGTTTTCACGAAAACAGGAAGTAGTCATGTTCCCAAGCCAGGGAGGCAAGTGCCTCTTCCAAATGTGCTGGCCAGATGTGAAGGTACCGAGTCTAAAAATTTTGATTTGGTTTTTAATGGATTTGTGGAAGGCAAGGAGAAGGTGGCGCTGAGATAGTCTGTGGCATATCTGCCAAGCCTACCCTACTCGGGATCAATTACGAGCGTAGGGCATCACGACCAAACAATACAACAGCAACGCTTCGAGATGGAGGGACAGGCTGTCGCTTGCGATGCACCCTTGTGCATTCGCCATGTGCACACGGGTATATTTTTATTTGGAGACTTCGCTTTTGCTAGCACATACTGATACTCTCTCGTGTTGTGTGCAAATGGTCACGAGATGAAATCCATGTCTGTCGAAGTCGAATTCCAATTGAACCACTCAAAATCACAACCAAAACAGGTTCGTTCCTCGCCTCCGACAAGATAGTTTACCAGAATATCTTCGGACCAGAATTTGAAGTCCACTGCCACAACTACGTGTCGACCAACAAGACGCAAAACTTGTGCTCGGAGCAGAAGGGCATGATTACTGGTATCTTGAAACTTGTCTCGATTCACTGTTTTCTTGATGCAACGAGTAGAACTAGAAGTCGTGTATCATGTACATGTAAATGTGGATGTCCTGGCTTGGCGTCCGTGCCACCGATGAAACAACTACAAGGGTGATGCTCAATTCTCCATCCACCGCAGGTGATTATCCATTACGGCGCCAGGGCATTCCCAACGTGTGGACCGTGGTAATGGGGGCACCGTAAAAACTTTTCGCTTCTAGCGGAATGCGATGAAGAAGGTGCAGGTAAAAAATTGAGCTACAGGTGATAAATTTACACAAATTATCGAGACGCTAGATCTATAATTCGCGGATTGATAGTTGTTTTCCTGACAAATCTGCTTGCGGGATTCGAATTTTGAACAGAGTGACATTAGTAATTTATGCGAATCGTTTTATGAAATTGTTTGACTTGCATTGATTTGCAAGAAGCGCAAAATGATAGACGGATAATAACAACCTACAGAATGGAAATGGAACTTCGTTGCACACCATCGCGAGAGTGCGTGAGTGAAAGACGAAACCCGATGAAATTAGGATACAGCTGTACATTTCTTTGAAACGAGATTTTCATTTTTGAACTTGCTACTTAAACCTCTTGAATAAACAACCAGTTATTTAGTAACTTGCTCCGCACCGCGCGCTCTTTCTGCGATATGGCTGCGCCGTGAAAGCACTGTGGTGTTCTCCCACTTGTTGATATCTGCAGCACGACTAGTTTCATCAATGCACCGGAGATAGATCGAGATTCATTTTTGCATGGAAAATCTTCAAGGCCGTTGCGTTGTGTTGTCGCGGCGGCGGACTGAGATCGATCTCCGTATTTTCTAAAGCTTACAGGCATCCTCCTCTTGCTGGATGGCAGCAAGTAAGATCATTGGCAGCGGGCGTCACGACGCACTGGAGTTTTTGTTTTGTTTTGAATCCACTGAAAAAACGTCGATCCCGATGATGATGAAGCAGGTCTCTTGATGGTCCATTCTCGGCACGGTCTGTGATTTTTTTTTGTGCGAAGAAGAGTTGTGAAGTTTGATATTTATGCTTTGTGATCGAATTTATTGCGTTTTTCCAATAGCATCCAAGTTCTATCCATATCCTGTGACTGTCTTGAAGAGTGTGTGTGTACGCTAGTTTTGAGGAAGTTGCAAGATAAATCGCCCGTTTTACCGTTCTTTGCGGTAAAGAAACACACAAGCCATGTGGAACATGAAAAAAGAGGCAGCTCCAGCCGAACCGCCAAAAGGAACCGAACCGCCATCAAAAGCAACCCTGGAGCTGTACTTTCTGTTGTTGGAGAACCGTAGTGCTAGTATATGGAGCCACAAGTTTGTACATATATACAGAGGGCGAGCGCGAGGCATATGACAGGTGCGATCTTTTCTAGTTTAGCGTACAAATGAGCATGGTGGCTCGACATGAAATGTTTGCAAAAAATGATAAAACAGGATCTGGAAAGTGCAAATGCTTTTTGGATTTGCGGGGCTTTGCGCGGCGATGCAGGTTGTTGGCGACTTAACAGGAATGATCGAGCGTTTCTAGCAGAATGGTGCGGGTGTCGTGCGAATGTAGACAACGAGATGATTCGATTTGAAAGTGACGTTACCGGTGTTGAAACAAGGAACGACTACGATTGAAACCAAGTATAGTGAAAAACCAAACGACTGCTACGCATATACGGCGAGCACATTCATCAAGCAACTGGACGCGTAGGCGCACTCCGTGGTGGCGCCTCCCCGAGAGAGCAGGGGGGCGTCGCTATTGAGACCCGCCAGGCTCTTCTTGTTTCCAGAGTGATATACTCTATCTGCTTTCCCTTTCCCCGTTGACTGTCGCGTGGGATAGCGCCATCGTATGAGCGTTTCGAGCGGTCGTGTGAGTATCTGCAGTGCGGTAGAGATATGTTGCAAAGCGACGAAGAGTTGATACGCAAGGAAACGTGCGAAAATGAGGATCCGAGTAGTTGCCATGTGGTATCTTTCGCTCTTGTGCCATATTATTTGAAACGTTTGGTCGCCGATGGGTGAAAAAGAAATGACGAAGTCTCGTCGCTTTCCGTACAGTTTTTATTTTTTTATCCCACAAAGACAAATCTTAGCTGGGTTCGGCTTTGGGTATTGCTATGGATGTTCATGCATAGACTGAAACGTAATCGTAAAGATGTCGATTTTCTCTCTACGCGACCTTCTGCAGCACGAACGTGAGGCGCAGGAACGGATTGTCACCCCACGCCTGCAGCAGCAAAACCTTCAAGCTTCGAGAGGTATACCAGCGTTGGTGGAAGAAAGCTGTGAACAAGCTGCAGGTGTCTCCAATAGCCAGAAAAAACGAGTGCGCCACAATGAATGATGAAAATCGTTTGATAATCTATCGGAGCTGCGGGCGAATTAGTTCTCTGTTCTAGCTCTATCATGACAAGTTCTATATGTGAAACTGTTTCATTCCGATCTCCAAACTACAGCGCCTTCCCTCCTTACCGGCTTCTGTGAGACCACAGGCACGAATCACGCTCACCAGGTCCAGACAGCTCCGCCCTTGCGGACGTACTACGAGAGCAGTCATTCCCTGGACGTCACAGGTCTTTGTTCGCAGCCAACCGCCACGGAGACGGCAACGGAGGTGCATGTTGTTCGGCCGCGGCAGCGGGCCTACTCAACGGCGGGACATAGCGTTTCCGATGACAGAGACGACGAAAGGTATATGCAAGTACTTACTTGCTTCTAGAATAGTTACACGCTCACCAGAGCTCTTTTTTTCGTAGATGTACTACCGTGCTTTGGCTCGTCCCTATAACATGCAAGGAACTTCTCTCAGTGCGGTTGGAAGACGGACCCTTTGAAAGATCCTTCAAACCTCGGTCATCAGGTTGCCACCCGTTGCTTCCCCGGTGTCCAGCCTGCTCGACCGATGCCTGACTCCCGACCAGGCGATCGGAAACCTGTCGCGCAACAGCGTCCAGTCCGTGCTCCCTCCCGCTAGTGAGGTCCCCAGCCCGCTCCGTCGGCGGAACATGGGCAGTGAGTACTTTTCCGGCACCTCCCAGGATCATGAAACAAGAAGTTACCCAGTGAGTCTTCCGCCGCCAACTGCACCCGAGTTGCTGGTTTGCTCTCCCTATCAAATGCAAAAATGTCTGGGTCTGGAAGAATGCCAGGTTTGTGATGCATGTTTTCCATGACCCACGAGGTCTGGAATGCGAGGCCCAGCATGACAGATTCTTTGAGGTCTCTATCATGCCTTTCCTGCATGAGAAACTCCCTCTCAACTTGGTCAAAAGCGGACAGCTTTTGGCACTCACGCAACACAGATATTTGCATCATTTAGAGTTAGCATGACAAGTTCCAACCTTCCAGACCCAGACATTTTTACATTTGATACTCCCTTGCCGCAGCTGCGGCTGGAAGAGACGATCAATTTCGACGTATCCTATTTAAAAACGTCCCCACCCCATAGTTGTAATGCAAATCTGCATGCTGAAAATGTTTCTCATGCGGAGCCCCATGAGAAGCAGTTTCTAGTCGTGTTTTCCAATTTGTCATGCTCCAATCAGCATGGTGTGCTAGGTCTGTGATGCTGCTGAGCTAGCTCAAACAGCACTACACTACGAGTCCAAATTTGTGATGCAAAGCAACCAAAACTTGTGGATTTGTCTAGCCGATTCCCCATCTTGACTCCTTAAGCACTTCGTAAGGAAAAGCACTTCGTAAGGAAAAGCATTTCGTAAAACAAAACGTATTCACTTAGGCTCATGTAAAGCGACGAAGCAGATACTTCAACACACTAGCAGCGTGCGGGGGGGGCCAATGTGGTCCCCCCCACCCGCTGCGCCTATAAATAAAACACGCCAGGGAGTTTTCTTTTTTTTCCAGCAGCGGCTGGCTGTGGGACGTGGGGCAACGCCGGGGGTTAGAAATGCAAATATGATGGTAGTGCGTTCCTATACTTATCTTGCTTCAAACATTTTTTATTTTTTTGGCCTTTCTTCACGCTTTCTCTTTGTCATTATCTTTGGATTAGTTTCGCGTCACTTCATTGCACAAGTATTAGAATTCATAATCATGATGGAGAATGGCACGCGGAGTCGGAAACATTGAAAACGACACCGAGCGCGACGGAACCACACGAAGCCGGCGGGGGGTTGCAAGATCTGCGCGTGTCGTTGGGGCCACAGAATGAGGAATACTAGGCCGCTGGGCATACGCACGCGGGGGAGGAGGGGGAAAACGGAGGCGAAACGAGAACAAGGGGCGCAGTACGAAAGTGGAGCGAGAATCAGCAGGCTGGAGCAGGGGACAAGAGCGGAAAAGTAAGATATCGGGAAAAAAAAACGCCGTATACCTGCGCAATTCCTTATATGTGAATAACATGGAGGGTGGGCGGGGTTCTTCACATTTTTGGAAACGCCCACCGCCCCGACTAGAATAGCTGAATGATGAAAATCTTACTTGATCCACGTCTTGTAGCGCTAGTCGTTCCGCGGACCCCGCGTCCTCGCAGGGGCTTCTCTTTTTTTTCCGCCTAGCCAGCGGGTTGTTGCTTGGGGGGGTGTTAGGTTCGCATGAAAGCTTGTATGCATGCTGTATTCCGGCTTTGCATGACAACTTTTATTGGTTTTACTAGAAGCGCCCTGCTTGCTATCTGCTTTAACTGCTTCATGTGACCGGTGTAGTTTCCTAGTTGCACGAATTCGCCCGCTGCTACCGGGTCAGTAGATAGAAAAAAAATTCAGGTCGCGCAGTTTCTAAATGGCTTGCGGGTGACGCTTAGGACTTGACGCGGTGACTTGTTAGCTCTAGAAAATTGGCACTATCGAAGAACTTGCACGACAAAAAACTTGCATGACAAAATCCGGCCCTGCGAAGCCGCAGTAGATAGTATCCCCCCGCACTGCTATCCCCATTCCACATTGTTCCGGAGGCTGCGAGATGGAACCATGTGGCGTGTGCCGCTGCTACCGGCTCGACACGAAAAAACGAATCCGCGCGCTCGGCGCGGTAGATACCCCCCCGCCGTTCGGGTTTTAGCTGCCACTGGCGTCATAAATTGCGGTCTACAATCTCCTCCTGATGATTTTCATTTGTTCTTTTTGTGTATGGTGCATGAGAGCTTGCACTCATTTTGGCCACGTTGTGGTAGTTTTGCAGCATGCACGCACAAACGGGATTCTTGAAAGCGGAGGGTGGGGGGCGAGACCCCCATTTAGTCGCCGCGGCGCGAAGCCGCAAATCTCGCGCTCACGTCCACCATCAGAAGTGTTCCAGCACGGGGCCGCTCCATGAATTGAATTGAATTGAACGACAGGGCGAGAGCCCTGCAAGACCGGGCGTCGATAGTAAGAGCAAAAAACAAAAATGCACGCATACACGCGCACTGCTTAACTGTGTGAAAGGTGTCGGCCCTGTTTGACCTGCTGCGGCAGGCAGGTGAATTCGTAGAACTGCATCACATGTTAAGTAACGCACACCGGCCTCCTAGAATAACTGAATGATGAAAAATTTATATGCGCAGCGGCTTACTGCGCAGCGTCGGTTCGTGCACGTGTGTCGCTCTTCGTTCGTTGTCTCCAGGAGCTTGATCGTAAATTCGTGCGCTCCTCCTGCTTTATAAAATTCGATCTTCCCATCTGCCCCCGTTTTCCCACGTAGATTTAGATCTCTACCCTTTTATATCTTCTGTCGTTTAGTTTTGTTGTTTTGCCTGACTTGCCTTCTTAGCGCTAGCCCGCGCATCCCGCGTTCTTGCAGGGGCAGCTGTCTTTTTTTCCGCCTTGCCAGCGGATTTTGTCGCGGGGAAGATAAGAAAGCACTCTGGGTTCAACGGTCCCCGCCCCCCCTCGTCGTGGGTTCAACGGCCCCCATCCCTAAAGAGACCACTTAGAAATAATTCTACAGTAGATTGCAAATTTTACAGCGGTCGCCCGTTTTGCATCGGCCGAGGCTGCACACGCGTCCGGAGTATTTTTCACTGACGTCCCTCGGCTTGGGTCATATGATGTTCTTCGTCAGGTCGCGCAGCCTCTATTAATGCGATTCGGGTCGGCTGCGCCCTATGGCTAGTATCTGTGATCCAGCTCGACCATATATTTCGGGTTTCGACCCGAATAGCGCGCACTAGGCGCAACTATCTCTTTATACAGTGGTCTCTCCCTATCTTTACTATCTTTCAGTGCAGCGGCTTACTGCACTTATCGCCCTACGGAGACTGTGATCTGACCTCCCTCTACCTCCCCTGGTGGACGTCTGCCGCGGCTTACGGCTCTGGACGTTAACTAGGATCGAGTGCGTTGTGCGGGTTTAGGGTTTTGAATATTTAATTTTGTATCTCCCACTGCTGCATGCACCCTGCTGCAGAACTTGTGATGCAAAACAACCTCCGGGTTGTTCCCGCGCTTCAGGAGTAGTTCTGTTGCGTGCGGGCAGCAGAAGATGAGTAATGCTGTTGGTTTAGGGGGTTGAAAATGTTTGTGCATGTGTAATGCAAAAGATGAAAAAGATTCGCGCGTGGGAGCGCATTTTTAAGCACAACGGGCGGGTGCCGTTCCCGCCGTCACACAATCACATACAATACAATACAATTGAAAATTGGGGGCCGGGCAAAAAAAAAAAATTCCCCATCTTGACCATGGTGTGGGGACATTTTTAATCAGGATACGACGGAAATCCAAAACAGGCACGCGCGAATAACAACTACGGAGGTGCTCAGCAGACCTTGTTTCCCAGCAGCACGACAGCACAGCAACAGCAAGAAGTTTTCTCGGCGACTTCCTCCAGTTCCTCGGAAACTTCGTCTGGTCGCGCTAGACGCAACAACGCACGCGTGATGACCGGTGAAGTAGCTCCCCAGGAAATTGTAGTTGTTGCGGGCGGAGTCACTACTCAACAAAATCCAAATGATAGTGCACTCGCCTACGAGGACGGAACGATTACCCCCGCAACGGTCTGGGATCTGTCGTTCGCGCAGTCCTCTGGGTCGACTACTCCCGCACAGACGCAGGCGGAGGCGTACGCGCAGAGAATGCGCGAGAGCGAACAGCAACAGTCCACGGGCGGAATTCGGCACTGGATGGCCAAAATTCCCTCCTTCCGGGTGCGAAGGAACGAGGTGGACAGCTACACCCGGTCGCAGATTGTGGACCAGATGTTCAACGATGACGTGCCCGACGAAAAGGAGGACGGGAGAACCTGTGAGATCCCACGATGGCTGTACGCTGACTGTTTGGATCCGGGGTCGAACGTGGACGATAGCTCGGAGTATCGCGTCGATGCGCCACGGTTGCTGCGACAAAGGCAGCAGGCAGCTTGAGGGAACAAATACTTTTGATGACAGTCAGGCCCGACTTGGTGCTATGAATCCACCATTTGCAACTGTAGACATGAACAAAGAAAACGTCTTCCTCGATAGAATTCAGTGGACGAACTCATTGCACAATTTTCCATTTGCGTAACACACCGGCCTCTTCACTGTTGATTTTGATAGAATGTAAAAATTGCAGTCCATTAGCAGTAGCTCTCTGTCTCACCTGTATGAATGTTGTAGCTTCAAACACTACAAGGATGAAAGAAAGCAGTACATCAATGCATTTGTGCAAGGCGAATAATGTGGCCGCTCTTTCCGAAATTCGCCTTATTGGAATGTACGCTGTTGTAAAATGCCGACAGATGAAAGAGAATGGAAGAGCAAGTCAAAGCAAAAGATACTTTTCCCCTCATCTTTGTCCTACAAGCAGCAGGAGTGCACATCCAGCGAGGCGTGATCAAATAACTCCCGGGATCGCGCCGGACGATAAGGTTCCCAACAGCTTGACCGAGTGAGTTTATCTACTTCGAGCTGCTGCGATTTCTAGGAGAGTCCGAGTGTTGACTCGCTGCACTTCTCTTCAGCGAGCTTCGTCTTTGTCTTGGAGGCTGTCGTCGGCGTCTGCTACTGGCTGAATAATCCTCCAGGAGAGTAAGCTTCGTCTCTGCCTCGTGTTCGGTAGTTCTTGACTGGCTTTGTTCCTTAGCTGTTGAACACGCCTTCGATTTCGCTGCGGCTTCATTCATTGAATATTAGCGTGGAGCATCCATTTTGGGCGTTGTCAACAATAGTACCGGCAATAAAGATGAATTTACCCATGATGTGTCCACCTCTAGCAGCAGCAGAGTGAAAAAACAAGAAAGAAAGAACTAGTACCTAAACAAGCACACTTTCACCTCGATTTGATGGGCACTCTTACCCGTACGCGCGAGGGTCGGCAACAGCTGGCTGGGCACCTGCTAAGCAGTGTGCGCTCGCAGAACGGAGATGAGCCTGTGCGGATCGCGAAGCCTGGCAGCGAGTATAGTTTTGTGCAGTTCGAGTCGGAGCTGAGCGTTCACCTGCAGGAATCACCGAAGAAACCGCCGCCGGTTTTTCTGCACGCTGGCAGACAAAAGGCCCTGGGTACCACTACGAGCTCCGGCTGCTCTACGCACAATACCTCAACCTGGGACCAACACAGTTTTTTTCGCCCAGGTAGTTCCTCCTCCTCGGCCTCATCCGCCTCGTCAACCTCATGCTCTCGGGCCGCGAAGACTTCTGGCGCCGGAGGAATGGCGAACCAGGCCCCACCGGTGCTGAAAGTCATGAAGAAGCCCTTTCAACCCAAGACCCGCAGCACCACGACCGCACACGGCAGTAGCAGTTCGTCCTCCTGCTCTAGGAGTGTCCCGACGAGGCCACCACCGCGCGAGAGTGGTACCACTGCTGGTGCGGATAGTTACCACGCCACCCAGTCTTCATCTTCAGTCGGGTCCTCACGAACCCCCGTTGCGGGCGGACCACCAGCACGGCTCGCACTGAAAAAGGGCAGCAGCACGCGGAGCCACAACAACACCGACCCGATAGCGTACCGTGCTTCCGTTTCCACGCGTGCGATCAGCGGCGGAGGCAAAAGGAAATTTTGTTCGCAGCCGGCTAGTTCGAGCACGTCTATGATCAATGCTTCCAGTATTCTGTCCGATTATGATGATCGGGCAGTAGTCGAGGAAGAAGACCCTTTTCTCCATCTCAGCAACGGTTCTTTTAGCCTGCTGGCGCAGAAAAAAACGGAGATCGCGAGCTTGGAAAAGCAGCTGGAAGTTCTGTTAAGCAGCGCGGAACGGGATGTGGCTGAGCGTGCTGTGTTGGAGGATTCGTTGCAAAAATCGAGCTTGCACGTTGCAGAGTTAGAAAAAAAGCTAGACCGGAGTGAACGTAGTTTAGACGAATTGGCCCGCACGAAGGCGGTCGCCAAAGTCGAGGCAGACAAGCAAGTGGAACAGCTGGAGGAAGAGATCGCCCACCTGCGCACAGATTTGTGCACCCTACAGCAGGACCACGCGTCATTGCTGGAAGAGAGGAAAATTGGTACTGATGATGCTGCGCCGACATGATGATTTCTTGATTTATTTCTGACGAACGAAGTAGAATATCTGGCTCTGGATTGCGGGGCGCGTCGTGGAAGCAAAAAGCCATGCATGATGATGTTAGTACCTGAACCAAAAAGTTATGTGACAGCGTTGCACAGGAGCAGGTCCTTTCATTCAAAACATCTTCACCACAGGGAACGACCGCCAGGCGGCTGCAGAAGACATTGAGAAAGAGCAGCTGCAATTGCTGAAGCACGGCGTGCTGCAAATTTTTCTCCCGACTGTCCACTCTCCCACAAGCGAAGGCGGAACCAGTTTGAGCGCTCAACATGGCACCGGCGCAGCGAATACCGCCGACGGAGACAGCGGCAGCGCTGAAATTGCTGGAGCTGCGGTGGGACAACCGAAAATTTCCGCGACGTCCTCAAAGCGGGCTGCACGGTTCGAGCAGCAGCTAGAAAGCGCAGACTCCGTGGCAAAAGTGTTGGAATTGCTGCAGGTTTGCAAGGGGCGGTTTGACGACAAACTGTTCCAAGAGAAAGCGAAGCGGATGGAGTCGGAGAGTCTGCAGCAGAGTGTCGAGCGCATCTATCGGGGGAGGATTGTCGACGGTAGAATGATCAATCTTCGCACGGAAGCGGACCCGACGGGGGAGCAGGTCGATGCCGCGGAACCGGCGTCGCCCTTTAACGGCGCCGCCCTAGTGCGCTTCTTGGAAGAGCGAAAAATTGAGCAGGAGCGTCAGTATAAGCTTCGGAAACAGCTCGTGGAACTCTCGTGCGCGCACTGCGTCTGCATGAAGCAGTTGCTCAAACGTGCGCACCGGGCTGTACGGGCGGGGACAGGTAGATTGAGAGTTTTTTGGTACGCATGAAACGACAAACATAGAAGCTACTGCCTAGCTTTCTGTTGGTGAATGTAAAGTTCATGACAATAAACGCGAAATTCAAGGTGAGGATCAGTGGGCGTCCCCGCGAAGGGCTATTGCAGACCAGGCACCACCCCCCCTGCCTTCTCCGAAAAGCGCGTCGCCAGGGAAAAAATCAAGCGCCGCGGCAGCGTCACCGGAGGAACGGCCACATCAAGAACGCTTCTACTCGCCGGAAAAATCGCCACGTGCAAACTTCCGTACACTGGTGAGCGAATTAGATCTCACACTAAAACAGTTTCAAACAGACGTGGAGTACCTCCTGTCTAACTAGGACCCGTTCGGGCCCGCAGACGCGGATCGAAACGTGTCGTGCTGGTCCAAAAGAACAACTCTAGTACAGCGCCGCGCTGCCCAAAAGATCGAGAATTGGTTCAACAAAACAAATACAAGCAGTTCCACGTACAGAATGTGTAAATGATTCTCATAAAATGACTCTGACGAATTTTTGATTTATTACTACAGCATTTTTCCTTACGTTTTCCTTTTCGTTGTTTTCGCATTAACACTGCCTTTTTACATGTACCAATGAACAACTACAAACATGTACGTCCATTCTGACTGGGATGGCTTTTCCAGTCACTGTAAGATGCAACAGATTTGCTGGCTCGAGACTCAGTACAGTCGTTGGCTGTGCCCTACTTCTGCACAGGTGGAGCAACCTCTGGCTCGACACACTTTCTGGTTACATCATGTTTATGTTAATTGTGAAATTCGTCATTGTGAAATAGCTAGAGGGAAGAAGTTGATGCCGTGACTTTCGTAGAACTCGTCGGGATCGTTGTCGTTGAGAAAGTGACGTCGTCAGCAATGAAGGCCATTCACTCAATGAATCACAATGAAGTGATTCATGTGGACTAACTCTAGCATCTGTAGTCGAGCAGTCGAAGCCCTGTATGTTGAGTCTGTGCTACCTTTTTCGGTATCAGTAAATGGGAGCTCGAGTGACCCCTTGCGTCTGTGGTGCAGATGGACCATAGTGGAAGAAAAATCGTTTTTGATCCGAAATACCTGATGATCGCCGATGCTCGAAATAAAGATTCTTACCAATAAAAGAGAGGATCGTCGACCATGTCGGTGTACTAGACGTGGATCATTCGTCCTCGTCGAAGCCGCCGCTAAGGGAAAGTGAGGGCCGTTGGGCTCGAGTATGGTTTCTTCATTGATCCGGAAATCAATGAAAACGAAAAAATGTAGTAGGAGGTATGTAAACGCTTCAACGACCACGACAACAGTTAAAACACTCTGGTCGGACACGGACCTTGAGACTCGATAGGAGATAGATCTCGCAAGCATATCAACTCGTACTCATACATAAGTACTCTATTTTTGGGCATTGACTTCTACTATTAATTTGCTGTTGCAACCGACAACGTTTATTTTTTGTACCGAAGCTTGTTACTCTTGCGCCGGTACTTACGGAAATTCACTAATTGCCCGGCCCCACAAGCCAGCAAGCATACTTTATCGCATTTTTTTGTGAGTACTCACTTTCGTCTGGGTCTGATCGTTAATTCAGATCTTCCACGATCCATATTTATTGCAAAGGAAAAGGATGGCGTCCCGCTCCCATGTGAAAAGCAGCGCGTCCTCGCGCTTGGTCCCTTTGGCTCAGATGAAGAGTTTTATCGTCCTACTCGCCGTCGGCGCGACCCAGCTGCGGGTCATCGACTGCGTCACCTCCCCCTCCCGCCGCCGTGCAGACGCAGCCGATGTTGACCTGGAGCCGACACCGATCGGAAGGCGGAACTTGCAGCAGCCACCGTCGCAGGCTGGTGAGGCACGAGACCAACATGAAGATGGAGTTGATGCACCAGGTGCATCCGAGCCGTACACGGTTGAAAACTGCGGATGCGTCGTGTGTTGGGGCGGCATGCCCGTGAACGTCCGTTGCCACCCGTGCATGCACGATGCAATGTGCGAAGCTTGCGCCCTGGAATGGTTCCGCTTAGGGAACACTTGTCCAGTGTGCCAAGAGGAGGTGCGGAAGCTGCGCCGGCTAAGCCGGAAGCCTTCCGCGGGGAGTGCTGTGGGAGATAAGAAGTCGTCCTCGCGGCCGTCGCGATCTCTGTGGAAAAAAGGGAGAGCGACAGACGATGTGTTCACTTCCGCCCCGGGGGAGGACTTTTTCGAGCTTGGAAGCACTCCGCCAGAGCAAGCGGGGCGCGCCAAGGCCCAAACCAAGGCCCGCGACGCAGCTCGTCGTCGGAACTTCGGATTGAATCCTGAGAACCTGCGCCGCGCGCGCCGGAAGCTCCAGCGGGTGCCAAAGGTGCTGCGGCGCGTGTCCAATGCCGCGAAAGAGTTGGTGCCCACGGCGGCGTGCTGCGTGGCGAGCGGAGCAGCCATCGGGGGACTCGCAAACGGGTTACTGCACTACGCGTGCGGCTGGGAGCGCGATGCATACAACCAAGACGACCGTCGTGCGGTGGAGCTGCTAGTATCGCAAGACTTGTCGGCAGGGAGTTGGGTGGAGTTACCGCTGGAGTCGGAGGAGGTCGCGAAGTACTACGCGAAAGACGGGGGGCCGTTGCAGCGCTGTCCTGACGCGAGTGGCGTTGCCTACTTCGACCACCTGGGGCGCGCGCTTACGACCGGACCCTTTACGCCAGACTTTTCGCGGCCGGGGGAGCACCTCGGGGACTTTTCGCGGCCGGAGGATTTCTTCGGGCGCCTCCGGCGCCAAGAGCAGGCCTTGGCGAACGCGCAGCCGTCCGGGTCCGCGAATCGTGAGCGGGCGAAACGGCTGGTAGAAATGGGGGCCTGGCTCGAAGATGGAGGTGGCCCGCCACGGGAGCAAGCGGAGAACTGTCACAGGCAGCGGGAGTGGGAGCGGATGGGCTCCACCCTCAGCCGCGGCGCCGCAGTGGGCGCTGCCCTGGGCGCAACGGCCGCGGGACCACTTCTCTACTGCTATCGGTGATTCTGACGACCACCTTGTTGTGGCTTTTTACCGACGTTGATTGGCGTGAGAAGTGAAGAACTATTTTCTTAATGGTGCGGACTCCGGGGCAAAGTATACAGGGAGGTTGGTTTACTGAACCCATCTTGGTAAAGGCACAGTCTACAGCTCGGGGTCGGGATTTGTTGACACACGGGCAGCGTAAGCTACTGTCCTTCGGTGTGCTAGTATAGTAGTTCTACGCTCTTCTAAAGCCGCTCGCGGCTACCTCTCTGCTTTGTTTCTTTTTTTTTCCGGTGAGCGTGACGCACGTCGGCTTTTGCGCCTTATTGGTGCAGAATTGTGGAGCACACGGAGCTCGAAGATCGATCGATTTATTGAGGTTGTACCTTTAATTCTTGATCTTGATAAGAATTCTTGAACTCCGGCGGTTCGAGAGTCAGTTAGACTCTTGGTAGCGCTGTGGTTCTTGGATCCGGTTTGACGTCAGGTTGAGCACGTAAGGCGGGTTGTTCAGCACTGGCGGCTCTTTGGAGGTTGATCCGCTCACACGGATGAGGTGGTAGTGTGATGCTTATCTGAAGCGCAGCAGCAGTGAGTTTTCGGATTCATTCATACTGTGCGACTCCCTACGCTTGGTCGTTCACCGCTAAAACGGGTGGTGTTTGGTCTTGTTGTAGTGCCTAAGCTCCCTCAAGCTTTCGCAAAGGACTTACTCTCAGGATTTATTAGCTGTATATGTCAGGCAGTTACTCGCAGGCCATAAGAGGCGAGCAAAGGGTTGATCTTGATAAGAAAGCACTTTCCAACTTTATTGATCTATTTTTCCGATTCTGTTTTGAAAATGTGCGACGTTCTCCTTTTTGGGAAAAAGCATGCTCTTTCATCGCTATTAAATCATGTACGACGATGCTGTTTTGAAAATGTGCGACGTTCTACTTTTTGGGAAAAAGCATGCGCTTTCATCGGTATGAAATCATGTACGATGAGCATGATCAAAATCATCCCGCACTTATACATTATATGAAGCCGGTACTTCTTATTCCGGAAAATAAAATGCGGAATTTTGGACGAGAAAAAGCAAGCAGATGATGGTCGTTTGAAGAGAATTCTTCTGTGTATGATTACTTCATTGGATGAAGCTACAACTTCGCGAATCGCGATCAAATAAAAATTGGATGGGGCGCGCGGTCGCGGGCGGAACGGTGTTCGTTCTTGTTCTCCGAAGACCGAAGCTCAGCATCTTTTTCGCTTTCCTCCTGCTGGTTCTCTGTGAAATTCGTCATTATGAAATAACGAATTTAGCTAAAGGGACGAAGTTGATGCCGTGACTTTCGTAGAACTCGTCGGGATCGTTGTCGTTGAGAAAGTGACGTCGTCAGCTAGCTACGAACAACGTGCACATGATGAGACTGATGAGCAATTCCTTCTCCTGGTCGGTTGGCTCAAGCCTCCGAACCGAACTAGCTTGATTGTGAACATCTTGCTTTTCTTCTCAAATGAAACAACCGAGCGACTGCCTCCCACTTGGTATTATCTTCTGCTTGTTCTGCGCTGCCACGCTTCGAGTGAAGCTGATTCCTTCTGTCTTGAGTGCATGCGATTTGGCCGATTCGACCGAATTTCACATAATAGAAGACTTGTCTTCAGCAAGGCTCTCGTGAAATGTAGATCGTGCTCGTCACAGTGTTCACCGTCACACTTCAGTTTCGTGCGTTGCTTCATTTTCGTTAAGCGGTTACGTAGTTTTCGAGCCTCGTCTGAGGAAACTGCTTCGTTGTCGTCTCTTTTGTTTTTGTCGCGCATGGTTATCTTCGCGCAGAAAAAGATACTGCCACTTCAAAGCGTTGTCGTACGACCAAGGAAAATAAATCGCGAGCACAACTTCTACTTCCGTCGTACAATTTCAAGTCGTCAACCTTGTCCCACATCGTATTCGTACTTACCCAAAGCCAAACACGCCACACAAATTCATTTTTGTTGTGTCCGCAAATGTCTTACTCATGATGAAGAGTAGTTCCAGTGATTAGTAAGAGTACCAGCATTTCCGTGGAAGAGCTCCCTTGCAAGATTCTTAATAAATTGCTACCCCTAACTATGTATAAGAAAAGGTTTCCCAATCTTCGACGGATGTAGAGTCCAACGTGATAGATGCGGATCCAAAGACAAAGATAAAACTGCTAGCAAGCTTCAGTTTCCAGTTACAGGAAACGTTACAAGTACAACAGACCACGCGTTGTGTATTCTTAAAGGTTGCCTTAAATGAACCGATACTGAAATTCGCTAAAGTGCTTCGATGCTGATGACCAATATGTCGTAATGGACGGTGCTGGAACAAACGCACACATTCTTGCGCAAGCGCATTCGTGCGTCAGTATGCGACGGAGGTACCATCTCAGGTATGTAGCCAATTTTTGGCTTTTAGTTGCCTCGTTGCCAACTGATGCCATGCTGCGACGCAAAAAAAGCAGATCCACAGGAGCTCAGGAAGGCACGGCGGAAAGAGCGCCGTCAAACCCGACAACTGAAACAAAAGCGAGGAGACATCCGGAAGTGTTGGAGAGGTCGTTATTGCGAAAAGACTTGCTCGGGCGCAGCACCGCCGGAAAGCCAAAAGGGGTGGCAGCGAAGTCCCGTCCGCTTGGTCGCGCCCTGTTGGAAAGAAGGAAAGAAACGTGTCTCCCGACGATGAGCGATGTGGCGGTGGCCGCACAAGCAAACGTCGCTAAAGCGGCGGTTCCGGCCATCCGGCGCGACGAGCAAGGTGCTCAGGAATACGTTGACGCCAAAGTGAATGAATGGGCCGCGCGGCAAAAGATTGAAGAAGAGCGCAGCAAGTATGCGTCATCAATGCCAGTCCCGCCACCTCCGGTCGCTAGTGACGACTACACCAATGCGCCAAACCCAGCCGACTGCACGCGGATCGCGCCCGATGGTAATCCGACAGCGGAAGAACTCGAAAAAAACCCGAATCGCTTCAACATTATCTTGGTACCATTCGGGTGGCCCGCCTCAGAAGACGAGAAGAATTTATCGGCTGGCCACGAAGCCTCCTCTTCGAAAACGATCAACCTCAATGCACCGAAGAGAATGGACGTGAGGACGGCCCGACAAAATGCAGGTTTGATTGCGGGAGTGAAGGACATGATACAGCGCGACAAGAGCCTTAATCCGATCGATAAGTGGAAGAAGGACTGGGCGGAGCGGAACGGGGGCGGGAACAACAAGATGCTTCAGGTTGAGGCCGAAGAACTACCACCGGCTTTGCGCCGCAAAAGGAAGGGGGCAAATAAAACTAATAACGAGAAGTACGAGGAGGGTGAGAGGAAACTACTACTGCGTGGCGCACGTAGGAATAGAAATAGGATTAGGAAGGATTTGGTTGTGGAATTGGAGAACTCGTCCTTCGCAGATGTAGCAGACGAGGATGTTCTTGGCGGGGCAGATGAAACTCAAAATGGCCTGGATCTCCTTCGTGAAGGCAAAGGGGCCCAACAAGGAGTGCTTGATCATCCTTCAGAAGTACCCCTGCTTGTTGCGGACAACGAAACAAATAGCACACGCTCTCCGGTGGACAACGAAACAAGTAGAACGCGCTCTGCGGACAACGAAACGAACAGCAGGCGCTCTGGTGCGGACAACGAAACAAACACCACGGGCTGGCCGTTCATACCTGGAATGGAGGAGGGCGAGTCACCCGAGGGACCAATGGGTTTCCCTGGTGGTGTTCCTTGGCCAGAAGCGGTACTCAATGGTGGATCGGACGAGACCGGCGGCGATCATGACGACGCCGGCGGTGACGAGGAGCTTGAGGGCCCATCGACGGAGTGGTGGGCGGAGGGCGTGGACGGGACAAAGGAGTGGATAAAACACACGGAAGCAACGGTGGAGAGTATGGTGAAATTGTTTGCGCCGTTTTCCACCGTCGTCAACCCGTACTTCAACGTATGGCGTGTGAATCACTGGCCTCGCTTTTCCCAATACGAAGACGTCAGGAACGCCGACTGCTATCACAGAGACATCGTACCGGACCAAGCGCGAGCCGGCGACGAGTGGTTTGCTATTCATTGCACCGATTGGGCGGCACTGACGAAACATGCCTACGAGCTGTGCCGGGGGGATTTGGACACGATGAAGCACATGACCATCACAATGCAAGTCTACATGAGCGCCGACGATGACGCTGCTTTACGAGGGCAGCAATGGGGATGGGGCAGCTGGCACAAGAATTTTCTGATCATGAGCGCGCGGACGAATGAGAGCCCGGAGTTCCGGGGCGCTTTGCTCGCGCACGAACTGTCGCACGCGCTCTTTGGCCTCACAGACGAGTACAACGTGCGAATTTCATAGTATCTCCGTGAAATGGGTGAGTTGTCAAGTCTACCTGCTGCCGCGGCTACCCGAGAGCATATTCTGCAAACGTAAGTAAAATCTGCATGCACGCACAAGCATGCATCGATTGTAATTTCTGACTGCGTACTCGTACTGAGTGATTTAGAGTTTAGGCAAGTCAGATGCTCTACTCTGCTATAAAATAAGTGATTTCCATTTCGCATCAAACCACGCTTGATGTATTTCTAAAGGGTCCTCTGAATAAGTTAGTAGCCAAACGCCCGGTGCTGTTTACGCGCACGCGGGGTCTCTTCTACGGGCTTGCATTCGTCCGGCTTGACGCTGACCGTTTCGCATCTGCATACTGACGAAGGCGAGCTGCCTAAGTCGCCGAATTGCGGGATTCCTAAAGGCATGTCATGGAGCGACGGACAGACCTGGCGCCAGGGAATCTCCTGGGCTAGCTACAGCTCCACGACTCCGGCATGCTGTTGGAAATGGGAAGATCTGATCGCGAATGACATGGCCACGTGTGAGCCGGGTTGCGGGATCGACAAGCAGTATTGTGTCGGAATGAGCCCCGAGAAGTCCCTGATGGCCGGGCCGCGGAAGGATGACAGCCTGTCGCATGTTCAGCTTCGCGTCACCTGCTGCAAGTACCTCACCATGTTGAAACACCTACCAGGATACTGCGATAAATACAATCAGCCTTCGCTGGGGCTGGATCTGAATGCTTTTTGCGCCGATGGTTCCAAATGGCAAGCTTTGATGTTGAACCTGGACCCGAAACATCCCGAGTACCGGGTCGAGGCGAGTGGGGGCGGAGCACAAGGCCGTACCGGTGGGCTTGTGGTGGGGACGGGAAATAACTACACAAGGGGAGAAGCTGCGGAAGCCTAGACAAAGTAGGCACTTCACAAAAACACGAAAGTACAATTCAGAGTGTCAGACGAGGTTAGCATAAAGACAATTCAAGTGTTAGGCGTTTTGAGAAGTTTATTCTCTTTTTTTCTTCCAGCTAAAGTTGGTGGTGGCTGGTTATCTGGTGTGCAGAGGTGATTCTCACCACTGCATATATGTTTACCTTCTAGGATTACACAACATTTTTGGGAGGATTTTTCCCGCTCACGCACGCAATTCTTTCTTTGCTCTATCAGGACGTAAAGCGTTTCTTCGAATTGTAATTCTATGTATATCCCATACTTCAAAGCAGTAGCAGACGAGCCAGATTGGATCTAATATGTTTGATCAGCAATATGATAGCCCTCTCCCTCCGACCTCGATAGCGGCCTGCTATTTCGTTTGTTCGTACTTCGAACAAGGTAGGAAAAGCTTCAAAGAAATTCTGGAAAGTTTATGGAAAGTTCAGGCTTGTGCTTTTGCTTGTATAGTCCCCTCTGGGCTCGCGCTCGCGAGTCTTTCACTTTTTTTTTGTGTTGGAGACGGCAACACGCAAGACAAATCTCAAACAAAAGAGAAATGCGTCAAAATAGATATCTTCACCAGCTTCGTATACGTACGAAAACCAAACCAAATCGTCCGCGTCATTATCGTTCTGTCGTGCCGAAGCCATAGTTGTTTGTGGATGCAGTTTTGTCGTTAAAGCGCACTCGTGCACTTGTCGTTCTTCCACTGGCAGCTCGTTTTACTACTGAGTACATGACTTCGTTCCCACTTGCAACATCGTTGCTCGTCGTGATCGTTTTACACGACCAAGCGTTGATCCTTGTCATTGGTTTTGCTTCCACTTCGTTTTCAGGAAAAACATGTTCTTGTTCCACCATTTGACTTTCCCACCCGTGTGCTCGCATATCTGGTTTTTATTTTGCGTTTTTGCGTTACACACATAGTACTTTTCGAAGTTTTCAACATCAGTATGCTGCGCGCAGCATTGATTCGCGCCCCGGCACTGCAGGCGCTTGCCGTGCTGGGAATCATGCTTCCGTCCGCTCAGCGGTCCGCGAAGCAAAGCGCGACGCGGACGCTCGACGTTTCGACGCACTCGTCGGAATCGCACCAGATCCAGACATCCGAACGAGATGGAATCGCGAAGCAAGACCAAAGGCCCAGGAATGCCCGGCTCGAGATTCCATCTGTTGCAACTAGCAGCTCTTCACTGCGGCCCCTCAATACTGGGCTGCAAGCGAGGCCGATTCAACGGCGACAGAGCTTTTTGAAGATTGGCGGGGAGCGCAGCAGACGGAAGACTTCGCTACCGTCCGCTCCAGAAGACGCGGCGCCTGCTAAGAGGAGGACAACGCGAAGAGCCATCCCTAAGTCAAAGTTAGCTCGCGTGTTCTTAGAGAAGAAGAAGGAAGCGTGTCTTCCTACCATGGGAAACGTAGCCAAGATAGCGCAGAAGGGCGCTCTGCGGAAGGCGGTTCCGGCCGAATCTAGGCAAGCACAAGAGTTTGAAGCGCCCAGAAACGAACAACAAGCGGCCTGGAAAGCCGCACAGGAGGAGCAGCAAGCCGCTCTGGCGGAGGCGAATAAATTGCCGCCTCCCAGCAATTCTCCTCCGGGCGGCGGCAGCGGGGCGGAAGAGCAGAACCTTCTTGCCGCCAGTGGCTCTGAGCAGCTTGGCCGAGGCCAGTTGGGCAGCGCAGTCGATGTTGACAGCATGACTCCGAACCCAGTCGACTGCAAGCGCATAGCGCCCAACTGGAACCCCACAGCTGAGGAACTCGCAAGAACTCCGAATCGGTTCAACGTCATTCTAATCCCCTTCGGGTGGCCGGGAACCGGTGTGGGCCGAGCGAATTCTGATGATGATGCCTCCTCCGAAGGAGGACCTCCGGAACCCCCGAGGCCGTTCCCCCCGAGGCCGCCTAGTAGTACCCAGGGTGAGCAGCTGCCCGGAACACGAGCTTCACGACAGACGGTGAAGGAGTCAGAGCCGCGCGATGCGAGCGCGACCACGACCTTGCAAACCCGCGAACAACCAGCTGGAGGCTCTGTTGCTGCTTTCCGGAGTCATGGGGAACAAGATGCGACCTCTTTCCATCGTCACGGAGAGACGGATGCGGGAGGAGCAGGGCAACACCGCGGCACCGGGGGTTCTGCACTGACGGTGGAGGAGGGGAATGACGAAGAAGCTCGTACAGGATCGGCTCGTACAGGATCGTCGTGGAACGCCGGTGATGTTGAGAGAGCAGATGCAGGACTACATGAGCGCAGCAGCGCGGGTGCGAAGATGTTTCTTCCGGCAGCGACGTCCACCAGAGACAGCACCGCCCCAGATCTACCCCCCGCCCCTCCGGCCGCTCCCCCCGCTCCCCAGGAGGACGAGACCGGGCTGCGTGCGTGGCGAGATTACACCTCGGAAATGGTGGGGCGAATGGAGGAACTGTTCCCGCCCTTCTCCTCGCTGGGCAACGAGTTTTTCAACGTGTGGCGGGTGAACCACTGGCCCCGGAAGTCCGAGTACCACAGCGTGCGCAGCACCGACTGCTACCACACCGCCACGCTGCCCAACGCACTGAAAGCGGTGGGTGCGGCGGACGGGTTTCCGGTCAAGTGCACCGACTGGGAGCCGCTGGCCAGGCACGCCTACGAACTGTGCCGAGGGGACCTCCCCACGATGAAGCACATCACTTTTTCCGTCCAGGTATACATGACCTACGACGACCTGGTCGTGCTGAACGGAAAGCAGTACGGCTGGGGCGAGTGGGGCCGCAACATGATGATCATGTCCGCGCGGACCTCGGAAACCGCATCGTTCCGCGCTGCGCTGCTCGCGCACGAACTGTCGCACGCGATGTTTGGCATCACAGACGAGTATGACACGTTCATAGACCGCCGGATTCTGGCCAAATCGCCGAACTGCGGATGGGAGCACGACCCCACGAAGTTCGACGAGTTTACGAAAGCGAGTGTTGGCGCGGGCGACAGCTTCGAAGCATCAAACGGCGTTACAAGCGCAGCAGCTCCCGCAAGTAAGAGTAACACCACTTCTGCGGAGTTCGTAGCAGTGCAAAAAACAGGTCTTGAAGGTGGAAGTGCAAAAGACAGCTCCGCCAGAGCAGGAGATGATGAAAATGCACCTGGGAACAATATATCTCCGGGAGCCTTTTCCGGAGAAGGAGATGAGCAGGCTTCATCTACAAACTTGGCAAAAGTCGACGAGCAGGACGAGGCTGCTGCTTCGTTCACGGAGCACATGGAATCGGGCAGCGAATTGCGGTGCTGTTGGAAGTGGCAGGACCTGGTGCGCAACGGGTTGGCCGAATGTGTGCGCGGTGGGTGTACACAGAAGCAGTACTGCACCGGTCTGAGTACCGAGAAGTCCTTGATGGCCGGCCCGCGCGAGACGGATCGCATGTCGCACGTGCACAAGCGGGTGACGTGCTGTAAGTACAGAGCAATGCTCGGTTATGTCCCGCAGTTTTGCAGCCACTACACGAATAAGAACGACTTCCCTGCTCCCCAGTACCCGCTCGACCTGGACGCATTTTGCGATGACACCAACCGGTGGAAGGCCCTCGGCCTGGACATGGACCCGGCGCATCCTTTGGTGCCCGAGGCGAGTCCCATCCAGGACGTCCATACAGACGAAGAACTAGCAGGGGGCTCTGCGGGAAACATGAAGATCTCGGTGGCGAGGCGACTGGGGCAGGAGACAGTTCAAATGCCACTGGAAGCAACTCTGGCTCGGTGGATCCGGTTGCGGCGACAGATGAGCCAGCGGAGGAGAGAGATGCTTCGCCGGATGGCGGCAAGACCACAGACGCGTAATGTGAATCGGGCGCATGTTCGATGAATGGCAAAAAGCGCTTTCGCATTGCCGTCTTTACTTTGTTTTACGTGGATACTCATCGTTTTTTTGCAGAGTTTCTGAAGCAATCTTCACCCAATTTCAACTCATAGATCATGAATGTAGTAGAGTAGTTACAGAAGCAATCAAAGTCGACTTTTCAGTTATGGTAAAAATCTATCACCCTGCAGCTGCACAAGAAAATACCCCATAATGTCGTTCTGCTTCCAGTAGAAGTCCAATCGATTATTCCCGTTACACATTTCACATTTCTCTTTCTGTATGATAATACTATGTACAACTCAGACGTGCAACAACATCATGTGTGCCACTGCGGAGCATGCAGCACAGCACTAACCGCATGGCAAAATGCGCAACTGACCAAAACGAAATTAGTGTTCAGCTCCTCTCTGGCTCTGCAGAAGTCTCGAAATAGCACACAAAGATACGGAAATTACGATCATCTTCCTTGTGGATAAAGGACGAACGAAACCTATTCTGGAAAACGTAAGTCTAGTCAGTGAGCCACGACCGTGGTCCTCAGTCTCACTTGGGAAATAGCTGCCAGTAATAGACTTCAACATCTTCAGCTCCTTTTTTGCGTCATGGACCACATGTATTTTTTCAATCGGTAGCGGCGAGTATTTTCATCTCTACTTTTACGAAATCAAATGGGTTTTCTAGCACATGAATAGATGCTTCTGAAAGTCCTAAGTTTATGATCCGGATAGCACGTTCTTAAGTCGGTGACCGCAGTAGCTCTGGCGAGCTTCAGGCATCGACCCGGCGACCAAACCTCGGCGTGCATGGCTGGCCGGACCAACATGCCGGATCTCGATTTGTTTGGCCCCACGCCAAACGGCGTCTCCTCGGGCGCCTCCAAGGACGTCCTAGGTTTCGATGCGCCGGCGGCGGCTCCCCGAACTTCCTCGTCGTCTTCCTCGACGGAAGCTGCGCCGCAGTTGTACGACAATCTGAAACAGCTGATTCAGGTCGTGGACGACCTTCGGGATGTGGGCCTCCAACAGTATATTGACCTCCCGCGCATCGTCGCCATCGGATCCCAGTCCAGCGGAAAGTCCAGTGTCATAGGTACCTCGAGCTCGTTACTTACTGTAGAGGTGATGTCGCCGTTGAAGATCATGTGTAGACAGGCGCCGTTCATGGTCAAAGTCAGGGCAGACCGAGTGACGTTCGGCATTGATTTTGCCAATTTTGTCCGTTTGTTCCGTACGCAGCAAGATGAATTTTTGTCATGATTTTTGATCGGGCGCCGGACACTCACTCGCGAACGAACCATGAGAACATCAATTTGTAGTGCTGCTGCCCTTCTTCTGCTTTTGGTTCTCATCAGATTACGACATTTTCATTTCACAGAGTCGATTGCGGGCTTCGATTTTCTCCCGCGGGGCGACGGGCTGTGCACACGACGGCCGTTGGAGCTGCGCATGAAGCACCTGAACCCGCAGGATTACCCGGGCGAGACGGCATACGCAATTTTCGAGCGCACAAAAAAGAAATTCACAAACTTCGACCAAGTCAGGGAGGAGATTGAAAAGGAGACCGACTTGATTGCAGGTACTTGCTTGCAGTTGCTCTGATGTGATGGCAGTGCGCCGGATGAATATAATTTTAAAGGACGGCTGTGCAGCATCGACGCGAGCTGGAATTCTTTCGGAGATTTTTTACTCGGCGCTGATTAGAAATAAGGTTTCTTTATCTTCTTCTAGAAGGGCATGCATGAAGATTTAGCCTACCTCAACTTTCTTCAGGTAAAAACAAGGCCATTGTGGATGATCCGATCAAGCTGGAAATTCACGCGACCAACGCACCCGACTTGACCTTAATCGATTTACCTGGTATCACTCTGGTGCCCATGAAAGGGTCCGACCAAAACGAGGACATCGAGAAAATAACGAAAGACATGACCATGAGGTACCTACTCCTACCGCACGCGTTGGTCTTGAGTTGCAGCAGCTACGTGCATCTATTTGCAGTTCTACCTCCCTTTATTTACTACTTGCGGCACCACTCACTACGAAGCGCGATGCCTATTGTTTTGATGTTCTCACCCTCCCACCTTCATCAACTGGCAACATAAACATGACACCAGGTACATAAGCAATCAGAAAACCATCATTCTCGCCGTGCTTCCTGCAAACCAGGATGTCGTAAACGCGGACTCGCTTCAGATGGCTAAGGTCGTTGACCCGCAGGGCCTGCGAACCATTGGTGTGATAACGAAGATTGACATCATGGACAGAGGTACCGATGCTGTCAAGATGCTGAAAGGCGAGGAAGTGCCACTAATGCTCGGATACGTCGGGGTCAAGCTCAGGTCGCAACAAGACATCGCAAACAAGAAAAAAATAAAGGTACGCCGTGATAGATCATGGTGCAGCTTTGGCGCTGAGTCTCCCCTTCCTAACCCTATGTGGATGTAGGAGGAGATATGTAGATAGAAGTAAATACTTCTTTTGGTTATGAATGCGGGGTGGCCATTACAGCATAGCAAAAGCGCGTCGCCATCTGTAACGGAACAGGCTTGAGGATTGCCAATTGATTTGTACCAAATGAAACATTTCAGGCCGCGCTTTCCACCGAAAAGTCCTGGTTCGCGGAGCACCCGCGCTATTCGCGACTCCCGCCGGGCATGACTGGGATTCCCACCCTGATCGAGAAGCTGACAAAGATTTTGTTCAAGCACATTCGGCATTTTCTCCCCGACATCAAGTCCGAAATCCAGCAGCGCATGCGGACCGTGCAAACGCGGTTGGACGAGCTCGGCGAGGGCGTGCCCCTGGAAGAACGCGAGCAAATCCAGCTCGTGTGGGGTCTCATTAACGATTACGTCGAGTGCTTCAAGTCGACGATCAGGGGCAGGTACAGTTTTCACATGCTCTCCACAGTACGTAGAGATGAGCGTCGTCGTACTTCTTAGAAGTTGTAGTCGAGTACTGCTCTAGCTTTAATTGTCTCAAAAGCTGATGCACAGAAGATCTTCTTTTGTCCCTTATAGACACACTGAAAGTGAAGCAGGAAAGTCAAACACGACGGAGGACACCACTATAAATTCAGATACGACCGCAAGTTGCACCGGTACATCACTGCCCTGACGGAGATAAATGGCGGCGCGCAGGTTCGGCAGATTTTCAACGAGTTTCTGATAGATTTTCACATGGAGAGTATCACGCAGGCCCTGGACGATCGGGAGATTGACCGGGCCATTCGGATGCACGAGGGGGATTCGCTGCCTGGGTTCGGGAACATGGAAAGTTTCGAATACCTACTCCGCCCGCATCTTCAGAAGGTCAAGCTTCCCGCCGCCGAGTGCGTGAACGACGTGAGTACGGCACTGGACAACATCTGCCAAAAGATCGCGAAGTCGGTCTTTCGCCGGTTTCCCAAACTGGCCGAGACGGTCCTGCAGAAATCCCAGGATATCTGCTACGCGGAAAAACAGAAAGCGCTAGAGGTGGTGGAGAATCTGGTCAGCGCAGAGATCATCTACCGGTTTACGAATGATGACGAATATCTGGTTGAATTCGCACACATGGGCACCATGTACCAGAACAAGCAGGGCCAGCACGTGGACTTAAACAATCCGCAGGGACAGCCTCCGCCCCCGCCCGCACCTACGGGGGACCCGATGGAAGACTCCCGACTACAGGCGGCACACGCATTCGCCGCGCAAAAGGCGTCAGATTTCCGCGACGGGGTACTTATGTGTGGTCTTCATTTGGTTTGCTTTCAGTCTTGGTGCGCTTAGTGATGAACATACAACATAGTGCTGGCTGAACTCATCATGTCATTGTTCTGTGAGAGTCTGAAACTCCACGCACTCGCATTTGCATGCAATAACCCAAACAATCGGCACAACCGACAGGTTTCCAAGTTCTTCACGGATCCATCAGAGAAGAAGATGTTCCGAAACGTTGGGAACAACGACGGCATGACGTACAACCAGTCGCACATTCAACATCTTCGAAAGCAGCTAGACTGCTTTTTCTCGCTGAGTATTCGCAACTGGCGCGATTCGGTGCCGAAAGCAATCGGGTATTATTCAACAGAGAGGTTTCTTGCGTGATCCTAGACAATTTCTTTATACATAGATCATGGTCATACATTCTTGTCTTTAGGTCAGAAAAAGTTTTCCGCCTTCATTTGTGGCGTTTCCATCAACCCCAGGTATTTTTTGGTCCGCGCGCTGGAGGAGAAAATGCAGTTCGAGCTTTTCGTCGGCCTTACGCAGCAGACCAAGATGCTCTCCGAGATGCTCGGCGAGCCACCGCACATAACGGACGAGCGTCGCAGTCTTGCCGGCCAGCAGAAGACGCTGCAGAAGGCGGCAGACATTCTGCAAAAAGATCCCAAGATTGCACAACTAGCGCTCGAGGGCGGTTTTGCTTCGGCAGACAGCAAACCGACAGCCGATGTTCCGCGGAGCAGCGGCACCGCCGGTGGTAGCAGACCCGGCTTCGGTAACATGCCCGGCGCAGGCATGATGCCGAATAACCCCTCGGCACCAAGAAGTAACTTCCCCCCCGCCTCGGGCAGTAACCCTGCCATGAACATGAATCAAGCTGCCCCTCCCATGAACCCCGCGACCCAGCAGCCTCCGGCGCCGCCCCCCGGTGCGCGGCAGCCCCAAGCCGGTTTTGGCGCACCGAAACGCAACTTGTTCGACGATGGCCCCGCCCCAGGCGCAAACGCGCGCGGTGGGCGGAAAGATCCGCTCTTCGGAGACTAAGCGGAAGCATTCTTCCCCAGGCGACGGCCGACCTCACATTCTTCAACACCGCGATCTATGGTTGTGTTGTGTCATCGTATCTACAAGCTGTGTGTGATTTTTTGAAGGTGGGTACTAACCTAGAAGATACGATTGTGATCAAATCTCAAAAGCAAATCCAAGAATTGCTGCGAACCAGTGTGGATCGCTAGAATTTTCCGTTCTGTTACACAAGTCCAGGCTTCGATGTATTGGATAAAGACAAACCGCAAATTGTCGTTGAACTCCGATTTCAAGAATCTTATCATCAAGCGCCAAAAGCACGAAAATTTAATCCTGGATGAAGTGGTTTAATGGATGTGGATGCTTAATGGCAAGCGCCGACCCGGCCATTGGTGTTCAGACATGCGAACTCAAAGAAGGGACTGCCCTCGTTGTGTACTGATAGATATGTTTGTCGTTCAGAGAGTCGAAGTTTTGCGGTTGCTGCAGACATCTCTTTCTGTCGAGGGCGGACGCAAAGAGAGGCACTTGTTCCGAGGGTGAATCTACGTTCAAGGAAAAGCTTCTTGTAAACATGATGCTTCGTAGTTGCATCAGTAGCTAAGCAGGAGAAGTAGACTTCCGACTCACTCTTGGCTGAACCTGCACGATGTCCCCTCCCTCGAGGAAACCGGCAACATCGCTCCTGCCTTTCGTTGGTGTCTGCTTGTCACTCAGCACGGCGGTTTACCACGCGAAAGCGCACGGTCTGCTCAGCAGCGGGTCCTCGGCCAAGAAGGACGATGATGTTCCTGTGACGAAAATAAATTGGCCGCGCGTGGAAACTGGCTCTTCGTCCGTGCACCTTGGCGTTGGTGACAAGTTGTCCGTGACGCTGTGGGGCAACCCGGTAACTGGAAGGCGATGGGTGCGTGCGAATGCGGACGACAATGCCTGCGTATCGAGCAAGGGACCCACCTTCAAAGAGGACGCTCCCCAAGAACCGAGCCTCGGCGGGACTTGGACCTTCGTTTTTACCACGGACAAGTGCTGCGAAACTACGGTGGAGTTCAACTACGAGGAGGAAGACCGCGAGGTGTCCGCGGAGCTGGGCACGAAAGACGCAACTTACAGCGTGGAGGTCAAAATTCGGCCGAGCCCGGCTTCATTGAAATTTGGTGACGGCTGCAGTTTGGAAAACAAGGACGACGGCGAAGATGACTCCTGGTTTGTGTAGTTTCACGTCATTTTGTAGTTCCAAATTAGTGCGAGTTTGACTGTACTGATCAAAGTCGCAGCAGCACTGGCAGGAACACCTTGCAATAGCGCAGCCTTGTTTTGCATCTTTTGCTCGCACTGCACCCAGAGAGGGCGCGCATAAGCGGATCGCGTCGGGAGCGTCTTTGAGTGCGGCGTTGCAAACTGCCGACAAGTGTATGTTCTGTTTGCCGAGCCTTTGTTTCTTTTGATCCATCGAACGCTTTTTTTGTGTACCGATCCTTCAATTTGTTTTTCCCTGCACTGCTCCGTCTCGCTCTCGTATACGCTCACAGTGTTTGCTGGCTACGAGCTCACTCAGGATCAGAAGGCATTTTGGGAGGTCACGCTCCCGGTCGTGCATATTCTTGGCACACACACATAGTTCCCGACTGCAACTGAAATAATGTTAAAGACAGGCAACATGTCCAAATGCCTTGCTTCGTTGGGACCATTCAGAAGTCGATCATCTTTTGAAGTGCGTGAACACCTGTGCTTATGTGGTTCGTTTGCTTTTTCTTTGTCTCCTGAGGTATACGTCGAGTGCTTTGTGTTTGTGCTACCTCTACTAGTTCTGTCACCATGAGAAATCACCTCCACTCCTCACTCTGGGGAGCGTCTTCAGTGGGGTCGGGAGTAGTTCATGCGGGAACCCGCCCGCTTCTGCGCTACCTACCGGCGCACGCCTCGGCTCCGACGGCTGTACCGCCACAGTTATTTGTCGGCACCTCCGCGGCGTCGTCGTCATCCTGCAACGTATCTGCAAGAAAATCAAGAGTTTTTCTTGGAGGCCACGACGAGCAAACTCCGGCCCCATACTGCAACTTCCACCAAATCCGCACAGTGATCAAGCATCCGGCGCGCATTGTGATGGGGCACAAGATGGAGATTATCAAGGGGAACCAGAAAACCGGGAAGCTCTCAACCATGCCAAAATATCCTTCGCATCCCTCAGACCCGGATCGAAACATGAACTTGCTCACACAGTACAGATGAATAGTCTTTCGGTTTACTTCGTGATGCACAGGAGTTTTCATCGGGTTTATTTGCGGAGTCAGAGCCACCCCGTTTGACGATGAAAAAGCTTGCACTCGTGCGACTGCCAACCTTTCAAAGAAATCGAAACATCATATCCCCTGAAGGTACGCGGATATGAAGTTGCGATGGAAATACACTAACCGCTGGAACAATAAGCGGTGGAAGATTGCGCGTAAGTGGCATCCGATCAAGAATGAATTCCCGCAGCCCGCGCCGACCTGCAGTTTCATTTGGCACAACCAGATGCCGATCACAAACGGTAACGTACAGCAAGTCAGCGGCGAAATTCCGCCGAGTCCGGAACATTTTGAGGACGTAGAAGCGATGTTTTCGAGCACGACCGCGGGCGCCGATCCTGATGCAGATGAAGGACTGTACAATCATCAGACCAAGTCAGGCTTGCGCATGATGCAGGACCACATCGCCAAGAATCAGCAGGACCTGTTCGCGATCTTCAAGTCCAACATCTACCTGCAACACAAAGTGACGATCGGGGATTTAGTCCAAACCGAGAAGCTCCGCATGCGGCGTGCGGGGGAAAAAGTCATTTTCGGCACCGTTTTGTTTGTCGGCGGGCGGTCGTTTTCCATCATCGGCAAGCCCACGGTACCCTACGCGAGAGTGCACTGCACGATCGAGCAACAAACGCTCGCCGGGGAAAAACTCGTCTTCCGATGCGGGACGAACAACAATCGGTGGAGCATGTTTTGGCGGCGCCGGCAGTACGTGACGATGCTGCGGGTGGACAAGATAGAAGTGGACGCGGAAAACGTGCACTACTTGAACGAGCCCGTTCCGAAACCCGACCGGCTGCTGGACGTGTGGAGCAACCGGTTCCTCACCGAGGAGGAAAAGTCGTTGATCCCCCGCGACCCGGTGACCAATGAACCGGACGCGGCGAAATTTTACGACGGGAGTGAACACCAACCAGGCAATTATCACAACCGAGGCATGACGGAGGCCTACAGATTCTGGCCCGATCCAGGACACTCGCATTGGATGGAATAGATTATGTTCGGCCATATTATGGACACCGGAACATGAAGTGCCAGTAGAAATTACAACTCACGTGCTGCCCGCTTCAAAATGTTTTCGTCGACCAGGAAGCGATCTCATTCTTACAGCGACAGCCAATTGGTTGCGACTTGGTGTTCTCGTTCTCCTCAGGATCTTGCAGATGAGGGTTCCGGTTTCTCGTGGATCTGCGATCGGGTTTCTGAGACAGATATGCAGAGGTCTTCCAAATAAGAAGGCGGTTCGGTAACGCTCGTTGGTAAGAACGAGGGTCGTTAGCGTTACTGCTTTGTTTCATCAGACCCAAAAATATGTAACTGCGATGGCACACTTCGCAGCCCGCTTGGCGGCGCTGCTACTGCCGTTCAGTGTAAATGCGCTCGCCACAACTTCATTGCTGTCTACAAGGGGAGATGACGACCCTTGGGAGCGCATGAAGCGCGTGAAAGACCGAGGCCACGCGACGCACTCCCACTTTGCGCTGCACCCGAAGCACGATGCACAGCTGAGTTTCACCGAAGACCTCGTTGCGGCCACCAACGCCGTGCGGCGGCGCGCTTTCCTCCCCTCCATGGTCTGGGATCCGGAGTTGGCGACCGGTGCGGAGGAACATGCGAAGACGCTCTGCACGAATTTCGCCCACAGCAGCGTGGAACAGCGACACGACAATGGCATGCCGACGGAAAAAGAGGACTACATCGGGGAAAATATCTACAAAGTGCAGGGGTTCGACCCCACGGGAACCGATGTCGTGGATGCCTGGTACGCGGAGATCAAGGATTACACCTACGGGCCGGTGGGCTCTGCCTGCACGACGACCAAATGCCAGTCCTGGCCGCTGGATCGGCAAGATCAGTGTATGGTGGGGCACTTCACGCAGCTCATGTGGCACAGCAGCACGCAGGTCGGCTGCGGAAAGGCGCAGTGTGGTACTATTGCGGGTGCAAGGAAAGAGAAATTATCGACTCCTGCTGTTTCCTTGAAGGGAAATAGTAAAACTGCAGCAAATAAATTGCTCGGGAGCGGCAAGTCGACAGCTAAAGTGGCGCCAGCGATGAAATCTACGGACCCTTTCAAGAGGCTGCAGGGCATCTTTCGGAAGCTCAACGGGGCAGCGAGAACACTGAAAAGCGGTCACTCGAGTACTGCTTTTCTGGAAGATGCAGAAGAAAAAAGCAAGGATGAAGACAAGGTTTTCGCCGTGTCGTGCCGGTACAAACAAGGCGGCAACACCGTCGGGGACGTTCCGTTTGACTCTTCGACCGCGAAAATGTTGCAGCTCAAGAATGAGTCGTGTACGCCGCTGCGCTAGACGCAAAGATTGTAGATTGATAAAACCCATTCGCACGCGTCCTTGCTGGTGAACAAGCTCGTGTTTTTTCCACCCAGCCAAGATAGAAAATCATTGCATCCTGCCTGCTGCGAAGTTCTTCACTTCTACATCCTCTATCTAAAACTTGTTCGTGAATACACTAAGTATCGGAAGTAAAAAGTCGACCTTTTCGTGTCATCGTTTGAGGAGCGTCGTTTGAGAGACCCTGTCGTGATTGAGAGCAGATGCCTGTAAAACTAAAAGTTTCGCATAGAAGATGATTTGTTTTCGCAGAGGTCTCCTCGCATTGCGCCAGCTGCTCGACTGGCACAGCAGAATCGCATCGCGCATTTCATCGCTCCTTACAAGAAACATGAAAACATCATCATCCATCCTGCCTTGAAATTTAGAAGGAAAGATAAGTAGAAATACGTCGACGAGGAAGTGAAAGACGAGGAAAGTTCAGAAGTACGGTGTCACTACTTGTGAAGACCCGTTCCCGTTTGCGAAAAAATGGACGACGACGCCAGTGTCGAGCAGTACATTACGTACGAAGACTACTTGGACGCCCAAATCACTGCCCACGACAGGAAATACCTTGAGGATGACGAGCTAGCAAGGCAGCTGGTACAGCTGACTGACTTGAGCTTTCATCTCGTTGAACGCTTGCTTGTGCATATGTTTGCATTTTTGTTTTTCATGATGTGAACAATGCTTAAAGCGGGGGCGCCAGACAGTTTTTGAAGTGCAATGGATTATCTACCAACAGGTGGAAATAGGGTGTCGCAAAGGCGAGGTTTTGTCGCGGGAAGAGTTTGCAGCACGCAAGGAGGCTGCGGAGGAGGCAAGAAAAAGCAAGTTACAGAATGCACCGAAAGTGTTGGCCTCAGCGAACAAAGACCTCACGGATTACCCATTTCTGAGGCATCTGGTATATTTTTTGATTGTTGCTCCATTCGAGAAAAAATAAAAGATGAATGACTGGTTGTACCCACGTCGCTGCTGCACAGATCCATCGACTACTTTGAATGGGACGTTTCAAAATCTGATCCCAATAGGCCGCCCGGGAAGAGTTGGTACGACAAGGCAAACTCAGCGTGATTATCTTCATAAGAGATAAAAACACGAAGGGGCAGGAGGTGTCAGGGTACATAGATTACGGGCAGCGACTGAAGAGCGAGAATTTCGAGCCTTACTTTGAAAGTATTCAATGGTGGTTTTGGTTCTTTCTGTGCGACAAGTTAGTTCATTGTTTAGCAAACTGATGTTGGTTATCATGGTTTGGTTGTAGGCGTATTCGTGCTGGTAGCGGTTAATTTGGTCGTTGTAGAAAAGAAATAGATGGAACTGGATCTAAAACAACGCACTACAGGAAAAAAGAGGCTGCTACCCCGACAAACGGACTTGAGTTTCTACAACTGGGACACACAGCACACTGCGTCAAACGAGTCCGCGAACTTTCACATATGCACTGTAAATTTCCCGTACATGTACAAAATGCATGACAAATTTCGCTAACTTGCAGTGTCCAACTTGTCATGCTAGACTAGGACTGAAGGCAAGTTTTGTCATGCAGAGACTGCATTTGTACGTGTACGGGAAATTTACTGTGGATATCACATCATACCAGACTACGAGCAAGGGCTGCTGTTTAAGAACAAAAGGGATAGAAAGGTAGTAAATCGTTCGTCTTTTTCATCATTCAAGGAGATGAAAACTACTCGGATCTGAGCTTGATAATCATGCTTCCTTTTGACTTTCTTATTTCTATCTTTGGGACGTAGCTTTCAATGGCATTTGAGGTAATCTGCGTCGACCCGCGCGTGAAAGACCCCGGAGACAATTCGAAGCGGCACGAAATCAAAACCGCGGAGTACGTGCAGGTGGTGATTTTTGATCACATGACGCGGAAAAAGGCCGCGTGAGGTAGTTCTCAGAGTCGTCAAGTGCTCTGAACCACTCAAAAAATTATGAGTCCTCGAAGGTGATTCATGGACTTCGACCTCCAAAAATGAACTTAGTGTCAGTAACGTTGCGCCACAACGTTCGTATACGGGTACCCGTTGCTGTTAAGTCACGAAACAGCAAGCAAAAGACACCGGCGATTTTTGTCGTGGTGTTGGTGGCCCTTGCAATTTCAGGAACGGATTTGTACATTGTTGAGTCTGAGCGAATGCCTGTACAAAGGGCAAACAAGACCTGTTTATTGTTGCGCGGTCGACAATAAAGTAGAACTAGATACGATGGTGCAAAATCTTACCTATTTCCTTGCGCTTTAATTATGTTCTCAGCTGTGGGAGGACAGAGCGCTGTGCGTTGAGTCTGAGAGTGAGACAGGACGAAGAAGCAGCGCAAGTCCAACAAAAAATCTTTCCTCAGCTGAGTGAAGGTCGACCAAAGCACGGATCCCATTCGCCGTGCGTGCTGCTTACGGTCTGCGTTTTTTCTTAGTTCTTCTGTTTATAATGCACGACTGATCGCTAAGAAAAGAAGTAAGTATTTGAATCTCTTAAACGCTTCCGTTCGCCAAGATGCCACTGTCTGCGAAGTTTACTTGGACGGAAGATTTGGATACGATCACATTCGTGGTGCGTATTCCGGGGGTGAAGGCGAATAAATGTGTGGTCGTAATTTCTCCTGTCTACGTGAAGGTCAACCAAAGTCCGCACTTTTTCGAGCAGGACTTGCTACACGAAGTAGACCTCGGGGGCTCCCAGGCGCGCGTCGCCCCGGACCGGGTTACACTCCTCCTGAAAAAGAGAAGTCCCGGCACCTGGGGCGATTTCCGCTATGCGAACAGCAGTGCGACGGGGGGCAGGGTAACTAAATTGGAGCTTGTGCTGGGGTAGTTTAATTTCGTTGGAAATCTCCTGGGTTAATCACACTACTACTCGAAAAATCTGATTTCTAGGTTCTGTATGTGCATTGTCTACCTAACAGGAAGCGCTTTTGGCACGGCGAAAGGAGTCACTTCAGAAGTGGGAGGAGCGCGAGCGGCAACTGACGGAGCAGCGCAAGGACCAGCGCTTTCAGTTGAACAAAAAGGCTGAAGAGGAGCAATGGCGACTCGACCGAGAAGGCAGGGAGAAGATCGAAAAGTGGAAGGAAGAAGAAAAAGAAATCGCAGAAAACGAAGTCTTCGACGTGCTCGACAATCTGGGGGAAAAGCGTACAAATCTGTTTAGCAGAAAAAGAAAACGGCTCTGGTCTCTTTGCTGACTTACAGTTGAAACAATGGCATCTGATTCGAGAACGAGAACTAACCGAACCTGCTTCAGTTTTGCCTTTTCCATTTTCATCCGTAATTTCTTCGTCGACGTCTGTGCGGAACAATTTTTCCTGTCCATCACAGCAAAATTTGGGGGTCCTGTCGAAAGACGAAAGCCCGGCGAGGAATACCGCAGCACGTGCTCTGGGTCCGCCGGTGGTAGCACCAGTAGCATTTTCCGCGATGACGCGCCGGCGTCGGCAAAAATTGAAGAGGTTCCGGATTCGGAAGAGGACGAAGAGGAAGACCTCGTTGACAGCGATGGCGAGAACGAGCCCGCGCCAAAAGTCAAGGCGAAAAAGGCGGAGAACATCACGGATAAAAACACCGACCCGGAGGACAATCAGAAGATAGAAGCTGCAGGGGCCCGTGATGAAAAAGACCCCGACAGCGAGGAGGAGTATCAGATGGAGATCTTGCCGCCAAAACCGCACCTGCCAGAGGTTCGCCAAGCCGGTACGCACAAGATGATCCTGCCGATGACCCGACACGCAAAGCCCGGCGTTCCGGCGCGTGATAGGCCCGGCCGCGCCCCACCACACCCGAGGGATCTGACTGGCGTGGCCGCGCGTATGAAAGTGATAGATTTTGCGACATATTTTTCTGGGTGCAACGAAAAATCAGTATCAGTCACGAAAACATCTGATGAAATGAATGCAAGTATGAGTTGAAGTTCAACTTCACCTTGGACAATCAAAAGGAAAACATACAAACATCCCACAGCCAAGCAGCACAAACTAGCTGGCGAAACGGACTACGACGAGTCCGACCCCGTGTGGCTGAAGGACAAGGCGGACAAATGCATGGCCGCGGGGGATTACCCGAGCGCTATGCAGTATCGTACGAAAAAAGTGTTTCACTGTAAGGATTTTGCAAGTTTTGCATTACAAGTTCGTTACACATGACCAAGAAAACTTGCCATGCGTGCTTCCTAAGGGAAAACACGTTGAAAAACCCAGTGTCTTGCATGTGTAGCAAGACAACTAGTTGTGTGCTCCATTCTATGCATCACAAGTTCACAGTGAAACAGTTTTTTCGTACGATATGCAAGCATACACGACCGCACTTACCGAGTACTCCAACGCGCGCGCCTTCGCAAATCGGGCAGTGTGCGCCCTGTACCTCGGGAAGCTGTCGAACTGCATCGAGGATTGCAATCACGCGATAAAGATCCTGAACATGAAGACCAAAGTGCCCGACGGCCACTGCGCCCCGCCGAAGGACCCGGAAGACGAGAAGTTGCGCGCACGTGTTCTCGTAAGGCGCGGCGTCGCCTTTCTCTGGCTGGGAGAGTACGCCCGGTGCGAGGATTCGTTCCTCACTGCACTGGACCGGAACGAGTGTGAGGAGTGCGCACTGACGAAAGAGGAACGAGGCATTTTGCAGGAAGATCTGCAACGCGTCCGACTGGCTGCCAAAGCGTGCGAGAAGAAGCGGGAGATTGACAAGAAGCTTCGAACGACGAACAACGTGCTCGACAAGGAGACCCAGGCGGTGATTCTGAAAGAGTATGACGATGCGTTCTTGCTGGAAAAGGAGGAGAACGCCGTCGTTTGCGCGAACCGGAGTTTTGTGAAGCTGCAAGCGATGGACATTGAAGGTTGTTTACAAGACGCCGACACGACCTGCGATTTACTCGCCAGGTGGCCGGTGGCGCGGAATGCACCGAAGCTTCCCGAAAAGCCGCAGCGACTGGATCCGCCGACGCTGGAGGACCACACCTTTCGCAACCCGAACGCCAGCAAAACGGACGAGAAAGACTGGCTGATGAAGCACCACGGGTCGCCGAATGACGGGAAGTTGCCCGATATCCCCGAGGAGTTTGAGTGGGTGCGGGACGCGTCCGAGAAGAAAGACGAGGCCTGGATTGCGGTGCGCAAAAAATTGACGCGGGACCAGATTACGGCGATCCGGGCGAAGATCACGAAGTTTCAGGAGGCGCTCTACACGCGGAACATTGACGTAATCGACGCGGCCATCGAGACGGCGCGGCAGGAGAACCTGGCGAAGGAGGGGCCGTGCAGCGAAGCCTTGCATCAGGCGGGCGAGTACCGGATGAAACTGTCGGAGTATCTGGACGAGCAAAAAAAAAGGGCGGAACTCGACCAGGAGAAAATGAAAGAGGAAGACAGAACGGTACTTATGTGCTGGGCTATGGGTCAAGTCATAGTTTTTCGTCTTCACTGCACCGTCAAAGTCAATGACTTCTACTTTTCCTCAGAGTGACATGCAGTCGCCGAGAGGGAAAAATTGAAATGCGATCCAGATGGATAGGAGCGACTGCGCAAAGAGAACTCTGTGACAAAAACAAGAAAGCATTTTTCCATGAAAATCTATCTTCAGAGCACCGAGTTTTTCGAGCGCAGTCTGATTGCCACGCAGCCTGGCTGTTTTCGCCGCGACCACCCGTGCGAGAAGACTCGGCGCAGGCTTTTTGTGAAGACCCGTCTCCGCCAGGCTCGCGCGTACGAACTGCAGGAGCAGTTCGAAGATGCGTCGAAGGCTCTGGAGATGGTACTCTCGGCGGAACCGAAAAATCCGGATGCGCTGCAGCTTCGAGCGAAAATTGCGGGAAATCTGAAAAAGTTGGGTGGCAAGGGGGAACAGGAAGACGAAGGCACCACAGCAGCCGGTACTAGTACTTCCGCGTCCGGGCAGCTCAGTGCAACTGAGGCAAAGAACGTGGAAAGGATCATCCAAAAGAAGATTTTAGGCGGTGGTGGTCAGAACTCGAGTTCCGCTGAGGATGTTGAGGCGAAATCGAGATCGCGTGCAACTGCAGGAGGGGCAAAATCTGCCGCAGTGGTAGAAGACTCCGATTCCGAGGACGAAGATGACCCGGAGGACGGGTCCCTGCAGCAGGCGGAAGTCGCAAAGTTGGTCGGCACGGCCACGAAGTACCTCGAAAAGGGAGAGTTCGAGTCCGCGCTGCAGATTTTCAACTACGCACGTACCAAGGGCAATTTTCAGTTGGCTGCAGGACCACACCAAGCTTCTGCTTCTGGAGCCGCATCTTCAAGTGGTGAGGATCTTTTCGAGGAAGAGCTCCGCGTCCGGCTGAACTGTTGTCTCTGTTTGCAAAAATTGAAGCGGGTTCAAGACTTGTTGAAAATGTGCGACGAGACCCTGCGGGCAATCGAGTCCCGAAAGCCGCAGAGTTCGCATCCGCGACTCGAGGCGGCGTGTCGGACCAGGCGCGGGTGGGCACTCCATCAGCTAAACCGAAGTGCGGAAGCAACAGAGGAGGGGAAGAAAGCGCAAGCCTTGCTGCGAAGCTGAGCCGCGCTATGGAACAAACCAGGTTCTTTTGAATATCTTCGTCAGTTCCTCCTCGCTGTGCTTAATTCTGTACATGTTGATGAAAAAACAAGACGATCACCAGCTATTGAGCAGATGGTTCGAACGGTTTAAACGGAAGGACAAAAAGAACGAAGACGATCGAACATACTGAAATAAGAAATGAAACGCTGCGCTTGAAAGTGCAACAACAGTTGCTTTCGCCACACAGCGATGTTGGCAAAGACCTGCACCAAGTACCTGCATATTTACAAGATCCTACTTTTTGTTCGGCCTGTCAATGAAGAAAGAACTTTCATGACGTACAATATCGCGAAGGAAAATGAATGTAGAAAAAAAAAAAATTTTTTTGTTGTGCTGTATTGTGTCTCTGTCTGTGCAGCATTCATAAGATCACGATCACGAAGACGAATAAATTTTGAACGCTAAAGCGAAAGACTTGCAGAACTGACTAGAAGGAGTAGATCTTTAGAAACGACCGCTTGGAGCAGCAAGCCCGATCACAATAGCACGTGGCGTTTTTTCTGCTCGAAAAGCGACTTTTCAATGCAATTTTTCTTCGGACATGCAGTGCATATGACGAAAAAACCAACAGAGGCAACTGAAGGACTTGTACTTATTCGTACGCCTATTTGTACTCAGTACAACTACTTTGTACAAATCTAGCATGAAATTTGTACTCTTCTACCTACACCTTCACTACTTTAGCTTGGCTGTAGTAACCGCATTTTTTATATCATCGGTGTTCGATATCGCGATCGCTACATACAAGTAGATACAACTAAGAACACGTAGGACAACGGATAGACTCGTTTTTTTTTGGCTCAACAAACATCAACTGTACAATCGCGACGACAACAAAAATCATTTTCAGCTTCGTTGTAATTTTGATGTTAAAACGAAAGACAGAACACGAAGTCGAAGACGAGAGGTTACCTAGGTGAACCACAAAAACACAAAAATACTAGTCGTCGACAACGGAGAAGAACAGTTTCGTTTAAGTGCAACATCAGCGTCGCACGGGACTACAACATACCATCTGATTAGTAAAAAGAAAACGTTGGCTACAAAAAAACTAAATCCAGTCGTTCTGGGTCGTGAGAGGAAATAGTACTTTTTTGTGTAGATAAAGATTCGAACAAGAAATATTCATTTTTAGTACGACACCGATAGCGATACGAGTTTGCTTTGAAGCCAGCTTACGAATTTGCTTCATAGCTTTTACACAAGTGGGTCGTCGAACTATCAGAGATCGTCGGGAAAGATAAAAATCAATAGGGAGCTCGGCATTACTTACAAAGAGCAGCAGCAGTCGTAGCGATTCGCTTGAGCGTTGGCAGAGACGGAGACAAGTATCATTCGACAGAAGACTATACAGCTTTCGGAAGTTTTCACACGCAACGAAACCACATCAATCGATTCGATCGTACCAACCGGTTAATTATCGGCCACGTTGAAAAATATTGCTTCTCGGCTTTACTGTAGTCCCCGGATTCTGGATGTGATTGTGTCACATTCGGAGCCGCACCCTTTTTTGAAACGGCGCAGTTTCAATCGATGAAACGTACCCGACCCCAGGAGGGAAGTGTTAGTCCAGGAAGCGTTACTCCGTTAGTCCCCGCAATCCACCCCGCACAGACCACCGGCGGGAACATCAACCACACGAACTACACTAACCAAGTTTCTACTTCTTCCAAGAACAGTAAGGCACCGGCAGGCCCTGCTGGTCCCGGAAAATCTGAAGTCATTGCGTCGTTGGCTGGGCACTCGTCGTACCAGGTGGTGGACCCGAGTGGCAACATGCAGATGTCCAAGCGCTACTACACGGAGTACGCCGACGTGGTGAAGGCGGGCCAGCGGTGCAGCACCAACTTCAAGAATGCGTGGCACGCGTACTGCGAAAGCCAGGGGCATGTTATGTACGACCCGGCGAAGCACGAGGTCACCTTCATCCAGGGCTTCCTCGACAACCTCGGGAAGGGCTACCTCACCATGGCGGGGCAGCAGCACCAGATCACGCAGAACGGCGTGACGGCCTACCCCAACGCGGCTCAGTCGAACACGTCCACCCCCGCGAACTACGGCGGCAGCCGCTACGGCTCCGACGGCGCGTACACCAGCGACGGCACCCCCGCCGGCATGGACTACAACAGCAGCGGTGGCGGCTACACCCCGGCCGGCGGCAAGAAGGGCGGCGGCAAGGGTGGAAACAACTACGGCTACGGGGCCGCCCCCGGCAATTACCAGAACGGCGGCGGTGCGGGGAATTACGGGTACGGAGCCAGCAACAGCCAGCAGCCCACGCAGATGTACAACCACCAGCAGGGTCAGGCCAGCCAAACCGCAGCCAACGCGTCTGCGCTGGGCCGGGTCATAGAACTCGTCAAGCAGGGGCAGCGCAACTCGGCGGAGTGGAAGACCATGTGGATCGACTGGGCCCAGGAGAACGGGAACGGTGTACACGACCCCACCCGCCACCAGGCCTGCTTCATCATCGCGTTCGTCCTCAAATACGGGTTGGCAGGTACTACGTATTTGCTTAGATTTTATATTACGACTCTCGTCGTCCTCGTGCTCGTTTTTTTGACAGGGGTGCGGAGATAGCAGATTTTGTGTGTGTGTGTAAGGCTACATTAGTCAATTTTTTGTTTGAATTAAATGCAATACAGAAGTCGTATCCGCACCGTGGGCCAGCCCGTACTTGGTGTCATTGGGGGAGCTGGCGAAACCCTACATGGTGTCATCGATCAAAAAAGGTATAGCTCTCGACGTTTTATTCACGGAAATTTTCATTTTTGCCATTCTGATTGTCGTGGAAGCCGCAAGCACCTCTCTTGGTAAATCAATAATATCCACCACGACTGACAGGTCAAAGTATCTCGGAAGTTTGGAAGGAGCAGTGGGGTCTGTTTGCGGACAGCAAGGCCAATGGAACGCGCGATCCGAACCGGCACGACGCGGGGTCCTTGATGGAGTTCTTCGATACCATCGCCCTGCAGCAATTCAGCACGGAATCCTGGATGCTGCCGTACGTGAACGGCTCCGAGCCGGTCTACAGTTCCAGCTAAAGTGTTGGAAACGCTACCTTATTAACGTATTATAATTGTGCTGCTGCTTTTGAAATTCCAATTCTTGCTTCTTACTCTTCAGTTTCTTTTTTTGCTTGATGAAGAGATTAATTCAAGATGATGAATAAATCGCTGGCTGAGCGAGTTTCAAAAAGATGCTTCATCATAAATTGATTCGCACATGAAAAACAACACGAACATTCCTCAATAATTAAAAATACAGATCGACAAGGACAAGGATATGCCGATCGTTTTCTAGCTGCAGCCCGACACAACCTGTCGCAGTACTTGCAGCCGAGATCGACCGGTGCGTGTGTCATTGTACCATGATGGTAGTAAAAAATACCCCTGCACCACCCGCAGCAGATTTTGACATAGCAGTTTACTTGACACCTATAGCAGAAGTAAGTTCGACGCGCTTGCGCTTCTGAAAATAAACGTATACAAAAAAACTCCAACATCAACAGCAGAACCAAAAACAAATAAGAAAAACTTAAGCGGATTGTTTCACACATCAAAGAAGGATCATTACCGTAGCGGAATACGAATTCCCAGATTGGAATCGTGTAATAGCCTCCGAGGCTAGCTTTAAGTCATGTCGTTGTAGAATCCTCAGCACCTTCTCCTCCTCCCGGGGTCGCTGATCTATTCTGAAACTCGCCCGAGCAATTTTCTAAAAGGCTGTTCGTCTCACAAAACCTGACAGACCCATTATTTTTATTTTATCAGAATATGTAAGTTACTATCTTCCCGAGCTCGCGGTACCAACAGTAGACTAGACTCGTTTAAACGTACTTGTATGCCTCTTTTCTCTTCTATACCAGCAACAACAGTATGTTGTAGTCCCCTTTTCTATTACCTGTAGTATCTCCCTCCAGCGGCAGCAAGAATGGCGGTAGATAAAAATTTTCGCAATTTGTCACTTAAACGTACCTCGCAAATACACGAGCTAAAAATGCTAATGTATCAAAGAGACGGGGCTAGGGCTACAGGTACAGGAGCTAAAAAACTACACTTGTCGACGCATGAAGTAAAGCCGTGCTAAAAGGTCTTCGCTTTAGGGTAACGAGGAGCTTTCTCGTAGCTGTTTTTTACGTACGCTGGTATGTGGCGTTGTGAGCAGAAGTAGCACCCCACCGATGAAGAGTAGACTGACAGCTGGCGCGACTTTTGGGTAGGATTATCGCAACGTGGTACCAGAGGATGACTGAACCCAACGTATAACACGCCACTTGAAGGTTGATCTTGATTAGCGCACTTTGCAGTGCTTGGGGGCCCTCCTCTACTTTTAAAGCAAGTTTGTAGCATGTGAGCACAAATAAAACGAGCATGGAGAGACAGCAGTGTACTTTCGGATTTTACAAACCAATGTAGCCAAGAGCAAAAATAAGGTGCCACTGCTCCTCTCTATCTTCTGGAAGAAGTAGTGTGCACGAGTTTGCGACAACTATATTGGCTATCCTAGCGACCGCCCTGCATTTTCTTCTATGCTGAAAAACCAAAACTAAGAGAATGCCTCAAGCAACGCGCATTCGAACGAGGACTAGGCCTCCTGGTGAGAGGAATGAAATGCGTGTGGACACAAATAATTTCACTCCCATAATCACCTTTGAAAAGAAAGCAAAAGCAAGACGGAACGACCCCTGAGCTGACCCCTGTTTGAGTTGTCGGATTTTGCGGAAAGCGTTCCCGATGCAAAAAGTTCTTGTCCTCACCCCGGTCGAACAACGTTTCAGGACGATGTAGTGTCTGTGCTAAAATGTACGTGTATCACATGGGCTGAAGTTATAATGTGCCTCTTGCTTCTGTACGTAGTGCATCGTAATCGCATAATGCCCACTTTTTAGCTGAAAATTGTTTCCCGGCTACAAAAATTATGTTAAAATACGATTAAGTACAGCAGGAGCAGCTGCTAGCGCAGAATCTTGTGCCTGTGTGGGTGCTTTTTTTTTTGGGCTTATTGAGGTTTGTTATTTCAACCCATGTTGATTGAAATTGTGCTTGTCTTTTCCTCTTAACACAGTAAAAGCGGTTTGGTTTCGTGCCAATCTCCCCAGGTAGCAGGTAGCAGATGAGCCTCTTCGTCATCGCGGAAGATGCTTCTGCACTGCAAGAGCCCCATGATGAGAAGTACCCGTTTCAACGTTTCACCTCGCAACCTTCCCAGAGAGCTTACAGCTTATGCGCTTCTGTATCCCCCGACGCAGCAGGCACAAGTAGCGGTCTCGTACCAAAACACCACCCTTCTAGTCGTGTAGTTTCGCAGCACGACAAGTTTCCACACCAAGAACCACTTGCCCGAAGTAGATGGAAGTGTAGACTGCCCGAGTGACCCGGCGGACGAAGAAGGATTTCGAAGAACAACAGGCGGACCATAAGCATCGAACCATTGATCTTGATGCAGCAAAACGTAATAAAACCACAGAATGTCTTCGTCCCTATATAATGAATCTGAAGCTTCTTGTATTAATGCTAAAAATGCTTGACCAGCGGCGCGGTGGGTAGACGTGAACTTTTTGCGTTTCTTCGTGACATGAGCGCCTCTGATTGCGTGTGCGCGTTCAGTTTCTGTTTCCAATTTCCTCAAAATTAGATTGGTCCTAGGGTTTAGGGTCTACAGATCGGGACAGATAGACGGCCCGAATGTAAAAGCTCAAAAGTCCTACAGCCCTCATCAATGCAGATTAACATCTGCCTAGTTCTAGTTTGTTTTTGAGAACATCTATTCTTTCACATCATCTATCAGTACCGAATCCGAAGTGATCCTGAGCTATGCGGTTTCGGTGAAACTGAAGATCCTCGTGGTCAAGTGGATTTCTGCAAAGCGCTTTTCTTCGTATTTTTTCGCAGATCTTGGGAGATCATGCTCTCGAGCCCTCTTGAGGCGACCGACGATCAGTTTTTAAAATCGAGCACCATCTGGTCTTTCTCTTTTTCTATTATGTTGTTGATATAAAATTAAAAGTTACACTGTTCTACTCAAACTTCCCTTTCGGATTTTACTTTTCAATATAAAAGTTATGTACTTTGCAGCTGAGTCTGAAAAGAAACGAACGAGAAGTGAAGCGCTGCTTTTGTTTGTGCGGACAGCGGCACGGTTTACCTCAGCATCATGCGAGCACGCCCTCCGCGGCGCGGAGGCCTCGTTGGCTCCACGAGTGGCTCAAGGATGGACGACTTGGAATTTGCAGCCCTTGTGCACGACCACTTTCGTTTGCAGCGGCGCTTTGGAAGCCTTGCCGCGACCACTCTGCAGACGGCTCGCCCCAGCGACCGCCCAGGCAAGACTCCGAGTCGCATGATCTTGCGGCGGGACAAAGAAGAGTCGCCAGGTGTTGGTAGTTTGAAAGGGACATCAATCGTCAGTGCGGACCGGCCGGATTGCTCCCGGGCATCCTTGGCGAAGCTAACTACGGTCGAGGCCGTTCTGGAGTTATGGGAAACGGAACCAAGGGGCGATAGCTACATGACATTCTCGAAGAAACGTTTTCAGAGGTACGAGGAGGCCATGTTGCAGAGATTAGAAGAACAGGCAGTAAGACCGGAGAGACGACCGGTACAGAGAGACCCAGAGCGGTCCTTGGAGCAGCGACCTCCGTCTAGTCCTGAGTCGATAAAAGGGAGTTCTGCGAACAAAAATTTGTCGTCGCTTCTACAAACGGTTCAGCGAGCGACGCGCATCCTCAAGCTCTTGCGGCTCGGGCAACCAATTTTGCGTTCGAGCAAACTGTTGGATCTGGTACTCGAGATGGTTTGCGAAGCTCTGCGGATCGATACTATCGAAGAGACACGGGAAAGGAACGAGTCATCAGGATTCCCTGAGAATCTTGCAAATGCAGCTCTTGGCGCAACACGCCCAAGAATTCCGCGCCCACCCCCGCCAGTTCCGCTCGGTTCTCTACCAGCGGCGAGAAAGGACTTCCGTGTCGTTCTCGAGCAGATCCTCACTCTGCCTCGTTCCGATGACCTCGACGTCGCGGAAAAGTTTGTTCCGCTGATGCAAGCGGTGCAGCGCCGGATCGAGCAAGAGGCAAAAGGCAATCGCCTCGGTCTTTTCTCAGCACGCCAGCTAGTGCAGATCTTGAAGGCACTTTGGTCGGTGCGATATAAGAATGACGAGGGTGAATTTGCCGAAAAGATTGTCTTGTGCAAGGGTTTGCTTTTCGATCCCAAGAAATTGAAAGAAATGACACCCGGCGAGCTTGCGGAACTCATGGAGTACCTCGTTGGTCTAGAGCTCATTGGAAGTAGCGCAGGGGACCATTCTTCTGGGAACGCAGTAGCATTTCTTGCGGAAAGCGTCGACGCTTCTTCACTCATCCTGCGGAGTTTTGCGGATCGAATAAACAGTAGTAGTAGCACGCCGCGTTTTGGTAGCACGAAGACAACTGCAGCTGGTTCTGCGATTCTCTGGACGGAGACATTACGTAATTATGCCAACTTCCACGCTCTACGCTCACGATCGCTGTTGAGGCGGAAGAATAACATTGGAGCCGTTTCTTCGGCGCCTTTTTGCGCGACGTCGGACAGCGCAATTTTGGCAGCCGGTTTGCAGCACATCTCTGACTACTTCAGCGCAGGTGTCCAGCCCGCCTCTTCAGCAGTGCCAGTACGGACAAGAAAAGGCCTGCTGATGATGGCACAAAATATGTTCCGGTTTGGGCCCGGGGAGTGTGGTGAGTGCAGCTTCAGGCTGTTGCGTGCGCTGCATACCGTAGTTGACAAAGCATTCTGCCAGAGTAGCTGTCCAAGTGGGGAACCGAAAAAATCCGCATCCGAAGTAAGTCACACAAAGACTCTTGATGTTTCTGCTACATTACTCTCTCCCGTTAGCGGAACCACCGCTCATCTGTTCATGCCGGATGCCGGCAGGTGCCGGGTCTCCGGCCCACAGGGCGATGTGCATAAGGTCCTCGCAGGGCTACCAGGCATAGTATCTGCGCAGCTGGAAGTTCCAATCGTGAACACGACATATGTCGTAGACATGGTCGCACAGCAGCTGTGATTTGAACAACTACTTTCGAATCCAGCAAGGTGACACTGCAACATTTGTTTTACTTGGTGACGCACTGGTTTCGTATTGGTCTGTTCCTTGAGCTTGAGTTTCTTTCCAAAAGTGGTAGTGAGATCTCAAGATGAACACGAAGCGCATGTATCATCAAAAGATTTATCATTGCAGACAGGGATAGTGAGTTTGTCTTTGTGACTTGTTCTGAAATCAGTTTCTCTTGGGACGAGCGGGGTCAGCACCTGTGCTTGTGTGTTGCGGCTGTAAGTCCCTCATGGGTGTGACACTTTTTTCCCCACATATGCAACATTGACATGGAGTTGGAAGGAAATTACGTAGCCGTTTGTCAAACGCTGGATAACTTGAATTGTTCCCGACTGATATACTGAAGCAAATGTTCTTACAATTGTAGATGGGACTCGTCTTAGAGGTAGTTTCATTTCCCTGCTAAGTCCACCTCCACCAAGTTCTGCGGTGGTGCACTGTTGACCCGCTACATCTATCATCAAGGGTATCATCTGTAGAGATGGACAAGATGGGATCGCGCAACATCCAAGGGCGCGACGATGGTAAGCGACGGTACGAAGATCGCACCCAGCGGCGGATAGAAGAGGAGGACAACGAGATCACCGAGCAACAGCGTCGCTTTCCTGCTGTGCGAGAGGAGCACGAGGTGCGGGCGCAACAGCGGAAGAAGAAAAAAGAGGACAAGGCGGCAAGGCAAAAACTGCTTAAAGAAAATAGGGCAGAGCGACACTTGCAGCAGCAAGCGAAACGGAAGCAACGATGGCTCGAGAAGTGCCTGTACGCGAAGTGCGATGAAAATGGAGGGAACGATGACGAGCAGACCAAATCTTCCAGAAAGAAAAAGCAGGACGGTCGTGCGGCCAAGACGAACAGCAAAGCCTCCTATAACTCGTCTTCGAGCAACATTTGCCGCGCAGCGTTGACCGAGCAGGAAAGGCAGGACCAAGCAGCGGCTGCTTCCTGGGAATACGACTACCTCGGCCAGTGGGATCATTTATTAGAGTTTTGCGACAAGACGAAAAAGTGGCAAATAATGAAGGAGAAACAGCAATATGTGGAAGTCGTCGGTGAAGTGAATAATTTCGAAGGGCTGCATTTGAAATGTCGGCTCTGCTACAATGCGAAGAAAAAGCCGACCGAATTCTTCTGGGAGCACGAAGCGTCCGAAGGGCACCAGCGGGCGGTCCGGGAGCGGCAGATGGCCATGGATACGCTGCGGATTTTGCTGGGGAAGATGTACGATGGCGGGATCGACTGCGCAGAGCCACGCAAAAACTGCCCCTACCTAATGTTCGTCATGAAGGAGTCCTACGAGTTGAAGGCCAGCGTGTGTGCGATGCATTGCCTCATTTGCGGGAGCCACCAGGACCGCGTCCTGACGCCGGCGGACTTGGACAACCTCGACAAGTTGCAGTGGCCGTGCGAGGGAAACAACAAGCACACCCAGAAAGCGTGGATGTTCACTTCCGCCGGCGCTGCGAGCAAGGACTACGAGCAGGAACGAAACGCGATCTTCAAGGCGCGCAAGACCATCATTGACACTGCGACTGTGCCGGAGTTCTACTCGGTACACAGGGCGAAGGAGGAGGCGAAAAACGCGAGCAGAGGGAAAAATGACACAGCCAATCCGTCGAAAACAACGACCGCCGCCCCGTTTGAAGAGGACGACAAGAACAGCAGCGGCGACTCTCCATCGTGCGACGAGGACACAGAGCAGTCATCGATGGCATCCCCGCGGTTCCGTGACGATCAAGCGATGTGCGCCGGGCCCTGGTCAGACACATCTGACGACGACTTTTAAAGATGGCTCAGCGGTGTAGGGCATGCAATGAATGACTCAAGTAAAAATAGCCGCTGGGTTGATTCCGTCGTCGCAAAGGAAAGACACAAGACTTGTCGCGAGAATACACACATTTGCCCAACAAAGATTCCAGTCGTTTCTATCATGCGCAAAAATCACGAAAATCAAAGTGAATATACTTAAACATATACAAAAGGAAAAGCATTCACATCGCAAGGAGGAGGGCAGCGACAGGAGGATTCTTAGCTGGTTTCGATGCAGTCTGTTCTCCATGCACCAAAGTTCTTTTGCGGAGCGGCCATTTGTCTTCGAAGAAGAGTCTCAACTACAAGGTCAAGAAACAGACTGAGGCGCTTCATGATCACGCGATCTCATGCAGTTGATCTAGATTTTCATTCTGAGAAGATCTACACTTGCCGGCCCCATTGGCAAGATCCTCCCCGAGCAGGATCTGCAGAACATATAGATCCTTCTCATGCGCCCATACCGTGTGACGATGGTACCGGGTAAAAACTAGACATCGACGAGAAAGTTTCTTGGTTAGAGTTTGTTCTTTTTTTCTCGCGGGTTTTAATCATCGATCAACACGGTGTAAGCTTGCTTCCAGTACTGGCCGCGGACGAGAAGATTCTCATTGTACCAGAAACATCGACGCAGCGAAATCAAGAAATGACTGGAGGGATGCCCAAAAAGAACCCACTCGAAGACATCCCTTCCGTGGGTTTTGGGACGGCCCATCTGTATGAAGAGCACATATTCTCCGCCCTGCAGAACGGCGTGCGCCACCTGGATTGCGCGCGCTTGTACGCAAACGAGGACGAAGTCGGGCGGGCGGTGACAAGGTTTTTGGAAGGCAACACCGGCGGTGTCACACGCAGCGACCTGTGGATAACCTCCAAGCTCTGGTGCGAGGAGTTGCACCCGAGCGACGTGAGGAGTGCGGTTTTGGACAGCTTAAACGACCTGCAAAGCTCGTATCTTGACCTGCTGCTGATTCACTGGCCGCGAGTGTTTGTTAAGGGCAAACCGCTGGTGGTGGACCAGACGGTGTCTATTTTGGATACCTGGAATGCCATGGAAACGCTGGTGCAAGAAGGCCTGGTCCGGAACTTGGGCGTGTCAAATTTTGACAGGGCGCAATTGGCAACAGAACTGCTGCAGTGGTACACTGGTACAACTGCTGACCAGAACGCCGGCGTGGCTGGGGTGGCAACGCATGCAGATGCAGCACCAGCAGGATCGAGCAAAGCACCAAAGAAGAGCTCCGGCTCCGCAGAAGATGACACCGATTCTGTTGCGTCCACCAGTGCAACATCTTCGAGCAAGGTTTCTGAGAGTAGTCGCCCGGAGCTCCTCTGCTCTTCTTCCGACACCATCGCAGCCCCCCCGAGAGGACACAGAAAGGCAATTACCATTTGGCCATACGCGAACCAGATTGAGCTCCATCCCCATTTTCAGCAACAAGAGTTGGTAAACTACCTGCAGGAGAGAGAAATCCGCCCGGTCGCCTGGGGCCCGCTGAACTTCGGGCGGAAATCGCTCGCCAAAGACGAGATTCTCATGGACCTAGCAAAGCAGCTATCAAATGTAAAAATGTCTGGGTCTGGAAGAATGCAAGTTTGTCATGCTTGTCTGGCATGACTCTTAAATCTGCCATGCACATTACCAACTGTGTGCAGTGGGGAAATAAAAAAAAAAAATATTTTTGCTTGCGTTTGGGTGTGTAGATGAGGTGGATTTGTAGTTGTATAGGTTGGTCTGGATGTGTAGATGAGGTGCTTTTAGCTATTCACTTATGTTTCGTCGTCATTATAATCGTCTTGTTTCGTCTCGAATCTTGTTGTTAGTTTTCGTCGTTTTCCCTAGGCCTCTGTTGGCAGCCGCCTAAAGTGCGGGAGATTCCTTCTAAGCTAGAAAGAAAAACACACACACACACACACAAACCGCGCGGACTTTCCGGCCGCGGTGCTGGGCTTTCTGGTCGGGTTTCTTTGTTCGCAGTTCCGGGCGGACGAGTGGCGGCGCTGCGCTTTCGGGTCGGGCTCGGAGTTAACAGACGCGTGGAGGTCTCGGAGTTGCGCTTCGGCCTCGGAGTTGATGGTGTGTTGTCGGTGGACTTGTTTCTGGGCCGACTTGCTGGACGAGCTGGGCTTCTTGCTGGTTGGAGACCTTTTTCCTGGTCGGTGGACTTGTCGGTGGACTTGTTTCTGGGCCGACTTGGTGGACGAGCTGGGCTTCTTGCTGGTTGGACACCTTTTTCCTGGTCGGTGGGTGGACTTGTCGGCGGACTTGTTTCTGGGCCGACTTGCTGGACGAGCTGGGCTTCTTGCTGGTTGGGCACCTTTTTCTTGGTCGGTAGACTTGTTTCTGCAGGGCGGACTCGTTTTTGGTTGGACTTTTGGTGCTGGACTTGTTTCTGCAGGGAGGACTTATTTCTGGTCGGCGGACTTGTTTCTGAGCAAGGTCTTAGCCTTAGGGGCGCGGCAGGCAGACAAAGAACAGGAGGCCATCAGCCTAGTGATAAATAAACAGCACAGCTGAAGAATATGGCTTTTTGTTTTACACTTAGATCATCCGCAGCTGGTGCTCTTTTTGAACCCCCCCAGCCGTCCCATATTTGCATGTGCGGGGAGTCTAAGCAACATGGCTTGCCCGAGTCATTGACGAACCGGGAAGATGGGAGGCGGGGTTTGCCGTCTCCAGACAGGCCAGCCGCCGGGAGTGACTGCCACCTCTGTCATTGAGGGAGCGCGTGTCCTCCTCGACTGAGTTGCGTGCGCGGCCCATCCGTGTTCCGCGTAAACCTCTACAGGAGAGTGTGCGCCGCGTCGAAAGGCGCCCTTCCGTACGGAGCGCCCCGAACCCTTTTTAGCGCACCAGTATGATGGCCTCACTGTTATAAGAAGTTAGATCAGTTTTTAGAACCCAATCTGTTTATGCTAGCAGAGGGCTAGTGCGCTGTGAACCCCCAGGACCAGGCTGACTCAGTCCCGACCGAAGTGGTAGGCGCTAGGGTGAACTATGTATGTAGCGCCTAGGGCCCTTCCGTACGGCCGTATGTATGTCCCGCAACGGGGTTCGCCTATGTCGGTCATTTGTATGCGAGGCGATGGGTTACCCGGTCGGCAGAGCCGATCCACACGAACGAACGAACATTACCAAAGAGCCCCACTTTTGTGTCATGCAGCAACGTAGTTTGTGATGCAGAATTGGCAACACCTAGAAGCTCAGAAACTTGTCATGCTGAGCCAGCAATTGTGGCCTCCTCATGATACGCCACACAGCATCACAAGTTTCCAGACCCAGACATTTTTACATTTGATAGCAGCTGGACAGCACAGTCCAGCAAGTAGCACTGCGGTGGAACCTACAACGGGGGGTGGTGGTCATCCCGAGTTCGACGAATCCAACGCATGTGCGGGAAAATCTGAAATGCGGCGAAGAAGGCAAAGATGTTGGCGACCCGAGAAGATTCGCTGGTTTGTCTTCAGCCCAACTGGAGCGAGTCAGTCGTTGCGATCAAGACACCCGTCGGTTTCCGGACATCATCGGAATCTGGCCCACTTCCTCGACGAGAACCGCCCAGCGATTCGGGGCGTTTCTCTCGTTCGTGTTGGACAAGTGTGTTTTCCGGCTGTTTGGGCCTCAGTGCCTGGTTTCCTGGCGGAAAGCGGTCGTGCGGTGGAAGAAGCCCAAGCCGGCCTCTAAGGAAGCGTCAAAATCATGACATTGCTACGAGTTTCGTTTTGAAAAGTAGAGGTTGTAGTCAAGCAAATAAAGCTGCACCTACGCAGCATAATGACCTGAATTACAAATCTCATGGGCGAAGAAATTGCACTTTACACGACCGCGTTGGGTTCGATTCTGTCCTCCGCCACTGCAAAAATCACCTCTATGTCGAATCCTCGTGGGTGAGGGTGTCTAGTTCTTGCTCGAAGCCGGAGGAACGTAATTCGTGAGCCTTATTGCTTGATGAAGTTGAAAATCGTCGTACTGAGAAGTAGTTGTAGAGAGAGAGACGAGAGTTCGTCGGGTCCGGTGTCTTCGTAATGGGTCGTTGTAGCCTTGCTGGCGTCGATTGGGTTTCCTCCAATAAAAGTGCGCTGCTCGTTTTGATCTGTGTCTGTACTTAGAGGCTGGCACAGAGACCGTTGTCAGTATGTATTTGATTTTGTCCGACCAAACAAAACTCAGTTTAGCCGTGCTTTTTTTTCTCCCTCGACGCGTCGGTATCCCCTTACCGACCCCGTTAAGGTTATAAAAACAGCAATTTGCTGCCACGAAACAACTGCCACACGGGCGTTGCTGCCAATAAGCGAAGATCATGTCATTTGCGAACGAGCACTCTCTTCGTGCTGATTCGTAACTGACGACACTTGTACCACCAGCCAGCTGACGATGCGAGAGGGAAAAAGTCGACTCGCTCGGGCTGCGCGCCTGCTCTTTGCATGGCAGAGTGCTGGTCTGCTCGGTCTCCGTCACGCACAAGAGCAGACTCCTGCGGACTCGGAAGCCCTCGCGCCACTGGTCGAACCAGCACCGGTCGAAGAGCCAAAGGTGGATGCCGAAGTCGCAGCACAGGAACCGGAGCATCCAGAGGAGACATCCACAACGCCTAACGCGGTCGCCGAACCCGAGGCGGATGCGGCCGCAGCACCTCTACCCGATGAACCAGCGGCATTGCCGGAGGGCGAGGCTGCAACGGTAGCGTCGGAGCATCTTCCGGAAGAGACACCCACAACGGAATCGAGCGCCGCGACAGCCGGAGAGGATGGGGCGGAAACGAGTACGATCGAACCGGCGCCCGAGGAGGGCACAGCCGCACCTAAAGTTCCAGAGGAAGTCAGCGCGACTGCGGGCACGGTAAAGAGTACAGGATCCTCCTGCTGTGGAGGTGGATCGTCTACTGAACAAGATGAGAGCACAAAGCCAGCTGGTGGTCCAGCAGCAGCAGAACCGGAGGATGCGTCAACATCCGCACCACCTTCAACTGCGGCCGCGGAGGCTGGACCTCCTGGAGTTCATCGCGTGTCGCACCATCTTCTAGAGGAAAACTTGTTTACAGCCCCGGAAACAATGCTTAGCGGGGCCGAGCTGCAATTTTGGGAAGCGTCGACCTGCGGTTCCCTTGCCAAACTGGAAGAGGAAGACAAGTATTTTAGCATGCAGGGCATGAACCTTTGCGAGCTGATTGTGGGGCACTGCAGCAACAAGGTGGAAGGAGCCGATGACTTGTGCTATGAGGGGATCGTGACCAGGTTCCTGGCCGTCGAGGAGTGTCCGACCGAGAAGTTTGATGCCATCACGCGCCTGCAGGTTGAGGTGGCTCTACGCAACTTCGTGACCACACGGAACGTGGACAAAACGATTGCGGCACACCACACCTGGCCCATCATCGTCAAGATGCCGCCCGTTCCACTCACGGTCGATGCTGTCTACAATGAATTTGGATCCTATCAGTGCTCCTCGCGCGCGGACCAGTACTTTGCCGCCGCGAAAGCGTCAATGGCGGCCCGTGGCAACTCTGGCGCTGCCTCTGCGATTTCGCCAACGGGCGACACGGAGATGACGGTTTGTTCATGCTTCTCTTTCTGCGTTGCAAATGCCAAAACGATCATATCATGCTGTTTCTGTTATGAGCGCTGTGGAACGCTAACTACTACTACTACTACTAGGCTTCTAGTAATTGCAGTACTGAATGTTAATAGCATACTCGGTGTACTAGCGTACTGCGTAGTTGTTGTTACATTAAAGTAAAAAGAACTTGTACACTTTTTTTTTCCACTCCAGTCGGCCCAGCTCGCGGCGCTGAGCATGGTGAACATTGGCGGCATCACCTTTCTGTACAAGCCACAGAAGATTCACGAGCGGAAGTTTCAGATTTCGGGGAACAAGCCTCTGCGGTTCGATCCCAACGGGTTCACGGAACCGGATGTGACGTTTTCGGCGCGCGCCGTGCAAGACGAGGGCGAGACGGCCTTTTTGGCGCCCGACGACGAAACTTTGCGTGACGATTTGGTCGTGGCGACGCTGCGCGAGGGGAGCTCCATCCACGTCCGTACCTACAAGTCGGACGAGCAGAGCGCGGTTGCCCGTGGCGGGAAGAAGGTGTACCTTTTGGGCATGTACGCTGGTCATCCCGACACCATCCTTTCTTCTGAATCAGAAGCCGACGGCACGGTAGCGCGGACTTGCGAAGTCGCCGGCGTGGACGCGTCCAACAAGAACGTGGCTCTGGTGAACACGAATCGGGTCTTCCAGAAGCACAACATTTTCTGGGAGCTCGATTACCGGACCATGACCGAAAACATGAAGCGCGAGTGTTTTCCGGAGCTCTACACGGAGGCGGCGGAGCACGACCCCAACCAGTTTGGCGAGGACGGGCAGAACGTGGTGGAGGAGGCGCTGATCGCGTCGGAGCTGCACCCAAAGGTTCACACGCACCACTTCGCGCCCAAGGAGTTCATCACCGAGACGGAGCTGAAGGCGTACCAGGACAAAGAAAGGGAGATGGAGCTCGAAGACCCCAACACGCCCCGGCCCGCGGGTATGGATGTGTCAGGTTTGAAATCGTCAAAGTTGAAATAGTTTGTCATGCACAAAACGGATACCAGTTAGACCTACAGTTTGTAGTCGGTGCATGACAAATCTCCCCGGTCCTGGAAGCGAGTCTGTCATGCGGTTTAGGGCAAAGGAGCTGCCTTCTGTCATGCTAGTTAGCAGTCCAACTGTTGACCCTTACCAGGACTATAATCTGCCTCCCGTGGGTCCTCTGCAATAGAGTCACTTTTTGTGTCGCATTTTCTGCATTACAAATTATTTCAACTTTGACGATTTTATACCTGACGCTTCCATAGCGGGCTGGAAGTGCGGGATGGCCGCCGACTATCAAAAGGAAAAATCCCCCTTCCCCATACCGAAAAGGTATATTTTCGGAAATTTGTGATGCTGATTTGTGGCCACAAATCCCGTCTGTCTTGCAAGAAGGCAAACCCAGAAGGCCCCCCGCATTATACCGGCGGTTTGTGATGCTGTTGGACCTACAGCATCGACTTTTGTCGTGCTGAGCTCCTAGGCCAAAACCTCTCCCACTCAGGCTTGATGTGGGCCTGCAGTCCTCTACTGCAATACAGAGCTGATTTGTGACCCCAAATCTGCATCACAGATTTCCGTTTTGATATGGGGAGGGGGGGTTTTTCCTTTTGATACCGACCCGCTGCTCTCGCTCGCGGACTGGCTGCAGTGCGAACTCGAGGTGGGCGCCTGCGATTCCGAGAACTTGGACGAGTGCGACACCACGCGCACGCACTGGTTCAAAACCAACGAGCTTCCCTGTGATTACGGCCATTTCGACGAACTCAGCAAGAGCCAAGTGCGCACTTTGTACCGCGACCAGTGCAAGGCCCGGGAGCGTATAGAAATTTTTGCTTCTTTGGATCTACTACTGCACGTGGTCGTTTTATGGATCTTTTTGATTGTGGTTCGAAAAATTCCAATGTTGGTTCGCACCCGGCTGCGCGATTGGCATCTTCGAAGGAGCATCTTGCTTCACGACGGGTCAGGGTCGTGGTCCCAATCATGTTCTACCACCGAGCAGATCCTGCGTAAAGAATTTAAAAAAGTACTTATCGAAAAATGAATACAGTGGATTGCGCCACGACGCAGATTCAAATCGTGTTGAAAACGGTAGCGCGTTTTCAGTTCGACTATCTGTACCACGGTGGGGAGTGCTTCAAAAGTCCGGGCGAAGCGCCGGCCGGATTCCAGGACACGGTTCAGTTCGGCGAGCACATCCTCATGTACGACACCGCCGGTGTCACTCTTCAGACGACATTTGCGAACACCACAGGCATAACCGCCGGCCATGTGATCGAAGACAAGGGATTCGAGAGTATAAATAAGTAGTTCATTTTGATGACCGCGTGTTGCCCGCTACCGAATTGACTTTCTTACTTTCAATTGATTCAGAATGTTGACACTACTACGATTGTTCAGAAATGCTCCCCTACGTGAAGTACACCCGCTCTCTGTACTCTCCGGTGTCCTACAATTGGAAGGCTAACCGGGAGGTCTACGTTTTGCACGACACCGAGCACAACGAGTATTACGTCATGCTGTACACAAGCGGGGTGGACCGACGCGCCTTTACCGCCTCGAACTACCGTGATCCCAAGGTGGTGCCGAGTGGCATGCAGTTTTTGCGGTGCACGACCCGTGCGAGCTATCCTCAGGAGAGCGGGCATGGCGTCTTCCAGCTGGGAACCGTGCCGGTCCAGCCTCCTCCCGCGAATGCCACAAAGTCCCAGTTTACGATCAGAGCGTTCGTAGATCACATGAAAAACACGTGGATCGAAGCCACCGGACGCATGCCGCCTGAGGTTTTCATTTTTGATATCACTCGATATAAATGATACAACATTTTTGAAATGATAGTGTTTACTAATTCCTCCCATGATGCGCTTTTTTATGCAGCGTCGCTGGTTTTTTTGCCTTCCCCTTCCGCGAACAATATTTTTATCGCTGCGGATTGTGAAGTATAAACAATGAAATGATCTCCTGGGAAAATAATGAAAGTCTCACTTCAACAGATGCTGAAGACCTGTGGAGAGGAGCCGCAACACGTGGACGAGCAGGGCAACGTGGTCGAGGCGCTGCCTGTTTCGACCGGAGAAGTGGTGGAGCGCGACGAGGCGTCGTGGGAGCGTTGCGGCGCGTTCTACGGCCCGGACGAACCGACTTTACTTGGGGAGTCGTACTGCACACTGGAGCTGGGCAAGTGCGCGGACCCGCACGACGCGGGAGAGTTCTGCTTCAAGACGCGGTCCGTCCTGCTGGCTACGGACGCGGGGAACTGCGGGCAGGAGGGCTTCGAGGTGCTGCAGAAGGAAACCATCTCCGCGGACCTGGACGACCAGTGCGCGCGAACGCACACGCACACCTGTTCGGGCGACCACACCATCGTGATCAAGAAGCGCCACTCGCTCGAGGTGGACTTCATCGAGGTGGATGGCAAGTGTCTGAACCAGGGCGCTTCCCGCTACTCGCCCAGCCACGAAGCCTACCACTTCAACGAGCAGAAGGGAAAGTTGGACCCGCTCATCTTTGTGCCGGTGCGCCACGACTTCTACACCATTTTCGAAGACAACAAAAAATCCAACGCGGCCACAATGACCCCGAAGGATGCACTGGGCTTCTATGACCGCAAGCCTTACGTCGTCTACGAGCGAGATTTGGTGGACGAGATCCGGTGGATCTGGAAAACCGGACGCCACGTGTGGGTCATCGAAGCCGTTGGTGCGGGCATGTTCGTCATGCACCTGAACGCAGGTGCCACGCACAAGCAGTATGTGCTCGAGGACTTTCCGGAGCTGCCCACAAACTGGCGGCTCTTGCAGTGCCGCGCCGTGGCGTACGGCGGCGAGGGAGGCACGTTTGCGGTGGTCCCGACCCCGGTCCAGAGCGCCAAGTATCCTCGGTGCGAAAGTGTCGTGATATTACGTAGATAATACAACCTGCAACAAAGAGACCGCAGATCCGCGCCACAAAACAGCTCCGCACTCTACATAGATTTTTCACTATTTGTTCAACGAGTTCGGTGCATTTTCGGCTTCCTCGCAAGGAGGAACAAAACCCGGCGAGTGTCTGTGGTGTTTGCATTCTGTACTTTCATGCTTCTTATTTCCGACATTTTCGCAATGCATACCTGACAGAAGCGAACGATTTACCCGCTGCGGGGTTTCGAGGACGAGCTCGGGAACTCCTGGGTGGAGGCCCAGCGCTTTCCGGAGGAGATGCTGAAGACTTGCACGTTCCCGGCGATGGACGTGACCCGCGTCGTGGCGAAGAAGCAGGACGGCAACTCGTGCTGCGAGGGTAAGGAGGTGAACGAAACCGTTGTTGAGAAGTCCTTGGCGGGGCAGAAGGGCCGGTTCACCATGGGTCACGCCGAGTTGCCGAATTCCCTCATTTTGCCCACCGAGCCGTTCTCCAGTTTGGACTACCGGCTGGGGGAGCCGGTCATGGTGGACCAGTTCCGCATGGTCCAGATGGAGCTGCACCACCACCGACCCGAGGTCACGGAGGAGTGCATGCCGCACGAGGCCGCGCTGACCAATCCGGAGGACAGTACCCATTTCTACGCGCGTCAGTGTGCACTGGTCTGGGGCTACTGCACCGAGCTCAGCGAGGACGGGACGCAGTGCCTCGAGGGCTGGGTCTCCGAGTACCATTCCGTGGGACACCCCTTCGGCACGCCGCTCGGCGAGCAGGACGTGGTACGTCTTTGTGAAACGTGTTTGAAGACGTTATCAACTACCCGTGTCTTTACCTTTTTTTTACTACGTCTTATCTTTGCTGGTTTTTTCGACATCCACATGCATCCTGTTGCAGGCAACTTAGTTTTGCAATGCGCCGCGTAGCTAGCAGTAGTAGCAACTCTATCCAAGTAATCGAGTCAATCGCGCCAACGTAGTTTTTCCCACGCACGAAGTACAGCATGTACCAATCCGGTCGAAAATTGGAACTTTGTCATCTCCGACAATTCCATCTAAAAATACAAAAAAAGACGCTGTTGAATATCAACGAGACGCGGAACATGGAGCGACACGAGGACGAGCTGTTCGACCGGTGTAACAGCACTTTGTGGCGGCGGATCAACGTCGGAATGATGGAGCAGCTGAAGCGTGTTTCGGCAGCGGACGCGTTTCCCCGGAACAGCGGCGTCCGTCCGGGCACGCACCCCGAGTTCTTCATGAAGGATTCGATCTACCGCTTGATGAGCAGCCACACCTTGTCTGGGTTCCGCATGGCGCGTACGTACTGTGTGAAGAACGACAACGATTTGGACCGGGTGTACCGCGAGACCAGTGACATGGAGCTCCTGGTGAACGGGATTCCCTTCGTCCGCCGTCGCGCGGAAAAGGTGCGGTTCTGGGGCCCGATCGACCTGAAGCCGCAGGACTGGAGCACGATGCGCATCATGCCCTACCAGATGTTCGAGCGCAACCCCAACTGGAGCCGGCTGGACCGCGCGCGGCTCCCTCTGTTCGGGCGCACGTTCGTGAACGGCGCCCCGGTGCTGCACAAGCGGATCGACGACAAGGACGAGTTCTTCGTGATGATCGAGTACGGGATGCCCACGACGGCGCACATGATCCCCGACGACGACGTGGACGCGACGGGCTACTTTGCCAAGGAGTACCCCAACGGGATCTACAACGACGCCGAGCAGAACATCGTGGAGTACTTCCCGCGCGAGGGGGAGTGGATGGAGAAGAACGGGTTCACCTTCCGCGAGTGCGCGGGGTTGACGGAGCTGATCGTGGGCAAGACGGGCGTGTTCACGTGGTTCCAAGACGTCACCGGCAACAAGTGGTGGAAGGTGGAGCGCAGCCTGAAGCGCAACCGCCAGGTCATCGCCAAAATCGAGGAATGCTACCTCAACATGCAGACCGCGGAGGTGTTCCGGGGGGAGCTCAAGCAAATGAAGTGCGAACCGGGGGAGGAAAAGGTACGTGGTGGAAGAAGTGCTGTAATAGGACTATGAAGTAGAATGAATACAGTTTGCAGTTATTCTTATTTGCAATTTCTTTCAATGCCAAGACGTACGGTAGAGTGAACATGATTGATTCATTCGTCAAAGAAAAGCAGCGACTTGCTCCCGAAGCTATCCGCAACGCTGGCTTATGATTTTGTCATTGTCGTCGTCGTCCTCGTCCCTTGTCCTAATCGTTATGATTCACCTATATCATTTTTTCCAAAAAACGCAACACAGTGCGAATCCGGCGCTCCAGCGGTTCCGTTCCAGCGACCGCCTGTGGCCGCGCTACCGATCACCGAAGATTTTGTGCGAAGTGTCGACCGAGTCCTGAAGAAGGGATACGCCAACCTGAACCCGGGGTCGATGGAGCAGCGCTTCTTCGAGCTGGTGCTGGCGACCTTCCAGTCCGTCGCGGTGACGCGGCGGCTGCCACTGCAACACATCAACGTGTTCCCCTCGAATCCGGACCCGCAAGAGCAGGAAGCCGTCCTGAAATTGATGCAGGAGGTTTCGCAGTTTCTGGAGATAGGCGGCGCGATCTTGTTTCAGTGGACGGTTGTAGAGCACACGAAGTTTGACATCGTCTCCCGTAACGAATTCCAGACAAGATACGCCACCATCGAGTGGGAGGAGTTCTACCGCTCGGAACCGGTGCAGCACGGCCTGCTGAAGGACTGGATCGCGCAGCGCCAGATCGACAACGAGATCGAGGCCTTGCGCGTGCTGTACACCCACGAGGACGACGTTGAGCGCACGGATGGGGCGCGCGGCCGCATGGACGAGCAGGTTCCCGTGGAAGATTGGAACGAGACCGCGTCGTCCAGGTCAGGGGACATCCGGGATTGGTCTCTGCCCGGAGCTCACCTCGGCTCCATGATGGTGCGGGCGCTGTATTTGGAAGAATGTCAGAGTCCCGAACAGAACGGGTTTGAGACCACGCTGGAATGCGAGCAGGCGGTGCAGGTGGAAAAATTTGCGTCGATGGCGGATTTCTATGAAGCGTTACGAGAACTCCCGCGTATCTTGCTGCAGGCGCATTGTCGGAAAGAAAAGTGAAGAAAACACACATGTCGTGTCGGAAATTATTAGGCTTTCATCAGTTCTCTTTTAACTTTAATTTGATGAGTAAGTAGAATAAATGTACTGGGGTTCTTGTTCTGCCCACAGGACCTGGACCTCTGCCCCCTGAGTTAGCAGGGATGTATGTCATAATTGATCTGCAGTGCTGCGGCATAATGAACGAAGTCCATCATCAATCTCTTGCACGCAGATTTTCGGCATGAAAGCACGCAAGTTAAGAAAACCGTGCAGCGAGCCGACGGGGAGTTCTAGTACTTTTGAAACAGGATAATTTCCAGGACCAAGAACTGCAGGGGCACGGGCTTGTTGGTGCCGTGCGGAAGGAGCAGTTCTACTTTCACCTGGCTTCCAAGATGGGCTTGCAACCTCACCTGCACTACGCGCTGGAGGCGGAGTGCCCCCAGAGCAAGTACTCCGTCGAGGAATGCGTGATGATGGAGCAGAGCTTCGACCTGCACGAACAGGAAGACCTCTTTGCCACCTTCGACGTGACGGGGCTGGCTGACGATGTGAAGTCGCACGACCGGCTTCGCCACGACATGGAGCACCTGGCCGATTTATTTCACGGCTCGGTGGAGTCGGTGCTTGACCAGTTCGCGCCGGCCCTGCAGGCCGTCGCCTCCATGCTGACAATGGTCATGGCGTCGCTAGTCTTGCCCTCCGAGGACCTTACCACCCACGGCAGCCCCGAGGAGCAAGCACAGCTGCTGGAGGAGGAAGCGAAGCAGCAGAAGGCCCTCGCAGAGGAGGCAGCTTTGAAGGAGCAAGAGAGAGCGGCGCAACCTCAAAAGGGCGCGGACGGAGAGGAACACGATGAGGAGGACGCGGCTTCGTTCATGCAAAAGAAGTACGTCAAGGCGCGCCGGAGTTTCTTGCAAAAAAAGATCAAACAATTGACCAAGATGATGAACAGCGCAGAGTACAAGAGCCAAAAAGACGACCGGGTTTACCAGTACCTGGAGGCCGCGAAAACGCACTACAACGAAAATCTCGTCGTCGGAGCGCGATTCTACGCCAAAACACCCACCGGAGATGCCTGGGTCATGCACGATACAAACGAGGTATTGGCTTGAGTGCACACAGTTGTCATGGTCTGTGCAGCTTTTATACATAACCGGCCCTGAATTTTGCTTACTGACTTGTTGTCTTCTCGCGCCTCAGTAAGGGACAAGTGCAAGAGATATTTGCCTGAAGCAATTTGCTCATCTTCGTTGGTTATGCAAAACAATCTTTTGATCTTTGAAAATCAGGTTTACGAAGTGGATTTCGCTACGGGTCTTCCGTACGGCTGGCGGGAGCCACGACAAATGGATGAGGTGGAGGAGGAGGACGACACGTTCGAGGCACGCCGCGGCGGTTGGTTCGGCGTCATCTTCTCTCTGCTCATCGTTGTCGGCGTTCAAGTCGCAATGCTCATGTTCGTGCTCACACGTCCCGAGGGTAGCACGCAGGTCGAGCTTGGAAGTACAGGCGGGGCCAAGGCCGATGATGATTTAGAGGTAGCACTGCTGAACGAGGAGGAGGAGGAAGAAGAGGAACAGGCCGAGATTTCGTAGATTCGCTTGAACATCAGAACAACAAGAATGGATGTAGTGCGCAGCTAAATTGATATCAGTGAATCAGAAACAAAGAGGTGCCTGTATCTACGAAAATTTGACTCAGATTGACGCTTACGATTGTCTTGTTTACAGCAGGAAATGGCTGCTGGAGTTCGTCGAGGTGCTTGACAGATTTGCAGTTTACTCTTCCAAGAAAAAAAGCTTTCCTTGAGAGGCTTCTCAACCAGCTGGAAATAAATGTACACAGCTTCATACACAATGACCGTACCGAATTTCACACCGGATTGCAGAAACAGACTAGCAGCAGTTTACAAACTTTATGTGCCTAGATTGGTGGAGTTTTCAGTGAACGATTTGCAAAGCATCAACTACCACGTACGAAATTAAATATGGAGTCGAGACAAGCTTCAATACATAGAATTGTCGTAGCTCTCGCTGCTCTCCTTGCTTGCTTCTTAAAATTAAAATGTATCAACTCAATGTTTCACCTGGAATTGGAAAGTAAGGAAGTTACCTTGTATGAAAATGAGTAAGAATGTCACAGACTCAGGCAAGATCAAAAAGTTAGTAAAGAGAGTATCAAGGTGACACTACGACTTCCAGTTGCCGTCACGACGAAGTTCAAGCTGCCGCACCCCGGTCTCGAACCTCGCAAAATACTGACACGCACTGCTACGAATTGCTGTACCGATACCAACTTGGTTCTAGAAGTTCAGTTAGACATCAGTGTGAGGGAAGTAGCTACTGAATAAAACCCCAAAGAATGTTGATGGTCGGTTGACTGAATTGGGAAATAAGAAGACCTTTAACAGCGCTACGTGTACAATGGCAGACAATTACTAGATGCAGATAAAAAACAAGGTTGGAGGTAGTTAGCAAGTAATCTGGAAAGAAATGATAGCGCACGCGGATATGGTGTATCGACGTGGGACCACGATTTCATTTTCAAGTTCAACGGAATTAATAATTGTGCTTACATTAGCTGTTCCGAATGGCGAGAGAAAGGCGGAGGGAGGCTGAGAGAGAACGATGGGAGACAACAGATGCGTTTATCATCTGTACAACACTGTCAGCGACGTCATCAGAAGGTCGTGATGGATCCTTTCGAGAGCTACTTGCTGGAGAGATTCGTCTTCGTACCCACCTCATAATTTTATCGCATCAGGTATAAAGAACGCATTTTGAAAAATCCCCGTCCCATTTCGGAAAACGCCTCCATAATGGAAAATGAAACCTGACATCAAACAACGAAGCACAGTAGACCAGATAGAAGAGCGCTCTTCATTTTCTAAACCGCAAGTCGCATCAGGCAAAATGACGGATAACATCCCGGTCGGCGAGAGTACCGCCTACCCCGACCCGCGGCAAAAGGAGATGGAGCGGGTGGCAACGGAGAGCTTGATGTGGGAAGACCATTCGATTCAGACCATGCCGCTTAGGCAATATCTCGATACCCAAGTCGTCCCAACGCTGCTCCCAGGCCTGGCAGCCGTCGCACAGGAACGACCAAACAATCCGGTCGAATACCTAGCGCATTTTTTGATGGCAAACAATCCGAAGCAGAAAGCCAGACCGATTGTGAAACCGAAACCCGCAGAAGACGAAGAAGCGGGTATTTGAACGTCGATAATAATTAGTGGGGGTCATTGCATCTTCGCTGCATAATCAATAGGTTGAATCACCAGAATCACATTCATCTTCGTTCCGTGTGCATATCTTTGAGCGGATGACGGTGATGAAAAATGACAGGTTAACGCGCCGCACTCCATCGTGATGGAAGCTCTGCGACCTAGCCGGGGGAGTTGCGCAGCACCGAATTTGGTCGTTTTGGATTTCATCATTTACAATAAACTACTTCTGCTTGACCAGATTGATGTGCATGTTTTGGTGATCTGATCCTGATCCATCGCACAGCGCGTAATGCTATTCGATTTTACGAACAAAGGGAATTTCAAAGAGGAACAGGCAAGAGTCACGTCGTCCGTCTATTTGCGTAATAAAGCGTTGAATATGTGTTCTCACATGCTAGATTAAAGTATTGATAGCATCGCGGACCACTCGAGAGAGAACTTACTGTATGAAACTGCAAACATGCGAGAGACGGAAACCTTCGTACTTGGAAAGGATATTGTCATCGTGCCACCAGAAAGAACTTGGACACCAAAGTCGTGCAAGCAACCTTGTTTCGTAAATTGACATTGAACGTCCGTCGAGATAAAAGTATGACCTTTCGAACGCAACACACACACAGGACCAAATGGCTGCGTACCCCATAATTCCATTCTGTACGAAAATGTGTAACATAGGCAGTGACCAAGACCAATCACTTTCACTGAAATTCGCACGTTAGTAAAGTCTTCGAGTACTAGAGGAATCAGCACTATAGTTATAGCACAGAAATGGCAGCAGCTGCTACCGTAGCGGCATCGTCCAGTATGGCGACGGCTTCGTCTCCTGAGGCGCCCGTGGTCGTCTCGACAGCGCAACCATCTGCAACCGCGGGTGCTGCCGCAATGCAGCCCGCTTCGACGACAGCAGCACAGGGTTCGACCACTACGGTGGTCTCCTCTGGAACAACTTCTGCCCATAACAGCCACTTGACCAGCATGTCCGAATACGAGCGGTATGCGAACATGCTGACCAAGCAGGCGCAGACCTTCCGGGACGGGAACGCAAGGTGTAGTCAGGAGCTGTTGCGACAAGGAGAGGACGCATTATTGCTGTTGAAAGCCGAGAAAAGAAGGGAACAAGCGTCGTTCACTTTTCAACCGCGAATCTTCATGCCGTACCAGATAGGAAAATATGACGCGTCCGCTGCGAAAGCGGCACGGAAACTCGAGGAAGAAGCGAAGGAGAAGAAGCGTCTAGCGGCGCCCCCGGTGGGGCTGAAATTGCCCGATCCAACGATCAACACGGCGCCCTTGCAAAAGAGAAAAACCTACAATCCGTCGAACGCGACGGTGACCGAGCAGAACAGAAGGCGGCTGCAGATGCACGCAGACATGTTGAACGCTGGAAGTGCGAGCTCTCGAACGGTGGTAATCTCCGCCCAATCATCTAATGCGCCAACGCCCAACACGACTCCCAGTAGTGCGACTGCAAGTACAAGTTCGTCTTTTCCGGTGTCCAAACTCGCGTTTCCGACGGTGGTGTCCTCCTCGTCCTCAACACAGGCCGGGCCACAGCGAGCGAGGCTGTCTACGATCCTCGAAACTCGGGCGATGTCGCCGCCTCCAAGTGCACATTTGGCAGGGGCGGTCGCAACAAATACCATCGGGGCGGGAGGAGCGTCATCGCTGACCATTACGACGACGCCGTCCTCTGGGCCAATCACTTCTGGGAGCAAGACCTCCTCGTGTTCGTCAGGAGGCGGTCCTGCTACAAGTTCTGTCGTCACAACCCGACAACATGTGCTCATGGATCCCGCTCTTCAGCGGGGGCGCGCGCCGTTTTCTGCCCACCAAAACGTCGGCGTGCGATTTCAGAGCCCACCGGAAACAGGATCTCGCGTTTCCTCGAATTCCCTACCGCGACGAGCAGTCGGCGTCCGGCAGCTGATGGCTTCGCAGATCAAAAACGCGGGGGTAACGATTTCCTACAAGGTGCCGCTCCCGATTTGCAACCTTTCTCCCGACTCAGCAAGCAGCAATCTACCCACTGGTAACTTCATCGTTTCGAAAACAACACGGCGCGTGGTCCGTCGCGCCGGCGCGCCGCCCGAGGGCGAGACCTCATCGCCGACGCGGTTCATTCCGGCGAGTCGAGGGCGTGACACGCATCCAAATCCCCCACCGTCGCCTACGGGGACGAGAATTCAACACGGGGACAGGTCACCAACAACGGTGGTGCGGTTAGGAGATCACGGAGTACAACAACCCGGCAGGCAGAGCACCGTTTTCAAACCAATATCACCCGCCTCTGCCGGCCAAATAACTTCTACTTCTACTAGCGTACTCGCTGCCTCCTCTCTACTACCTTCGCAGAACGCCAAGGACCTCTACGTCGAAAAAATCGGTGGGCAGGAACTGCAACATCCGGCAATCGAAAGTTCCGCTGCTTCGAGTACCACCGTGACTAATGATCAGGAACACCACCACCAGATCGAAGTGGTGGAGGACAGAGGCCCAGACGTGTACTTGTCGGAGCATCTCCTCCGCCAGTACTTCCAGGAACTGCGGGAGGAAACCGACTCTAACACCGTCACTTCGACGTCCGAAGTCGCGGATTTCTACCTGGACATCGTCAGTAACGCGACCAGTGGACACGACAGTGGTTCCGCTTCTTCCGCCGTGGAGTCCGCCCGGGGCCTGATGTTTGCGACAAACCGAACCACCACACGGTACCACTACCGGCGAGGCCGCGCCAGGCGACGGCAACGCCACAGACACGGCTCAACGTCGGGGACCTGTGGAACCGGGTCGTCGAGATCGCACTCCGTGCCGCTCGATAAGCACCAGTCGAAGGATCTGGAATGGCTGGACGGGTTGGAACAGCCCCTGCATCTCGCGGAGCTACCAGAGGAGATTCTGTTCCTGATCTTCGACTACCTGTCCCACAAGGAGAAGTTCTACGTCTGTATCGCGTCCAGCCGGCAGCTCCCGCACGTCTGGGGCGTGGTGCTGGTCTTCTTCAGCAAGGCGCTGCAGGGATTGCAGCAGCAGTGCGAGGAGCAGGGGGTCCTCACCGATATCGCATCCACGAAGCAAACCGACGCGCAGCAGGAGTGGCAGGAAGCGATCGCGACGCGGAGGATGATGTGCGAGGATGTGCGCCGGTTCGACAGGAACACGGCCCGATTTGAGCTGGACTTGGCGGAATTACTGGATGTCGAGAACGAGCGCATGGCAAAGTTCCAGGCTGCCGTGCAGGTGCTGGCGGAAGTGATGAACCGCTGGTCTACGATGTGCCGCGAACGCGACGAGACGGCCCGCATGTGCTCCGGGTTTCACGCCGCGATTGCAGTCACGTTTGCGATGTGAAGTGTGAGCGTGGCATCGCGTCAGGTGTCTTTGCGTGGAAGATTGATACGACTAAAAGTAAAAGTAACCTAAAACTATGTAAAAATCACAGAACTCGTCGTCGTCGCTGAGGTAGAGCGATACAACATCAAGATGTGTTACAAAGTCAATGTACTTGACTGTGACTACACAATCAATGTACTTGATAGATCATGTGTCACAAAATCAATTTTTTTGTTTTGAAAATTTTGCCAACGTCAAATATGAAGTCTCGTCATCTACCCTTTTGGAATGAACAAAACACGACGTGTGCAATTGAGCATGAAGAATGTATGAACCCCTGGTGGCGCTCAGTTTGTTTCTGTTTCGATCTGCTATGAACTCAACGCACTACAGCACGATAAAATGAAAATTCTGTGCGCAAAAGAGCTTTGGTCATAGTCGTGAACTTTTCCACAACCCCAGTCCGCATTTTGTTTGCGTTTACAACAACTATCTTCGCTCCTTCTACCCTCCCGTTTATGAGGTTTTCTTTTCCGCTAGAGAAGGCCGCTTGGTGCACCATTGATTCGAAGAACTTTTTTACTTTTGGAATGAATTTTCTGAGTCCGATTACTTTTCTTTTTCGAATTTCGGAAGATATGAATGTTTTTCTACCGGGTTAGTAGAAATCATTGTAAAAAATCTTGAGAAGAAGAACGAAATCGCGACTCGTGGCCCGTTGCGGTCCTCCATCGCTTCGCTTGTTTTCTGCGTGTCTCGCATGCTCGTATTGCACGCGACAGTTGTGCAGATGATGTTCAATTTTTTCGGTTGTGTATCTTACTTTCCTTGGAGATTGATGATGCTCAAGGAAGATGCTGGAGGATCTTCACGAGGTATAACCAACTTGAAGTTGAGCGAAACGATTTTTGCAGCCGGAACTACAACATTGTGTGCATTAAGGCAGCGCGATGACCGCCGACTAATCAGCAGAACATCAAAAGTAAAAGTGCAGTTTGGAAACTACGCAATTTTTTGAATTCGATCGTACATGTTGTAGAATTTATCGAACATCAAGATCATCCACAAGCAAGCAAGATGGAAGCCTACAGGCGTTGCACTCTGCAGGAGGGCTTTTTCGATGCCATGAAGTACAACCACAACAGGGTGCGGTAATTGGAAAGGCGTCTTCGCAGCCACAGTCATGGAGGCAGAAGCGCTGCAGACGTACCTCGCGGAGCACCACGTCGAGGACCTGGTGCTCGAGTTAACGGAATCCCTCCTAAAGGAAAAACCCCTGCAGCCGAAGAAATTTCTGCTGGGCAAGCTCGAGGAGGAAATCGGAGATGGGCATTCTCGGCGAGAATTACCTTCTTTATCTTTGCCCGGAAGCAACAACATCATGGACGTTCCGAGTCAGTATCTGAAAAGGTAAGTGGAGATGAGAGAAGGACAGGCGACGTGTTGATTGTGCGTAGTTTCTTGCATTGACACTTCTATCTCCTAAACCGATCCCAACTCATCTTCACAGACTCTTCGAGTCGACGCGGAGCATAACGGCCGAGATCGTTCCGAAAGAGACGATTAACATCATCATTGCTGAAACGGCAAAGCTTCTGAACTGCGACCGCGTGAGCCTGTTTGTGTGGGACAAGAAGATTGAGATGCTCATTCTCACCGCTTCGAACCTCGCGAAGCCCATCCGCGTGCAACCGGGGCAGGGTATCGCGGGCCACGTGTTTGAGACGCAGGAGACGGTCAACATTCCGGATTGCTACAAGGACCCCCGGTTTGACCCGGGGTTTGACCGGCTAACCGGCTACCACACAAAGTCGCTGCTCGTCATGCCCATTGTGGACTTCGAAAATGAGACCGTTGGGGTTTTGCAAGCCATCAACAAGGCCGACGGCGGGATTTTCAGCGCCATCGATGAACTTCTCCTGGGACACTTAACGCAGCATGCGGGGATCGCGTTAAGGAACGCGGAGGTGTACCGGGACGCCATCGTGGCGTCGGAGCGGGCCAACGGGTTGCTCCATGTGATTCAGGCGTTGTCGCAGGACTTGGGGACGCAGAGCACGATTTTGACAAGTATAAATGGACAAGTTTTACTTTTGTGTGGATTGATTGTTTCAGCTCTTTCCAGCGCTGAGAGATGAACTTTTGATGTGTAGTACTATGTATCACGCATGTTGCGAAATTTTGCATCGTGCTTCCCCCCATCATGCTTTTGATTTACAGTTACCATGCACGCTTCGGAGTTGGTTCAGGCGGACCGGTGTACGGTCTTTTTGGTAGACGATATGCAGTGCAAAAGTATCGTACTCGTATAAATGCATTACAAATTTCCCTAGCATGAGAAAAAAATTTGTAATGCGGATTTGAGTTAACAAAAAGAAAAAGATTTGTAATGCAAGACTTGCAATACGAGTACGATACTTTTGCACAGGATAGACGAAAACAAGGACCAACTCTGGAGCGTGAGTTCGGACAGCGGAAAGGAGATCCGGATCCCGCGGACTGCGGGGATTGCGGGGGAGTGCGCAACCGACAAGGTGATGATAAACATTCCCGACGCGTACCAGGATTCGCGATTCAACCAAGCCTTCGACAAGAAGTCCGGTTACCACACCCAATCCATGCTGTGTGTGCCAATACGAAACAGCACCGAGACAAAGGTAGAGGTCTGTTTGGTTCATAAATTGGTCGTGGACAGAACTATGATGGAGCTCGTTCTTGAAAAAACACGTACTTCTGAATACAGGAAGTGCGGTTCGTGGTTGTGCGAGCAAAGAGTGACTTACAGGCACTAGTTGGCTAGCTTCCGCGGGAATACTTATGAAAGTTCGTGATTTATTGTCAACTGCTTGTCGTCCCACAGGTCGTCGGCGTGATCCAGATGATCAACAAGATCGAAATTGACCAAGAGATTGGCATTTTCACCGACGATGATGCGGAGGTGCTGGAGACGTTTGCGAAATTCGTCGGCGAAAAGCTGCAGGAATCGTCTTCGTTGCTCACGGCGCACCCGGGCGGCGGCAAGGCAAAAAAAGATTTCATCAGCGAAACGGGCGAAGCCCAGGCAACGATGAGTCCGGTTTCGAAACAGCGATCGTCTGGGTATGCCCAGTCAAACATCATCACAGAGGAGGAAGACGATGATGAACAGGACTGATTGATAAAGATGTACTATGGCTTTGCGCACCATTTTGACGCATGGAGTCTTTATTTCCATGGCGATTTTGCCGGAATCAGAAGTCGTGATAGTGCCGCGACAGCAAGATGAAAATACAAACAGATCATCTACTGATCGAAGAACGCGTGTGGTCATTTGCAATAAAAAGCCAATTCCTCGTACCAACCTGCTGGTGAGTATGTAAAGAGAACTAAAAAACAAAGTTGAGTGAAGAGTGAGCGTACTTTTTTGGAGCGAAAATTAGTTTAGTGAAGCTAGTTGTAAGTAGTAAGAGTAAAAACTGAGGTTGATGCCAGCCAGCGAGCTGTACAAAACTGATTCAAGTGATGACTTAACGTCTGACGTCGAGGAACATTCCTTGCCTCCGTCCCTGCCCGCGCCGACATCATCCCGACGGACAAACACGCGTAAGAAACCCGCCCCAGCCCGCGGCACTGTAAAGAAGCCGAATATTAAGGACAAGAATTCGGGTCAGAAGACGAAGCCGGGGCGCGGGGGTGCCAAGCCGAAACAGACCGCGACGACGCAGGAATCATAGCGCCCGTGCTCGGAAGCTACGCTGTCGGTCGGTCTTTATGCTTTTTTTGCATGCCATTCATGTTCATCATTTAGGACCCTAGTATCTGAGCGCCCTACTGGCCGTGTCGATATTCTCGTACGATTTTCAAAATCTTCGTTGGTCTGTACCAGAACGAGAAGTGATAGATCTGCTGACGCTCGTGATCTCGTTTGTACAAAAAGCTCTTCTGTAGATGTACTTAGCTGTGTCGGAAGCGATTCCATGTACAACAGAACTGTGCGTATGCAAAATGAGATGCTCAATAAAAAAAGTTCCTTTGTCAACCAGCGATCATCTGTGCCACTTTGTGTGTCGTGACCACATGAGCACATTCTCCAAATAAAAAACACTTCCCAATGAAATTACGCAGGACACAGGATGCTGATGCTTCGCTCTGGCTAGTGGTATTTAACTCAAACACCGCCAAGATCGTACTCTCAGGCTGTTCGCATGGTTTTTCTCCACTTACGTCGTGTATCCGTGGCTAGGATTCTTTTTTTGTTTTTCGTTCTTTTTTTACTCTACCTGCTGTAAGCCTTCCGACGCTACCATACCTTGCCTTTCCTGACCTAGTCCCATTCCCGCACCTAGATTTTCTCTATGCATATGTATTGACGTCCAACACTCATGTTTGCATTTTTTTGTGCCTAGTCCCTTTGCAGTCATTCTTCAGAAACCAACGGTAGAAAAATGTCTACACGATGTTCTTCCTCGTCCCCGGCCTTCCAGCCCCGCTCCATGCTCGGCAGGGCTTATTGCTCCAACCTGCTGGTGGTGCCGCCGGGTGACACGGGACCTACTTCCGAGCTGCGGGTGTAACTGCTACCGGAGAGGTGTCGATGAGTACCGCGAGTGCACCAAAGAGGCCAAGTAGCTGGTTTGGCCCTTTTGACGGCATGAACCCCGCCCGACGGGCTACTGTTCGGGACGTGTGCGCGACAAAACCGATCTCCGCCCAGAGGGTGTTCGTCGACGAAAGCTGGTCGGCATTTGGGCCCGATGACGAAAGCTGGTTCAACCGGTTTGCCCATCTGGTGGTGCCGATTTGACCTGTTGGTCTTCTGCGCGAAGGTGTTCCGGGTGTTTCGGCAGCTGGCCTTTTGCGCGATGGCGTTCCGGTGTGACCTGCTGGTGGTGCCGCCGGGTGAAACGGGACCTCCTTCCGTTTTGCCGTCTTTTGTTGTACCTGTTGGTCTTTCGCACGGTGGTATGGTGCCCCTACGCATGTGCCTCGCCTAACCTGTCCGACCCCGGAGCTTACGTGGGTGATACGACGCTTTCTCCACAGACACGATCTACGGGCTCTACCTGCATTCCTGACCGCCATGGCCCCGGCTCTGCATCCGCTGCTCCGACTTCGATACCCCCGCTCCGGTTTGCATCTGCCGGTCGCCGTGTGGGTTTGATGTTGACATGAGGATGGTGAGCTTTATTTATCGGAACTTTTATAACTCGAACGCCCGACGAACGCAGAGGAACAAGTTTAAAACCAGTAAAAGCTTTTTGTTGTCTTCCTCCGACTGCTAGTGGTAGTGCCGCCACTAGTTATCTTTTCTATAAAAGTCCTCCTGATAGTTCAAGTTGGCCCGTCTCGCCTGGTCCGCATTGTAAAACCTAATGTATTGCTATCTCCCCGACCGAAAGCTCCGCATTACTTTACTTTTTGTTTCATACGACTGCGCCTGTGCATGTCTCAGCACTTGCGCTTATCGTGGTAGGATATTGCTTGTGGTAGGATATTGCTTTTGAATGGACTATCATCCCTGCTAGTTCTTTTTGACCCGCCTCGCCTGGTCCGCATTGTAAATGCTATTGTATTATTCCCTCCCCGACCTAAAGCTCATTTGCTCTGCCCGTATAGTATCTTTATAGCTGCTAAAACTCGTAATGCATAGAAAAACAAAAGACCCGAGGTATATGCTGGTATGACTTTTTCGTATGCTTTCGCAGAGCCGCATCCTCTGTGATTCCGTCCTTCCTATGTATTTCCATAGCTGTTTCCGAGCCGCTTTTTTCGGAAACGCTATGATCGCTCGTCCTGCCAACATTTGTATTCGTGGAGCCGCACCCTCCACTGCTTTGTACCGGCGCCTCATTGTATGATGTGCGAGCTGGGTACTTTGCTTGGCATTTCTCAGAGATTTGTAGATCCCCGGAAACTTTTTTTTTCTCTTATCGATCTACATCTTCTGTAGGGTTCACGCAGTTCTGTTAATTCTAATTATTCTACGACTTTCATGTATGCACGCACAGATAGCTGGTACCCCTATTTGGTACCCTGTTTCTGGGGTACCCGGGAGCCGTTTCCTCCCTCGCTGGGTATAAGCGAATTCGCCCGTAAGGGTCCCGTCTCGGCGGAATGAAAAATGACACAGAAGCATGAATAGACATGAAAGAAGTTTCGATTTGGGAGCGGAACAATCTTGCGCATGCTTGAGAACGCAAACAGTTCCGGAACGATTTGGTACGAGATGCTGGAGGATTATCGCCAGCATCGGCTTGCAGAACTCCGTGTTCCGTGGGTCCCTGATACGATCGTTTCACAGTGGAACAAGCATCCAAGCAATGCAGACCTGATCAAAATAAAGCGCTGTAGCCGAGCCGAGGATGAAGATACACGTGTGGGCTGCTACGTGCCTCAAATTGCAGGTCGTATCATGGATCATCAGGCCAAAGACTGGCCATTTGATGATTTCAAGGCCGCTATAAGCCAGCCTTACTTTGGAATCGATTCCATTTTCGCGTTTATTCCGGCCCGGACACATTTTGAGTTCCTCGAACTTCGTTGAACTTTTGTGGTGAACGAAGAGAAAAAATGCAGTTACAAAAGGTTGCTATACCGCGTAGTCCACCGCCACTGAAGGATGTCGTCCGGGAACTGGTTTTGGAACGAGTGCTCGTGATTGCGGTGCCTGCCGGCCGGTGCGTGGCTTCGGCTGTAACAGGAGGTGCTTCTTGGTCTTCGTCAAGTGAGCTGAGCTACTTCGCGGCGGATGGTGGGCACCAGCCGTCGACAAGCGACCGAAGAAACTTGTCGCTCCCAGAGACGCCAAGCCGCGGCGCAAGTGGGAGCAAGACTCGTCTCAGTGACAGCGATGTTGAAGGGCAGCAGCGGGTGGCAGAGACCGGCAACAGCTGCGAAAACGACGCTGCCGAAGAGAAGGTGGAGGCGAGCGCGAGCAGGAACGTTGCGGTGGCCGAAAGAAAGCGCCAGCGCCGACATCACGACGTGGAGGACCCGGCTGACGCGTTTGTGGCCAAGGAAGGCCGTGCGTGGCTGGCCGAACAGGAACATGTTGAGACGATGAAGCCGCTGCCACATCGTGCCCGAGGAAATGAGCTACTGGCTTCGCTAGCCGATCTGAACTCGCCATCTTGCCGTCGCATCTCGAGTTTGTTGGCGAGTCTGTGCCTGTTCCAAAAGAGCACGACGAACAGCGGTGATGTCTTTTGGGTTTCGCTGGAGGGACTCTCTTTCGCGATTTCGCTAGTAGCGGAAAACAAAAGGATCCCTTCTTCGTCTGCTCCAGCATCTCCTGCACTTCCGTCCCCAGGGCACCAGAAGAAGGCACCAGACGGACCTGTCGAGTACATCGTTGCCTTTGCATTTTCGTCTTGCACGACGAGCATAATGGACCCCGACGTGTTTCCACACCGTATGGAAACCATCTTTCTGCATCGTGTCTTTCACGAGATGTGCGTTCGCAGTGTGCACTTCGGGCCCGAGCATCAGATTACAGACGCGGTCGCGACGGCAAACAGACTAGCGCACCAGCGGTCGGAGAACTACACGGTGCACAGTATGATGCCCGAACAAGAGCAAGTGGAAGAAAAGGGACGAAACCCGCTCGCCTCTGCCCGCGGCGAGGAGCCCGACCGTCAACAGGAATTACGCAATGGAACGCTGAGGAAATTTGTGTGTTCTGGCACAGTCGCTACTACACCGCACAATGCCAGCACAATTGCGATGATACCTCCAAAGACCACTGCAAATTTTGGTTTGATCAGAACAATGCAGAATTCTCTGCTGCAGCTGCAGTCACTTGGTCAACAATTTTCGCATGCCAGAGTACTGTCGCTCCGCGCACCTTCCGTCAGCCTGGATCCGGACGAGAGCGATTTCTACGAGCACCTCGTCGTGCTCAACACGGGCGTAAAGGACGCCCAGACGGGGAAGCAAGTACTCGGACCGTCGAAACTGTTGCAGTTCTTATTCACTGCGATGCGGGACCGCGAGAGCGTCCGTGAAGGCGTAAAGAAGGCGGTTGCTACTGCGGAGAGGGACAAAAGCAGTCCTGCGAGTTGTGATGATAAATGCCAGGGTGGGCTGAAGAAGACGCACGACTGCCCGGATGTCCAGCTGCTTGTATGGCGTCGCGTCACCCCTGTTCCGCCGAAGACAGCGCCGCCGATCGCTCTATCATTGGTTGCAGGTTTCAGGCAAGCTTTTGATACTCCGGAAATGTCAAGCCCGGAAAGCGAAAGTCGGAACCGGAAGCGGGAGAGTGACCCGGTGTCACGCGCGACGATGCCTACTTCTGCCTGGTCATTGCATGCAGATGTTTCCTGCAAGTCCGTGACGGCGTCCGTGATGAAGGTTGCGGAGCAGGAGTCTGCTGGCGCACAATTAGGTTCCACTGAGAAGAAAAGGTCTTGTTGGACGCAGGTTCTGAATCTTCCGGGAGAAAATGGAGAAGTCGGGCACATTGAATACTGTGCGTTTCTAAACGCGGAAGATCTTTATTCTGGCGGACCCAAGAATTCGAGGACCGAGTTGCTGGGTGCGGAGACCAGTGAGGTTCTGAGAGAAGTCACGTCTGCCTTCCAGACTCTTGTCACGGGAAGAAATTTTAGGGCAAATAAGGCTGACAGTGACGTCGTCGAAGATGCAGCGGATACGAAAGCGGACGGTGAAAAGACAAGACGTCAGTTTGGTGCTAACGAAGAGAAAGACGATGAACACGAACATGTCTTTCAAGCTGAAGCCGTAACGTTGGAAAAAGCGTTAGGACCTCTCGTAGATGAAAAGGGAGAAATGCAACAGGACCGCCCGGGTGGTAGCAACGCTTCAGCGCCAGAAGAGGCGAAACCCGCAAAGGCGCAAGATAGTACTGCTGTTTCCCAGGCTGCTGCCGAAAATGAGTATGGAAAGCTGCCGCGCAACATTGCTGATGAAGAACCGGAAAAACTAAGCGAACTGACGCAGCCGATGAATATCGAGCCGACGCCGATGGACGTAGACGCAACGCAGCACGTTCCAGATACGGAAGTAAGGAACTCAAACGAATCAGGACCAGCAGCAGATGTAGATCCGGAGGGTTCTGTCACTAAAGAAGTAGGAGTAACAGAGAAGGCGTCTGAAGATGACCGCGAGCGTGACCACGTGCAACCAGACGCTGGCGGATCTCGTCAAGAAAAAAAACTCGCACCAACTATTAACAGTGCTGAAATACAGGAGGCGACACAAGGACATGAGGACTTCAAGGGACAAGCTGTGGTCGCAGGGGACGACGAAGTACTCGCGGCGTCAATGAAAAAAGCAGACTTGGAGGTGAAGAAGCCAGAGATTGAGAAGCGCGAGCAAATTACAGTGGCATCTTCTTTCATTTCCGAGAGCAGCATCGCTGAAGCGCCCTCATCTCCGGACGTCTTATTTTCTGCTGCTCCACCGGAAGCGACGACCCCTCCGAGGGAAGCTCCATTAGTGTCCAACACAGCTCCTTCTGCCAGTAGTTCCCGGGACCAGTACAATGTGCATCCGGACCGCACGGCGAAGAAGGAACTCAATTACCACGACCGCACCGAGGGTCACCGGCAGCAGCAACAGCGCATCAATTTTACCGGTCGGCCCTCCCCCACAGTGAATGCAATCGCGAACAAGCAGCGCGGCCATTTGAACATTCTGCAGCCGGCTTCCAAACTCATTAGCTTGAGCAGTTCGTCTTCCAACGACGAAGCGACCGCGACAGTGAGAGCAGCTGCACCGCTACAGGATAGAAGACAACACGCTCCCCCGCCGGGGCTCGTTGTTTCGTCTTTCAGCGCGCCGAGAACTTTGACACGAAGTGCGCACTCACATTCCAACTCAGCGTCGAAGCTGCAGGCTGAGGGTCAGGTACTTGTTGCTGCGCATGATCCTAGTAGCGAGAGCCAGGTGCAGCTAGATGAGCCGCGTCCTCGTAAGGATGATCGAGATCAAGCCATCTTCACGGTGGATCCTGATGACCAGTCGTCCGCCATCATTGGAGTAGTCGAACCTATGCCTCCACCTTTGCCGCTACGGCGTGATCTCCCGCGTTCTCTGGAGCCGGTTGTGCGCCCGGCGGGAAACAGCTTCGGTCTGTGGATGGGTCGCGAAGAAGAGCAGCCGTCGCCACCCCGCGGTCGCTCCCGGGAAGTCGTCGTTTTACCTCGGATTTCGCAGCAGGTGAAATCCAGCACGCTACCAGCAAGGGGACCACCCGATGGAACATCAATGGGCTATAGTGACTTATTCGGGAGTAGAGGCGCACCAGGGACCTTTCAACCACACCATCTAGCGGGTAATGGTCTACTTCAAAATGCAGCTCCCAATCCCAAAGTTGTCGCGCCACCTTCTGCCGTGGCGGCGTCTTCGTTCCCGGGTGCCACGAGTGGCGGAAGCGGAGGTGGGGAACTGCGGAGTATGAAACTGTACCCCAGTCTATGCAAGAAAAAAACTATGTGAGTGTAAGTCTGTGATGCAAAAAATGCAAAACTGTCACACTTGTGATGCTGGATGTGCGTCATAGGCTACTTCCATACGTGTTTTGGCATGCTAATTGCGCATGACAGGTTTCCCCTGTAATGCAAAGCGAATTTGTGATGCTGCTCTTCCTACAAAGTTACACTTACACAGCTTTTTTCCTGGATACAGTCGCGGACTGATTCCGCGGCCGCCAAGTCAGCCAAGGGACTCCACGAAGAATCGCTCTCTGAGCAACGGGCAGCAAGTGGTGGTTGCGAAAAATCCACGCCTTGCGAACATGAAGGTTGTTGCAGGTGGGAGTGCCAATAGCACCAACGACTGAACCGACATCTTCAAGGCCGCGCCCCTTCTTCGTGCATTCAGGCTGTAGAAAACCACAGACGATCAAATTTACAGTTGGAATTATAAGCGCGTGAGAATGTGTAATTCAGATGAGATTGGAGCCGTGTGCAGATCAGTATGATGTGAGCCCGAGGACAGAGGTAGTCCTCGTTGTTCTTGATCCAAGCGGTGGTCGGTTGGTTGCGTAGGATCTCGCGTGTTCATGTGTCTTCGTGTCGTCCCAGTTCACAGTTTAGGGCAGCACGCCCGGTCCAAGGATCGGGCGCGAGGAAATTCACACCCCCTCGCCCTTTTGTCAGTGTGCAAAGTTGACACAGTTTCAGTTATTTCTGCCGCAGTTTCGAAAAAGTTGACCCTCCTCTCCCAACCCTGGGAAGGAAAACGCAAGTTGCTGGTGCCAGTTGTAGTTTGTGTGGTTGCGTCGCGTTGTTGTGGTTTGCGTCCAGTTTTCCTTGCCATCTTTTTGCGCCCTAGCGCCGTGCGGCGAGGTATGGAGTCACTTTGCGGCTGCGAATTGGCGTACGCCGGGAATGGCTGCCTGCCACTTCTTTCTCGTTCTGGTTGGCTTGGGGGGGTTTTTGCAATGTCTGCGAAGACTGGTTTCTCCGCTTTCAGCAGGTGCCGCTTGCGCTGCGTGGCAGTGCAGTCGCGGGGTGCGTGTTTCGCTTGTGTTCTGAGGTGGAATTTGTGAAAGGAAGATCATCTTGGAAAAGATCGCATCAAGCTCCGTTGTCGGGTCCACATTCGTGGCCAGACTTCGGGCACGCACAGAGACTCCTACTTCGCTGAATTGCACTCGTTTGCAATCCTTTCCGTCGCCGGCTCTGCCAATGGTATCCGGCGACATCAAGGGATCGAAACGAGCCGAAAACTTCACTATTAGCGCGATGTATGAAGCCAGGCAATTTTTTTGACTTGCCTTGCTCGTATGTTCACCACGGTTTAGAAGGAATTCATAGGCATTGGTCGCCCGTCTTTGATGCGTCGTTGTGAAATCGTGGCGCTCAGTCAATGTTCGTTCACTCGTCTCGCTTGGGCGGTTCAAGCGAAGAAGCCAAGCACGTCGACGTTATCGTTCCCTCCTCGTCTGCATTCGTACGCGTTCGTGTCTTTGCATGGAACTACGTTAACACGAAAAACAAAATCCCAGATCTGTCCATTTCCACTCCCTTTCCCCCCCCGATGCATATCGTTTTCGTTTCTTTTTTCTTTGTTCAGCTCAAAAGTCGTCTGCTTGCAAACGCAAAGCAATCCCAGGTTGATTTCCTCTGACAACCTGCCCCTTGTTGCTTTCACAAGTTTATTTCACCCAGACTGAGGTACGTACCATGAACATGATTACAGATACTTTGCTTCGCCAGGCCGGAAAGTGTAGTTTTCCGTGCTCCTCCACCTACTTTGTCAGGTGTTTTTTGTTTTTCCTTTTATCCTCAGACAGAGTTATTTCCGAGTACAGTTTACGTGTAACGGCCAACAACAAGAATAGTGTGACTCAAGAGCATTCTTCAGGTCGTCCGCTGGGTCGCGGGAAGGAAAAAGTAATTTCGAGGCCGCGGCGTTCGTCTCTGCTTGCATCCGGCAGCGGAGGACAAGACGGAAAAAAGGCGAAAAATATTAGAGATGTCCTTCTACGCCCGTCCATCAAGCCAGAACCTCCCACTCTCGCACCTCTGTCGCTTCTGGAGAGAAAGCGAACAAGCAAAACCAAGGAAGGGTGCGTCAGTGTGGAGGTGGACGAGGGGAAGAACGCAACTGCAGGCACTAACGGATCTTCAGCCGAGCTTGCAACAACATCGAGCAGCTCCTCCTCTTCTGCTGCTCCCGAGGGCGAGGACGAAACAAGTCAAGATGTGGGTACAAGTGAAGAGAGCAGCACATCAAGTTCTACAGATGTAGTAACCTGTACGAGAATTTCGGTCGGCGCCTCTGCGCATGCTTCCGCTTCTTCACCGCCCGAAGTCTTTCAGGACGCCTTCAACGTGGTTTTTGTGCCCTACAACACCGCTGCATATGAAAAGGCAGGGACATCCTGGATAGAGTACATCGAAACGTTGAAGGACGAGCTTGTGAAACTACCGCAGTTTCAGCAGGAAGCTAGCCACGTCAACTTGTTTCGCGTGGACGAAATGAAAGATGCTGTTCCGTTTGTAAGCGGAACGGACACGGGGGCGATCGCGCAGAAAACGAACTGCTCGTACAACCCGGAGCACATACCGACGTCCGGCGCTTGGACGATTGAGGAGAAGCAGCAGAGCTACCATGTCACCTGCAGCGACTGGAACGAGGTCTATACCTTCGCCCGCGATAGCGGCTGCCACGCGACCGGGCAGGCCCTCACCGTCGGGCTTGTGGTGCCGGTGGAGGAGATGAAGGAACAAACGAACCTCTACGCAATCGGCCTGTTCTACACGCACGTATTCAACAACGCAACGAAAGTGGTGCGACAACAATATCTCTGCCCGCCCGAGTATCATGACGAATGGAATCCAATGGAGTGTAAGGACAAGGCTGGGAACGACCAGTGGATAACGCAAGAAATCGAGTTCGACGCCTCCGACCGAGATATTGTGCGAGATGAGAGCAAGTCCTGGAGCATGTTTCTCCTGAATAGCGACCCGGCCGGGAAGCTCCGAAGTCTCGCGGACCAGGCGGCGTTGGCCGCGCACGAAATCGGCCACAGCACCTTCGAGCTTGATCACGACGCCGAGGGGCAAACGGAGTTCCTCATGACCCCTGCGGAGAACACCGCAGCAGGAATGGAATTCAGCGAGACATCGATTCTCAACATGTGTTGCATGTTCCACCGGGAGTTCTCTGTCGACGGCGTAAGGAAAGTACTTCCCGATTATTGCGCTGGGAAGGAAACCGAGATGAATGTACGCTGTGTTGCTTCCAAAAAAGCCCACTGGGAGGGAATCTGGGAAGACTTTGTGCTGTGATCAGATGCTGTAGATATGATAGATGGAATGAAGATGGACACGGAATCCAGAAAGACATCGGCTATCAGCACAATGAATTGCTCATTTTTTTTTTCAAGAAAAGTGCTGCTACTGCTGGCGAGGGTTCTTGCAGGTCACTGTAAAAGGTGATCGTCGTCTTGTGCATCGTCGTCAGTATGTCTTGCCTTGTCTTGTCTGATTGAACATGTTTTGTTGATGTCGACGTTCTGCAGCTGCACACAAAAAAGTAGAAGTGCCCAAAAATGTCGTACATTCACATCATGGAACTTGTTGTCGTTCATGCTTTTTTTCTACATTTTTCGTAACGAAACATCTACATGGTAAAGTCGTCCACGTCCTTCGTGTCTGCGTACCGTGCCGCTTTCGTTTCTTCGTATCGTCAGCTGTAGCATCACCGTAGGTTGATGTATTTCCGATGGCCTTGTTTTCCTTTCGCCTTCATCTCTCGGCTCATTGAGTATCATCTTTCCAGCAATCGCGCTTGTCAGTCTCTACAAGAATCAAGAAGTTACATACTCCGTTTTTAAAGTGACACCAGTCTCAGTTCCCTTCCCAGCTCTAGGTGATATTCATATTTCGTTAAGACTTCAGCTTGACGTCGCCAACCCAATATATACCTCGACCTGCAATTTTTTTATGCCAAAAGGCGACACCGTTGCACTTGCACATAAACGCTAGCGGTTCTTCTAATTCTATCTTTATCCGCCTGTTGCCTTGATTTTTCACTAACATGAGGAACTTGTTGTTGGCTTCGAACTCTTGGTCGTGGTTTTTCCTCGACCGATTTACCGATGCTTACGTTTACAGAGACACAAGTCACGCAGTGAAAAATGCTGTGCCCCCGGAAGAAGAAAGACTGAAAGCGAATAAATCGCTTTTAGCAGAGAAAAAAAATAAGCTGATACCACAACATCCGGGGGATCGCCGACTTTTAAATAGGCTCCATCGTGGTGACGTCAACTCCGCTTCACTTGACACTGGAACTGGCGAGGATGAGGAAGTCGAAAATAGTGGATTCATAGAGAATCATGCGCCGGGGTCTGCCGGGATTCTCTCAGAAGATAATACCGGTATTTCGCAGAATCACGAAGCAGATGTTAAATTGGCTAGCGCAGGAGCCGGAGCGGAGGACGTGGACGAACTGGGAAAGGATGACGCGGTAGGAGCACTAGCACGATCTCCACCCAAGGTGGTCTTGAATGCCCCAAGTAGAGAGAAGCGCATCAAGATAGTGAAGGTGAGCAAGCCGGCGAATGCGCGGCACGCTGATGCAGTTTCACCAAGGGGCAGAACCAATGGCGAGAGTGAGGCGGGGATTGTACTAGAGGTGGCTTCTTCATCCGCGGTGGATGTGGGAAGTGTTCTGCAAAGAAGTGGCAGTGGCACCGCACTCGAAAACAAGAAGTTCTCTCAGCAAGAAAACCGATCAACCACGACGACGGAGGCTTCGGCGGGGGACTCCTGTTGCGGTGGCGCGGCCAGCGACGGCGCAACGGAGGCCCGGAACCCGGTGTCGGAGGCGGAAAAAACACCGCATCCGGACGAGTACGAGACAGCGGACAATTACCTATCAAATGTAAAAATGTCTGGGTCTGGAAGATTGCAACTTGTCATGCTGTTTTTGGACTCTAAAAAAATTTGTATTGCATGACCAGCGAGAGGGGCACAATTGGTGCTACACGGACAGGGCATTTCTCATGCGGAAAGTGCATCAGGAAGCCCTCTAAAAGTACGCGATGCTAGGTCATGCATTACAGGCATCATGTGTCTGTGTCATGAGAAATATGCATGTCAAATCTTGCACTCTTCCAGACCCAGACATTTTTACATTTGATATTACCCGGTCGTAGTCAACGGGCAACCCTACCAGGCCCCGCCCCTCCTTGGAGGTGGAGGCAATCCTCGAGGTGGCGGCAGCAGCATCCAGCAAAGCTCCACCGGCTCATCGCGGGTGGACGGCGGGGGCTCCTGCGTGCAAGTGTCGCCAACGGATGAAACGGGGAGAGACCTGGACAACTCCATAAATCTGGTCTTGCTACCCTACGGTTGGGAATCCGCGGAACAGTGGACGGAGTATGTCGAAGAGACCGTCGCCGTACTGGACAAAAACTTTGCGCCCTTCAGCACGCGCAGCAATCCCCACCTAAACGTCTTCCGCGTGGACCGATTTGCGCGCTTCAGCGATCTGGAGTTCGTGAAGGGCGCGGACTGCTCGCATCAGGCCGTGGACCCGCGCCAGGCGCCGGGCTGGAGCCAGCTGCAGCAAGGCGTGGACAACTTTTGGGTGGAGTGCCGTGACTGGCCGGCGCTGGCTACGTTCGCACAGCATCACTGCGAGGACACATTCGCAGGCATGCAACACATGACGGTCTCGGTGCACGTCTGGATGACCGAAGAAGCGATGGATCTGCTTCGGGTGGCGCCCGGCAGCCCGTCAGTACGGCAGTACGGATGGGGCGAGTGGGGTAGCAACATGCTGGTCATGTCCGCGAAAATGCACACCTACCAGGCCGCGTGGGACTTTCAGGGTGCGCTCTTCGCGCACGAACTGTCTCATGCTATGTTTGGGCTGACCGACGAGTACGAGGTGGGGCTCTCGCAAACGACGTTGGCCTACAGTCCGAACTGCGGGGGACTGGTGAACGCCAGAACCAATTGCTGCTCCAAGTGGCAGGACTTGATCGACGAAGGATTGGCTCGCTGCGTCGGCAAAAATACGGATCTAGCGAGCCGGGAGGGCGGATGCATGAACCAACAGTATTGCATCGGCATGGACCAAGCCACGAGTCTGATGGGAAAGATCGACGGAAGAAATTCTTTTTCCCACGTGCACCTGCGAGCGACCTGCTGCAAGTACCTGACACTTTTCAACCAGGGCTTTACGGAAAGTGCACTGAAAATTCCAAACTACTGCCTCGTGTACACAAGCTTGCCGACCAGTCCTCGGTCGTTAGATCTAGTCAAATTTTGTGGCGAGCCGAAAAATTGGAAAGCGTCAGCGCTGGATTTACATCCCGAGCACCCGCTGGTACTGGAAGACGAACTCACCGCGGTTTGAAATGAATAGAAAAAAAGCACGATTTCGATATATGTATCTAAAGCATCTACCCCTTCCCCGATTTTTTGGATATGTTGACTCTAGAATTACCCCAACCCCAAACCCAACCGCAAGCAAGTAGCTTAGTAGAAGCTGATCATTTACTTGTCTATCAAATCACCGTCGCCGCTGCGGAACGCGAGCGTTGCAAGCTCGGTCGAGACTGACCGAAGTGTACTGATGAAGCGTATTTTGCTACGTCTACTCTCACGCCTCGACATCGATGCTGATTCTATCGTGCAACTTTGTAACTAGCTGATGGAGGAGGAAACTTGGAGGTGTTCGCTTGCGATGCTCTGTCACCATTTGCTGGTTACCGATGAATTTGTACTTGAGCAGAGAACACCGAGTGCCGGAGAACGGAGAAAGACACCCATTTTGAGAGGCGAAATCTTTCTTAGTTTCACTATTGCGTTTGACGCATTGCCTAGGAGTAGCACATGCAACATGTATGCATAAATCATCGCACTAGAAAGTAGAGTGAGGTTTTGAGTGTAACGTTTACACTTGAAGCGAGTGCACTTGCAGCGTTTCTTGCAGGCTTGTTCACGTGTGATGTGGTCACTGTTCGTTCCTTACGTTACGATTCATACGTTACTTACGTAATAAAGGAGGCTCCCTCTGTCTGCCAGTAGCTTGACTGTTTCGTGCGGGTCGTAAGCGAAGTTAGTCGGCAGAAAAAGCTTGGTTCGCACAGACCACGAAGAACTAGTTCCAATGATTTCTGTCTCAGCAGCCGCAACGAGACTTTCTTGTCCTCCCCTTTTGATACAGGTATAAAGATAGTAGATCAGTTTCAGGGTATGGTGTGATAGATACTGCGACACTCAATTTAGATGAGAGAATAGAAGCGAGACGCAGTGGCATTTCGCTCAGCGATCCACAGATTATGAAGTTGTACGTGTTTGAAATAATTTGGACTGCCAACAACGTACAACTGGATCTCGTGGCTGGACCAAAGAAACACAACATGAATCATGAAAGAAAAAAAACAATAGAAAGTGAGATTTTGTTGGGTTCGTGTCCGTCGTTAAGAATAAATTGCGAGTACACGACGACTCAGGGCTAGGTCGTTGTTCAACAAACAGCACAGCGTATCAACAAAGCAAAAGTCATGTCGTCCTACGACATGGTTGAGGAGGATGGGTACCTGCTGGGTGGCAGCAAGAAGGCCTTGAAGGAGAAGGAGAAGGACAAAATGAAGCTGGACTACAAGCTGGCGACGGACAAGGACAAGATGAAGGACAAGGATAAAATGAAGGACAAGGACGACAAGGATAAAATGAAGGACAAGGACAAGATGAAGGACAAGGACAAAATGAAGGACAAGGACAAGATGAAGGACAAGGACAAAATGAAGGACAAGGACAAAATGAAGGACAAGGACAAGATGAAGGACAAGGACAAGAAGTACAAGGACAAAAAGTTCAAGGACGACAAGAAGGGGAAACACTTCAAGAAGGACAAGATGGAGAAGAAGGACAAGGTGATCAAGGACCCGAACGACATGAAGAAGAAAAAGGGAAAGAAGGGCAACAAGCCGACCTCCTGGAACCTGTACATCCACAAGGTGTTGAAAACGGTCCACCACGACGAGTGCACCCTGTCCGGCAAGGCGATGCAGATCCTGGATTCCTTCGCGAGCGACTTGTTCGAGCGCATTGCCACGGAGGCGGTGAAGCTGTTGCGGCTGACGGGGAAGAAGACGTTGGGGGCCACGGAAATCCAAACCGCGGCTCGGTTGATCCTCCCCGGGGAGCTCAGCAAACACGCCATCCAAGACGGCGCCAAAGCGGTGGCGAAATTCAAAACCGGGATGGAGCCGGAAGCCGATTTGCCATTCGATGACTACGGTGGAAATAAAACTTCGTCTACGTCGCCTCAAAATCAATTTGCATTAAGCAAGAATGCAATTGTCTCTTATCATAAGTATGTGCAAATTTGTACATGGTTTCGCTCCAGCACTGTTTGCTTTTGATCCGACGCAGACATGAATTTTCACTAGCATACTGTGGAAGAAGAGGGGATGATGGAAGGCGGGTATCCAGCTGAAGCCGACATGATGATGGATGAAATGATGGGCTAGGGCAAAGTTTTAAAAAATCATTATTTTCGGAAGAAAAAGATTTCGGAAAAGAGTTTATAGTCGATTTCCCGTTTCTTTGTTAAAAGATTTCGGCATAAGAAAGGCGAATGTCCTTGCGCGACTGATAGCAGCTCACGCAGCCTTGATCCGATGTAGTCATGGTAGACGGTCGACGTCCTTCTTTCTCTTTCAAGAAATATCAATACTGGAATACTTTTGTTCCTTCTTTTCTAGAAGCAAATAGTAACGAAGATCAATAGAAATAACGTCCAGCTTCGTCTCCGCTGTTGTCTTCAGTCGCGCATCCGTTGGCGTTGACAACGTGCTGTTTTGGGTCGCGCTCCTCTGGCTAGTACGTCCAGGAGCACGGTGACGGGTTTAATGGCCCGGAAAAACAGAGCTGATCCTGTTCCTGACCCTAAGGCGGCTTCATCAGCAGACTTTGCAAATCCGGCCAGTTGTGGTCCATCGCAACAGGAGCTGCACTCGGAATTGCACAATAGAGCGGCAGAAGCAAGAAAGCCCACTTTAGTTTTTAAGTACCTCAGTAGGCCAAAGTTGCCTACTGTACGAAGGAGGACACCGACACTTTCAACAAAGAAATAGTGGACCTGAGTCATACCCATTTCTCACGATGTGTTTCTGCTCCGCGGCCGACAGTAACTAGACTTCCCAAAAGCAATAAAAATTAGACGAATAGGAAAATACTTAAGTACCTTGATCTTTTGTTGGTTTTGTAATAAACTGCTTCTGATAAAAATTTCAGCACCTTCCTTCGCTTAGAATCTTTGGAAGAAAAAGTGTAGTCTGGGAAACGTAAAGAGAGGTGAATCTTTCGTCCGATGTTCAATAACGCCGGCAGGCTGGCTTGCTGTATCGCTATCCGGATTTTTGGAATCTACGATGTTCTGCATCATCAAGCACCTGCCTTTTCGCAGTGCGTTGAGTTGAATAAACGGACCATCTCGTTTAGCTATAGCTTGTGATTATGAATTAACCTCATGCCACGCACTGTGTCTGTGTAGATGTTCGTAGCGAAATCGTGGTGCTCGGTCGACGACCCCAACGGTCGTGTTGTCTTGCGTATAGCTAAATTTGAGATGCCAACAGTGGTTTAGCATTTTATTCATTCCCACGATAAGATATCGTTCCAAGTACGTTTCGTGCCGCGTTGCGATCGTACTTCGGTCACACTTTCTAGCCGATTTCGTGCACAAAGAATACATTTCCCTTTTCGTCTTTTCGTGTCGGTGCCTTTCGTCATTTTTCGTACCAAGCAGAATCAAACATCACCAGCGTTTCGTCTGTCGTGCAACTCAAATCCATCGTCGCAAACTCAGTACAGCTACAGTTTCAGAAGTCTGAAGACCCGGTTCACATCCAATCTGACGAAACGAATTTGAACAGGTGTGCTGCGAATCAGCATTGTCCTTTGTGATGCCCATTATCCCTACGCCCTAGATAACACACTAGCAGTTGAAATCACAAATTAGGTTTGGAAGTATGACAAGTAGAGAACCCCCATCTTATCATGTGTGGCATCTCGCAAGCGAGAATTAAATTTCCAATGTTCAGAACAAACAGAAAAGTAGTTGTTTAGTTGTTGAAGAACTCCCGCACACAAATCATGATTGCGCATAGCAACCGTTTCTATACGGACCAACCTTCACTCGAGACACGTCATCGTCCGGCAAGTTCCGCGGGTAAAGGGAACATCCTGACGCCGCCGGTGCGACACGATTAGTGGAATCCTTCAGCGTGAGGAACAAGTCTCCGCGGGAAGAAAGCCCGAAGAAGCAACCATCCAGAAAAATGCATTCGGCAAAGATGATGTTAGGAAAGTTTGCTTTGCTGCTCCCGCCGGTGTTTTCGTACGTCTACGGGCGCTCAGGAAGAGGCGGTTTGCCGAGTAGAGCTGGCACATCACGACCTGTTGCAGCTGCACGGGATGAAAGCCGTCGTTCTGGTGACCGAAGTAGAGCTCTGCAAAGAACAAGAAGAAAAGTACTGGTGAGGACGAATCGACATAAAGTTTCCGAGGCGTCAGCAGCGTCGCAAGTCCAAGAAGTGCACGCAACGCACAACCCCTCACCGGGTGAAAGGATCTTCCCTACAGTTGCCGAATCCGGGAGGGGAACATCAAGTATGCTCGATGTAGCAAAAGTTGCCGAGCCTGTGCCGGTAACGAACACCAGCGCCGACAACGCTTCGAATCCAGTGGATCAACATTTGCCAGATCACGGTTTAACCAGCTCCAATGGCACGTCCGGTTTATTCTTGAGCAGCACGACGAACGCGACCACCGGTGGACTTCTCTACAATATCGACGAAGAGGCTGGTATAGCCTCCAACATTCTGGCAGGTCTGATCATTCTTATCGTGGTAGCCCTTCTGTGCTCGATTCCTTGCATTGCTGCCAAGCTCGAAGCGCCGCCCACGCCGGAAGGAGGGGGCAAAACAGATAGTCCCGCAGCAGGTACTAGCACCGACGCTGCGAACACGCAGCCGGCGAACGACGAAATAAACCCGCCAGGAGGGCCCTTCGGTCATACTAGCGCTTTAGCAGAAGTACAGCAGCCCTTGTTGCAGAAAAATGTCGAGGAATCGAAGAGTGCCACGGGAGCGGGACCGCAAGGAGATGAAAACAATACAGGGGAAAAAACATCTACAGATAAAGGTGGGTTTTTCGCAAACCTCCTAAAAGCAGACCCGAACAAGGTATTGAGCAGAGGAGTGCACCCCCGCGAGAACCGCGGCAAAGTGATTTGTGTGTTCATCATTTTGCTGGTAATCAACATGTTGGTGAACGTAGACGCGGGAGCGCTTGCCGTGGTCCTGCAAGTGTTGCGGAACGGATACCAGTCGACCCCCATGCAGGAGGGTGTTTTGCTTTTTATCACCTACTTCGGTCTGGCCATCGCAGCGTACCCGGGCGGCAAACTGCTGCAGAACCACAGTCAGAAGACCGTCCTGACGATTGGCATGGCGTGCAACGGGCTGGCCACGTGCGCGCTGGCGGTGTCGCCGTCCGTCTGGACGATGGTGGCTTCGCGGTTTTTCGTCGGGGGCACGCAGGTGTTCGCGGTGGTGTATGTGTGCGTGTGGGCGCCGGAGTTTGCGGGCCCGGGGTCGGAGAACATGTGGCTGAGTCTGGCGTTGATCTGCGGGCCGGTTGGTTCGCTCCTGGGGTACCAGGCGACCGGACTGCTCCCCGAAACGTACTGGCGGTACCCGCTGGGCTGCTGCGGCGGAATCATTCTTTGCACCGCTATCGCGCTGTCGCGCATGTCGCACGAGTACATCGACGATCCCTGGTCCTCCCCCCGCATGGCCAAGTGGCGGGAGCTGTACGCGAAGGCGCACGGACAGAAGGTGGACCACCTTCCCAATAAAGAGGGGGATTCTACTAGCGGAACAAGGGAACAACAACAAGCAGACGGCAGGGAAGCGGGTCGTTCGGGGCATGGGCCATCCGGCGCGGTGGGAGGTACAGGAGACCGTGGAACCACCAAGAAGCTAGCGCAGTCGCAGCCGACGGGTCTGCGCCCCGCCGACGCGCACGGCTCGGTCGGGGAGGACATCAAGGAGGTCTTGCCGCTAGCTGGCGCGAGGGGTGCGTCTTTTCTGGGTCTGCACTTGCCTGACGCATGGACCGAACTGACGTCGGCCGCGTCAATATCCCACGCGCCGTCCGACCCTCATGCCATCAGGTCCCCGACCCAGAAATCGGCGCGGGAAACGGCAACTGTGAAGACGCCGGCTGGCCAGGAGCAGGAGTTCTTTCCGGTAAAGTTCGTTTCTGGGGTTCCCTCGAGTCCGTCCGCGAGTGACGTAGAGAGTGATACAGCTCTGCTGAATAAACAGGCTACGGTAGTCGGAATAACTGGGATGAATCGTGCTGAAAGCAGCGAAACAGGTTCTTCGCAAACCAGTCATGCTTCTATGTCAACACGACCTGCTGGCGCGACGTCTTCGAGCTCCAACAAGAGCAAAAAGCGCCCGCTTGCCCCCGAAGGCGAGGCTGGTGACGATGCTGACATCAAATCGGTGGCGCGGGCTTCCGCGGGGCAAATGAACCCTACGGCTGTGTCCGTCATCGATCGCAAAAGCAAAGCGGATGTCTTAAAGCAAGAAAGACAACAAGGAGCAGCTTCACTAGTCGAGGAAGATTCACTCGCCCCCGTACAACCGGACAACGGCAACATCATGCCAGCGGAGGATGGCCTCGAGGAGGCCGACGAGTTTGGGGTGTGCGACATCTTGAAGTCCGGCATCTTCGTCGGGTGTGTGTGCACGCTTTGCGTGATGTGGTGCATCACCAATGCCATCCAGTCCTACATCACGATTTGGTTTTTGGACGAATTTTACCCGGTGGACGAGGCGTACGCCGACGGCGAGGCACCGGAGGACCCGGCGGAGCACACGCTGTGGACCCGCGCCACGTGGAAATCGCACGTGCTGCTGATCTACACCATCATTTTGGTCACGGGCCCCCCGGGGGGCGTGGTGCTGGGCGGCGTCATTGCGGACAGGATCGGCTACGTCGGGTTGATCCACCGCATCAAGTACCTGTACTTCATCGTGGCGGACACCGTGATCGCGGCACTGCTGTGCTTCATCCTGTCCTGCAGCACGGGCGGCCGACGCGCGACGCAGTTGTACTGGTTCGCGTCCCTCTCCGGCACCATGGTGTTCTTCGGGGCCATGCTCGTGCCCGGGCTGGCCGGCATGTTGTTGACGGTCATCCCCCACAAATCTCGGGCCCTCGCCTCCGCGTGCAACAACTTCGCGACGCAGATGATCGGTTTCGGGGGCGGCACGCTCGTCCCGGCGCTCGCGGCGTCGCTGGTCACCATCCCCGAGGGTAGCACGCCGGAGGAGGCCCGGTCCAAGCGCAACTGGGCCAGCATCGTGGCCACGTTCTGCGTGGTGTGGCTGGGCGTGGTCGCCGTGGTGGCCATGCTGCTCTCGCAACTGCACCAGCGCAAAAAACGGGTGAACGACTTGCGGGACCGCTTTCTCATCGTCACCAAAAAGCGGGAAATCGCAAAACAGGAGGCGGAGTATCCAAGAAAAAAACTGTGTTAGTGTAACTTTCTTTGGCTGACAGCATTACAAATTTGCTCTACATGACAGAGAAAACCTGTCATGCGTGGATTGTAAGGGAAAACACACAGGAAAAGAGGACTTCGTGGCTGTCTGGCATGACGCGTGTAACTCTGTTGCATGTTCTGCATTACAGAGTTACACTCACACAGTTTTTTTCTTGCATACGGAGGACCGACTGCACGACCACGGCGGGGAGCAGGAGGCGCCGCCGTTGAGCCCGGAGGAGGAGCACCGGCTGATCGCGGATCTGCAGATCGAAAATATCATTTTAGACTACTCCTTGTACGAAATTAAGAAGTGGAAGTACATTCCAGACGAGCTGCGGGCGGAGATCCTGATGGCATTGAACCAGTTACAGGAAATTCGTAGCGAGCTGCTGGCCTTGGGCGTGAAACCGATCGACACCGGGCTCCACGACCCAGACGAGCATCTTCATGGCGAAGAGTCATCTCACCTCCCGGACGACGCTATCGCCAACGAAGTAAGGAACTCGGAACTTGTTCTACAAGGTGAGGACGGTGATCGTACTCCTGGCACACCAGGAGCTGCTGCACGCAGCGTGCGGGGGAAGAAAGTCGTACAGACTGCGACGAAACAGCCGTCATTTGATGGTGCTACGACAAAACCAACTTCGAAGCAGGCGGATGAGGAAGTGGTGTTGGCTGTGCTGGATGAGGAGTTCTCGCCTTCCGGAGGGAAACAGAAGGGAAGTGGTGGGGCGACAGCGAAGACGAGTGTAGCGAGATCGTCTGGGACGGCGCAGAAGACCGCTGCTGAGTCAAGAACTTCAGCAGTTTATTCGAAAGACAAGAAGAAAAAGAAGAAGGACAAAAAAGAGCCGAAAAGTTACTACAAAGTCGTGCCCTCCAGCTCGAAGGGGACGGGTTCGATGATGGGCTCCATGCACAACTCTTCGCAGCTGCAGTCGGTTTCGGAAGACGGCAGCACGAGGGTGATGCGGGTGCCGAGAAAGGCGCAGCCACTGAGCCACATCCCGCACGACAACGAGACAGAGTACCAGAAGCAACTGTCGCTCTTGATCCAGCGCACACACCTAGATAGCTTTCTCGGGACGAAGACCAACTTAGCCTCGACCCGCCCAGGGCTGCCGCCCGATCCAGGATTCGCTTCAGCGACGCACCTGCCTCAGGGTATGGACGAATCTAGGGGAGGCAGCAGCAAGAAACGCTCCGTAGAGTCGTCCGCGGAAACTCCCGGGCCAAGCGTGTCAGCCATGGTGGCGAAGTTGAACCGCGGGCAAAACTCTGACGATAAAAGCCCCACTGCGAGCTTTGACATAACGAGGACAGCCGACACGCAAGCTAGTGAAGGGCGCGACCTCATATCGCGCGTGCTCGGGATCTCACTAGATACCCCGACCCCCCCGGGAAAAACCAAGAACAAACATTGGCGAACCCTGCGGACCGCACAGAAGCTGGCGAGCAGAACAAGGACGGGGCTCCCGGACGGAGGCAGTGACAATGACCTGAAGCCCATTCCGGAGGCTGAAAACGAACGGGAAACCATTCCGCCAGCACCCGCGCCTGCGGCTGCTAAATCCCCTCAAAAAAAATCAAAGTCATCTGATGTAAATGTTTAAAAGGGTCAATGACCTATCTTTCCACACCATCACAAAAATCCACCAAACCCATCTATAATCAAATTTTCTACAAGTACATAAGTAATTTCATTTTCAACCCGAGCCACATACGTACTTAATAACTATAAAACAGATTTGCATTGTAGGTGTTTACAGACAAAAATAGACCGAACGTCGCAGTGGCAGTCTGAAGACGAGCCAATACGAAGAAGACGCCTGCACTAGCCAGAGCTACTGCTTCGGGGTGCCGTCGTTGTCGAGCGATACTCATTAATACCTAGCTGTGAAAAGTTTTACTTTTGAGTTTTGGGTGTGTAGTAGAAGTAGTGGCTTTCTCAACTAGAAATTCAAATGAACAACCCCCCTCACAAGCGCATTCCGAAACCACGATAATCCCCTCGCAACTACAAGATCAAAACATAACATTCGAGGATCTTTAATTCACCCGCGAGGTGGACCAAAGTCATGCCCCTTCTCTTTTGATCGAGGCGCCGGAGTTACACCGCGCGTGTGTTTCAGTTTATTGTATTGCGGCTTCATCTTTTTGGTTTCTGGTTGTCCACAGTGGCTTGTAGAAGTGCTCCGAGGGAGAGTGAGAGAGTCAGAGGGAGCATCGATGAGAAAAAGGGTTGGAGGTCAATGCGTGCATGATACTAGCTTCGGTATTGTGGTAACCCGAAACCCGCGAACTTTCGCGATAAGAACTTGGAACCACAGTGGCAAGTGCAGTGTTTATTGTGTCTTGAAACTGAGGGGGCATATTGAGACTGATGGCGCCGGTCCCACGGACAGTAGAACGAGAACCATCATGGTGAAAATGAATAATCAAGAACGAAAATTAATCCTTGGCATGCCGTAAGTAGGACGGTTCAGTCTACGGGGGCAGAGGGTGTTTATCATTACCATGTTTTGCTTTGCGACGTCGCGTTTTAATGTTTCTTAATCCTAGAAGTCGTACGGAAATTTGAATTGTGTTTTTGGTCCGCCGGTCGCCGCCTGACGCTGACGCCAGCGCTACGTTGCTCACAGATGACGTGAGCCACTGTGCGAGGAGCAGTCCTCTGTTCCTCGCCGGGGACGGCAATGGGAGTCTCTCTGCGTGCCTCCGTGCTGCGGTCTGGTGTGGCACCGAGCTTGTTGCTAACGACAGGTTTTGGACATGATGCTGTCGCGTCGCTGCGTTACGCTCAGGCGTCACTGCTCGCAAAGCACCGAATAAACACGTTGAAGAATTATCAATCCAGGAAAGTAGAAGTAGACTACACCAGAAGGGATGCGCAAGCGGAGGGGGAAACTGGGTTGCAGTCTCCGCCGGCGGCAGCTGCAGAAACAACTGCTCCGGCTGGTCCAGGGGATGCAGCTGCCGGTGCCACGACGCCGGCTTACGAAGAGCAGAAGTGTGCGTTTGACAATGCGCTGTTTAACCTGAGCCCGTCGGACCAGCAGTCGCTGTTGCAGGAAATCGGTACGATGCAGGCAGACGTGGACTATGTGCGGTCGGGGGGCAGCCACCTGTGCGGGTTTTGGAACACTCCCTGCAACTGCCCGAATGGGTGGATCGTATTCGGCGTGCCGCATCTGGGCCTTTGGTCGACGCCGCCCTACCCGGTGCCTGCGTCTGCCACCGCTGCCACCAGCTCGCCCGTGGTGTGTGGGTCCGCGCAGATGCAAATCCCGCCCGCCTTTCTTTCGCAAGTGGAGCAGAGCGGGGGCAAGAACCTCGCGGAGTGCCACTGCTACGGGCAAAACCCCATGGGGAAGCATCTGCAGAAGCAGCTGAACTCCGTTTCGCTGCTGCAGGAAGCGTGGGTCTTCCTCTTGCGCCTCCTGGAGCGGCGAAAACTGATGCCACTGGGCACGCGCAACGTCAAGACGCAGGGCATGGAAAACTGGTCCAAGCGCGCCACAGAAATCGGCGCGCCCCCACGGGTCCCGGAGCACTACTTTATCAATCGCTACATGATGGCGCTGCGAAACATGCCACAGCTCTTCCAAGTTCTCCTGAGAAACGTGCCCGCGGCAGCGACCCAGCCGCAGCAAGCTGCGGCGATCTCCGCGACAGACACGACACTATCCGAAAAGCTAGACCACTTAGGGCCCGACCAACTCGCGACCCTCCAAACAGCGACGCAAGAAGAAGAACAGAGCAACAAGGGGAAAGGGATGATCACGACCCGTGCCGGCGGATTGCGTTGCGGGGAGTGGGCCGAGGTGAACTACGCACTGCTTTTCCAGCACTTTTGCCAGGACATCATCGCGTTTCGCTACGAGCCGACGCTGCAGGGCGTGCCGCCGCATTTGGACCTGCATGCCCACACACTATACGGGGATATCCTCGAGTACCCCAAGCTCCTCGGGCCTGATAACTACCTGGATCTGATCGTGTCCACGCAGGTGTTATGCATTGCAAATATGTCATCTGGACCTGGAGCAAGGCAAGTTGTCATGCCAAATTTGGATCGCGATCGCTATCGCTATCGCACAAAATCAAAAATCTGTGTTGCATGGACGCTAAACGTTGCTCATTCTCATGCGGGTTCGTTATGAAGATCAAGTTCAAGATGCTGTCGCAAAACCTGCGATGCTTCAGACTGCATTCCAGACCATTTTTAAGGTCCACGAGAGCAGGCACTACAAACGCGCGCATCCCTCCAGGTCCAGACACATTTGCCTTTGATAGGTGTTCGAGCACCTGCCCCACCCGGAGCAGTCCGCCACAGCGCTGTACAACAGTCTGCACGCCGGGGGGTTGCTGTTCCTCTCCGTGCCACAGCTCGCGCAGTACCACCAGGTACCGGGCGACTTTTTTCGCTACACCAAGGAGGGCGTGCATTCGTTGCTCTCGAACGCGGGCTTCTGTGTGCCGAAGACGCTGATGGCGAGCGGCGGAGACTACGTCTGGGACATCGCCCGCAGCGCCGGGCTGCAGACCTCCGACTTCACGCAGGACGAAATCGACCAGGCCTTCCAGTGGGGCTACGACGCCATGAGCGACGGGGCGTCCACCATTTTTGCGGTGGCGATCAAGCCCCCTCACCCGCATCCAGAATGCCACGGCTTTCGATAAAAACGAAGATCGATGTTGAGCACCAGCACGACCACTGGATTCGTATGATATTTGTACACACAAAGACCGAGTCATCTTGAAGCCCTCTTGATGCCTATGCGTTTTTCTTTTTCATTTTTCCATCTGAGCGTGCTGGTCTTCGTTCTTGTAGCAAATGCAAAACTATGAGTATGGAAATTAATATCTTACAGCACCACGCCGCTGGTTCGGTTTCTCGTGATTCTATCCGCTATGAGTAGAACGATTGAGTTGTGCCTTGGTTACTGCCACGCTTCTGGCTCCCCCCGTGAAAAAGTTTTCACTTGGAGATGCGTCTCTATACATGAGGTAATGATTGTACATAGAAATGTGCGTCTTTTCTTTTCCAGTTTCTTTGCAGCGAAAGCATGCAAAGCTGCCGCCCAAGGTAAGGGTCCCGTCTCGGCGCAATGAAACAAAAAGCTGGGTAATAAAACTTGAACTTGCGGAGAAAATGAACAGTTAGACTACGGTGACTCCGTTGGCGTGCCGAAACAAGTTCACCACTAAACAACGAGCACTCATGAGAAAGCATGAATCGTTTTTCGAGGAGACGAGACTGTACTCAAGTATGATCATGACGTGCAACCTTCAATCGCGATCGAGCTCGAGATCCCGAGATGGTAAAGAGAACAGGTCGTGTTACAAGTCCAGGATAGATCATCATCCATACTCAGATCTGTCGTTGCTATGACTGAGTTTCTGAATATCACCAGCAGGTTCTGCAGTACGATCGAACACAAAAATGCGTTCACGACGGTCCCGTCATTTTGAGCGACCCCTGGACAGATTCCGATGAAATGTAGTTCCATGGAACAACCGGGAATGATTGAAAGACAAAATCGCAGGCTCGTGGTTGTACGAAGCAAGATCTTGATCTTTTATGCATTCCATCGCGCAGTTCGTGGAAATGATAATCTGTATCCAGCACTGAAATTGTGACATATAAGATGAACAAGATCCGTATTGAGGCAGTCCGCCTCGCCACGAAAGCCCCGGCATGAACTCAACATGGATATTGAGCATACGGACATAATGTATCAACTCCTATGTTTGAGTTTGTCGTCTGACTATACTAACAGCTTCAGAAGCAGAGGTGAGCTGCAAGCGGCACCCCTTTCACTTGTGATACCACTTCATCTTACACATACTTATACTTCGACAACTACGCAACTATTTGATTACTGACTCACAACCAACGCTTTGGAATCATTTCAACTTCGTCTGTACGCAGATATCGAAATTGGATTTTTAATTTTACCTACAAACACGTTAAGATTTCCTGATTCTCTTACACAAGTACAGAGCACAGCTGTGTTTTCGTCTTAATAGTGTGCTTTCCCGTCACTCTTCACTACGTCAATTTCATAACTGTCGTGCAGGCAGATACCTACCAACATGATTCGTTTGTTTCTGCGGAACAGTTGCTGTAGCTACCAACACCGGCTATGCCGGCTGGTACTGTGCTCTTGTGTGCTCCTGAGGGCCGTCTTTGGACTGAGGATGTGGTCTCCAGAGCAGGGAAAAACAATCCCAGCCGGCGGATCGCCGGTAGCGTCGACTCGCGCGTCTTTTAGCACAGGCCTTCCTACGGTTGGTTCGAGTGACAGCATGTGGTCTCTCATCTCTCTTCGCACTGACAGCAAGGAAACACTAGCAGGAGGACCGTCTCCCGCTACGTTGCCTTCTCCATCGCCTGCACATGGCCGCAAGGAATTGTCCCTAGATAATATTCCGCCGTTCAGTCTGCCTGCTGGGTGCAACGATGTTCTCGAAGATAATCCTGAAGACTCGAAACCGAAGGAGAAGAGGATCGAGCGCAAGCCTTGGGCGGACGAGGTAGATGACGAGTCAGAGGACGAGACGTGGGACCTGGACCCTTTCGCACGTGTGCGTGAAGCTATTAATTCTCTCGTACCAGCTGGGAGTAGCGAAACAACTGGTGAAAGCATGCCGCATCAATCCTGGCCCACCGGGGGTCGTGGTGCTCCACACTGGTATGAAGTTTACGGCGAGCCCACAAAACATATTCGATCCACACAAGTTGCTGGCTCGTCGTCCCAAGTAGATTCAGCGAATCAGCAAGTACGTACAGTTTTTTTTTGAGCTTGATGGCATTGATTGATTGCAGTATCTTGATAGATTACTTAATATTACTTCGTCAACTGCATGTGCACAGGTTCCCTTCCGTTCTCCATAGATGCGTGTTTGATTTATGTGAATAACGGGCAAACCCAAACGTAGAGCCGCAAAACGTGGAGCGGCAAAGTGTTACATGATAAGTTAATGCTCTTAAGCTTTTGTTTGTGAGGAGCTCCTTGACCTTGACAATTTTCGGCATATGCATATCCCCTCTCCTCACATTTTCACAGGCCGAAATCTTCCTTCCGGCACAACTGCAACGCGACAAATAACTGGAGAATCGCATCCAAGTCCACAAGGTCCATATCCAAGAAGCATCTATGTCGCCGCAGAACCAGAGCTGCACACACCGTGGCCAAATTCATATGGTTCTCGTTATGTCCATGAAAAGCAGCCTCCTCTCCCCGTTGGTCTGCAGCCCCGTGGCCCGTCTCTGGTTGGAAAGCAACACCCGCTGAATAACAACGACAGCACACTGCCGGGAGATAGAGTTGCTACAGCTGCTACTCCGAAAACTAAACTTAAGGCCGCACCGGCTCAGGGACAGCGGACACTGAGGAAGCCACCGGGAGAATTTTCAGCCCCACCGGCGTCTGCTCCCACTTCGCATCCATACCCGAACCACAAGATACCGTTGCAATTATCGCAACAAGGTTTTCGGACGTCGTCGTCATCGCCTATCGATCCTGCGGCACAGCAAGCACATACGCAGCCACACTCGTCGCAAGCGCAACAAGGGTATGTTCCTGCATGTGGAGGCATAGGCTGGGGCTGGGCCGCCGTCTTTGTGCCCTTCTCGGAAATGCATTCTCCAGCTTCCACGCCGCAGCAGCCGCAACCTGGACAGACATTCGTCGCGCAGCCCGCGCCGACCACCCACGGAAGTCAATTACCGACTGCTTGTCGTCCTAGTTTGTTCGGCAACCCGGAGCAGATGCCAGCAGCGCGTCAAGAATTTCCTGTTCCGGCGCACACTGGGCATGCCGGCTCTTCTTGGGAACCTTTTGTTCCCGCCGCAGCGGTGAAGCAGCCCCCTCAAAACTCGTCGTTCCAAGGACTCTCCACAAGCGCTACCTTCTCAGCCCCAACGCAACCAGCAGCCCCCGCCGCTGAAAGCAACAGGAGCAAAAATAAATTACGAAATCGAGATCTATTTTTGACGGAAGAGGCGAAGGCTAAGGCAAGGGCCGGGTATGCTCTTTCGCAGCACGGAAACAGTCCTGGAAGACGACAGGCAGCATGGGCAACACGACCAGCATCACCGCAACAGGAAACCGGAGCACCGGAGTATCAACAGGGAACGGATCCTTCCATCGCAATTCCGATGCCGGATGGGAATCTACGCGATCCACCGACGGAGCCTGCGGCGGTCACGCAAGCATCGCCTGATGGGCCCATAAATCCAAGGTCACCTCGGTATAATCAACTGCGACGAAGGTGGGCGAATGGTTTTTGATCTTTCAGTAAGTTTTTCCGACATTGTTTACACCTCAATCCCTACAGCAAAAACAAAAATCGGATGTGCCTCCTGTGAAGGATTGAATGTGTGTAGTTTGTGCAAATAAATTTTGAACGAAACACTTCAGCAGATTCAGAATTTTTCAGATCCTTCAGCGCGCTGCGTTTTACCTCCAACTTCCCGATCTAGTAACTCTTGGGATCCTCCAAACGTTCAGGCTGACGAGCTTGTTCGGGAGGTCGGGAGCTAGCACTGCAGGGCCCGCTTATGGTGCAAGCCCTGGGGCCCCCAAGATAGTAGTTTTTTGGCTTGAAGGATCTAAAAATGTAGACACCAAACGAGCAGCTTCACATTGCACCCCAAAATAGTCCAGCGGCACAACGACGAAATGTGAGAAAAACTTACTGAGGAATATTTTAACTCAGATCCATTTATTGCGACAGGCAGCTAAGGAAAACCTACCGCGTGCTGCCCTCCAAGATATAGGGACACTAGACTTTATATGATTTTGAAGCGATGTCGTTGAACCAATCCGACGAGTTTTCAGGATCTGAATATCCGTCGTTGGAAGTTGCTTGTTGTAGGCGCTTGCACTGGATTTCCTTGCCACTACGAGTCTTTATACTTAAACTAACCTAACAGCTAACACAGCGCACAGCTATTCGCGCGTGCTAAGATTAGACCTATATTGCTGCGCTTCCGTTGTTTTGCACAACAGCAGGTGCAGGAGCACAGATGGAATCGATGACAAATAAGAAGATAAGCTTTTATTTATTGTTCGACATTTATTCTTTCGAAAGTACTAAAGTAACGCACTCCATCCGCCTTGCGGCGCTACCGAAGTTTAGTCTGAATCGCATATATAGTTTTGATTGCGAACGCACGTAGAACTACCGGACGACCGAAGATCGAGGCGCTTTGATCTTCTAGCACTACCTAGAACTACAGACTCGCGCGGTGAGTCAAGCCCTGAGTCAGGTAAATGGCAGGGGAAGGCGCTTTGCCTCTTTTTCGATTTTGCAAGTCATCCAAAAAAGCTACACCGGAGAAACTTCCCTACCCACTAGTTACCATATCGATAAGTAGGACCAAGGCACTGCCGACGAAGGTGGGCGAATGGTTTTTGATCTTTCAGTAAGTTTTTCCGACATTGTTTACACCTCAATCCCTACAGCAAAAACAAAAATCGGATGTGCCTCCTGTGAAGGATTGAATGTGTGTAGTTTGTGCAAATAAATTTTGAACGAAACACTTCAGCAGATTCAGAATTTTTCAGATCCTTCAGCGCGCTGCGTTTTACCTCCAACTTCCCGATCTAGTAACTCTTGGGATCCTCCAAACGTTCAGGCTGACGAGCTTGTTCGGGAGGTCGGGAGCTAGCACTGCAGGGCCCGCTTATGGTGCAAGCCCTGGGGCCCCCAAGATAGTAGTTTTTTGGCTTGAAGGATCTAAAAATGTAGACACCAAACGAGCAGCTTCACATTGCACCCCAAAATAGTCCAGCGGCACAACGACGAAATGTGAGAAAAACGCACTGAGGAATATTTTAACTCAGATCCATTTAACTGCGAGATTCGTTGCTAACTTGGCCGCGCACGTCGGAACCCACTCCACAAGAATTGCAGTGGCTCGAAGAGAACTTATTTATTTGGGTGGTTGAATGCGAGCATACCAAACGGTAATATTCTGATCTGATGATGCAATGGTCGAGGCTTGTCGCTTGACGTTCAGCGCGACATGCAGATATTCTATTGGAAGCAGTTTCAACCGGAGCAGAGGAGAGCTTTGATATTAAATGGGGGAGTGGCGGTTTTTGAAAGGAACCTGCTGTGAGGCAGCATTGAAAGGCTCGGCATTCATGGCACTACGGAAGCAGATTGTACTTAGAAAGACTAAGATTAAGAAATGGCACAGCACGCCGGAGTATGTAGCTGCGCGGCAGGCACGCAATTAAGATTTGACAGGGCCGGGACAGGGGAAGCAATAGCAAACCGGCCACCACACGATGAAAATACGTAAAGCAACATGAAGATTAAACTGATGACATTCTGTGATCTATCGCTCCTGCTCCTCCACGGCCAGGAGACGACACTGGCGAGGTGGGAAAAATGAAGACGAAGTACTCAGCGCCGCTGATAAAACAGTTTTTTGTACTACTTGCGAACAACGCACAACGCACCCCCGGCCTTCCCGACCCCGCGCCTGGCCGAGCGCACAACGCACAGCAACAGGGTCGGGATCCCACGAAGTAGTACACTCCGGACGCGACCCCGGAGTAAGGGCGCTGAAACGTAGAGCCTCGCGCAGTTAGTCCCTGCGCGCGCGAGGACTGAAAGATCGAGTCTCCTCTCATTTTGACTCCTCTGTTGAACAAATAGGGTTGTAGTCTCGCGAGTTTCCCTCGTGAATTCCTGCCCGGATTGGCGTCCACACTGGCATTTGGTAGTCGCGTGCCCGTGGTGCATAGCGTTGCGTCGTTCCCTGCCCCGGTCTAGTGAGCCACATGCGAAGAGGCCACCGCCAACCACCACCCCCCGAAGTGAAGTGAATAAATTGCAATTGTAATTGTACGTCGTGGTTATTACATGCGAATCAATGTAAAATGTTTTATGTTATATTTCGTTTTTTTGAATCAATATCAAAGAGTTTTTAGTTTACGATGAATTATTCTGATTTGTCTATCTGAGTTTGTATTGTTTTCTGGCTCGATTTCGAACGCGCAGTGATTCGTAGTCGAAGAGCACGATTTCCAGTTCAGCGAGCACCAAGACTTTGTACCTCGCTGAACGACCTGGTTGCCTTGCCGTGTCACGGAACCGGGGGCCTGCTCAGGAACGGATTATACATAGGCAGCCGGCATATAGGTTTTCGATATTAGCCTTTTTAATTTCCACATTAGCCTCGCAGTTCCCGCAGCCTCCGTTTGAATCGCTTTTTTTCTGCCAACACATGAAAGAATTCTATTTAATTCTTTTTCATGTTGTTTTTTGCAGACACGAAGCGGCAAACGAGTCAAATGCTCGTAATTTGTACGTTTTCATTGTTGGTACTAGTCAGATCGTCGATAGTTCTGGCAATTCGCATTAATTACGGAGAATCGTGCGCCAAGCGCGTCTTTTCGTTATTTGAACTCTAACAGAAGGCTGTTGTCCCTTTTGCAGTATCAAAAGCAAGATATCTTTTTCGCTTTCGCTAGTATGGTACCGATATACCAGATCGAGATCTCTAAACAACAAGCCGATAGAGTTTCGTTTAGAAAGAGAAACGATAACGATTTATTTCTCTGCTGATTCCGTAAAACTTTTCCTCCAAAGTCCAAAGCATTTTCACATTAAGTTTGATCATGATGTAGATCGACGGGAAACACAAGCAGGGCAAGAGTTTTGACGTTGGCTTTTTTGATGATCCCACACCGAATTTTGTCGGTGAAAATTTATCCGCTGTGGGGATCGCATCAAGCGCGGCAACACGGGTGTCATCGATGACACTCGCTGTCTTATTCGTTACTTTACCGCGAAAGAATTCTCGTGGACGTCGATTTCTTTGAGCTCACTGGGAGCGCATTTGGATTTCTATATGACTTTTCGCCTTGCTACAGTGCTCTATTCAAACTTCCCTTTGGGATTTTACTTTCTATATATGACTTCTCGCTCGCACACATCTTATGATTGAGTGTGCAGATGAAGAGTCGAGTGACTCTGGCATTGGCTGTGACTATCACCACCAGCAGGTAGCAGAGAAATGCTAATGCAGACACGCTTGCTAGCAGTAGCAGTTGCGCTTGCGATTGACCGCCATCTTTGGTCGGTGGTCATTAAAGAAAACCAAAACCTGTTGTTCGTAAAAACATTCTCGATCCATGCATTCAGATAGTTCTGGTCCATCGCGGTGCTCGTTCTTCTTGATGTTCTTTGCAAACTTTTGATGCGATGCAGTATCACGAGTAGGATCTGTCATGGTTTGATCTGGCTCACCGACATTGACATCGCCCCCCGCATGATTTTTCCGTGGTGAGCAGCGGCTGCGTCGGAACACTATATGATCTGTTTCTTCTTTGGCTTCTGTTTGGCGACTTCAGAAAGGAAGGTTTTCTCACGCAGATCTCATTGCTCTCACTCTTTCCTTGGTAAAATCGACTAAATGAGATTTTAGAAAGATGCGGATCTAGCAGGTCTACGAAAGCAAGGCGTTCATTTGTACTATCATTGGAGCTGCTCATTTGTGAGAACTCTTCTGCTCAGCCACCTGTAGATTCGTCACTAGAAAACGAGGTACAGCATCACAACTGTCAATAAGTTAGATGAGTTAGAAGCTGTATTTTCAAAAATGGGAAGAAAAAGCAGCTTTTGTTTCGAACAAGTGCGTTTGCGACGCACAGGAAGGAACTTTCTGGGGACCCTGGCTCTACTGGGTATGACCATCAGCATCACTAGTTTCTTCCAGCAAGTCCCTTCCGATGACATCATCGTTGGCGTTTGCTTCGCTGCAGCGTTCTTGCGCATTGGCGCGCCGACGCGGGCGTCATCGATGCGCGCAGGCGCGGCGGACACACCAGAGACTGCAGCAGAGCGCCGTGTCGTTCATCCGCGACCGAAGCCTTCTTACCTGGATAAGCTGAAGCGCGTGGGCACAGGATCAACATTGCCGGCGGGAATCATGACGGGGGTCGCGACTCAAGAGGTCGCACCACCAGGGAATGAAGGAAAAGACGCAAAAATGACGACGAGAGTGGACGAGCCTTCTGCTAAATCACGCGACCGGACACCGGTAGGAGTTGTCGCTGGTGAGCCGAACGAAGAGCCCTCGTCTCCGCTTCCCCAGCACCAAGACTGTGCTAGCATTGTTCATGGCTCACCAGCAGTCTCAGCACCACGACCAGCATGCGTTTCGAGTATCCCGGAGCACGAAACAAAATGGCGAACCTGGGCATCAGCTGATTCCGACAGGTCGACGTCCGCAGGAGGTGTTTATTTCGAAGAGGGCAGGGGACAGGATGAGGATGAGCTGCTTGCTGCGTGCAAGACGAAATTTGAGAAAAGTTGCGACCGGAGAAGAACCGACACAACAAGGTCTGCGTCTTGGTCCGCATGTGCCCGCAAAAGAATGGAGGACCAGCAACGACAAAAACTTGCCACCGGCGGGCTGGTCGTGAAAAATGAACGTTCTGAGGAGAAGAAAACGCAATTCGCAGATGAAGAAGCTCCTGCTTTCACTGGACCGTGCTCATTTACCGGCGCCAGCTCGTCTTCTTCCACGTCAGGAAATGGACCTGAACAATTACACAGCCATCAGCCGCAAGATAAAGTGCCTCAACCTCCGCAGGTGGAGGTGCAAAGTGTTCCGATGCCGGTGGCAGTGATGCCTGTGCCGTTTCTTGTCCCAGTACCTGTGCCCGTGCCCGCAGCATCCGTGCTTTGCGTGTCCGCCGATTCCCTACCTCACTTGCAGGTATACTACGGAGCAGGCCAAAAGATGAATCCTAGTGAACAAGCTTTTTGTAAAAAGAACTATGTCACCGGCGACCAGACGCAGATTTTGTGGGGTTCCTGTTCCACTGTCCCCTTCGATAATTGTAACACACCGGCGCACGCGTGGTCCCGCGACAACGAAAGCAAAGATTTCTCTTGTGCGTCAGCGAGGGAAGCTCATGACAGGCGCGCACGAGGACACAGGCACAACCCGAACGAGAGTCACGAGCGCCACAATGAGATTCGTCGCGGAGCAGGATCCTTCGCAGAGAAGCAGGAGTATTGGATGTCCAAGCACAAGAAAATGCAAACGCAATCGCCGGGAGGAGACGCAGGCGGAAGAAAACACAGAATAGACGAGGTGGCGGTATGGATGTCACCAAAGCATCAACAATCCCCTGTGTTATTTTCGACGTCATCTAGTAGTAAGCCAGACCAGAAAGCTACATCGAACCGGGCTGCGCTGGCGGGGCAGGAATCTCATCTTTACGCATCGCCCTATTATACCGGACCGTCTGAGGCTGAGAGGAGGAAATACAACAAGTTTTTCACGAACGTAGTAGGCAATCAATCGCCAGACAAGGTGAAAAATTTCGTTTCTGTTAAGGAACACGCTCTGGCACGACAGGCTGGAAGCAAGGAAAATGCGCGGCGAACCGGGGAGAAGGAATTCTATCGGGACGACGAGTGTCACCCTGACCTGTTTCGAAAAAAAAGAGGGACGCACTATGGTGCTAGTGCCGCAGATGCCGGCCGCTGGCGGAGTGGCATTTTCGGAGGTGCAGCATCAAGTTCCTCCTGCAGCAGCGGTAGCCGCGCTACGCCGTCTACCAGAACAATTTCCTCCGGGTCCGGGTTCGGCGAACCTAGCGAGGAAACCACCTGCAGCAGCGTGTTTCTGTCCTGGCCGACGAATGACAAAGAACTTTCTGCGATCGAGCCCCCTACCGCGGAGGAGATGGTCTTCGTGTTTACGCATTTCCCCGAGCTAATTGCGCACGTGTGGACGGACGTGGAACAGGTCAAGTTTTACTGGCGGCATCTCACGCGCACGCAGCAGACTTTTTGGCGCTTGCCGCCCGGCGAGCTGCGGGAGGGATGGCTGGCTATGGCGGAGCGGGGACGTCTTGACGAATACGAAGTAGAGGAGCTCCAGCGCGGAGTTGTGACGAACGGCTGGCGCTTGTCGAGCTTCAGTCTGGACGACTTCAAAACGGAGAGTCTGGAATCGGACTTGCCCTTCCGCACACTGTTCGGCGCCCGAAGGGACGTTTTTGGAAGAGAGTATTTTGGGGAGGACGGAATTGACAGTTCATCTTCATCCTCTTCTGCAACCGCATCACAAGCTGCCGCAGGCGATTCCGATTCCTCGTCAAGTTCTGACGACGTCGTGCCCGCCGTCAAGATGCGTTCACAAACCTGCGGAAGCAGGAGAAACGGAGCCAAGCTACTAGAGCTAGCTGGCGAGAAGTGGGACACCGAAGAGCAAAGTTTTTCTGGCGCGGACACACAGAATGAGGTGGGCGTCGCAGTAGAGAGCTTCTGTCACCAACGTGATCTTCACGACGAAAATAAGAGCACTGAGCAGGAAGTTGGTCCGGCCTCGAGAAAGCCTTTTCAACATCCTCGAGTCGCACCACCAGCAGCGTCAACAGACGACCTTGAAGATGACGGAGGTAGTTCTTCTAGCGCGTCATCCTCCGAGGATGAGTTGCTTTTTTCTAACCTAGAGCGCACTACTAGGCTGGACCTTTTGGAGTTGGCTGCAGCCGCGTCGCCGGTACTAGACAGTGAGGAGCCAAGCGCAGTAGAGTGGACGCCGGTCGTGCAAGACGGGCGCGGAATGCATGCAGAGTCCCCGGAGGCCTTGCTGTCGGTGTGTGGCGAATTGTCGCTACTTCAGGACCAGGGGCTTTGCGCGCTGCAGCGAGATTCCTTTTGCATTTGCAATCCGGCACCGGCTGTCGCAGGGCAAAACCAGAGTGCGAAACAAAAGGCGATGCTCGAGTTGTCAAAACACAAAGCGAGTACATTAGGAGGCGCCTTTCTCGTAGATCATCTCGATTCCGACGACGGCTACGTACGCCGCTTGGGCCCAGAGACGTGTGACGCCGCGCGGTCTGCGACAAGTAGCCCGGACGTCCAGCGCTGCGTCCAAACAGATGGTTCGCATGAAGCCAGACGAGAGCAACAAACGACAGAAACACGAGGACGAGATGAATCATCTAGCCTCCTACTGTATGGTACATCTTCAGGACCTTCTCGATGTTTCGGAAGTGTGACTTCTTCTATTGGGAGAAGGGGCACTAGAGTGCTCGTACAACGCGCATCTCTTCCCAGTGCCAGTTCATCATCCTCCAGCAGCTCCTCCTCTCTCGACTTTGAGGAGACAAAAAAGGCCCTGCAACAAGTCTAAAGAGGCGGAAGATGCTGTTGCATTTCTGCTTCTTCTCGCCGTACTGATTATGATCAAGCAGAAGTGTGCAGGAAGAACAAGGCACTCGTATGAATTCCGTTTTTGGCTGCAAGAGCAAGACTATTGTTTAAAATTAAGGCACACATTTTTTTAGCAAGGAAGAAACTTTATGTTTACGCGCGGTGCATAACCAAAGCAGTAACTACATACTCAGCCATAAAGATGGATGCGTCCTCCGGATACGGCTGTCTCCCTCCTTTTTTTGCCGCAAGCCCAAGAGACAAAAAGATGTGAGTGAAGTCGATGAAAAAAGGCGAGGGCATGACGCTGGTTTGGTGTTTTTTGGTGTTTTTCTGAAGAAGTGACATTCACTTGCACCCCGGCTGAATAAAGGCGATATGTTCATAGAGTCTAGCTTGAATTTTGGAAAACCGAAAAGGTAGCGACTTTGCTTTCTCCCCGGTTTTTTTCTGAATAGTTTGTCCTCGCATATTGAGTTGGTTCACTATGTTGACTCTTGTCTTTTGATATCTCCGGAGAGGCGGTCCATTATGTAGTTTTACTCTTTGTCCTCCTAGTAAGTATCTATACACTTGTTGACAGCACAGACACGCTAGCGATTCGCCGTTTTGGTATTTCCCTCGTTTTCGCACTACCTTTTTACTGACTTGAATAATGAAGAACTTGTTTATTCGGTTTATTTGAACCTCCTTATCCTTCGGGCAGCGGTAGAGGTTTCGTTTGGAAAGGTCCAAGCGAAGTTTCTGTGAGCCACGCCTCCACCTCTGAGACTTACTCTGACGCCGACATCCTTGTAGTCTGTCGACACAATGCCACTACGAAATGAATAAAGAGAAAATCATATTTTTGATGCGTCGGGGTAGGGACAGGGATAGCCATAGCTCCCCTTGTTGCACCAGAATGGCTCTTCAAAAGATCAACTGGCAGCTCGTGATCATCCTCCGTCTCTATATCTCCTCGCACTTGCGACGACAACAAGAGAATAGAATAAAGTTTGCAACACCAACATCAAGTATAGTAGTTCGGTTGTCAGGAGATGTCGATTGCAATACTGCGCTTGTTATTGAGCAGAAAGAGAAGTTGAAAGACAAAGAGTATAGCAGATCGAAAGGTCGAACGAGCAGTATCGAATTTTATATATTCTTCGACCTTTTATTTGGTTTGTAACTTTACAAGAACCTCCTAAGTAGTCGTTGTTCGGAGCTTTGTGCACGTTTCACTAGGCATGCCCATGCGTCTCCAGACGCCTGTTGTTGTCTTTGATGAGCGAATGTGGAACTGGAGCGACGTGTTGAGGGTAGAGGTAGCTTGTTACCTGGAGCTGAGAATTACTACATACTTATGCAGGGACGAAATCATATCAAGAAAAAAAAAATCACTCTGATATCGTCTAAAGACGGGTGACCTACGTATTCCAGTTACCGCTTAACCAATGTAAACCGTGTTTTACAATACAGCTCCGACCTCGGATCATGGCACTATTGCCTTTGAGTCTTCACGTGCACCCTACCCCCCTGTTCCAGACCTACTCCCAGGTCAATCGACCACGCCGGAACACCGGACCTCGCCTACCTCAGTCTACAATAAACTTAGGAAATTGGAGTTGTACGCTACCCTCGTTTGAAAGCTAGTTCGTTAGCTAGACACGGCAGAAAACAAGATGAGCTTCGAAAGCGCAGACACACAAAAGGAGGAGTTCCGAAAGTATCTATTACGTGTTGCTGCAATGTTTATCCATGGCGGTCAATGAATTTTTCTTGCGTTGCGTTGCGCAAACTAGATTATAATCCTTTCAAGCCTATCAAAAACAAAAAGGTACTTGGAGGCGAATGGCGTCATTTCGCAGCTAACGAAAGTTTTAGTTGGTCTGTATGAGGAGCCAGAAAGACCGGCCAATGCCATCGACTACATCAAAAAGTATCTCGGCGCGCCAACAGGTAGAGAGTTTTTTGGTAACGTTGTTTTTGCTTGATTTTCATTTGGTGCCAAAGGCAAAGAAAATTGGAAAAAGTAAAAAGCATCGATCGAACCTGTGTTCTCTTACACGACAAGGTGTCGACGTGGAGGAATTGCGAGCGGAGAATGAAGAATTGAAGCAGAGGAACGAAGAGCTCCAGAAGCGATTAGACGAGCTGGTTAACCAGCTGGATGCCCTGAAGGCCGAGGCCGAGGACGAATAAGCTTGTTTGAAGGGAACCAGGATCGAGCTTGTTCTCCCGCTACAACAGCAAGCGGCACGGAAACCAAATTGACTATGCTGACGATAATAATCAGATTCGACAACGTGCAGTACGCAACACTACTATACCTGATTTGTTTTCTTGAACAACAGAAATCGACAAACTAAAACTGCTCTCTCTCACTCACTCGTATTCGGCAATAAATTACCCTTGCTTGTTTTCTATGTACTGAACAGTACACTCGAACCCAATTATCCGCTAAACGCTAATCCCAATATCACGGCTGGTGCTCGAATTCAAGATCGTGACTAACAGAAATTATACTGTGCTAAAGCTGTACAACAAGCTGGTTTCCTGCTGGAGGCCGACGGTACCTCGAAAGATGACGGCGGATACGAAACAAGTGTTGGTCGCAGAGGCAGAGCTTTCAATACGTTTCGGCAATTCTTCCATTGATCGCATCGTGCCCAATCACTCAGGGTCTGGGGGTGAGTTGCTGGTTGGGACGAGCGGAGCGTGCACTAGCAAAAGAGAAGCGCTGCAGCTCGCGAATTTCGATTGAAGCAGCGCAGCAGAGAGAGTGATGATACCCAAGAGAACTATAGACTGCAACCAACTAGACCAAAGACCTGACGCTCAAGGAGACCCCAAACCTGTAGGGCTCTAATCAAAAGCTTATCTCGACGGGACTACAGCTTTTGAGGCTAAAAGGAGACCCCAAGGGAGACCCCTGACCTCTAGAGGTCCGATTTCTGGCGAGCTCTTTGCTTCTTCTAAACACGATCGAATTCTGCAGACGAGACCTCAAAGGAGACCCCAAAGGAGACCCCTGACCTCTACAGGTCAGGAATCCGGCGAACTTTTTTCGAGAGCTAGACACGATGGCATTCCACAAAGGAGACCCCAAAGGAGACCCCCGACCTGTAGAGGTCTCCCATATTTTGTTTTGAATCGCGGGCGAAAATGGCCTAAAGGAAACCCCAAAGGAGACCTCCAACCTCTAGAGGTTCGGGGTCTCCTTTTCGTCAGAATTTAGTCGGTTTTCGTGTTTTCAAAACTATCGCTTTCGCGCTGTGTTTTCGCAGAATGCAGTGCGTTTTGCAGCTTGCATTTGATGCTGACGCGCTTTTTTTATTATATTAGGGCGCGCTCTTTGCTTCTAGTTCCATGCCCTGTTTGAGAGATCTGACTGGGCCTACCGCTATCACTTTGCCGGCGCCCCCGCCTTCCTTCGCCAATCTGCTGCCTGGTCCTTCCACTTCTTGGGACAGCTGCCGCAGGCTGCGCTGGCGCTTGCTGCCCCCGCCTTGCCGAGTGCATTCGCCTACCGCGCCGCCGCCGATGCCATGCGCCCGGCTGCAGCCGCCCGGCTGCAGCGCCGACGAGTTGCACAATTTTCGGGAAGTTGCAACAAGGCCCGTACCGTCCTGGTTCGGCGCGAAATGTTGTGATAGGTGCGTGGCGAGTTGCGCCGTGCAACTCGCTGTGCAACTCGGCCGTACCGTCGTGATTCGCAACAAAAACGCGCAAAAGTTGCACAAGTTCCCGGGAAATCTCGGAAGGCGAAAACTCCGGGACCCCGGAAAGAGGTGAAGAACAGCAAAGAGAGCGAATTGGAAATCCGTGCTGCCACGAATTTCCAATCCGCGTGGTATGGTGGGCGTTGGCCAGTAGAATGTCTATGTTTCCATATTTCGATTGAAGCAGCTCGCGAATTTCGATTGAAGCAGCGCAGCAGTGTATTGCTGGGGAGAGAGAGTGATCATATATATTCCTTTTTCTGTGACGAGTTTGCTCTTTTTGCTTTCGTCGAAGAAGGATAGCCAGAGCAGCACGATTTCAAATAAACTGATCCCTCAGCTACCTTCGTCGAACCCCTACCCCGCATTAGATTTTGAGAAACAAGACTTTTTCCATTTGTTATGGCCGTTCGAGCATCTGTTGCGGTAGAAGTGAGTATTTGTAACTGAATATTAAAGCTAAAGCAGCACTTGCCCTTCTGCAGTATCAGGGCGAAGAAACATTTTGGAGGCCGGCGCAAATCGCGAACGTACCTGTCGAAACGTTGAAGAGCTTTCCGCGGAACAGGACCTGTTGCAAGCTCTTGGCCCTGTGACCACGAAGACAACTCGAGAGAGGACATAGTCCGTCGGCTTCCGTCAACATCCGGACGATCCTTTACTCGAACTGACTGTCGTTCTCTGTGCATTTTCTGCCGGGCACCATTGATTCTTTTTCTTCGCAATCACAGTCCGACCTAAGTTGATACGTTGCACAGCTGCACCTCTGCGACTTCGAGCGGCGAAAAGAATAGCGTTCTGCAACAATGGGGCCGAAGAAAGCAGAAAAGAAGGCCGCCGCCGGGGATGGCGAGAAAGATTTCGACGCAGAGAACAAGATGCTCCAGAAAAGGCTCGAAGTCCTGCAATACCGATTAAGTACGATTTCATTATTTTTTCGTGAACGCTCGTGTTTAGGCGCAAAGAATTTATTAGCAACACGAGGACCGCCATGAGAGCTCCTTATGCAATGTGATTCCATGAACATGAAGTTGACAAGTACATAGATTGTCATTGTTGGAAACAAAAATCACTACAGTGGTAAAGGACGACAGTATAGCACAGTGTATGCGCGACGAAGAGACGCACAAAAAAGCAATCGAGGAGCTGGACACGGGCTTTAACCAGGAATCTGATCGAGCGCTGGAAAATACCGGTGAGATGCAACGACAGTACCGGGAAATGCAAAACTCCTTCAACGAGCGAATCGAGGATCTGCAAGTCCAGGTACTATATAGCCAGAACTCCTGCTGTTTTATTTTGCAGCATGATCATTTATGAAATGGCGCAAGGGAAAAGTAGGCACAGCTACGGGGAGAACTTCATGCTTGCGTATTGCTGAGAAAGAGAATGAGAATCAAAAATCCTTCTGTGCAGCAAGGCACTGCATCGGCATGCATCTACTCTTTCCGTTCCAGGTGGCGCAATCCAAAGCGGATATCGAGGCAGTCAGAGACGAAATAGAGAAGACCGCAGTGGAAAAGGACAACATTATCGCCGCTAAGGACGAGGAGATCAGGTACACTAGTACAAGAGAATCTAGTGAGTTTTCGTTTTTCCAGTTTGTATCTGTATCTATGAGTATATGATTTGTCATGCGCAACCACGTCCAAGTCCATTACTCCAGACTCAGACAGCGCGGACGTTGCACATGACTCATGACGCACGTTGGTTGGTGCTAAGTACTTAAGCGCAGATGGACGCATCATGTAGTACACTGCAACAGGTCACTGACGTTGAAGATGGAGACGATGGCCTTCGAGTTTGCCGATATGCTGAAGGAGACGCTGGACAAGATGTCACAGAGAATAGAGGTAACACACTCCTCCTGGGACCGGGACCCGAGCCGGCCACCGCTCATGAACCGGCTAAAGGAATTCTCATTAACAAACGACAGCTAGCGTGGTTTATAGCCCCTAGCTTCAGCTTCTGGACGCGCATGAAGTTGAGCCTTGACCTCTTTTCATGCAAAGGATGGAACATCGATGTGAGCGCCGCTGTGTTGAAGAAACCACATTACATTTACATTACAATAAGCGCATCGTGACGAGTACATCGAATAAATCACAGTCACAAAAGTTGTAACTAGCGTCGTTGAGATTGATAATTCTTGTTCTTCGATGAATGCACGTTTCGTTCTTCATATTCTGGTTCCGTCAGCCATCTATGTGGATCATGCTGTCGTCGTCGTTTGCAACAGCCACTCTCAGGTACAAAACATCAAGTTGAAGTTTGCGTTTCCACATGAGAGCGAGACTACAGGACTCGTCGAGCGGCGCTCTTCACAAAACTGCCGAGAGGTCAGTCGAGATGCTCGTGATCTGCCCAAGAGTTGCTTGAATCAAATGAGTATGATTTGGTTGCCGTCGCGAGGAGGAGGATCCGGTGTGCGAGGGCCACTACATACGATATCATAGCGGAGCTATTTCTTGCACCAGAAATGTTGCTGAATCATAGATAGATTGAACTGGAAAAGATGGCAGAGTCGGCCGAAATGGACGCTTTCGACCGGGGAATGAATCCCCTCGATTTCATTCCCGAAGACGTATCGGGCGGAGATGGATCGATTCTGGAACTGGCTCCGAACCCAAGCAATGCTGCCAGTGCCGGAGGAAGGAGGTAAGTTTTTGTGTAGTATCTGTGCTCTTCGGTCCATTTATTTTGTCGTCTTGATGTTGGAATGCGAATGTAGATGTACGACCTTCTGCAGATGAATTACTTATGCGATTTCTCCTGCTAGCTACGTCTACGATTAGAGTAATTGCACTTTCTTATTACATTAGCCTAACTCACGAGAAAAAAGAATACCTTGAATATCTCCAGGGTGCCGCAAGACTGGGATCGCATGCGGACCCTGGATGCTTTCGTGAAGCAGGTCGGGCGTCCACTTACCGCAAACAGCTACTTCGATCAGAACCATGGTACTAGATGATGTCAATACTTGAAGATGGACTTTGACTCGTTGCTTTATTTCCGTTTGTCTTTTCATGCCTCTCATCTATCACATCGTGTGCATGACACAAAATTAAGACCGCGAGGGACAGACCAAGTATTTTCATTTTGTACAATCCCGGTCCTCCACCTCCACAGGTCTCGCGGTCCCAAAGTTTGACGTCCACAAAGCCGGCGTCAAGCAGAGCACCGCGGGTCCGTCCGACCCCCGGCCGGACACCGCGCGCCCTCGGTTACAGACCGTGTTACCGCTCGCGCGACCCCAATCAAACCGCGTGGTGCGTGCGGTGCAGTACAGCGCGACCGAAAATAAGGAGGCTCGGCCGCATTCCGCCGCGTACTCGGCTACCTCGGGCGTCGTGGGCTACACGCCGGCTTCGCAGAAAAACGCGAGCCGCCCCCAATCGTCCACGGTCAACGTGGCAGGCGGAGCTTTTCCGAGTGATAGTTTGGGGAAAAACTTTCCGTACCAAATGGGCTCTCTGGCTTTGAACCAGCGACCATTTTCTGCCGAAGCGGCGTTTGGTGTGGGGGGAGATCTGAGCCCGAGCAGCAAAGTTTTCGGCGGAAACTTTTCAAATGGCGGCGCTGTTGCTGGAGAACACATGGAAATGATACAAGACCAAAAGGTACTGTGGAGATACGAATTAGACGTAACAAGTCTTAACCACGCCTCCCATGCCGTTCTGTATTCTGTCGACGATCTTCATGCTATGAATCTATAATTTTTTTGATGAAAATGAAGAAGGTATTTTTGCCGTAAAAACCGTATGCAATCGCAATCAAAACGTTCAGGCGTTTTCCGCGGCTCTGCAAATGAACACGCGGGACGTGGAGAATGCAGAGCAGGTCCCTTCGATGCTAGCGGACATGGTTTTGCTACCCGAGGGCTTCGAGAACCCGTTTTTTCCGCCCGGGCCGGAGCATCCTTCGGCAACGTTATCTCGCGGAATGGAGTCTGCAGCGGTAAAGAATCGGGATTCTATGTTCAACAACACTTATGACGAAGCGGGAAAGGATTCCACGTCTCGGTTCACGCGCAATCCGAAACTCGGTGTGGCGTTCGCCAACCACAAGGGCCCGACCAGCGTGATCGACAGTGCCGTCTACAACACGGACACCCGGGATCCGAACCGCACGCTGTCCCCGGAGCGCTCAACCTCCCCGGAGCACGGCATTACGGAAAGGTCCAAGGACCACCGTCCGAACAATTTGACGAGGTGCGTGAAGGCAACCGCCAATATGCCGCCCGCGGACCTGCCCGGGAGCGTGCACTTCGGCAGCCGGGAGACGGGAAGCGCGCCAGGACGGGCGAGGACCCGACCACACAGTGCATTCATGAACCGGACGGAATTGCTGAACACGGTGTACCAGAATAGTTCCTCCCCGTCCAAACCGCAAGAGGAACTGGTCGTCGGAACGTCAAAAGCCGCCGCCACAAGCAGCACCGCGCGGCAGCGGCGGGTGCCGGTTCCGCGGCCGGATAGCTGCAAGTTCTCCAAGCAGCGCACGGGGCGCGTGGTGCTGAAGCCGCCAGACGACGTCGCCGCCATCGACATGTACGGGAACACCGTCTCGGGCTTCGACGACCGCAATCTGAAGCTCGACTGGAATGTAGGGTCGGTGTTGTACTTGAAGCAGCTGTATCCTGTGCAAAAGTATCGTACTCGTAGTTTAGTAATTGCAATTATACATTATCACAGGGGTAAATGAATCACCTTACAAATGAATCACCATACGGAAAAAAAAAACTTTCCAAGTACCGCAGTGCATGGCCCGGCTCGCACGCATAAGGAAGCGCCCAATATATACAACCAAATAACCTGAAACACAGCGACGCTCCTCAGGAAGGTCGCGCCTTTCTCGATAAGGTTTGCGCTATTTGGTTGGTGGCTACGGGGGACGAACGCAATGGCCATGAGTGGACGCTGGGGCCATCGCGCCTGAATAGCTTGCAAACAACTCGGGGGAAGCATTCGCAACCCAAAATACCAAGCACAAGCCCATTGCTAAAGATAGGAAAAGCGACACCATAAAAATGAAGTGATTACACCTCCATACCGTCGGGCGTAGCGTCCCGAGGGTGTCGGATTTTCTGAAAAAAGCTCAACTTTTGCCAAAAATTCATCTTTTTCGAAGCAAAAAAAGAGGTGTAATCACCTTGCGTTTTGTAGCTATCAATTAGCCCTATGATTCATTTGACTCCTCCCGCTTCGAATCTGCTTGAATCACCCCTGCAAAAAGCCGCGATTTTTGGCATCAAATTGATGCCCGAAACACGTCTTTTTCGCGTCAAATCACCCTAGCAGATATCAAGTGGGTTTGGCTTTTTTTCGTCTGAAACAGGCTGCTCATCTCAAGTGATTACACCTCCACTGTTCCACTTCTGCCACTTGGTAACAGTAGAGTAGGGCAAAAGTAAGAATAGTGCGCCAGTAGCACCATGCGGGGTAGCATTATGCACCACGGTATGATGCTTTGGGGCTGGTCTTGGGGTATCTTCTATGGCATCTTCTGCGCACTACATCTCGCAGCCTTCTCCTTACCAAAATGCGACGCCTGGGGCTTTTGGTCGTAGCCTTCTCAAGCATTCGCCCACTGCAATCTACCGACCAGCTGTGTCTGGCGCGGGGAAAAAAGCTGCAGGCGCTACGGAAGTTGGGGACGCTCCGAATTTTTTTTTTTTCGACCCTATGATTCTTTTGAAAGTGATTCACTTGCTCCTTTGATATACATGACAAGTTGCCCATCTATAGGCAAATCAGCATTACAAATTGGGCTTTTCTTTTTGAAAAAATTTGTAATGCAATTCATACTAGTACGATACTTTTGCACAGCATAAGCTGGAGAAATTGGACAAGGAAGGCGCAGAGATGCGACACCGGCAGAAGATGTTCCGCGAGCACGCGCTGCAGCGCATGCGGGAGAAGCTAGCGACCGTGGGGCCGGTCACGAGCAGCTACGGGCTGGCGCAGCCCGAGCTGCTGACGCATTCGGAATCGTCGCCGTCACCGAAGAGGAAAATGCCGGTCATGAAGGGCATGGGGAAGCACGGAGGTGGTGGAGCCACGACGAGTGTAATTTCATCGGGAAAAACCACCAGAAGTGCTAGGAAAAGAAGTACTTCGTCAACCTCTTCTGGAAGTGATGGTGGTGGTCGTACCGGTGAACAACAATTATCGTCCAGCAGGCCAGGGACCGCCGGATCATCAAAGGGAAAGGGGAAGAACAAATCACCGTCAGAGATCGCGAAAATGGTGAACGAAATGATCATCACGCCGCCCATTCCGCTGCACCTGAAAAGGGGCGCAATTAAGGAGGCGAAGTCGATCAAGCAAGAGCGTGCAAGAGTTCTCGCGGACCAGCAGATGCTGCTTTCGAGAGAAAGGACGTGGCGGGGAGCAAAAGACCAGCGTTTGGAGCGGAATGAGGACGCGGAGTCGAGTGATGACGACGTCGGTGGCAGCACGGGGTTCTTCCTCCAGCAGCGCAAAACAGCAACCAAGGTGATGGGGCTGAGTGGGAAGAAGTACGGGCGCACGGTCGTGCCGGGGCAGCCGGAGGATGAAGACGAGATCTGGCTCAGGAAGATGCAGGCGGAAAAAGCCGGAACCAAGCCGGATATCAATGGAAAAGGTAAGGCAGAATTTTTCTGTCTCATGCCGGGGTCGCGCGGGCGCACTGTCCTGCGGCACTACGACGAGAAAACGGGCAAAGAAGCCGAAGAGGATCTTCCGCCAGAAGAAGCACCCGAGCCGGCGGAGCAAGACTTTCAAGTCTATGCGGATCAGGTTGACGAGGTACCCGAAGACGCCATGGGCGACTTGGAAAAATTCAGCGAGATCCAGGATGCCGGAATGTTGCCAAAGGCGATGGGCCCGAAGCCGAAAAAAGCGGGGAGTAAAACTGCAAAGGCCAAAGCGCAGTTGGCGTCTCGAACCCGCGGAACGTTTCGTTTGTAGAAACAAGCTTGCGAACGTGGAGGTGGACTACCTTTACTTTGGATGCGATGTGATTTGTATAGCATTGAAGGCGGCTTTGATTTTTTTCAACAGAGCAAGGCAAAAACAAAAGCGTAAATGTAGGATATGAAGTTTCAGATAATACGTGTGTCACATCGCGGTTGAGTTTCGCAAAACTTCACAATGATTCTTGCACTCTTGAGTATACTAGAATTGATTCCAGAACAAGAAGACCGATATTGCTGCTGGGTTACAGTTGATATCGACTCTTGCACATATGTTGAACACCACCTGCTTGAGAATATCTGCAACACTTTGGCTCTTGAGCGTACGAAAACAATAAATATTGCGACCTTTTATGGAAGTCGTATATGCTGCTACACTTTGATGCTGTTGCACCGTATCTGCAATGCGTAGATACTAATACAGATGATTATGGTGTTCAACGACAGAGAAGATTCTCGATCCATTTCTGCAGCGCACGGCTACTGATTTGCTAGAAGTTTTGTCTCTTTCTGCATCGATCTTCGAGAAGCTTGGCTTATTGACCTCGATCCCGAAGCGCGCAACATAGTGGCGAGCGTCGTGGGGTGGCCGCTGATATCAAACAAGAAAGTAAGCGCGTTGTACACCAGCGCAGCCCGCTCCTTGATCATGCTTTGCGCTTTATTCATCTTTTTGCTTTCGATGGTCATCTAGATCTACTTTGAGCTCGATCACACTGTTTGTTAACCAAGGTAAATAAAACTCGCTCATTTTTTCTTTTTCCAGATGACGCACTTTTTCATCGGCAACAACAAACAATTACCGTAGACGTAGTTGTGTGTGACGTATCACCTGCCTAAGTTGCAGATGCGTGATTCTTTGGAACGAGGACAGACATCTGGATCTGCTGTTGGAAAGATGATCATTACAATGTGGTGGCTGTGATTTTTTCGCGGTCACACTCACGCAAAGAAAACAAAAGATGCAGGAACTCGACGAGATGACCTCGCCTAGCGAGTGCAGGGCAACTCGCAAGGTCGTTCATTTCGGGCACCAAAACGAGCGTGACCGCTGTACTCTGGAAGCCATCAGGCACGCCGACCTATTGTGTGCCATGCTGGATTCAAAGGAGGAACGGGAAAATCTTGCAGCACGTCGCGAGCAGAATTTCGACAGTGCGAGGGCACGGCGCGAAGAGAATCAGCGCCGAATCAAGAGCCAGCAACAGGAAAGGTCCGGCGAAGCAGCGACATGGAAGCAGAATTGGAAGCAGCACTTCTCTCGTGGCTTGCGAAGTGATGGTGGCGGACGACGGGAAGCCGCCCTCGCCGGGGATCATCATTCGAATGGTCCTATAGTTACATCGGAGAGGCAAGATGCTGATCGTTGCAAAGTTGAGCAGCAATTAAACAACGGGGTAGGTGGTCCACGAGATGTGATCATCGGTGAGTCTGGTGTTAATCCCACGTCGCGGCGAGCACCCAATTCTACAAATTCCGCCACGACAACGACATCAAGAAGCAAGGCCGCAATGCGTAAAGTCGACGAGACACATCATAGGAGGCTTGGCGTCCCGGCAGCAGAAAAGGCAGCAACATCGCATCGTCAAGCTAGTAGAAAAAAGCAGCAGAGCAAAAGGAATGCCGCCCCTGGTGTCGCCCTTCCGGCATTTTTGTCACCGACTGCTAGTAAGTCGTTCCCGGATTTTTATACTACGAGCGCGCTTTCCCTTTCCTGCCCCACTTCGGACTCTCCGCCGTCCAGTGGGTCTTCGCTCCCAAGCAGCGAGAGTGATTGCGCCTCATCTCCTTCCAGCGGTAGCGATAGCTCAGATTCGCCGTCCTCGCGAAGCCAACTTCTCGTGGGAACTTCGCCCTCCAGTAGCTCCTCATGTCCACCTGGGACAAGGATGGGGCTGAGTACTAACGGGGGCGCGCCACGAGGAAGCCAGAATACGTTAGGAAAGGGCATCATGGGGGATGAAGATGCTGTGTTCAGGAAAGCAATTACAGAAGCCTGCCATTTGCGAGCTCAGGAGAAACGGCCGCTCCTGAGTATGCGAGGTACAGATCTTCAGAAATTCTAACAATGTTGGCATGCGTGGCTTTTCAAGCGACTTCTGAACTAGTCTGTTGCTGTCGTTTTTCTAAATCAATGGAGAAAAGTAAAGAGGCACCAATAGTAGTGGATCTGGAATGAATCTGAAGCTAAAACGAAAACTAGGTGCATACTTCACCGGTGGGACGTCACTGGTAAGCGCTGTAGGAACTGCGTTTCAGCAGCAAGAGGCGGAAGCGCTATACAAGTCGCTTTTCAACACCGGTCGGCTGTCTGCGGAATTCTCGCGTCAGAAGGTGCGCTGTTTGATTTCGACCGCGGTAGACCAACTGGCAATTGCACGGGTCATACCAACGCACTGCCTGTCCTTGGAGGGGACTGCAATTGTGGCGCCCACAGCGCCTTTCTTGCCTTCGGACTTCCGATTCCTTGCCCCCGTCGATGGACAAGCTGCCAACGAAAATGCAAAATTAGTTTCTCTTTTCGCCAGCGAAGTCGGAGCTACTAGCTGTGTCTCGTTCACCAGTGCTGGCACCTCCGAAGTGGATGGGCCCGATGACCAGTGTAATTCGGCATGGGACTCGTGGTCTTTGCCTTCGAACTTAATAATTGGGGACGGAACTACAACTGATCCTGCTCGTCCACCGAATTCTGCAAGTAGAAAGAGGAGGAGGAAAGAGGAAGGCCGGCACCTACACGATATGTTCACCCTTAGTGCGGCCGAGATAGCGATGGAAAACGAATACGCCGGCTCTTGCGCACTCCAGCATCGCGAGAAGCTGTGCTGTTTTCTCGACGCTGCCCAAAAGGAAGGAGAAGAATTTGCGGCCGCGAAAAGGTATGACACGGTATTTAGGCTTGATTACCTGCAGCACCAGCACGAGCACCATCAACACCGAGATGACCGAGCAGAAGCTGCGGCGGAGAATCCATTGTCAGGTGATCTTTGTGCCGCGCGCTCCGCCTCACTAGTGAGAAGCTACCGCCTTCGCAACGAAAAAAAGGACGCCACAGCGATTTTTGAGGTGCAAGTTGAAGCCTTTAGGCGTCGCAGTGTGCAGCTAGAAGAGAGGTGGGCAAAGACAAAGCTTTGGGTCGACAAGGAGCTCCGGCACGCCGCGGAAAGAACCCACGACGAACATTTAAAACGCGGCGGTGGCGACTACTTCACCAGAGAGCGAATATATCAGAATGGAAAGGAGCCCTACTCCGTCCTGTATCAGGAGAACGTGGCGGACATCTTGGACACCGTGCAGGCCGCCGATATCACCACGTACCGGGCCGACATATTGCGCGCTCTAAGCGAGAAGGCGCAGAAAGACCACTGGGAGAACGAAAGCGGTTTTCGGAGTCAGCACGAAGACGATGTCGAAGCTCTCGCAGGAGACATGGTACGTGTTTACGGACCGGCACCGCCGCTGAGAGATCCTTGGCCTTTTCTCATTGACCAACGAGGAAATCAACAAGAAGAGCGAAGTGTTGCAACTAAGCACCAGCGCCAATGCGTGCGGTTCAATAGCAGCAACACGAGCTGCAGCACAAAATCCTTTTTCGGTGGAGCTGCGGACAAAGACGTGATTGTCGAGGGCTTCGTGTACCACCCCGATGCTCCCATTCTAAGCGCAGCGGACAGTGAAACGGTAAGTCCATCACCGTCATCACCGAGTCTGTCAAGCGGTAGCAACGAGTCTGGCTCCTCCGGTGGTGCAGCTAAAAGAATAATTTCATGTGGTCTACTGCCAACGAAAAAGTCTACTTACGACCATGTGCAGCCTTCTTTGCTGTCGGTTCTGCGGACGAATCCGAGTCATCGTCCGGAACTGCCGACGGTCTGTCCACCGTACTGTCGCGCGCCGCAGGTGTCCATTCTGAAAGCAGCGAAGCCGGTTGCCCTTCCACCTGATGTGCGGTCTCGCTTGTACCGTGGACGTCCAGTGACGGTAGCAGACTGCACCTGCATCAGTTGCGCTACCAAGTCGTTTTCCGATTTCAAGAAGAAGCGAAGAGCGGGACGAAAACACTTGCAGCGGGAATTGGATTACTGCAGCAAAACCGCAACTGTTTGCGCTAGTACTGGCCAATTGTTGCAACAAGCGACGCCGATATTACCGTCACAAACTTCTTCGTTCGAAATATCTCCAGTGGGGCACGACCAGGGGGTGCCGATGCGACAAGCAGGAAAGATCTATCGACAAGTTGCCCGATCGTTGCCGCAAAGTCTGTTGTCCCTATCCGCTTTGCAGACGCAGCTGCGAAAAACGAGATCTGGAGCGAATCGTGCGAGAGAAAAAAAGCAAATTTGTGCGCATCGCTCTGCCCGCCTCGCGAAGCACAAACAAACCGTGGAGCAGGGCTTTCTCTTGACTTCAGCGAGGTACGCCCTCCGGAGGATAAAGGCACAGAAATTGGGCTTGCTGGGTCCACAGTCCTACAAGTCGAGCACAGGTGGTGAAGTTTCTGCTAAGGCTGGCACAGCCAGGGCGAGCACTGTTGATAAAGAAATCGTCGACCATCACCATGCTCGTCCTTTTACCGCCTTTCTTGGCGCTGGCGCCTCCCGTCACAAGCGAGAACGCAAGAAGCTTGAATGCCGAGATGAACATGCTGCAGTAGAAATCGCGACGAGCTTTGCGGTTGATGCGCCGGACTATCGCCCTTGGCAACACGATCCCCACATGTGGCAGTTAACGGTCGGAAAGGTCAGGACAAAAATCGCGCAGCGCCAACAGCTTGATCGATACCGGAGACGCCCCGAGGAAAACAAAATACAGTGTCGGCACCTGGCAGAAATTTTCTACTCTACGACCGCGACGACTGGCGATGGAGAAAGCGCGATCTCTACGCGAAAAGAATGGGCGAGCGAGACATTGAATTTGAAACTTTGTACCCGTGAGGACCAGCTGAGAATGCGAAGCACATTGCTGCCGCACCCAGCGCTACTGAAAGGCAACCCCGAACTCGCCTTGCTCTATCCACCAGCGGACTGGATGGCAGAAAAGACCGAATCACTGCGGCAGCTCAAAGTTCACATGGGCGTTCCCGCACGAGTCCTGGACGACTTGTGGCAAGGCAACCTCGTGCAAAATGTCGAGGAGAATTTGCGCGAACACAAATTTCGATCCATGAGCAGGCGGAAACGGGACGCAATTTTACTAAAACTCGGCCGAAGGCAGGACGAGTACCGGACGACATTCACGGAGGACAGGAAGGTGGTACGGAGAAAGGTTCGATCGGTCCCCGATCGCTGGCGGAGGCTAAAGGTGAAGTTGAAAAAAGTGTGCAACGCACTTAACTGCTGGCACCCTAGCATAAGAGACAATGGCAAGAAGAACATCGGCCCCAGAGATCAACAGCGCCCCGGGGGAATGGTGATGAAGGGCGACGGTGGAAGCAGGGACGACAACAACACTTGCATGGACATTGAGTCCTCGGCCTCTGAAGAATCATCAAGCGCCCCCACATCGGACACAGAGCTGAAATCGATTGTTGCAAGCAGGACCGATGCAGCAGTGCCACCGGCAGCCAATTTACATTTAGATTCACATCAGAACTTCTCTCCTCGTCATGTGTCTGCTGCTCCGGGTTGTATCTCGCCTACCGATGTTCGACTCCTTCTCCTTCAAGATCAAGAGACGGTTTGTGGCGCGAACTCGACTGAGCCGAAGCCACTTTCTTCGCAGAAAAATTTTCGTACCTCGACCACTACCACGAACATGAGCACTACGGTGGACGAAGCGGCCAACGGCGATGGCAGTGACTGCAGCGCCAGCGCCACGTCAACGTCTACTTCTTCCTCGTCATCTTCTGCAGATTCCGAAAACAAGAATTTTCGCCCCGGAGGACGGCGGGCGTTTCGTGAACAGCTGCAGCGGCTTTACGGGAAGGCTGAGTCCTCGCCTGCAAGAGACATTGCCTCCGATTCGGATGAGGAGTTGCTCTTCCGTGGAACAAGCTCTGGCAAGAGCAGCGACACCACCAGCAGCTTCTCGCTTTCTTCTGACGAGTATGAAGAAATCACACGGGGCTACCGCAACGACCAGCCAAACAATACGGACGACGAAGAGGAGTGGGATGAGTTCCGCTGGAAAGTATTTCGTATCAAATGCGAATATGTCTGGGTCTGGAAGATTCCGAGATTTGTGATGCAGTTTTTCCAAGTTCAACCAATTCTGGAATGCCGGGTCTAGCATCACAGGATCTGCAGCCCCTTGGTGATGCCTGTTCTGCATGACAAATGCCCTCTCAGCATGGCCAGAAATGGGCACCTTTTGAGAGTCACGCAACACAGATTTTGGTATGATTCGCAACATGCATCACAAGTTCGAATCCTTCCAGACCCAGACACTTTTGCAATCCATATTTCGGACGAAGGCACAAAACAAGGCCGCGGAGCCGGACCGATATTTGGATAACCAGGGCTATATCAAGTGTAAAAGTGTCTGGGTCTGGAAGAATGCAACTTGTGATGCTGCATTTGGATTCCAGAAAAATCTGTATTGCATGAGTACCAAAAGGAATGTGATTTTTGCTACGCGGAGAGGGCATTTGTCATGCGGAGAAGGCATCAAGAAGCTCTCAAAAAATCTGTGATGCTAGGGTATGCATCACAGACATCAGGGCTCATGCAAAACGTGCATGACAAGTGTCAGAATCTTCCAGACCCAGACATTTTTACAGTTGATAGGCTACAGCGATGCGAGTTCCAATGATCTGCTAGAAGATGGTGCCGACGAAGTAGACCGCGAGAAAAACTGGAGCGGCGGCGGGGAAAACGAAATAAACTACGGGGAAACTACCAAGAGGCCGGGCCACTTTCATGCAGGAGCGGGCAACAAAAATTACCACGGAGATAGAAAGTATGACTATCATGGAGAGGTGGATGACTCAAGCAGTGAAGACGACGCTTTGAAGCAGTATCTCCAGGAGGACGAAGTTGAGGACGAAAAGTTCTTCGACTACAAGCGTCAGGGCTTTACACACGACAACCCGCACATATTTCAAAATCCGGACTACATCCACCTCGGGGGCCCGTACAGGTTTCGAAAACACAAGCCCCACGACTTCAATTACCATTTGGGCAAAGCGATGGAGAAGGTCGGAAGAAAGTACGAGCGGCAAGCAAGGCAAAGCGGCCTTGTTTCCCGGAGACTGTTCGGAATGCTGGTCAAACAGAGCCGCAAGCATGAGCGCGCGTTACGGTTGCACAGGACGACTGGCTGTAGCTACGAATCCGGTTTGTACTCCGCAAGCAGCGACAGTGAGTTTGACACCGACGATCCCTTCGACTTTTCCTGCTTCCAGGGCGGGGCGATTCCCTTTCCGGATGACTTTCTGGCGCATCGAGCAGGGTACGAGGGCAGCCGGGAGATGCTGAAGCTGATTCCGAGGTTGCAGAAAGCAGGAATGATCAAAAACGTGGACGAGCTGCGGGAGTGCTTGAAGCGCAATCGGCATGGCGCCGGGAAGGAGGTTTTTCCTGTTGCACGAGCTCAAGTGAGGAGCAGGGCTTTCGCTCCTGGTGACGAGCATCATGCTCATTCTGGTCAAGCGCGAACTCCGCTAGAGCGTCGCGCAGCAGGTGAGCGACGTTCTCCGCATGTTAATAATGCTGCGTCGTCTTCCGGCAGCGAGCTTTTATCGTCATCCGATGAGTCCGTTTTCGAAGAAGACGTGGAAGGGTCGGAAGTTGAGGACATGAACCTGGACGCAATTTTTCTGACCGAACAGCAGCAGAAAATGCTACAACTCATCGAGAAGATCAACCATGAGGAGGACGAAGGGCGACGTGTGCCGCCACTGTCCGCATCTTTTGCATCGGATAATTATGCAGCATCTGCTCATCCTGATATGGCTCCGACTCCAAGTACTAGTCTCTCTCATCATCAAGGAGGACGCGAGTGTCGAGAAACGCGGAAGGACCACAGCAAAGGAGTTGCTACAGAGGAGCAGAAGCCTGCGCGTGGTGGTGCTGCAGCGTCCATACCGCCCCATTTGTCATGTGCGTCTACCCCTGTGGTAGATAAGAAAAGTTCTGTGTCTCCGCGGCCAGTAGATTGCCGACAGAGCAACAACCTGTGTAGTTCCCGCGCTGCTGTGTTATTCCCGAAGAAAGGCATTTTGAAGAACGCCACCCAGCCGCTTCCCTTCGTGTACACACCTCCAACATCTTCGGGGGTACTGCAAAAAACGACGGTGCCGGGTGGAAATGCAAAGCCAGGGGAGGGCGTACGACCCCCAGTGAAGACAACATTATGTCGGATCGATTGTAAAAATCCCTATCGGCTACCTGATCCGCCACTTCGTAGCTGGGCCGGTTCCTGCTCTTTCGGTGAGGAGGACGTTGCTGGAAGCGTCAAACTTTCCCTGGAGCGTTTCCGAGATGTGGATCATCACACGAGGAAGGCCGAGCAACCAGCTCCGGCTGTCGTGGGTGACCAGATGATTCGCCAGTCTCGTCCTATGCCCGCTGTTTTTTCAGCAGTTGAAAACAAAGCGGACCTTCTTTCTGAAGAAACCGCGGCGACAAGATCTTGCCACGCGAAAGACCAAGACGATGCGGAGAACGACACGCCGACGTGCCCCCCCACCTCGCCGCAGAGCACGGCGGTGCCGTCACCTGCTCCAGTCAACCACAGCCACGCACTGGATCATGATACTCCGGATGCGGAAGCGGACGCGGACACTAGTGGCGAATCGTCTCCTTCGGAGCATCAAGACGGTTCGTCTTCTTCGTCACATCTGTTCACGTCCTCGTCGGAGGAGGAAGAGGATCGAGATGAAGAGACCGCGTCTTCCTGCGTCAGCGAGTCTGAGTCAGAGCCAGACGATCGGCAAGGTGCATGTGGGACGGGTTCTTCAGACGCCGGCTCAGAGGACGAGGAGGAGGAGGAGCCACTGGAAAGAGCACCAAGCCTGAAAGTGCTGCAACTGGAGCACGGGCGCAGTATCCTCGGCGGCGGAGACTTGTATGGCATGGATTGAGGTTGATTGATACGATGAAGTGTTACGATGGAAGACTCGACTTCGTGTTTGAAGCGACATTGAGGTGTCGATATTTACTTTCCCTGTAGAAAACAAGCCAAGGCAAAAAGCGACAATAACGCATGAAAGAATTTTAGAATTCCCGTGCTAGAGTAAATTGAAATTTGAATACTAGAGTACTATTACGCCGGCGTCCAGGAAGGAGCCGATGTTTGTACTACATGCGAAGCAAAAGAAAGCGCGCAATCAAGCGACGTAGTGATCAAAAGATCTTCATTGTTGTGTGCCTTCGTGCTGCAAAAGTACGCGGGTACCTACTGATGTAACACTGGCGACAATCGACATTTTCTTTTTCGCGTTTGCGAATGATACACGATTTGCCATTTTCGCTTGAAAATACTTGATTGTCGTTGCCTGTGCAGCACAGCAAAACAATCTGAGTTTGTTCGTGTCGTCTTTTGCTCTCTGTGGGAGTGGTGCAGAATTTCTGAGATTCCTTCAAATTAGCTTCGAAGAATGAAAGCAGGTGACATCAAAAGTTAAAAGTTTGGATAAAAAAGCTTTGGACATGAGCGAGCAACATTGCGCGACCTTCTCCTGACGTACCTTTTTACGACAATTTGCTCTGAAAAAGTGCGACGAGAAGAAAAAGGACTTCACAAATTAAGAACATCAAATTGAAGTTCACAAAGCGCGTGGAAAAGCAAAAAAGTGTAAGACAGTAAGTCTAAGCGCACAAAGAAGACCGTACAATATCAAAATGAATGTCAACTACTTCAATTTTCTGTTCTCTCGAATTGTCCAAGCGATAGCGTTTTTTTGGCACGGATCCATCTTAGAAGAACGCAAGCTGAATATAGATACTTACCCCTGTGCAGAATCGAGTAAATCTAGATGGAAAATCTCTAACCTTGGTACGCACCTTGGACGGACACTACACATGGGAGATCAAATCAATTGCTAAGAATAAAAGCATTTCCTATCAATCTGGCAGCTTCGCCAAATCTTCCGTTGTAACCCACATGATTCACATACTTATTCACAGCGCGAGTGTCTGGCATATAGAGGAGACGATAGAGTAAATTTGTTTCACATCACTTTTACGAGTAAGAACCATCTCAGTGCGATATTAGTACCTACACTTTCATCTCTTTCTGCCAATTTGCCGACTCGTCCTTGTTGTCCTGCTGCGTGACGCCTCACAACCGAGGGCTAGCTGTCCTGTTTACGGATGAGATTTTCTGCAACAACAGAAATCTGATGGTGGTATCCTCTGCCACGTAGCTACGTAAACATAGAATGTAGATACAGCCTGCTAGGAACTGCACTGATCAACAGTAAGAATATGGTCCCAGCGCCGCCTTCTTCTTGTTCCTGGAGCCAAGTACTTATCCCACGTACTGTTCTGCGTACATCCTAGCCGGACGAGCTGCTTTTATCAGCGAATAGGAAAGAAGCAGAACAACGAACGTCGCTGAGAAAGTTAAAGGCTACCTTCAACATTTGAAAATAATGGCAAGCGATAGTGACGTGTCAGATATTTCCCTGGTTTCGGCCGGAAAAGAGAAGGACCGCGGCGCAAAACCGTCTGGCAAAGACCACCGGCGAGATCGGGATCGAGACCGCGACAATAGCAAAAGAGACAAGGATCGGAAAGAGCAGCACCATGACAAGAAGCGCGATCGAGAGCGTGAGCGCGACCGGGACAGGACGGCAAAAAGGTCGAAGGACCGCGACAAAGACGAGCATAGAAGTCGAAAAGACACAAAAGACCGCGACCGAGATCGCACGAAAAATAACCGTAGTCGCAGCCGGCCGCGAAAATCGCGTGGCGAGCCGGAGGCAAACGGGGTGAAAGCTCCTTCGAAAAACGAGAAAGCAAGCAAGGAAAAAGACAGGGATACGAAGACGAGTAGCGGTGACAAGACGCATCAACCGCCGAAGACCATCACAACGGCCAACGGCGGCGTGGTTCTGAAGCCAAACAGTTCATCAAAAGACAACAATAAGGACCAGCACGGCAACAAGGACAGCGCTGCTTCTGCGGTCATCGCAAACGGTACGTCGAACAAGGAGCAGATGAATAAGGACCATAGTAGCAAAGATGGTGCAGCTCCGTCTGCTGGCGCTGCACCGGCGCCGCCTCCAGTAGAGCGGAAAGCGAGCGAGGATCTGGCCAAGACCAAGTCGCAAACCTCTTCCTCCGGCCTGAACAAGGCAATTTCCGGGACCATAGTCGCCACCTCAGGCCCCGCGAAAACGGAAAAGGAACTGAAGCACATTAAAAAGACGGAAAGTCTGCGGGTGGAGAAAGAAAAGAGTCTGAACAACCCCCGTGACATCGACACCAGGCCGAAAAAACGAAGTCGGTCGCGCGGGAAAAAGAGCCGGGAGCGCCGCGAGAGGGACGAGGCCGCCAAGCGGCAGCGAGGACAGCACAAAGAGACCTCTAGAGACCGAGGAAAGGAGAAATCACCCCGCGGCCGTGGCGGAGGACCAGATAACCACCATCGTAGCAAGGGCGGTAGTCCGCGAGGAAACGACAGACACCACAAGTCGTCGTACAACAAGTCACCGCGCGGAGGTGGCCCTTCACGAAACAACGACCGCGGTCGCGGCTATCGTGGCGACAGTCGGGCTCGAGGGGGACGCCGCCATAACAGCCGGTCGCGCCAGCGCGCGGGGAGCAATTACAGCGACAACCACCAGCATCACCTGAGCCGCAACAAGAGCGGCAAGGCGAAGCAGAACAGCAAGGACTTCGACGAGCCCTCTTCCGATTTGGATATCAAGGACATCGAAGAGGAGGAACACGTGGAGGAGGAGAATGAGGAGGCGCGGTTGGAGAGGTTAAGAAAAGAGCGACTAGAAAAGCGGGCAGCGATCATGGCAAAACACGCCAGTACCAGCGGCGGCGACCAGAGCTCCGCGGAAAAGCAGGACACGAGGAAGGAATTAATGATCGCACCACCCTCAGTAAACCTATGCTGCTGGACGTCTTTTTTTCCTTTTTCATCACTTTTGTGATTAAAAACGTGAAGATGATCGCGATGTATAGAAGCTACAATCTCGAAGATGTACTGAAGAGCACCTACTTTCTTGAGGTCTTGGATCATGACAATCATGTTCAATGAAAAAACTTTACCAGGTCGACCCTTTGACCGGAACTCCCTACGGCGCGATGGCATCCCCTAGCGCCCCGACGGAAGACGACGAGGACAGTAACGAACAGGAGAACCAACCCCACTTGAACGACGAGCTGAACCGGGAGTTGGGGGCCACTGGTATGCAGGAACTCAACGAGTTCATCCGTCTTTCGAAAAAAGAGGACGAGAAACAACATGACTTAGAGGTGGAAGGAGGGCCGAAAAAGAACTCCCCAAAACAATCAACTCACGAACAGGCCGCGGCGGACAATATGTTCGGCGAAATCTTCGACGCCGGGGACACTGGCCACGCCAAGAAGCTGCAAAACCACGGGGCCGGGGCCGAGGACTGGAACAACGAAGAGGGCTACTACATCCCCAAGATGGGCGAGCTCATCATGGACCGGTACCATGTCATCAACGACCACGTGGGAAAGGGAGTGTTCTCCGGCGTCGCACGCTGCACCGACAAGGCGACCAAGCGGGAGGTCGCCGTCAAGTTCATCCGTACTTTATTTATAAAAGGCTTTTGCTTGCATAAATAATAAGTGAGAACTGCGCAGCACGTGGTCATTGGCTAGTGTTTGATGTTTCGTTGTTTGCACAGAGTATGAAGAAGAAAACGAACAACAAACAGTAATTTCAAATTACCGAGCGATGAATTGAAATGGGTTGATTTCTCGAAATACAGGCGACAACGCTATGATGGCAAAAGCGGCACAGAAGGAGATTCTGATTCTGAAACGGTTGAACAAAAAAGATCCGGACAACCGCCGTTCTGTGATCCGTCTCATCGAGACCTTTGTCTACCGCGGCCATACCTGCATGGTGTTTGAAGCTATGATGTGCTCTCTGCGCGAGGGAATCAAGGCCTTCAGCAAAAGAGGTACTTACTCATTCATCATTTATCATGATAAGATAGATGCTTCATCTGCAAGCATGAGTTCTCCCAAGTTATCCCGCAATATAATAAATATCAAATTCTCGCATTGAGCGGCTTTCATAACAGCGAGGGTTTTTCTTGAAATAGCGCTAGAAGAAAAAGGTGTGTAAACGCGTTCCCACCTTCACGCATGAACACAAACAACAAACAGCAATGGAAGGCACCGAGATGATCTACTTATATTCTAGCAGCTCAAAAAATTAATATCGGGCCGCAAAAAAAAAGAAGTATAAATCATTGAATTCCACCACCTACAGATCGCGGCGTATCTCTGGGTCTGGCGCAACAGTGGACCAAGCAGTTCATGGTGGGCTTACGGCACATCCATCGGAACGGCATCATTCATGCCGATATCAAGCCGGATAATCTGCTGGTCAACGACCCGAACAAGCAAATTCTGCTGAAGATCTGCGATCTCGGCTCCGCTTTGGACTCCCACGAGGTGGAGTCCAACGGCTATCAAGTGTCCCGGTTCTACCGCGCACCGGAGGTTATCATCGAGGCCAACTGGGACGCTAAGATCGACATTTGGAGCGCGGCCTGCACGGTGTGGGAGTGCTTGACCTCCAAGATCCTCTTCAAGGGTGACACAAATAACGATCAGCTCAAGGTGATCATGGACATCAAGGGTAAAATGAGCGGCAAAATGATCAAGAGCGGGCGGTGTTGGAAAAAATACTTCGATGAACCCGGGATGGACTTTGTGTACTTGTTTAGTTTATTTCTTGTTTGAAATTCTTTTTTTTTTCTGAGATGCGACTTTATCACTCTGAATCTTTCTGGGGGCAACGTCGTGTTCCCGCATCCGCAATCGAACGACGCAGATGACCTTTTCAACATGTGAATATAATATTCATATTTATTCAATAAAACAGCCACGTCTACATGGACCGCAGCACTCTGCGGGACACTACGAAGAAGGTTTTGTCCTTCCCTACCAACACGGCTTCGGTGTTTACAGACCAGCTGACCGCGCACCTGGATGCCAAAACCCGTAACAGCAGGGACCCGGCTGCCGTGAAGTACATGCAGATGATGAAGAGTGCGGGCGACTTTATGCACCAGCTTACCACGCTTGACCCGGCGAAGCGCCCGGATGCTGACGAAGCGCTTAAGCATCCGTTCTGCCAAACGTCGCTGTCTTCCAGCAGTAGACATCACCACGGCGGCGGTGGCCAGCACCACCCATCGGCTGGGCCGGGCGGCCATCACCATCGGCGGTAACATAGAACGAGCGGAATTTTTTAAGCCTCCACATGCCTAGCGGTTTCACCACGACAAGAATCTCCTTATTCAGAAAAGAATTGACGAAGAAAGAAAGCGACAGCGACTTCCCGAATTCGAGTTCGAGAGGAACCATCTCCATCAATTTTGCCTCTGCCGCAGCAATGCTTGATAAGAGAAGGGCCTGCAAGAACCTTTTCACTCACCTCTTCCTGCAATTTTCTTTGCGAACCTATAAGTTTCTGCAACTAGCGTGACTTCTGATACCTCGACTGAAGCAGCAACCAGCTGCGAGAAGCAAGCCCGTCTGCGACCTCCCACAAAATGAGGGACTGATGCTAAGAAGCCAAGGTACGGGCGTACAGCAAAAGCAATCTCTCTTGCGCCAATTGATATCCGTAGACTTCATCGAAGACGGATATTATCGCTAATTCCGCTGACCACGACCGGAGTTGGCGGAGGCACTTTTTCACAGTTTTCAACATCTTTCCTATAACTTACTGTCGCAGGCGGACAATGATATTGAAAAAGACAACGACTACATCCAGCTACTTTACTGTTACTTCAACTACTTTTGTTTCGTGAGCGCCATAGCATCATCCCTGGATTCATCAAAACTTGTGAACTATACATATATAACTCTCGAGAACATTCTGAAAAAAGGTCATCTATTAATATATGTCGGCACCACCAGCACTGATCTTCTGCTCCAGTATCAACAAATCTTCACTCGGAACTGCAATACAAATAACTATTCGCCGAAGAAGCAGGAGGCGAGCGAACAAAACTTCCTCTGCTCTTTCGCGAGAGCTTCTTCTTTTGTTTTGTGGTTCAGTAAGTATCGATACCAAATAAACTAGAAAATCTGTCTTCAGCTACTTTTTTAAGGATCGTCAACAAAGTTTTTTATAGCACCAACTAGAACGGCTCGTCCGGAGAAACTACACCTATGGACTCTACTTCGCTGTGAAGGCAGCAGGGAAGAAAGCTAGGATGTGGCTATGTCTGCATCCATGAGCTGTCTCTCTACCTATTTTTACGGCACAAATCTGTAGCATTGGTTCAGATTTTTTCTCACTAGTGGTCCCCTAACTTGGTAGTTAGTATAAAAAGCCAAGCCGTTCGATTCGATTGACAAAGCAGCATTTTAATGGATCTAGTTTTTCGGTAAGCGTAACAGGGAGCTGTGTCTACTTGAGCAGGTAGTACGAGAGGAATATCATGCTGATGAATTAAAGAACTTGAACTTCTGGTACTGATGTAATCTGTTAAACACTCTACCCAGATGTGATTCGGGGATAATGGGTGTGGCCGGCGAAAACTCAACTTTCTGATTATTGGTAATAAAAACACTTTTTCGATAAAGCAATTCTATCAATCCATTTGCAACCAAGCTAGTCAAAAATGCACAAACACACATTTTGCTATTGTCCTCGATCTGTTTGTTATCGTCAAACAGATGAATATGAAATCTCCTCGTGCGCAGTACGAAAAAGAAAAACGAATTGCGACTGCGAGCACCCCCCAACCCTAACATTGCTTTCCGATCCTTTCCTGATGCTGCGACCGCGATGACTGAGGCAACAGGGGTGTGTCTGGAAAGCAATGACGCAACGACCATATCTTTTAACCTTGAGCGGCTAGTAGTAGCCAGGGTGTATTTGCTCATTTACTGCGAGACTCGATCCTTATAGACTGACACAACAACACGACGGAACTAAGTATCTCTGACACCCAACCCCGCCAGGCAGCCTCTGTATCACCCTTTTCTGGTTGCGATAGCTTTAGCTTTGTCAAAAACTGGCTTCATCACGACTGCCATGTACTTTATTTCATTTGTGATTTATTGGGGAAAGAAGCAAAAATAAGAAACACCGATGACGACTGTGATCAACCAACACAGTGGAGAAGTGAAGCAGCAGACCATGGTCCTATCGGTTTGAAAGCACGATGACAACGCCGTATTGAGATGGAAGAAGCGTTGCCAATTCTTCAACAGTGAAGGTTGCGGAGCTGAAAATTGGACGACCGACACAAATCACAAAAACGAACAAAAACGAAAATCAAAAAAACATAATAAAAGAAGATATACCCGTAAAGAGCTTGCCTCACGGGACGGACCCTTGGAACAAGAAGTCTGTCCGCTCTTTTTGCCAACTAAAAAAGTCGTGAAAGTACCGCGTCTAGCGGACGTCTAGACGAGTTCACGGACTACATTATCCTTTGCTTGATTTTGTTTGGCTTTCAACATTAGGAATCTCTCGTCTCATCCTGCTGGTTTTCGTCAAAAATCGTAGACGCGTATTTATTTTCCAACATTGTGATCGCTCTCGCTGAAGAATTCGTGTGATCGTTTCGTCTACCATCTTCGATTCGTAGAGAGAATCGGAACGAACCCCTTGATGAATATTTTTATCGAATTCGGCGTACCTCGGTGCCGTGCTCGTGTTTTATTCGACGCACATAAAGTTGCGTCAATCGAACATACTGCTCTTTCTGTAAGGTTGTTTTGGTTCTCCTCGAATAAAATCAGAATTGCACTAGTGATTTTTCATGTAGCAGTAAGTAGGTTGAAATTTTTTTTCTGAAATTAGACTTAGATTGATCGAACAAAGGTGTTGGGTTCCTCTTTATTCATTGTCTTCTGGTAGCTCTTTAATGCAGTAAAAATCAGACGCTCCTGCTCGAATCAGGAACAGCAGCGGCAAAAGGCGCGAAGCAAAAAAATGCTCGCAGAAAACGAAGCAGTTTCAAACTTTGCGCATACAACGATGATTCATTTTATTTCGCCTAATGGATGAGAATATAATTAGATGTCGGTGATGTTTCTGTTTCATCGCACAAGAATCAGGCGTTTTCTTCACCTGCTGCTCCTCTACCCCAGAGGTAAAAAGGTCTTCATCATTGCGATCGGCCGGGAGGCGTCGAAGAAGGCTCTGCAAAAACTTGACCACCAGCAGGACCGGCAACTCCACCGCCTGCATTCGAGTCACGAGGAGCCACAATGGTACCGGGAGTACCGCGCAAAGAATCCCAAGACCGCCCCGGCCTGGGCGGCGCAGACTTGCAGCAAGCGGGGCGCCGGAGAGTTGACACCCTTCCGCACGGAGCAGACGGGGTGCTGTTGCTGCTGCGTTGGTGACAGTTACAAAGCGGAGTACGCGAGGTTTGCGCAGAACATTACCGCGTCCGCCGAGGAGCTGGTGAAAACGAGTCGGGGGCGCCTTCTGCTGGACACGCGCATCAACTTCCAGCAGGCGAAGGAAGCAGCGAGCTACAGCTACGGGTCGACGCGGCACGTAGATTGCACGTGTCAAAAGATTCCCGGGCTGCCGGAGCACGACCTGTTCGCCGTCGACGTTTTTACACAGCCGACAAACCAACGGGTGACCACGTCAACGACCAGGACGCAGGAGGAGGAGAGACCTGTTTCTTTTCTTGACCAGGAAGATGAGCAGCATCACGCCGAAGACGATCCGCTGCGTTCGTCGCACCCGATGCAAGCTTTTTTTTCTCTGGGGCCGGAAAATAGCCGTGCTCTAGACGACGGCTCGGCTTCAGAGGAAATGGACTCCGAATGTTGTGCGCGATATTGCACTGCAGTCTGCCACGACACGCCCGACCGGTTGCAAGACTACGAGTACGTTATGAGCTACTGGGCGAAACTGGAACAGCGGGGGAACTTCGTCGACCATGTCGGGTGCGAACCGAATGTCGTTAACGACCTGCAATCCCTAACCCTGTCCTGCATCCGCGAAGAGCCAGCGCAGTGGTGCCTGAAGCACGAAGTTGACGGGAAACCCGTGCCGTTACTGCCGTACAGCTTCACCGAGGAAGCGCGGGAAGCGCAGATGAAGTTCGCGCTTGTGAAGGAGGAAAACCAGAACCTGTTTGGTGGACAAAGCGGACTTCTAGCCTGGTTCGTGACTGCGGACAACGCAGATGACGCCACGAAAACCCCTTACAGCGGCTACCACCGGTTGACCCCGTGCGAAATGTACCTCTGCGCGCTTCTGGAGCAGCGAGAAGGGTTTGTTTACGAGGACAGTGGCTGTCCGGAGACTGTGAGCCTGTGGTTTTTGCTCTTGCCCTTGCTCTACATCTTGCCTCTGCTGATTCTCTTGCTCGTCCTGGTGCTGTGTTGCTGTCCGAACAATTTGCTGTGTGATCACTGCTGCCCGGCGTGCCGGTGCGCTCAGCGGAGCAGAAAAGCAAGTCACTACAGTACCGTGGAGAAGGACATGCAGAATGCATCGCTGCGGAATAAAAAAGAGAGCATCGACCTGACGTGGAAGGTGGATCGGGACGACCTGTACAGTGCTTCCTCGCCGTTTAAGTCGTACCCCCCGGAAGAGGCCGAGATTTCGGAGAAGAGAAAAAGCAAACAGATGTTGAAGAAGCAAGAAAAGCAGTTGCTACAACGGCAGTTGAACGCGACAACATCCGAAGAAGAACAATTCGGGTTGATTTACACCTCCTCCGGCGCTGCGTCAAAAAATTCTGCGCTATCTTCGACTTATCCTGACAACGACGGAAAAATAGGTGGGGGATTACAGCTAGAGCCACAAGCTCAGGAGCAGCGCTTTAGCAGCATAGCTTCCGCGTTTGCTGGAAATCAAACTTCGCTTCCGGTATCTTCCAGTGCGACTCGTTACACCGTCGGAGTGGATTACGCGGACTACCCTTCGCAAGGAGCTGTGCGGATGAGCAGCACGCTCGCCAAGGCTGAACCAAAGGCAGATGCGGCCGACCTCCTCGTCCTTTCCGAGGAGCACTCGGAAAAGAAGAAACAGGCGACGCAGAATCACATAGAGCACACGGAGAAATTAGTAGGGTTTCTGAAGGGGAAACGAGAAAAGAAGACACGCCAGCTTACTTCGCCTGAAAGGGAGAAGCATGTCACCAAAGACGACGAGGACAAACCGAAAGACGGTAGCAAGAAGGGAAATAAAAATAAAGATAACGAAGTAGACACGACGAGGTCACTACAGGACGAAGCGGTTGACTTCTCCATAGCAAGAATTGAAATCGATATCAAAAAGAAAACGAGGGAAGCTACCGCGGTGCTGGCGAAGTTTCACCCGGACATTCCGCAGCAAGAAGCAGAGCATCTTGCCGGCTTGCTGGTGTTGCGTAGAAAAGATCAAGAACACGGTAGCGAAAGTGAAAATAAGGCAACAACGACCGACGAGGAGACGGATGCCGATCTCGGCGTGCAAGCAGTGCGTCCGCAGAAGCGAGGAAGTCCCCTGGAGCGACCCCACGCCGGGCACGAAACTGACGTTTGGTGGGGTCGGTACTTCGACAGCTCGGGTGAAAGTGCAGCATCAACCGCCACTGCCTTCAAAGGCAACTTCGCAAACAATCTGGAGTCCCTGGCAAAGTACTTTACCTGTCTGGAAGTTTTATCCAGGGCGCAGGTACGGGACGACAGCCTCGTCGCGAAAATATCCGCGGCCTTCGTCGCGCAGGAGGACGTTTTGCGCACTGTTGACGCACCAGTACCCGGAGAGTTTCTTGCGGCTTTGAAGAGGAAGAATAAAGGGCGAAAAAGCGCTTTCCCAGACGGAAAGGATGCTGCGGTTTTTGACAAGTTACAAACGTGGCGGGACGTGAAGGAATACGTTACGTGTTTGAAGCTGTTTTTGCTCGAGGTGGACAAAATCGATGAAAACGAAAATGATCTGAAGAGCAGCGTCGAATTTTCGCTTCTGCATGAATTTTCTCTGCTGCATCAAGTAGCAGTAGCGTATGCGGTGGGCCAACTGAATACTACTAGTTTGACAGCTGCTGCCGGTGCTCTGAGCGGAGAAGCAAAAGAAAAGAAGACACACCCGTTGGACAAAAAGATCAGCGAGTCGCACTTTTTTCAGAAGATAGAAAAGACGACGAAGCAGACATCGAGAGCAGACACAGCGCAGAAAGGTTCATCGAGGCCGCAGGGGACAGAAAAAGATCAGGTCGCACACGCAGGCGAGTTTTTTGCCTTGCTCGCCTGGATCAGAGAGCGCAAAGCCGAGTTAAGCACCGATTTGTGGTGGCCGTACGGAGACTACGCGGCAGAATTGAAGAAGGCGCGGAAGAACAAAGAAACAAGCAAGACAAAAAAGAACGCTCTGCAACCAGCACACCAACATCAAGATCGTCCCGATGCTGCAGTAGCCAACAATGATAAGCGCTTTCCTGCAATGACAGCGCACGACCCAACGTCACCGGACAAACAAGGTTTGGCGTCGTTGCGCGACTTGCGTGGGGTGACGGCCGGATTGACTACGGCGCTGCTGCAAGATCGTCGGGGCGGTAGAAATGACGCAGGTGATTCAACACCAACTAGCGTGGCTAGTAGCAGAGCGCGACGCAAAAACTTGAAGTCACCACAAAGCTTGTCCAAGAAGAACAATGACACCTGAGCGCTGTTTTGATAAGTATCGTTTCTGTTTCACCTTCAACTTGAATTGAAGATACTACGACGAAGGATTTTTCTGTGCCCGGTCGTTGTCTCTAAACCTTCAGGAGAACATACAACGAAAGCACGGTGGCATAAGAATATTGTTCGAAAGGGTTCAACAAACCAAATCATGTCGTTGAAATTCGTCGTCAGAAGTCGTTGTTTATGCTGCAAAGAGCTACATCACAACGACAACATCGAGCATGCTTGGTCGAGAGTTTAGGGTGGTCGTGCAGGAGAGGAGGTCGACCCGGAGCCGTTTTACCAAAATCAACCGGAATGTTTATTTATGATCAATCCTACAGAAGATATTGATGTCTTGCAAATAATTTCTATTTCGCAGTCGCATTCGGGGAACGGAGTCGTGTTCGTGACCGTCGATGTTGGCTGTCTTGCTGCACCGGAACCAAAATGGATGTTAATGTTTGTGTTTCTTCAACTAGTTTTTCCACCAGGAAGTAGGATGCAGGAGCAAGTTGAAAGTTGTCAGATGAAAGCCGAGCATCAATCGACGTGATCCGTGCCTCTTTTGCTTGCTAATACAATTCAACATCAAAAAATGCATAATTCGCGGAACCGTGGTGCGGGCTACCAGAGCAGTGCGCTCGGACGGCAACAGCAGCGGCAAGGCTGGGGTCTGGGGACACCGCAGCAGAACCGACGGCGCAATTCCCAAGATCAAGGCGAGTCAGCCTGTATTCGAAAATAATGTGTTCAGTTCTGAAAATGAAAAAGGAAAATGTAGATGTACTCAAACAACTCATGATGATGACTCTGGAACGCGCAACCATGATCATGAGTTCGTCCATTGTTATACATAATGACTTCGCGTGTCGCAAGCGATGAAACAAATGATGAAAATCAAAGAAACCACCCTTCCTCACCAGACTCAAGCGGAACAACCGGAATCTCTCGGTCCACCAATGGCGCCACTTCTCGGGTATACAGTACCTACACTGGTGTTCGGGGGAGCCAATTGGGCGGGAGCCGTAAACCCACCCCGAACAGCAACTCCAGCTACGGGTACGGGAGCGGGAACGTCAGCAGCCAGTGGGAGCGCCACGAGCAGATCAGCAGCCGGCACGGAAAGCGAAGATCCCACTTTGGCGAGGGCGTGAATTTCGACAACCTCGACAACCCCTCTGCGACCAGCTCCTCTTTTGTGAGCAGTAGACTCAACTCCGCAGGTAACGGGTTGTATCACGGCGGCTCCGCGCAGAGCTTTCGGACGCGAAACACGGCAAGTCGTGGTCCGCGGATGGCGGGGCCGCAGGCGCTCGCGGGAGAGTTCTCACCGCCCTCGGACGACCGCAACGGAGGGGGCTCGGACGACGAGGAAAATGACAACAGCAGTACCGAGGACGTGTTTATTGGCAACAAGGAACTCTACAACACGAACAGTTCGATAAAAACAGCAGGCAGTGGAGGTCCGGGTGCGCCTGCGAACAACATGCTGTTCAACAAATCCAAGAACAACGGGCTCCGCCCGGGCAACGCAGCGAGCTCCGCTTTGTCCTCTCTTGCCTCAGCCTACGACGCCGACCTGCTGAGCCTGGTTCCCGGCACTGCCCCGCACCCAAACTCGGCGGAGCGGAACCGCAGCCGCAGGCATGAGTTCTCCAAGGCACTGCAAGTCAACGAGACGGGGGACGTGCTCATGAAGCAGCACGGCGGAGGTGCAGGTGGAGGTGCCGCAGCGCAAGCATCGAGCACAAGCGCCGCGGGATACAATAGTAACTCGTCAGGTGGAGCTGCACCCGGGAGTGGACTTTCCGTCGGCGCTTCAAATGGTAATATTAGCAACGCGCTTCGCTACGAACCCTACAGACAGCCTCTGCACGCCGCGAAACAAGCAAATAACTACACCGGAGCAAGCGGTAGCCAGGGCGGCCAGCAGAATTCAGCAGGATCATCGTCATCAAGCAGCGGGGTAGGGAGCAGCAGCAGATTCATGAGCTGCAACAAAGTAGGAGGTGCAGTGTCAAACTCAAATGCAAGGACTAGCGGAAAGCAGCAAGACCAGGGAGCAAGTGCTGGACAGGTTGGAAATACATCCAGCATGTCTTCCACCTCAGGGAGCTCATCGAAGCTTACATCGACTTCCGGTGCTGGCTACAACAGCTCAACATCGTCATCCTCAACCGGGCTCCCGACCTCGAAGCGGTATGGAGGTGTAGTTGGGTCGAGCGGCAGCAAGCAAAGCCAAAGCTCGCCACTGTCGAATCAGCAGACGACCACTGGGGTGGGGGGCTCGTCATTGGGCCACGCGGCGCATCCAAGCAGCCAGAAAACAAGTCCACTGGAGAAGTCTGCCAATGCTCAACCCACCCCCCAAGGAGGTGGACCTTGTTCCGGTACCACACTAGGCTCCCCTGACACGAGTCTCCTGCAGCAGCGGCCGATCGGAACCGCACCATCGCAATTCTCTTCTTCCAGCTCCTCATCTGCCGACCCGACCATGGCATTCTACAGCAGCAAAGAGTCGGCTGGTGCACACGGAAGTAAATCCTCAACTGGGATGGACCACAGAGGGGGACATCTTCATCATCAAAATGCGGGTTCTGGTTCTTCGGTTTCGGCGGCCAACTACAGTTCTTCTTCGAGCGGCCAAGGTGGACAGATGCCCGGAGCCGCAGGTGCCACGTCGTCGGGTTCGAGCAGGAAGCATTCTGCGGGGCACCGGAAGAACAAGAGCAGTGAGAATTTCTTCAAAGAGACACTGAATCCCACGGAAGTTTTCCCTTCAGCTGGTGGAACTGCTTCCGCGTCGTCTTCCTCTACAACGGTCGGGGAGTCAGTTTCGGTGGAGAACAAGAACAATTCCTCCTCCTGCAACACCACATCCAGTTCGTCCGCTGGCACCGGTTTTCAAATTGCGGTCGAAGCTGACACGGCAAGCAAATCCACGGCGTCCAGCACAGCGGAGCATAATTTCACGCACGACCCCTACACCACGAGCTCGCCCGTCGAGCAGAATTTCGAAGAGATGGAGCGCGTCTTCATCCAGGACCCAACCACGCAGAATTATTACACAAACGGCGGGCCGTCTTCCGCTTCCCAAGCAGAACGGCCGAGGAGTGCGCCGAAGACCGGGGGTGGCAGACCACGCAGTGCGCCAAAAATGGGCGACCGCGACGCCCAGCGGCCGCCCTCGCGCGGGTCCTCAGCGCGGCCGGAACGGGGAAGTGCCGGTTTCGGTCTGATGGACATTGGGGCCGAGGAAACTGCTTTTGGAGCACAGGCCAGTACCAGTGCGGGCACTTTGAGTCGGCCAACCTCCTCCCACGGCGGGCACGCGGGCGCAGCGGGTCTGCATCACAGCGGCAGTGCAGCAGGCGGGGAACAGATCGACCGCGTTGCAATGATCGAAGCGGCATTTCGAGAGCGCTACTACCGCAGGGAGGAGCGCCCGGAGAGCCGAAAAGGCTCCAGGAACCGTGGCATCGACCAAGATGGGTTGCTACCGACAGGGCCGGACGATGCGGATGTCATTCAAAGCATTGAAAGCACGGATCTATCGTATTATCATTACACAAAAATCATAGATTGCTGTGTCTACCGGCATTCACGATTACGATTATGCTGCATCTGTATCGCTTGTTTGTGCGTGTTGTTGCTGTTTATTGTCACTTACTTACGTGTTGTTGTTAATGTTTATTGAAGAAATAGTACTACAGGCACTGTATTTCTTCTTTACACTGTGAGGCGTGCAGAACACAGAACTCACAGCGCAACTACTAATTTTTTCTGCCAGGTACCAGAATGCCAAAACTGCCCATGGAATTGCTGCGGCGGAGAACAACGAGGTCGGCGGCAAGCGGATGAAGCGCCCCCCTTCGCGCAAGAAGGATCCGTCCGCCTCGGCCGCGCAGGGACTTGGGGGCGCCGTGACGAGCAACAAGCACCAGCCTGACGACGCTACGAGTAATCGACCCGGGTTCGCAGTCGGCAACAGACTCGGAAAACGACCCCCCAGTAGGCACAAGGAGCCACCACAGGCGTTGCATCTGGAGTTCGAGTTCCAGGACTGCTCAGTGGAAGAAACAATTGATTTGCCAAGTTCAAAAACCATCCAAAGAAGCGACTCAGCGGTATCGTCCACAACTAGCCACAACAAGTTTTGTTTCGTGCCGACGCGTTTTTTTTTCTATTTATTTCCTTTCATCTTTTTCTCTTTGACAGTGCAAGTGCTGTCGCTACTACCTAGGCACGTGTTTCCAATTGACACAAAATAACAGGCGGCGCTTCGCACGACTTGTCGCTGGGCCCAGGCGGTTGAGGACGAAAATGAGCTCGAAACTAGTGACATTGCATCGGATTTCGAGAAGCCCCCTAAGCCCATGCCCTCCGCGCTCGGTTTGGGTGAGGAAGAGACGTTTCTCGGCGAATCCAAGAAGAACCAGTGGGCTGCCGCGACAACCACCGGCTGGCTGCAGCGACAGCCTGGAACGGCAAATACCTCCGCTGCCGCCGACAATGCGGCGTCGGGGTTGGGTGATTGCACCGGAGAAGTGCCGACGAAAAGCAAGCAACGACCCCAAAGCAGCTCCGCAGGACTGAGCCGGCATGTGAACAGGGTATCTCGAATGCCAGTCTGATCCTGATGCAAGTAAAGTTAAGTAGTAGTTTCTTTCGACGTCCTTTGAAATGGTTTTACTTTCTACGTGCCTAAGAAAGTTTCCTTTCCATCCATGATGATATGACGAAAACCAATATGAGAGTGATATCTGAACAAACCAGGAGAGCAAGGGGAGCTTGGCCATGCAGGTTGAAGACGTCGACGTCGACAATGTGCCAACGATAGTGTGCACGAAGCCCCGACCTCAATCGTCTTCTTCGAATCGCAGGTTGCCGTTCCATACCAGTCTCGACCATGATTTTCTGGACCTGTTTGCTAGCTAGTTGAAGGTGGAAATAAACAACCCTACCCCGAGCCCTACAACTAGTTTTCATCCAGTGCGAAGGTGCCACATCACTACCTTGTGGTACCTGCGTGGGCTCGACTCTTATTTTCTTGCGCAGCTGCTGCATTCAGATTCACTAGTTAAGGATCGACGCAATGAACAAAAACAAAAAATAAATCTTTTGTAGTGAAGATCTGACTGGGCAGTTTGCGTTGTTTGATTTCTGCTTTATGTTTATTTCGCTTTTTAGTTCGTTGATTCGTTCCTCATGTATCTAAGACTAAGTCGATGGTAAGTGGCCACCTTCTCGGCTTGGCATGCGCACGTGCGGAAGCGAACACTAGACGCGCATATAACAAAAACACCTATGGCTATGAATGAAATGATTACATGTTGTTTGACTGTACCAAGGTGAGCGAAGATAGATTGTACCATAACTTCTTCTATCAATCAAATTTATGAGCGAAAACAAGGTTATTTCGACCCGAACCAATGTCGACTCCCGATAACTCACAGTGGATCCGTTCTTGGATCGTACAAAATGTCTACGCCAACGGATTGACTCCATGATTTCAGCGCAAACGGAAATAGATGTGTTATTTCCTCGATGATGATTCTTTGGAGACCATACGCATACCAGTCTGCGTTTCCACAGTTGTTCCTCTTGTTTTCGGAAATGAAGAAATTCCATCGCGTTCTTCACATGATGCACTGGCATTGGGGCCGCCTGACTCGGAAGCGACTCTGGAAGCGTTTTTTCCTGGTGAAATTCAGGACGAATAGGCGTGCCGTACGATGCTCTTCGTTTTGCATGGGAGGTTGGTTCTACCGTTGAAGCTGCTTGCTTCATCACACACGACACACAGTGCCCAAGCATTCATCGTATTGCGCGAATCAGGCATGCAAGCTCAAAAAGTGGAGCTAGAGAGAGACGAAAATATGGCAAAGCGGGTTTTTTCAGTGACGTTTTCATACCTTGCTGAAGGTGCTGCTCTTTCGACTCTTGTGGTTCAAATAATAGGTCTCTGGTTTGTTTGCTGTGTAATGCTAAGTAATGTGTTCGTGCGTTTTGGTGTTCTCTACTACAACTACTTACTTATTCCGCGCCATCGGCAGCCTGTGCCACTACGACGTCCGTGCAGCTACCGCTGCAGCTGTAGAAGTTCCGAGCGAGACACAATCTTCTTCAGTGCACATATACGTACCTACAGAGCCACAAGCACAATTTTTTTGAACTGCGCTGCACATTGCGCATGCTGCTTTGATGATTTCCAACTGTGGTTCGCCAACACCGTAGTCCTCTTACTGTAAGTGTAAATAACTCCAGGGCGACTGATGTGTGAAGCCGTATACGGAATTTTTGAAAATATAATACCTCGAAGCAGCTCCTGAAACCGAAAGCAGGACATACTGCCAGGTTACGTATTGAAACCAAAATTTCACCATCGACACCGCTATCCAAGACCGCACAAGAAGTGCATTCGCAATCGCATTCCTGGGCCGACCGATACGAGTCTCCGTGTACCACCCCACTCTGGATGCCCCTCTGGGACATTTCTCCCATCAGCACTTTCTGCTGTGGGCTCTCGGAGGAGAGCAGCGCGACGACGATCCCAAGAATAGATGCCGGTTGGTTCGACGAAGTCCGCAGGGGAGCAGCCTGCTCCGCTCGGCAACGGTGGAGCCCCAGCCACGGGTGGCGAGGCCGGCGGTGCGGCGTCTTCGTCCCAGCAGCCGACCATGACACGGCAAAAGTCGAATCGCTTTAATCCGAGCGCATGGGCCGAACAGCGGAAAGAGCGCATTCAGAAAGGGGAAGAGATCCGGCAACAGAATCGGACGCGATTGATTGCAACGGGCCAGATTGGCTACCAAACCACCTCGGGCGGCGGAACCACCGGCACCAGCAGTAGCTCATCCTCGTCCTCTATCAAATGCAAAAATGTCTGGGTCTGGAAGAATGCGCGATTTGTCATGCTGCTTTTCCATGACCCATGAGGTCTGGAATGCAGGACCTAGCATGACAGATTCTGCGAGACCTTTCTCATGCCTATCCTGCATGAGAAACTCCATCCCGAATTGGTCAAAACTGGACGACTTTTGGCAATCGTGCAACACAGATTTTTGCATGCTGCAGATTTAGCATGACAAGTTGCAATCTTCCAGACCCAGACACTTTTACATTTGATATCCTCGAGTATTGGGCCGGGAGCTGTTTCTTCCTCAGCCTCCGCTGGCGTTATCAAATGTAAAAATGTCTGGGTCTGGAAGAATGCAACTTGTGATGCTGCATTCGGATTCCAAAAAAATCTGTATTGCTTGAGCAGCAAAGGGTTTTTTTTTTTTGCTACGCGGTGAGGGCATTTGTTATGCGGAATAGGCATCAAGATGCCCTTAAAACATCTGTGATGCTGGGGCATGCATCACAGACATCACGGCTCATGCAAAACGTGCATCACAAGTCTCAGAATCTTCCAGACCCAGACATTTTTGCATTTGATAGGCGTGGAGCACGCGCAATCTTACCACGGCTCTGGGGCCGCGAATCCATACCTTCCCGGGAACTACACCGCCTCAAGCAGCTCCTCCAGTAGCTACGCGGCAAACGCAAACCACGCACAGGAACACTACCATTACACAAATCATGCCTCCTCGTCATCGACGTCGAATATTGTGGGGAGCCCCACGCCAAGCAATGGGGGCGAGCCGGTCTTCGATCGGAAATATTTGAACAGGTACGACGTATAGGTATACAACAAGAGGATGAAAATGAAGATTGGTGTTGAATAAATTTTGTTCTGCTGGCAGCGCAAGCGCTACCGCAAAATATACTTAAGTCAGTTGACTTCTTGTGCTTTGTGTTCGTTATCCTAGCAAACTGATCCTTTTGAGTCACAGTCTCATTTATTGGGCATTCTTGTCATTCTTTTCTAATTCCAGGTATGAGCATCAGAACTACCGGTATGCGCGTTCGGCGGAAGCGGACTACGACCTTGAAGGCGCAGGCGCGGAACTTACGGGGAATTCAGGAATCAGCACCTCCCCTCAACCAGCGCCTGCCGCCGCCCACTTACCGCCACCTCGCAAGTTTAATCGGGCCGGGGGACTGGATCACGTCGAAGACGCACCGGTGCAACGCTCGGTGGCTAGTACCACGTATATGTGGAAGTTGTTTTTTTTTCTCACAAGATTATATATATTTTGTGTTTACATCTTATCATATTCATAGTATCTGTCTTCTGCGCCGGATGGAGTCTGTCGGACCTGAAACTACTGACACCAGGTCCTACACTCTGGACTCTCCCCCTGGCGTCGGTCATTCAGGCTCGCACGTACAGCTTGAAGATGTCGTCGCCCGGCCCACCAGCAGCTCGTCAAGACGACTTGAGCAGCGGAGCCGGCCCTCGCCGCCAAAAAACTTTCCCGCTTACACAATCGACGAGGAGCCACTACCTTCGACGAGCGCGCAGTTAGGAACCACCACCACTGCAGTAGATCCAGCGACTTCGCTTCAGGTAAAGCTGAAGTACATATGGTTGCACATGGATTTGCGCGATGTGCTTTCGCTATGCGTCTGTAGAAGGTTGCACTTGCAACTTTTGTAATCATGAAATTTTCTGACATTTTTTTTGATTTTCAGCGCGAGCGAGACCAAGACGCCGAGACAGAACAGGCGTGGCTTGGAATGTTGCGAGGCGGCAACAACACGCACCAGTCCGAGGACCCATTGGTGTTCGGAGCGCCAAACCCGAATCCCAAGCCTGCGGTTCCTGCAGCTACAGCTACGAGCGGAAACAAAAGACGGAGCGAGCAAACAGGGGGAAGCTCGTCTTCCACGGGGACTGTGCGGAGGTTCGGCGCAAAAAAGCCCGGGGCAGGTGCGAGCGGTGGTGGCGGAACCGGGGCGGCAAGTGGTGGCGCTGCTGCTTCGAACTCGACGACAAATAACAATACGCCGGCGGTGGGCGTAATGCCAGAGCACATCAAACAAAAGATAAAAACGCGAGAATCTTTGCGGAAGAATCGGGAAGAGTCCATCAACAGTGATACAGAACAAGGTAAAGGATAGAATCTTTTCATCCACTTCATCATCCTGGAGTGACTGTTGAGGAATGATCCATCTGGTTCTCAGTAGAAGCTCTTTCCTGCTGTCAATACCTCCTAGCAAGAACATCAAGCTGCAAGGAAAAAAAAAACAAAACACGACAAGCAGTCGGCGCTACCAGTTCTGGGGGTCTGGAGCAGGAGTCTACGATGCTTTTCGAAGGCGACCACAACGGCGTTACCCCGTCAAAGGAGACGAATCCCCTAGACCACAGCTCCGCAACGTCGTCGAGCCAGGGTACGACCAACACCAGCTTCCCCCAGAGACGGAGTACGCGCAACAATCCGAAGTTAAAAAACTCACTCTCGACCTCCTTCAACGCGGCCCCGCACCAGCTGCAGCGGGCGAATACAGATCAAGTGAACAACTCCACCACGACCACGACGTCCCACGCTAGTGGCACGACCACGTCGTCCGCAGCGGGTGGCGCTGCTGCAGCGGCCGCGACGCTAACGACGCACAAGCACCGGATAAAAGCCTCGCATTCGCAGTCCGCCAGTCATTTGTCAACCTCCATGATCGACCAGGATTTCGGCAGCACGGGCACGTTCGACCCACAGAACACGTCTTCGGGGATATCCTGAGCAAAAATGTACCCACCCCAGAGTTGTCATGCAGATTTGCAATGACAGGAACATTTGTAATGCGCATCTCCAGGAGAGGCATTTTTAGTCGTGTTTTGGAATTTGTAATGCTGTAAACAGGATGAGCAGATGGATTTCTGATGCAGCTGGCCTTGCGAACCTGCACTACACTACGGACTGCAGCTTGTGATGCGTGACCCCCAAAAGTTCTAGGTTTGTGTTGCAAAATCCCCATCTTGACTCTGGTGTGGGGATGTTTTTACTCAGGATAGGGGACGATCAACCTGCAAAATCCAGGCTCGACGCGCGGAAAGGGACCGCCACCTGGCGGCGCCAACGACGACGACGAGCGCAGCTTCCGCCAAATGTTCGACAAGAACACGCTGCGCACGGAAAAGGGCGGCAAACTCTTCCAAGCAGTCATTGACAAGGTGCGGCAGGGTGGACTGCCCGAAATAGCACCGCCGCCGCAAGACAGTTTGCCGCCGTTCAAGGGGAGCGCGTCCGTGAAGGTACTGCCGATTTCTGTCGAGAGTGATTCGTGTGCGGCGAAAGCGAAATAAGACTCAGTCTCAGAGGGGGGTTTGAAGTTGTGAGACTTCGAGTTGTTGTAAAGAAGGTGACGTCGCAAGTAGTGGCGCTTCTCTGCAGAAAACTTGCTTCTTTCGCAGACCATAACTTTCCCCCCCCCAACAACTTTGATAGATCCATCGATGATGTTGTTTGGCGTTCAGTCTATAATGACAAGTAAAACAAAAACTACACGATCACAGGTTTTTGTTCGGAAACGGCCCATGTTTGAGAAGGACATCCGAAGCCAGGACTTCGACACGGTGACCGTGCACCCGGGACATGTGGACGTCCACAATTGCCTCTATCATGCGGACTTAAAAACCCAGTTTGTGCAGCACAACAGTTTCCACTTGGACATGTGCTTTGACGAAAACGCAACCAATGAGTGGGTATTGACACAAGCAGAAGGATTTTTTTGTTTTTGTTGTTTCAGAACGTCAACCTAGTAAGAATACGTGTTGCTGTTGCTGTTCTACCTCACGAGTGTAAGGAACCTGACTTGATGTTGATGTTGCTGTGTGTTTGCGTTTGTCAATGCTACTCCTACTGTTCCGCCTTCTCAAATTCTCAAAACAGGTCTACCGCGAAGCCGCCTTCCACCTCGTGGAGCACGCGTGCAAGGGCAACATCAGCACGATGTTCATGCTGGGCCAAACCGGTAGCGGAAAAACCTACACCATGACCGCTATCGAATCGCGTGCCGCGAAGCACGTCTTCGAGCATTCAAGCAAAGCCGCGATCCAATTTTTGGAGGTGCGGAACAACAGGGTCTTTGATCTGCTGCACGAAACCGGGGAAAAGGAGGTCAAACTCCGAGAGGTCGCGAGCGGAAAGTACTATCGGTTTTCATTACGATTACGACCTGATTTCCTTTTTTAAGAACCTAAGAAAGGTCTGATTCACGAGATAAAAAGAGAGCATCTGCGGCGATTTATGGCCTGATGCGAACAAGCCAACGCAAATGCACAAAAGTCGCTCGGGGGACCACCTTTATTTTCGATCATAGCTTTCACAAAAGTTGTATCTCTTCATTTTTTTCACAGAAGAGGGGTCCGGGCCACGAAAATGATAGGTACGTGATCCAAGATGCGTACGAACTTGAGTGCTCCGCTGCTACGGAGCTCCGCGCCTGCATGCAGATCGGGCACCACCGGAGACGGACGGAATCCACGGACGCCAACGACACCTCGTCGCGATCGCACGCCCTGTGCTTGATCCGCTTGGACAACGGGGGAAAGCTGGTTTTGGTCGATTGCGCCGGCACCGAAAGGCGGAAGGACTCCATGTACCATATCAACTGCAAATATGTCTGGGTCTGGAAGAATACGCAACTTGTAATGCAGGTTTTCCATGACCCATGAGATCTGGAATGCAGGACCTAGCATGACAGATTCTGTGAGATCTCTTCACTTCTATCATGCTTATTCTGCATGAGAAATTCCCTCTCAACCGGATCACAAATGGACGGCTTTTGGTACTCATGCAACACAGATTCTTGCATGATTCAGATGTAGCATGACAAGTTGCTATGTTCCAGACCCAGACATTTTTGCAATCCATATACCATACGCGCGAACGACAGCAGGAAGGAGCCCAGATCAACGCGAGCTTGCACGCGCTGAAGGAATGTACGCTGCTCTGCTTTCGCATTCTTTCATTTTTGTTATGGCTTTTGCTTTTTTGCATAATGAACACTACTACTGGAACTAGCTCTCCTACTCACTAAACTTGATAGGAGAGGTGCATCGTTGATGCACCGGGGCCACGAGATGGAAGACGAAGAACTTCCACGTCACAAAAAGAAAAAATTAAGGTATCCGTCACAAAGCGGACACGAACCTTGTCCCCACGCACGTCTACCGCGCTTCCTGCCTCACGAAGCTCCTTGCCGATGCCTTTCAGGACAACGGGCAGTTGTGCATCTTTTGTACGGTCAGTCCCTGCGCAACGGACACAGAACACAGCATTTCTACCCTGCGAACCGGGTTCGCCCTTACTGGACGGCCGGGCATCTACACCAGGATACTAAAGCAAACGGAACTAGAAAAATTCGTCAATCCTGACCCCGTGAAGCGCGCCATCCCCCCGCAGAAATGGGATGTGAAGCACGTGCAGGCGTGGCTGCAGTCTGTATTTTTTGCGCTATGATGTTGTTGAGTTGACAACATGTACACGTTAGCTTCGTTTTTTTGCAACAGGGCTAGCAAGCTCGTCTAGCTGCTTTTTCGATAACACAGTACCACTTCGTTGAACTCTTCAAAAAATTTTCTGAACGTCTTCATTCAGATCTGCGGCCCCGAAGCTTCAAGCCTGCTCCCAGCCGGAACCACGGGTCATATGCTGGTGCGAATGCCTGAGCAGCGGTTTGTGCAGCTGCTTGGCTGTGCGCGGAAGGGACGGAAGCTGTACGACGCTCTGCGCGAGGAGATTTCCGCAGCTAAGAACAACTGAGGTGCTCGAGAAAGTCTCTGATTCGAAACGAAAAAAATTTTTTGATGTTGAATCAATACTATAAGTACAGAACAAACAACTGGATGCACCACAAGTTGCAGCAGAATTGGCAAGCCGACCTCTGGCCGGGAGAGCCTGCGAGTGCCTTCCTGGTTAGATTCATTGCCTTCCATTCCTTTGGTTGTACCTCGGCACGAATTTAGGCTTATGGTACAGTTTGCAATTCTGGTGTTTACTCGCTCTCGCTTGCTATCGATTTACTTTTTGAGAACAAAACTAGGAAGAACACGTTATTTTTTGAGAATTCCGAAACAAAAGACCAATCAGTGTTGAAACCTCTTTACTGACCAATACAAGAAGATCTAGATGAAAAGTACTTAGCAGCAACACCTTCAAATCGAATTGCCATTTCGAGAAGGGTTCAAATGAGTATAGAGTTTGACTCGCATCGCAGGCTTTTTAAACTCGATGGGTTTGAGCACATGGAATGACTCGAGACATCATAGATAGTGTGTTCTAGCCTGCGGGGCGCCGGATTATTGGCCGGACAGTTCAAAGAAGCGGCCGGAGCCCAAGCCGCTGGACTCTTTGCCCAACAATCTCCACGTTTATGGGCCGCAGGCCTCCCCTCCGAATTGGGGGGAGCGGGAGGCGTTGCACTGCTGGACCACCTCGTTGCTGGAAACGGTTGAGCCGTACGTGATTCCGGTGGATCAGGATTCCTACGCCTTCGCCCCGCAAGCCGCTTTCCAGTGGCTCGGCTGGACCCCGCTGTTCGACAAGCTCAGCGACAGCCCCACAGCGCAGGCGGTTTTCTCCAACAAGATGCTGGAGTTCCTGTGGGGCCCATCTTTGGGAGCAGCTTCACTGCAGGGGCCCTATACCTTCCAGCAGTGTCGGGACCTCGGTTGGACTACCGTTGTTCGGCGTTTTCCAGAGTCCCAGACGTCAAAAATTCGGTCCATCGACCCGTTCTGCCCGCAGAACGAGGTCTCCAAGCTGGAAGAAGACCATTAAGAAGTGTCGAAAGAAGGAGCAGGAGTACTTGGATCAGGTGGAAAATTTCATTTGCAACGACGGCCCTCCGCCGTCGCCCGACTTGTTCATCGAAGGCTTTTTTCGCGGTCTTTTTTCGCGGGGCAGCTTTTTTCGCGGTCTTTTTGTGTTCCTGTTCTGGGCTTCTTCTTGGGGCCCTTCGTTCTGTTTTTCCAGTTTAGCGAAAACAAGATGAAGGCAGGCCCTCTGTATTTGCCCGGCGTGGCCAGTCACCTTCCTGCAGCCCAGCACAACCTGCAACAGCCGAAAGGGAGACGCGTCAAGTTGGGCGCCCTGGAGACAGAGGCGGACCCGGGTCGCCTTCGTCTGCCTGTGACTGAACCAGCGCAGCCTCTCGGCCGGCACGCTGGCAGGCGGCCAGCCCGCGCGGGTGGAGGGGCAGATGTGTCGCCGGGGCGCGCCATGCCGGTCGGAAAGCGGAAAGCGGCCGCCCCCCGGCACAGGCAAGGGGGCGGGCTGGCGTTGCTTGCCCAGGCAGAGCGTCATTTCTCATCTCGTAGAGAAGCGTCATTTCTCATCCTGGTTTTCGGTTTTATCTCGGGGTCGTTACCCCGAGGGGAGTGAACATGCGCGTCATGGGCCGCGCATTCTTCTCGGGGACAGTTCTTGGTCCAACCCAAAAATTAGCAGTCTGCAGCGAGAAGTTATGAAACTCGATGGGTTTGAGCACATGGAATGACTCGAGACATCATAGATGGTTCAGAGAAAAATGGACTGCTGTCGATCGCATACTTACGTTGCATATAATCGCTGTCACATAGAATTTGGAAGGGTAAAAGATCAAAATGATTTAGCTAAAAGTGCCCTTCCACACAAATATTTGACGATCTTCGCCGTAGTTGAGCAGATCCATCAAAACAGCGTCTGTCCTCCATGCTACTTAGCTGAAAGATGAATTTGGAATGCATATGCATAGTGAATTGTTCGAGCGTCCGTTTTTACCTCTACAACACAGGCAGGAAGGCAAATTTTTCTATCAAATAAGGATCGCAGACGCAAATGGTAGTTGTATCCGTGTGAGTTCCTCTTTTCTTTGCGTTTAATATCCGAACAAGTGCAAAAAGTCTTGGCAAAGATCTTATCTTGAACCACAGCACAAGATCATGGTTTTCTCCCCGTGAATTCATGGTCAGCTGCACTTGAAGACTTCACTTCAAATGGCTCTTAGCGATGATGTGACGCAAACTTGTTGACTAAGTATTTTCATCTACTACATCAAATAACAGCGACCACACACAAAGAAAGCGACAAAAGGTACACAAAAGAACATAGAAGTTGAAATACAATATAAGTACCTTTCTTTATTAGAGTTGAAGACGAACCTCCAACCTCGAACATGAAGACTCCTCGCCTGATGTCAGCACTAGCCTCTGTTTATCTGTGTTGAGGTGAAGGTTCTTTTAAACGTCTGACCTTCTCACCCCCTGACTATATATAAGAACCCACCGCGACAACGACAAGATGGCGATGGCAATGGCAGAGTCGCAGGTGCACGTCTTCCGCAAGAAGCTCGGGAAGCTCGCGGATTTCGTGGGACCTGACGACATGGATGTGGAGCAGGTTAGCTCCAGCTCCACCGGCACCGCAAATCCGAATTCGCAACAGGAGGTCTTATTCAAAGAATTCTTTTCCAGCAACTTCTCGCGAACCCTCGCACAGGTGAAGGATGTGAAGAAGCTCGAATTTGCGCAGGAATTGGACAAGCATCTGCACGCAAAGTTTGACCCAATAACTCAAGTTCCCTACCTCGACTGTTTGGTCTCGTTTCTGATCAAAGGGAAGGACATGCCGGAAACGCATGAGAAAGCGCGTAGGTGCGTGCAAAAGGTTCTCGACAGGATGGACTTTGACACCGATGTGCCGGATGAATACCACATGAACCCAAAGGCAGACAAGAACGATCTCATGGCCGGGTTTCTGGCGGCTGCGCAAACGAATGCGCAGCTGAGTCTGAAGGACTACTTGCCAGACCACACCACCACCTCAAAAGCGTTGAAGGAGATAGAGGGAGCGGCTTTTACGCAGGTATCTCATATTGGAAAATAAAAAATAATACCGACCATAGGAGCAGCGTGTACTGTGTCGTGTATTGATGAATGTATCGCTGTTTCATCACCTTCATCACATGAAGATCGCTTTTGCATGCAGCTTGTTCTCTTCCTTATAGATGCTATATCGAAGCTTTTCTTCTTTTAGTTTGCTCGTACACTACATAGTTGTAGTTGCAGGTCTTTCTCTGGAACGTATACTCAGGTATGGAGCGTCTTGGGCAAGGATGACCAGACGACCTTCACCAAGGACATCCTCGCGAAAACGTACGTGGTAAACCTGACGGTGCAACGGGAAATCGTGCAGCGCATCGCACCCGCAAGGGAGTATGTCGAGAAGGAGATCGTGTTCACGACGTCCCAACTGAACAGTTGGCTGAAGCACGTGCCCAAGTATCCCGCGACGCCCCACGTCCTCGGCGACTTGTTTCTCCTCTGCCTAAAGTCGAAGAACTGCCCCCTGTACCGCGCGATCACCGACAAGGTGGCGCGGGAGCGGTTTCTGATCGCCATTTCCCTAGCAGTCCATCTAGTGTTGGACGGCAAGGGGACCAACGCGTGGCTCTGCGTCGCAAATCCGATTCTGCGCAGGCAAGCCTACGACCTGCAGCACCGATTCTTCAATGTCAACGGGAATATGGTCATGGGTACTGAGCCTTTTTTTTGCTTTCTTCGACGATGGTCTACTTTTGTTCCATGGGTGGATCATGTCGGTGGATTCAAGCGACACCGAAGCAGCAAGTGCATTGCCGAAAAACTTCATCTTTGACCACGATACTTCAAACAAAGATGTTCGAATGGAAATGAACTTGGATTTATATCAAAAAATCTATTCAAAATAGCTGCATGGCTGAAGTCGCGGATAGAGACGCTGAACAAGGAGCTGATCACGAATCTGGTTGAAAAGCCGGGCAATCTGGACGTCTACAGCCATTTGCTGCCCTTGTTCAAGAAAAAGTTTGAACCGACGGAGGGCAAGAAGGATCAGTCGGCCATTGGGAAGAGCAAGGATGAACGGGAGAAGGACATGCCCACGTCCACACTATTGCCCCCAATGGCAGCAGGCGACCCGCCAGACAAGGGCTGGGTGCCATCTGACTTGGTGATTCGCGACCTGGAGCAGGTTCTGCTCCAGTTCGTGGAAACGTTCATGCAGGTACTCCCGTGAGCATGCAGCTTTAAGGACCTGCTTACACATAGCTTTTGTTTGTTCTGTTTCACTTTGTTTCAATAGCGATCGTTTTTGTGCTGACACTATTTGCTGCAACAATGTTCTTCACTTGAATTATTTTTATTTCTTATGATCGAAAGAGAAAGACCCCACTCTCTCATCTCTCACTCACAGGACCGTTGGTTTTGCCCACACCACGTTCTCAGCCTCCCTCCCATCCTAAAAGTTTTCAGTCACTACGGACTCATCGAGCTCAGCCGCATGGAGGGCTCCAGCATCATTAAGGTCCGACGTCCTCCGCCACAGGACCCCTCTGCAGCCGGAGCTCCCGGCACCGTGGGGGCGAACAATCCCGGCGCAGCCTCTGCTACGAACAACCCGAACGCGCCTGCAGGGACGCATCCCGCGCCGTTCGGATCCCACCCGGCGGTCTTCGGCCATGGGCAAATCATTGGTCCGCCGCCCGGGATGGCACCTGGCGAAATGCCACTGTACATCCAACCCGACGGCACGAAGGGCCCGGGGAAGCCGTTCAAAGGCGGTATACCGCCACCGGGGTTCAAGGGCGGCATGATGATACCGCCGGGCATGGCAGTGCCTCCCGGTGGCTTTGGCGGCGGTTTTCCCCCAGGCTATCGCGGTCTGCCCGGCGCGAAGGGCGGTTTTGGACTTGTCCCTGGGCAGATGGGAATGGTGCCCGGATATCCGCAGATACCACCCGGCGCCGCACCTCCAGGATTGGCCCAGCCGCCGCCCGGATCGTTTCACCCCTCGGCATCTTCTACCGGCGTACAGCCCCCCTTGCAGTCCAAGGCGATACCCCCGCACCTCGCCTCGCAACTGGCGCAACAGGAGCAGCTGCAGCAGCAGCGCCCGAAGTACATGACGAAGGCGGAGTTGAACGACTTTTCACCGCAGAACATCGTGGACTTGCTCGTACGCGAGGTCTTTTTGAAGTATCTGAACGAGAACGAATCCTGGGGCCTGAAAGACTCCGTGTTGGAACTCACGAAAGTTCCCCAGATGGACGACTCCTGGATGATATGCGGCATCGAAGTCACGTTGCAGGCACGGGATGGGCAGCTGTTTGTGTACAAATCTAACGCCGCAACGAGAAATATGAGCATCCAAGACTGGATCGACAATGATCTGTGCAACACACTGATCGCGAAGGGGTTGAAGGCGCCAACCAGAGGTATACGACATGGTTTGGCGATTGATGAAGTACAGTTGTGTGGCCACATTTATTGGCTTTGCATGATCATTTTGTGTTTTGTTTTGGTCTTGCCACTTTTGTTGTACCAGTAGCTCACACTGACCCCCTGGAAGCGAATAGCGGCTGCGAGTCACAACTTGAACTACCTACTCGGTCTTACCACAGGTCTCGCAACAAAGCTCGGCGAAACGGGTATCGGCACCAAAGTCGTTGCTGGCCCCGGCGAACTACCCCCGCCCATCGAGAATGACGACGCTGCGGTTTTGGATCCAATTTCAGGCATGCTCGTGAAGAACGGATTGATCTTCTCCACGTCTGACAGGTACAGAATCTTAAACGACGTTAGTTTTGTCGTTTTATATACTTATTTCGCCGGTGCACGACCGCAATCAACGATATCATATATATTGTTCTGTGTCAGGACGCAGAATTGGGCACCCGTTTGCTGCTATGTGTGTGAAGTGCAAATTTGAATTCATCTTCGATCGGATACCACAGGGTCGTTCCCATCAACTCTGGCGACGATCCTGGTTTCGTTCCTGCGTCTGAGAAGCAGCAAGATTTGAAGCCTTTTAGCAGCGGTGACGACGACCAAGACCACGGTCCGAATTCCGCCGCTTTTGCACAGTCCGGCCTCCCCGATTTGGACAAAGCAATTTTCCCAGACTCGCTTTGGGAGGACCAGCAGACGCTCGGCGCGCTGGTGCGGCATCTGGTGAAGAAGAAAATCTGCGACGAAGAGTGGAAGGCGCTGTGTCTCAGGTACGACTTCAAGGACGCGTCGGCGCAGGACCCGCGGAGGCACCAGGCCAACACGCTGAAGCTATCAAATGTAAAAATGTCTGGGTCTGGAAGGTTGAAACTTGTGATGCGCATTTCAGAACACAGAAAAATCTCTCATGCATGGGCAGCAAAAGTTGCCCACTTTCTGTCACCAAAATCAGGGATTTGTCATGCGGATTCGGCATTGCGACTGCTTCGCGAAACCTGTAATGCTAGAGCTTCCATGCCAGACCTTCTGTGTCATGCAAAAACAGCATGACTCTTCCAGACCCAGACACTTTTACATTTGATAGAAGCACTTCATTACGGATACCATGAAAAAGGACAAAATCAGTGGCGAGAAGAACATGGTCTCCATGTGCGCGGATTTCCTGACCGCCGAGAAAGAGAAGAAGAACAAGCGCGAAAAGGCGGCCGCGGACAAGAAGAGGGCCGCGGAAGAGAAGAAAAGAGAGAAAGAAGAGAAGGACAAGGAGAAAGAGAAGCGGGGACGAAAAAAGCGGAAACGCGGCGACGACAGCGACTCTGACGCTGAAAAGGACAACAAGCCGGCGAAGCGGGGGGCGAAAAAAGTCACGCCATGACCTTTTTTCCAAGCGACCTGTTTTCTGCTGGCGAAGATCCTTCACTACGGCATCACAGTTTGTTTCACCGAACGAAACCGTCCCACGACCACGTGTTTGCTGTGCCGCTCCCTGGAAGAGCAGCAACTCCTACAAAGAATTGGCAGTCGATCTCGCGACGGAGGTTGCCACGTCTTGTGCGACATTGTTAAAACCGCAACGATGTTTCGTGTGAACAACGGTTTCAGCAGCGTCGAACAAGGCCAGGGCCATCCACTTGACATGATCCAGTATTTTGCTAAAACATGCGCTGTATGGCTGCGCGATTGCTGGTAGGCACCGCGCGAACTCGTGACAATTATATTACAACAAGGATCTTTATCTGCCACTTCCTCGATAGAAGCGGAGGCGGATGAGACTGGTGTGGAAAAATTTTCTCATGTGTTGCGAAGTAAGGGGAGACCACGGAAGGCGAGCTCAAAGAAAATGTTGCTCGCGCATCAGCGTAACAAAGAAAAGCGCGCACAGAGCGGCTCGATCTATACTACTTTTGACATTGTCGGCGCAAACGACGACGAGGACGCATTGTGTTCATTACCCAGTAGAGCAGCAAAGATGAACGTAAAGACGCACGACCACGGACCAGAACGAGGATGTCTCACTCCACTTTGTCTTTCGTCGTCTCGTGGTTTGCATACAACTTCTTGAGGGGTAGTATTAAAAATGAAGTAGGACCGCCAAACTAGGCAAGAAAATCGTCGACTGCCAGCATTGTAGTTTGAAACAGTTTGCTGGTGCGAGTGTCAAAAGTTTTCGTCGTGTTGTTTTCGGTTCGGTTCTCGATGATAAGTAGAGGTTTGTTCGCTTGCGATGCATCGACGTGTCGAGTAGCACTAATCCGAGTGCAGTACCACAACCACGTGCAGTTTTCTTTCACTCGTATATTTCTCCATGTCAACCCTCCTTATCCTTTTCCCTCCACCGTGATACGACGAATGATTGAAAAACATGCAGCTACGGAAGCAACAGAGTATTCAGAAAACAAATCAGTTTAGTACTAGTTACACCGCAGGACAGACAAGATGGGGGATGCCTACTTGGATACGTCCAAGAGGTATAATGTGAGTCCTGGTTTTCACCTTCGCCCTTGTTATTTGTGTGAACGTCGGAAGATGCTGGAAAATATTTGTTGAAGTGTGTGATGTAGAAGTCAGTGCCTGCGAGATGACCGAAATTTTTCAAATCAAATCACAAAAATTGATACCAGCTTCCTCGACTCGTTCGATTTTACCGCAATAGAGGAGATGGACCCCAGCCTGACGGAAGGACACCGAGTAACGTATGACCGGGAATGCCCTTTCGAGTTACGAGTACAGGACGCAGATACCGGTCCGCAGGAAGTAGGCACGCTGGAAGCAATAAAATGCAAGATATTACTCTTGGTATCAGGTTTTTTTTCGCTTGGTACTAAAGTTTCAAAGAATGAGAATCCATATGCAATTCCAAAGCAATGTTGCGCCAGGAGACCTGGTATGTTTGTCATCGTCCGGAGTCCAAGAAAAGAAAAAAGTTCGGAGTTGGTACCGCCTTTTGATGCGCACAAAAATTAAATGGAAACCGCTCGAGTTTGAGACACAATAAGCCGTAAAAATTGCAATTCAGGGCGACGAGCAGCAACCAAACCACATAAGGATTGAGCTCACTTCCGAAAACGACTTGTTTTTCCACTATACGCACTCGGTCGACGAGCAGGGGTTCCGGCAAATGCAGGAAAGTCAGAAATTGATGATTGACTTCCCCGACTACTGCTCCGTGGTGATAAAAATGCTCAACAACTGCATCAAGGAGCCACATAGGTAGTGACTTTGACTACGAAGATGAATTCACTTCACCGCCTTGTGCTTGAAACAGTCTGACGTAGCTGCTCGATCTGATGTACCAGCTTATGGTGAGAACAAGACACATAAAACAAAGACATGACTCACCATTGTTTCACAGCTTCCTCGCAGTATTCGTGATGCAGCGAGACGGGCACGCTCGATTGGACTTCATCCAGAACATGGAATACAAGTTCGTCGAGCTCTTATCCTGCGATTTCGTCGCCTCTCCGGAGGAAGTAGTCCGACAGCAGATCTCCTTCCGGTACAACTCCGTCAAGACAAAGCTCAGCTTGATGCAAGCTAGGCTACAGGTATTCATTCACATTCTGAAGTGTCTACTAGTACTTCTCGTCGTCGTGAAAGCGATTGTGACAGACGTCTTTGTTGGTTTTCGAATTTATGCAACATGATCTATGATCTTCGGGATTTTGTTTAGCAGCAGCAAAAGGAAAAACCAATACAGGACGTCAACGCCTTGGTGAAAGTGAAGAACCCTAGTCTCCTGCTCCAGTTGCAGAAAGCGCCCAACCGTGGGCAGGCCAGCGGGCGGAGATGAGTTTTTACGATGCAGCTTGGCGCACCAAATGCATGCTGTAAGCACAGATACCTTTTACAACAACAAAGCTTGTCAACAAAAGACGAGGACAATACCTTTACCAGTGACTATTAAACTTATTTCGCGAAAAGATGAACTAAAAAACTCTTCTTGATCAACTGAAAACAATTTGAATTCAGCCAAAGACGTTGAAGACAAACACTTTACAGGACTTTTGACCATATTTTTGACTTTGAAAATTGGTGACAAAGATCATCAAAAACAAGGGCAAAATGGTGTGTATTTCTTGTCGTGCTCGCGCTTGATCCAAATTGAAACTTGCAATGATTTTCCTGACCACTGCCGAATCCTGCCGGATAGGAAATTAACTGATTTCGGCTGTGGGCGCAGAAAGACATCAGCTCGTATACTTGGTACACTGTGTTTTTCCTCGTGGTACGTAATACTTACATTCGATTATGGTCGAGCACCTTTTTGTTTCTTCACTGTGCAGCTGCAGGGGAAAATAGTTCTGTCTTCTTGATCTTGATACCACCGTCGTGAAGAGTGCTGGGTCGGTGAGCGGTCGTATCACTGAGATACATAATTAGTGCGGAAAGTTTTGCAAAGTGCACGCTCTTCGTAAAGTTTAAAGTTCGGATTTGCTTAAGTACCTGTTTATCGATCATCCTGGTCAGTGGGGCTCGTTCATTTCGTCTGTGTGTGAGAGAGCCAGAGCAACTCGGAGTCGTACGGTTCTCGTAGGATTGTCGTTTTGAAGAGCCCGGAAGAATAGCACCACTAAGGAAGCAGAAGATGAAATATTTGATGTTTGCCATTACCGTAGGCGGCAGGCTGGTTTTTTGCTTTTCGTAACTGTAAAGCGCGTAGACAGCAACAAAGCCAAAGGTAAGAATTGAATTGAGATAAGCACAATCTTTTTTGTGGGCATTGCATCGGGTTAATATCGGAGAACTAGCAGCCATAATTGAGTTTCTTTTTGGGGAGTAGAAGTAGAGTTTTACACAGTGTAGTTAGAGCCCGTAACTTTTCTTCTAGAACTTTGCTTTGTATCGACGAACGAAACTTTTACGTCATTCTATGGGTCACGGCTACTTTACTTCTACATTTGGTTTCTAACACCTTCTACCACACTTCTTCATCTTGTACAATACTTTTTACAGAACTATCTCTTTTCGATACAAACTGACAAAGATTTCCTTGTTCATTTTTCGACAACACAAGAGCGGGAACGAACACAGGGCGCCTCAACCTATCGGGTATAGAGGTACCAACGAGCAGTTGAAATACCTCTCCATCCGTCCACGGGTTGGCAGCTTTTTCGTAACGCCGGTGTACCAGCGGTTTTTGGACATCCAAGCTTTCGCCTAACCGTGTAGTGTAGTCGGTACTCGCCGGTGAGAACGTCAGAGCGACGTGTGGGTCGCGGCAAAGCGTACTCAACAGCCAAGTAACTACAGCAGTCTAGGAGAAAAACGACACGGCCGAAGTCTACGACGAGAATCCTTTCGTGGCGGCGCCCAGCGCTAGAGTGTACGTCTTCGGCCTGTGACGGCAGAAGTCACGAACTGTTGTAGTACAAGGAGACCACCGTTCTTTAAGTTGTGCTACCGAGAAACCGACTGTACAAAATTGAACTCCGAATACGTCCAGACCCTACAGCAGAACACCAAGCTGATCCACAGAGACGATAAGTGCAGCAGCGACCGCGGCACCGAGGGCATTCCCATTACTCACTCTAACTCTATTTCCTGCGATCCAGCAGAAGAAGAAGTTTCGTTTCCGCACGACAGCTTGAACTTGCACCACCAGGAGCAGATAAGTCTCAATTACGACAAGTAAAGAGCTGCGAGCAGTAGAGCGTCCGTCAAGATGATGGACCGTCAGATGACCAATCTGACCGTGTCCAATGCCGCAAACCTTGCGACTTTTGGCAAGACGGTCGGTGCGACAATCGACTACAGGACGCGACACCTGGGCATAGCAGTACCGGAGAAAACGTGGCTGAAGCCAAAGTTCCAAGTAGGCTCCTGCAAGTCCGACAAAATCGACCTGAACCAATGCGAGAAAGTCTTTCACAGTGGCGACGTTCCAGATTTTATCAACTGCAAAAATGTCTGGGTCTGGAACATTCTAAACTTGTGATGCTGTCTCTGGATCCCGAAAATAAATATTATTTGTATTGCATGACCAGCAAGACCAAGAGGACTCCAGTTTGTGCTACGCGGAGAGGGCATTTCTCATGCTGTAGAGGTATCACAAAGCGCTCTGAAAATCAGTGATGCTACGGCATCCATGCATCACAGACATCATGGGTTATGGAAAATATGTTTCTGTAGGTCAATGCCACCCTCGATTCTCACCCCCAGGGTGTTGGGGTCCCCTCCTCCAATGTGTATTGGTTGAGGACTGACTCCTTCATTCTTAGTTCCATCAGCCATGGTATCTGGAAAATATGCATGACAAAACTAGAAATCTTTGCGTGCCAAAAGCCGTCACCGGGAAGGCGCTTTTTTGCAAAAAAAGCAGCCGGAAATTTTCCCCGTGACCGGGCTAACGCGGGCACTTTTTTGGAATGGCAGCGCGCTGGTGAAATCACAGGCATTTTGCGGCTCCCCGAGCTGTTGCTTGCCAAAAGCCCTCATCGGGACGGCGCTTTTCTGCAAAAAAAGCAGCCGGAAATTTTCCCCGTGACCGGGCTAACGCGGTCACTTTTTTGGAATGGCAGCGCGCTGGTGAAATCAAAGGCGCCTTGCGCTTCCCCGAGCTGTTGCTTGCCAAAAGCCCTCATCGGGAAGGCGTTTTTTTGCAAAAAAAGCAGCCGGAAATTTTCCCCGTGACCGGGCTAACGCGGGCACTTTTTTGGAATGGCAGCGCGCTGGTGAAATCAAAGGCGCCTTGCGCTTCCCCGAGCTGTTGCTTGCCAAAAGCCCTCATCGGGAAGGCGTTTTTTTGCAAAAAAAGCAGCCGACAATTTTCCCCGTGACCGGGCTAACGCGGGCACTTTTTTGGAATGGCAGCGCGCTGGTGAAATTGCAGGCGCCTTGCGCTTCTCTGAGCTGTTGCTTGCCAAAAGCCTTCATCGGGAAGGCGTTTTTTTGCAAAAAAAGCAGCCGGAAACTTTCCCCATGACCGGGCTAACGCGGGCACTTTTTTGGAATGGCAGCGCGCTGGTGAAATCAAAGGCGCCTTGCGCTTCCCCGAGCTGTTGCTTGCCAAAAGCCTTCATCGGGAAGGCGTTTTTTTGCAAAAAAAGCAGCCGGAAACTTTCCCCGTGACCGGGCTAACGCGGGCACTTTTTTGGAATGGCAGCGCGCTGGTAAAATCGCAGGCGCCTTGCGCTTCCCCGAGCTGTTGCTTGCCAAAAGCCTTCATCGGGAAGGCGTTTTTTTGCAAAAAAAGCAGCCGGGAACTTTCCCCGTGACCGGGCTAACGCGGGCACTTTTTTGGAATGGCAGCGCGCTGGTAAAATCGCAGGCGCCTTGCGCTTCCCCGAGCTGTTGCTTGCCAAAAGCCTTCATCGGGAAGGCGTTTTTTTGCAAAAAAAGCAGCCGGGAATTTTCCCCGTGACCGGGCTAACGCGGGCACTTTTTTGGAATGGCAGCGCGCTGGTGAAATCAAAGGCGCCTTGCGCTCCCCGAGCTGTTGCGTGCCTCCAGACCCAGACACTTTTGCATTTGATAGATTCCGTGACCAACTCCAAGAAAGCTGTCCAAGCATCAAAACGGGGGAACATATTAGGTAAAGCACGTCTATGTGCGTATGATGAGTTCGAGTTCCTCTTTGACTTTGAACGGCTTTGCATGATTTCTCTTTTTTGCTGCAGAGATGAGTGGCGACTGCAACTTTTATTCGATTTCTGATGTGTTTTATTCAGTCAGTGTTGCGTGAAGCAAGCCCAAGCTCTTGTCAGTTCAACCACATGATTGTTGATTCGATACACGACAGGTGTACACAAGGACCAATGGAATTTCTCGAATGCAGCACAGTATCGACTCTCCAAAACGACCGGCAGTACCGCGTACTCTGGACAAGGAGAGCATAGGAGAACATTAGCAAAGGTAGAAGTTTGATGTCGTTATTTAGTCTTACTTTCCGTGTGCAGTGCCGCCCGGAAATGACCGGATGTTGTGCACACTTGCTTGGTGTAGTGATGTAGTTGCGTTTTGTAGTTTACTTTGTCAACAACAACATGAGTACCTTGTTGAGAAAGTAAGCAGAAGCGTGAAACAAAAAAATCAAAATCAATTACAAATATCAAATGTCGCAGATACGAGCGGGACTCATGGATGCGAAGACAATGAAGAACAGCAAACACATGACGGAGGAGCAGATCGCAGACAGAATAAGGTATCTATCAGTGTCCACGAGTTTTTCGACAGAAAATCTTGCTCTACGTACATTGTTTTTCTCTACTACTGGGCCTACGAGCTCCGGGAAATCACCAACGTAATAAAGTGAGATAAAAATCGAGATTCCTCAGCACGCAGTACTAAGCGAAGCGCTGGTCGTCTAATTTCTCTACACCGTTGTATTCATCATCAATTTCAAGGTATGTTGTCGCGATCACCGGCAAGGGTCCCATTGGTAAGTTTGTGGGGAAATGGTGGAACGCCGTCGACGAGCGAGGGTTGCCCGCACACTGCATCAACCCAGACTGGCCGGATTTGGACGCGTCCACCGCGGTGCATGCGCCCGAAGACGTGAAGCAAGCCCAGCGGGTGTTTCTGCAGAAAGAGAAGAGAAGGCTACGCATGAACGTTGTCGACGAGAAGGTGAATTTTGAAAAATACGACTCTCTCCTGGAGCGGTACTATTTGAAAAATAAAGACATCGAGGACAAAAAAGTGGAGTACCAAGATTTGAAGGACCTCTTCAAGCACGAGGTATAGATACTGAACTTTTGATTGAAAAAAATCTTTTATTCTTGTACCACCCCGCCAACCACATTCGACGTGATTTCTGAAATTGAGCAGACATGAAGGTTGGATGCCTGCAGTGAAAACTTCCAGTCGTCCGATTTAAAACGCAACAGCTCTCCGTCGAATTTCCGGGCTGCTCGGAGGAACGACTACAAGCCATGGCCCAGCGACTGCTCGACGAAAAACTCCAATCTGACGTACTTTACTGGTCTGCTGCCCGCTGCTTCTGCATGTTTTTCTTTTTGTTCCTGCTCTCAAGACTATGAAAATGTACAACTTTCAGGGCTTTCCGTTTCCACGGATAAAGATCATCATGAGTACAATATGCAATGAGAATGTGAATGAATCATGCAAGACCAACTTCTGACATCACAGTTGAAGCTGCAGCGATTTCCGGTGCAGCACGAATCCTTCCGGCCAAACTGCAGTCTGACAACGCAAGACAGGCGGTACAAGCAGTATTTCCATCCCGGGACGTGGACCTACATCGAGAGCGAGGGGCGGTTTGCGTGGTCCTGCTGTTTAAACTACAAAGAGGATTCCAAGGGGTGTGCGTTCAAAGCAGTGAACCCGGATCGGTGGTGCGTCGATGGCTTCGAGAAGGGCGGCCCGCTCAACGGATAGGAAGTCGACTTTTGTAGTTTTTCGTACTATCGTCCTCTTTCGTTTCAGTTTCAGATGAATTTGCTCGACTTCAACGGACAAGACTGACTACACTCAATATCACTCAATTTTTACGCTTACACTTTTTTTTTACCTTCATTTACCTTCAACTTGCTTACATTACACCTTTCCAGAACATCAGCAAGAGTCACTTCGATCGTTTTTTATCTCTGCTCGCGCAACGAGCTACGGGATGAAGCAGACCGATTAGATCGATGAAAAACTCGAAAACCAGAAAACCTTCTTACGGAATATCAACCATTCAGCCAAAACCGAAACCTGAAGAAAGATTTGAATACGTTTACACTTAGGTAATATCAATATCCTTGTGAATGATACTAGAACCCGAGGCAAGATCCTCATCCCGCCACGACGCTTTATTTTTTGGCGGTGGCGCAGATCAGCGGGAGCCTATTCCCCGCTGCTTCGTTGAGCTTAAAACCAGGACAAATGCAAGTGCGTTAATGCCGACGTTCTGACTCCCTGCTGGTGCTGCGAAGAACTTGGAAAGCCAACAACAACTGTATCATTACATCGACCAAACGGTCGCGCAGGGGAATGCAAAAGTCGCTCAAAGTTGCGAATTGTTGTTGTTCCAATTATGCCAGCGCCGCGGAGAAGCAACAGTTTGCCTTCGTCTATGAAGATGAAAACTGAAATACAAACAAGCAATCATTATGAGCATAATTACACCAGGCACAATATCGAAGATCTGTCCAAGGAGAGGCCTTGAGTATGTATGGGTCCTCCTGTGTGTTTCTATAGCCCTCGACACCAGTGTGCATTTTCGATTTCGACACCGAAACCGATGGGAGATTTTCTTTATATTGACGTAAAGCAAGGATAAGGAATAAACGCTTCTCTTTTCTCCTCTCTGAGGGCCCGATTCGTTTTGTGGACTGACTCTCAGAGTAGTAAACTTATTTCTGCGTTGTAGGACCTTTAGTGCTACCGAAAAATATGGAGTTACTCTGCCGCAACGGCGTAGCGGTTCCCGAGGGGGTGCGCGGCGCATATCGTCAGAATCTTGTTCGACGAGTGACACGACCCTGTACGTCTGGAAGCCGCTCCTTGGCACGAATGCAATCCTTTCGATTGCCTCTTGTTCTGGGGCGCCAATTCCAAGTGCGGCACCACGGATCTACCAATGACGAGGCAATGGCAATGTTGCCAAAGCTAAAACAGTATCGCGTTGGCATTGTTGCCCCACAGCTAACAATAGCAGCCTGCGTCGCCGCAGAGTTTTTGGGCAGTACTGATCGCATCCGAGTGACTTTGTTTTCGAACGAAGTTGGCTTCTTGCAACAAGGCAGGGACAGGGAGCAGGGGGCCGACGACGCATCAAGCAGGTGCACCGAAGAAGGCGTTTTCACGGTTTCTACGCCATGGATTGGCGAGCGTGTTGTAGATGGTGCGAACACTGATGCCAGTAGTGTAGCAGCGGGACGAGGAGGGAAGTTGCAACGACCACGCCATTTCAGCTACGCCTTGCATGATTGGGAAGGACGGGGGGTGTATTGCAAGGACAGCCAAAAAATCAAAGCAAAGGCACTACTCAACGAATTTCAAACATTTTCTTCTGGTGACCGACAAGCAGCAGACGGAGCAGACTCCGAGGAATCGAAGGTGAAGCAAGTGGTTCAGCTTGAAAAAGCTTTCTCGAAAGGAATAGCAGGGTCATTGGAGACGCTCTTAAAATCCCAACATCCGTGTGATTGGCTGATTTTCGCCGAAAAGGCAGATGCCGAGTCATTCCTACTGTATGGGGCACGTAGGGACGAGGATCTAGAAGATCTAGTTGAAATTGAAAAGAAATCGGGAGAAAAAGCGAATGCAGGTCGGGATGCAAAAGGAAAAGCAAAAGTCGAACAGTTTTCGCTGAACAAAAATTACGGATTCGAAGTTCTGCGTAGGCACGTCCCTGCAATGCAAGAGTCGTCGGTTGAGGAGACGACCACGACAGCGATGCGTCTTTCACCGAAATCTACTTCCGGAGTTGCTTTTCTGAAGGAGCTAGAGCCTTCATCTGACATCTCCGTGCGCGCGGAAGATAAAGAAAAAGACGGTTCTGGAACGCTATTCAGCGACAGCGGGGGCCGTACCGATGCAATTGATGGCCGTGACGAGAAAACCTTGACGGTACAGGAGCTAGAGCACGAAATACGGGCCGGGCAGGCCTGTGCAAGTTACATCTGGCTTGCAACTGACGATCTTCTCCGTGCTGAGGTCCGGAAGGGCGTTGATGAGGGTACGATCAAAGAGGACACGCCGTTGCACGCTTCCCAACAAGGGAAGTTTCAACAAGATGCGAGAACGACAGGTAGAATTTCGAACCCTAGCTCGTCTTCCGCTGCTGTAAAAGCGGCAGCGTAACAAGAACTCTAGCTGCTTACGTGGAACACACATAACGTCATCAACTCAAGTATCTAGCGCAGGCAACAAGAACGAGTCTGGTGACCATTCGTGTTCTAAGAAGTAATTACTTTATGTAAAGTTAAGACGTGCAGTTGAACAGGAACGCATACTAGTCCTGAGACAAGATGATCCGATTGTGTTTTTGCACGATCTCGATCAAAAAATGAATTTTTAGAAGCTCTGCTCGATCGATGTTTCATTCCATATCTGCACCGGCCTGCTCATTGTTGGAGGAGGATCAGTATTTCGATTGCCTTTTTTTATTGGTCCCTGGTTTTGATGAGTCAGTCTCTCTCATTTTTAAAGATCCTCATGCATCCCCCGCAAAGACCAACACAAAGCATAAGACGAGTGGACGACGGCGAAGACCTCGATGATTTTGTGCACAAGCATATTTATCGTCGCCATCTTTGTCGTCCAGAAATCAAAGATCCCTCTTTCTGCAACACGGCAGCCGATCACTTGGTTACCTAGTTCATGAACGGTTGGATCTCGTATTTTTGCCTCTCTTTGCTCCTTTTGCAAATTTGAGCGTAATTCAATAATTGACTTTTTTATCAGGAGTACTTCGTTATTGACCAAGCACTTCTTCGAGCTCTTGCTACAAGACAGTATCACATACTAGGTTTTGTTTCACCTTGATGTAAGTTGTTACTACCCTACTGCATCCTCATCCGCGAAGAGTTTTCAATTAAGTGTTAGTTAGCTAGCTTGCAGCTTGTTCTTCTACCACCACCTCCTATTAACACCACACCCTCTCATCGGACCTCGCGAAAATGACGGACCAGGATGCTATGCACGAGACTGCCATCCACCAGTGGAAGATCAAGCGGTTAGTCAAGACACTGGACAATGCCCGCGGGATATTGCAGTGAAAAATGCCCCCTCCCCATATTGAAAGCGCATCCATCTGAAAATTTGTGATGCAGATTTGTGACCAAATTTCGTTTTCGATATGGGGTGGGGGCACTTTTCACTTTGATACGGGAACGGCACGTCCATGATCACGCTGATCATCCCCCCGGGGGATGATATCAACAGGCATGGGCAGATGTTGGTAAACGAGGCCTCCACGGCGAGCAGGATCAAGTCCCGGGTCAACCGCCTCTCCGTCTGCTCTGCGATCGCAAGTACGCAGCAGCGGCTGAAGCTCTACAACCGAACACCACCCAACGGACTGGTTATCTACTGCGGGGAAATAATCACGGAGGAAGGTACTTAAAAAAAACTCCTGGCTGATTCCTGATTCTACCATTGTAGTCCTCCAACGTGAACCTGAACGTGCTATAAAGGATCAAGACCAGCAACAGCATGCTAATGCAGGAAGTTTGTTGCTCATAGTCTTAGTCATACAACATAGTACCGCGCAGCGCACAACGTTAAGTTTCTATGCTAATGTGACTAGTGCACCCAAATAAAACGTCGCGGTGGTGGAAAAACAGGTAAGGAGAAAAAAGTCACCATCGACTTCGAGCCATTTCGACCGATTAACACATCACTATACCTCTGCGACAACTGTTTTCACACTGAGGATTTGCAACAGCTTCTGGAGAACGACGACAAGTAAGTGACTTCTTTTGTTGAACAAAGTTAGTAGTTTCAGCTTTGTTCTCGCCTTTCTCGGCATGACATTTTTACTTACATCCCGATAAAATTGAAAGTCTGGGTCACATTCTCAGAACCAACTGCAAAAATCCAAGATCGTTTTTTGTTTCGACGATTATATTCTCGCTCCTATCTACTTTACAGGTTTGGCTTTGTGATCATGGATGGTCACGGATCCCTTTACGGGACACTGTGCGGTAACACACGGGAAGTCCTGCACAAGTTCAGCGTAGACCTTCCGAAGAAGCACGGTCGTGGGGGTCAGTCCGCGCTCCGTTTCGCGCGCCTGCGTCTGGAAAAGCGACACAACTACGTAAGGAAAGTGGCGGAAATTGCAGTGCAAATGTTCATCAGTAACGACAGACCAAACGTGCAAGGACTTGTTTTGGCAGGTATAGATAATTTCATTGTTTTTTGAGGGGATTCGGATTGGCATCGATAGTTGCGTGCAGGCTTTCGTTGAAAACGCTCCCACGAAGAAAGATTGATTTGAGCCTTTTTGGTGAATCCCTGAGAGTGAAAAAACACTCGTTGGAACAAAAAATCGTTTGAACTTCAGGTTCCGCGGAGTTTAAAAACGATTTGCTTGCATCTGACCTGTTTGATCCGCGGCTAGCTGATGTTGTCATCAAGGTCGTCGATGTGAGTTACGGTGGCGAAAACGGGTTCAATCAGGCCATTGAGCTTGCCGGCGAGACCTTGAGAAATGTCAAGTTCCTGCAGGAGAAGAAGCTTATCTGCAAATTCATGGAAGAAATCGCGCAGGACACAGGAAAGATCTGTTTCGGCGTGACCGAGACTGTGGAGGCACTGAATATGGGCGCAGTGGAAACACTGATCGTGTGGGAGAACTTGGACGTAAAGACGGCACTCGCATTTTTTTGTCATTATTTTAAGGGCTCGTCATCGTCCGCTCCATGTTTGCTTTCAGTTCTAGTACTACTGCTTTACGTAGTTGGAGTAGGTAGGTTCTTGATCACGACTCACATGCACATGACGTTATAGTGATGAAAGAGCAAAGCCACGATGAAAATAAGCATGGAACTACTACAAAAATGAACAGCTTCTCCGATACACGCTCCGAAATCCAACGACCGACATAACATCGGTGGTTTACAAGACACCAAAACAGGCTGAAAGCAAAGACTTTTTGAAGGAGGGGCAACAGGAGCTCGACGTCATCGAGAAGATAGCCTTTTCGGAGTGGATCGTACTGTTTTTTTTTTTTTACATTGCCATGAAACTTTATTTGACTCCTGCTATATCAAAGTCAAAGATGATAGGCCGTTCCCGAACTGCTGCTAACTTAGTAGGCTAGGTCTGCTTGCTCCGCCGGAGCAACCCCACTTGTTTGCATGCACATCATGAGACATAAAGGACAAGGAGGCAGAAGCAACAATCTCTCACGCAAAAAATGCTGCAAAAACCAAAACAGGTGAACAACTTCAAGTCCTTTGGCTGCGTGCTGGAATTCGTCACCGACAAGAGTCAGGAGGGCAATCAGTTCGTAAAAGGTTTCGGTGGTATCGGCGGACTCATGCGATACCGTATCGACTTTAACGAGATTGCCGGCGCGGACGCAGATGACTTCAATGACGGCGCCAGTGACTCCGATGACGAGTGGATCTAAATCTGCAGGTGTTGCTGGTCGTCGACAGGAACCCACAGCACATTGGCTGCGCGAAACCGGTGAAGCTGGGCCTCACAAATATTTCGACGAATTGTAGAAGAGGACCGAAGTTGTAGACCCTTTGCAGGGCCCTGGTACGCGTGTGCTCGTGCTCCTGTAACAGCAAGATTGACTCGATATGAGAGGACGCACGACAACCACTGGATTGCATCAGTGGAAAATCAGGATATCAGACCTGCGGGAGCAGGTTGATGTCTGTTATCTCGCCACATCATATATAAGGCTAGTGTCAGTGTAAGCTTTTTCAATTATCATAGTGTCAACCAGACGAGTTTTTCAATCGCATTTTTCACAAGAACGGAGAAAATAGGCTGATTCGAAGAACTGGGGCCAAAACCAGAGGTAGTCTATTGCCATAAGCATGGGCAGAAAGTCATCACGAAGCAACGCGCTTTTTCTGTGCCGCGATGTTTCATAGCAGCTGAAAAAGCGCAGCGAAAGCGATGCCGGGGTATAGGTGTTTGGTTTCGTAGCGACAAGCCGTCAAGATGGATGAAGACGTCTGTGGTGACAACACAAAAGCAAACAGAGATCAACATCAATGAGAGTGATGCTATCCCTTTTTCTTCAGTTTTGGGTGCTGTGTCGTGGTCCGGCACGGTAGGTGGCAGAGGTTTGATTTGCTACCAAGAAAAACTTTATCGTGTGGAGAATGATTTTCGTTCTGCGAAATGATCAAAGTCAAACAGAGAGCTGTCATCTGCGTAGGGTGGTTCGTACTTACTCTTATTGTAGAACGAAGTTGCACCTGCGTTTAGCTAGCCCCTGGCGCACAAAAGCAAAAGTAGGTTTTCATCGAACCGACCAGGTATATAAAAATGGCGTATTTACTACTGCGGCTTGTCGCCCTCCAAGCCGCGAGTTACGCGCGTGCTGCCCCAGCCTGCGGCTCGCGCGCCTTCGACCTGGGGACGGGAGGGTCTCCGTTTCTCCGCGAGTGGGCCAATCTGGACGTGGGCGAGCTTGCGTTCAGCTACTACAAGGAACACGACAACCACTACCACATTTCCTGCTACGAGGTCGGGCCGACTCCCCAGGCGTTCGCCGCGGCGGACAACGGTACGGTGATTCCGCTGAAGTCGAGGGTGACGGCCGAGCTGTACCGGCACGCCTTCGGTATTGCGACGAAATCGCTCACCGGCACCTACCCGTTGGCGAGCCAAGACTCCTTCGGGCAGATCAACTTGTTGGTGAAGGAAGTGAACGGCGTCACCATCGGCGTCGACAGTGCGGCGACCATCAATCCCATGGCGGGTTCTGTTGACTGCGAAACCGAGGCGACGCGCGGGGTTTTTGGACATACCGCAAAGTTCTTGACCACCTCCACCGTGTCGTCCGACCTGTCGATGAAAACGTATCTCTTCCGCAACGCCGCCGCTTTTGCCGCCGCCCGGAGCGAAATTCGCTACACCATGGACGTCGGAGGCAGCGACGTGGGCAAGTGCGCGTTGGAGATCGAATTCGGTGTGAAGCCCAAGGCGGGGACGGGCGGCGTTACCCTTGAGGTGCAAATCCGCCAGCACGCCTACGTGAACGAAACCGGTCTGAATTCGCAGATGTCCACGCAGAACAACACCAACGACTGGAGTTTTCTTCTGCCCAAGGACCAACTTCTGCAAGCCACGGGCGCCAGCGCTTCGGAGATCGCCGCGGCCGTCGGCCAAAGCGTCACGCTGATGGCCGTCGCGAAGAAATTTGTGTGTGGAAGCACGGGCGCGCACGTGGAAGCGAGCTTTGTCATCATTGACCGGACCATGACCATCACATTAACGCCGGCGCAGGCGCCGGTGAGCTGCGGGACCATGTACTGGGATCCGCTGGTCAAACCTAACGGTTGCCCAGACGGCGCGGGCTGCGAACGCACGTTTACGACACCCGCGGAAACAAGCTCCGCGGTTTCCTCGTTTTCGTTGCAAACGGCGTTTTCCACCCTCATGCTAGCGGCGATCGTGCGGCTCTCCTTGTCGTCCTTTGCTGGAGCACGAGCTGTTTGGTGATCTAGTTTTTGCAAGCGGCACTGCGACCGAGCTGTGCATCAACAGAGGAGCAGCAGAGGGGGAGCAAATTTTTTGCGAAGATCCAAAAATGGAAAAAGAACAAGAGCCTTTCACTGTGCAGCAAAGGCTGTACGATGTTCTTGTCTTTCTTTTGCGACTTCCAGTTCCAGTCAGAAGAAGAAGTAGCAGGGACTTCCATTTTGTATACAAAATTTCGTTTATTCTGGTGTGAGATAGTCATAGTAGGACCACAAGCACAAACGCGAAAATCAGGATCGCGACTTGCCTTTATTCTGGTGTGAGATACAAATCGATGCCGATGGTTTCAAATACTGTATAAAATGATTTTTTTTGCTTCATTTTATGATTTTCTTTTCCTTTTGCTAATGCTAGCAGAGGCAAAGCCTTCGCTTGAATTTATTGGAAGCGTTCCATTCGCGAGGAAATAAGCGAGCGCTTCGGGTTTTTCTGAATTTCGAAGAGAATCAGGATGATGATGATGATGATGATCGTGAACAAAATCATTTTGCTAGTCTGCATGAGCAATCTCGATAGATGAGCGACAAGGTCTACGATGTGGACTGTCTTAGATTCAAAACTACCACTCCTTGCGATTGCGCAGCGCTATCACTGGGAAAGAATTTCTGCAGGAGCTGAACTTTGAGACGGGACAAAAGCGAGACGTTTTGTGTGTGGGATCGCAGGTCCTGCTTCGAAATTTGGGACCTTCGAAGCGACGAAAGCTTTGGTGCAATCAAAGCAAATGAATCTTCTCATTAGGCCACCGCGGCAAAAAAACGTGACATATTCATCGAAAGCTTTCTTTCGTTACAGGTTTTTTTGGAATGGCTGAGGAGACTGAAGGTAGGAACATGTAACCGCGGTACAATTTGTTTTAATTAGCACTGCAAGAAGTATGTATCTACGGAACTCAGCTGTCGTCTCTCGTCAGTCATCACCAGGCAGCATTAGCCCCGAGCAAGCCTCGTTGTAAGTGTGCGGCTTTCACTTCTCACCTTCGTCGATCGATACATACGTAAGGCGAGCCTCGGTTTTCGTGAATCTTAAGGCATCGTTGACAGTTCGTTGTGCCTTTGCATCGTCCGTGTCGTAATTCTACATGTCGTCGTCGGTCTGCTTATCGCATCACAGCATACCGTAGTACTAACAAGGGACTTGTTGTGGTCGTAATAAGAGTCGGTATTTCGTGCAAAAAATCGTCCAGCAGCTAGCGTCGTGAAGGTAAGTCGTGCAACGGGTTATTACTGCGGGCCTGGGTCGTTGTCAGAAAAAAAATACTAAATACAGTCACTGCTTCCTTTTCAGTTTTTGTTGCCTAATTTCGGATATCGACAAGACGAAGACACGACATCAACTATTGTTTCCTTTCCTTCAGCGGTCTTAATCGTTTCATCGAATACAATTTATTCCCCTCCCCTTTATCCAATATTCTTAAGAAAGTAGTTGTTGAACCGAGTATCATCAACCATGGTACTCCGCCCACCCGGCACCCCTACAAATTTGTCCGATATGGACGAGCCTATGGCTATGCCAGTCATAGAGCTTATGATGTTCATGCTCTTCGGTTTCACAAGTAAGTACGCCTTTCTCTTTTTGCTTTCCCTTTATTTTGTTGTGGTGTTTTTCCGTGTCAAAGACTTCTGTATCTTTAGATTTTCAAGTGAGAAGTCTGTAGTTGTAAAGTGAATTGCTAAGAGTAAGAAATCAAGTATACTTGATTATAGTCAGAGTCAGACCACTTTCTTGAATTTCAACTTTTTAAACTCCCTGTTCGTGAAATCATGGACGATGATTCTTGTTTGAATACTTGTTATCCTTCTAAATTCAAGTCCTAGAAGTAGGAGTAGTGCCACACCATGGTGACCGTTATTGTTCTGAGTTATGCGATAGCGGTCTTAGCATTGGCGGACGACCATTTTACCATTTGAATTGACCCGTCGGGGAGGGCATTTTCGAAATCATAGGCGAAGAAAGGCCTTGAAAGATTCCTAAAATGGTACGAGAGGAGGATTTGTCCGTCGATAAGAATACCCCCACCGTTCTCGCTGTCATGGAGAAGGTCCGCGCCAGTTCTAACGACAGTGCGGTGGTCTCTACTCGTGCTGTCTCCAGCGCGAGTGCTTCGTCCAGCAGCTGTGAAGGAGAATATAATCCTGCTACGACTGAGACTGAGTCGAAGATACCTGCGTCCGCTGGTACCAGCACATCCTGGACACGGAAACCGGTCGATACTGATCCGGAACAGCAGCAGGTCGATCACGGATCCTGTCAACAGCCAGAGGAAAACAAAAATCGACCCTCGGCCCTGGACTCGCCGTCGCAGGACACGGAGTACCACGTGATCCACTCGGACAACAGCGACTGTGCTTCCACCAATTCCACCAGCGAAAATTCGGCCGAAGTCGTCCAAGCGTTGTTGCACAACAGAAGCGTGATCGCACAACATCAAGATTGGACCACGAGCCGCGACCAGAATGGTGCGAACAGGATTCCGTTATCGACGCGAAGCGCGGGCGAGTCGTCTGTGTGCAGTTCTTCTGCAGCGACCGCGGACGGACACAGGGAGCAGGGCGTTTTTGGTTCTATCGTTCGCGGAAGCCAAATCCTCTTCGGGCGCGGGATTGCGCGCGTGGTCACCGAGATCCCGAGAATTTCCATCTGGGAGGATAACCCGAACGACCGCACGATGTGTGTGGTGTTTCGTTGGGTGCCGTTGGTGGCCACCTTTTCCCTGTCCCTGACTCTGGGCATCTTCCTGTTCACCGGCTACACACTGCAGCACGACTTGGCTCGCACGGTGTTCCTGATTGAGTTGAGCTTCTTCGGGATGTGGGTGACGCTGTGGGTCCTGTCCTCCGCCGCCGGAGCCTTGATTTGCACGGTGCGCATGCGCCGGGAGTCGACGCTGGACTGGACCTCGAAGCTCGAGGATTTTCTGGGCCACCACGAGTCCCTGGCTGAAGGAATGCTACACATCGTCTTGCTGCCCTACTACCGCGAGGGAGAGGAGCTATTGGCAGAGACCATCCAAAACATGGCGTTCTGCTCCGAGCTCGCGAAGGAATACATCATATTGGTCATCGCCTGCGAGGAGCGCGCGGGCCCGGCGGACCGGGAACAGGCACAGCGGCTGCGGCAGCGGTGCCGGCATTTGTTCTTGGACATTCTGATCAATGTGCACAAAGAAGGCGAATTGCCGGACGAGGTCGCAGGCAAGTCCTCCAACGTGCAATCCGCGTATTTGAAGGTGCTGCGGCACCTGCGGAAAGGGGGGCGCTTTGTGAACAAAAATGACATCCCACAAGACATGTCGGAGTCGGAAAGGAAGCTGGCGTTTAGCACCCCGTCGTACCTGCAGGGCAACAACATGATGAATCGGTATGCGCCGTCGAATTCCTTCTTCGGACCACCTCCACCCGGCACAGCGACCATCGAGCAAGAAGGGAACGAAAGCGATCGCATTGCAGGTTTGACAAGCGGCCTGGACCAGCGGCCGCGCATCTACGATGAGACGAAAACCTTTGTGACAATTTTGGACGCGGACACGCTGTTGCACCGCCAGTACTTTCCGAGGTTGACGTACAAGGGGCTGGTGGAGCAAACCTTCGACCAGCGGCAGTGGTCGATCTACCAGGCGCCACAGCTCGAGTACCGGAACATCGAGCGCGTGCACGGACCGATCAAGGCGATGAGTATTTTTCCTCCTAATCCGCTGACCACCTGTTGTTAGTTTCCTGAAGCGAATCTTCGAACTGAGTGACATACTACTGGATTCATTCATTTGCTGGGTCTTCTTGGCCTAGAGACTGAAATTGGTCCTCGAGATGACAAAACAGGCACAATTTATTTCTCTATACAAGTTTAAGAAAATGGTATAACTAAATTTATTTGCGAAAAAGACAATATCAATCAAAACTGATGTTTCATCCCAGGTCATGGCCATCCGATTTACGAATGCGGGGGCATCGCTTGCTCGGGATGGGCAAACCACGCGTGTCACGCGAGCTACACGATCACTCTCGCATTGCTGAAGACTGTGGAAGGATGGGATGCCGACGTGATCGCAGAGGACCACCACATGTTCATCAAGTGTCTATCTGCGAGCTACTGGCAAAATCTGATTGACAACCAGCAGAAGGGTTTGACGCTTTCCCAGTCCGAGACTCGGTTGATTCCGCTTTACACGCCGGCGTTGTCCTACTCCGTGCACGACAGCGATTTTGTCACTGCGGTGGGCATGAAGTACACGCAAGCGCGTCGGCACCACCAGGCGGTCGCCGAGGTGAGCTACCTCCTCGTCCAGTGGTGGCACCTTTGCACCCACAGCAGGTCCGGTTTGCCGCTCCGTGTACACCTGCAGTACCTCCGCCTCTGCCTGCACATGTGGACCCCCCTGTGCATGATTGGGGTGTTCGCGACCTTTTCTGCCATGTTCACCGTGTGCAATCTGCTCTCCATCATGTCGTACACCCTGGGCACGCAGCACCGGATTTACGGGAAGGCGCGGAAGATTTTGGACCACTTCCACGAGGTGCCGTGGTTTTTCCTGGTCTGTGGCGTTCTGCTTCCGACACTGGCATGCGTTGCGATGAGTCACGTGGTCTCCGTGGTCTTGCGGGACGTGCTAGAGGGGAGGTACGCGCCGTTGCATCTGATGGACCGTCCGACCATGTTTGACGACCAGAGCGACGAGGAGGCGGACGAAGACGAGTTTACCTACGACAACGACGTCACCAGACAAAACAAGCAGCTTCATTTTGATGCAGCTGCAACTTCCTCGTCCAGCAGCACGACTGCAAGTGCAAACACTTCCGGCAACGAGGCCGACAATTCCAGCGGAACGGAGCAAGAAGTAGCGGATGCTAGTAGTACAAGTTCGAAACAGTTGCAGCTTTCCGCTCGCTATAACAAGCAACCACACGAGCAGCAGCTGCAGCTGCAGGTGGGCAACACGACCACCAGCCTGGTGCAGCGTCGCTCCTCCTTCGGGCGCCCGGAGCGGCAACACCTTCCGCCGTTGCGGAAGGAGGCCCGGCCGGCGAAGCCCGACTACGGGGTCGTGTGTTGCTGCCCCAACCGGGCGACCTACAGCCGGAAGTACTACGCGGTTTTGTCCTACGACAGCAAGGGCTGCCTCGCCTCGGAGAAGGAGGTCGGACAGATGTCGAACCACCACGCGTACAACAACCGGGCGAACCGGTTGACGGACTACATCGTGTACCAAATGTCCGACTGGGAGACCGCCACGCACACAAACAGTTCGGTGGAAGACTCGATTGAGGTCGACGAACAGGAACGGCACCTGCTCGATCACAACTTCCACATCGACGAGGAAATGAGCACCAGCAGTGGAAACTGCACGGCCACTGAGGTCGAAGTATTCGACCCAAAGTGCGAGGCTGCTCGCCTTCTTCAGCTACAAGAAAATCACGGAACAAAGATTGCGCCAGCACCAGCCGCCCCGGGGGGTGACACGGGCAGTTCCGCTGGTAGCAGTGCGCCAGCTGTAGTACCGTCAAATCATCATTCACTGCTGAACAACTCCGGCGCTAGTCTCAGCAACACCGCGCGTAGCAGTTGCTTCGGTGTGGAAACGTCGCAGCTGCAGGTCGTACAGCGAGGCGGAGCAGAGGTGCTGCAGCAAAAGGGCACTGGTGCAACATCGTCCTCGTCGCTGCAGCTGCAAGAGCAGGGTCTAGTTGTTCAACCAAGGAACAGTAAATCCACCTCCACCGTGTTGAAGAATACAAATGCTGCTTCATTTTCCGCAGCGCCAGCCCTGACAGTTTCTAACCTGGCGCGGCTGCGCAGCAGCACCACTCAACAGCAGCACGACTCTAACCTGGTCCCGCGGTGCGAGATGGTCCTGCACGCGCGCGAAATGGACTGGTTTTCTAGTTTGTGGCTCTGGCTGGAGATTCTTGTCGAGCTGGGCATCTGGGGTTTGTCCAACGCGATCTTTTACGGTATGATCCCGGTGCACGGTGCGCTGTGGTGCAACGCGGTCCAGGGAAACCGCGCTTTCAAGTACGTCGTCGCGGAAAAGCCGGGGTCGAATCCGCAAGTCGTGATCGCGGGCGGCGACGACCACATTTCCAATATGTCGCGGAAGAACCGCCCCGCGGAGTACTACTTGAGCAAACGCGCGAGGAGCCTGAATTTGAGTTCCTCCGCCTCGCGTCGGCACCTGGACCCCACCTCAGGAGGAGGTGGGCTTTTGTACCAACCGCACCACGAGCAGTATGGAACGCTGGTTTCATCGCGGCCCAGCAAGCATTCCATCCCCGGACCCAGCCGCAAGAGCTGGATCGTCAAGCAGGGCACTAGCGGTGGCCCATCATCGAGCAGCAGCACCACGACTCCGGTACAATAATTACCTACTTTCGTAGTTTGCTCGTCTTTTGTGAATAGACCCCCCAGTTGGGTACATCATCTAGTAAGAAGCGTTCGATCTGGAGCTAAAAGTAAAACTACGCTTTGACGACGACAAGAACGAAGTGTTGCGTTCGATCGTGTATTGCGAGGCTTAGAATGGGATGACCAAGAAAATCTTTTTTATTGACATTTTTTTTGCACATCTTCACGATCAGGACATGAAGAAACAAACACAAAACAGGGCTCGTCGTCGGCTGAAGAGGTGGATATATCTAGTGTCGCTTCTGCCCAAGCGCTCGCGTCGGTCGAGGAAACGCCGCAGGCAGGGTCTCTGCGTCTGCTGGCCGACGCTGCGGCCCGGGGGGCTCGGGAGCCGCAAGAGCTAGCGTGTCAACAACACGGCTCCGACGTGCTGCAACAGGTTCCCATCTGAGTGATTTTCTTTCTTCCACATCACTCTCAAATCCAAAAGAAAGCGTGTATCGGTATCGTATGTTCTTCATACAAACTCTCATCTCCTCCGTTGGGAGCAAACCAGAAGGATGGAACGAAGTAGTTTTTTAACACACGAGAGGTGTACGTAGCGTAGGTTTTTTGCACAGCAACAATTCGTAGTTTTTGTTACGACCTGGTGAGCAGAATTGCTTTTCACAGACGGAGACGGGTGTCACACTTTTCACAAGCCTATGAAAGATTGCATATCGACGTCGAATTGTTGGACGAGTCTACAACAGCTGAGCACTCCTCCTTTTGATTGTAAAATACGCTTCTGACATGATTTTCATTTGAAAGTGACTTTCTTCAGAAAGTTATCGTCTTTATTGCTATCACACTCTACATCGTTCCTCATTTCGTCTCAAAGTTCTTGAACATCTGTAGAAGTCCGCTTCGGACAAAGTTACCATAAAATGTAGAAGCATCGTTTCGCGTAGTGTATAAATAGGAATACTCATAATTTCACAGTGTACATTTTACAATTTGAGAAGGCAAGAAGAATAAATACGAGAATTGTGTCGTTGTTTCACATTCGTTTTCTGGAACGGGGTGAAGGATCGAAAAATTCTGAAGTCATAATTGGCTTAGATTGTCCTGCTCGTCACGATGAAGAACAGTGCTAAAATAATCCAGGCGAGGATCATGTGGAGCAGGATGAGCTGCAATGAGAAAACTGTCCGCTACCAAGTAACAAGCCAAGGCTTCAGAAAAATAAATATCACTACATCAAAGCACCAGGCGCAAGGCCAAGCAGCTCCAGCAGGTTTCGCTGTGCTGAACCTTCTTGCCAAAGCATCATTTCATTGCGCAGGTGAACCGATCCGGATTCACGGCAATAAGTTGTACGGTATTTTTGATGTGAGGCATACATTCAGCATTCACGAGCGCCAATACTCAGTCTTGATTGAAGATCCTTAAATGCTGTAGCTAGTGTGGCGGTAGATGTACTGCCACTTCCAGTTCTTCAGGAACCTTGTTGCTGTTAGCAAGAGCGTACGATGTGCCGGCTCATGATCTCGCAAAGCTGAGTGATCACTGGAAGAAGATGCTAAAAATAGGATGTTGAGGATCCGTATTGATTTGTGCAAGAAATGTTGCAAGAGGATCTTCATCCCACACCCACACACATGCTCCGCAGCAAGAGATTCTAAATCCCGCTTCTTGATGAATCCCAAGTCCGTGTTGAAGATGAAGTTGAAACGTCCAACTCAGGTGATGGGTGATATGTCTAGGAGAATTATCTGTATGTAAGATCATCTTCCCCGTTTTTTAGAGTTGCTTGGAAACTCAAGAATAATCCTTTGTACCGACAAAGACAATATAGAAATAGAATTCAAACTTCTGTGAACTGTTTTTGTCGACGCTCCATCAACTTCCTCAGAACGGGCCCAACTTGAAACGCGGGAAATTTTTCAAATCGACGACGCAAAATGCCGAAAAAGCTCTTGAGGAAGCGACGGAACGAGAAGAAGGTCACACGAAAAGTGAAGACGAGGAAAAATGTGAACCCGAAGCGTATGGCCAACAAACAGCTACGGGAGAACGTCGCCACAGAGGTTTCAAAATGCTCAATGCCATGGAGCTGTCATCTTGAAAAGGTATAGTAGGCATATTTAGTGAATAAAATCAATAAGCTGAGTCTTAAGTTCTTCTTCACGACCCGCTGAGTTAGTGCAGTGTCCGAAAATGAGCTTGCAACCTATAAATATTCTTGTTTCAATCTTCACGTTCACGACTATCTATCACACAACCAGATAAACGCCGACCTGCCAAAGAACCTGGGCGCTGCGTACCCGGAAAGCATACCAGAGGAGGCATACCATAAAGTGAAACTGAACGAGGACCAGATTCCGATTGTGGAACGACTCCACAAAAAACACGGCACGAACTACTACAAGATGTTCATGGACCACAAGACGAACATATACCAGTGGACGCAGCACACGTGCGAAAAGTACGTGAAAGGCTGGTGCTTGGACAAATCCATTGAGCAGCGAACACTAAATGCGGAAATGATGAGCGGGAAGGGAATGGATTTGAGAAAGCCTGCAGACTGGAAATGTAGAAAACGAAATGTGTTTGGGCATTGATCAAGATCAACATCAAGATGACATTTCACATTGCTACTTTGCGACCTAATGTCTTCATTTTGCAGCTACAATTTACGTGACAACATGGCAAAAAAGCAAATCCAGCAGCTGGATGATGTTCGTCGACGATCATACCAAGGCAAGTTGATGGCTTGATGCTTGCTCTCCGTCCCTCGTCAACGACACCGCACGCAGGGATGAGTTTGAGTTCTGTTCTGAGTTGTATGTATCTTCTCCTAACTCCTGGGTGGTTCAGCTCTTGAACTGAACCGGAGCACATTCTTCCGCACAACGAATGCAGCGGGAGGGCAGAACCTGACCACGATCTGTACCTAAGTAGTCCAATCTGTTCGCGTGTCAAAGATTGTCATGCTCTTGTTCCTGCCCCATAAGCGTAACGGATCTTCGTCGTGTGAAGGACCTCCAGTATCCAACAGTACAAACGCGGTATGCATTCATGCATGAAAAAAGAAAAAGGTCAGTACTACCAAACCCGAAGCCACTACGATCATGGGCGTGCTGCGCGCCGTGTTGGCGTGTGGTCACAATTGTACTTAAGTATAGACATGTCAAAGTCAAAAACTTGCGAAGAACCTGATCCTCCTTTATTCAGCAGGCCGCGGAGAGGAATTAAAACATGGAAGAAGGAGGAGCTTTTACCAAAGTCAAATCGGCTTAGAAAAATTTAGAGTTACGTATGTGCCTCGGGTTGTGTTGAACAAGAAGAATAATAGACATAAAGTGAATACCAAAAAGGATAAAGTACCAGATGTAATCTCAAAGTGTAAGTGAAGTCAATTACTACACCTGCTATATGGAATAATAATGTACTTTTGTTTACATAAGTACTCAATTCCAAGCGAATCTGAAACAACTTTCTGAGTTTTTACGTAAGAAAGTAGCTCTTGTGTATTGTCTTTTCACTTTGATGAGTAGCAGTAAGCTAGCAACACCATACAACCTACTTGCACCTTCACTATAGGTAGTGGCCCACTCCTTTCTTTCCCTTTGTCTTTCTGATTTGAAAATTGTTCTTGAAGAGAGAAAAAATGAGCCAATTCTTCAACCTGGTTGCTCCTTGTTTCTCCGAAACACATGCGTTGCCTCACGGCGGGAGCATCAGAAGATCGCAGAACATTGAGCATGGACAACGGCAGCCGTCGTGTAGAAAAAACGCAGCGCCGGGGCCAGGTTGTAAGAAGCATCCTCTGCAGCTCGTCGCAACGCCAATGCGGCTGGCGAGTCATGCCCATGCGATGGTGATTCGCTGTCGCAGGTGACGAACGATATCGCCAGCAGCTCTGATGTATTAATTGAATTCAAATGTGTCTGGGTCTTGAAGAGCGCATGGTTTGTCATGCTCGGCTAAAATGACTCTCAAGTCGAAGTCTGTCATGCGCGTTACTTCAAGTAAGTACCTAAACGCCGGCGCCGCAGCTCTCTGTCAGTCATGCATAAACGCAGTTTGATGCCATTGCCATGCGGAATAGGCAACACCTGGCAATTCCAACTCGTGGCCGGGCGTGAAGGCGTCCTCATGACTGTCCAACCTGCATCACAAGTTTCCAGACCCAGACATGTTTGCATTCGATATGATGCCGGAGCTCTTCCCCGCGCAAGAACAGCAGAACCAACACGCAGCGCACTGGCACGGCTGTACAAGTTCATCAATTTCCCCTCACCAGACAGGAGTCGTACCCCTATTTGTAGTCCCCCCATCTTCGAGCAACGATCCAAGTGCAAACCTGCACCAGGTTCCGCCCAGCAGCAACATGATGCTTCCCGCAGGAGCTGCAGCTACGAGCAGCCCGCAGCTGGGCGCGCAGAACACGAGCTGCATGCAGCTTGCGGACGCGCAGAACTTACCGTTGCGCGACGTTCTTCTTGGTTCCGTTTCTGGTGTGAACCAGAGCCTGCGGCAGTACTGTAACCAAATCTTAAAGCAAAAGGAGGAAACCGACGCCCAATTTTGCCTGCAGCTCCTCGAAATTTACCACCTGGAGAAGACCGACTACACATTGAAGTTCCTTGCCTTGACGGGGTGTAAAAATGTGTTGCTGCGAAATTGGGGGTACCGTGGACCCGCGCCGTCCGCGCGGACGCAAGCAGGGATAACGTCGCGGCAAGTCGTATGGCGTTCTCAAATGTTACATTCTCAACTGTTACATGAATTTGTAATGCAAGAACGGCAAAAGTGAAAGCAAAGGGGGAAGATTGCGCCTTTTGCATTACAGATTTGGCGCAGATTTAGCTGCTGTCTGTCCCTTCGGAGATTTGTCACGCGAAGCAGCTTAATCGTGGCGATCTTGCTGGTAAATTAGCATGACAAATCATGTAACAGTTGAGAATGTAACGTTTGAGAACGCCATAAGTCGGGCCCAGTTTGATGACTGCGAGCGGCAAGGACCCGAGAAATCCGATGTCCTCAGGCAGCTGTACTGTTGGCGCCAACACAGGAGGAGCGCCGCCGGGAACTGAACAACACAAATTTCCCCCGGCGATGAACGGTTCCACTGGCACCACCCCGGGTGGAACTACAAACACTGCGCAGCAAATCTACTTTCCCCCGGAACTGAAGGCCAGGATCAAAGCGATGGTGTTGCAGGTGTTTGAACGGGATGTCGGTGCTCTATGTGCTGCCGAGAACGATCACATGCAGCAGCTCCCGGTGGACCGGAAGCGGTGCATTGACACGCTGATCATTCTTGTCAGGAAAATCTCGCGGTTTTCCTTTCCGAAGGACTACCCGGAGCTGCCGGTGTTCTTCAACAATTTTTTTCAAAATTTCCTGGGCCAAACCGCGGAGCAGACGAAAGCGTCACAGCTCCCAGATATCGTGGTCAACGCACGGCGGCTGGTCTGCAACAAGCAACCGCTACCGAATCTGAAGCAGATCAACGAGGCCATCCCGATTTTTCTGGTCGTGCAGCTGTTCTTTTGCGTGTTGAAGGAGCAATCTCTGAAAATGCTACTCGCAGATAAGTCCGCGTTTCACAAGGTGGGTCAGGAGCTTCTGCATATGTTCGGGAACTTTTTCATCGCAGCTTCGCGCGCGGTCAGGCTGCTGCTCGACTCGCCGCTGAATTTGAAAACTTTGGCAGACAGCAGCTCGACAAACGCGATGCCCGACCCGCGGTGGCACTTTCCGGACGCCGACCCGCGGGACCAAGCCACCGCATTGCAATATTTGAGCCAGCTTGGCATCGGGGCACCTCCTCTGGGCGTGGCCGGGGGTCCGACAGGAGGAGCTGCAGGCGCCGCGCCACCAATATTAGGCTCGTCCTCTCGACCAGAACTTTCGCAGCCGGATCGCGAGAGGTTGTGGAAGCTTCGAAAATACTTGAGTGGCAGCATGATGATTTTACTGGAGAAGGGCTTCGTTCACTTGACTGATTTAGTTGAGAAGGACCCACAACTGTTCATTTTCTTTCGCGACGAGTTGGGGCACAGGCTGATCGGCCTTCACTTAACCAACGTCCGCTACCAGCTGAACTTCGATCTGGCGAACCTGATTCCGTTCCTGCACTGCCTCAAGGGCTTCCTGAAGCGGTGGGGCGGTTTGCTGAAGCAGCACCCCTTGGCCCTGATGGAAGCCGACGTAGCGAGGTGTCTGGAATTGAACGTCAAAGTGCTGGAGGTCGTGTATCAAGAACTGCATCCGGTAGTTGATGTCAACGGCACCGCCACATCAAACACCACTACATCTTCACCTGCCCCTTCGTTGGCAAACGGGGCAAATACAACTGGGATCCAGGTTGCAACGAATGAAGTTGTAGCCACTAGAAGTACAACCCCGATGACGCAGATTCTTGTTCTGAAAAACCTCCCGGGTGGACAAGATGACTACTTCCGCCTGCTCTCCCTGCTCCTCACCGTTGCCCGCCGCGCAGTGGAGGGCATGGAGATATCGTGAGGAAAAATTCCCCCTCCCCATATCGAAAAGGTACGCCGCAGAAAATTTGCAATGCTGATTTGCGACCACAGATCATCTCTGTCTTGCAAGAAGGCAACTCCACAGGCTCCGGCGCATTATGGAGACGGTTTGTGATGCTGTTGCACCTACAGCGTCGACGTTTCTCATGCTAAGCGCCTAGGCCAAAACCTGTCTACTCAGGCTTGCAGGTAGATGAGTTGTCGCATAGGATGAATTGCACCCAAATACGTATTAAGAATCCAGCAGACCTTACATCGTATCGTATTACGAAACCCCGAAGACAGCGAGCAAAGCATTTCAGCAGCTAGTTTCTTCAAAAGCGAAAATGGCGGACCTTGTGTCGTATTTGCCCAAAAACGGAGGCAATAGCGGAGCAGCTGAATTGTCACAAAGCGAAGCAATTCAGCGCAGAAAGACAAAGCAGCCTATCTCGGTCGATCGGGAATATACGGCGTATTTCCCGGCAAAAGCCAGCGTGCGACAAGTTTTACAGGCGCCCTCGATAGAAGCGCTCGTCTACCAAGGCCGGTAACGCGGGAAGCCTGCGCGGGCGCTAGGCCTGTGGCGCGACGGGCAGTGTGCGTGCGTGCCGACGTTTTCCGCATAGCAGTAGCACTGCTTTAAAGCAAAAGCGAAAATAGGCAGCGCGCGCGCCCTAATTTTGCATGCGCGGCAGCATGCGAAAGAGGGCCCGGGGGGGGGGCGGGGGGGGAAGGCCGCGCGCAAGCGTTATGGGTTATGCCAGGCGCGAGGCGTGCCGAAATAGTTAGACCGGGAAGCTTGCGGCAATTTGCTCGGAACGCTGCCCCGTCACACGCGCAACCATGGGAATGGTCCATGCCCAGGGCCCGGGAGAGCATTCCTTGGCAAGACCCTCGCAAACTGGCTGCGGTAGAACACAGCGCGTGCAGCTTTTACCCGTTGCGCCATGCTTTGGGCCCCGAACAATCAAGCCTGCGCGGATCACATGATAATCATGTGAGTAATCACGTGATCATCACATGATTTTTGCGGTCCATAAGCCATTTTGAGTTGTTTTCGTCATGATTATCACGTGATGACAACCCCGGAAAGGCGACTGCTAAAGTTGCAAGATATGACGCGCCCCCCGTCATACGTCAAACCCAAAGCGGCGAAACAGTAAGGATTCACGAAGAAAACGTAGCAAAGACGAAAGTCGAACGTATGAGCTATATTGTGACAATTCAGATCGCGCCAGGAACTGCGCAAAAAAAAGTCAAAAAAGCAACTCAGCATAGGACAACCCAGATTACTGCAGGCTTGACGTGGGCCTGCAGCCCTCTCCAGCAAGACGCATCTGATTTGTGTACGCAAATCCAGCGGCACAGACTTCGTTTCGATATGGGGAGGGGGGACTTTTCATTTTGATAGGAGAATCCGGTGCGGAACGGCTGGCGGAACCAGAACCAGAACTGCGCGAAATTGAAGCACCGCGCGGTAAGCTGCTTCGATCAGTTCACCAACCACTTCCTGCAGAAGTATCCAGTTTTTCCCAAACTCTGCAATCTCGTGGCGCATTTGTGTTTGAAAATGAACGTGGTTCTGAACAACGCATCGACGGACGGAAGCACTGGCAACGAATGTTCCGAGTTCTCCCCCGCGGTTTTGCTAAAAGACGCCTTGGAGGAGCAGGATGACCAGCAACTGGAAGACGACCAGCAGCTGCTGACCGGCCCGGCCCAGGCGAGTGAAGTCCGCCAAGCGGGGGAAAAGTTCTTGGCGGCGCTGTGCATGCACGAGAATTACCGGCGAAGCTTGTCCACCTGGATCGAATCGCTCACCGCGAAGTACACAGGCGGGGCGGCATCAGCAAGTGCGACGAGCGGTGGGGGCGTTCTTCTTGCGCAACACCAGCCCGGACAACTACACGGCAATTTCGTCGCGAATCCTCTAGAGCTTACCAATATCGAAGAGTACGACATGACGTTGTCTGTTCTCTCCGTGTGCCAGTCACTTTTTAAGAAGGTGTCCCAGGACCGGGACTTCCACGAGAAGAACAACAGCTGCACGCCGGTACTCGCGGGGCAACAGCATCAGCCTGGCGTGGCGGATGCAGTCAGCATCAGGTCCCTGGGCCCGAAAACAAGATCACCTAACAACCCGGAGAGCAACTCGATGCGCGTAAACTTGAACCGGGAACGGGAATTCCTCGCCTCGGTGTTTCAGCAGATCTTGCCAATATTGAAACCCGCAATCTCTTTGTACAATCAGAAGCCGCCGCAGGAGATCATGGGCGACGCGCGCCGGTTCGTGTGGCACGTTGTTTTACCGGTGCGCGTCAGCTACTTTTTCCGTGCCTGGGCAAACGACCTGCCGCCAAACGAAGTGCCGGCGGTGCTGGAGGTTTTGTCGCAGTTCTTGCAGAACGGGTGGTGCAAGCTGATTCGGGTGAGTATTCTGTCTCCGTTGGAGGACATCTACTCGCGACATTCGGACCACCCGATCTGGGAACAGATCCAGGCGGCGCTGTCCGAGGCATTGGTTCTGCTGTTGAGAGAAGTGACAAATCCCACCACACAGTGGCGGTGTCTGTCCCTGGTCAGGAAAATTTTGGAGGAAGGCGTGGGCGGGTAGTAATAAATTCAGTTTTGATCTTGCAGCCACGGTCTTCGAGTTAATTTTACACTCTGCTTTTTTTTGTAGCCATCTGTTGCGCATTTCATTTTCACATGTCCAGCTTCACTGCTGCGGGTGCCGCTGCACGAGAACAAGCTACCGTGAAGATGCGTAGCAGGATCTAGCAAGACAATTTGACTGTCAGCATTATTCGGCAGTATGTAATTATTTTCAGGTGTGAAGCGAAGGCGCAGATGCTTCAAACGCTTCTTGGTCTCTGGCGCGCGGAGCAAACGCAGCTGATGGTGCGTATGGCATTGCTGGAACTGGTGCAAACGATAGTGCAGCAGTACCAGAGCAACAATCTACTGGACCACAAGTCTGACAACAGGAACAAGGGAGCAGCAAACAGTTCGGACGCCAGTGGCGACGACAATGTCATGATTGAGCAGCTGTTGGAAGTCAGCCTGGTCATGCTCGGGGACTGCTACCGCAATCTCGACCCGGCCAAGGCAGACACGCCAACAACGACGAACAGTACCACGGGAGGGCCGGGATCACTGCAGAGCGGAAAGAAGGAGCCGGGCGTGAAATCCTCGGCGGTGCCGACGGTGAAAGAGTGTAAACTTTTGTTCTTGACTGTGCTGCGCTCCCCACTGTTGAACCGTCGCAGACAAGAGCAGTGGCTGCAGGCCCTGATGCCGATCTCGAGTGTCCTGGACCGGGACTTGTTTCTCGAGTTTTGCACGCTTTTCACTTTCTACGTCGATTCCTCGCTGACGGTCGGCGCCATCATAAATTCGCAAATCACGGTCGCGCCCGTCCCGCCGGGTGAGATGACCCCGACGAAGGCGCGCGCGTCCAGTTCGGATTTGGTGAATTTGCTGCCTCTCGGTCACGAGGAGTGGCGGTTTCAGCACAACGGAAGGTGGTTGACGAAGGTAGAGCTACTCGCCATGATTGCCAACGAGAACGCGCAGGAGCAGACGACGGTGGAGCTTCCCTGCGATCGCGTGTTGAACGTGTTTGCGCAGATGAACAACCCTGGAGGAACAAGTAACGTACCTGGCCGTGCACCAGCACACCAGCATCAACAGACCAACTACGTGCTGCGCGCAACCTTCACACCGACCATGAAACAACTCTGTGCACTGTACCTGAGGGATTTGATTCCCCATGCGTTGCACCTGTGCGAGTCGAAATCAGTGTTGCCGCACGCACGGAAATTCTTCCAGGAAGCCACATCGTGCAGCAGCCGTGAACCCTCGGTCGACAGCTCGCTGTCCGAAGCGGGGGGCGCGCCTACCCACCAGGGATCTGCAGCAGCGAAAATGAATCTGTCCGCCGGCGCCGCGGCCGCAAATTTTGCTGACGATTTCACGGGCGGGATGAAGCTTTTGCTCCTGGTTTACCCCTATGCGAACTACCATTTGTCAGTACGGCAGCAGAGTGGAGCAGGGTCTACTTTTTCGGCGTCGAGCCAAAGTCAAAGCGGGAATGCTCTGCAAGTGCAGTTGCAGCAGAACCTCTCGGAGAACGTCTTCATTCAGCCGATCTGGCAGGAGTGGGCGATGAGCAACCAGGCGCTGGTCGAGCAAAACATCGAGGCGTACCATGCGTCAGTCGGGAAACTGAACAAAGCTGCTGGAAGCGCCACGGCCGCGTCTGGAGGAGGATCAAGCTCTTCCTCCTCCTCTTCTCGCCGAAAATCGCAAAGCGGCGCGACGCAAGACCGGGGCAGGACCACAGGAGGTGGGGGGGAAAACAACAACTCCTCCTCTATCATGGACACGGCGAGCCCACCCGGAGGATCTTCAAACCACGACGGTTCCAAGCAGCCGATCGTGCGGCAAATTCAACTTCCCAGCAGCTGGCTCCACAGTAACTTCCCCATACAAGAATTCCTTCTGCTATGCCTCACCTGGCACAAGGCGAGCTTTTGTTCAGAAACCCGCCCCCGGTCGAACTCGGATCCAAACAGTCCAGCGGGGCAATTCGTTCAGGACACCTTCGTAAACCAGCTGCTCGGCCGAAACAGCAGCTACCAGCAGCCCGGAACAAATGGACAGCTGCACCAAATGATGCTAATAAATGGAACGAATCTTCTGGACCATCACCAACCGCAGGCCTTTTTGTCGTTGAACCTGCTGTTGCTGAGTTTGCAGCTGCTCAAACCGCTCGTGCACGCGCGAGTGGTGCTGCTCCAGCTCTTGCTCGAACTTCTGCAGAAGCAGAAACTGCAGGCCGCCTGGATCAAGCAGAACGAGGCCGCGATGAGCCAGCAGCAGACCTCGTTCCAGACCGCCAGCGGCGCCGCAACGAACGTGTTCCTCAGCGAGTATCTGGCGGAGTACTTTTTCCGTCACTTTTTCGAGCTCCTGCTGGATTTTTTCCGTTCCGCACACTACGAGCACAACGACAGCCGGGCGACGTTTGAACATTCGCTGCTGAAAATGCTCAGGCACAGCACGGCGGCCGGCGGGAGCAAGCGCGGGATGGTGCGGCTCCCGCGGTCGGAGAAGTACGACAGCCTGTGCCTCGTTCGCTACGGCGACTTCAGGCACTGCCACTTGAACCAAAACAACGCCGCGGCCGCCGCCGGGGCGGGGCTGATGCAGCAGCCGCCGGGAGCACAGGGGATTCTTGGGTCATCATCTTCAAACGATGAAGCTAATGGGCAGAGTCAGATCGCAGAGCAAATTCGCTTGATGGTCCTTGAAGTGCTACCAGAGCCGGTGATATTCGCCTACGGGCCCGAGGAACTGCAGAAGATTCTGGCGGGCACGATCGACAACTATTTGGCGTCCTCTGTGCTTTCCCCGGCTCCCAATGTAATGGTGCGCGGCGGTGCTGTCAACATGACGAGTTCAAGCTTCTTCTCATGAAGAGACATGATCGGCAGCACCCGCGCGCCTGACTAGTTTCACAGAAACCGTTGACACGATGGTGCTACTTGACAACATCAATAGCGTGTGGTGCGAATATTGGTATCACGGGAGCTGCATCTTTCCGAGTGCGAAATGTCGAACTTCTTCACCATCGTGTTGCTGTTTGTCGTCAGGTAGTACTCTCATGGACATGGACAGCTCTGTATTAGGCTAGTGAGCCGGAGCTCCTTCTTCCTTTTTCTTCGAATATTTTGGTCAATAGCGACAGGGACAGCATTGGTGCTGTTGATTGACGACACGACTCCTACTCCAAGCAAAAAAAGTGCGAATAAATTCTTGTAAGCGAAAGCGACACCAAACGACATTAAAATGACGACAATAGCAACGTGTAACCACTTATATGATCTTTTGTATGCGACCGCGAAGAACAACAGGATGTGCCGAATCCGCATGGCTTTTGACTGTGCCAAAAGTGTGCCCTCACGCTTCGTCGACGCATACAATTTTCGGCTGGTGTGTGCACTGATTTTCTTTACAAAAGATTTTGGCGACGCAAAAATGAAAGTGAATTGATACCGATGAAAATCTTTTTACGTCTGTCCTCCTCGATTTTACTCAACACCGCCCGTAGTCGGGAGAGTATTTTTGCTGTTGTTGTCGTTGTTCGTGTCTCGACGCAGATGAAATCATGCGCCCTTGAGCATGAGTTTTATTCGGTCCGCCGTGGAGCTGCAAAACAGAATTTCCAGGTCGGTTTCCGCTTTGCATTCTCAGCTTGCGAAAAGGAAAAGAATTGTGTGTCGGTTTTAGGCATTATTTCGTTCTGTCTGCTTTCAAGGCAGTTTTGTTTCGTACTAATTGTATCGTCATCGTAGATTGGCATTTAAGATGAACTAGCTTGCGTCACTGCTTCTCACGGAAAACGTGTCTTCGCCTTCGGTACAAACTAGGTTTTCGCGGTTTTGCATGATCGCTTTTTCGGTGCTGCTCGTCCAGTCCATCCATAGTCAGATTCGGACACCTGGTCGCTTCATCATGCGTACATTTCGTTCACATTCTCTTCGTGCGACACATAATTCATTGTACAGAATCAGAAATGAGAACCGCGGCTGCGGCTCATACTTTTCTCTCATTATCGTGGTCCTGTTGCTCGTGCCACTTGCCACTTGACTTTTCTACTCTCCACCCAGGTACAAGTCAGTGTCGGGCCTACTATTCTGCACCACAAGTTCGACTTTAGCCTTGTCTTTGACAGGGACTCGAAGTCGCGCTCTGTGTTGCTGTAGTGGTTGTGCCTTTTTTTGTATCTTGCTTTATCTTGTGCACCCCACGACTCTATATCATTTTGTTGCAATGACGACATTTATTAAAACCTTATTCCCCCCTCCGCGGATTATTTTCACCGAACATGATTCGTTTATCGAAGATGCAGTCGGTCGTTCGATTGCAATTGCACATGACGACTCTTACATGAAGACCTCAAAAAGCTAAATATTATCGAGAAGGGTATTTACTTTTTCAAAAATTTTGTGTTCCGAAACACAATTAAATAACGACCGCATTTGTAAATTCGACATTTTTTACTTCTAAGTTGTACCCGTCACAAACAATTTCAATTATCCCGTTCATTTTTACCTAAACAACCTACTTGTAATTCTTAAATTTCAAGATTATTCCGAAAATGACTTCGAGCGCTGAGAGCTCGGCCAGCAGCGCCAAGCGCAGTGCAAGTAGTGCGAGCGGCAGCAGCAAAGCAAGAGGCAAAAAGCGCGGCCCGTCTAGCGGTACTAGCACCTCCAAAAAGCAAGCTTCTGGTGCGGTATCGTCCGCAGCGAGCAGCAACAGCGCAGTTGCGGCACTTACGCGAGCGAACCAGAGCCGAATCGCGTCGTTGCGCGCACGAATCAACGGAATTTTCTCCTCCAAAGAGGCGACTTCTGGAGGACGAGATGTCGAGCAACCCACCCCGGTTGTTTCCTATCTGTCGCCCACACCAACGCAGGCCCAGGACGGTGCCACGGACGACAACACACGCCACCAGCAGATACCGCCGATCAATCGGTGCGACGCCATGGGCTATTTCCCCCTGCGCGCCCGCGGACCGCGGGCGCACTTGTTGGCGCAGGACGCGCTCGCGGACCACGGGCCAAAAGATCGAGACCAGCAGAACAACCCTATGGTCGTGATCAAGAAGCCGGCGGTTTTTCACAGCTGGAGCAGCGCGTCCAACCAAAACGCCGCGAATGCGCAGAATACGTGGAATGCAAAGTGGGCGTTCCGCAGCCCGCTTGTGGTTTTCTGGGTGACGATTGTGGTCTGGGTTTCGTTGTTCATTACCCGCATGTTCATGGGCCCTCCAGTTGCAGCCGCACCCGAAGGCCAGCACCCCGCCGCGGCCGGAATTGTGCCACCCTTCGCGCCGGCGACGATTCCCACCAGCACGGTCAACGACCCCAAGGCCGCGGCGAAAGTCGCCCCGCCGCTGGTCGTCCCGGCGTCGCACTTGAGCATGCCTTTCTTTTACTTCACGGGCTTCCCCGTGCTGCTCCTCATGGCGCTGTTCGCGGTGCGGCAAGTGATCGGCGCGCTGGCGGCGTACTGGAACATCAATGGCACGTGTGACATCGATTGGGCGGATCGGTTTGCGAAAAAGGTGACCTTTCTGCAGAACCTCTTCGCCGCCCGCCAGGGCCAGGAGGGCCAGGTGCAGAGTCTGGAACTCCCGAAGCACTTCCTGCTGCTGCCGTTGCCGGACAACTTGATGCTGCAAAACAGCGAGCTCAACGAGCACCACCATTTGCAAATGTGGATCGACCAAGTCGCGGCGTACCAAGCCATCAGGGGCGCAGCCGATGCGGACAGCACTTCTCCTGGCCCGACCTTTTGTGAGCAGCACGTCGTCCTCTTTTTGCTGAAGTGCAGCGCGAAGAACGCAGCCGACGGCACGAACGGCGGTGACAGTTCGACTGCAGAGATGATGAGCAACTCCTATGGCACTGCATCAACTTCGGAAGTCGCGGCTCGCCGGGAGCAACAAATGCAGCAGAAGCAGCAACTGCTGACCAAGTTGGTGGCGAAGAACAAACACAAGTTCCTGGATCTGCGCGTCATCGACGCGCCCGCGCATCTGCCGCAGGCTGAGTCGCTCACCGCCTCGAAGTACAGCTGGGGCGTGCTGTCAGTGCAGGAGTGGCTCCGCGTACAGGAGCAGCACGACCAGCAGAGCGGGACGTCGACCACGACGAACGACGAAAGGGCCGCAAAGAACAAAAATCAGTTCGTTTCCGACGGCAACGCCTGGATCACGTGTTGCGACGCGCACGCCTTCCTGCACCACAACTACTTGCCGAAGCTGAGCTTGGACATTTTGGACCTGCAGAACCGGAAGACGCACCGCGAGCACCCCTCCGCGATGCACACCATCTTCCAGCCCCCGGTGCTGCACCTCCGCAGCTACGAAAAGCTGAATTTCGGCTTTGTCCGTGCCGGCGCCATGTACCGCACCCTGCAGCAGTGCGCCAACCTGTGGTGGAACGAGGGCGCCTCCTCGTCCACCCTCGCGAGCGCCGTGGACAAGCGCTGTTTCTCGCTGAATCTGGACCTGCTTGTGAACAACCACTTCGTGGACGGCATCTCGTCCGACTCCCAGAACGTCGGCGCGGTCGTGGCCGCGAAGGCGGTTCTGTCCGAGCGGTGGATGGATCTGATCGAGAAGCAGATCAAGCTGGACGAGGAGCACTTGGAGCAGCTCGAGAAGGAGCAGATGGAGGACGAAGACCTGCGGTCCCCCGAAGAGCAGCAGCGGCTGGTCGAGCAGGCCTGTGCGATCCGGAAGGCCGTCGCGGCGCAGCGGGAGGTGCAGCAGAAGCGGCAGATGCTGCAGTTGCAGAGGATCGCCGCGGAGAAGTTCGCGCGGAACCAGAAGCTGATGCGCACGCCGCTGCTGCAGCGCGCCCCGGATGGCCGGATGGAGAACTGCGTGATGCTGGAGGAGGAGATGGTGGAGAACGAGTACATCTTCAAGGAGGTGGAGCGCTTGATCTCCGCGGAGACGCCGCAGCGCAACGCAGAGGTGGCCGGGTCCAACACCTGGCTGTCCGGCGGACGGAAGCGCGCCAACCGCTGGAAGCAGTGGTGGAAGAAATCCTTCCGCCCGCCCTCGCAGAAGCAGATCGTGGAGGAGGAGGAGCAGGAGGAGCAGGCGCTGATGGCTGCTGCGAACACCGGCAGCGTTGGTGCGGACCAAAACAACTTCTACGACAGCACCGCCGACGATGTCGATGGCCCTCCACCCCAGGTGGGAACTACTACGAGATCCGCCCATTCCACCGGGTCCCCGCACGACAATTCGGACAGCGAAGCGGAGTCCGACGCTTGCGCCGTTCCCGCCTTTCTGCAGCTGAAGCCGATCTGGCTGCCGGCCAGTTTTTGCGGTCTGAAGGTGTCCAACGAGACGGGGGGCAACTGGGTCGAGGAGTTTGCCAACTGGCGCGCCCTCGCCCGCGACGTCGCGGAGGTGCAGGGCTACTTCACCATCGCGCTGCTGCAGATGTGGAACATGGAACTGTCCCAGGCCCGCATTCAGGAAAATCTCCAGTGGCGCAGCCTCTCGCAGTACAGCAGCGCGGTCTACTCCGACGACGGCGTCGAGTCCGACGAGTACGAAGCATCGGAGGACGCGCACCTGTACCGGGTGGAGAAGGAAGAAGGTACAACTGCGCCCGCCCACAAGCAGAAGCAGAAGTTGTTCACGGATCGTGTCTCCGCGGCTTCTTCCATGATGCTCACCCGCTTCACGCTGTTCTGGAAGTACCAGTACTTGATGAACGTCTCCGTCAGCGGGGGTTGCAGTCCCGGGTTGCTGGAGTCGCTCTTCTGTGTGTACCTTTTGTTGCAACTTCCGCTCCTCGAATCCGGACGCGAGCCCGCACAGCCCTTACCGCTGATGATTTTCGGGTTTTTGGCTCTGTACGTCGTGATCATGATGAACCTGTCCGTCATCATTGGCGCCAGCATCGCCGTCCAGGCGGCGCAGGGCCGCTACCATCCGCTGTGCACGCGCAAGACCAACGCGGTCCCCGTCGTGCGGCCGGAGGACGTGGAGGAGCTGCTGAACAACTTGAATAAAGGCGGGAGAAGCAACAAATCCACCGTGTTCCAGCGGGCGAAAGAACAGTGCAAGCTGCTTTTCCGCGACACCATCACCCCCGCGGCGCAGATGGTGCCGGGGTTGAGCAACCAGCTGCGGTACACGCGCAAGACGTACTTCGTGCACACGGACGCCTGGTCGTCGGGGGAACTGTCCTTCGGGTCCCGCCTGCACCTCGGCTACCGCGTGATGCAGGACATGTTCGTGCAGTCGCCGCTGATTGTCACCCCGTTCATGCAAATCCCCGCGGGCATGTTCACCATGCACCACTTCGCTTTCTCGCCGAAGTCCGTCCGCATGTCGGGCAACGAGTTCGTGCAGCGTCAGGACATGGCGCGACTTGTTCCCGTCAAAAAGATCGGGAACTTCATCAGCAGCGGCGCAGGAGCAGCCGGCACTACACGACCAGCGGTGGGCCACGGCGCTGTGGAGCAAAACCAAAACGCGCCCCCAGCGCCGATCCACATCCACCTGAATCCTTCGATGCACCTGCGCGGGAGCTGGAACCTGCGGAAGAAGGATATCATGGCCTCGGACCCGGAGGCGGAGCAGCATGATTTTTCGAGTGCAGCCGCATCTACCTGCGACGGCGCGGAGGCCGTGCCCTTCCTGTGCAACTCGTCCTCCGGCCTCGAGGAAACGCAGTCCGCGGTGTCGTCGTCGAACAGTGGTGGAGATCATTCGGTGCAGCAGGAGGCTGTGCGCGGCGTGTCCGCGCTGGTGACAGGGAAGAAACCCATTTACCGCAAGTCCCGCGCGCTGGCGACGCAGACCACCATGGCGTCTTCGGGTTCCGGCAGTGGCCGGTACTCCTCCACTTCGGACAACAGCTCGTCCTCGCGGGAGGTGTCCTCTTCCTCCGACGAATTCGCGAACCGGCAGCTGCCTCCGGTGCAAGAGCAGCAACAAGATGAAACGGTTGACTCTGTAGTTCCGTTGTCTGCGGAGGGAGCAGCGCCGGAAGAAGCGGGCTCCAGCACCTCGCGTCGTCCCGCAGCGACCTTCCTCGAGGGGTCGCACTTCCGCGAGTCGCTGCGCGCGTTCACAGCCCACTGGTCGAGCTCCGGCACCACGTCCGCGGCCAGCTCCGTGATCGGCATGCCGACACCGAAGACGAGCGGTTTCTCCAGCATGCTGAAACCGGTGAAAAGCGAGTCGGACAAGGAAGCGCCGAAGACGAATTCCGAGGACGATCTTCACGGTGCAGCTGTAGCCCGAGGACCAGAAGGCGTCGAGAGCCAGACCGCAACGGGGGACTGGAAGAAGCGCGCCGGCGGCGGGAGATCGACTACAGGGAACAATCAGCCTGTGCTGCGCTTCAAGATCCACAACGACAGCGCGTCTGAGATCGAGCGGTTCCAAATCCACAGCGAAAACGCTACGGACTCGGAACAAAACAATTCTGCGTCCACCCCTGGGGCCGCGTCGAAGCGTGGCGCAACGGTCTGGGACGATGAGAAGATCGACGAGTTTCTGTTGCAGGTAAACACCGCGGCGCTGCTTGTCCAAGACGCGGAGCAGGAGAAAGCGGTCGAAGCGGAAAAGATCAACAGCAAAAAGAACGCAGCGCGTAGTTCTCTTGGTCAACGCCAGCGCTCGACGCGCACGCCCTCTTGTTCTACTTCCGGCACCAGCTGCTCGTCCTCCAGCAACCACGATACGCTCGTTGTTCCGTCCTCCTCGGACGAGGCCGCGGCCGCGCGGAAGACGACCAAGGACGACATGCTGCTGTACCCGGAGCCGAACTCTGACGAAATTTTGTCCGTTGTGTCCGAGGCGCGCAGCCTGGAACCACCGGCAGCCTTTTCGGCGGTGAAGAGTGCGATTGACGTGGATGGGAATAACATTTCGGTTGAGCGTCGGCCGAAACCTGCAGCTGAATCCGGTCCCCCTGCTGCAGCAGTCGACTGGACCACGCAGATGAAAAAAACCAAGCGGAACACCTCAGGAGGAGGTTCGCGGACGCCCCGTCGTGCTGCCGGACGGATAGTTCAAAAACGGGAGGGCAGTGCTGTTGTGGACCACGAAAAGGAGCACGCGACCATCATTGTGGACGAAGACGGGGCGCAGCGCGCGCTGCAGCCGGTCGCGCGGCACGTCTCGAGCCACAACGTGGCGGCCGACCTTGGCGAATTGAAAAACGCCAACGACGACAGCAACGCCAACCACGCACGGAGTTCCGACCCGAATTCGCGCAAAAAATCGAAGTCCCGCGGCAAAGGCGGAGCGCCAGCGGGCTCGCGATACAACTACAAACGCTACAACGGTGGTGCTGGTGGTGGAACTAACAACTCCTACTACAACAACGGAGGCAGTAGCGGGAATTACTACAACGCCAACAGCAACTACTACAATGGGGTGAGTAGCAAACACTACTAAATTTTATCGGTATAATATTCTCCAACTCTATCTCTAGGAAGGATGTCAACGGAGACGGACACCGAAAAAAAAAATTGTACTTTTTTACGTTCACTTTCAAAACTTGTTTGTTTTTAACATGATTACACATCGTTTTCGTAGGGCATTTTCATCTTTCAGAAGATTTCATAGAATTATGTGCATTCTCCTGTTCTTTTTCATGCACATTGTGCACAACTACTTTTTTGCTATATGCACAAAAAAAAAATAGCAGACGCTCGCAAAAATACAAAAACACAAAAAACATCGAAAAACAAAAAATCAAACAAAAATAATATGCAATACCTTACAAGTGCTCAAGTGGAGCAGAGAATTCTTTACACCATCAGGGTTTAGGACTATGTCATAAGGTAGGGTCAGGGTCATCTAGGGTTTTCCAAGCATCCGCTCGCGATAAAAAAACTGCTACGACTATCGCCGTCGCAGTCTGGACAAATTGAAGAAATTTAAGAGTTTTTGTTTGCCTTTATTGCCTAAAAAAAGTAAAACACTGGAGCGAGCTACTTTTTCGCCACTGATAGAAGGCTCCAGTAGACGATCTAATGAGTTAGAGTTTGTTTAGCTTGTTTCTTCTTGACGGCTTACAGTGGAACTACAGGAGTGACTTCCTTTGTCCTCCCTTTTGAGTCAAGGTAACGTAACAATCACAAGACTTTGACAGGTTTAAAGGCCAACTCATGTGAAAATCTGGAAACGCAAACATCATTGCACTAAAATTAAACACCAGCTCTATACTTTGTAGTATGTTTCTTGAAAGAGTAAGAGTATCAGCATTACAATACGAAGTTGTATAACGAAATCATCACTACTACAGCTAACAATAAACATCTATTTCTATGCCATAATATCGTGATGAAGGTTGAAAAAATGTCATCTGCAGCACAAACTAATCTCTACTTGACCACCAATCGCAATCGTTTCTAAAAAGTCGACATAGTTAGTAGAGCAGTCAGGACGCAGGCAAAGCTTGCGGGGAAGGACGCACACCTGGGAGTGGGACTCCTGACCGATGCATTGTGTGGACTCGGATCGGAGAAGGAAGCAGGAACGAGGATTGATAAAAGGCAATCAATTTCCGATTACTCTGATTGACGACGCAGAATACGCACTAGTAGTTTTGGGTTTTTGCGAAGTTGATTGCGTATCGTGGTGGCTGATTTAATTCATTACAATTACTTTAAACCTCACTAGTGCGCGGATTCTTGACTTTGAAGGCATGCTTTCTCTCTCACGCTGTCACGCATCAGTGTAAAAATCAGTCACGTATTATTAAATTCGAAACGCATTTTTAATCTGAGTTCCTGTGGCGACAAAACGACAAAGGACACCAACTACAAGGAACGAAAATATGCATTTCTTGTCGTGCCGGTGCCTGTGAAGACTTTTGTTTTATTTCTTTTTGCTGCGTGGTGACATTGAGTCTGTTGTTAGTGTTGGCTATGGCTTTTCGAACGAAAAGCTCGGACAAGAGTGTTCATGTTGTAAGCTGAGACCTCTAGAGTCGGATCAACTCTAGTGCCAGAGGAGTGGACAAAAGCAAAAGAAGTCGGTAAAGCCGGAGCGGACGTCGAGCGTGAGTAGACGTTGTCTTTGGCGAGGATAAATTTGAGTTGCACAATGGGGCGAGAGCAGGGATAGTACAGGTACAGAAAATGATCATGATCACCAAAATTTTAGATTTGCTCCGTGGTCTTGTCGTTGGGGCGTGGCTCCTCACGATTGCCGAGACGACAAATTGACCGTCGACACGGGGAGGTGGGAATCGACCGCTCGAAGGAAAACAACATCATGATGAGCGGACGACACACGACCTACCGAGACGACGGCGCGTTACCGCCCGACAAACTTCATCGCGGAAGTACAAATCAAAGCGCAGGTGGGCCTCCTGCTTCGTTTGATCAACCGCAAAACCACCTGCATCTTCCCCCGGGGGGCTGCTCTAGTACTAGTAGACCTTCTTGCGGCACTTCTAGTTCATCTTCCCTGACCTCGTTTCTGTACTCTGCACCCAAGGACTTGTGGTTCGTGTTTGTTCTGAAGTACCTCGAATCGTACTCCTACTTCGCTTATTCTGTGCAAAAGTATCGTACGAGTATAAATTGCGTTACAAATTCACCTAGCATGATTACAAATTAAATTTGTAATGCGGATTTGCCTTTCATAAAGTAATGCATAAACGCCCTGATCAGTACGAGTACGATACTTTTGCAATGCATATCGCTCTCTCCTATGTGCTCATCCTGTTCCTCAGCGACGAGTTCCAGCTGTCCGACGAAACTGCCGGGGTGGTGTACGGGATCCACGGCATGTTGATTTCCGTGTACGGGTTTCTGATGGGAACCGTGATCGACATGATCGGCGTGAAGTGGAGCGTCACCTTCGGCATGATGGTTCTTTTCCTCAGCCGGATGGCGCTGGTGTTCGTGACCAACCTCCATTTCCTCTTCTTCTTGCTGTTCGTCTCCATGCCGATCGGGTGCTCGCTTGGCGTCCCGGTCCTCCAGATTGCCATCAAGCGTTTGACAAAGGAGCAGGACCGGGTGCTGGCCTATAGCTGTTTCTACGTGATCATGAACCTGGCCGCCATAACGGCGGCGCCGGCCGTGGACGCGTTTCGCTCGCAGTGGCCCGAGCACCAGGGACTGAAGCTGAATCTGCTGCCCTCCTACTTCACACGGCTGACGAGGAGTCTGCCGACAACCACAACCGGCGTTTTTCACAGTGCGTCCTCGAGCGGTTCGTCGTACGCGACTCCTGCGAGTATCACCATGGACCCCGCGCAAGTTGTATCACCATCTGTAGCTGCTAACCTCGACGGGGGTTTCACTCCAACAATTAGCGCTTTCCGCCTGTTGATTCTTTCCGGCGCGGTCGTGACGTTTTTCAGCATGTTTGTCGCCTTGACGCTCCTACGCGACGTGGAAATGCTCCCGGACGGAACGCTCATCGAGCAGCAAGTAGAAGACCTTCACCACTCCGGTGGCAGCTACCAGGGTCATGAAGATAAAGTTCTCGATCTGCAAAAAAATCGGCAAAATACCGCGAAAAGATTTTCAGATATCATTGGCCTAGCTGAAGGTGCAGCATCAAGAACTCCGTTGGTTAAAAACGCTAGCAGAAGTAGAGCCGCTCCGCAACCGGGTAAGAAAGCAAAATCGTCTCCACTGACAAATGCAACTCCAGCACACGAGCTGCGTGCAACCGTGTCTGTAGAAGGCGCAGCGAGCACCCCACTCTGTCGGGATGAGGATCGCAGAAGGAATGTGCCTTCCTCCGCAGCTATTGAAGAGGAACTTGCGGGTTTGCTAACGCCATGTTCTTCCTCTTCAAGTTCATCTAGTTGTACTTCTCGTCCGACAGCAGCATCTACTGATAGACCGGCATCCAGTTCTTGCACCAGTTCCTCGTCTGCCTCCTCGCACGCTTCCAGAAACCGGCTGTCCCCTATGATGCTTAGCTCTACTTCCGGTGCCATCGAAATGGAGGAGGCAGATTTTCGGAGCCCAGTGTCGTCGCCGAGCTTCTACGCGGACAGTTTTATGCAGAGCACGTCGAAAGACCTTTACTCCATCGGCGGCACCAGCAACTCCACGCGAAAGAAGAACACTGTAAATCCAATACCACATATCTAGTACTTGTTATCTAGAAGATCATTGGGTAGAAGTGCCTCTAGCAGAAGAGTAGAAAAGTAAAGCTCAGGAAAAAATTAAAATGCCACACAGATTTTTCGCTTTTATTTTATTTTTTCCAATTTTTCATCCTTTTCCTGTTCCTCTTCCACCTGAAGCTGAACGTGAACCTGTTCACAGGTCTCAGTTTCTCCTGGTAGCTGCACCCCGGATCAAATATCGCGGCAACGCCGTGGCACGGGAGTGCCAATAGGTGGTGACGATCATCATGGTGATGCTGAGCAGATCAGACAGAATCTGAAAATTCCATCTTCACACGGCGAAGCGGGTCTTCACGTAGCCCTACGAATTGACGGAAGTGGACCTTCCACGTTTGCCGCACGGCCTCTCGAGCTGAGAAATAACGTGATGCGCAACAAGAGCTACTACCCTTTTGTCATCACTACAGGAGCAGCAGGGACGAGCACCAACAAATGCGCCCCCACTTCTCCCACGTCGGTCGCGTCGCCCCTGTCGCTGTACCAGGACGTGTTTCGCAGCCCGGACTTTTGGCGGTTTTTCCTCCTCGTCTGCATCCTTGTCGGGGTTCGAGTTATTTTTCGGTACCTGGACGCTCTTTTTCCGAAGTACATGCTCCGCGAGCTGGGCCCCGACGCGCTCTACGGGTCGGTGATTGCGCTGGACCCCTTGCTGATCCTGGTGCTGGTGCCGACGATCTCCGTGTTGACCGCAAACCGGATCACGAGTTTGAACATGATCGTGATTGGCAGTTTTCTGTCCGCGCTCGCGCCGTTCTGGCTCGCCATGGGGCACCAGTACTGGAACGCTATCTTTTTCATCTCCACGTTGGCCGTCGGCGAAGCGTGCTGGAGCCCGCGGCTGTACGAGTATACGATGCGGGTGGCGGCGCCGGGCAAAGAGGGAACCTACACCGCGCTCGCAAACATGCCGACCTTCTGCGCCACCCTCCTCGCGGGCAGCTTCTCGGGCTACCTACTGGAGACCTTCTGTCCACCGCCGACTTCATCTGCTCCGGTAGGTATAATGTCGTCCGGAGTTGAGCAGACTAGACCAGGACAAGTCGGACTAGTAATCGGAAGCAGGGCTGCGACTGCGTCGGTCTCTGGAGCTTCGGAACACCTGGGCGTAAGTCCTGCAAATACAGCACCTAGCGCTCCTGCGTCAAGTACAGCACTTGCAACACGACAGGACGCCCATAATATACAACATCTACTTCTTGCAGGACCGGCAGCGACATCGGCCGGCGCGGCGTCCTCCCATGGGGGCGAGATTATGTGGCTTTTGGTGGGGCTCTGCTCGACTATCAGCCCCATACTGCTGTACTTCTGCCGCGAAATCATTTGCCCCGGTAGCTCGCAGGGTCCACTGTTCGGCGGGCCGGACGACAGTAAGACGCCGGGCATCGAATGCCGGAGCGTCAAGGAAGGTCTGGAGGAGGATGGGAGCAGGGGGCACTACAGTAATTCTTGCCAATATAATAAAAGTTTTTTTTTTTCACTTTTCTATATCTGGACGCCGAGCAGGTGCATGAAAAGCAAAACCAGCATCAGATTCGAGCTCAATTTTCAAATGTTCCTACGAACCGCAAGTGCATCTTCATTTCATAGTTACGTGGCTGTTAGAACAACAAAAATACGAACTACTCGAGCTCTATTTTCGATAATATGTTGAAGGTCTTGGTGGGTCATCATCGGTCCTGTCGTTCGACAAATTGCGTGACGGCACCAGAACTTCTCGTGCTGGCTCTGTTGCCAATTCCTCGCGTGGATTGTTCTCTGGAGGCTCAGCAAGCACGCGTGGAAGGCAGATCGTGGATATGCAGGAGGTGCGGCGGGCCAGCGCAAGTGGTAAGGAATTGGATCTTGCACATCGCTACATCGAAAACAAGTTTGGAAAGACAGCACTCTCGGCAGGGGCATGAACGGTGGTCACTAGTGTCGGGTTATAGCAGGAACGACAGGAGAGGAGTACCGGACATCAAGATATTGATAGATGCAGTCCTCTACCGCCGGGTGAAGAATATCTGTGGACAAGGACATTGATGCATAAATGTGGAGCTGGACGATCAACAGGAATATTTTTGAGCCGCGGCAACAGTTTGAGTGTACTAGAAAAACCAGAAGGCGAACAAGATGTGATATGAATCATATGAAGTTGAAAAACAAAAACTCCACTGTTTTTCGATGATTTTGCAAACCGGATAGAAAAGTCAAAGTGCGATGAAATTGTTCTCCTGAGAATTTACATGATTCAGCACTTACAACGTTTTTTATTTGGGTGCAGTTAGTAGTGAACCAGAACCTTCTCCGGATTATTACGATTACTGTATGTTCCTAGTCAGAAATTTTGGTCTGCTGACGAAGCTGGAAACTACACTCACTCTGCCTCGCCCGCGCTGGGTCAATATTCTTGCGGAAATTTTTGCTTTTCTCTCTCGTTGAAGGAACTACAACCTAGTGTAATAAAAAATCAAAGTTTTTTCCGATGTTAGTTTTGGTATAATTGACCATAAATGCAGGAGATGAAGAACATACGGTTTCTCTACAACCTGGGGTAGGACATCCCGCGATCTATTGTGCCCTGCGGTGCTGACTTTACCACGCTCAAGGATCGCCACAGGAGAGTTGTGGTCTCATGGTTGGAGCAAGTGTTCGCGTTCGTGCGTCCTACGTAAGTAGCAATGCCTGCTTCTTGCCTGGAACTCCCTCTCTTGTTCTTAGCCAAAAAACCCCGTCAGAGTTGAAAGTGGACAAAGGCTGGGAGCCAGAAGCTGAGGAAACGAAAGACGAGCTGGTGGTATTTAGTTGCTTTCTTGATGAGTGTGCTCAGTTGTAGAAATAACGCAAGAGGTGTTGGTATTAGCCCATAATAGAAGTAGCTAGGAAGGCGAAGGGTAGAGTTGTTGTAGCGCGTATCAATGAAGATAATCGTAAAGTACTATCGCTAAGCGTGGCAGATGGCGCAGGTAGCGTCCGTTTCAAAAGTACTATGTGATTTATACTACTAAGCCTTCAATAAAGTAATCACGGGCGTACTTGGCATCCTTATTTTCTATTCGTATACGTATTCTATCTGTTGACTGTTCGCTTTCAGTTTGACTTTGGCATTGGCTTCATAAGATCAGAGTCGCTTTGTTACTCTTTGCTGAGCTTCATTAATTTCGTTGGGAACCACGTCGTCCCGTTCACGAACAACACAAGATTTGTCATCGTATTTCGTCAAGGACTCTGCGTTTATTTTCGACAAGTGAAGTTGAAGTTCCGGATCCGGACATCATCAAGATCGACTCTACCAGGCGCTGGTCTTTGGCCGTAAAGTCTCGGAGGAGACAGGTATCCTCGGGCCCTTGCAGAGCTCTCGGAGATCATTTTTTTGGGCACAACTCGTCTGCAATATCTTGAACCTGCTCACTGTCGTAGACTACGTACCGTGGCGACGAGGACCAAGCTTCTAGCTTCCTGCAGTGAGAGCTATCGCTCTCGCGGGACGCTTGCACGCTTTTCTAAGTAATTCAAGGCTGCTCTGCTGCTGCGCACGGCTCGCACTGTGATGCAGTCGTAGAAAACCGCTAGAGAATTATATTGTGCAAGGAGTGACAGACTCCGTAAAAAAGACGCCGAGGACCACCAGCAGGAGGCCGAGCCGGAGCCGGAGAGGAGCGAAGGACGGATCTCCAGGTGGAAAGAGACAGAAGGACACAGCACGAACGCGGCAAGCTCGTGTACAAAAGTTGAATTCGTGTGGCGTTGACGAACATGGTTTTGCGTCGGGATCATCCTGCACAGCATCTGCTTGTCGTGGACGACCACCACCAGGACGATCACGATGAGGATCTTTTGCAGCATGTTTCGAGCTTCCATCTGGAGGAGGAGCTGGCGCTGGCAGTCACGGATCTGGAAGACTACTTTGAAGCTACTTTGCTCCAACAAGAAAATAACAACAGAAGCCACAACTTGATAAACATTCCCGAAAATGATGATCAACTTGTTCCGGACCACTTGCCTCCGGACCACTTGCTCCTCGAAGCGGCAGACGAGGGCAAGAACGCTGGCGGAGCTGAACATGTACATGATGCTGGCACTTTGGAATTGGACGGCAAACACGAGCCCGGCGTGATCAGTACATCTGGTTTCGCTGGGAGAACAAGAACTGCCGACGAGCGAAAAAATAAGAAGAATGCGCATCTTCAAGAGGCGAAAAGGAGAAAGCCGAGTGCTGGCGCAGCTCCATCCAGAGGCGTGCCCCCTTCCAGTTCCATTCCGCTGTGTCAAGTGCAAATCGAGCGCGAGGAACAGAGTCTGTGCGGGCAGGTGATGGGCAATCTGTTACAGGACAACTGTGTTCTAGATGAGAACGTGAAGATGTACGATGCCGTTTGCATATGCATTGCAGAAGTTGTATCGCGCACGTGCAAGAACAAATTCTTGTACACGCTACCAACGAAAAATGCGGAAGATGTCTGAATGCTTTTGCATCTTTATCTTTAAGTTTGTTCTTCGAATGCTTGCAAGTATATTAAGCGAAGATGCCGCAAGGAACAACGTCTTCACCTACGAGAGTGAAAGGCAAAGCGCAGTGGTGATTTGCTGCGACGTTGTTGTCAACTAGGAACTTGTGCGTACTGTGCGGTGCTTCTTGTGCACAGGATACTCCAAGAAGCTTGTGCAGGAGGTGCAACAGCTCCGCCAAGAGTGCGGGTTACTCGAGTCGAAGCTGGAGGCCTTGACCACATACGTGAGCCGCGTGGAGACCGACGCCAAACTGCAGGAGGATTACATCCAGCATCTGGAGAAGAATTTGGTGCGCACGCAGCTGCACAATCAAGAGATGCTAACCGTGATCAGGCACGCCGCCTTCCTTCACGAGGACGACGCGAAGGCTGCTGCAGGAACAAGATCCCTCTCGGTTGACAGAGCTGATGAAGACGGCAAGACTCAGGCACGAGAACGAAATTCCGATCGTTCCTCCAGTAGTTCGTCGTCTGACCCTACTGCATCTGGGACCATGTTGACCAAGCGCCCAGCTGCAGGTAGTATGCTTCGAGAGGACGGTACATCCCCTCGCGCGTCAAAAAGAAGTAAAAGCGCAGTGACGAGTTCGGGAGCAGGTGGAGGTAGCAGCTCGTCGTCCGCAAATAAGATGCAAGTAGATGTTCTACTGAAAAATCCTGCAAGAAGGACGAGAGGAAAAATGCGTTCAACAACGAGAGAAGATGACCGCGGTGCAGCACGGACGGAGTTGTGCGGGTCTATTGAGGAAGAAACGGCGGCCTCCGACACTGAAGAAAGCGAGGTGGACCTGCTGTTTGATAAGGACTTCATTGTGGAAGAAAACAGGGTCCTGCGCGACTACTTCTTCGACGACCTCGAAGAGGAAGAAGAGCGTGCCTTGCATGGTACTGAATTAAACATCTGCGATCTAAATCCAGCGTTTTCATCTATAAAATACCTTCCCGAAAGGCGAGAATAAGAATTCAACATAGATCCAGACACGTGCAATCAAAACTGCAAGAAGTTCAATCGTGATGGACATGATAGCAAGTCAAATGTGATTAGCGCTGCAGAAGTTCTTTGGCATTATTTATGATTAGGACAGTTAAGTTATAAATATAAATTTTGACATTCCACCAGGAGCAGGTGATCACGACGATCACCTTTTGACCTCCACCGCAACGACCACCACGAGCCATCTGGTGACACCCAGCTGCCGACGGATCAGCCAGACAAGCAAGGCCGGGTCATCCATCTCGGACTCTCGTCGCTCCTCGCCGGCAGGGAGCTTTCGAACTTCGCCCAATGGCGCCAACAAGACGACGACTGGCGCTTCGGGCGGAGCGAGCGAAAGTACCTACCACGGCACGAACAAGACGCGCACACCGAAGAACATGCACGAATTTCTCGAAGGACAAGATGATGAAGCCATATTAAGCTGCTCGTCCGAGGGAATTTCTTCGGGGCGAATTATTATTATTCCAGACAGCATGCACGGAGCTGCAGCAAGTAGAGGCACGGGCGAGCCGAATCGGGGACCACAAGGGGCGCAAGGCGACATGATGTTGAACATGATGAGGTTGAACAAGATACCATCCCCAACATCGGCCGGAGTGGAGGTGGATGAGGTCAGTGGTGGGTTGCTGAGCTGTCTGACAGAAGAAGAAGAGATCTGTATCAAAAGGAAAAGTGCCCCCTTCCCATATCGAAACGGAGTCGCTGACGCTCAGTATATTTGCGTACACAAATCAAAATCATGCGCTCCGTCTTGCAGTAAGGCATTGAGCAGGCCAGATACCCAGCCTAGGTAGGGGCGTCTGGGTCCAGTTGTTTAGCATTGCAAATGGCTGCCCTCTAGGCCCTACAGGTACAGCATGTTGCCACATATTCGCTTCCATAATCGGAGGGAAGCCGTTGCGCTTGTCTTCTTGCAAGACAAATCTGATTTGTGGCCGCAAATCAGCAACCCAAGAACGTAAATTCTTGAAAGCGTAACTTTTCAATATGGGGAGGGGGGATTTAACCTCTCGATAATCTGCGACATTGGCGCGGTTGCGACCTCTGTGTCCCCGTCCCCGAAAAGTGTGTCGCGACTGAAAAAAAGCACAGGCGGGTACAACAGAATAAATACTTCCGTGAACCACGTGATATCTTCTTCTAGGATTTCCTGTTGATTTGTGTCAGTCCCGACGAGGCGGGTGGCTACTGAGTGACGACTTCCAAAAATGCACTAATTTGCTGGTGGACCATCACGTCAGAACAAATCAATTCATCGGAATGGAAGTCGCCTACCGGCTGCGGCATTGATTATGCTCGAAAACATCCAAATGTGCATATAATGGATATACGAACGACCTAGAAATATGGACACCACGACCGCCAGCACGTAGGATCGTCGTCGGCAGATTTTTCTCACTTCAGGTATTCCTCTCCTACGTCGCCAAATAGCGTCGACGGCACGCAGGACAGCACGCTCGTCGGGCAAAGACTCTTCCTGGCGTCTTACAGCGAAGCCGGCGCCGCGTCCTCTTCGGCCAGCATTTCCGAAGGACGACTGCTGGATCATGATCCTAGCAAAGGTGTAGAACTAGATGAAGCTCTAATTTCTTCCGCGGGTAGAAATACACGGTCATCAACATCTTCATCATCTCCGCCATCAACGGCGACCCTGTCTGTCGCAATAAGCGCAACCAAATCGACGAGCTCTACTTCCTGTTCTTCCGCCGCAAGCGCCTTCCCTGCAGCAGGAAAGACCACGAAGGCTGTGGAGGAAACTGATGTCGAAGATGGAGTTGATGTCGTGACCGAAACCGAAACCTGCCATCGGAATCCTCGGCGAAGCGAGCGACTTTCGCAGCTACTGGAAGGCAGTCCTTCGTTGTTAAAAATGTCATCATCCTTCAGGGACGAGGAGGTCGCTAACCTCGATGGAGAAGAAGTAGAGCAAGCGGATGCAGGCCTCTAGTACGCGATCGCCGTGCTTTGTTCCCAATCTGACAGGTAGAGGTGGACGACCAGAGATTTTTTTTTCGTGAAGCGGACTGCCACCGCAGTCGAGACCAAGAGGACAAAAAAAACTTGCTAAGTGGCGTTTTGGTTTTGCGCACCTCTTCATCCGATTCAACCTGATAAGTATTTGATTCATTTCTGTTGATGAAATTAGAGGCTGCTGAAAGCAAATGCACTGGACATTGATATCGGGATGCTCCTGCTGGAATAGCGGTCATCAACGCATGTCTAGTTTTTCAACACCTGTTGCGAAGGAGGTCTATCCAATTCTATCACGTCGGTCAACCATCGAACTCGGTAAAAGGAGGAAAGTGAAAGTCAAGTAGATTCCGCTTGTACTTATGGATTGATACAAAGCAAAGCGGTCGAAAAAAAAGTTGTCGCACTGGGCAACTCGGCTTGAAATTCTTTGAAGATTCGTCGGCTACTAAGTATAAAATGAAGATTGATGTATGAATACGACCCGTTGCACAATTTTTCCTTCGGACAAAGTGAAATATTGTAATCAGTATCCATCGTGACTGGAGCGCGCAGAAGTGACGTAGAATTCGGTTTCAAGTTACACGAATACTCGGTTTGTAAAAAAATACACATCATCCTGTTTGTTACTGTTTCATTGAAGACTTGCATCAATTCGGTTGTCGCAGCATACTGCTATTGAAATCCAGAAAGCGGATCATGGAGCGCCACCGTTTCTGGATCCTATAGTCCAAGACTTTTACTTTACTTTACTTTTTACTTTAAACAATAAAAACGTTCGCGCCACAACAAGTAAAAGAAGGTCTTCATGATTTTTTAGGCTATTCATCAGTTCGATTGCAGCATGCACATCAGTTGAACCAAGTGGACAGGCATCGTTCATTATTGCCAAAGCCTGCTAAGCAGATAGCTTCGGATCGGTAGTCGTGCAAGACCGAAGAAGAAAATACTCGTGGTCTGTCAATATTCGTGCCTTCTCGTCCACCAAAGTTTTGACGTTTCGTATGAATTGTTGTTGCAGGACACTCACTAAGTACATTTATCCTTATGACAGGAATCTCCATTACCGTTACCCACGACCCGTATTTTTACGAATTCGAATTTGCGATTCTTGCTTTGCTGTCTGAGTAGACGATGATGTGTTATTAAAGAAACAAGATCGCCACCGTGAAGATCACTTTCTGGAGCTTTCCTCTAATAGTAATATCGACGTCGGGATTTCGATTTTCATTTTTAGTACTTCATGCAACAACAAGGCAACAACGAGGGAACAACAACTTGAACTGTATCCCAATAAGATCGAACTTCAACTTCGGCGTTGTTCTTGATTTTTGATCACAGCAAGTTTTCCGTTTCCCTTCAAGGACATCATGGTGCAAGGTTGTGCCCGAGCAGGGTTCTCCGCGACTGCGGCGGCCTCGTCAAGCGCTGCAGCATCTTCGTCGCCCGTAGTAGTTGTCCGTGCAGGGGCCCGACCGGGCCTTCACTTGCCACGCCTGGTGATGTACTGGCTTGCTGCGGTTTTCTACACCGGATCGGGAGTGAAGCTGGAATTTCAGAAGAAGCGAACGAGTACCACGCAGCTATTATATTCGTGTAGTTTGTTGATGTTGTTGTTGTTCCCACGACGCGAACATCTACATCATGATCATGTTGATCTTCACGTCATTTCTCTTTGGTTTCTCATTTTCCCATGATTTTTATAGGTTTGATGGTCAAGAAGTTCAAGTGTGGCAAGATCCATTCTTTTTGTTTTACAGAGCTTCTGCGGGAAAGGCTCGAGGAAAAGCAGCAGGTGCAGGAGAAGCAGCAGGTGCAGGAAAAGCAGCAGGTGCAGGAGAAGCAGCAGGTGCAGGAGAAGCAGCAGGTACAGGAGAAGCAGCAGGTACAGGAGAAGCAGCAGGTGCAGGAGAAGCAGCAGGTGCAGGAGAAGCAGCTGCAGCAGATCTCACCTGCAGGTGCGGTCTTATGGACGCTTCCGGTCGTTGGTGCGGCCCTGGTGGGTGCGAATTGGGGAATTTACGGAACCCCCAATTTGGGAGGTTTCATCGGATCCAGCTACTTTGCACGGAAAGCTTTGCTGGCACACGAGGCCGCGCAGAAAAAGCAGGAGCAGGTTCGCAAGCAGGAGGAGGCAGCCTTCGGCGGGGTCCGCTCCCAGATGGCAGCAGTGGCGCTGAGTACCAACCAGCAGTGCAGCAATCCAGTGCCGGGAGGGGTCGAAGGCGGGCCTTCATTTGCTGCCGTTTCGATTGTGCCCGAAATCTGCGTGAACTTTGTGGACTCGTCGGTTCGCGACTCCGGGATGAACGTCCGCGGGGAGATTGATCGGTGGGGTGTTGGGTACCAGAAGTTGAAGCTTAGTGTGCCTGACGAGAACGCTTCCCAGGCTGACCGCGATTTGTTCGCAGACAAGCTCTCTCGGTCGGGCTGTTTTGCGGCGAAGCCCCCCCTCGGCGAAGACTCGGCGCCCGTCGTGAACGTGATCTTCGACACCTCCTATGGCGTTCTCAACTGTTACATTCTCAACTGTTACATGAGTCTGTGATGCAAGAATTGCAAAAGTGAAAGGGGCGAGGTTCTTGCACCTCTAGCATTACATACAAGTTCTGCACAGATTTAGGCTTTGCTTAGCCTTTCGCAAATTTGTCACGCGAAGCAGCTTTCTCGTGTAGATCTTGATGGTAGTTCTGCATGACAAATTCATGTAACAGTTGAGAATGTAACAGTTGAGAACGCCATACCTCCCTCAGCGAGGATTTGAGTCGGATGGTTCAAGACACGAGAAAGGTGGGAGACAAGTTGAACTCTGACTGGACAAAGATGGAAAAAACGGGACAGATTGTCTGGCTTGATCGAACAAAACATCCCCAATCCCAAAATACTTACATGTTGGACCTTTACATGTTGGACCAGGAAACTGCGCAGACCTTTGTGTGCGATGGCGGGAACTGGGAACAAAACCCGCAGAGCTTTTGGATAACTTGTCCTCGCGGCCCAGGCAGACGCGGGTGGGTCCTCCAAGCCAGGCCGGCTCCGACGAAGGCGGCGCCGGAACGCCGAGGTCTCCTGGACGTGACGCGAAAACAAAAGGTTCAAAACGGCGACAGCAGTCCGCTCGGCATCGCGAAAAAAATGCTCGAGAAAACCACGGGTGAGAACAAGGACATGCTTGATTTTCCAAAGAGAATTTTGCTGATCGACGTGGATGTGAACCCATACCCAAACTCTGCCAGCAACGACGTGTCCCTTGCTGCCCTTGGTGACGTGCTCACTGGGTACATCGAGCAGCGGTACGGCATGACGGAGTCAGTGGCGAGGTCCCACGTGAAGGCAAGTCTGCAGCCCTGCTACCAAGCCGGAGACATCAGCACGTACAAGCGCCCCGAACAATGGATGCGTGCCAGCTTGTCCAAGGCCCTTGATCAGACAAGAATTGACGCCCCAGCTGCACCCAAGGCAAAGCCAAAGTCGGCTTACGAAATCAAGGCCGACTCGCTCGGCGGGGTGTTTGAGCAGATGCGGGACATCCAATGATATGATTAGAAAAAAACCCGCTGCCTACTTGCCTCCTAGCGAAAAAATGCCGCTAGTTGATGTGCTAGAAGTGGTGAGATCATTGGGACCAACCATTTTTCATCTTTTTGTTTCTCGTTTTTTCATCAACATCCATCTCAATCTCTGCTCTTACTTTTCCCCGGTTTCGGGCGAAAGATCGCTGTGGCGCATGGACACATTCGTAGGTCCGTGCTTTCTTGCAAGGGATGAGAGCCAGCCCAGCTGAAGCCCTAGCCCTGCTGCAGGTTGATTGATGTCGGGCCGGCTCTTGATGGAACGCCCCGCATAAGCCACAGTAGAGGTCCTTTGGACTTGGTCGATTGATTTCTGCCTTCATCAATCTGCGCTTCTTGTTTGCCTCCCTCCAGCTCCAATTCAGAAATAGAAGTATGCACGTAGAGTAGATCTGCTGTGAGAACAAGGAAAATGCGCATGTGTCATCGCCGCGGTTGGTTCTCAAAGTTTTACTTCTTTTCATGGCTTTAGGAAGAGTCACGGTCCTCTAGTTTTTCTTTTGATCACGTATAAAAGGCAGAAGTAGGCGTCCGACGACAACTTGGCTTCTTTTTCTCTGCCCTTCTTCCTCTGCTTTCTACAAGCTAAGGCCCTGACCTCCTCCATTTTCACGCGCCTTCGCTGAATACGCATATTGGAGGTAAGGTTTTTTTCTTTCGATAAACTGAAAGCGTTGCTTATGGCGTTCTCAAACGTTACATTCTCAACTGTTACATGAAATTTGTAATGCAAGAACGACAAAAGTGAAAGGAAAAACGTTGCGCCTTTTGCATTACAGGTTTGGAGCAGATTATAATGCTATCTAGCACGTCGAGAAGTTGTCATGCGGAGAAGGCTTGATCGTATTAAGAGTGACAGTGTTTTTGCATGACAAATCATGTAACAGTTGAGAATGTAACATTTGAGAGCGCCATATTGCTCACCTACCAGCAGGCGTCGCGCAAAGCCGCTCTCCTTCGTCTCTATGCTTCTTCCTGGGCGGCGTCAGGAGTTGCGCACGACGCCGCAGATTGGGAAGCTTTATGCAGTTGAAAGCTATCGTCTTCAGGTTGCCAAAACAAACTGCATGTTAGCAATTGATCATTTGCTTGAGCCTTGTTTTCCTTTACTACTAGCTCTGCTCCTGAGTAGCAGTAGCAACAGTGTATATGTCTTCTTCGGCAAATGAGTTATTTGTCGTCTCTACATCTAGATCTACATCTAGGTACTGCAGTTGCAATTGGAAACCTTGATACGATGGACTTTTGCAGAGAATACGCCCGGTTTTCCACCGACGACGACCCAAATTCGCCGCTGTACGTGCTCCACGGCAACCAAGCGAGAATAGAGTATTACAAGTTCTCGAAGAAGCGGGACGAGGTGTTGGATGAATATTTGAAGTCCCACACGACGACGCCGATCCGGAACGGGCTTGGTACGAAGGACCAGCTGCACGTGCGGATGACGCAGGCCCAGATGCTGGTGTTGGACGACGCCTGCAACGCGGCAAAGACCACCATGGAGCGTGTGTTCTTCGATCAAGTCGATGGAGAATATCCCGCGACCTACATTACGGACCTGGGCGACGGACTGCTCGTCCCCGTCGGGCGGATCCGCAAAAAAGACACCGAGACGGAAGACCCGAGGCATATGGATGTGTCAGAGTTGAAATCGATAAAGTTGAAATAATTTGTCATGCATAAAATGGATGCCAATTGGAACCCAGTTTCCAAGTAGCGCAAGACAAATTTCGGTGGTCCCTAAATCCACTCTGTCATGCTGTTTAGGCAAAGAAGAGCGATTTTCTCATGTTACTTTAGCAGCTCGAGCTGTAGCCCCAAACAGGCTTACAATCGGCCTCACTTGCCTGCTCTGCAACACACGTGCCTCCGGTCATGCATTTTATGCATTACAAATTATTTCAACTTTGACGATTTCAAACCTGACGCTTCCATAAGGCAGATGCAACTGCCACTCAACACCAAAACGCAGGAGAAAAAGTGCCAGGAAATCACGGGCTCGAAGGGCTCCGCCAACTCTTGCCTGGTTTTCCGCGTGGAAATCTCCAGCGTCGAGCATTGGCAGGGCGATGGTGCGGCGTGGAGCGACTTCGTGCAGTTTCTGCGGAGCGGACAATACTCGGAGGCCCAGGAAATGTTGGCTGATGTGGTGCGAAAGGATGTGGAGACGCAATATAAGCGATTTCTCGACGAGCTCACATCTGCCGGGAAGAACAAAACGTCGGCAACACAAAAGAAGACCGAACAAAAAGCGAAGCGATTCGACGGGAGCGTCACCATTTGGAACCTGGATGCTCTGTACCTGAGGCAGGACCCGCACGACGATGATCCAAACCGTCCGTATCAGTTTTCGAACCTAAAATGGCTTCGGGACATCATCATCCAGGATCGTGCTCTGAACCAAGTGCAACAAGACCAAAAAATGGACGAACTGAAGGAGCAAACGCAGGCGTACGTGGGAGACTTGGTGTTGGCCGGGGTGATCACGCGTTACCTTCTTCACCAGTACCAAAACGCGGACGTTCACCTCTTGTCTGTGCCAGAGAACCCAATTCAAAAACGCGAGCCACTGGCGGTGGAGGCTCCACCGTACGAAAACGCGGTGCTCAGCCACACAGAGGCGCTCAGCTTCTTGAACTACAAGCGGGAATGCGGGCGGCAGAAGGTACTGTCGCAAATTACGGAACACCGGCGAAAGCTTGTGGGGGGTGGCGGGCCCCAGCAAACGGCAGCCGTTCTGCCCGGGAGCACGCAACAGCCGAGGGGGCGGGCAGGAGTTGCAAGGAGCAGTGTAGCGGGCAGGGCCATGAGCAGTGCGGGCGGGGCCAGGAGCAGGGTGGGGAGCAGCGGAACGCGATCTCCTGGGCTGCTGCCGCGTCCGGCACAACCGCCAGTTGGAACACGACTTCCGGCTTCCAGGTCACCTGGAAGCCGCGCTGGAAGCCGCGTTTCAAGACGCAGTTCCAGAACGGGAAGCCGCGCTTCATCCGCCGCCTTAGATGATCCTGCTGAGGATTATTATGATGACTCTGATGATTATTCAGAGTATTCTTCTGCTCCTTATGCATCTTCGTGATGCTTCCCTGGTCTGTAGGAGTTCTTGTCGTACAAACAAATGATTTCACTGCACTGTTGCCTCCATTTGTTTTATAGAACGACAGTTGTTGTATATGTATTCTCAAGAAAGATTGCAGCAGCACCACTGTTCTTCTCGTCATCCGGTCGCGCGAGGTGCGACGACACTTTTTAAGAGGTCGCAGCTGCAGCAACGAGGACGCACTTTCTGCATTCTTTCTGAAGACCAAGGAGCACGATGTTTGCATTTGATAGAAATGGCGCGAGTGTAACGCCGAGTTCGGCTGCTGGTTCGGGGTTCACCGTTGCCAGCGGGCTTTCGGCGGGGACGAGGCGCTCCTCAGGAAGAAGCAGCGCGACTGGAAGAACTACAAGACGTTCCGCTTTTTTATCGTTGTCGGAGCAGAGGAGCGCGGCCACTAAGAAGAGTCCCTTGCTGCTCTCATCTTCGCGGCGCGATGATCCAGCTGAAGGTCTTCTTGGCGACGGCGGAAGTGCAAGTGGGCATCATGATGAAGATGGGGCGGCGGGAGCAGGTGCTCCCGAAGAACAGCGCTCCTTCTCGCCCTCTGGGACGATCTTCGCCGACCCTTTCCCGGCGAAGAAGCCGCTGCCGCTCCTGCAGCTGGGAAAGCCGCGGCCTGCTGCGGGGCCGCGCGTGGAGAAGGACGAGGAGGAGGAAGTGGACCACGGGGAGACGACGGACAGCGCCGCGTGAGTCTTGTTGTACCCACATCTCGTCACGGCGGAGGGGGTGATCAATCTACCCCCGCCTCACGTCGATGCTCCACTTGAGGTGTCTGTGAAGCATCAATTTGCGTCGCTGTCTCATTCACTTTTACAACGGAGATACAACGGAGAAAGTGTAAGTACGACTACGCAATTTGGGAGCAATTTTTGCCGGAAATTGCACGCTAGTACCTTACGATTCCCAGAAGTAGTAGCTCAAAGCAAGGAGGGGAGAGTGGAATCTCTTCGGGCAGCTCAGACACAGAGCCACAACATCTGCGCAAATAAAAACGAAGCTGCGCCGAGATTTGCCACTTCCTCCTGTAGTATCTTTCTTTTCACAGTTCATCTATCATGGCGCGTTGTCTGCATCAGGTCGTTAGTCGATACGTTGTGCAAGAAGAACTACGGAGGCGATAGAAGTGTGGAGGTGGACACGTGTCATTTTTTGTCCATAAGGATTTCCATTTCATCATTCATTTCCACGACAATTTATCTTGTTGAATTCTATTTCATCTCTAGTTGGACAGCTTTCATCAATCATTCAGATTCGTTCTGACGGGTGAGGACTGTTAATGATGGTCTTCGTCGAGGGCATGACCATGAGTTGTATCGGTGTCCATGTTCAACATGGACAGAATGGGGCGACAAAAAAAATCGAGATGATTTTTTCTTTTGTTTTACATCATTTACATTGCAGTTTGCTATACAAGTTTTTCTCCTGTTTTGCACACGCACATTATTAATGAGAATACCGACTGGTATTCCTATTCTATTTCTTTTTTTTCTACCACAGTTTCGAAACGATAGCGAAAACATAAAGAAAAAAGTTGTTTTATGAATTTGAGGGCGACATGTTGAAAAGCTAAAGCCGGGCGGGTTTGTCGAAAGCAAGGTGAGCATCATGGCGAGGAGACGGCGCGGCTGTGACATGAAGCTGCATGGAAGATGAGCAAGGTCCTATTATCGTTGGATCAGAGTAAAATCAAAAAGGAGGGGCAGCAGCAACATTAGCCGGCGACAACTACAAGGATATGCCGCTCCTGTAGTTGTGCAGCTCGAACGAACGACAATGACTTAAATTCACCGTCCGTGTTGTAAAAACGGAAGCAGATGATCGAGATCATCTGAGCATCTTCAGCTTATCAACAAGGAAGTCGGATCTGAGCATGACCCTCAGCAGGCAGCACATCAAAAAATTATACTATATGCAGTATATTACGAATACGTAATCGCAATTGACGAGCGAAGTTCAAAAATCATTTCCATAGCTGCATGAAGATGAAAACAAAATTAGTGGGGTCCGTGTATTGGACCGCCGAGTCACAACGTTGTTCAGTGTGTTTGATGTTCCACAAGACGCTGTGCCAGGCCCGTACTTTTAAACGGAGCTGCGTACTACAGAGAACCACCTAGAACTGCACTTCAATTGTAGATTCGCTACCTCAGCCCAGCTTCAAATTGAAGGAAATTCTACACGATTCATTGGTGGCGTCCTCGGTTGGGAGCAGTTGCATGCATAAGCGTTGTGACATTTTGATGCGGGACAGAGTATAAACGAAAACAAGTATTGAAGGATCTCGATCTTCATGAGTGTCTACTCTGAGACTGCTCGCAAGTACCTTCAACGGGAGGAAAACTCCATGAAGATGATCACACACACGCTCTCTGGCCAATGGAAAAGGAAATGTAAATCAAAATGCAATGCATTCAAGATTAAAGGATCTGGCTCAGCCTCGTTCTTACATTCCAGTGTCTCGACCATGTAAGCAAAATGCTCAACTGGTGCATACCTCTCTCGAATAGAATAGATACCATGGAAAAAACGCGGCGGACCGGGACTAACAAACGCATGATTGACTGAGCTCCGCGAGCCACAGCTTTCTTGTTTTAGCAGCTTTATGGTCCCTTGAAGCTCTAGTTAGTAGTTCGGAAAAATTTGAGGTTCCCGTTCCTATGGCCTATGTTTATCGCAGGCCACCAGCTCGTAGATGAAATCTGCCATTGATTCGCGGCTCTCAAATTGTTTTTCTCAAAAAAGAACGTTCGTATTTTGCCATTTCGCTCGAAATCGAAAATCGAAGCCCCTTCCATCATTGATGCTCAATTGTGTAGTGTGTGTTTTTTTGACTGGCCGATCTTCCGGACGAAATGCAGCTGGTTATTTAGTGAAGAAGTCTTCAGCTCTTACCTTCTTCGTTGAGGTCTTGCCCGTGCTCTTCTATTAATTCCCACGGCCTGTGGTTCGATTATTGGATATGTATGCCATCACATTAAGGGGAAACGCGGAGGGGGTACTTAAAAGTAGTGGCGGTCAAGAACAAACTAGTACTAGGTAATGCTCCGGAACACGAGATTGAAATTGATATAGTAAATTTAAAGTTGATGCAGTAATATATGAAGAAGAACATGAATAACAATAATTGCATCTGCATGTTGACCGTAAGAACGAAATCAAAAACTACACAACATCGGTTCGTTGCCGATAAAATGAGTGCGCGTCGCGACTTTTTTCGTACAGTTGTCGCGGTTTCGCCTTTCCATTTTCTCAACCTGACCATTTAATTTCCAGCCAGAGGAGAACATTTTGAGCGAAGTGGACCTGCGTAGTATGTATGTGCAAGGTCTTCAGTGTGACCATGTTGAAGAGTGCCTTATCATGACTCGTTGGATGCCTCACTAAGCCCGTAGCTTTTTTTTCCTATGATCGCCCGTAACATTTTTTGTTTTACTTACACGATCGGAACGTAAAGAAAATGTCTGTCTTCATCTTCTGGTGAACCTACATCCTTCAGTGATTTCGACGTGAGCCGCTTCGACCTCCGACCCAAGTAGAATTTAGTTCTTTTGCCCACAGGAGCGTAACGACCACGATTGATCACGTGGTCCAGGTGATCAGCCGTCAAAAGTAAGGGCCGGAATTGCTTCGACATTTGACGACCTGTAGTTTGCCTACTGCTGGAGGTTCTCAACCGACCCAGGAGCTCAGCCGCCGTTTCAGTTCTTGCTCTGCGCGACCCCGTCCTGTTAGAACGTTCTCTACCTCGGCCGTCGCTTTTCTTTAGAATCGACCACGGGTGGCAGCACCGAAGACCATAATTGGTGTGGGAACACCGACCTCAACTACAAGAAGTTTTAATCGCGACAGCCTTCAACATCATAGTGCTACAGACGCTCCAGACGACTCCACCATAGGCCCGAATAATAGCGATGGATCCTACACTTATTTCCCCAAAAGTAAAAGATGCCCGTCTCTCCTGAAATCGACGAGAAGTAGCGAGAAGTATAGTAGTAGCAGTAGAGGCACTACTACTTCCAGAACGACTGACGGCACCGTCCTCCTTCTCGCTGTGCGACGATCTCCGCGTCCCGATCTGTCGTGCCGAAAGAGAAAAACGCAGAGACACGACCAAGGTAGCTGCACGAGTAGTACGAAATAGACCCCAGTCGCTCTCGAACAAGTAGTAGATCATCTTCGCGCTGCTCTTTTGGCTCGCGGCGCAGCACGATATCGATCGTCTATAGGCACTTCTTCGACAAGGACAATTTTTCGTTTCAGCAGGGTGGCAAGAACCAGGAGAAGACGGAAGCGAGGCACTGGCCAAGCGAAAAGATTGGCATCAGCTTCAGCGATCAGTCTCTGCACATCGATAAGTACACGACCCGGAGCCGGAACCGCAGGGGAGACGACCATTCTGTGTCGGCAAAATGGGTGACCTCTTGCAGCAGGTCGACTCCATGGGCAGGGGCGACTCTCACAAGGTTTCTGATTTCGGCGGAGGCGACTCAATGTCATGTATACTTGTTTTTGTTATTGTTTTGAGTTGTGTATGTGTAGTTGTATTCGAATTCTTTTTAAACTGGCTGCGATATTGTTCGTTATTTTTTCAAGCACGCAGCAGTCCGCTAAGTAAAGGGCACACGACTGCCAACATCATCGACACCATCATGGAAGAAATATCGAATCAAAATAAAGTAATGGAACAACAAAACAACGAGTTGCGTGGTTGAACTTGAAGATCCGACAAAGAAGTGCACCTGCAACTGCAGGCGGTCAGCGCTTCTGGTGTTACCTACATTGATACACCAAGCACAAACTCGAACACTATATACTATAACTATCCCCTACTACTACACAGCACACTCCCCTGGCGGCGGAAGCGGTTACGGTCCGAGCTTTCACAATTCAGACGTCGACCGCAGCGACGATGGAGCACCGGCCGCGGCAGCCCGCAGAGGCACGGCAGCCCCTCCGGGTGCAGCCGCCGAGGGCGATGACGACCAGCCTCCGGATGGCCAGCCTCGGGCGAAACGGCAGCGCAAGGCCGCCGAAAACATAAATAAGGAGCATTTCAAAGCGAGGTTTCATACATTCAAGCACGCTGAGAACTTGGATTGTCCACAGGCAGAGCCCATGTTTTGCGCGCTGCAATACAGCAATCACATCCTCGCGACGCCGGTTTGCAGGTCCAAAATGGAGTACCTCCTGGCACGCACAGCAAGCAGCACCGTCAACGAGCTGAGTTTGAAGGAAAACCATCGTACTGAAATTGTTTCTAGCCGACCAATGGGCCACGCACCATACATTCAGCCTTCATCTAATATGTGAAGATAGAGATACTGCATCATGGTTGTCGAAACAAATTTTATTGAAGAACCACTTCCTACAACATCGTCGAAACTGGAAAGAACATCGAATGAATCAATTAAACAGTGACAAAAGTGGACCCGTTTTCTACGAGTTTGTTGTTTGAGGCGAGCAAAATTGGCGCCTTCTCGCAGCGGAAATGGCATTGGGACATGAATCCGTTGCCCGCGAGTCACCCGCTGGGGCACAGCAAGCGATACACCAAGCAGCAGCAACAGCAGCGCCTGGTAAACAAGCAGCAAGAAACCGAGGCCCTGTTCTTGCGGCGACCAATCCTCGTCCAGAACGACATATTCTCCAAGGGTGACGATATCATCGTCGGCCACGAAGGTAATGCGCTGCTATAGCATAATTTTTTGTGTATTAGAAACTACAAACTACAAAATTATAGTCAAATATTTATAATATGCAGAAGAATTTTGGATGTCTTTTGGATATGCTTTTCTCTTGCATTTTTTTCAGTCGACATTGATTGACATTCATATGCCTGAGTCGAAGCCTTTATGCGTGACAAGTCGTTTCTCTGGTTGATGCCTGAAAATAGGATATCAGAAAAAGAATAGAGCTCTATGTTTGTAGATGCTCAATCGTTTTTGTGCCGGTGCGAGGTTTTGAAGCAGTGAGACCACTTACGCTGCACCGTGAAATGGACGGTGTTGTAGATTGATAGTTTTGTCTTGTCAAATAGCGCCGAGTGGAGATTTACTTCTCTTCTCTTTGTGCAAGATAGAAGTATATGTTTTGTCACGACCACATTTTCGTTGTTCATGATCACACGACAGCCGCGGAGAAGAACTTGCCACGTAAGCCGGTGGAGGAAACGACGCCGGAGGAGCTCTTGGAGCGCATCAAGAGCACGTTCGCCGCCGTGAAGAGGCCCGCCGTGCACCCCACGGACCCCAGCATTCAGGTGAAAGCCGAGTATCCCATCGTCCCCCACGAGACGAATTGGGTCCAGGATTTCCGGCAAGTCACCTTCGACGAGGACGTCGACATCAAGGAGCTTGAGGAAGAAAATCCCTCGGTCTTCTGGGGCGAACAGAAGTTGGCCAAGAGCTTCTTTGGCCTCTTACAACCGGACGACAGGGGAGAGCATAAGCTGGACCGATCGTACAGATAAAGAACTTTTCGATTACTTGTTTATTCTTTCTTAAGTAAGTTTATTCCGTGTGCCGCCATGTTTGTATGCATCGAAAACTAGTAAATAATCTACTAGCGAGTAACGACGACGACGCACACGTAGTGGTAGTGCAAGTTGTGGATTTTCATACAGATGATTGCGCTAGTACTCCGACGAAAAGGGTAACAAGCTAAGAGTCCCTTTCTTTGCTCAGTTAATCACTTGTACGAGAAATGAGACGAAGGCTGTGCTGCTGGAGGCTTGCTGTGTCATCTTCGAACGAAGTAAACTCGTGACCACCACTGAACTCAGGTACATGTGGGTCAATAAGGGCCAATGGGAAGCCACCAGAGAAGACGACAAGGCCGTCCTGTGGGTGTTTCCCCCAAAAAAGAGCAAGATGCCCGTGAAGTTTCTCCCTATCGCAAACAAGATGATCATGAAGAAGATGCTGGCGCAGCTGCAAACCGGGCAGAGTTCCGCGCACACCGGATTTGGTACTTCTATTATGCATTCCCTCCAGCGCTAAGTTTGTCATAGTTTAGTTAGTTCGCGATATCTGACCGTATGCGTAGCTTCGTTTTCTTCAATTTTTGGTTCCAAAGTATGGAGGAAAGAAATACTTTTCACTGCAATGAATGCGACGTAAACTTAAATATACACATAAACAGGTGTTGGGCGCAAGCGCATCCAATGGCGAGATCGCAATGTAGCTGAGACGCGAAGAGATCACAAAAAACTTGCGGAGCTGATGCCTGAAAGCGAGGACGAAAAGTGATGTCGCGGCAGAGGACGTGTAAACGTTCAGTCTGTCCAAATAGTAGGGGCATGACTTCACCTGTTGCGGTCTTGCTGCCCGACCGCGGCTTGGTGGTTGCTAGAAGTTGTGGCACAGCACAGAAGAACGGCTTTACGAGGAGCGTGTGACGTTCTATGCTACTTTTTGTTCTTTCACAATTACAATATTGTTCTTTAACGGCGTCGGCGCGGGCTGTACTTCGCTGCACGCCGTGCAGTTCGAGTTCCGCGAGACGAAGATGCAGCATCAGCCGCAGCTCGATGGAAAAACCTCCGCAACTGCAGCTGCCCCTACAGTTCATTGATCACTTTTTCAAGACGCGTTCCAGCGTCGCTCTCGTAGCGTCATCGCAATGAAATACCCTGAAATTCTGATGGGAATTTCAATGCCCTGACGACAGGATGACATCACTACGCATATAAGAATGTCCTGCTTATTAAGCAAGGATAAAGAGATGAAAACCGCATCAACTCATCGCAGAAGAAATAAAAATTGCGCGGCGCTTGTCAGCGGAAGAACATACTGTTCTGCTCGTCACAGAAAATGCAAGCCATTGTTCGCTCTCGCTCAAGAATTATCGCACAGAGTTTCTCCTTTGGCTTTGGGAGGATATGTAGAACAGAACGCAGTTGCAGCGTCGATGCCTACGGTGGTGCATTTCTGTCTCCGATGTTGTCGACCTAATTTATTATTTTTGCGGACCCGTCCCCTGCAGTGCAAGTCTAAGGCGAAGCCTGAGTAGCTAACGTACGCGGAAGAAAGCATGTGAGGTAAATGTTGGAGCCGGTTCAAGCAATTCAACAATGTCATCAGTCTCGAAAGTGCGTGTGCGTTTGATGAAGATATTTTGTAGTTTTTGCAAGTGTTGCTGTTGGTCGATTCTTGCCACTTTTGGATACTAGCGAAGGTCTCCTACTTTTTTGTTGAAGACCAGCAAGGTGACCAAACATGATCTTTCTTCTGTATCTATCTTGAATCACAAGGCTGCAGTTGCTGCAAATCTGGTTACTGCCGGCGTGGCCAAGATTCTGTATTTCTAGTGTTGATGTGTGGTCGTATGAGTAAAAAGTAGCTCGTAGAAACAACGCAACCAGCTGCAGATGACTCCAATTTTAGCGACCAGAACCGCATGAAGCACTGCTACCATCCGGGTCAGCGGGATTTTCATTTTTCCGCACTACTTGCAAGCATAACCATAAGATAAAGAGCCTCGCTCCTTTTATGTTCGCATGATGAGGTACTAATTTATTTCCATGTATGATCTGCAACGCTTTGGGCTTGTTGAAGATCTTTTCTGTGGGGGCCTCAGCAGATCAACTTCGTGGTTCCTCACTACCACGTATGCGAACGAGCGAGTTCCACGTGTGCTAAAAATGTATGATGGTGTCCTTTCCACGACCCAGAGGACGAAGATAAAAATGAGGCGGCAGAACCAGAAGATGTTTGGTTGACATGCTGGACTCTGCTTCAGCACCACCAGTGACGAAAGCAGAAGTGACATGGCAAGCGTAAGAGGCGACATTCTGCCGAGCAACCAGACGAACCACAGTCGTCATCCAGAAGAAGATAAGCGAGCATCTAGGACGAGCTGGAGACCCTCACCCTCAGGTGGAAGCAGGTCTTTTCGAAACGTTCCCACTCCGGCGCGGCTGCTTCAGCAGCAGCAGGAGCATGACCTGCAGCGGCCAGTAGGCACTTCTGCTTCTACCCTTCCCAGCTATCCTGAAAGTTACGGCCGCCCCCCAGATCCACCTGGATCTTCCGCTAGGAACTGTGTGGTTCCGGAAGAACAGGAAAGGGAAACGCGTCAACGTAGCATTTTTGTCAACAGTTGTACTCGGAGCGAGGCGGGCCGCGAGCGCGGGGTTCTTGCAGTGGCGGAGTCTCCTTTGTCTCCCTCTGCTTTGTACTGTCACGGCGGAGTGCAGCAGCTATCCTGGCAAAAAAATCCAAACGCGGCAGAAGATAGACTGGACGACATTGGCGTTGCCGCAGGAGACGAACTGCAGGACCTGCAGATAATAAACCCGAATCATACAACAACAAGGCGCACGGGCACGGGGCGCAGCTGCGCGTCACGAGAAAATTACTCGCAGGAAAACCAGGAAGACACGGGACGAGCTATAGCCGGCTGCAACACCGACGAGTTGTTGAGTTTGGAAGGCGCGATTGACACTCCTGTTGTTGAACAAGAAGACCAACGCGACGAAAGCACTATGACGGAGCTCTACTATCCAGACTTGTCTGATGACAATTGGCTGCTGATCTTCGCCTTCCTACGCCCGGATGAGCTGGGCGGAATCGTGCCGCCGGTGTGCATATGCATTGCAAAAGTAACGGCCGAGTGAAGATTGCATATACAACATATACTTGTACAAACTTAAACTTTCTGAAGAGCAAAACTCAACATGTAGTGGTGATTTGCCTAAGAAAGATGTAGTAGCAGTACATGTGGTTGTCTTTGCCATGTATGGTTGCAATGAGTACGAGCGCGATACTTTTGTGCAGGATAGTGCAAGCGTTTCCTGGAACTCGCCTACGCCCCTCACCTCTGGGTGGATTGCGTGCGCATTACTTACAATCGCGTCATTCCGCGAAAGGACCAGAACACGGCCAAAGGGGAGCTGGAAAAGATCATCACGCAAAACTTCTTCCAGTACAATAACTTTTTGTTTTTTCCTGTGGAAAGACGCATTCGAATTTGCATGTGACTTCACTAGTACATCAGCACAATAATACATCATCATCAACATCGTGATGCATGCGATTAAACGTGATGGACGATACTGATACACAGACATTTTTTCTTTGGTCTCTACCACGGCGCGCGCGAGCGTCGCGTTTCTATCTTCCCATTATGACCAGGATGAAGAGAAAAATAACACTCTCCAGGAACTTCGTCCAACAGCACGATGAGCACCTTCCGAAATCTGCCGAGTGCGTGTTTTCGCATATTGTGCGCAGCTGGTTTTACACCAGCAAATGCAGCGAGCGGCAGACTTTACTTGTGGAAGCTCCGTTGCCCGACGCCGACGGCATGGCGCACGCCACGGTGTGAACAAATTGCTTATACTTGGCAACGTGTTAGCAACATTTAGCTATAGATACTAGATGCAATTCGCTTGGGGCGAAGATGCTGGTTCTGTGTCCCGTCCTTGTTGTTGCATGAGCAGCTTCATCTCTAGGCTTTTTTTCTTAGAGTAGCTCTTCATGCAGGGTCGATTTTTCTGCATGTCGTCACTAAGCTAAGTTCTTGTCAACATCATAACTACAATAGGTTCGGTACCTGTGCCACCCATTTCTGCACGACAACCATGTGATGAAGGTAGCACTAGTCGCTGACCGCCGAAACGTGGTCTTCATCTTCCGGCGTGTTCCCTTTTTGCTGTCCACTCTGCTGAAGGAGCAAGCCACGAAGGAGCTCCGGGCTGCGCAGCTGCAGCGTTTGCATAAGGAGACGGTACCGGCACACCAGAGTTGTATTGTGGAAGCTACAGAGGTTGGCGGGGGTGCTGCTCCAGCTGCTGTCGTCGAGGAAATTGAAGTCCTTGTCCGGGACCGGGACGATGATGGTGATGGCGAGGAAGGGCAATCGGAAAATCATGTCCTGCAGCGAGTACAAACGCACCTGCCCAACAATCATGCAGTGCCCGACGTCGAGCAGCAAAACATGGTCATGGACGAGGACCACGTGCAATTGGGTGCTGGTGCAGCAGGCGCGCTGGAGGTTGTGCCCGAGCGTCTTAGAGTGCATCACATTGACCTGGCGGCGCGGGAGCAAGAACTGCAGACCGAAAGGAATCTTCTGCCGCAGGAGAATGTGGTTGTGTGGGATTTCGCACCAGGTGAACACCATAGAGGAGACGAGCAAGACGACACTCTTGAGGCAATGGACACAGATATGCAGTATTATTGTCTGTTTGCTTTTTTGTCAATTCCGATTGTACACATGCGTAGGCACAGGGGAGAAATGAATGTTGAGCTGGAGCTCCACCGTAGTTTTATTTCGGAGAAGTGGACGAGGGTTTGTTTCGTCTTTCTTTTTTCTCAAGACCAACAAGTGCAGGGGTTCATCTTCATCATCTACTGAAAATGGAAATGAAAATGTTTGATAGGGTGGATCTTCTACCGTCAAGAATTGCGGCGCCTGCTTCTAGTGCAAGCCATGTCGATCACCCTCAGCACCCACCACTGCTACTACCTTCTATGGCGGGCTCATCCTCGTCCTCTTCCTCCTCGAGCTCCTCTGATAGTTTCCCTGCCACTACCACAACTGCCGGCGGGGGAGGCGGGCTGCTGAAGCGGGGCAGCGCCGCTTCCCGAGCGGCGGCTCGAGGCAAAGCCAACCACAACGCTGGAGTCGACGCTAGTGGACCAGCAGCCGACGCTGGTGGTGCGGCTTCCGCTCGGTCGTCCTCCTCATCGTCTTCATCACTCTTTCTGAAGCTCAACACGCTATCGAACTCCAGCACGGTGTCGACAGCAGCTCCAAACACGAGCATTCCACCCGGAGACCAAGGCACCTCGGAAGGCGGGTTGCTGGTATCTTCTAACACTACTTCTTGCACCAGCTCAACGACATCATCTTCGGGGGAAGTTCCTCTTGCCGCAGCCTCAAGTTCATCGTCTTCTTCAAAAATGCCGCCGCCAAATAAGTGCGGGGAAGCTACAACTGCACCAACTGCTCTTGCCCAAACTGCGAATAACACCGGCGTTAACATTGCAGATCCCGATCCGCGGTTGGCAGCCGAGCAGGCTGCCGCGCGAAACAAGGCGAGAGATTGGGTAGTGTCCAGCAACCCAGCGGCGGCCCCGGCGACTGCACACGACCTGCCACGACACCAGGGCGGTTCCGGTGCTCTCCTGGCTCCCGGATCTGCCGGAGGCGCGGCTGGTGGGGGAGCTGAGACATCATCTTTGTCCTCCTCGTCCTCATCGTCCCAACAAGCGAAAAATACTGTGGGGCGGGACCTCCGATGCCACGACAAGCAGCGGCAGGCCGCAGCCCGAGGCTACGACTTTCAGCGCAACGTACACTTGGAAGATGATGTTGAACAACAAGCGGCCGAGCCTGGCCCAGAAGATGTGAACAACGCCCGGAAGCACGGGCTGACGCCGCGTACGATTAAGGTCATGATGTGGGACGTGCTTTTGCTGCTGCACCGCTTGCACTCGACCGGGAATGGGCACGGAAACCTGGACGCCAGCAAGGTTGTGCTCGATGAGACGACTGGGCGTATCCTGAGCAAAAACAAGTTCCTAGACGGTGATGTTGAGAAATTGCCAACACAAGGAACAACTCGGAAGATGTTTGTTCTGAGGCTTGACGAACCTGGAAGGATCTTCAGATTTCGTGCCTCGCTGCAGCTAGTGTAGCCGCAGCACAGATCCGGATCCTCATATAGAGAATAACAATAATGAAGTAGAATTTGTTTCATCGCTTCCAAACTAAATACACGAGAGGACGACTAGAACAAGAGCCGCATGAGAAACATCATGAGCATGCCCAAATTTACATGACAAGCTTGAAAAGGGGACGTCGTTACTCAGGATAGGGAGCCCCATCGAGCTACTGGATTTTTTTTTCGGGTACGGGATTCAGGAAAAACCGTCCGAGAAGCTGTCCCACGATCGGGAAAACTTTTATGGCGCTCTCAAATTTTAATGTTCCATCGATCGCTCTTCCTTGATGGTGATTCCGTGGTGCTTTGTTATGCAAGAACAGCAAAACGTAAACGAAAGGCAAAAGAAACGAAAAGCAGAAGAGACAACAAGAAGCTTTCGCTGCTTGTGCTTGCATCTGCATCACAAATTTGGCACGGATTTGAGTGCCAGATTGCGCTTCAGGATGAATTTGTCATGCGAGCCACGACCTCCTGGCCCTGGGTCATGCATAGGTAGCCACAGGTGCTTGTGCTTCGCACAACAAATCCGGCCAAAGTCCTGGAACAGCGATCAATGTAACGTTTGAGTGTGCCATAATTTAGGCATCTCCTACGTGAAAAAACCGCCAGAGGCGCTTTTACTACCTTCTCAAGGGGAGCCAGGAGCGACTGCGCCTGTCGAACGTGCTACCAGAACGCCGGCAGACGCAGAAGTCGTACAGTGATCTACTTGTTAGACTGCTGCTTTTTTTGATTTTACATATAGAAATTTTTGGAAATGATTTTGCAAGTACTAAGTACTCACGCGCACCAGCAGAAGTTGGTGATCGACATCTACGTTGATGCTTTCGGATTCAAACAACTCGATGTATGAGCGTGCGACGCATAATTTTCAGTGACTGAGTAGCTTTGCTAGCTTTTGAATGTTCTATTTTTGGTTCTCTCACAGGATGAGGTACAAGATCCTGACTACTCCTGTTCTCTTGCTGTTCGCACGAAAAAAAAAAATATCTTCACAGCAAGTACGTGGTCCTCCGGCTTCCACGTTGATGGAACGAGCAAATAAGACGGCAGGGGTCACAGTTGATGCAGCAGCTTCGTCGTCTGGATCATCTACAACATCCGGGGCTGAGACCACAGCAAACCCAAAAGATACGGTCCCGAAAGGCACCTGCTTCCATATGAACTCGGCGATCACCGGCACGAGCGCGAGTGCCTCGTCTACCGCGCGTCCCCCGCCTTCTATGGGAGTGTCAGGATCGAAATCGTCAGAGTTGAAGTAATTTGTGATGCGTAAAACGGATACCAGTTGGCGCCTAGTTTTTAATTGGCGCATGACAAATTTTCCTGGCTTCTAGAGCAAGTCTGTCATGCTGTTTCGGGCAAAAGGACTCCCCTCTGTCATGCTAATCAGCAACCCAATTCTGGACCCTTGCCAGCACTACAATCTGCCTCCCTTGCGTCCTCTGCAATAGAGACAGTCTCTGAGTTGCATTTTATGCATGACAAATCATTTCAACTTTGTCGATTTCAAACCTGACGCTTCCATACCGCCGCGGTCGCCCAGCCGCCCGCTGTTCGACAGCGACCTGTGGCAGTGCGGGCTGCTGTTGGGGACCCTATCAAATGTAAAAGTGTCTGGGTCTGGAAGATTGCAACTTGTCATGCTAAATCTGCAGCATGCAAAAATCTGTGTTGCATGATTACCAAAAGTCGTCTAGTTTTGACCAAGTCGGGAGGTAGTTTCTCACGCAGGATAGGCATTAGAAAGGTCGCGCAGAATCTGTCATGCTAGGTCCTGCATTCCAGACCTCATGGGTCATGGAAAAGCAGCATGACAAATCGCGCATTCTTCCAGACCCAGACATTTTTACATTTGATAGACCCTGTGCATGAACAAGATCGGCTGCTCATGGGTATCCCACTGGCTGCCGCAAAACCTCGGTAGTTTGGTGTTGGACAGCGAAGTGAGTTGGGTGTACCAGCTGTTCGGGCTGTTGGGTACCCCGATTGAGTGGGACGTGGTGCGAGGCCGCGACTTCCCTTTCTGGCGGCCCTGCAAACTCTTTTCCTTTCGCGACGAGGAGCTCGCCTTGCCGAGAAAGCAGCTCCGAGCCCGGTACAACGCGGAACAGGTGCGGTTTTTGGCGAACATTGGCGGCGAGAAAGGGGTGCGGCTGCTCCGGGCGCTGCTGACCATGGACCCAAAGAAGCGCATGCAGATTCAGGAGGCGCTGGCCCACGAGTACTTCGACGCCATACGAGGGGATGTGGATCCGGAAAACATCTGGAAAAAGTACAACGCATCTCCGGCCGACACGTGCTGGAGTGGGAGAAACGCAAGGAACTACGCCATAGCGACAGCCGGGGCGCCCTACCACAATGATGCGGGCGGAGGAGCACTAGTACCGCTAGTACCGCAAGACCCAGCCAGCAACACTGCGGTGATCTACTCGCAAGCAACACTTCAAAATTATTATATGCAGCCCAATCCCGCATGGCTGCCGTCGGAGCGGCTGGATGCCGTACCGCAATGGCGCACACGACAGAGCTTCTGGGCTGCGCACGCGAAGCTACGGGACTTTGAGCGGTTCAGCCCAGATTTGCCGATGGACTTCAAGAGGCCGTTCGCGCCTCCAAGGACGAGAGCAAGAAGCTTATCTGCGAAATCGTCCACCTCATGCGAAGAAGATACAACTTTTAGATCCAAGGGTTCTAGTACAGGAACGACCAAGTCTTGTTCAAGTAGAGCGGTCGTGCCAGGAGGAGGTGTAAAACACGGATGTCGAGGTAAAGAAGAATCACCCCTCTTCAAAGAAGATGAGCAAGAGTTTGACTACTACGGTGTTGCAGCGAGGAAGTATTTGTTTGAAACGGAGCGGCTTTTTTTGAAGGAGAAGATGGTCATGTACGAGAATCAGAAGGACATAACGGTGGAGATGCGCTCCGTGCTGGTCGACTGGCTGATTGAAGTTCATCACAAATTCAAGTTCGAATGGATATCCACGCTGTTCCTGGCCATCCAAATCCTGGACCGGTTTCTCAACCACCACGCTTTGCAGTCCCGCAAGAAGCTGCAGCTCGTCGGCCTGGCGTGCCTGCTCATCGCGAGCAAGGTAGAGGAAACGAGGCCGGCGATTGTCGATGAACTCGGTATTATAAATATTTATACCAAATAAACCACCTAAAAGAGGTAGAGGTAAAGCAAAAGCAAAACAACTTTGAAGTCACCATTGAAGATGAATACGGTGATACATAGATGCTAGTTTTCTTTCTGTCCTTTGCTTGGCTCTGGATAGTATTGTTGTGATTGAGTAAGAGTAACTACTACAAAAAAAAATGCAACTCAGGTTTCATTTGCGAACACACGTACACCGAGGATAACATCCGACAAATGGAGTTTGATGTACTGGTATCAAATGTAAAAATGTCTGGGTCTGGAAGGTTGCAACTTGTGATGCTGTCTTTGGAAGGTAAAAAAAATCTGTATTGCATGACCAGCAAGAGGAGTTCAGTTTGTGCTACGCGGAGTGGGCGTTTCTCATGCGGAATACGCATCAGAAGGCCCTTTAAAAATCTGTGATGCTCGGCCATGCATTACAGGCATCATGGGTTATGCAAAATATGCATGACAAGCCTGGCAATCTTCCAGATCCAGACCCAGACACTTTTACACTTGATAACTGGCCACCCTGCTGAAATACGGTTACGTGCTGCGCGCACCCACCGCAGTGTCATTTCTCCAGATTTTCAAGGAAGAGCAGCAAGAGGAGCTTTTGACAGTTCGGAACCTCCGCCCAAGCGTCGAACAACAGCGGAAGTTGACTTCTAGTCCAAACAAGAACTACCTACTTCCAGAAGATGAAGACATCGACCTACTAACGAACAACGAGCAAGAGCCCGCCGAGGTTGTGTCTCTTGCTCCTGCTTCCGGAGATGAAAGCGATGGACTACAAAAACAAAGGATATCAACAACGAGTCTGCCAAGGACCGCGACAGGGCGACCTGTGGCAACATCACGATCTTCAAGAACGGTTCCCGTTTGGGCAGAATTTTACCTGCCAAGTGCTACCCCTAAGAAGGACAGATTGCTTGTGTCCATTTCGCGCACGGGTTTCGTCGACATGCTGTCCAAACCTCAGGACAACATCAAGGTCGACTCGCAGGGCCTGGCCCTTTTCGTCCTCAGAAATTTGATCGCCAGTTACCTGCTGGAGCTCACGATCTTGGAAGTCGACTACTTGTTAGAGTTGCCCAGCCTGCTAGCGCATGCGGTGCTCCACTGCGCCGAAGTGGTACATCTACACACTGCACTTATAATGGTTTAGTATGCATGTAAATGTATGGAGCTGGAGTTAGTTTCACTATTGTTATTTTTCTCAGTCAAACTCTCGGTCGATGAGCATGAGCTACATCAACAATTACAACTCCATCAGCTGGTTCGGCAAATCCAGCACCATGACGGGGAGTACACAGGACCAGCGAACGCGAGCGCTATCCTCGACCAGCTCGAGTTTCCACAGGACGCGCATTCAAGATCGCTGGTATCGTTGTTCGTCTCTTTCTACCATTGCTGCAGTGAGTACACATCAAAATTACTGCTTTCATTTGCAATTCAGATGACATGCTGATGCTGGATTTAGGTTTCGGTTTTTTCGGTTTTTTTACATGTAGAACTCGTTCTTCTTTTTTTTGTGGGATTTATGGTGTGCAGGAGCAAAACAGAGACTCCTCGCAGGTAGTCCTGAGTGCGCACACGCGCACAGCGCTATGAGCCCACTGCGCGTTATTTCAGCACTTCATTTATCCACTCATTGTGAAGATAGTGTCGTCTTCATCACCAGGTCCGCAACTTGTACCAGCTTGCGTCCGTGCCCCCGAAAGAGTTCGTACCCCGAAACCGCGAAGGGCAGCCTATTCGCCAGCCGACAGAGATGTTATCAAATGTAAAAATGTAGTCTGGGTCTGGAAGGAGGCAAGGTTTGTCATGCGCATTTTTTTTTTTTTTTATTGGCTCGCAAATTTTTCATCATTCACTATCTAATTTTTTGCGCGAGCGGGTGCGATCTCTGAAATGTGAAGAGTGTAGCACAATTCACATACCAGGTTACGCGGGTATACGGCATTTTTTCCCGATTTGTACCTTTTCGGCTCTCGTCCTCTGGTCCTGCACTTCGTTGTCGATCCCTGTTTAGTTCCCTCACCCACTCTGCTGGCAAGACAGAAAAAAAAGACGTAGCCCCTGTCAGATTAATTAAGCAGGAAGAAGCCCACACAAAAAATTCCCTCATCTACCTAGGGGCGACTAGGCAGATGGGGTGCGCCGAAGCAGGAAGGGGATGTTTCTAGTTGCAATGAGTTTACTCGGGAAAAGCATGAGGGTATTTTGGCGGGGTCCGCTAAAAATATCGCAAAAGCGGCAATTGCAATAAAATCAGCTCTACTTCTACTCGACGGCAAGCTAGTAAGGGGCACAGCATAGACTAGAAAAACTACTGGATCTTTCACGATACGGATCCCGCCCCGCAATGCGTGGGTCCTTTTGCTTGTACGATACGGATCTTCGTGATCTTTCTCTTTCTTTATAGGTCAGCATTGCAACAGGGGCCACTCTCCCCTGTGCATGCTACCTTTTTATCTATCAGTGCTCCCCAACTTATATCCCGCCGGTTTGTCATGCACATTTTGCGTGACTCCTGATGTCTGCGATGCATGCCCTAGCATCACAGATCTTGTGAGGGCTTTCTGATGCCTATACCGCATGAGAAATGCCATCTCGCCGTGGCCAAAACCAGACCTCTTTTGCTGTTCATGCAATACAGATTTTCATTTTTGGATAATGCAGACGCAGTATCAACACAAGTTGCATTCTTCCAGACCCAGACATTTTTGCATTTGATAGATGTGTGCGGTGCACAAGAAGTACTCGCTGCCCCAGTTTGCCCAGGTTTCGCTGTACTTTTGGCGGCGGAAGGAGGAGCACCTGGAGAACGGGAATTTGGCTGATGACGAGAATGAGCATGACGCTGCTGGTGACGACTTAGGCGAACCAGCTGCTCTGGTCGATCAAGACGAGCAGGATGATGAACAAGAGGTCGGCCCCATGGCCGGTCGCGGAGCAGGCATAATCATAATCGACGAGGAGGAGGTGGGCGACGAAGACGAAGAGGACGACGATGACGATGAGGATCTGTCTGAATCTGACTTCGAACAAGTAGGCGACGAACACGAGGATGCTGACATGGAGCAACAAGGCGACGAAGTTGAAGATGAAAACGGCCAGACCACTGACGAAGGCATAGCTGCTCCTGCACAAGATGAACGACACAACCATTCTACTATTAATAACGGGCCGCGGGAGAACGATCAGGAGCTGCTTGCCAACCAGAGCAACGCAGCGGCAGCTGGAACAGGGGATCATAATCATGTCAACAGGGCGGGATGGGGATCCTCCGTCGAGCTACAACCGCAAGGGGACGTCGAAGACCATCACGAACTACATCATGTTGGAGTTTCTAATCCGCAAAGAACCAGAGTCGGTCAACAAGAACACGACGAGGACACCAAGAAAGACGACGTATGCGTAGGCGGAACAGGCCCGGGTCTCGCGGCGCAGCACCACACTGGAAATGCCAAAGAACAAGATGTCGAAATGCAAGGCCAATCCACCACGGGCCCCGCGGCGGCACTGCAGCCGCAAGACGGAACCAGCAGAGGCAAAAATTCCGAAGATGTTGGCGGCTCTGTGTCCTCAAGCTCTACTTCAGCGAGGGAATCAACAACACGACAGAGCGCCTCTGTTGTTCCTCCTACTGCTGCTGCCATGCTCCTAGGTCGTGAAAGCGAGCAAGAACAAGCAAGACAGAGTTTGCTTTCCGCTGTACTTGGAACAAATGAAAACAGCGCACTCAGAGCTCCCGATGGAACCGACTCTAGTAATCACAATGAGAATACTGAGATGACTGGTGGGGAACAAGACGAGCCGGCTGCACCAGCTCGGGGCAGAGTGAACAACTTGACGCGGGACTTGCTCGCGCTGCAGCGTAAAAGCTGCTGGCCTGTGGAGGTGGAGTTGGATCCCTTGTCGGGTAAAGTCTCCGATCGCTGTCTTCGCCAGGTGATCATGCCTTACCTGGACAGGGAGAAACCAAAATTTCTGCTCACCGATTTTTATGACTTTGACGGCATCATCAAGAACTGCCCGAGGGAACCGTCAATCGACGATGAAGCTGGTGGCGCAGTTGTTTCTCGCGTCAACATCGACGGATGTGTAGTTGCAGTTCCTGCACGAAAAAATCAAACCACTACAACTTCCAGCGTAGTTTCTGGCGAGGTCAAAAGTGATGTTATCTTGAGTGGAGGTAATGCCTCCACCGGGCCCGGTCAAAGCGAAGCCAGGCCGACACGAGAGACTACGGGAGTAGAGGAAAAAGAAAATACGTAAGATGCAATTACAGGGCGAAGACTGCGACAGCTGGCCAGCTCTTATCTGCAGCTAAAACCAATAGATGAAAGTCGCGGCTGTAGGAGCCTTCTGCCACTTGTTTGGATTCTTATTCTTTCCGAAGGCGAAGTAGAACAGTCGAGAAGATGCAACATAACCGATGAATGAAATCCAGTAGAATCATAAATTAGACGCACAGAAGTCTAGAAGGACTATGGGCTTCTGCAAAGCCTGAAAACAACCAAAAAGAAAAATATCAAATGCATTCTTAGCATCCAGGATGGCGGGCTTGGGTATGATGACTGAGACTGGGAGCAGTCCCAGTCCTTTTCTGCTTCAACATGGTTTTTGATGTAGAAAATGAAATTAGAAGACTTGGACAATCCAACATTGGATTATTTCTACCCTCTAGTGATAATTAATATTGAATTTTCCTACGTTTAAGTGTATTCGAAAAAGCAAAAACAATGTTCAAACTAGCGACTAGTTTTGATTTTGTAGCGAACATCCAACAGATACAGGTTTTTTAGCGACAATCAGGTTCCAATTTCATACTGCTGTAATGGGAGGGTCAGATGCGCTTAGTATTCAACGACTTTCCGTTGTTGCGGACGCGGAATATATTAAATGGCTTTGGCTTCTAACTCCATCAGAATTCATTGTTTTTGTAGTGCATCGAACTCTCATCTGGGCTTAGCTTTTTCCTTTTTTCATCTTTCGGCATGCGCATTCATTTTGCCAGAAATAGCAGCTGCGCATAACCTTTTGCTGGCACCGTGACGGAACATCGAACGACTTGCTCATGTTCTGTGAACGCCAACGCGGCGACTCGCCTTTCGAATTTCACTCCGCCGAACGTAAAATGTATCTTCAAAGAAAACATTTCTTTCAGCGCTCCCTCGGTAGTAGAGCCATGTTGTATTTTTATGTGAGTAGTTCTAGTTGTACGAGATCGCATCGAGAAAAAGGTGGAAATGGGACCACGATGTGTATCTTCGTCAGTGCGTAGCTTGCTTGTTGTCGCATATTCTTCGTCCTCGCGGCGTGCTCGCGCTGCTGCCTGTCACCATCCAGAGCAGTCGCAGCGCAGGCAAGAAATGAAAATTCAAAATTCTTGTTCATTTGTGCACGTGCAGTACATATCTCCTACATGATCTACTTCAGTTTAGATATGGCTCAAACATGTGCTCACTGCGAATATTGCATTGTGCTCACTGCGAATATTGCAAGTGATAAAAGCTTTCAGTTATTTCAATTTTTTGAAACACGACCGTTACGGCTACGTACTCCTACTGCCGCAACTCACTGTCTCTGCGACAGGTTTTTTTAGACGGTTCATGATAGCTATTTGCGTGGAGGAGAGGAGAGCATGGATTATACTCACGCCCTCGAAAAATGCAATAGTAACAAAGCTTTCGTCTGTGGTTGTTTTTTTCTTTTTCTGTCTACTTTAAGGATAAAGTAACCATGAAGCAAGCGAATGCGAAATTCCTGCGTCGCTAGAAGCTTCCGCGCCATCGTTGTTTTTGCAGGCGCTACCTGCTTTACTTTTCCGGTGAGGTACTTTTTCTTCCGGCATAATTTCTTGAAGAAAGTGTAAGTGTAACGACAACTACCTACCTAGAACTACCAGAGTCGGTCGGTACGTTATCGCGATCCATCACCATCTATCGTTACCTATGCACTTTCACTTGTAGTAGGCGGTCAAGCTCTAGGTATCACTACTCGACTCTTGCTTTTGATTGTGTGGAATTCGGATATTTGTTTAGTTGCAGCATCCAGACTGTGACCACCTCTGCCTCTTCGCTCTTTTGCTGTCAAGCCGTCGTATTTCGCAGAGGTTGTATCACGGCAGCCGCAACAGTAGGAGAACAGCCGCAGGTACGAAGACGCACTTATTGTAACAAGTTCCGAGGGGCGGGACGGTGAGTTGAACTCTGCGCCGGGAGCTTCTGGCTGCCACTTCTTAGCCCTAGAAGTACAGCTTGAGTTTTTGGACCCGAAGGCCGCACTTCTACTGCTACGAACGGTTTCCGCTTGTCACCGTGTAGGGCACCTGTGCTGGCACGACCAAAAGAAGAACCAGTTCCCTTCTGGAGGTTGCTGTTTTCGTTTTGACAGCCGCTCTAGCTCTTACTGTCATCGGAAGAACAGCGCGAACAGATGCGGGCACTTTCGCAATGCAGACTGGAGGTGCTTTCCGTAATGCACGCGTTGGCCGCCCCGCACGGGAACCGGGCCCCATAGTTGTTGAGGTAGGCTCTACTACCACGGCCCAATCGTGACAAGGGCGGGTGCACGGACGAAGTCGAAGTGGTGCACCTGTCTACGACCGCCGCCCTGCGCAGTGTACGCCATTTTCCCGCATCTTCCAGCTCCAGAACCACAAGCTCTAGTACCAGCGGGGCAAGGAGGAGAACTCGAAACCTGATATTTGCCGTAATTAAGAACGCCCGCATTTTCGCTCTACTTGTCGTGGAAAATCCGCGAACCAGCAGACTCGAGAATAGGTGTACACCAGTCACCGTGAACGCGTTCGGAAACCAGGAGCGAGCTGAGCAGAGGAAGAGGTACAGTTGTAGTTGCAGGAGACTGAGCAGTAGCAGAGAAAATGCCGAAGATAAACCGCAGGACGCGCGGCGACGTGCCGTACCAAACTCCCGCGGAGCCAAGTGTGCGTGGCGCTCTTGCCCCCGATGTCTCAGGGAGCACGGAAACCGGTGAATCCACCTCAGCGGAGCCGCTTACGGTAAAGGAAATCATACGAGAAAGCCACGAGGTCGACATGTTTTACATGTGCCGTGCCTATTCAGAAGAGAATCGACCTGGGTTCCACGGTACCTCTTGAATGTGTTTTCATGTAGTTGGAACGCGCCCCCTATTTTTCTGTAGATGTTGTTGATACGTAGTTTATGTTGAATATCAATATTATCAATCCGTATCCGACAACCTCCTTTCTCATTCATGTACATTTACATTCTCATGTTTTCATGTTCGGCTAGTACGGTAGCACCGTCAGCCACCGAGGACCCGGCATGTAGTCGTTCTGGAGGGTGTTCATGTTCAAGATGCCAGACGACAATGCATAATTTTCAATTTCATGATCTCCAGCCAACGAGGACCGATTTTTTTGCGAGGAGCATGTACGGTCAAAGAATTCCGAGTTGATTGACATGTTCATTGTCGGGGTCCTCGATGGTCACGACGGTGCCGTCGCAGCCGATATGGTCGCGGACCAGCTACCGGCGTTGGTGTTTAACCAGTGTTTTTTGGACCAGAGAAAAGTGCACGAGGCCCACGTGGGCGGTTTCGAGGAGATAGAAAAAACGTTGGCCAAGACGGGATCTACCGCAGGCTGCTGTGCGAACAGTTGCGTCGTGTGGGGAAAGTAAATTTTGCTTTATGTTCTCTATTTTCTGCTGCTTATTCTTTGCATTTTTTGCTCCTAAGGAGCAACTGATCCTGATGAAAAGAGAAGATTGATGAGGACAATAGACGCAGTGTATAATTTCTGTCGACGTCCTCCCTAGTATTGCTACAAAGTTCCTCGTCACCCTGACATAATGGCGGGAAGATTCCAAAAATCTTATTGTGTGTGAGGTACCTCTGGTGTGCGAACCTCGGTGACTGCCGCGCGGTCTGGATACCACTCAATAATGCAGACAGTGCCACCTTCGACACGGGCGCCTTCTGCTGGATGTCACGAGATCTGAAAGCCTCCGCGCCCTACGAAGTGGAGCGCATCCGGTCTTGCGGATGGAGAGTGTCGGACGGCAGGGTCGAAGGACTCGAGGTACTTTTAAAGTGTCCCGTCTTCTCGTCTCTTTTCGGGTCTTTCAAATTCTTCTTTCCCATCGCCATTTTCAAGATCCAGAAAGCACTTCTGCCTTGCTTGCTTCAGACGCGAGGTAGCGATGACAATCAGAATGTCCTCAAGAAGTGTGCTTGCGTAGGCTTGTGGTTCTAGTTGTTGCGACATATTGGTTGCAATATGAATATACACAACCATTTTTAATTATTCAACCTCAGCCGACCCGCACGATAGGAGACTTCGACGTGAAGGCAAAAGTCCCGAAAGGTGTGATATCGATTGTCCCGGAAACTAGAATGGTAGACATGGTCGCCGAAGCCAGGAAAAAAGACAAAGACGCAACCGACGTTCAGGGTTTGCTCGTGCAGGCCACAGACGGTAAACTGTGGACACATTACATCTCAATCTCTTCTGATGTTTGCATGTCTTATTTGCGATGTTTGTGTTTGTCGGGGCAGCGAGGTTGGTTTTTCTCGCAGTTTATTTACAGCTCGAGCTCCTGCAACAACATCGGAACTAACAAAGATCCACAACAAGGAGATGATTCGTAGTCGAAGTCGTTCTCAAAAATAAAAAGGTATTTGGGACTGCGTGAACGGACAGGACATACTCAATGTCATCAAGACGAAGCAGAAATCAGTACGGCAGCTGCAGAAATATCTGGCAACAGCCGGAAAAGATTGTATATACATAGATTATATATATTGGATGCGCATGTACTACTAGTTGAGTTCTTGCTCTTGCTTAGGCATATGCAACCGTCACTAGTAGTATGAGCATCGTTGTGTTATAACATTCTTTTTTTTTCCAAAACTACCAGGCGCAGGCTTTATCATGCCTCTTCAATTGCTTAAGCGCCATTCTTGCTCGGAGATACAGGCACTTTTCAAAAGAAAATTTTCACATCACAGTTGACCCCGAGCACCAGGTTGCTGCGGTATTGGAGAGGATAGCCGGAGACGTCGTGACTTTGGCTCTGACGAAAGGAAGCAGTGACGATTGCACGGTGATCTTAACTTGCGTATCGGTCCAACCGAGGTCCGTTGAGGGAAAATAGAAGGGCAAGAAAATGTTGATGACAGATGCAAAAAGACAGAGACACCAGCACGATCTCGCACTGTTTCAGTATCGGTAGATAACATGTATATGAACACGAGCTTTGTCCATTTCAAAGTACAGCTGAAGAAGCTGACAACTGTCCTTGTGCTTTGTCTTTGAGTAAATACAAACTTCAGTAGCTTTTTTTGGGCTTCTTGTAATTGGGCTAACAAATCTGAGTAAGTAGAAAAAGAAGATTAGTGAGGTGTCGTAGTTTTTTTTGGAAACAACTTGAATTTTTACTTCAGAAGACGTAGCCTTGCAGTATCACTTCGTGAGAAGCAAGAAGAACGACGGTGACGGAGCTGCCTGGCATTTCAGAAATGAAGTAGGAAGTAAAACCAATATCGAGACCTCGGCCGCGGGTACAACCGCAACGAGGAAAAGGATGGCGTAGATTTCGAATCCCCTATGTACAAGTTGAAGTTGCGCATTGATTAACCGTCTCATGTACTCGACGGTAGGATCGATATATAATAAATATACCAAATCATCTCCGACTCTGCTTCAATCATTTTCATTGTCGAAAGCACAGGCGCAATGGATGGACGAGTCGAGTAAGCTGCAGCGCTGTGCGACAAACCTGAATTGGCGTTGGAGATGCGGACTTCAACTTAATTCCGAAGCACCTGAAGATGCCTTGGTACGACAGTCCAAGGAAAAATGTTTTTTAGTTGACAATGGTAACGGTTGTCTCGATCGATGCGCCGCTATACATTTTGCGGTCAGCACAGCAACAGAGACAGCAACAGCATTGATACAGCTAAATGCCTTCATTCTGACGATGATCATGGACGAGCCGTTCCCGTTGTCAATGAAGTGTAACAGGTGTGACTCCCTTTTCTGCCACCCCCACCTGTATTGATATCAAAAATAATAAATCTACTTTTTGAGGTTAGCAAAACTCTTCAGCAGCTTTTTATCGTTTCTTTCGACTTATTCTATTTATATCAAAAGCGATTTATGTTTCTTATTCTAACTAAGTAGTGTATGTGTATTTCACAAACCGCATGAAAAGAAAAGACACAAGAGCAAGAAGTAGTTTCTGGAAAAGCGAAACTCTCTTGCCATCATTCAATGACGTTACCTAGTGGCTACAACTAGTTTCTCTAGTTTCTCTCGCAGCTACGGACTCGGATTCGGCCTATGATGAACGGTAGGTGCTAGCAGATAATGAATGTTCGATGTTGGCCCTCGCCCTAGTGACTTGTTGACTACTAGCAGTAGAAGCAGCTCGGTGGGTGTTTTCGACATCGACATGCTAGTATTATAGCTCCTGCTCAACGACCACAACCAGTAGAATTGTCAATGAACACCCTGGTCGCCGTGTATCAAGAAGATAGAAGACCCAGGACCACCAGGGCGGTACAACAGACTGGCGCACTTATGCGGTGTGAGTTTTTGTGAAAGAAACAGAAAGAGATAAAAAGGTCGGCAAAGGCCACAAAAGGCGAAGAGGCCTGCCTAGTAGAAGATGAAGACCCTAGCGAAACAGCCAATTTGAGATTGCGGAAACAAAGTTGTATTCACTCCACCCTCCGTTGTAACAATGAACAATGACGACGTAGATGATATTGATATTCGGTCTCTCTAGAAAACACAATTATAATTGTAATAGTTCTGCGTTTCTATAGCCTGTCCGCCAAAAGAGCTACGGCTGTAACCGGAACGGCTGTAACCGTACTGCGAGGACCAGCACCTCCAGTATGATTTCATAACATTTTGCAATGGCATCTTCAGTTTGCGAAGATATAAACTTGAATTTCGATTTCCGAATCCTTGGATAATTTCTATGATGAAGCCTTCATCATAGAAATTATCCAAGGAGGGGAAGGGAAAACCAGACGCACTTCGTGAGAAGCGGTGGATTGGAGCATTCGTGTTGTCCATTCATTTGGTGGAGTTCTTTAGCATAGTGGTGTATGTGCATTGATGTGTTTGTATGTTCAGGTTGATGCGCTTCCGCTTGCATACTGATATTGCCAGTGGCTGGCTATTTAGCGTAACCGCAGCGCTATCAACTCTGTGGTGTTGAGCAAGGTCATATTTTGTGGAAGGAAAAGAGAAATGAGAAAGACGAGGACGACCTTGACTGAGAGAAATGACAAGACGAATCGACATGCTTCGTGATGCACCAAAGTACTTACTTAAGGCCAAGAGACGAGAGATAAGAATAGTTAGTAGGACAGCTACGGAATCCACCATCTTCACTTAGACGCGACATCATGTGGGTGTCTGCGGGGAGGGCGGGGACCCCCTCGTGCTCGTCGAGCAGTCGACGAGGTATTGCAGGCACTGCCATGCAAAAGTCGAGGGCGAGTACGAGCTTCACGTTTCGCATGAACACAGTGCTTCTGCGCTCCATAGCAAACGGCTCAGGAACGCGGGGAGCCAAATCGAGCGCATCACCTGTTACTTGTGCCAGCAGGAGTCCAACCACGTCCAGAGGTAGCACGACCTTGCTAACGCCGTTTGCACCATTTGGAGGTGTCGTGAAACAAGCGAAGACTCCATTTTCCTCTACTCGTGATTCATCTTGGAATACTAGTCGCAAGCTACCCTTGACTCACTCCGCACTAGAAACCAAAAGCAACACACAACAACGACCAGGCAGGCACCCCGCCGCACCCTCACGCACTCCCCACAGGCGCACAGCAAGGCGACAGTCCCAGTGGTGCAGGCACAGCCGGGCCTCTAATGTTCTGGCCCTCGCCTCATGCGCCCCCGTCTTTCTGAACCTTCAGCGGAAGTGCCCTAGTCCCTAGCGGCCTAGCCTCGATCCCTAGCGGCCCTCCCAGCCCCGAGCCCTAGCGGCCCAGCCTCGAGCCCTAGCGGCCTAGCCTCGAGCCCTAGCGGCCTAGCCTCGAGCCCTAGCGGCCGGGCCCAGGAGCCTCGAGCCCTACCGGCCTTCCTAGCCTCGAGCCCTAGCGGCCGGCCTAGCCTCGAGCCCTACGGGCCTAGCCTCGAGCCCTACGGGCCTAGCCTCGAGCCCTACGGGCCTAGCCTCGAGCCCTACGGGCCTAGCCTCGAGCCCTACGGGCCTAGCCTCGAGCCCTACGGGCCTAGCCTCGAGCCCTACGGGCCTAGCCTCGAGCCCTACGGGCCTAGCCTCGAGCCCTACGGGCCTAGCCTCGAGCCCTACGGGCCTAGCCTCGAGCCCTACGGGCCTAGCCTCGAGCCCTACGGGCCTAGCCTCGAGCCCTACGGGCCTAGCCTCGAGCCCCACCGGCCAGCCCAGCCTCGAGCCCCACCGGCCTAGCCTCGAGCCCTAGCGGCCTGCCTAGTCCCGAGCCCCAGCGGCCTGCCTAGCCTCGAGCCCTAGCGGCCTGCCTAGCCCCGAGCCCTAGCGGCCTGCCTAGCCTCGAGCCCTAGCGGCCTGCCTTGCCTCGAGCCCTAGCGGCCTGCCTGGCCTCGAGCCCTAGCGGCCTGCCTAGTCCCGAGCCCTCGCGGCCTGCCTAGCCTCGAGCCCTCGCGGCCTGCCTAGCCTCGAGCCCTCGCCTCGCGGCCTGCCTGGCCTCGAGCCCTAGCGGCCTGCCTGGGCTCGAGCCCTAGCGGCCTGCCTAGCCCCGAGCCCGAGCGGCCTGCCTAGCCCCGAGCCCGAGCGGGGCGGCCTTCCTAGCCCCGGGCCCGAGCGGCCTGCCTGGCCTCGCGGTGCGGTGCCCGAGCGGCCTTCCTAGCCTCGAGCCCGAGCGGCCTGCCTGGCCTCGAGCCCGAGCGGGCCGCCTGCCTAGCCTCGTGCCCGGGCGGCCTGCCCAGCCCCGAGCCAGCCCGAGCGGCCTGCCCAGCCCCGGGCCAGCCCGAGCGGCCTGCCAAGCCCCGAGCCAGCCCGACCGGCCTGCCCAGCCTCGGGCCCTAGCCTAGCGGCCTGCCTAGCCTGGCCTCGGGCCGGCCCTAGCCTAGCGGCCTGCCTAGGTAGCCCCGAGCCATAGGTAGCGGCCTGCCAAGCCTCGAGGCAGCCCGAGCGGCCTGCCTAGCCCCGGGCCAGCCCGAGCGGCCTGCCTAGCCTCGAGCCCCCGTGGCCCGCCTTCCTAGCCTCAAGCCCCAGCGGCCGCCCTGGCCTAGGGCCCTAGCGGCCTGCCAAGCCCCAAGCCCTAGCGGCCTAGCCTCGAGCCCTAGCGGCCTGCCTAGCCTCGAGCCCTGGCGGCCTGCCTAGCCTCGGGCCCCAGCGGCCTGCCTAGCCTCACCAAGCCCTGGCGGCCTGCCTAGCCTCGAGCCCTAGCGGCCTCCCTGCCTAGCCTCGAGCCCTAGCGGCGGGCCTGCCTAGCCACAAGCCCTAGCGGCCTGCCTAGCCCAGGTCGGAGGTTCCGGGGACCCGGAGGTCGGAGGTTTCGGGGACCGCGGGACCCGGGGGTCGGAGGTTTCGCGGACCCCGGGACCCGGAGGTCGGAGGTTTCGCGGACCGCGGGACCCGGGGGTCGGAGGTTTCGGGGACCCCGGGACCGGGTGGTCGGAGGTTTCGGAGCCCGCGGGACCCGAAGGTTGGAGATTTCGGGGACCCCGGGACCCGGAGGTCCGGTCGGAGGTTTCGCGGACCGCGGGACCCGAGGGTCGGAGGTTTCGCGGCCCGCGGGACCCGGAGGTCCGGTCGGAGGTTTCGCGGACCCCGGGACCCGGAGGTCGGAGGTTTCGCGGACCGCGGGACTCGGAGGTCGGAGGTTTCGGGGACCGCGGGGCCCGGAGGTCCGGTCGGAGGTTTCGCGGACCCCGGGACCCGAAGGTCGGAGGTTTCGCGGACCGCGGGGCCCGGAGGTCGGAGGCTTCGCGGACCCCGGGACCCGGAGGCTGGAGGCTTCGCGGACCCCGGGACCCGGCGGTCGGCGGTTTCGGGGACCCCGGGACCCGGCGGTCGGCGTTTTCGGGGACCCCGGGACCCGGCGGTCGGCGGTTTCGGGGACCCCGGGACCCGGCGGTCGGCGGTTTCGGGGACCGCGGGGCCCGGCGGTCGGAGGTTTCGCGGACCGCGGGACCCGGCGGTCGAAGGTTTCGCGGACCGCGGGACCCGGCGGTCGAAGGTTTCGCGGACCGCGGGACCCGGAGGTCGGAGGTTTCGCGGACCGCGGGCCCCGGAGGTCGGAGGTTTCGCGAACCGCGGGCCCCGGAGGTCGGAGGTTTCGGGGACCGCGGGCCCCGGAGGTCGGAGGTTTCGGGGACCCCGGGCCCCGGAGTTTGGAGGTTTCGGGGACCCCGGGCCCCGGAGGTCGGAGGCTTCGGGGACCCCGGGGCCCGGAGGTCTTTCGCGGACCGCGGGACTCGGGGGGCGGAGGTTTCGGCGACCGCGGGGCCCGGAGGTTGGAGGATTCGGGGACCCCGGGACCCGGTGGTCGGCGGTTTCGGGGACCCCGGGACCCGGAGGTTGGCGGTTTCGGGGACCCCGGGACCCGGGGGTCGGCGGTTCCGGGGACCCCGGGGCCCGGAGGTCGGCGGTTTCGGGGACCGGCCGCGGGGCCCGGCGGTCGGCGGTTTCGGGGACCCCGGGACCCGGCGGTCGGCGGTTTCGCGGACCGCGGGACCCGGAGGTCGGAGGTTTCGCGGACCGCGGGACCCGGAGGTCGGAGGTTTCGCGGACCGCGGGACCCGGAGTGCGGAGCTGTCGGGGACCCCGGGACCCGGAGGTCGGAGGTTTCGGGGACCCCGGGCCCCGGAGGTCGGAGGTTTCGGGGACCCCGGGGCCCGGAGGTCGGAGGTTTCGGGGACCCCGGGGCCCGGGGGTCGGAGGTTTCGGGGACCCCGGGGCCCGGAGTTCGGAGGTTTCGGGGACCCCGGGACCCGGAGGTTGGAGGTTTCGGGGACCGCGGGGCCCGGAGGTCGGAGGCTTCGCGGACCGCGGGGCCCGGAGGTCGGAGGCTTCGCGGACCCCGGGGCCCGGAGGTCGGAGGCTTCGCGGACCCCGGGGCCCGGAGGTCGGAGGCTTCGCGGACCCCGGGCCCCGGAGGTCGGAGGTTTCGGGGACCGCGGGCCCCGAAGGTCGGAGGTTTCGGGGACCCCGGGACCCGGAGGTCGGAGGTTTCGGGGACCCCGGGGCCCGGAGGTCGGAGGTTTCGGGGGCCGCGGGTAAAGGTCGCGGAGGTTTTGGTCGGAAGGTTTCGGGAGTTGGGGTTGGAGGTCGCGGGAGTTGTAGTTGGTGGAGGTTTCTGGAGGTGTGCGTTAAAATTTTTTGTTCTATACTTATCATTAAACGACGAAAAATAGTATGTAGTGAGGTCACGAACGTTCTAATCTAGCGGTTTTTTTGCCATGCATTACGCAAAACGACCGGCAGTTTTCAAGCGTGCGGAAGTGTTTTTGGACATAAAAGATTTCCATTTATCAAGCGGCCGGGGCCTTGCTGTCAAACAAGCGCGAGCGGATTCTATCGATTCACGCTTGATAAAACGACGCAAGGGAGCCGCCAAAAGGGGCGCCCTTCTGAGGCGCACACCGCCTTGGTTTCTGGCGATTTGGGGCGCCCAAAAAGGGGCGCCCAAAAAGCAGCACTCCGTAAAAAACAGCGAATCCGCATAGTATGGGCCTAATTTTGGCCCACATTCGGGCCTCGGAAAAGACGCCACCAAAATCCGCCATTTCAGAGGCGGACTGAAGGCCAGAAGATGCGGCATCTTGCAAAAAAAAAAAACAAAAAAACAAAGTCCGCCAAAAGCAAAAAGCCAATCCGCATGCTATGGGCCCGATTTGGGGCTCCCAAGGGCCTGTCCTTGGCGCGGGCCCTGGCGGGGCCATAGCATGCGGGGAAGGTTTTTCGATTCGAAACCAAACGGAGGCCAGCCCTGGAATGAGATTTTTCGCGACCGCCGTACCGTCGTGCATAACATTACTCACGATGGCATGGTGGGCAGAGAAGTTGCGTCTTTTTTGGCGTAAAGGCAAAAAGACCGCCATGACCTCACTACCTCCGCGGACGCGGCTATTATTGGTAGTTGCTGTTACCAAGACGTCGACGTCGTCGACCAGGAGATGCTTCAGTACTACGACCACTACTGGTTTTGACGAGACCATCAAGGCCATTGGTTTTATCGGCCTTGGGAACATGGGTCTGCCAATGTGCCAAAACGTGGTCAAGGCCACGGAAAGTAGTGTGGGTCCTGGTACGACCAAGGTCTTCGCGCTGGACAAATATCCCGAGAGGGTGGAGTTAGCGGCCGCTGCGGGTGCGCACAGAGCGAGCTCCGTGAAGCAGATCGCCGAGGAATGCGATGTGGTGTTCACCATGTTGTTTAACACCGACACCACCGAGGAGGTGTACCGCGGAGCGGAGGGGCTCTTCCAGCACGCGAAACCGGCGTGCCTCCTCATCGATGGCACGACCATTGCGCCGTCCTTCGCGAAGGCGCTCGGCGAGGAGGGAAAGCAGCGCGGGTTCGACATGGTAGACGCACCTGTTTCCGGGGGCGTGGCGGGTGCAACGGCGGGCACCCTGGCGTTTATGTGCGGCGCCAGCAGCGAGCCCGCCTTTTCCCGGGCGGAAAAATTTCTGCTGGCCTCGTCGATGGGCAAAAACGTGTTCTACTGCGGCCCCAGCGGTACCGGATCCGTGGCCAAAGTCTGCAACAACATGGCCTTAGCCGTGCAAATGATCTCTGTCTCGGAAGCCTTGGCGCTCGGAGTCAAACTTGGTAAGTAGACAAGGGAACGTTGTAAATTCTTCTGCGACCACCGCTTAATAAATGTACTATTTGTAGTCCAGCGCCAGGTTCCGGCTCCTCCAGTAACAACGCTAAGCAGCTGCTAGACGACTTCAGTATTACGTTGCATGTTCCTGCTCCTTCACGACTTCACGTTCTTGTTGATTCTTAGCCAGTAACATCCAATGATGAAAAAACTCAAATACAGGCATGGACCCGACTCTGCTCTCCAACGTAATGAACAAAAGTAGTGCCCGTTGTTGGGCTGGGGACGTCGGCAATCCCTGTCCCGGCGTGTTGCCCAACGCACCGGCGAGCCGGGAGTACGAGAACGGTTTCAAAACGTCGCTAATGGTGAAGGATTTGAAGCTAGCCATTGAGAACGCCGACCAAGCCGCATGCAAGGTGCACTTCGCAAAAAACGCGCTAGCGGAGTACGAGGCCATTGTGGAAAAGGGAAGCGGCGATAAAGACTTCGGCTTCGTGTATCAAACGATTGTGAAAGGCTGAGGAGCGGTGACTGGTCGTTGGAAGTGGTGTTTCTGGATGCCGTGGTCCTCTTCTTGTTCATCTTTCAATGCCGATGCTTCTCCTCGTCTCGGCGATATGTCATGTATCTGTATGAACAGGAACATGTTTCTTGATGTTGTGAACTAAAGATATTATGATCAGGACGATGATGCAACATCAAGAACGGAATGACAAAAGAAACCTACAACTGTGTAAACATAGAACGTGCACCAAATGAAATTTTTTGATGAAATCGCGTGCGTCCGCAACTAGCGTCCACGTGCGCTGATGAAGAACTACTACGTACAGCCCCCCACGAAACTTCTTCTATAAATGTTGATCGGCGCTAACGCAGTCATCTTGTTCGGTCACCGCATAGGTCTTGGTCGCACCCTTTGGCTCGCAGACGGTCGGTGCGAAGCTGTGCTTGTATCAAATAAAGAACGATAGAACAAAAAAGAGAACAAAACTCATCAGAATATCGGTAAAAGTACTTCGTAATGCGATACTAGTAAAAATTAGGTGGCGGAAAAGCTGCACAAAATCGGCATTTAGACGAAATAAGTGCATCGGTTTTTATCGATGAAAGGCCAACCAGAAAGAAAAAGCTAAAATCGGTACGTACAATCACCTTCTCACGCGCGGTTTCGTTTGTTGTCGTCCAGTCGTATAATTCGTGCAAAAAGTAAATCGTGGCTGTCGTGCGTTCCTTCCCTTACGGGGTATGTTTGTTTCCTTGGACGGATGGATTTTGTGCACGATATGGCAGTACTCATTGAAGAAACCAGTTCCCCTCCGCGGATAGCCCGTGACTTTGATGCCCCCATAAAGTTAAAGACGTTACAGCGTGGCTGTTTCGTCGGGCAAGCGTCTACTTTAGGAAGTTGAAATTTGATCATCAGTAGTTCCTTGCAAGAACAAAAAACAAGAAGACGCAATCGATCCGGTCCAATGGCACGCAAACCGGACGACGGGTGATATTCTGTGCAGGAGCTGGAAGATCAAAAACACGAATAATAAAACAGCTGCCATTTTTACTTTTTATTTCTGTATCACCCTCCAAGTCCAAAGGTAAATAAAGGAAGGTGGTGGAAAAAGATCGACTCGGACTCGCCTCCCGCTCCCACGACCAGCAAGCATGGCTGACCAATTACCCAACATGCCACAACACAGCAAGACTTCCACGATCGTCCCGACGTCGCCCGGAGGAGGTGCTGCTGGAGGCCGAAAGATGACGTCGGAACTCGAACTGCCTACGCAAGCATTGAAGCGCGAAAAGGAGGCGAAAGACGCGGAGACGCTACGGGGGACGATGGCGGTGCAAATAGTGGATCAGTCCAACATGACCGAGTTTGAGAAGAAGAAGGAATACTACCGCGCCATCGTGGCCTCTTTTTTGAACCAGCAGAAATTCGATGTGTGGATTGGCGTGATCATCATCTTGAATTCTCTCACCATCGGGTGGGAAACGCAATTGAACGTCGAGGACGAAAACACCGACGCGTTCACCGTGATCGAGAACATGTTCCTCTTCATCTACGTGGTCGAGTTGTCCGCGCGCTTTTTTGCTTTCGGGGTCATGAAAAGTCTAAAATCCTCCGGGTGGATCGTGTTCGATACCTTTCTGGTGGTGGTGGGCGTGGTCTCCCAGTGGGTGCTCCCCATCATCTTCGCCGACACCCCCTCTGCGTTGGAGCCCCTGATGGTGCTCCGCGTGCTGCGGTTACTGCGGTTGGCCCGAGCGGTGCGGTTGATCATCACCTTCAAGACCCTGTGGATGCTGGTCCGGGGGTTGCTGACCTCCGCGGACACCATCATGTTCACCTTCATTCTGATCGCTGGGACCGTGTACCTTTTTGCCGTGCTGGGAGTGGAGTTGATCACGAAAAACAGGCAGCACTACATTCACGGGGACGACGGGACCTACGCGCCGGCCGGCACGTATAAGCAGCTGATGGACGAGGACTTTGACAGTCTTTTTTCGGTGATGCTCACCCTGCTGTCTTTCGTCACGCTGGACAGCATAAACCGCATCTACGCCCCCATGATCAAGTTCCAACCCGCCTACTTTTTCTACTTTGTGCCCTTCATCCTCGCGGTCAGTATCGCGATGATGAACCTGGTCACCGCCGTGCTCGTCGAGAACGCGCTGGAATCGTCGAAGAATGACAAGGAGGTGAACGCGGTGTACGCGAAAAAAAAGCTGGAGCAGATGATGCCGTATCCTGTGCAAAAGTATCGTACTCGTACTAATTGCAATCTTGCATGACAAGCAGTATACAGCCCAAGAGACCACAGGACGAGAGTCCTGCAAGACCGGGCGTCGAAAGTAAGAGAAAAACAAAAACAAAAAAGATGGTATAAACGCGCTCTGCTCAACTGTGTGAAAGGTGTCGGCCCTGATACCTGCTGCGGCAGGCAGGTGAATTCGTAGAACTGCATCACATGTTAGGCAACGGCCACCGGCCTCCTAACTTAGTGATGAATTTGATATATGCGAAAAATAGCGGGGCCCAATGAAAAAAAAAAAATCTTGCATGACAAACCTACCTTTTTACCTCAATTAGCATTACAAATTCCATTTTTCTTTCTGATAAAATTTGTAATGCAATTTGTACTAGTACGAATACGATGCTTTTGCAATGCATATGCCGCAAATCAAAGCAATCTTCGTTCTGCTCGACAGGGACGGGTCCGGCGAGATTTCCAAGGAGGAGCTGCTCGATATGGCGTTCTCAAATGTTACATTCTCAACTGTTACATGATTTGTCATGCAAAATGACCATAAGCCGCCACACGATCAAGGTGTTTCGCATGACAAATTCTCGAAGGGCTAAACACCACCTGGATCTGCTCCAAATTTGTAATGCAAAGCGCGCAATCTTCCCGCGTTCGCTTTTGCTGTTCTTGCATGACAAATTCATGTAACAGTTGAGAATGTAACATTTGAGAACGCCATACTCGAGGGATTAGAGACGAACCCGGAGATAGAGGTGGAGTTGCAGCATTTCCTGGGCAACGAATCCCCGGTGCAGTTATTCGACACGCTGGACGTGGACGGGGACAACTCCGTCGGGATTGACGAGTTCTGCGACCTGATGCGGGAGCGCGTCACGTCCGAGGCGCCGATTGAGCTCACCAAGGTGTTGAAGATAGCGAAGCAAACGAAAAACGACGTGCAAAAAATGCTCACGTCACACCGGATGCAGCTAGCCTCCGGAGGTTTGTCCGGCGGAAGCAGGACAAGATCGAAATCCCTTCTCCCGCCCGCGGCAGCGTCAGGTACCTATTAATTAATACTTGTTCCCCCGTCGTATAGCAGATGAAGATGATGATGAAGATGAACTTCCAACTGGTGCCAGATGAAATTATGACTGTGACCACTCTGGGTCTAGCTCTAGGAGAAGCTAGTACGGAGCACTCTGCGTTTTAGTACTTATTTTTGCTGGTCGAAGCAATACTAGCTGATCTATTCTTGCTTCGACCAGCAATGGATGGTGTATTAGAACGGAAAGGTGACATCACGTGTTTTGCACGAATGGAAAAAAAGAAAACCACTGCTGGAGCATGCATACACTGAACCTACTAGAAGACGATCGCCCCTACTCGTATTCTGATGTTGCTTCTACTAAGTGAAGCAGCTCGCCTTAATCGTTATAAATATTTGTGACCTGGAGTAGGAGTACGAGTATGTACGCTCGCTGGATACGGTGCATCTTCTACTAATGGACTTACCTTTGGAAAAAACAACTGACACTAGGTCCAGCTCCAGGAGGTGTAGAACAACAAGCGCCACACAATAGGCAAGCGCGCTGCCTTCGGAGGGCTTTAGCTTGATTGCCAACGATCCCCATTGCGCGCCGCAGGGTAAAACGGCGGGGGCCTTCCTGTTGCTGCGCCCGAAGAGAATCTGCGTGAGACGCCGCCCCGGGCAACTGCGCCAATTGGGTGGGCGCTCGCCAGGGCGCCGCCGCGCGAAGGCGGGGGGCCGTTTTGCTTTAATATCGTGGCGATCGCAGCGCCAGAGCTGTCGCTGGCTTCGCTGTTTTCGCATGGTTTGCCTGCTCGCCGGCGGCGGGTTGCAAAGTGGCGACCCTCAATTTAATTGATTTCCCAGCGCCCGCGAGCACTATCACAGAAGCCCACGCCCTCTAGTCTAGTGGCCTCGCGCCTCTTAGTCTATTGGCCTCGCGCCTCTATTCTATTGCCGCCCGGCCTTAGGAAATCAATTAAATTGAACGCCGCCGCGCTTGGGCCGTCGCCCTTTTTTCTGCAAATTAATTGGCGAGCTTGGTTCTATCGCCCTGGCCGTGGCGGGTTTGCCCTATGTTTGGCAACCCAATAGTGTCGGAGCAGCAGGCCTGCTGGGGGCCGGTCCTACATCTATTGGCGCACCCGCCAGGAACGGCGTGCTCACTGGTCAAGATGCCTCATGGGCCAGCTAGTTCGTAGACGCTGGATACAAGGCGGCCCATGCGAGTTTGTTTGCTTTCTTGCGGAGGCGTGGGCGCCCCAAGTGCAAGAACTGCAACGCCCACTGTTCGCATTCGTGCAATCATAAAAAAAATGCTGCCAGATGGAAATGATCTCGAGACCAAAACACAAAGACCTGCGGCCTTTGAGCGCATCGAGTCTGTGCTCTGCCGAATTCGCACCCACTCAATTTATAGAAAAAATTATCTATTTTTATCGCTAGCAAAATCCGGAATTAAGGACTTTTGTCCGGCCATATAGGAGTATGTACGCTCGCTGAAAACAAACTGACACTAGGTCCAGCTCCAGGAGATGTAGAGGACAGCGCCGAAACGCCTAGCCTCAGCAGGGCGCAAAGCCGCGACGGAGGAGCCGTTTCTACAGTCTCAGTGGGCGGCGGAGACGCAGCTCGTGTTCTGCACGGGCAGATGGACGCACTCAACGGGCGAATGGATACAGTCGAGGGGAAGCTCAACCGCATGACCGACGTACTAGACAAAATACACGCCGCTCTGGAACTCGACCTCTCACGGTGAGCATCATAGCTGTCGTAGGTGTAGCTCTGCGGGTACAATACTAATTTTCACTTGAGTTCTAATTCTTTCGTTTCAGTAGTTACGCTAAACCTGTACGGTAGGTAGTTGTTTATTTACAAGAAGTAGAAGTAGAACACGTCAAACTCAAAGAAAAAGAGGTGATAGAGCCTCACGCTCTCCTCTCTTTCTGTCTTTTTGATATAGTAGTCTCTGCAGGACGAGTATATGTTAACTTTTTGCATTGCGCTTGATGCCGTAGACACGCACGACGAGGGCAGATGAGCCAAAACAAAGGCATATCTTATCAAGCAGACAGGAAGTGGAAGATGACCGAAAGTACATATACAAGAAGTGCTCGGTGGACCACTTGCAGTTGCAGATTAAGATTACAACCTGGAGGTTCTCGCATCAAGCGGATTGTCGAGGACAGTATGAACTTGCTTGACCAGCTTTCCTAGGTGGAATGGGAATCGAATCTAGCAAGCTTTTTTACGGATAAGTACGAGTACCTTTGTTGGCTGCACCACATTCATTGGTTGCTGTCAGTACATACCTCGTCTCCACTTCATTTTCCTTTTTGCTTTTCACGTAATTTAGATTTTAGCATACGCATTCACTTTTTTCGCATTTTATTTTTTATTTCTTCACATTTTCTTTTTGTTTCTCTTTCTCATTCTTTCCTGACGCTGACCGAGCACCAACTCCGAATTCTTTGACCAGTTAGTAATATTTATAGTTATGACATAAGGTAGCAACCCTACCCCTATCTTCTCTTCCGCTCCCCAAGAACTCCTGAGTAACAAGGTCGAGATCAATCTAAGTAAATGGACAAACGATTATTTGCTCAGGTTAATAAAGTCCTATTCTCTACTTCTCTCATCCTGGAATATCCTTTCTTTTTTTTCTTGTCTCATACCAGCACGACATGGGACAGATGAAGACAGCGCTGGTTGTTTGATTTTTCCTGAATGAACTAATTTTTGCTTATTGAAATTGATAATGACATAAATCGGTCGCATATTAAGTATTGAAAATCGAGCCATGAAGTTCCTTACCTCGGTTCGTCCAGAGATACATATAAGTAGGCTGCAGACGATGGCTCGGTTAGATGTCAAGACGTCGTCCAACAAGGAAGTAGAGGCTCTGTCCCCTCAATGGATAGTTTTATCGTACGACGATAGAAAAGCAGGCGCAGTGCTGCGCCCATGGAAAACTTTTGCTCGTCGTCCTCTCCGTTGTCGCGCGTCAAAGTACCACGCAGACGCACAGAATTCAATCCTGAGTATTCGGTTTTGCTTTTGCGACCTCCTTCTCGTTTTCACGTTCTTTTGAACTTGATGAAACTTGCTAACAGGAACCACATTGAATCACCCTCCGTCCTAATTCACCCTTACTAAATTTCGGGCTTCCACTCGAATATGTTAGTGTTACATTATACCTCTACTTTTAGCGGCCCCCCTTGCCCCTTGACGTCAATTTTGCCAAAAATTGATACAATTATGTATGCCTCCGTCGGATTTTCTCAGCGGCCCTCCTCAGCCGGATCTCATCTGATCGCATGAAGCAGGAGACATCAACCTTGTTGCAGCAGGAGTGTGCCTTAACCGGATGAAGACAGCACCAGCGGTATCATATGCAAAAACGTCCCCACCCCATAGTCAAGTTGGGAACGTAGCAACACAAATCCATAAGTTTTGGGAGCCACGCATGACAAGTTGCAGTCCGTAATGTAGTGCATATTAGCATGCTGGACAGCCGCATCACAAATCCATCTGCCTATCCTTTTTGCAGCATTACAAATGCCAAAACACGATTGGAAGCGCCTCCCTTGGGGACGCGCATTACAAATGTTCCTGCAATTGCAAATCTGCATGACAACTCTGGGGTGGGGACGTTTTTACACAGGATAAGCGGAATATCATGAGTAGTTTTTTCGGCGGCAACAAGGACCAGATCAGTCCGGGCGGCGGACCGGGGATGGAGGACCCAACACCGCGCACGGAGACCCCTGGGTCCAATTCTACAAACTACAATACGAACAAGAAGCAGGTGGACCCGGTGATGGAGCAAGGGAAGCTCCGCTCGGTGTCCCAGTCGGGGGACTCGTTCCTGAAAAAGATGACGGACGACGAGGCGCCGATACGGGCGTTGCCCCCGGTGGATTTGTCCCGGTTCGACTTTCTAAACATGGACGGCGAGAACCAGAGCATGCTTCCCCCCGCGAAGTTAGAACTGGGGCTCGGACTGTTCCGGAAGCTGTTCCAGACCCTGTCCGACCGGTTTAGTATCCACCCGTCCAACGCCGACGAGATCCACATCCAGCACTTCGAGCGGGCCATGCGGCGGGTGCTGAAAGTGATCGGGGACGAGGACACGGTGTTCCGCTCCGAGCACTACGACGTGGACGGCAGCGGCGCGGTATCAAATGTAAAAATGTCTGGGTCTGGAAGAATGCAACTTGTGATGCTGCATCTGGATTCCAAAAAATTCTTGATTGCATGAGTACCAGCAAAGGGAATGCAGTTTTTGCTACGCTGAGAAGGCATTTGGCATGCGGAATACGCATCAAGAAGCCCTCAAAAAATCTGTATTGCTAGGGTATGCATCACAGACATCATGGCCCATGCAAAACGTGCATGACAAGTGTCAGAATCTTCCAGATCCAGACACTTTTACCGTTGATACGTGGTGGGGTGGTGGGAGTTCGTGGCCGTGTGGAAAAATTCCAGCTTTTTCATCCAGCTCACCACCATGGAGCGGGTCTTCATGGTGTTCGAGGACCCCTCCAGCTGCCGGCTCGCCAAGTGGCTGTCCTTTTTCCTGCTCGCGACCATCATGTTCTCCTCCATCCTCTTCATCGTGGCCACCCTGCCCGAGTTCAAGGTGTGGCCCAACACCGCGTGCGAAACCACCTGCAACGTAGACACCGTGCACCGGCAGGCGTGGCCCCTGGCGACCTTTGAGTACTGCCGCGACGACTGTATACCAAAGCAGTTGCCGGTCTTTGACCAGATGGAGGTCGTGTGCGTCATTATCTTCTCGGCGGAGTACATTGCGCGGCTGCTCACCTGCCACGGCTGCAGACCGGAGGTGCTGTCTGAGGACTACTTGCTCAAACTCTGCCTCGGGGAGCACAGTCTCGGAAGAAGGCACGGACGTTTGAGAAGGTATTGAAATTTATTTGGTATTTCGCGTCCAACATATCGATCAATAGCGAAATGAGGTTAAGCGCTGCCAGCTAACGGGAGCGACACCGCTGTAGGGGCAACGGCGCGCGCCGGGCGCGTGTTGTCGTTTCCCTGGAGGTGCTGGCAAGCAGGTGCACTCCAGTGAAGGCGCGCGAGGCGGCAGATGTATGCGACGCACCCCGGGGTGGTGCTGCAGCGAGAGCTGAGGCGCACGCCTTGGAGGTCTAAGCTGGAGGTGCTGGCACGCAGGTGCACTCCAGTGAAGACGCGCCGGCCATACTCTGCCACGCTCCCGGCCATACTCTGGCACGCGAAGCGTGCCACGTGGTCCCCGCCGACGCGTGTTGCAAACTTGCTACAGGTTTGGTGTCGCGCGTCTCCGTAAGTCCCCATCGCGACGCGCTTTTGCGAAGCGTGTTCGTTGTCCCCGTCGACATCAACTCCACCACGGCTCGGTGTGGTGTGTTGGTCTCCGCAGGTCCCCCTCGGGGCGCGCTTCTCACGAAGCGTTCTGCGCGGTCCCTGTCCCTGTCGACACCAACCCTGCAAGGGTTTGGTGTCCGCTCTGTGGTCCCCCCGTCGCGCCACGCTTCCACGAAGCCTGCTGTGTGACCCAGGCACCCTCTCCACAGGAGCTTGGTGCTACCTCTTGGGCCACCATTGGGGCATGCTTCAAGCGAAGCGTATATACGGTCCCTGCCGACGCGACGGCGAAGCTATGAGCTTCGTGTCGTGTCTCTCCGTAGGTCCCCGTCGCGAAACGCTTCGCCCGAAGCGTGCCGCGTGGTCCCCAGCGACGCTCTGTACCTCAGAAAATGCCCTGCGTCGCGTCCGTAGGTCCCCGTCGCGGCATGTTTCCCCGCGGAAACGTGTTGCGTGGTCCCTTGCGATACCGGCCCCGCGTGAGCCCAGTGCGTCGCTGCCTTGCGCTTCTGCTCCACGCGAGCGCCCCTCCACAGAGGGCATGCTCGCTGCGCGAAGCAGAAGCTCAGGGTATATCTTCCTGGGGCGACTGGCTCTTAGATACTCGCATGGGCGGGTATCTGAAAGCCAGCCCCGGGGAAAGATAGAGAGGTGTAGAGAACGGGCAGCATGGCCCTGGTTTGCGGGCATGATCTCCAGTGCATGCACTGGCTGAACATGCCGCGCACCTTGGCCATGGCCCAGCATGAATCTCGCCCGGTGGAGCATTGGGAGAGCGGGCGTTGGGAGTTAATCTCCACCCGCCTCGATGCATGGATTAGCGAGCGCACCGCAGCTGCGACGCACGGCACAACGCAGTCGGCCGACAATGCCGCCCTGTGTGCTCGCAGCGACCCAAGGTCGCTGCAAGCTGGTGCCGTGGCCGCAACTGCTGCGTTGAACTCTGCCTCGGGGAGCACAGTCTCGGAAGAAGGCACGGACGATTGAGAAGGTATTGAA